GAGGAGGAGGAGGATAGTAGTGATGATGAGGGGTTGGTTGAGATTAGGACTAGGAGGACGAGTTAGATGGAGGGGGGATGGTGATGGGTTGGGTAGAGATGTGTGTGTTTTTGTTTTTTGTGTTGTGGTGTGTTGTGTTTTGTTTTGAGTAGCATGATACCACCCTTACAGACAGACAGATGGACGGACGAAGGTCTGTGAATGCAAAGAGAAGAAATGTTCGTGAAAAACTTTGAAAAATTCCGGGGGGTATCTCATCTCGTTCATCATCGCCCATCACCATCCTCCCACACAAAACCAGAAAAGAGGAGACATCTCCATCCTCGCCCTCCCTCATCAATGCATCTGCGGCTCCCGTTCAAAATACCCCGGCGTCGCCCCCTCCCCGCCCACAACAGCATCATAACTCGGCAGAGGCGTGACATTCTCCTCCTCCATCCCCAAAACCACCCCATTCCCCTCCCCTTCCTCCTCCACCCCAACATCCCCCAAATCAATCACCGGCGGATGCACCACGACCCCCAACATCCTCGTCACGTGGAAATTCTGGCCCAGACAACTCAGCCCGATGGCGATTTTGAGTTTATACTCCCGACGCATGTCCCCGTGGGTGAAAGTGCTCGGTACGGCGCTGAGGGTGCCGACGTCGATGTGGCCCATTCGGATAGCGGTGGTGGTGGAGTCGAAGCCGATGACGTCGCAGGGTTTTTCTTTGAGGAGTTCGGTGTTGTGGGTTTCTTCGGAGGAGGGGGAGGCGAGGGTGGTTCGGCCGTGGGTGTGGGCTATGAGGGAGAGGGTGCAGTGGGTGAGGGAGATTTCTGGGGGTGGGGTTGTTGCGGTTGTGGAGTTCTCGGAGGAGGGGGTGATGCGTAAGGGGAAGGTGATGGGTTGGCCTATGAAAATGTGCTGGGGAATGCCGGTGCATGATACGTTGAAGGCGTATTTTGGTAACGGTGGGGAGGACTTGAAGAGGGATTTCAGACTGCGGCTGCTGGAGGTGCGGTGGGGGTCTGAAGGGGGCAGGAGGGATTTATGTTCGACGCTGAGGAGTTGTGTGAAGGAGGTCGTTTGCGCGCTCTGCGTTGTCGCGGCTATGGGGGGTACTCGAGGTCGGTCGTAGAGAACTTCCTTTTCGATGACCGGGGTGAGGATGCGGACGTCGATGCCGGGCATGGTGACTTGCAGGACGAGGCCGTAGCGGATGGACATGTCGGAGGTCACCATAGCGTGTTTCTGCTTGGAGGCGAGGGTTGGAGGGAGGTCTTCGATGGTCGTGTCCGACAGCCGTTGCCGGAATTTCCAGTTCCCTGCGGCGTCTTGGTACGCTGAGACGGAGGTTTTGTGCTTGGCGTCTGCGTGCTCGGGGAAGTTGAGGGAGAAGGGGAAGTCGTGCTCTGTCCCCGGGGCTGCTCTGAAGGGCCCGGTGTGGAGGCTGATCGTCTTGTTGACGAAGACGGACTCGTTCTGGGGACTTGAGTCGCTGATGGCGCTGTTGCCGCTGACGAAGCGCATTGTGCCTTTGAGGGTGAGGTTGACTTCGAGAGGTCCGAAGAGTTCGGTGGCTGGTGCGCCTTTCATGCCATTGCGCTCGAACTTCAGCCTTACGCTGCCGTCGACTGGGTCGTCTGATCCGTAATGTATTCGTTTTGGATCGTCGAGATGGAGTCTCGCGTGGAGGACGCCGAGGGATGGGTCGGTGGGTTGGCTGGATAGGACGGAGAGGCCCATTTTGCCTGTCATGTTCCAGGAGCGAGTGTGTGAGTTTTCTTGCTTCTATGTCTTCATGCTGTGTTTCATACAATGCCGCTTGTAAGAAAGTTGGATAAGGTGGCAGTGACTGTTGACGTCGGGCTGGCTTAGTTGTGCTGTGGCGCAGCGCTTGTCGATCCAATCTCTTCAGCTTTCAACGTCACCTCTTGGATCTTCTCGCAATGAAGGCTGTTGTTGGTACAACAGAATGGTATACATCTTTTCAGCTCTCACCTATGTCTGCGTCCTCGCAGTCTGCACTCTCGACACATTCCGTACGGTGCCGACGGTGTCAGCACGACATCCCATGTCCTACTAACCTAACCTGTTCCCGCGGGCGAAGGATGCGCCGAGGGCCGTGAACAAGTTTCTGCTGCTATCCATCTCCACGTCAGGACCCGATACAAAACCGCCGCTGCAACAAAGCAGCAAACTGCAATGCATCGAAAAGAAGCTGCAAGTCAGAACCGTGGAGCCGCCTCGCCGTCTTTTGAACAACCAACCGCCCCTTCGAATCGACCCACACACCCGCCACAACCTTTAGCCTAATGCACGCTCCTGCAGGACGCGGCACGACTTGTCGGATAGCACGTCCGGACAAGGCAAGTGAGCACGCGACACTTGCTCGTCACGTGGTTAACTCAGACCTCCTCCCTCCAATCCATTACTTCACGTTTCTCTTCTTGTGGTCCTTGCGCTTCTGCGTCCAGTCAACACGGCAGGAGATGACACTGAAAGAAGTGATGTTTTGCAGTCGAGTGCATACGACGACTCCGCTTCGGTTGCATCGTGATGTTTCGAAATCCGCGTTTGCTGACCGTGCTGTTTCTGGATGTGTGAACGGAGCGTGGCTCCTACTTCGCTGTTGGACCGCGTATAAAAGAGCTGAGGCCTGGCTTGTGAGTATTGATCTATGTCCCCTCAATCATCTAGAGAAGAGCACAGGATTCCCTTCATCTCTTTTCCTCTCCAACTATGACGACCTCCTTCTCAAGCCTCCCTATCGTGGACTTGTCTGTCCTCTCTTCAATCAACCCTTCTCCAGACACCCTCAAAGCTTTGAGCGAAGAGCTGCATAATGTCTTCGCAACTACCGGCTTCGCATACCTCGTCAATGCTCCATTGACGTTCTCGCACGATGAGGTCTTTGGTCTTGCGAGCGAGTTCTTTCAAATGGAGATGGATGAGAAGATGAAGCTGGCCAAGAAGACTTTCGCTCGATCGAACAAGAACACATATCGTGGCTACTTTCCTCCCCAGCCTGGCCAAATGGATAATCTCAAGGAAGGATTTGAGGTTGGACCACCGGTCAGTCCAAGGCCGTCGCCGTTTGGGAAGCAGCAGAAGTTCGATCTGGCGGAGCCGAATGTCTGGCCTCAGGTAAATTCATGCATCTTTCCCAGAAAATGCTTCCCAAACTAACAGACCAAGGATCCATCATTCACCCCGGCCCGCTCCAGAATCTCCCAACTCCACAACGAACTCCAATCCCTCTCCTCCATGCTCCTCTCCCTCCTCGCCATCTCCCTGCACAAACCCGCAGACTACTTCTCCTCGTACCTCATCGACTCCCTCTCAACCCTTCGCCTCCTGCACTACCCACCACAACCCTCCACCACCACCTCCTCTTCAAACGACGATGAAGTCAAACTCTGCTGCACCCCCCACACGGACAGCGGCATCCTCACCCTCCTCCACCAAGACCCCACCGGCGGCCTTGAAGTCCTCAACGCCGAAAACAACTGGGTCCCCGCGCCCTACGTCCCGGGCTCGATCGTCGTCAACATCGGCGACCTCATGGCTGAAGTCAGCGGCGGGCGCTTCGTAGCCACCATGCATCGCGTCCGCACGAACAGTGGTGGTGAGGAACGAGCCGGTGGTGAGGAAAGAGCCGGTGGAAGGGGACGAGCGGATGGCATGGGAAGGTTTAGTGTCCCCTTTTTCTTTGAGCCCGGCGAGGGCTGTGTTGTGCGGAGTGTGGATGGTGGGGAGGGCATTGTGTATGGGGAGCATATTCGGAAGAAGATGGGGACTTGGGTGGAGTATCTTCATGAGGTTGAGGTGGAGGGCAGGGGGATGGATGGGAGTGTTGGGAAGGCGGGTATTGCTGTGGAGGCGTTTTGAGGCAGGGGATGAGGATATGGGCTGAACGTGAACTCTCATCCCAGCATTCAAGCGCTTTTCTGCCTGGTTTAACAAGTATCAAGATGGACCAAAACGTCTATGAAATGCCGCCTCCTTTAGGGAAGAGTTAAAATGCTGTTGTTTCGTGATGTAACACTACGCGGCGGGGACCCGCCAGGAAGAGTTGCACAAGCGTCCGTGCGCCGACAGGCATGCCCGACGCCCCTAATGGCCCCGGGCTGCTCTTGCTGATTGAAACACCTGCTCGACTTCACACCGCAACAAATGCTTCAAGACGTCTGTACATCGGGCCCCCATCAGATTTCCGGGTTTCTCCTTTGTGCAACAGGCCTTGCAACATTTGTTCTCCTTTCGCCTCGACAACAATCCCGAAGAAATATCTACTCAGGACTCAAACACGCCGCCGAAGATGGCTCAGGCATACATTCTCACTTTGCCACAAGAGCTTCTGCAAGACATTGCCAGCTATGTCGACATTTCTACCGATATTCTGAACCTCAGGCTCTCCTGCAAGGACCTCGCCGGAGCCGCTTTTGATCGTTTCGCGGAAGAGTACATTTCGGAGCTATCGTGTTTTGTGCTGGACCCAAAACGATTGGAACGGATTGTGTCTATTACGGCAAGACCTCATCTTGCTCGCAAGATTGAAGAGCTTACCTTCAACTCCAGTCCATTCGAGCGTAAATACCATTCTCTCGGCCTCCCAGCACAAGAGGGTCTGCACGAGCTAGCCCACACGTCATTCGTGGATACTTACAGCAAAGAGCAATTCGCAAAGCTGGGGGCACCGGATCTCAAACTTGGTGCGGTCAACTTAGTCCTGGTCGAAAAGATACTTCGAAATGTTGGACCTTTGCCAGAATGCACTGTGCGCCTCGATGCCCAGGAAGCCGACGATTTGATAGCAAACGATTGGATAGACCAGTATTCGTTGGATTTTGTGGACGAGATTCTCAAGATCGCCTTGCGTGTCGGCACACCAATCGGCGACATATCCTTGTCGAATCGAGTCTATCTTGACAAAGACTCCTACCGCACAGACGGTGACATGTCACCTGTATTACCAATGCTGCGAGAGCTCAGAACGTTCTCTTATAGATTTGACAACTGGCGCCTTGGGTCTCTTGGGACACAAGCAATCGCGCACTTCGACGCCTTGCAGGCGTTGACGAGGTCCCTCACCCGCTTGACAGAGCTGGATTGGGCCCAGATGGGGAGCGACCGCATCTTCAGAGATCGCCAGGATCTATTGATGCCTGACTTGCGATACATGCCTCAGCTTCAGATCTTGTCACTCTGTGGCATAGAATGCTCGTGGAAACACCTTCGTCGGACACTTGCTGTATGCGGCTCCATGCTTGTGAGCCTTCGTTTTGAGCACATCACACTGGAGGACATTGAGGGCGAACCTCTACTCGAACTACTCCACTTCATGTCGGCGATGCCCAGCTTGAGTACAATGACGATATCGATGTTGAAGCAGAAGTTGGTGGACGGAAAACGCAGGGTTCTGGAATTCCTCATTCCTGGTGACACGAACTTCAAGCGCTACTTGGAACTGGTGTTCGAGGATCTGTGGGAGAGTAGACCTTTCCTGGACTGCAACTTAAGTCATGGCTTGAGTTACAGGCCGTATTAGATACACGACCGGAGTATGTCGACTGGATACTCAAGTAATACCCAGAGTACAACTCGCGATCGAACCACGTCCATGCACATCGTCGGGGAGAAGCAGATGCTCAAATGTCCGTGCGCCGCCAGCGAGTAACAGGTGCTCTAAAAGCGTGATAGACAGAGATTGATATTGTGTCTTCTTACAATACACTCAATGTTTGGAAAGTAGTATTAGGCTCCGTCGTGTCCATCTTAACTCACTCTGTCGCGCTAGCGTTAAGTCTAATTCCGACCGGTACTCTTGTAATACTGCAAGGCTGGGAGACTACACTGACTTTATGTTGAACATCGAGCAGTAACTGATTAACGGCTTTAGAGGGAAAGTACAAGCGTCTAAGCCGGAGAACGAATAATCTCTTAGCATCTATCGTTTGACGGCTATTGATGCAATTCTTGCCCTTGTTGTCTTGGATCCAGAAGTAGTGCACCAAGCGTCGCTCGGAGACTATAGCTGCGGTAGTTTTACGAGAGTATGGAGACTCGGTTATGCCCAAAGTCTGCCTCCCGTGAAGCGTGATTGTAACGACGGTATTACGAGAGGTGAACAATTGAGTGTGAGATATTCCTATACTTCCGGTAGAATACCCTCCTATTAAATATATATTCAGCCTAGGAGTAATAGACATATCTTCTAAGCGCCGTGAATATGCATGTCGCAGTCGAGCCACTTTGAAACGACATTTTCAGAATTGAAATCTTTATACCTTACTGAAGGTTCGCCTATTGATTGTTTTAATCTTCTTTGCCGTGATGCTCTTAACAACAAGGGTTACTAGCGAAGTCATGCAGGAACGGTACGCAAGACCGCCTGTTGAAGACAGAGTACAGCGGCTGAGACCAGGTCATGATTTAGACCTTTCGATAGCCTATCCTGCAGTTGTGTCAACGAACCTACCGAGATCAGAGTCCTACCGAGCAACTGGAGTCGTACCGCTCTGCTTGAATGGAAAAAGTTCTATTGTCTTCCTCGATGTCCTTGTGTATCTAGCGACACATCGGATGACGTTAGATATACGCCAGGTAGATCATGCATCGCTCTCTGCGATCCCGTTGGTGATGGGCACCGGGCTTGCAGATGTTGCTCTCTTATCTGCATATGTCGTTACGATCTATTCGTGCACTCGCCATAGAAGCTATCGAATGACCCAATTTTCCTACTCGTGTTACGCGACTTCATACACTGGTCTCGTCTCCGTCTGCGCTTCTGCGTAAATACGTACAATCTCGGCTTGAAAGTCGACCTCATTAGGTATCGTGGTGTAAGTGGAAGATATTCGTTTGTAACCCTCCACAGCTTCCGCCTAGTCTTGTCAGCCTACACTATACGAGTCTTTCGACATAAGGTACGTGCCTTTATCGTCCGATAAAGCTGCTGATGTGCGGCAAGAGTTGCATCGAGCCTACATCGAGACAGAAAGGCAGCTTTCGATAAGGTAATGCTAGGCGGTTGTTCCGCAGTCATCTTAAAAAGTCGCACCTAAAACAAGTGGGCCAAGCCAGTCTTTGCAAAGAGTAATACTCGTGACTTATCGCAAGGAACTTCAAGGAACGCAAATGAGTAAAGTACGGTTCGGCAACTATAATGGAAAAGAACGAGGAGAAAATACTCACCTTAGGGGAAGTACAGCGCCTCGCTCAGGATCATTTCAACCTGTAAAATCGGTATGTGTGTCTAAGCAGAATGATGCCATGTCAGAAAGGTATCTCATGTGTCGAGGTCCCGAAAGTGCAAAGATCGACGCAATTCAGACGATCTGTTTGACGACTGCAGGTGATTGACCGGGAAGAACCTCAGGGCAGCCATGCTGAGACTATCTCTTTTCGGCTGCAGGTGATTAGCCCGAAAAGTGCCAGAAGGAACAATAATCGACACGATCTCCCCTCACTAATGCGGGTGATGCTGAGGAGAGGCCAGAGCTAACTGCGGCAGGGTTTCACGACCGAGCACGACTTGCAACGAATTCCGGCTACGTCACTGGGAACTCGTCGGTGTCTCGCTCTAGATCGCAGGACGTGAGAGGCCGCTACAAGCAAGGCAGCATACGCCGTACATCTCGGTCCTTGTCATGTTTCCTGTGACCCAGCCACTAGCACAAAGCGAGAACAAAGCACTGCTCTTCCAAAGGCTTGGTCTCAACGAGCGCGACCCTCGCCATCGCCACCTCTACTCTTTAATGAAAGTATGTCCGCCGGGTCAAGCTGCCTTCAGAATGCCTTTGGAATGTTAATTGCGAGCTATGCATAGGCCGAAGCAATCGAGGGCTGGTCTAGGTTGACCGCGAGAAGAGATGCCCTTTCACCGCGCCTCCAACAGGACTGGTCACTTGAGCCTCCTTATACTTTTGGTCAAATAGACGAAGTCGCATTCCAGGCGGAGGCAATCTATATGTGGCATCACGCTCAAGCATCAACTCGCACAATTTATGAATTAGGTCAACACTCCAAAGGCGACTTAAAAGACAATTGGATTATAAGGTGGCTTCTGTGGCACGTCTTTCGCTATCGAGACGATCGAAATAGGATCCATCCTAGTACGTATAGACATTCCCCCCCAGTAATCTTAGCATTGCCTCTAATGAGATCTGTCGACTAGACCTACGGCAAGTAGCGCCGCCATTGCCGCAAAGTCAAGGCTCCACTGCAGCTCACGTTAGACATGAGAATCCTGTTCGCTTCTGGGATCCTGTTCGCGAGCACTATCGTGATTAAGTGTTTCCGAAGGACGCAGAGGTTTTTTAGCCTGCTTGAAAAACTTTCACAACTACGTACATAGGAAGGAAGTGTCGTCCGCTTTAAAGTAGTCCCCTTGGTCAGCAGTCGATCAAGTATTGTAGCACTTGAAGATATCAGCCCACAAGCCTATTAGGGGAAGAACCTCTTCCTACGTTCTTTTAAACTTTCTTCGTTCAATTAAGCTTTCCATGCCCGTACTGTAACTTTCAAGGTTCTCAAGCCAGCGTCACGTCTCCTAAGATGTAGCTACGTCGTAGGATTTATCGCAAATCATCCTCAAGAAGGGCCCAGAACTCTTCAGGTAGATCATCCACAGTCCGACGCTCGCATGTGCGCACTTCTCCCCCGAAACGTAGCTCCCAGAGCTGCACGTGGTAAGGCTTCTTTCCAGTAACCGAAGGATGTTTGCGCGTATCAGGGCAGCGCTGCTCAGGGATATCCTCGACTTCTGGTGCGTGCACGGTCGAGCAAAAGTTCATAGGTCCAAGTTGAATAGCTTGAGCGCATTGCACTTTCTGCGTGGTCCAATGGCCGCAGCCTGTCCACGTGATGAGCCGTTGGGTGCACATTGTCGACTTCCTTCGAGGCCGCGGTAGCACTGTAGAATATCGCGTTCGTGCGATTGGCGAGACTGCTAGCGTTGTTGGTTAATGCTATACATATACCGACACATGACATGTCTTCTGCCACGTGTGACGAATCAGTACAGCCTCACCTGAACCCGACGTAGCGTCTCGCTAGGCTTGTGGATAATAACGTTTGCGATTGACCGCGCTATGTCGTTGAGGATGGCTATGGAAGTGGGGGACAGACAGAGAGGCAGAGGGAGCAGAAGGAGCAGAGGTTAGGACATCATCACTCATTCGCGGCGTCGGACGAAGGCCCGACAGCTCTCGGAAGAAGCCCCGAAAGCTGTACAGCAGCGGACCAGTCGAATAGATCGAAGCGCGCCATAGTGCATGCGGGCGCTAACAGAATCGAAGATAAGAGTTGTGTCTTCTGCACACTGACGTCTCTTAAACGTATGCGTATACCTCATCCAAAAGTCTCACACTTCGGCCTGTGCTGAACTTCGTTCGACGAGAGACGGAACTCGAAGATGTACAGTAATAGCATGCCGGTGCCATCTGGTTCAGTCTATCTGCGTATCTTAGGCAGTCTAAGCGCAAGTACCTTTGTACCTGCTTCCGTGGACCTCATCTCTTCGCCTACTAGCTTCGATCACAGCCAGGACAGATTTCAGGGGCTCGCGATTGGCGATGAACTCGTACCTAAACGGTTGTCACCTGCGAGATATATACTGCTTGAGGTGGCAGCGCACTGAAGAACACGCTATGATTTGCCCCCGCCCCCTTTGTTTGGGCCCGTGCAAAAGCAAGTACTGAAAGCATCTCACGTTCCACAACGCTGACTTTTAGAGAGAGCCCGCGAACGACTTGGAGTGTCTGAAAGTATACAAGCGACGACGCTATAGCACTCTACGCCTAAACATCTGATGATTATAGCGCGAAACCACGTGAAAAGCCCGGAAGCCTGGAGCACATGGCAGGCGTTCATTACGCCTTGCATAATGTACTTCGCTGCAATTCTCATGAACAACTGCACGGAGCACTCGAGGTGTGTAGTCCGTCTCTTATATTCATCCTCCTGTCCTCGATTTTCTTCAAGGACGCCAGTGAACCTTGTAACAGATCTTCCAGACTCTACGTGCAATGCCCAGATCCAGGAGTAATTGGACATATCACATCAGTCACGGACGCAGGCATTGATGTCATCTGCTGTCAAGGCACATGGCCTTCAAAGCGTCCGCTAGATCCAGATTCCTGGCCCCGAGGTTGACAGCCGCTCTTTGCTTGACTGTCATCTGGACCATGGCTTTGAGATCCAAGACTGCGCTTTATTGCGAGGATGGTCGGTCTTCCAGTGGCGAGTCCAGATCTTTGCAGCGTTGCTCAACAACTGAACGGACAGCGACTTTGCATTTCGTCACCGTGAGTCGACTCGAAGAGCTGACGAATCTCTGATGAGATTGACTCTGGATGAATTTCGAGGATGAATCTCTTCTGCCACCACAGCTCAATGGCTCTGTTTTTGTCTTGCTCATAGGCAAGCTCACAGAGTTCTGAGAGTTGTTGTTCGTGTGGGAGACTGCGACTGCGAGATAGATACACCACTTCGTTCAATAAACTCTGGAAGATACTACGGTCCATTCCTGGCAAGAGTATGGTCCGCAGGTCTGGTACAGCAAGTAGAAGGAAGCACATGCTGCCCGAAATGTCTGTGCGCCGCTAGCGCGCATTTTCGCACCACTTTAAAGTTTTGAAGAAGAGGCCTTCCACCGAATCTCATCGCGCCGTGGTTCTCCGAGTAGTATACACTCCTCCATTACTTTGCACAAGCACTCCATGTTGCACACGTCAACCTCAATGCAGCATTCACACTCACGCCTTCTGCAGCTGCCGATGGAACTTCTACAGCACATCGCTAGCTTCGTCGATGTTGAGACAGGGCTCTTGCACCTGCGCCTTGCTTGCAGAACCCTAGGAGTTGCGGCATTCGATCACTTCGCCGACGAATACATCGCAAACCTGTGCTGCTTCGTGCTGGGTCCAATACGCCTGCAAAGGATCAAACTCATCACGGTTGAGTCGCCACCTCGCTGCCAAAGTCCGCAAGGTTACATTCACCATTGATCCTTTCGAGCATCGTCACTCCGTTTCGCTTGCCGCCCCCAACGGACATCACCAGGAAGAACACTTCCTCAACCAGTACATGGAGGACTACTCTAGGAGAAACATGCTCGATGAAGACTGGCTGCCGATCCAGGACCCAGCCTGTGCAATCCTGATCCACGACATCATGCGGAACGTCAAACGCTTGTCGAAAGCCACCGTGTGCGTCGACGCTCGTGAGCAGGATCACCTCGATTTATCATTGGATCGGTACTGCCTGACCTTTCTCAACGACATTCTCGACGCATGTGTCACAACAGGCTGCAAGATCGAGGAGGCGAGTCTTTCAGATCTGATATCCCCGAGCACAGACGACGATCCCCCAGGCGACGAGATATACGCCGCTTTGGCCGCGTTCGACAGCCTCAGAATCTTCCGCTATCAGCAGAGAGATGCGCTCGAGGATGTACTGGAAATGCCCGAGGAGGACGAAATCGCATTGCTCAAGACGATGTTGGAAAGCATCATGCACCAATCCACAAGCCTAGAGGAACTGCATTGGGCTGCGCCCTACGATCTCTGGTCTGTCGGATACGTCCCATGTCCAACGCCGAGTCTCTTCAACATCGACCGGCTGCAATGCCTCCGTCTCCTCTCGCTGGCCAATCTCTGTTGCAGCTACAGCGCGCTGCGTGCAAGTCTCCTCGCGTGCAGAAGGACCCTCACCACCGTTCGATTCGAGATGCTACGGATCGAGGCGTCTGACGAAGCCTGGACGAGGATCCTGGAGGTCTTGCGCGGTATGCTTGTTTTGAGGGATATTTCTCTCACACATCTCAGCCAAGGGGAGGGGGATCGGACGGAGTTTTTGCAGTTTCTCGTACCTGGGGATGGGGCGTTTGAGAGGCATCATTTCGTGCCTGGAAGGGAGTATGTGGATGCGGCTTCGTTTCTTGAGTGGAATTTGGAGCATGGCTTGAAATATCAATGATGTAGGGCATGGGTAGCGTGACTTGCTGCAAAATAATTACCATATCATTTTGGCCCACATACGTACGAGACAAACATGATGAGATTATACGTCGGTATCCATATCTCGAGATTATCTCCCTTCCCCGCTAAAACATCGCTCGCTATCCATCCACCTATTTCGCCAGCCGCTTAGTGAGAAGCGTTTGTGGTCGCCACCGTGTCCTTTCATCGCCTACTCGTGAAGTCCAGGCCAGGGTTCGAGGTGAATGTCATCTACGGTCTACGGTGGCTGGCAGAACATGGCATCGCCGCCCTAGAGGTGCGAATGTCAGCGATACATGTTCAATCCTATTAATCAAACCATCTATAGTATCAAGTTCGTGAAGGCTCACCGTAGGCAACTTGCAGCACTCGGCGGTAAAGCCGATCGCATGACAGTCGTTCAGGAACTCGGTTTTGTTGCTGGGGGCGGAGGACGCTACACAATCCATCTAGGCAGTACTCCTGTCACGACACATTAGGCTTCAAGTGAGGATACGTACGAGACTGGCACGTCGTGCCAACCATCCCGCCGGCGTCTAGCTGGCAGCAGAGGGGCGTGTCGAACGCGGGACAGATCTCGTAGGGAGCGCGGGGTTGGAAGGTCATGGGGTGAGCTGCGGTTAGGGCGGCGAGGAGGAGGGTGGGGAGGAAGAGCATGTTGGCGTTTTCGGTGGACTGATGAGATAGAAGAAGATCGATTTTGTGGGGTTGAAAGGATGTTCTGGGGCTAGAGGGACGAGAAATTGAAATTGCTGGTGTTTGTTTAGAAAAGAGTGGACGCGATGGTGTTTCGCAAAATGGTATCTTTGAGAGAAGAAGAGGATGATGAGTTTCTCGTGGAGGTGGGTGAGAGGTGGTGTTGTATACATACCTTTTGCGCATTTTCAGAAACAGGAGAATGCAAGACCAACGGCAACGTGCTTGAAGTCTGATAGAGTGGCCGAACGTCGCCAACGAGCCATTAGACTGAAATTGTCCAATGTGTTTGAAGATGGGCGCAACATGGGTTGGTCATTTTGGTAAGTAATCTGTCATGTTGTCTGGGGTGGTGTTGTCCATAGCCTGTTGTGTACGTTGAAGGATTGCTGCTGCGGCGTTACTTTTACTTGTGCTGGCAATTTCGGTTCGAGGTCGTATTCATATGGGAGGTAGCAACAGGTTTCTGTGCCGCAGGGTCGTATGTTCTATTCAGAGATGACCTGTAATCACATCTGCGGTGTCGGGCGAGGCCAAAATCTATCGACCTATACAGAACATCAATACGTTTGATCTTGGCCCTCATCCTGTTCCTCCTAACATCCTGTCAGCATTGCGCAAGGTAATCCAACGTGGCAGACGAAAAGAAACCACGCGAACGTCGCTGTCTTGCCATTCGCAACGGCCATGTGTGAACGTTTTGTGGTGTGCTGGGATCGACACAGGTGAAGTCGAAATAGTCCAATACCGAAACGGGACAGGTCTGTGCATAGCCGTGTCTCTCCAGGCGAGATAAATCAAAAGATTCCTGCCGAGACGTTGAAGTGAAGAGGGAGCCATCTCATGCCTTGCCTTTTGATGTGATCGAAGCACTTTGCAGTTGCTAGTAGGATGCTGTCTGTTCTTAACTGCGAGACAACAAGAGCAGAATGCCCTTTTTTGGACATACGAAGATGTACCCATGCACGAGAAAGCACGATGTGAGAAAGCGCCTGAGCGATGATGCAGATTCTCGCCAGCGACTGACGGTGTTGGCCTGAGACTCGCGAAGCGATTTGTGGTGTTAAGGTAAGTGAAGAGCTGGGTAATAGCAAGATGGATCAAGGAACAAGATCGCATGACAAGCGATCCCGCCGACCTCAATCCTGCAGTCGACAATTGACACCATGGAGAGGCTTGTACTTGCCGGGAACGAAAGAGCTCAGAGTATGCGCCTGTCAAAGGTCCATTGTCTCGACCTTGTACATCCAGAAATAAATCATGCTCAAAAGGACAACCATTTCTGGCGTGTCGCGGTCAAGCTCATTCTGAAAGTCATGGAGTGGCAAGACTCGACGCAGAGTCCTTTGGAAAATCCGATGCACGAATCGAAGAGGGGCATGTCCGTTGGGGAGTTGGTATCGAAGAGAGCTGTGCCTGACTGAGCTTCGAAAGCTGTGTATGCCAGTCACATCCAATCACCAACAATGCATCGTGCTGAGAGGCAAGTCGGCCAGGTTGATGATTCTGGTAAAGAAAACTTTTCTTGCTAATCGGTGGTCCAGATTCGAGGACACTGTGAGGCGTGCGGGGAAGATTGCCACTGCATTGCATCGCGGATTCGGTCGAGAAATATCCGCCTGATGATGGAGTTGTCGAGGCTCTGAAACCAAGACTAGAGCAGAAGATGAAGGGAGTGAGAAGGGAAGAAGAGGACGTCTCGAAGTTGACCGGGGAATCCCTGCTGCAAAGCCAAATCGCGTCACCCACGCGCCGAGCCACGCCAAATGCCGATCTCATGGCTGCAAATCCTGTTCTCCCAGTCTTCATCCACCACTCCCACTTCATCGTCCCATCAACAATGTCATCGCCCACGCCCAGAACATATCGCCACCGACAAAGGGGTATATCAGTGCAAACTGTGGGAAAATTCAGTGCGATAACGGGTTGTGACGGAGTCGTGCGACACGCACACCCCACTCACATGCATGCCGTGTTCCTGCGTAGGTTCAGCATCGGCAGCACTCCTTCGGCGGGAACAGACACTTGAGGCTCCATCGCCGAGTGATGGGCATCAACCCCAACCTCATCTAGGAACCTCCACCAGCGCCATGGTCGTTCCCGCCCTCCACGAGCCTGCCGCACCGCGCCATCGCAAACCTACGACGTTTGGCCAAGGCTGCTCAATGGCAGACGGTCCACGTCCCTCTTCTGTTGAGCATCTATCACATGTCATGGCACATCGCCCTCTGCAACTCTAGCTCGCGCGCCACTCATGGTCCTGCGGCAATCCGCCGGTCCCTGGAGCAATGTCCCTCGCCGTCTTTTAATACCTGCGTCTCATGAACCGCTGGCCAATGTGGATTCTCATCACCCTTCAAACTCCATTGTGCGACACGTGAACCTTGTCAGCCCTGTCGATACGAGTCAGTATCGGAACAGCACCCCCGACCTCTGGACCATACTTAGTCTGCCCGCTGGGAATGCTGGCTCACGTGGCGTTCAATCGGAACAAACCTACGACCATCCTCGCCGCCAAAGTTCTACATTACCTGGTCCTTCTCTGCTGACTGCTCCATCGGCTACGATTACACGAACGTGCATGGCACTTCACCCGTACTTCCTATGATCTCGTTAAGAAAGGATGCCCGGCAACATCATCAATCTCACGCCTGAAGACATCCTCAGATGGCCGAAACCGAACTACGTCGACCCGGTAGAGCGATCATGGATGCCTCCCTACGCCGGCTGCTTGTATGGTCTTGCTACTCTCATGGTTGGACTGCGGCTATGGTTACGATGGACGAAACGTGCAGGCGGATTGGGAATTGACGATGTAATCCATGTGCCTGCGGTTGCAAGAAGATGCCTGCTAATTCGAGGCAGATTCTGCTCATTTGCAGTTGGTTATGTGTATCGTGGTTCACCGTTCTTGCCATTCTCGGTGCTGAGCTGTACCATACAAGTCGACACGTCTGGGACATACCTATCACCACCTTTCCACCCATGGCCAGGGTCACTTGGCTGGCCGAGTTATCCTTCCTCCTCACCGGATGTTGCGTCAAAGTGTCGGTACTGCTGTTCTATAGGCGCTTAACTGAAAGCACATGCTCGAGATTCTGGATCTGGGCCGTCTGGGCTGCCATAGGACTGACAGTATCATACACATTGGCCTTCATCCTTGCACTGGTCTTCAACTGTACGCCAACAGAGGCTTACTGGAAGGCATTTGATCTTACATATGCTGCGACAGTCGACTACCACTGCGTGGACACCACCGTCATCAACCTCCTGGCCGGGATCATGGCTGCCGTTAGCGATCTCTATGCAGTGGCTCTGCCGTGCATCATGATGCGAAACTTAAGAATACCCTTCCACCAGAAGATCGCCCTCAACGTCGTGTTCTCCCTTGGCTTACTGGTAGTCGGGGCCAGTGGCGTCCGGACATATTGGCTATGGCGTAAGACCTCAGCCTCAACATTAATGACAATGCTGACATCCCCACCTAGAATGCGGCCACTATGCAGATGTCAGCTACGCAATCTTCAATGTCTTCGTGTGGTCCCAGCTCGAACTGACCCTCGGCATCGTGTGTGCCTCAGCGCCCTCCCTCCGAGTCCTCTTCCGCGAGTACCTCAGCGACACACTATCACGCATCAAGCGGTCCGTCACCTCGGGTCGTAGCCGAAGAGACTCTGACGTGGAGCAAGTTATTATACGACGAGTCGATACTCCCAACAGCGAGCAGCGGCTGCAGCGGGCGGATTTCGCCGCCAAGAAGACGCATACCCCGACGTGTTCCGATGTGAGTGCCAAGTTCTCCGAACCGACCACGATGCCGAATGTCGGTGCGATGCATCCCGAGTACGCGCTGTGGGAGGAGGAGGAACAGGCGCGGTACAGCTACATCTCCTCCTACCAGAAGTCACCGACACCGTTGGCGCGAGCTTTGACGACGGAGGAAAGGGGGGAGCATCCGCCTCAACAAGAGCACTTCATCGTGAAGACGCCGGAGGATTTTGAAAGCTATAATCTGCAGACTATGGAGCGGTACCGGGCTTCGAAGCAGGCGAGGCGGTCAGAAGAGGTGTCAAGGACGTTGAGCGGGCAGACGAGGAGGCACGAGAGTGGTGATCAGCCGCAGCAACAACAGTTTGAGCCCCCGACGAGGGGGTTTGATACGGGCCGCAGTTGGCTAAGTCTGGACAGATAATAGCCGCCAGTAATCGGACATGTACGAACATTTCACGAAGAACTCACGAAGCCCTCACCCCAGAATACTCACCCCCCTCCCAGGCTCCTTAAACAACCTCCCACCCTTCCACACATGGCTCACCTCGCCCGGCCTCGCCAACACCCCGATATCCTCCAAAGGACTCTTCGTCAACGCAATGAAATCCGCATCATAACCTTCCTTCAAGATCCCGCTCTTCGGGGCTTGCGGTCCTAAAGTATCCGGCCCATTCGCCGTCCCAGCCTCGATGGCTTCGAGCGGCGACATACCCGCGTCAACGGCGTATCCGAATTCCCTTCCGTTCATGCCGTGGTAGAAGCCGAGTTCGGCGTTGCTGAGGCCGAGGTCTGTTCCGAGGGCGCATTTGACGCCGGCTTTGATCTATTATCCAGCAGACATCAATTAATGAATTGAAAAATGAAAGATCCCCATTGTGAGTGAAGGAAGGAAGGAAGGAAGGAAGGAATGTGGGGGACTTACGGCAGCTTCGTACGACTTCCGGTTCGAATCCGCGACTTCGAGGAGTTTCTTGTAAGCTTCTGGCGTCATGGAGGCGGGGTTCTCGACGCCGTTGACGATGATGGTGCGTGTGGCGATGAGCATGATCTTTTTGGAGACCATGAGGTCGATGGCGGAGGAAGTGAGATAGCTGCCGTGTTCGATTGTGTGGACGCCGGCGTTGATGGCGGCGAGCTGTTCAAAGGCATCAGTATCAAGAACAACATGCAACCCACAGACAGCGAAGGGAAAGAAGGAAGAGGAAAAAGAAGAACATACAATCCCCTCCGTCCCATGCGCATGAGACGCAACAACCAACCCCGTCCTCCTCGCCTCCTCCACCACAGCCTCCAACTCCTTATTCGTAAACTGCGCCGCCCTTGGACTATCAATGCGACTCATCACACCCCCCGTCGAACAGATCTTAATCACCTTCGCCCCCCTCCGGATCTGCGTCCTCGTCCCCTTAATCGCCTCATCCACCCCATCCGCCAGACACAACGGCATCCCCGCCGCCATCTTATCGTGCATGAGGGACAGCGGGACCGTGTGCAGATCGCCATGCCCGGCGGTCTGCGAGAGCGGCGCGCCGGCGGCGTAGATGTGAGGGCTGCATCACACGTCAATCATCAACCACCAGCGAACCATTATTTCTGAAGCAGAAGAGAAAGAAAAGCGAGAGAGAAGGGAAGAGAAGAGACATACCCAGGAATCCACCCCTCCTCCACCCCCCTCGCCACATCCACCCCGTACCCGCCTACCTCCCGCACGTTCGTGAACCCGGCGTCTAGCAGGCTCACGAGATCTCGAGCGGCGCGGAGGCCTGCTAGGGCGGGGGGGGTGTAGGCGACGTTTTCGAGGCTGGGGCTTGCTTCGCCGAAGAAGTGCACGTGGGCGTCCCAGAGGCCCGGCATGAGGATGGGGACGGTGAAGGAGGGGGAGAGGGAGGCGTAGGGTTTTGGGAGGGAGGGGGTTGGTCCGACGTGGAGGATTTTGGCATTGTGGTAGATGAGGCTGGCGTTGGGGATGGGTTTGCCGCGGCCGGGGATTAGGAGATTTGCGTCGATGCGGAGGGGTTTGGGATTATCGCCATCTTCATGGTCATGATCATGGTCGTTCTCTTGGGGTCTAGTAGTAGTAGTAGCAGGTGAGGTTGCGGTTGCAATGGCGTGATGAGGCGGAGTCACGACGAGCTGGGAAAGATTTCTAGTCATTTTAGGAAGTAGTACTGCTTGGCATGCAGATATACCGTCAGGTCGAGGAGAGGAGAGGACAATGATGGTTCTCACATCAATGGCAACAAGAAGTGAGCATCAATCCGTCATCCTTTGAGCAGCTGAGTCAAGGTCCACCCACCTTCCTGATTGACGATAAGGGAAGTGGGATGGATTCGCGAGATTCGCTCTTCTCGACCTAGTTTGCGTTTTGGGTTTCCGCGTATAAAAAAACTGCTAGACGTCGTCGTTAGGGGGTATGGACCTAAATGGAAATATTGTGAGGTTTGTGGAACAGTTCATTCATCGTCTTCGAATTTGCCTGTAGTATTCTAGCTAGACTCGACGGTCGATCTAGTCTCTGGGCGTAGTAGTGAAGGTATCGTACTCTTTGAATCGCAAGTATCGCATGCATGCACACAATTCTCCCTTATCCAGCTTCGTGAAAGAACAGCCAGAGGAGCACCTCATCATCAACCCGATCACTCGGTATGAACGAAGCCCTTATCGGCACGCTCGATGATCGGCGGCGGCTTCTGGATGTTCTGGCGGAAAATGTGGTGCTTGATGAAGTACGGCAGCCAGGTGCGGAACTCGTAGCCGATGAATTGGCGGGTTGGCACCGAGAAGACTTGGTCGATTTCCTCGAGCGTGAGCTGCTTTGTCTCGCGCACGAAGCAGAAGATCATGCCCCAGGCGATCAGGTTGAGGCCGGCGTAGAAACCGAAGGCGCCGGTTTGCGTCATGACTTGGACCATGCGGGGGAAGGTGAGACCGAGGACACCGGCTGTGATGGTTGGGTTAGTTGATGGTTGAGAAGTGGAGAGTGGGAAGTCTTACCGAAGGTGTTGTTGATGCAGACGGCCCAGGCCATGCCTTGCTCACGTTGGATCGTGGGGAAGACCTCAGCTGAGTACTGGAAAGCAACTGGACCCTCACCAAGCGAGTAGAAGATGGTGAAGAGGTAGATGAAGCTGGATAACAAGATTAGCAAAGGCCAAGTTGAGGAAGCTGAGGGTTGACTTACAGCACGACAGGACCGATGGCCGCAGCGCGGTTGTGCGTCTTATTCAGCAGGGAGAGACCAGCAGCCAAGAGGAAGATACACATCAGGGGGAATGTCTAAAAGCAGATTAGTTGGTTGTGCCTCATTGCATTTCGAGGATAACTTACAGCCAGCGTGAGAGTACGTCTGCCCTTGGTATCGATGAGGAACAGGGTCGGAATGGTGAAGACGACCTGGACCGCGCCGTAACCAAGAGATGCGTACAGGGCTTCGGTAGGAGTATATCCGGCTTGTTCGAAGATGGATGAGCTGTAGAACGAGATGACTGTGCAGGTGTTAGCAAGAATGGAAAGTCAGTGTCTGAGGGTGAAGACATACTGTTGATACCACACATCTGTTGAGCAAGCATGACAGTCGAAGCACCGTAGTTGGCTCGTCGGATTCTGGGCACCGCGAAGCAATCCCACAGACGGGCGAAGTAGCCGGCACCGCGAGCCTCGCGCAACTCCTCCTGGTAGATGACATACGAGTAGTAGAAGTCTCTCGCAGCAATGATGGGGTGAGCGCGGAGGCGTCTCATGGAGTTGAAGGCTTGGCTCATCTTGCCCTTCTTCATCAACCAACTGTGCCAACGTCAGTATCCAGTTCCTCTCGCGAACAACAAGTCAAGATTATTACCGAGGACTCTCAGGGCAGAAGAAGATGCCGATGCCGAGGAGAAAAGATGGAATGAACGCAGAGCCCAACTGTAGACGCCAGGCGATGCGGCCGGTGTCCTTGACGATGACATTGGCGCAGAAACCGAGGAAGATACCAGCCACGACCCAGAGCTGCCAGAACATGACGAGTGCTCCTCGAACTCGGGCAGGGGCCATCTCAGCAGAGTAGATGGGTACAGTGGCGTTCTTCGCACCGATACCAATTCCCATGATGAAGCGAGCGGCGAAGAGTCCCTGCCATGACTTTGCAAAACCAGATCCGATGGGCGTAGCAGTAAGACAGAGCGCAGTGACGAAGATCTCGCCACGTCGGCCGAGGTAGTGGTTGAGAGGGTCGACGATGAAGGCGCCGCTGTTGGCAGGTTAGTTGGCAGTCTTTTCTCATGTTGTTTGGGTAACTTACATGAGACCAGCGGTCAAGAAGATGATGGAGTTGATCAAGCCAATAATCCAAGCGTCGTGGGAGGAAGACTCGCCCGTTACCGCGTCCTGGAGACCGAACTCTATGGGGAAAGACAGGTTGGCGCCGTTGGCTGGGGAGGAAGTCAGTTTATGTCTCGAAGTTGAACCCCCACGTAGCGAGCAAGACGTACCTCCAGTCTGATCCCAACCTTGGGTGGCCTGAAATCTATCATCAGCACATGATCTTGATATCCCGTTCATTCTGTGACATACAGCTCCAATGGCACAGAGGCTGATCGAGTACCACAGCATGACTGGGCCATGCCACTTGTGATCCTTCTCATAACCGAGCGCGGCGTACTCGTCTTCTGGCAAACCCTCCACACTTGCGAAGTTCTCAATGGGCTCACGTGCAACGAGCGCAGCACGTCCAAAGAGGTCGGCGTATTCGGACATGCCATTGGCCTCGGCGAAGTTGCGGGCATCCTCGACGTTCTGTGCGGGTGAGACGCGCTGAGGTGAGAAGCATAGTGTCAGTGCCAATCCTCGACAAGAATTCTTCGCACTCGACGAAGCTCGGCCAAGCATACCTTGAGCGGGTTCTCGACGATGTTGAGGGCTACGGAGGAGCGACGGCGGCCAGTCGGCTCTGTGGCGTCGACATACTCGGGTGGACTGTTGCTGAGGTTCTTCTCGTCGTGGGTGGTGTAGTCAACACCGCTGGTGGCCTTTTCCGCCATGGTGTTGTCAGTCACGGTGGTGTTGTTGGAGAATGCGACTGGTGTCGGACGACGTGGGGTCGCTCGAACTGGGCACTTGGAAGAAGCTTACTTATATAGGTCGCCAGGCGCCGAGCGGCCGTTCAATCTTTACCCGCTCCAAACCGCTAAACCCTTGTCTCGTGAATGCGAGGCCTGGCAGGCGAATCAAGTGGCACAATTATTAGAGGCGATCGGCGGAATGCAGAAACGTCGCACACAGCAGGGGAGCTAGCTTTCACCAAGTGTGAATCCTGCCGTTGCATGGCGCACACGGCGCCCTCCAAAGCGGCAGTTCAGGCCGTGGCAGAATTGTGCCCGCCATCAGATCAAGTCGACACTATTCACCGGACTCGACATTCACCGATGCTGCACCATCAGCAGCAGCCGTTGCGAGTCTGGAATTCTGGCCCACATGTTGGGGAAATCCAATGCGGAGAGCGGGATCTCAGAAAACTGGAGCAGCTGGGGTGCCACAAGGCGATCGTCGGCTGGACAACCAGGAATGAATATAGAGTCCAGCTGTGCGAGCATCCATGACGAGTGGCCCTCACACCTCGGCCGTTATCTCAATCCTAACTGCGAGAGACAGTGTTGTTTTGTCAGAGTGCGAGGCGCGACAGCCTGAATGCACAGCTTAGCATCACTGTCAGGCACCCTAGCGCTGATGGACAAGGCATGCCAATGGCGGATAAGGTGCTGTCGGGTGACTTGTCACCAGCCTGAGGCGACCACGCGGCGGCCAGGGTGGACCGGCGTCTGCTGGCGTTTGCGATGGTGTCGTTTGGAATCGGCAGCGTCGATGCATGATAGCGCCGTGAATTGGACGATGAGTGAGCTGCCACCGGCCATCAACGACAAACGATCCAATGTGAAGTCGACCAGCAGGAAGAATCCTCGATCCCTCCCGCCGCCTACCTTCGCCAAGAGGATGGAAACGAGCAGATTTGCTGGTGCTGCGGCTGAGTGAGGTGCGATTTTAGTGCCTGTCTCGGCCCTCCACGCGAGTGTGGGGCTCCACATGGAGGCACGAGTTGGCAGAGCAGCTGGGACCGCGGAGAGTCTATCGTGAAGAGGATATGGATGTGAAATTGGTGGGATCTCTGCCAGTCTCCGATATACGCCTACATGCTGATCGATGCCCAGCGATATTTGCACTCGTACAGTCCCGCCGGTTTCGAGACTCAGGCAATGCCTACCGCATTTCGGTTCGGTCCCTCACCGCGACAAATCCAACACGCCAACAAGATCCCTGCACCCCAGGTCTACCAAGCGCTGGGCACAGCTGGGCAATTCTCTCCAACTTGATCACTGTGCATCAACGACTCCACTTCATCGACTCATCGGCCCGTCTGAACCAATCCATGTGCAATCGGGCATCCCGAAGCTTCGATCATGTGAGGAGGAAGAAAGCACGCAGGCAGATGACCACCCTAGTGCTATGTTACATCGGTCACCATTCCGCCCTGCATATCCCAGTGCCACCAACAACAGCTCTCTCTCTATCAGTCTATCCTGTTTGCGGCAATCTTCTCAAACCCGCCAGAAAAACTCAAATCGCCCAGAAGCTACTTCTCTATTCATGCAAAACAGCCACCCGTCGCTGCCGAATGTACTCCATCTCGGGCGACTTATAGCAACACCACAGCACGTATGCCACCACCATCAGCACGATCAATGTGAGGAGTGAACCAAGTCGCAGCTTGACCTGCTCGGCCTGTCTCCGCGCTGCTCTGGCGTGCTCGTCAGCTGCATCCCGATCACGCTGAGTTTGGTCTAGCTCTGCCGTGGTCACGACTGCGTTCGCTTCGTACACCATTCCACGCGTGCGCAGACGGTTGGCGAGCGCGGTCTTGTCTGCGAGCTCTTCGACGACGACGTCGCGCGAACGTTGAAGATGTTGGATTTCGAGCTGGGACTGGACGGCGTCGTGCTCTAACAAAGCTAGAGTTGATGCGAAGACGTCTTGGGTTGGTTGAGGTGGTGATGTCTGTTGAGCAAGAATGTCCTCGGAGACCGAGCCATCGTCTTCTGCTGCTGGCATATCGTCGAACGGCGTCCCTGGAACGAACGATGTGCCTCCTGGTGTATGCTGCAACATGTCTGGAGACGAAGCTGATTCAGACTCCGCTGGATCTGGGCTGTCACCTCGAGCCACCTCAACTGGGTCCTCCTGCGTCGCTTGAGGCGTGAACAGCGAAGTCAAAGCCCGAGGAAGATGCTTTGACAACGCTGCCAGAGGACTGAGTGGAGAGCTGGCGTTGTCGTCGAATTCGACTGAATCCGTGGCTGGAGTGACTGGCTGCTTGCGAGGACGACCTCTGCCTCTCTTCTCTGGAGCAGCCTGGGACGACTGTGTCTTGCTTGAAGTGTTCTTTGGCTTTGGTGTCCAGATGGGAATGTCCTCGACCTGACACTTGTTCTGCGGGCTGATGTCGGTGTGATCACGGTGGATGCGGTTGTGCTCGCAGCGTGCTGGTGGAGAAGACATGGTGAGTTGGTATTTCCTGTTTCCTTTGTGTATGCTGTCTCTGGTATTTCTTTCGTATGCTTTGCTGTTGATATGCGAGTTGCAGTTGGCTGTACTTGTGTGCTTGAGTGTATGGGATGATGGAAAGAGTCGACGGAGCGCAGGGTGTCTTTTTGAACATCTCGACCAAAGTGTTATGTGTTACTTTCCTAGAACACATTGTTTCTCGTCACTCGCTCTCCACGAGTCACTCGTGTCGGAAAAGTCACTGGAAAAGCCTCACGGGACAAGAAGCAGCATGGGAACAAAGCCCGAGCACGAGTCTGGTGTCTGAGACATTTGCACGACTGAGATACGGGAAGAACAATAACACTGAGCAGGCTCGCAAAAGTTTTACCATGCTACTAATTCTAGGAAAACCTCACTGCCATCAATACTCCAACTTTGCCTCACGTTGATACCTGCGTCCATGCAGGACAGCCACTTGAATCCGAAACCAATCAGCCTCCTATCTTCGGCCAGAACTCAAACGTCGCTCCTCTTCCAACAATCTCACACTGGAGCCTATCTCAACAGACACAAAACCTCCCCACAGATCGAAGACAACGTCCTCAAATCCCCAAACCCTCCCTGCGCCTCCTCAAGACATACTGCATCTCCGGCCCATGACACCAACAGCAGTACACATACCCAACGCCCACCACCACCACAATCGCCGCAACCAACACCACAAAGCGCTTGGATGCCTCTCGATCCTCAATCTCGGAATCCACCACAGCTTGCGCACCATCTCGCGCCTTTCTGAACTCCTTGAGCTGCGCCTCCTTCGCGCTGTTCTCTGCCCGGAAGAAGTCGTTGCGAGTACGCAGGGTGTTGACGAGGGCGGTGGAGTTGATGAGGGCTTCACGCAGGGTGATGAGAGACGCGCGGAGATGGATGGACTGTTGCTCCTGAGCTTGCTCGGGACGATGATCTTGCTCCTCGGCTTGCTCATGTTGATCGCCCTGATCGTTTGAATCCTCCATACTATCCAGAACGAGGGTACCAGCTTCGCTGATGTCGTCCTCTTCCACATCGAGAGAGTCGGAACCGGGTCCCTGAGGAAACAGGCCCCTTCCCGGACAAGGCGTGGAGCGGATGCTGTTGATCTCGAACTCGCTCTCTTCGACGACTGGTGTTGGATGTGGCGAGCTGTCCATGACTTCGAATCGCGGCATGTTGGAACCCTGTTGGGGTTGTTGGGAGTGGGTTGATGAGTTGCTTTGAGAGTGCCGAAGGGAGGCTGTGCGGTGGAGTCGAGCGCCGTGCGTGCAGGTGCGGTTTGGGTAGGTCATGTCCATGGGACGGATGGAGAGGGAGACGGCTTTGAGAAATTTTGAGAAGTAAAGAAGATGTGTGTTGTTGTGGAAGAAGAGTGACGCGCTTCCAGTCACTGGCGATTCACCTTGACTGGACACCTTGAAAAGACATCATTCACGAGAGCCAGTCACTTTGCTAGATGCAGCAGCCTGAGGCCAAAGGAGAGCGCACTATACTCCCTCAATGTGAGACTGGAAACCTTCAACATTCCAACAGAAGAGAATCTGGCGACAAGTTGACATCGTCGTCCAGAGCCTGATTGCTAAATGCAGGCATATACCACAGATCTGGACTGCGCGCAATACCTGTCCTTGACAACATCGATCCCGAATTTCAATCAAATCTTCGCCATCGGGTCACCTACATGATGCTGAAGCACAGCTCTCTCAGGATCCCCTGCGTAGGCGCCGACTTCGATGCTAGCTATTGGACCGGGGAATAAAAAAGCACCGTTTCGCCAACGCTGGATGCCTCTCAACGAGAGCTCGACCCGTGCCGGTGTTGGCTCACTCTTCGCCTCGAGATCGAGGGTTGAGAATCCAATCAGGACTCGTGGAGCAGGGTTGCTGGGTGCGGGACATGACCCATAGACTTGAATGACATATCTGCCACGCCGGGATCCGGTATTCGACACGATTGCGGTTATCACTGGTGTCTCCACGGTGGCTCCACCACTGATGGAAGCCCGATGCAGTCGGAACATGGTATAGCTCATCCGGTAGCCCAACGGGAAAGCGGCCGGTACCTGCAGTCGATCGAGAAGACGCTGGCCATGCCACTCGTCGTAGGTGATACTTTTGGCATCGCGGTCAAAGAAGGGAAGATACTCCTCCGACGAAGGGATCGAGAATGGAAGCCTTCCACTGACATTCGTCCGTCCCAGGACCACATCAGCCAGGGCATGGCCTCCCTCGCAACCAGAGTACCAGCCGATCAGGATAGCTCGTACATCATTCTTCCATTCATCCATCAGCACCGCACCGGCGGCGATCACGCAGACGATGACCTTGCGGTTCACCTTGGCTACGGCCTGGATGATCTCCACATCTCGAGGCCGTAGACGGAAGCTCTCGCGATCGCCTCCCTTGCCCATACCCGTGGCCCCTTCTCCAAGTTCCTTTTCCTTGGTGGACTCGCGGAGTTGGCGGAGTTCAAGTGCCCTCCGAGCAGCTGGTGAATCATCAGGTGGCGGTAAGAGCTTCACAAGCTCTGGATTGGATTCTATGCTCGGCATGATGTATTCACCTTCGTCCCTGTAGTCGTATCCGACGATAACGATGGCCGCGTCTGCATGGGAGGCGACTTCGACTGCTTTCTCAACCTCATCAGAGGTGTCAAGGGCCATTGCTGTCTTTGGAAGCGCGGCTTTGAACCCCTGGTAGGGTGTACTGACTTCCGGCGAACGAACAGCAGAAGAGCCTTTATCCCCAGTATTCGGCGTGTCTGCTAATCGTCCAACGATGGCAAGGCTCTCAAGCTTCGACTGGTCCAGCGGCAAGACAGGCCGGTTTCCTTCATTCTTCAAAAGCACAATGGACCGGTTCGCAACCTCGCGGGCTAGCCGTCGATGTTCCAGAGAGAAGACCACATCCATCGAAGGCTCCGGAGAGTTGCGAGATGCAAGGAACTTCAGGTGTGTCTGCAATATAGCCTTACCCGCCCGATCAACATCAGACCAAGCCAACCGCCCATCCTCCAGAGCCTGCGGTATCGACCGACTCCTCAAATTGCGAAACGGCGCCTCAATATCCACACCATTCTTGACCGAAAGCGCCCCCCATCCCTAATCCCATAAATAAAATCCGACATCACAAACCCCTCAAACCCCCACTCCTCCCTCAAAACCTCCAACAGCAAATGCCCATTCTGACCCGCCCACTCGTCATTCACAGAATTATACGACGCCATCACACTCGCCACGCCCGCCTCGACAATCTGCCGGAAATGCGCCAGATACGTCTCCCGCAGCACGCCCTCGTCGATCCGCACGTCGACCTGGAACCTAGCGTTCTCGATCGAATTCAGAGCGTAGTGCTTCACGCACGCCATCACATTCTCCTGCACGCCCTTCGTCAGCGCCGCGCCGAACGATCCCAGCTGTAAAGGCTCCTCGCCGTACGTCTCCTGGATGCGTCCCCAAGCCGGATGGCGAGGTAGATTCACGCACACGCCTCCGAAGTAGTTCGCGCCCTGCGCTCGCGCTTCCAGGCCAATCGCCCTCCCGACTTTCTCCTCGAGACCAGTATCCCACGTCGCTCCGCGCGCCATCGCGACGGTCAAGGCGGTGGATGCCCCCATCACGCAGCCTCGCGGACCGTCGGTGAAGCGAGTTCCTGTGATGGCGAGCCGGGGGATGCAGCCGTGGGTGTAGGGCGTTACGTTGTAGCCGTGCTCCATCATGGCCGCGATGCCCGTGAAGAAGTCGATGTCGCCATCGAGGAGGGCGAGGCGTTCTTGCGGGGTTAGTTGGGCTTGGAGGCGGGTTGTTGCGCTTTCCACAGAGGCGCCACTGCGGATGCTTTGCACTGCGTCGTTGAAGGTGAAGGGGGGTGTTTCGGTGAGTGATTCAACGTCGTTGTTATGTGACATGTTTGCTTAGACTTCGTGGAGTGTGAAGCTTTGCACAGACAATCTCAGACCAGCTCTATCGAAAACAAAATCCAGTCAAGCATCTTAAGCATAGCAGCCGAGTCATCACCGGCCCTCACTCATAGTCCGGCGGCTCATAGCCTTGTAGACCCGGCTCTGGTTTTTAGCCTGATAGGCTAAATCTGCGAACTCTCTGGAGGCGGCCAATGATGCTTCATGAGGCGACCGGTCTTGGTGACCGGCGTGGAGCAGCGATCAGTAATCTAGAGGTGCGTGACCGGTTGTCCCGACTCGCGCCCTCGACGCAAGCAGCGAAGCTTGAGCACTTGAGCCTGAGCCTGAGGTGGCAGAAGATCACAGCACGCCCGGACCGGTCGTGTGTGAGATGGCGTATCTCACCTCCTCCTCGACCATTGACGGTCTCCTTCAAACCGCAATGACTACTCTCGGCCGGCGTGGAAACCATGGCTCCAGAAAGCCGGCGAAGATAGCGTGCGTGTCATGTCATCGGCTCCAGGTGTGTGCTCTGCAACGCTCGTCCGGCTACGCAGCTGATTCGAAACTAGATGAAATGCATCTGGCTCGAAGACTCTGTATGCCAACGGTGTGCACGGGCGAAGCGTCCCTGCGTGATACCCAACTCGTTCCGTGGGAAAGGTCCTCCACGACTCCATTCTGTGAGAGATGTATCAGTCTCCCGTGTCGATTCTGCTTTCAGTAGAGGATCAAGTCCTGCGGAAGATCTTCAACGGGATGATGGCAACGGCGAACGTGAGGTAGCCGCTATATCGACAGGATCTGTAGTGTCAGACAGCAACACGGTCTCGACGGATGTCATAGAAGTGCTGTGTGGCACGGCGCCAGTCGTTGCACTGGCACGCCTAGGCGGCCAAAGCAAACCTGTGAATTCGCAGATATTACGCTATTGCGATGCACCAGTCTCTCCAAAGCAGCTAAAGGATCTGTTGCGCTTGTAAGATCTACTGCCTTCACTGGTGGAAGTAACCTGTAATCACGCTAACCTTTGGGGCCGCACGAAAGTTTCCAAAACCGTATGCTCTACCACATCCCGGTATTTATAGAACGAGACTTTCGAGATGTGGATGATCTCATAAAGAAGAAAAACAATCTGGCCGTGCGCATCGCATTCGTAACATCTCGATTCATCCCAGGCTATCAACACATCCGTGCGAAGCTAGCGCCTCGGGTACTGGCCATCCTCAGCAAGAGCCACGGCGCCATCTCCGTTGACGAAAACGAGCAATGGACACTCCTCCAGTCCATCGCAGTCTTATACGCCTACTCCACGCCCTCCGACATCGATGCCAAAACCAACAGCCTCATCCCCGCCTGCAGCTCTCAGCCCGGGCGCGCTGAAAGCCCTCATCGAAACCCTCGCCGTCCGCATGAGTCTGCACAAATCGCTTCGATCATGGCAAACCGCTCGCGAGAGCCAAGCGAGCGATAGGAGCAAAATGGTCGCGTTCCGCAGATATATCTTCTGGCTGTGGCTGTACACCATGAGCCAGCACTTCGCGCACTTCCACAACGCCCCGCCGTCGATCAGAGAGGATCGTTCGATTAGGGATGCGGTTACGGCGCTGGGCGTGCTGAAATCCGAGGCGTAGGTGGAGAGGATTTTGGCGGAGGTTGAGCTTTGTCTTATGTGGAATCATTTTGGGGTTAATGATTCGAGTCTGGCTGAGTGGTGGGTTCCGGAGGACACGGAGGCTGAGTTGGAAACGATTCTGTCTACTGGTCGCGAGGTCGACGGGAGGCTATCTGCATGGTGGCAGAAGACACGGCCAGTCTCGTGCGACCTCAGCGCGGAGGACTCTCGAGGCGGCAACACATCTATGGCCTTCCATTACTGCTTCTCACGCTTCTGCATCAGTCTCTACATGACGAACCTGATCCACTCCGCCGACCTCAGGGGAAGTCGACCGCAAACCGCTCCGGAATCCTCACCAGAAGAACACCCTCATCCTCCTTCTCTCACAATCACAAAAGGCCTCCAAAAATCCCTCGACGCCGCCCTCGCCTGCTGCAAGTCCTTCCTCTCGCAAACCCCCTTCTCAGCCGACAGAGCCCGATACATCCCCGACAACGGCTTCGCGATGATTACGTACGTCGCCTGGTTTCTGTTGGAGGCGGTTTGTCTGCTACCTGAGTCCTCAGTCTTGCAGAAGTCTGAGCTCGTAGACACCGCGAGGAGGATCTCGGAGCTTTTGAGTGATCTTGCGGCGGATGGGGCCCATGCGGCGAAGGTGTATTCGGGGAGGTTGGAGGCGAAGATAAGCGCTGTGGATGGTTTGCACGAGGCTTTGCGGCGCGGAGCATCTTCGCGGCTGGAAGTGGTTGCAATTGAGGAACTGGGAACGAGGAGCAATCCTCTACAGCCGGACATATTAGCTACGCCCTCAACGCCCTCCCCGATTGTCATTAGCCCAGCCGCCGATCGAGGCGTTGTTCTCGAGCACACAGAAAGAGAGCTGACTCAAGCGTGTGATCTTGAGCAATGGGATTCATTTCTGGACTTATCGTGGAAGTGGTGAGCGACAGGTATTCGATATGATGGAGCAGATATCACAGTGGAGATTTTCAAGGTTCACAATGTCGAAATAGGGGCCTAACAGGGCGGGGCCTGCTTTTGTGAGCAATGTGACCGGCGGTCATGCGCGTAGTTAGGGTGTTGTTACGAATGTCTCAAAGATGAATTATAATCTGATCACTGCCTTGGCACAGATCCGTTGCTGTCAGTATGCCGGTCCGTATGCGATGAAGGAGAGCTGCGGAGACCCCTGAATTGGATTTCCGGAGCAAAGAATGGCTTCACGGCGACCGGTCAGAGACAAGTGTGCTGCAGGCAAAGCTGTGACTATTTACGTACCTATGCTGTCGAAGATCTCGAGCTGTCTTAAGCCGAATAGATGGGAGAACAGGGTCAAGCAACAGAAAGTATCAGTTCTGAAGGTCGAAACTGATCGACTTGTTCTGTAACTTGGTCCATCGTCCAAGCCATTTCACTGTTCCTATGAACCGAGAACTCGCCACATTCATGATCTAACAGACATAATTAAAAACAGGATTCTCCTGATCCGTCAAATCCACAAAGGACAGATTAGGATCATCGACGAGCTCAGGTCGCTCCGCACGCAAAGCCGCCTTCCCCTTATTCTTGTAGCGATAGTACATCCTGATCAACACATTAGCAAATCCACGTCTCGAGCTTCATTGTACGTACCATAAGATAGCGAACGCGGCTTCGCTGGCGGAAAGCAGACTCAAGGTGGAGATCTGTCCGGTCGGGTATCCTTGCTGGGCCTCGCTGCCGTGGTAGGACCATGGTCCGCCTGCGATGCTTGTTAGCCCTCAGGAGGAAGAATGTTTTGAGGGTTTGAGAGACGTACTGAAGCCGCCGAGGTTGGCTAGTAGCACGATGGTGGCGTTGGTGGCGGACTTCTTCGTGTGCCCTGCGACGTTCGCTGCTAGGAGGGAGAATTGTTGGACAAGGGCGCCGTAGAATGTAGTAGACTGGTTGATGGCTTTTAGTGTATTGTCAGATGTGGTTTTGCTGTGAGGACTTACGATATAGAGACCGGCAAGCAGCGTAGGGGCGTTGTCGCGATCTGATTTCCAGAGAATTGCAATTCCCGGCGAGGGATGGAAGGATGAATAGCTGGAGAGATATTCATCAGCATTACGTCGTCGCAGTACAAAGCGGCTTTCATACCATAGCGATCAGAATCCGGTGTCGTGGAAACTTCGATCCAAGGATGCCTGAGGCTACCATAGACACCATCGCAACAGCTGTCGCCGGCATCAGGAGTAGAATTCCCTGACGGTTACTATACCCGAACGAAGTGATCAAGAAAGGCCCATAAGAACCTCCTGCAGCATTCGCAAACGCGAATGCAAAAGCGTAGACTCCTAGCAGCGCTACTTGAGAATCTGTCGCGACTTCTCGCAGTTGTTTCAGTTTGAATTTCCTCGTCTGAATGCCGGTCTGGTTGGTCGTAAGTCGGCGGACTGCGATTGTTTTCTCCTTGGGTGTTAGGAACCAGGCTGTCATCGGCGCTGCTGGGAAGATGAAGAAGGTAGCGAGTCCTGTTCCTATCGTTACGGAGCCTAGGATTACGTAGATCCATTTCCATGGACTTGACTCATATACGCCAGTTAGACCGGTGGCGCCGAGATCGATCTACAGAGGTTTAGTACTGATGTACATTGAAAGACGATACTGCACTTACTGCTTGTCCGACTAGTTGGCCTAGAGCAGAGCCTGCAATAAACAGAACCACCCTGAGCGGTTGCTCCTGCGTCTTCCACCACATCGAGGTTATAATAATCGCCAGCGGTTGCGTAATCGTGGAGAATCTATAAAAGAATCTGCGTACATCACAGTCAGAATACGCGGACCAGATCGTGTACATCGGGCACTCACCTCAACGCGAGAATGTCCTTATACCCCTTACAGACAATCGTAAGGAACGAAAGCAGCCCAGTATACACAATGAACACAGAATTGAACTTCCCGTACGAGACATATTAAGCCATCGCCAGCAAGGGATACTGTCCCGCAACCGCTCCGAGATTCGTAATCGAGGATGAAAACGAGTATTTGGATAGGTCGATGGTGACTTGCCCGTCGCCGGCGACTTTGAGAGCATAGAGCTTAAGATCCTGTACGAGGCCGAAGAGAGCGGCGAATCCGTACGCTTGAGTGTCGCTGTAGCTGACGATCTCGCTGATGAAAAGCTATGGCCCCTTTGTTAGCCTTGAGGAATTGAGATATATGGAGACGTAGGGAAGCAAACCAAGGGCAAGACGACAAGGTCTATCTTCCATCTTACTCTGTTCTCCTCCTTGACCGTCCAAGTCACATCGTGGCCGTCGACAGCAAGACGAAATGCGTCGTCGATGTCGTGACCTCGTTTCACAGGCGGGCTCTCGTAGTATGTGGTGTCGTGAAATGGGAGAGGAGCCCGCTCGATAGTTTCATGTTCGACTTTCTCAGCCATGGTTCCAGAACGGTCAAAAAGCAAGAGATGAAAATGCTTTGCAGAAACCTGAGTGTCTGGTCTAACAGCCGCAGAACTCGAAGATGTATTCAAGAACTAGAATGGTACCAAACCCACGGGCCATACTCCAGACTTTCCTACTTGATCCCCCGCATGCGCCATCCAGACAGCACCAGGCATGAAGGCCCTCATTCGGGTGCATTTAGGCTGTGCTCCCCCAGTTCGAAGTGAGTCTTCCGGCCTGTGTGACATGATGCACAGAAGCCAGTGCCAGGACGATGGCTGTCGGTGGACGTCTGTCAGGCTGAGATCACTAATAAAGCCTTGGCTTCGACCGGCGAGGAGAAATGAGTGCATGCCGGATGCCGGACGCCGGGGCCGGACTGCTGGGAATGTTTAGCCTGTAGTCTGCGGCCGGTCGAATGATGGACAGAGGTCTCAGACATTGACTTCTCGTCCACCACCACCACCATCCACGAAGGCTGGTAGATAGCTGTCGGCAAGACGAATCGGCTGGCGGGAGGTTGTTCGGTGGTGGTTGAAGGAGGATCCATTTGGGAAGTGGCGGATGTCGTGAACGCCGAATGGGGCGGCTGCAAGGCCTTTTGGAGCACGTGTAAGGAGTATCATCCAAGAAAGTGCAGGAGGTGTACTTGTCCTGCCGACGATCCTTTGAACCTTTCGGTGGACGAATGCTGATCGATGTCGGAGACGAAAGCGTAATCTCAGACGAGCCTGCCGGTGATACGACGTCCTTGTCAGACTTGATCAGTTCTCTGACTTCCTCCTATCTTCATGACCAATACATACCCAAGCCGTGTAGCCTGATGAGAGAGAAAGTCACTCACATCGTTAAGACCAACGATCGGGTTCAGGTAGAAACGGACTGCATATACAACGTGAGCTACGGCTAACCGTTCTGTACAAAATCGCAGTACCGCCACCACCATCGTAGCGTATAACACTCAACAATGCCAATTTAGTGATTTTCCAATGCAACCAACAACAATCGGCCGTCGAAACATCATTAGTAGAAAGAGGAGTCACCCACAACCGTCATTGCAAATAACCCGGGCGTATTCCCTGAGCACCGTGCGCCGCAGAACGATATCCCGCAGACTCCTCGCCGTCCCCATCCCACACCATGCCATTCTGATCAGCGACTTTGAACGCGTTTACATCTGGTCTCTGCTTCCTCGCCCTGGTCGGCTTCGCTGGCTTGGCTGCGACGTTGGCCCAGGAATGTGAGGTAGCTTGAGTTGGCTTCGGCAGCTTGACAAACGTGAAGCCGTCTTCACTGCTCGGGCTGGACGAGGTTGCCAGCGATGATCGAGACCTCGGACTGGGTGCGTCCGAGGTTTGCTCCGTATAACACTCTGCCATTTCGACCTCTGCAGGGTCGGATGGCGCAGTCGCCCTCGTGGATGGAGGAGGCACGTAGTTGGGCGCTGAAAAGACTTTCCTCTGCACATCATAGTGCAGCGGTTCCGTGTGGAAAGCCAAGTACAGACCCAACCAGAGGACTCTCTCCACCCGGGCCTTGTGCGTGTTGTCGGATTCGATCGATCGACCGTCATCCTCAGTCTGTCCGTCGAACCATCCAGAAGCAAAGTAAAACTGAGCCCAGATGAGACCGCGTATCAAAAAGTCCTCTGACAAAGGCTTCACGTCCTCTTTGCGCTCTGGCGCAGGGAAAGCCCGCTGCCTAGCGCATTCCAGGATCCAGGCACTGATGGGTTGGGACCGAACGAGGGTATTTAGGAAATCCGCAAGCGCATCCCACGCAAGGCGCCCAACGTTGAGCGCGTCAATCGTATGGTTTTCAGTCTGATCAATGGAAAGCCGGGTCCGGAGGGAGTCCAACGAGTGAAGGCTGACCAGCATCACATGAACGTATGGGAGAATGTCCTCTATAGAAGTGTAATTTCTCAAAGCCAAAGCGAATGTGTTTTCCCAGAATGAAGTTGTTGAAACGAGTGATGGAGTTGGTGATGCGTTTGTCAGAGCGGGCTGAAATTGGTTTTTGTGGTCGGCGAGGCCACCAGGTGTCATCGAGGGTCGAGAGTTTTGCATTGCTCGATTGATGGCCATGGCGTATTGTTGGAAGAGTATGTTTGTAGGAGATCCTAGTTCAAAGATAGCAGCAATATTCGTAACAGCCAAGTAAGCGCCAATGTCTCGCAGTTTAGGTAGTTGTTGGTTGAGAAGCTGGAGGGCGTCGTTTCCGACGGTGTCGATTAATTTCTGCTCTGCTTTGGAGTAGACCAAAGCATGGTAGGTCACGATTCGGGCTTCGACGGAATGACTGCTGCTTTGAATCGTATTCTCGTCTTGTACGATGGGACCGCACAATGTCGAAAGTGAGTCTCGCGCGTTAGGAAACGGTATCACACAGCTCAGTGACTTAGCATAAAGACAGAACTTTCGCAAGCTGGGTCGCTCAAGTATGCCTAAATGGTGGTAGAGCCTGCCAATAGCTGGATGGCGATCGGACGCCATGGTGTACCAGCGAGCGGCCACACCTGGAAGGGGTCAGTCAAGATCTTCAAGATGAGAGGAGTTATGTGCTCACCTCCCCATGTGGCATGAGCTTCCTTTTCTTCCTCAATAGCCATACGATAGCGTGCAAGGTCTCCCAAACATTCTATCCAGGTATCAGTGAAACTCGGCACCGTTTCAAGGAGCAGAGCCATCATCTGATACGCCAGATAGATGAATGCTAGCATGTAATCCTGTGAGTGTGGACGACGATGTCTAAGCACTTCTAAAAATGTGTGTATACCGTGCTTCCACATTCTCGCGGGGATGCTATACTTTGTGGGCAGGCCACGAAGAGCCTGTGTAGCTGACGGATGTTGGGTTGCCTATGTCATGATCAGCGATGTTCAAAGATGTGGACGGATCTTAACCCTACCATGAGGAAGTCATGGTGCTCGTAAAGAAGAGTTCGATGCAGTGCTATCAAGGCTTGCCACTGTTCTGGACCAAGTTGCGAGTTTGGGTCAGCAGCTTGAGCCGCGTCGATATTAACACACTTAGCCTCAACCATCACGAGCCCAGCGTAAATGCCCTTGACCTCAGCGCCTAGTTGTTCTTGCGAGATGGGAGAGGAGTCTGGTTGAAGGATCAAGCCTGGATATCGGGTGTTGGCCGATAGCTGAATGAGGCCTTTACGCCTCTGACCAACATCATCACGATGCTCATGAATAGTCTGCGGTAAAGATGTGGATGGGACGACACCAGCGCCTGGTGCGAGTTGTCCTGTGTTCTGCCTTGATGGCATGGAGTCATACCCACTGTCACGGTGCTGTGGCTTGGTATGTCTGTCATGTGATTGAACAAAAGGCCTCACTAAACTTTTAGCTTCAATCATACGGCGTTGGAGGTTTTCGCCCGATGTCCTGCAGTAGGGTTGACGATCAAGACATGCTCGGCGCGGGCCTTTAGATGTGAGGGCCCTCGGACTGCGTTGGGTGGGCCTGCTTCTGTCGGCAGCATGATGACATCGCTGAGGCTCATGCCCCTGGAGTCGTGGTAGTTCGTGACTGGCCGATCGTTTGGAGGCTATTGCACCAGCGCCGAGCATCCCTCGGCCGCGAGGAGAAGGAGGATTGCCATCTTTGTGCTCCAGAGACAGACGGCCAATCTGCTCAGCGGGGGCACCGGAGCTGGGGGTTCCGACGTTGGCAGGAGACTCAGGCGGCGTGGCGTTGTCGCCGTGTGCATTCATAGAATCGTCCGAAATGCTGGGAGAGGGAGAAGTGCAGACTTGATAGCCATACGATCCCGGGCGCGCGCTGAAGGATAGTCAGTATTTGTAGCGGCGAATGGGGCGCAGGCAGATGACGAAGCGGACAAGGCAACGGGGCACATGAGCGTACATATTACTGATAGGGTGATGGGTGGGATGAGCAATTCGCTGCGGTGAAGGCAGCAAGCAATCCTCACCACCGCCGTTGTCGTGAGACGAGGCGGGTGCTGCCGGAGGTTGGCCGTTGTCCGGGTTGAATGGGCCGGCGACCTCGGGGTGGCGCGCTTCTCGCTGCGAAGGCGATTCACAACTCCGATGCCATGGCGACGGAGAAGAGGTGCCAGCGATGTTCATGTTCCTGAGACGTTCAAACTGCAGCGTCCTCTGGGAGTGAGATACATGTGCTGATTGGGCTGCGAGAAGTCTTCCTTGTTGCGTGTCAACTCAATTTTCCCTGCAGCCGTGCCTGAGGTTTTGTATACGGTGACGATATATATCTCAGCGTCTGCCCAAGGACTTACTGGCTCGACAATGGACCTGGATCGTTCTTCAATAACGACAGCATAACAGCCTGTTGGGTGCAACTCGACTGACCCGCCACTTTTTCGTGTCGTTCAATTTGCCGTTCTAGACCGGCGGCGGCACTGGGCGGTACGGAGACTGCAAACAGGACGCTTTCAGAGCGTCGGAAGGGATAAGAAACAGCAAGAAAGTACACCCAGCTCGACGACTAAATGTTAGTGAAAAGGAGTACGTCCGCGTACCACAAGGCGACGAGGCAGACTGCTTTGCTCTGACATGGTCCAGAGGAAGCTCTTTGCGAGAACCGCTGACGCGGGACAAGCCACCGCATGTGGATGGGCAAAACGCCCCCGCCTCCTGGTTGCATGAAGGCAGAGCGGTCCGCATGCGCGCTGTAATAGAGGGCGGCCTCCCGCAGCTGTGCCAGCTGGCAACGACCAACACCTCATCCATTGCGAGTGATCATCAGCCGCAGGCGTGCAGGCTTGCACTATTCTGCCTTATAGACGGGGCGTTGGAACAAACAACTGGTTTTCCATGAAGCACAGCTCTGAATCTCCAGGCAAACGAGTTATAGCACAGCAAAGCAGGCTTCAAGAGAACTCTTAGAACAAAGTAACTTGCCGGTGAGGGCGCCCTCAAGACCACGTGGGACCACCGGGTCAGCCAGCCGACTTTTCCTGTGGAGGCCGCCCTCAGCGCGAACCGTGAACGAATCCACTATCGAAATATATCTCTTCGGATTTAGAAAAAGAAAACCTGGCTCCAGTGGCGATCAGGCGAGCCAGACCCCCAAGTTTTTGCTTATTTCGAACTCTTTGCGGTCCCAAGACTGGACTACGCTGACCGACAAGGGCAACGCGGCTGGCTGAATTGGTATGCCATTGCAATTGGGAACTTACATGCAACCTCTCCTCGACAGGCCTCTGAGACGACAGATATGCTGTACACAAACAAGTTAGGTCCCACTGTTTCACATACATCCAGGCTTTGAATCTCCGCAGGTAGAAGCAATGAAAACTGCTAGTCTTGAACGGTTTTGTGAGCAAGCCAGCCTCTGGGACCACAATCCCCCAAAGACGGATGGCTTGGACTACGGTAAGTAAGGCCATCAATCACCAAACGATGGTCTGCTGGGCGTTTACCCAAGAATCCGTCGATCCATTCTTGTCCAGCTCTACGTCTTTCATTCGTCCCTGACCAGATTTGCCTGACATCGCAGAACAACAATTTGAGAAGCAGCTACCGTTTCTGACACTTGTCAAGTCAACGCAGCAATGAGGCCGCATCGCAATTTAGCACCGATACAGATACCGGCGACTGTCAGCCAGATTACTCGACCGACAAATCGAGGCGCAGCGAATGCCAACCGGTGTCGTCAGCAAATTTTGTCGAAATCCTCCTCGCACCGATCAAACACGGCTTATTCGCCGGTCTATTTCAAACCACCGGCTTGAGCGCGATAGTAGACGGGATGTTTGATGTTCGCTTCAGCCACGCCAGCCACGCACCACCGGATTTGAGCACCGTACGGGAACGGCAAGACACCATCATCGCAGCAGGAGAGGGCTCGTCGCCTTCGGATGATCAAGTTTCCAAGACGTTGCAAGACCGACGCCAGCCGCAGAATTCCCTTCAGAGCTGAATGTATGTGGTGGCGATGTGGCGACGGCGAAGCCGAGATATGCGCGAAAAAAAGCATTCGAACGGAGAATGTTGTCGAAGCGGTGAGAAGACAAGAGTTGTCTTCGTATTCGACGGTCCACGATATCGTCGTACCTCTCGCTCTTCACGGGAAAACAGAGACAAGGCGTCGGGAACCGAAAAACGGAGTCGTGCTACGCCGCTCATTCGAGCCGCTAAAGTTGCCTCAACATGGGAGGCTTCCTAGGGACTCTGTGACAAAATGAAGGCAAACTGTGAGCGCATGCATGTACAAGGTCACACATGCAGTACCATGCTTCGCAGCACCTGCCGTGTGTGAGAAACCAGACCACAAGATCCGTCTCCGGCATGCGAAACGTGATACCGTGGTGGTTTTGTGCTGATCGGAGACGCCCGCAAGGCTGCGTCCGATGGGAGTTGCCTTTCGCATCCCGGAGAAAGTCATTGCCTTCGCAGGTTGAATGCATGGAAATCGATCGAGATATGTGAGGCCATCTGAACACATATATCCCACGCTCGCGGCCATCGAGAGTCGTGGGGGCTATGACTTTTGTTGCACGTCTACATGTTGACTCTCGTGCGGAGAAAGCATATAAAGGTGTGTTAGACTGCACGGTTAGATGCCAATTCTTGTTCTCACCTCTCTGTGGTGTAGCGCTCGAAGCGAACTTCCCGAGTTGTCAATCCAGATGTCATTCAAGCGTCGCATGACTCCTGAGTATCGATTTCAGTCGCCAAAGTATCGCATTGCGTGGCGCCATAGTCATTCTACTGATCATGAGTAGCATGTGAAGTAAGTGAATGATTCAGACCGGTGAAGAAGATGTCTTCAGGGGTAGTTTCGAGACCTCGCTTAGTAATTCTCCGACTCGGCCCGACGGGACCTCAACTTCACGTCTTACAACGCGTACCAAGACCCGACACACGATCATTCACGATGGCATGACTGGAGTGCGATGGACTTCTGGAACCGACTGATTGGCTCGACACTCCAACCCAAGAAACAGCCCGCACGACCAGCCGCGCATGACCCCCAAGCTCGGCTGGCGCGCTTCAAACGCGTCTACCACAGCATTCACGAATTATCGAACAAACCACGAAATGTCGACAACGAAGAGCCTTTGCTCAACAGCCTCGATGCTCATATCAACAGGATTGCGACCCTGCTAAGGGAGGAGACGAGAGCGCCTGCTCCGCATCTATGCATCCAATTCGCCGGCTCGAACCACATCTATGCCTTCATCGGGCGAGCAGCGACGATCAGCTCATACGAACCCATTATCCGGTCGAGCATAGCGGTTTTCGCCGCATTGGTGGACAGTGAAGAGGAGAACTTCTTGGAGAATGGAAACTTTGCTAAGAGCTTGATGAGATTGGTGCGCAAGGTGTTGGAGTCTGGAGGGGTCTTGATTGATACCGAAACGGAGACATCCATTCTGGAATTGTTGTTTACAATATCTGCCAAGATACGGTTACAGCCGGAGATATTGCCAGTCTGGTTTCAGAGCACGGCTAAGCCCGAGTTGGAAGATGTCTTCGTCAAGGAGAAAAAGAGCTTCGTTGGCATCACACAGAAGGATGACTTTCCTCTTTGTTATCTGATGATCGATAGAGTGCATCATGAAGGACGAATAGGCGACTTTGCCCGGACTGGACTTCTGTACATCTACGAATCTACAGGACGCTCTCTTGCACTTGAGGAATGGGTCGTCTCCAGCGATTTGCCAACTCTGATGGCCTCTGGACTCGGCGCACTGTACAGTCAACTTTCCCGCGAACTGAGCATTCTGCATCCTGATGCTACCCTACCTGCTGTCCTCGCAATGAGTGACTATAGCACTACACACCCAAGAGCGACGGCCGAAAGCGCCTTTTCCGAAAGGCACAAGTCTCACATTGCGACGTTCCTTCACTACCTGCATTTCTGGCAAGATGTGCTAGATCACTGCAAAAGCGCGGACGTCAAACAGACCCTTCTGGACCACTTTCAAATCTTGTTTCTCCAACAGCTCCTCTACCCATCTCTACTTCAATCCAGTGATACTGATGCAGGAAGCTCAATCGCTGTCTTGACATACATGACCGTCATGTTGGAGTCACTTGAATACCCGGACCTCATACACATGATGTTGACGTATCTCTTGGCGATTCAAGAGGACCAGCATCTTACAGTGCCTTCCGCGCCCGAAACGCCAGTGAGGACTGACGTGCCGCCACGTTCACCTACTTCTGTGAAACGTCGGCAAAGTCTGATGCTGCTCAGCACACCCAAGAATCCGGACGATGCCGTCGACCCAAGACTGTTCAACCTTGTCGATCTGATACTCAACAACGTGAGCTCGCGGAACAGTCAGGCTGTATTTGCTGCCTTGAAACTTATCTCTGCGGTCCTCACACGTCAGAAGACGTATGCCTTTGGTACGCTACTCAAAGTGCAGAGGAATAAAGGAGGCCTGGCCAGCAGGACTATTGGTGCTCTCGAGGAGGAGCTTGAGGCATATTCTGAGCTGGCCGTCTCACTGCACCGTGGATACGCCCTTGAAAGCGCCTATCAAGGCCTCTGCGAGGATACTCGCTTCTGCATTGAGGCCCAAGTGCAACTCAAAGCTGCCTCGACTGGCGCCAACAGTCTCGAAGAGTATGCAGGCGCTCCAGAGTATCTACTTCTGGACACGGATCCCCTCGTACGGACTTTGCTGGGTCTCTTGTCAACTTTCTTCACGAACAGCGTCGACGTCAACTTGGCGCTTTCCCAGGCAATCATATCGATAGCGCAATGCATTGAGCTCCGGCTTGAAGGCTTTCTTGCATTGGCTTCTGCAGCTTACCAGTTTGCTGAAGATGCTTCCGGGCCGACGAGGCCATGGCAAGCCTACCTGGACGAAGAGGAGAAAGCTGGATGGTCGTCCATACAGCAAGCCGCTAGGCGGCCAATCTGGCCTGAGGACAACGCGCCTTTGCTGCACGTAGCTCTCAGAGCTCTCACGCAAGAGCTCGAGCATGTGCGTATGAAGGTCCCAAGTTTGGACCAATTACTCGCGGATCGCAAGAATATGCTCCAGGCCGCCACCCTCGACACCTCAGAAAGCGAAGCGCCCAGTCTCATGATGAGTAGTCCAACACCACAACCGGCGCATCTTGACGTGCCGCCCACTTCATCAAGAGGCCACAGTCGAAACTCAAGTCGTTCATCAATAGCGCGCGGCAGGGCCAGTACCAACGATAAGGCAACAACTGGCGGAGCGGCTTCGGCCCCGTCCTCGGCTGCAGCCTCACGTGGAGCTTCAAGGGCGGCCTCCCGTCCACCCACTTCACAGAACATCACCAATGTCGAACAAACACCACAACAACAATCAACGCCCTCATCACCACCCGCGAACCAATCTATCTTCAAGCCTCCACCACCAGAGACGCCCTCCACGACAGACGTGCTGATGCAAACCCTCCATTTCGATGACCACGTGCCTGGTTCGCAAAAAGGCAACGAAGGCAACAAGCGGACCGCCAGCCTAAACCATGTTCTCACAAATGTCGTCGTCCTGCAAGAGTTTATCCTGGAACTCGTTGCCGTGCTGCAGGTCCGCGCGGCGATCTTGGGGGAGGGCGAAGTGCGAACTACGAGTCATGTCGTGTGACCAGGTCAGAAAGATAGAATAGGCAGGTAGATAGATGTGTTGCTTTGAAATGATACCCTTGTTAATATTACCGCACTGCTCGCAATACCACCCCGAAGCCAAGTCGTGGGTGAGTAGAGTTAAGGCTGAAGGATCGATATAGCCTTTCTTCTGTAAGACGTCTAGAAGTCTCACCTCACCCGCTGGAGTTCATGCAGTGCACAGAGTACGCCATCAAAAGGCCGCCCGTTTTCTCTTCTCCCTGGCAGACGGAGCAGGATTGACTGCCGAGGATTGTGCCACATGAGCCTGTCCTCCCGCGGTCATGGATATGGATGTGGAACGGGACCATGGATCCGGAACGAAGAGGCCGCCCCTTCCACATTCCCATTCACATGCGCATTCACAACCCCGAGCTAGGCTAGGCTAGGCGACTTCACATCCTTGTTCTTAATGGAGATGGTCGTTTCCGTCGACAAAGAGACCTAATCTGCTCATTCCTGACGCCCTGCTCGCACCACTCAGTGACCTCACATTCTTCAAAGACGAGGACCGCACACAAGGCAATCGATACTTATCCCACGAGATGATTCTCGTGAGGTGATGTGGAATCATCGGTTGGATTCATTCATTGGATATGTTCAGAGCTAAGTCGCTACACACCACTTGCACTATCACCAGACCGTCATCACGGTGCCGTCACCATCCACTATCTCCTGTTCATGATCTCACTGTGCACAGGAGCTCCATCCCTGTAGGGCAAACAGAAGTCGGCCCCCAAACAACGCCCCTTTCTTGCCTTCATTTTTCATGCGGCATTCTCCGCCATCGCTGAAACGCCATCGCTGTCGAGGAACTGGAAAAAGAAGCAATGCGATAGCGATGCCAGGCAGAAGCAGTATAAACATGGTGGATGGGTGGGTATCGCAAACACTGTGCGCCTTCAAGCCTCCAGCTCGCTCGGGGCGTCAGACAGCTCCGCATCGCTATCACTCGGTATGGACATGACGTCCCTCTCTTTCTTCGCATTCCGCGTGCGCCCCTTCCCGCGAGTAGGCAGCGTCTTCGTCTTCGTTGCCTTGGGTGGTGACTTCTTGGATGCCGCACGAGCTGAACGTTTCCGAGACGCGGCGGTCTTGTCATTCCGGGGCGTCTTCTTCGTGGCAGCTGGGACTGGCACGGGGTCACTTGTTAGAGGTGTCGATGTGAGCTCTTCGTTCTCCTTGTTCGCCTCGGGCTCTTCGTCGACGTCGGATGCCTGTTCCTCCTGCTCTGCTTCCTCCTGCTCCTCCTCCTCGACCTCCTCGACTTCACTCCCGCTATCAGCCATGCCCGCGTAGCTCTTCGCATTCGAATTCCGCGAGCTCTTTCTACGTTCTGACGACGGGACTGCATCACCCGCCCGCTTCTTGGGTGTCTTGCCTGCCTTTGCGACTTTGGGCTGCTTTGGTGGTTTGCGTGCCTTCTCAATCTTTGGGGTCTTTGCCGTCGATGTTCTGGCCTTCTTTGCTGGTTTAGACGCATCATCAACGTGTCTGCGCTTCTTCGTTCGCATCCTGTCCTTCACCATCCCCTCGAGGGCGTCGACAAATTCTTCGGGGAGGAATTGTTTCTCTGAGATTTCCTGGGCCATAGCGTGACTTGGCATGGCTGCGAAAATTCCAGCTGGTAACTTGGGTTTGGCGGGGAGAATCTGTAGTGACCATCCTTTGAACTCTGCGAAGTATCGCATGACGGCTTCAATCAGATCAGAGAGGATGTACAGATTCTCACTCTTATCGGGGTCGATGCCATCCTGGACACTCTTCAGTTTCTGCACAACGCTGTACAGTACCGGCAGGTTCTTCTCAGTCGCTACAATCTTCAAGTAGAAGACGGTATAGTCCACAAAATCTTCCAGATCATCAGGTGCAAAGTCCTGGTGGTGAGCCAGCAGGCTTATGTAGTGAGAAAGCACACCCTCAAAGTTCTGGTCGCCGGCGCTGGCGTATGCGCTTGCTCGCGATTTCAAGAACGTGACAGTCCTTTCCTTGGTATCCCTGATCGGCTCGAAGGCGTAGAGGAACATCAACCCGTAGAAGCGTCGGGGCAGCTTGCCCAAGCTGAGGTACTTCTTGAGAGTGACATTGAATGCCGCACGTACCGGCGATAGCGGGTCTTGCACAATCTTTGTCAACCGATTGAAGTCTCGTGGCGAGAAGTGTTTCTCCAGAACTCTGCTGCAGCACAACTTCAAGATGAGCTTTGCTGCGGCCAGACGCAGGTGCGATCGGTAATGTTTTGGCGTGGCGTTGTCTGCCTTGGAGAGTTCTCCATCCCGCTCAATGAGAGTATTGAGAAGCTTGAACACACGCGATGACAGTTCCTTGACCTGCTCGCTCGACTCGTGCGTCTCCAGGTCTTTCACATGCCCTCTCAAGGAGTTGACCACGATTTTCAGAGCCCACAACTTCGCGCTGAGGCCGTCATCAAGTTCGTCTGCCCAGCCTGAGTCCAAGTCCTCTACATCATCACTGGGCGATGCCAGTACCTGGGTCGCTATTTCTGTAATCGAATCGTCCAGATCCTCGGTCTCGTCGCTGGCCAGCAGCCTCAGTTGCGACAGAGAAGCCAACTGTGCCAGAACACCATTCTGCTCCAGTTTGAAGTTCTTTACGCATTTCGTGATATCCTTGATGTACATGTTTTTCTTCTGCGCAGAGGAGATGATCACCGTCACTGCATGCTTCGCCGCCCTGGGAGGTGCTCCATACAAGGCAAAGTTAACCATGGCTTTGTAGAAGTCTCTCTCCTTGCCAAGCTCTTCCGGGAAATGTCGAGCAAATCCGGCGCATGCTTTCAGGGAGTCGACAGCACTGGGATCGTTCGTGGTGGTAGCACTGGGTGCCTGCTTCTTCAAGGACTCGCACAGTTCCTGGATATGGACTTTGAACACCTCAGGTGTTCTCGCGGCTATTTCCTTTAATATCTGATGCGCAGCTTGTCCAAGACCTTTGTCGTCCGTTCGTGAGATCTCCATGATAGCTGGAACATGACTGCGGTTATAGACCAGGACCGATGCTGATCGCAAGAAAGGCACAAAGGTAGGGAGGCAATCCGGAGCACCCCCCTGCGGCTGCTCTAGTCGCTTGGTTAGTTCTTTGATCGCATTGGTGACCTTCTTGTAATCGCTTTCAGGCGACAAGCAGAACCGGGCCAGGGAGAAATTACGACGATCGTAGTGATTAGCGAAGACTTCGAGTTGCTTCGCAGATTCCGCAGCATCGGGGAAGATGGCTCCAATGGCTTTGGTGAGCTTCGCGACCTGAGCCTTAGCCTCTTTATCGCCACCCTTGCCTCCTTTGAGCTTTTCGGCATTGTCAAGCAGCATAGTCATGTACTTCGCCATTCCAGGTTGCTTTTGCTGCAGGGAGAAGAAGACGGGCTTCGCCTTTTCCCCGAGGTCGCGCACCAGAGTGAGAATCCGCTCTGCTCGGAGCGTATCAGGGTCGTATGACTTCTCCTCCAAGACTTGGCTATCAGCAATTCGTTGAGAGTCACCATTGCTCGGCTTGGGCCTCGGTGGGAAAGATATCGGCAGAAGGGACTCCCACATAACACGCTGAAGCAGCGCATTGAGCTCTTTGTCGTTCACGTACATGACCTCAAGAATCTTCGACGGAATTTCACCGAACAGCTCCCTAATCCGCTCGCTGCCTTCAGTAATGGCTGCCGCGGCTACACCCCAAATACGGCCCAGCAGTTCTATGGCCCTGGTCCTGACAGCAGGTTTCTGGTCACGAATGCGCTCCACGAGGATGAAGAGGATTGAGCCTTCAACCTTGACGCCTCCAAAGCCGCCAAGCTTCTGCGATATTGAGTGGAAGGCAAACTCTGAGATTCCGTCAATCGCGCTAATGCGGACCTTCTCGTCGTGGTCCTGTAACGAATCCGCGAAGCATTTCAAGAGAGTCGTCTCTTGGTCATGCTGAAGCCCCTTCCCACCGCCACCTGTGAGGATGATTCGGGCAACAGCTGTAGCCCAGGCACTTCGGATCGTGGCCGACTTGTCTCGGAATCGCTCGAAAAAGGCCTGATACCCTGAAGGATATGCCGAAGAGAACGAGTAGGGTGCGGCTGGAGTAAGAAGAACACTGTTCAGGTCAGGTGGGCCGTATGTGTCCAGGCTCTGGGGTGGGTAAGCAGCGGGTTCAAGGGGGGTGAGTGGTGGTGGTCCAGCGGCACCGATGCCGGCAATCATGTCGCCAATCGTTTGTACAGCCATCAGCCGTAAAGGAAGATTCTCAGCTCCAAGCTCGACTTCAATCTGAGGTATGACATTGCGAATCACTTCTGGACATGACCTCCACAGTTCCCGCAGTAGATTGTGTGCTTTGGAAACTTCACCCAAGTCTGATTCCGATGGTGGTGTTATTAGACCGTTGTCAGACTCGTCATCGCTCTCATCATGCGTCCGCTTCTTGCCTTTCGACTTGCTAGGCTTGGTCGTCGATGTTGTTTCAGTTGCATCGATGAGGACAGCGTTGAAGTACTGGCCAATCTGGCGTACCATCTTGTCAGAGCAGGTGTTGCAGACAGAACGTGCCATGTTGTAAGCTGGGGATACATCTCGTGGAAGTGGAGTCTGAGTATCGCCCTTCTTCTTCGCCAGCACACTTGGGTCAGCGCGCAGGAATTGCGCGAGCAGTATGTCGATGACGCCCGGTGGCAAAGTTGGTGACTCGTCGACCAATGCACAAAGCATCCCTGTCATGTTGTATTCGACATTCTTGGAGATCTGGTCTACATCGCCTCCTCGTATGTTTCCCGACACGACGTCAAAGCAATTCGTGAACAGATTGAGGATCAGGGTGTCTGCTCCAGGTGCGTCGCAAAGCAGCAGGATACTCTTGACAGTCACGAGCGACGCAAGTGCCGTAAGATGCTGTGTATTGTAGGGGTCGTTCGGGCTGCCCAGTGCGGGGATGATGGTCGAGACGAACAAATTGAAGATGTCCTTGAGTTGGCTGGGCTTGTACGGCGCATCCGGTGCCAATATCCTGAACATCTCAATGATACATAGCACTGTCCATGCCTTGACACCACTGTCCTTGTGTCCGAGCAGTAGAGGGCTGGACAGCTCCTGCGCCTTGGGTACCGTCGAGTTGCGATGCGCATCTTCCTGCTGGATTGTCTGCAGCTCTTCGTACAGTGTCCTCAGGCGGCGCAAGAGGTCGGCGACAGGTATAGGCTTGCCCGCGCGCCACGTCAAAGGCTCATCGAACTCCAACTCATGTGCGCCATCCACGTCCATCTCATCCTGCTGCTCCTCCACCTCCTTCACTTCCTGCGGCGGGCTCGACTCGCGGTTTCTGCGTGCGCGCGGCATTATCGGGATTCGCTCACAGGTGTTCGCCGGAAGGAGCGCGCATGCTTTATTACGGTTTTCGAATCAAAGCGGGCGGGTAGAAAGGTGTAGACTGGGCGAGTGACGGCGATTTGTTTGCGAGTGGGGAGTGGTGGAAGCGAACGAGGTGAAGTCGACGCGTGCGCGGGTGCTCTGATCGCGCTTCCCAAACTCAAAACGGGCTCGGACCATGTACCACATTCACTCACCTACGTAAATGCATCCTTCCATTTACAGCAAGAGGCAAGGTTTACTGCAACAAAATTGGAACTGATCTTAACGGACTCGGTATGGCTTATTTGTACCTTTTCCGAGTAAAGGAATGCCTGAGACCATGATCAGGCCATCGAGCGAAACGCCTTCCATCACATGCGTACATTCGCATTGCTTCGTGAAGATTGGGTATTTGGCTATAGGTACACATATCCATCCATCGCATCACTCAAACGCCCGCTAAATTGCCACACAAAGCACGAGTGCTCAAGTCGGAATATCAATCTCCACACTCGTCCACTGCCCAGCGACGAGATCTCTCGTGTATTCGCTCACGTCACTCCCATTCGTCTGATAGAAAACAACCAGATTGTTCCCACCGCTCGTGTTGGGGATCGCGGAGACTGACAGATGCGTGCCGGGTAAGCCAGGTTCGCCTTGCACGGTGAAGTTGTCATTGGCGATGATTGTGGAGTTCTCGGCGGCCCAGGTGATGTTGTAGCCTTTGAAGAGCAGCGTTTCGGCATCTTGGGCGTAAAAGAAGTTTGTATAGCCCAGCGAGGTGGACGGATGGACGCCGGGAATGGAGATGGAGGCTGTGATGAGGTGTCAGTCAGTCGTCGGGAAGGAGCCAGCGAATTTCAATCACTCACATTTAACCCACTCGTTTATGGGATGTGCCTCTGTGCTCGTGATATTGGTGTTCGTATCCTTCCAGTAGACCTCTACGGCGTTCTGCTCATTCACCATCATAACGTATGTCACGGTGCTGTATGTACAAATTAGCCAACCATAAGGAAATCGGGTGGGTTTGAGTCGCTTACCCAGGGCCCCAACTGTAGCATCCAACGCCAGCATGTCCATTCTTTTGAGTGAAGTTTGCTTGCTGCTCCCAAGTATCGTCACCGTCTCTCCACCCAAGCTGCTGGAAGGTCGTATTGTCAGATGCATACCACATGTGCATACCAACCTCGTGGCTTTGGTTGGCCTTCGGATCCTCGTTGGGCAGTGGCGTATGGGTGTAGTCGCTATCGCCATAGTCGTTTCCGTACCAGCACGCCTGCATCCCCACGAGATCTGCATCATACACCTTTACATCCATGTCGTTAATCGGGCCATCGACCCAGACATTTGAGCCGTTGCCGTTGCTGCGCTGCCGAATTGTGCTGTTCTGATCGATGTAGAAGACGTGCCACGTGCTGACTCCTTGCGAGACGTAGGATACTGCAGAGAGTGGCGTGCTGTTCTTCGCGTCGCTCGCAACCACGGCCGAGACATCGCCTCCTTGCCAGTCGCCATCTGGACTTAGTTGCTTCCATCGAATCTCGCCCGTGTGATGTTGAAAGTACGTGACGAGGCTGCCTTGGGTACCTTCTTGGAGCTGTCGTGAGAATGACTGCGAAGCCAGCGCAATTCCAGAGCCGTTGAAGGCACCATCTTCAGAGTAATATGCTGGGTCAATCGCACCGCCGATGAGATACTCCGCATTCACTGTTTGATTTTGACTACTGTCGGATGATCCGGAATCATAATCAGCCTCGCCACATAGCACCATGCACGGCTCACTTACGATCCACTGTTCAGTCCTACTCCGAGGCCTACCCCTAAGCCAATGGCTAGAGCCACAATAACGCCAATAGTTATTAGTAACCAGAGCAACGGCAAGCCACATACTCTTCGTCGCACTACTTGAGTTGGTGTTTGTCGGTCAGCGTCAGGGTGCAAGGGAGGTATGGCCACTTCCTTCTCCTCCTCATCCGGCCTATAGGACTCGGGTATGGGCGATGAGATTTCTGTGGGATTTGGTGAGAGTGGGCGGTCTTTGTTCGACAATCTGTGTTGCATCGGCATTCCAGTATCGCCATAATGAGGAATGGGTGCATCCTCCCCATCAAAGTCTCGTAGAGAGTATTGCTGATATGGAGGCGATGCGGTACTTTCACTTTCATTGCCGTCAGTCTTCGAATGGATAGCGGTAGATTGATTGTTTGTGTAGTGTCGATCTCGTCAATCGAGTTATGGACGGTGTGTCACGAGGGTAGGACAACTTACAAATGTTCTGTGAACCGTGGAGTGCCGCTTTCTGAGAACCTGCTGCCCTCAGAAAACCTGGGCGGTGGACTCTCCATCCCAGCTAGGAGAACAGAGCGAACAAATGATTTCTCGTTGACAACTCGTTCGTCACACACGAGAGCGACAAGACGTCGTCACGGAGCAGTGGGTCCAAAAGCATCCGCAAGGCAGGCCGGAGAAATATGGACAAGAGGGAGTGGGTATCCTCAGCCTTTAGAAGGCTCCCTCCTAGCTGCTGTGCAACACGAGACAGCTGTTCAGCTTTCGATCAGTCCACGGGAAATGTGAGCACCGGCTCTTCGCTTCCCATTTTCCATTTAGGAACAGGTACGAAATCCAAACTTCAGCTGTTCTTCCAGACTTACGCCACGCGCGAATGGGAGGGTCGGAAGAGGCTGCAAGGGCCTGTATGGCGCTGATGTGATGGCCGTGACATGCAGCTCCCGGCATGAAGCTTATATGCGAGGTGGGGCCATGTGGTGTGTTGTTGGCGGGCAAAGTGGTGATGGAACGGGAGAGATAGATATCATTGTGCTGCTGAACTGTATGGTAATCAAAGCCAAAAGTCAATCGGGAGGGAAAGCAGATGAAATACTCATCATTCGCGGTACGTTGGCAGTACGCAGAACTCGGCTTGTCAAGCACGGAAACGCCCTACCACGCACAACATGTTAGGCCAACCTTCATTGCCCGTAATGGTCTTCGGCGTAGCTGAGTCCGTTCGAAGCCTGTGCATCCTATAAGCAGCCCGTTCGCTTCTACGCCGTCCAGGAAGATGCTGGCGTGTCGATGTGAGGTACAGGCTCGTCCGGATTAGCGCGACTGGATCCACGATTGGGCCTTCTCTGCGATCGTCGACCATCGTCACAACGTTGACTATTCTGTAGATCCTAGCGCGAGTAGTTTAGTAGGCGTGATAGCGCTTCTTGCGCCCATCGTGTAGACTGCCTTGGGTAATCCGTACAGCTCCCAATCCGCCGGCGCGAGCTGATCGCATAGACTTTGCGGACAAGACTTCCACAGTTGACGCTTCGGTACACGATTGTCGCAGAGCCGGCCTTCATAGCTTGGGTCTTGATGCATCTGCAAGAAAGTACATTGAGGGTGAGGGTGGTTGTTGAAAAGATGGTAGGTGGTGAGAAAGAGGAGGAAGAATCGCATGATCCAGCCATTCTCTCGGCCGAAGGTTTCGCCGACCCGAACAACGAGACGTCTTGCTTTCGCCCTCGCTCCTATCCCAACTCTGTCCCTTAGCAGACTCTACTGTATAATCCGTGTGCCTCGTTGGTATACTACCAAAGATGCATATATCTCTTACCCTCTTCGCCTGCATGTTTGGCGGCGAGATTCGAGTGCGTTCTCGTCGACGACTCCTTACAGATATCATATTCCGGAATTGCTTGCTGATGGCTTCGCCGTGCTAACGACACACTCCGGTTACAGATCACTTGTGGAGGCCCAGGTCCACGACTAGCTGACTGGCATGAGAACAGCTGAGACTTGAAGATCTCCGCCACTCGAGGCATCAGTAATTGTTCGTATCTGGATTGTGATGGCAGAGTTGTTGACTTGTTCCAGGAACTACGACTAGGGTGCTTTTTCAGGTTGTGAATCCCGCATCACGTACACCTATCTTAATCACCGTTAGATCCCTTAGCGGACAGAACAAGGGGCTGAAACTAACGCGGCAAGGCATCGAAGTCGTCGCCGTATGCCAGTCCAAACGCAGAAACGTTTATGAGCGTCACCGTGCGGCGCAATGGTATATTCCCTGGACTCATCCCTCGCACAGCCATGACAACATCTCGCACCGTGATGTTTAGATGGATGAACAAAGGCTTGTATGCGAAGACAAGTCTTTGAGGATGCACGGTTGTTTAACGCAGAGATGACGGTGCAATCGCTTTTTTATTTTGCTAAAAGGCACACGGGTGCCTTGATATCTCAACACTTAATACTTCCTCGTCAACCCGTCCATCTTCTTTCACGAACTTCCCTACTTGCAACTCCATGCTAGATAAAACAGTCTACACGAAAATGACTTCCCTCAAACGCATGACCATTCTTGGTTTTGCTTTCGCAAACTCACTCACCACTACATACGCCGCGCCTCGTAGCCACTGCAGCGAGGACACTTTGGTCGTGGATACCACTTCTGGAAAGTTTCGACCCCTTCTCGATCCAGTCTACCCGGATGTAGCCCAATATCTGGGCATACCATTCGCTGCACCACCTTTGGACGACCTCCGATTTGCAGCCCCCACATCACCGACCAAGCGCATCGGTATCAGCAACGCAACGAAATATTCTGCTGCTTGCTACCAGTTCATACCTCCCACGCAAAACGAGTTCGATGTTTACGAGCCTGGCTACGACTATAATGGAACCCAGAGCGAGGATTGTCTCACGCTCAATATAGCTGGTCCACCAAGCAACAAGTCATTCGAACCCTTGCCGGTCCTGATCTTTCTATATGGAGGCGGATTCGCACAAGGCGCGTCGAACGTCACATTTCAGAAGCCACCTGGTTGGGTCCAAGCCAAGCAGAACCTGATCATCGTCAACATACAATACGTAGGTGATGTCGTACGAACATATTCGGTATCGCTAGGATAAGCTGACAGCAACTTGTCGCAGAGGCTGGAGATATTTGGCTTTCCGAATAGTGCCGGACTTGAAGAGCAGAACCTTGGCCTGAGAGACATTCGTTTCGCGATTGAATGGGTTAGTGATAATGTAGCAGCTTTTGGCGGAGATCCAGCTCGGATGGCTCTATGGGGTCAATCGGCAGGCAGTGTCGCGACTGACATGTACCCATACTCGTCATACGCAGATCCGATCGTCAAGGGAAATATCAGCAGTTCTGGCAGCGTGTTCGCACCACCGTCCTTTCTGTCGTTTGATTTTGCGCAGAAGAACTTCACTTACATTGCCAGTAAGTTTGGGCGCTGATTGCAAGCAAAGAGGCTGTAACTGACATCTATCAGATAAATTGAATTGCTCTGGCGACACACAGCAACTTCTGGCATGCATGCGTACTATACCTGCTTCGGTTCTCAACGACATTGCTCATCAATACGAGGCCAACACGACATTTTTGCCCATTCCAGATCAAACCCTCGTCTTCGCGAACTACACGCAGCAATTACTTCAGGGCAAAATTGCCAATTTGGTGAGAATCGAGACGATGGTATGGCTCACCGTATTGCGCTGATAAATCTCTCAGACAGCCATTATTGGTACAAACCGCAACGAAGGCGAACGACAGCTTGACAGGAATTTAGACCCTAACGGGCCAAATCGAACGCAAGCCGAACAATACACCATTGAGAATTTCGTATGCCCGGCTGCGATTGAAGCCAAGTCGAGACACGCGATTGGTCTCCCTACATATCGCTACGAGTACATTGGCAACTTCACGAATCTTTCGCCATTGTCATGGATGGGCGCTTGTACGTCTGCTGCTGAATCAAGTCGAGTCCACAACTGTATATGCTGACCAGGATGCTTGCTCCGTTTGGCAGATCACGGCTCTCATATTCTCATGCTGTTCGGAACATCCGGGAGCAAAGAGGGACACCCTTTGACGGGAATGTCGACGCCGTTTCAATTGGGCCTCGCCAGCTACATGCAAGATATGTGGCGTGCATTTGCGTATGATCCAACTTCGCTAGTCGCATACGGATGGCCTCTAAACATCGATGGCTCCGGCAATGCGACGAACGCTGTGAAGCTCTTTCCGGGGGAGAACGGTGGGTTTTCTAGCATTGAATCTGGCGCTGCTGGGGAGCAATCTTGTTCTGAGCTAAACGCTTAGCGTAGACCAGAGTCACCCTTTAGCATGTACTACGTTTTGAACCTGTGCTTTGAACAATGGCTACCTGTCTTACCTACAGCATTTGCCGCTTTAATGGATCTTCGAAGGGGGGTTTGAGCATGGCAATCCGGCTTGTCGAAAACGAGATCGAGTTGAACTTCTCGAGGGCCTGAGTTCTTAGGAGCAATGTGTTATGACTGCTTTCATGTCGCCCGAAGAACAGCATGCCTTTGTATTGATCGCCACGAGATCTGAAGCACTCACAAGGTGAAGTCTGGCAGGCCGGTTAAACGTTCTGCCTTGTCTCACGTGCTCTGGCGTTTCGAGGAAACTCTAAACTTAGTTTCTTCTGCGTTTCGACTCGCGGTCCATCTCCGCTCAAGGAGCAAGACATGAGATGAGAAGAGTCGTCGTCACCGGCCTGGGAGCCATCACACCTCTCGCCGCCGGCATCAAGCAGACATGGCGGCGATTGATCGACTCGGGAAGCGGCATCGAGTCAACTTCCTCCAAAGGCCCCCAATTCGACACACTCCCTAGCCGCGTTGCTGGCCTGGTTCCGCTGGGAAGCCGCGAACAGGGACGATGGCAGGCGAAAGACTGGCTGCCCGCGAGCGAGGAGAGACAGATGGCCGTATTCGCTCAGTACGCAATCGCTGCTGCTCAAGAAGCGTTGGAAGATGCCGGGTGGCATCCGACCAAGCAAGACGATCTGGAGGCTACGGGTGTGACTATTGGTTCAGGTATCGGCAATCTGGATGAAGCCTACAGTACTTCGGTTGCGTTCCATGAGTCTGGGTATCGAAAGGTTTCGCCTCTGTTCGTCCCCAGGCTGCTCATTAACTTGGCTGCTGGTCATGTTTCGATCAAGTATGGGTTCAAAGGCCCCAATCATGCCGCTACGACTGCTTGTACTACGGGACTGCATGCTGTTGGTGATGCTTCAAGGCTGATTCAATTTGGAGACGCCGATGTGATGGTTGCTGGAGGAGCCGAATCGTGCATTCATCCCTTGGCAATCGCCGGCTTTGCGAGAGCTCGCAGCCTGGCTACAGAGTGGAATGATAATCCAACAGCAGCCTCGAGACCTTTTGACCGGGATCGGGCTGGTTTTGTGATTGGAGAAGGGGCTGGAGTGGTTGTTCTTGAGGTTGGCTCCAGAACCAAGCATCTCGACGGACCATGGCTAATGATGTCCAGGAACTCGAACATGCCAGATCCCGCAACGCGAATATCTATGCAGAAATCAAAGGCTACGGACTATCTTCAGATGCCTACCACATGACGGCTCCACAGGAAGATGGCTCTGGGGCATACTTGGCGATGAGACAAGCATTGAAGCATGCTCAGATCAAGCCGTCCCAGATTGACTATGTGAACGCTCATGCAACCTCCACACGCCTTGGGGATGCTGCCGAGAACCGTGCGATCAAGAGACTTCTGCTTGGCCAAGATGTCAAAGAGGATGCCTCTCAAATTAACATGAGCAGCACAAAAGGAGCCATTGGCCATTTGTTAGGCGCGGCTGGAGCGGTTGAAGCTATATTCACAATTCTCGCCGTCAATCACGTACGAAGAACCCACCAATATGCGACTGCTTACTCGATACTAACTCGCGAACAGAACGTTCTTCCGCCGACTTTGAATCTCGAAAACGCTGGAGACCCACCCGAAGATTTCGACTGCAATTACGTACCAAATACCGCTCAGGAACACAGTGTCAATGCCGCTCTGACGAACAGCTTTGGCTTTGGTGGCACAAATGCAAGCCTCTGTGTGGCCAAATACCACAACTGATGCGAGGACAAGAGAAACATGCTCACATCGATATCTCTTATCAGCTTGACCGCAGCAATACCCCGCCATGTTGCAGCTGGATGGACCTGGACCCCACTGGAGCAGTGCTGGCGAGACATCGAGATCCGCAGTGACATGGCAGCTCTTTGACTACATGCCGTGAAGAAAACATTTCTTCCCTCACCTCCAACAAGACTGTTGAGTGAGGCGTGGCAAGTATGGAGGGTGATGCAGAACGGCAGCCGTTCGTGGCTCGCATGAAGAAGAGAGCCGGTCAATACCACGAAAGAATCCCATGGATACGACGACTCCCAGGCCCTGCTATCGCCATCATACTCCTCCTCATCGTCGTTCAAATCGTAGTATGGATAGCAGTCGGCATCACCCTCCACTTCCACACGGCCCTCGTATCAACCGCCGTCCTCTCCTACACCCTCGGCCTCCGCCATGCCTTGGACGCAGACCACATCTCAGCAATCGACCTCATGACCCGGCGGCTCATCGCTTCAGGCCAACGCCCCGTCACCGTCGGCACCTTCTTCTCCCTCGGCCACTCCACCATCGTAATCATCACCTCCATCGTCGTCGCCGCCAGCTCCGCCGCCATCCAAGACCGCTTCGGCTCCTTCTCCGACGTAGGCGGCATCATAGGCTCCTCCGTCTCCTCCGCCTTCCTCATCATCCTCGGCCTCATGAACGGCTGGATCCTCCACAAACTCCACCAACAACTCCAAAAAGCCATCGCGGCCCCCATCGGCGCCGAACAATCCCTCGACTTCACCTTCGAAGGCGCCGGCTGCATGACCCTCCTCCTCAAACGCACCTTCAAACTCGTCGACCGCCCCTGGAAAATGTACCCCTTGGGCGTGCTCTTCGGCCTAGGCTTCGACACCTCCTCCGAAGTCGCCCTGCTCGGGATCTCCTCCATCCAAGCCGCCAAGGGCACCTCCATCTGGCTCATCCTCATCTTCCCCATCCTCTTCACCGCCGGCATGTGCCTCCTCGACACCTTCGACGGCGCCGCCATGATGAGCCTGTACACCTCCGCGCGCCTCGCCAAGGACACCATCGCGGTGCTATACTACCAGCTCGTCCTCACAGCCGTCACGGTCGCCGTCGCCATCACCATCGGCGTCCTGCAGCTCCTCACCATGATCCACTCCATCCGCCCGGATCTCTCCGGCCCCTTCTGGGACGGCGTGGACGTGGCGGGCGACAATTACGACATCATCGGCGGGAGCATCTGCGGGAGCTTCGTCGTTTTCGGCGGGTTGTCCGTCCTGCTGTACAAACCTTGGAGACGAAGAATCGACGCGAAGAGAGCCCTCATGACGCTGCACACGGACGAGGATGGTGAGGGCTCCGAACTCGGCCAGGTGGAGGTTTTGGATGATCAGCAGCTGGTCGATACGTCCACCGAGGGAGGCGGTGGTACGACTAGTGGGAAGGACTGGCGCGACGATACCGGCAAACAGGCAGACGTCAAGACGAAAGTGAGATCCGTAGAGGTTGCAGCGGGTGAGAGTTCACAGCGCGGTGGTGGTAGTGGATCGTAAAATGTAAATCATCGTATGATTTTACTTCCAAAAAGACGCATTCGCTGAAGAGGGAGATTTGGATCTCTTTCTTCAAGCTTTGCGTGTCAGTCAGTACATATAGCCTGTCTGATTGATTATTAGATAAGGGGGTTCAGATCAAATCTTATGATCTTCTTAATTCATCCCAAAAAGCGCCAATGCTTGACCGGCGGCGTACTCTCTTCGATTTCCGCCTTCCTGTTCCAACAACGCCAATTTTCCCAAGACATAATCGCACTAACTTTTTGTTTCTCCCCAACATTCCTTTATCCCATCCAATTCCAAAAAACTCTCAGAGGGGAGATTTGAATTCACCAGCGCCAAATCCCGCTATGCCGCTCTTCCCAAATGTCCCAATTTTTGGTATCATAAAAAGTATATCCTCCAAAATGTAAAAATCTAAGTAGCGAGATAGTAAGTTTGATCACTGCCTCGGCGGTGCCTTCATGGCTTCATGGCTGAAGAGTTGCTTCAGCGAGTGATCGGCTTTCTTTTCGCTCTTCGCAGACCCTCGCCTCGATGCTTGAGGGGTGCGTTTGTCGTATGTGATGTCGTTGCCTTCCGCGACTCGAAAGGAGGTGAGGGTGCTTGCACTGCTCTTGAGGCTCGAGTCCTTGAGGAGTTGGGTCGTGGGGCTGATCGAAGGGCTTTGGTGGTTGGTGGTGGTGTCGTAAGGTAGGACGAGATCGATCGATTTCGTACTGCAGTTTGTGGCACTGAAGGGGTTGTGTCGAGGTGGGAGGGGTCGGTATGAGGCATTGGAAGCGACAGTGCCGTACGAGGAGCTTGGTGAGTGTACTAGCGAGGGTATGTTGCTGCTGTCTGTGGCCGTCGAGGCGCGGGTGGTACGTGGTCGACGGGTACCGCTGGCGTAGTTTGCGGAAGAGAAGTCGGCGTAGAACTGTTCGAGGTAACGAGAGGAGTCGTTGTGGCCCGGCTCTGTTGTGTCGATGGTTTCTTCGGCCAATGAGTTCGAGTCTGACAGCGAAAGGTCTGACATGGCAAGAGACACGGGTCGAAGTACTGTTGGTGACCTTTGTGGAAGGATGTCGTGGTGGTCGAAGTAGGAGGTGGACTGTGACACGATCGAAGGTGACCTCACAGCCTCTATCGACTGGATTGAGGGTGGCCTAGAGACATCTTTCCGACGGCAGCTGTATCACAATGTTAGGGGAAGTACTACGAAGATGTTCTGTGCACATGAACTTACGCTTCCGAGCAGTACAAGATACTCGCACCAGGCGTGAAGATCTGCTTCTCGCAGGTAGCACTGATCAACAGTCAGCCAAGCCCTTCCTCAATATCGCCAAGACCGTGCGACGAGACACGTTGTGTGGACGTACCAGAACTGCAAGAAGCTCGCCATGCCGCTCTCCTCCTCCTCGATATGCTGTGCGTCCTCCTCAGCGGCACCACCGACCTTCTTGCTCCAGCCCGACCCGGACTTGGAGTGCGAGTGGTGGTGTTGGCCATGGGATTGGGGGTGTGCGTGATTATAACTCGTGCCTCTTCTCAATGGGGGAGCCTTGGACGGCCTGGCATGCGGCGGCAGCAGTTTGCGGCCCTGGGACTGGGTCCGGGCATGCTGGGGGCGGTCGGGCATTGGACGAGTGGCAGTGAGACTCGCAGACGGGAGGGATTGCCGTCGCGAGTTTGCAGGCTACGGCGTGGCCAGCGCGATTTTCCAGCGGCGGGTAGATGCAGGCGTGCACTGGCGGTGGCAGCGGTGTGCGATTGGGAAGGTAGGCGATCGCAGATGGCTCAGACAGGTGCGCGATGAGGCAATTAACGAGTGTGGATATGCCGCCTGGCGGGCGTGAAGTCAGCAACGAATGGCCCACTGTTTGCGAGGGATTGGAGAGGACGATATCATACATACCTCGGGGTTTTGGAGGGCGAGTATGACTGTGCCTGTCAGAGCCAGTGGGTTGCTGATGATAAGTAGCGATAAGCTCCGCGTCTTATCCGCCTAGAGCGATATGGGAGAGGACAACAACAAAGAATCAACAACGACAGAGCGAGAGAGGGGCAGAGTCGGGTCCTAAAGAAAGAAAGGATAGCCAGACGAAACGTGCGATTGCACATGCATCTGGCGAGTGCTACGCGTGCGTACGTGCTGCGTGGTCGCAATCGAAGACCGGGATGGTGCGCAGACGTCTGACTCCCAAGCATTCAGAACCTTCGACAATGCAGTGGGGCGCGCTCGGTGCTGCGATGCGATGCGGGCGGCTCGGAGTGGAGCGCTTTCCTTGCTCGTGCGGTTATTACATGAGAGCAGAGACACGTTGTGCGTCTCGATGGATGATATGGATGGGCGTGCTGCAGAGCCTGACCAGGGCTGTGGACGAGGTTTTCTTGTAGTGTTGTCCACAAATTTGAACCAGAGAGACACACAATCCACAACCAAGACACCGAAAAATTATGCACATTTTCTCCGCTTATTGTCGTGGATACAGTCGAGCCACCATGTCTTTCACGTCTATCACCGAGCCGTTTCTTTCACAAGCACGCAAACCACTTCTCCGATCACGCTGATCAACCCATTCCTCGCCTCATCTTGCTCTCTAAGTCGCGTGCTTTCGTGCCATTCTGGTCCTGGTGATTCTGAGTAACAGTTGTTGGCCCATTACGGTTCCTGCCGGGCCATAACACATCGCTCTCGTACAGCAACAACACCACCGCCCATGTCATTATTATTGTTCAGAGACGTCACAGGCATGTCTGCTGTACCGCACACCATGTACCACCGTGCTCTTCACGAGCACTTCTATTTACCCACAGCGGCCGGCATGCCCGGCTAGGCATATCTCTGCTCCCGAGCGCCAAATGCTGCACTCCTTGCCCATTGGCAGAGCCGTCCACCACGTGCAGCGCACCTCTACCACAGAACGACCTCCTGTCATTGCACGAGCGCACACCGCAGGCCATCAACGTTCAAAGTCGAAATTGCACTCGCCTAGCACGACAGCGCCGGGCCTACAGCTACCCATAGCACTCGCATACACTCGGCATTATCTTTGCTGTCAGTCGAGACCTTTGACGATCAAATGACCCCGACGATACGCAGCCGCCGCCGACGAACATCCACTCACTCCTCTCGTAGTCGGTAGAGCCCGAGAGGTTCGATCTGCAAACCACAGCGCATCTCCAAAAAAAAAGTGCCCACAAAACACTTGGACCGGCCGTGGGCCTCCACACGCCGTGCCAACTCAGCTTGTGGGTTGAGGCAGTTTCACCACCTGCTGAGCCTCTTTGGCCCCGCCCACGAACAAAGGCCAGACTTCACCTGAGGCTGTGCGATTTGTGCCGATTCGCAATTCTTGGCCTCACGCCGAAATGCACCCCTTACGAGAGAAGTACTACCATGCCAATTCTCATTCGCGGAAGCTTTCCATCTCCACTCGCTCACGCAAGCTTTTACGAGAGGACGAGTCCGCAGGCTGCCACGGCATCGTCTTCAAAACACCGCCCTCCCGTCTCTGTTTCTCGATTTGGTGCAGCAGGAAGACTAGGAACACCGCGGCTATACAGAATCTTCACGCTCCGATCGAATCATATGAATGTGCTCAGCGACTTGTCATCGGCACTAATCGACACGTCTTACTTCTTACGCCTACTTTCGATGACGATCGAAGAAGAATGGATGGACTTGCTTCCGACATCCTGATGGCCATTCCGGTGGTCCATTGCTATCTCTATTGGTTCGCAAACCCAAGGGAAAAGACCAGTGGCACCGAGCCGCTGCAAAGATGCTCTCGTCCATGACTCTGATGATTACGTTAATCCACTTCGATCCCAGACCCCAGGTTTCTGGTAACGATGGCCATCTCAGTCATCCATCATCGTTGAAATTGCTTTGCCCGGGTTCGGCGTCTTAACCTTCCCTCAACTTGGACTGTACCGACTTGATGGATCCAGGAAGGCAATCATCAAGGTCCCTGAACTCTGGCAGGGTCCGGACACTGCTTTGGTCACGGAGGCAAATCCGCTCAAGGGCTTGAAACACTAACTTCGCCACAGAAATGAGACTCAGGAGCAGGACTGACCAGCCTCTCGAAATAGTAGAGAACCCAGGAAACCAGAGTCCAAGCAACGTTGAAGAAAGTAAGCCCACACAAGCTTTCACCCTGATCGACTCGTTGGTGAAGGTAAAGGCCAACCGAAGCTTTCTTACTATCCTCGTTATTAAGTGTTGTTCACGCCCGCCACCCTTCCAACACCTCCCTGATTCACGCAAGGAGAATGGCCCAGTCACGACTGTGTGAATGCCTTTAATACGCGGATACCCGTCCAATACTCAACTATGAGCCCAGGCATCAGTCCAGGTGTAGAGAAGAAGGAATGGACGAGGGATTGTTGAGAAATAGCTGCAAGGAACTTCAAGAAATCCTGGAACTACCACACCCTCGACGAAATGTGGTCACTTCAAATGGAACCAATCTCAGGCCTAAACACCCCACAGCGAGGAGTTAGGGAACACCATTGTTGGTATATCGCGGACACATTGGACTGGCGTTTCGAGGACCAATGGCAGAGCGTCTCCTTGTTGAACTCCTCATCCACGTGAGTCGAGTGTTCGATGGATATGCCGCGCTTGCGACACAGGCTGGCAGACTGGCACCGAACAGACTCTCACATCGTACGCTGGCAACGACCTCGACAGCGTATTCTCGGTGCTTCGGTCAAAATGGAACGTCCTGTGCCGTAATGGAAGTGCCATCTCTCCGACTTTTCACCATCGACTACGCTGCGAATTGCCCTCCAAGCTGCTTAGATGGCTAAGGAGTAATATGGATGAATGTTCCACTTTGGGTGGGACACCGAGGGTAGACTCAAGTTGCGATGGAGAGATCTCACTCGCATCAATGCCGCAGTCCGTCATGAAACACCCCAAGATTTCGAAACACTTGAGAAGGCAAAATGTTTTGAGAAAAGAGATGCATCCGACACGCCAGATCTAGTCGATACCTTGGCACGCTCGATCGCCCATCACCTGGAGTCCAAACCTCACGTCCTCAGAATGCTTCCTCAAGATTCTTTGTCTTCTTCTGTCAAAGCAAGCCATTCTTTCATCCCAAACAAAGCCTCTTTCTCCTCACTCCTTTATCTCTCTCCCACAATGCCCTTCAAGCCCCCCGTCAACATACATAAGCCAACACGCCTTGCACATCAACCAATTCCTTTCCCTTCGTCAAATCTCTCACACCAACCCTCTCCTCTCACTCTCCTTTCAGCTTTCCCGGCGAAAGCTCCAGAGATCTCACACCAACAGTCAATCCTCCACTCAACAAAGGTAGCAGGTCTACTCTCCCCACTCACCAACCATGGGCGCCACATCCGCAGCCTCCGGCCCCCAACCCACGATCATCGTCGGCGTCATCTTAGGCCTCGCCATGATTTTCATCGCCTTCTGCATCGGCCTATACAAGTATCTCGAGAAGCGCCGAACCCTCCGCGCTGTCGTCAAGCAAGACGTCGAAGCCCAGGAACAGCAAACGCAAAACCAACCCGCCTGGCGAGAGGTTTTCCTCCTCAGCAAAGTCCGACCAGGCGCTCTTCTAACCCGCAACAAGCAAACCGGCACCCCACGAGACGGCGAGGTGAGTATCGTAGTCTTAGACAGCTCGACGCAAGCCCACACAGCCGTACCCGCGATTCCATCGCAGCCACAACCGGGTCCTCAGACTAGGATGCAGACGATCCCTGAGTAGTGTAGGACGAACCGCCGGTGCCCGATCTCCTCATGGATTTTGTCGTTGTTGGGTCTTGTTGGTCGAGTGACGAGGAACGGTAGGTGTACGTGGAGGAAGACCGGCGACTACTACCGTTGTTTTCGCCTTGGTAGCGGAGAGCGAAATTTACGGGCGCGACGCTCGAGGTGAGGATTAGAGCTAGAACGCTTTTTTGGTTTGCGAGGTCTTTTTTGGTCTTCGTCGTTTGTTTGTCGGAGGAGGACATGTTTGGATGACGAGACGTGTTGAGGTTTGTGTAGGATTCGGATGGCGTAGATCAGAATTCGTTCCGTTGCACAGAATGTAAGTCAGGCAAAAGAGACTGCAACTCGTCGTCGTACAAACCAACTTAACAATATGAATGAACATATCTCCAAAGCCCAGAACAAGGTCACCCACCAGTCTCTTATACCCACCCACCCCACCCACCAACAGCAAGCAAGCAAGCAAGCGACTACCTAACTCACTCATACTCATACTCATCCTCGCTCCGCAGCCGAACAAGAGGATCATCAGCCTTCCCACGAAACCAAACCAAAGAACCCTGTCCGCTCACCATCCAACCGCAACACCACGTCGACAACACCGAACCCTCGCCCACCCCATCTTCGGCGACCGACAAAGCGCAAGCTCAAGCAAGCTGTGCATAAAAACAGACTCAACCAGCCTATGTATGCACAGGCGAACTCACCAATCACAACTCAAACCAGAAGCATTCCGTCAGGCATCCATCCTGCACCCATCTGCGAGCGACTACAGTACGAGACATTCGTTTTCGCTCGCACCTTCACCTACCTCAAACACAGCCCTCGTAAAGTAGCACCACAAGATATGCGCGTCGCGAACACTACCGCTCAAAGCCACACCACCACCTAGGCATCCATAATTCAATGTTCTCCTCCAGCGCAGCGAGCGAGCGGAAGCACTTCGCCGTTTTAGCTGCATCGGTACCCAGGATGGATGGATGATGTAGTTTACACTTGCACAGCTTGCGCTGCGCTCGCTCACGCCCGAGAGAGCGTATTCATTCGCCCGCCCGGCCGCAGGAAATCAGAAAACTTGAAACCTAACCTAACCTGAGGTGAGGTTGGATCCTGAACGAAAGCTTGTTTTTTCTGAACGAACTGCACCGCAGGCTCCGCAGGACGGCGTCCCTGCAGCTGGGGCTGAAGAGTAGTCATCGATGAGAAGACCTCAGGCTCACCATGTCGTTGACTCCACCCCCAATGGCATAATCCCACGTCAGCTGCCATCATTCTTCAAACTTCTCAGATCCAATACTTTGACCATCTCACCTTGCAGATCAATCCTGCACTGAGTTCTTGGTGGAACATGTTTCAATGTACAGAGACGACACACCCATTATCATTCAATGTACGTGCTATTCACAATCTGTCCAATCCTTTTCTCGTCCTCGCTCCTACACAAGACATCATCATCTGACGACACCTTGTCCAGTCGTGAGCTTTCCATCCCTCCGTCTGAAGTCATGCAGTAAAGGCACATCAAGAATTGGACCTCCTCAACGACCCCTTTACAATGACTTTTATCGCTTGCGTTGCGGCATTAATGTATGCAGATCATGTGGTTTCATGCTGGATTGAAGTCAGCAAAGAGCTTTGAACGGTAAGGATTCGATGACCTCACCTTGGACATTTACAGTCTGCTACCATGCACGACCTTGTAGTCGACGGCGAGCTCACGGCCCTCGTCGCTGATGACGAGAACACGAACGCTGCCACGACCGTTGTTGAAGGTGTCGATGAGGCGGTTGAGCAGGTTGCTCTGGTCAAGCACGGGAAGGCCCTGCTTCACATCACCAGTCTCGGTCATGGCAACAACGCGGCCATCATCACGGATGTCGAGCACACGGTACTGCTTGAAGACAGGACCGATCATGTTCTGGACGATGACGGATGGGCTTGGGTTGCTGACGAACGATGACTCCTCGTGGAGCTGCTTGGTGAAGAGGTCAACACCAAGGTAGCGGTGCTGGCCAGTCTGGGCGGAAGTGGTGATGCGGATGACCTGGCATGGGCGGCCTTGCAGGATGAGCAGGTCGCCGATGCGGATGTGGTGGCAGGGGATGGTGATGGTGTTGGGGGCACCGGCTGGGCGAACGTAGCGAGACGACGAGTACTCGCGCTCGCCGGAGTAGCGTGGGGCGCTCATGGTGACTTCGCGGTCCTTGACAACAACGTCCTCTTCACGCTCAACGACACCACCGTGGTGACGACGCTCGTGGCTCTCGAATGGGTGCAGGACGCGGTCAGCAGCGCGGTGCAGACCGTGACGGAAGGAGTGGTAGTGGCCGTCCTCGTCGTAATATCCCATGTCAAGTCGGTGACGACGACCTTCGGCTGGTGCGTCGACGGTGCGGTCTTCGACTCTTACTTTGTCGTCGAAGCGGACGGTGTCACGCTCGGCGTAACCGTCGGCTGGGTAGTCGCGTGGGGAGGTCGACTGGTCTTGCCAACCACGAGAAGCTCTGTACTCCTCGGTGAATGGAGTAGTACGGTCTCGGTAGTCCCGCTCGGCAATGTCGATGCGGGTGTCGAGATCGACTTGGGTTGCGGGAGTGTGACGGGTTGGGTACTCGCGGTCGTAGGTGCGGTCCTGAACGTCGATCTGGGCGTCGGTGTACCTCTGGTAAGGCTCCCGATAACTATGGTTGATGAGGGTCAGCGGCGGTGATGCCAGCAGGGAAGATGTCCCAGAGCAGTGATGGGACACGGCAGGGACACAATGGTGAGAAGAGGCGCCAGCGTTGCTCCGACGACAACACACTACGGGGGCGCTAGGCCGTAGCGTGTTTGCCAAGGGCCGTTTTCAGGGGGCTCGTGCGTGGTGTGTGGTGTGTGGTGTGCTGTGCAGAACACGGTGTAGGGATTGTACGAGGGGGAGAGGATGGGGGCATGGCATGGCATGGGCAGACTTACCGCTGGCGGTCAACGTCTACCTCTACACGAGTGTCGACGCGGTCCTGCTCTTGGTTGCGGCCGATACCTTGGTAGCGGTTATCCTCGGTGATGCGGATGTCCTCGCGCCTGTTGTCTCTGCCGGAGCGATAGCGGTCTTGTTCAGAGATGCGGATGTCCTCGCGGTAGCGGTCGTCTCGACGGGAAGAAGGGCCGGCTTGAGAGGTGTATCGCTCACGTCGATCTTCCCGTCCAGCGCCTTCAACAGTTACGCGCTCGTCAGTCTTGACTTCGGCAGTCTCCTCTTGATTCTTGTATGTTGAGGGAAAGACGCTGAACGGGACTCTGCAGGAGGATGTCAGTGATGGGCGGGTGACGCGTGTGCGATGGGGTCAAGACTCACGGAACTCGGGCGTCGAAATCCAGCGTGACGAGCTCGGGACTCGACTTGAAGGCCTCCCAAATCTACGAGATGGAAGGCAGACAAGCAGAGCTATGGAGCGGTGCTGTGTCTGAGACGGAGGGTGTGGAAGCGGAGGAGAACGACGGCTGCCAGCTCTGGGGCTCTTGTAGGCGGGCGATTGGGTGGAGGGATGCTGCAGACGACGCACGCAAGCAAGCAAGCAGAGGCGGATGCAGCGGTGGGAGTGGTGGATGAAAGTGGCAGTGAGTGATGATGAAGCTGCCGGGGGCCCGCGCTCTTGTTGCTGGCCCTTTGAGCTGTGCTTAGCGCCAAACAACCCCAAGCGCGTCGGTGCCAGGGCAACCGCGACCGGCCACCACCACGAATCAACCCGCCATCTTCAATCATCACCACCAATCGAGCCGCGGCTATTCGACGACCTCTGCTCCATCAACACCATCATCACCACCACCATCCAGCCATTCTCATCGCATGTGCACCGCCCATCACGTGTTTTTCGTCCAATCTCTTCAAGCTCAGAGCCAGACGGGCACCAGCCATGCTCGACCCCCATCGCTCCTTCGCATGCGAGTCCCACCGCACCAGCGTGGCCCCCGTTCATTGGCGATCACGCCGTACTCACCGATGCATCTGTCGCCCAGAATGCTTGTGCAAACCGTCCACCATGCAGCCACGTCGGAGGTCCGCTGAGCGTCTCACGACACTGACACGCTACTGGAGCTTGAACGCTGCTCTCCTGCAGGGTCGGCTTGCGTGTGCAGAAAGCTCCGAGCTGAACGGCAGCAGTCCACCATTCACTCACATCCCAGCGTCGCTCAAGCTCCCAGCCACCGACATTTTGGGAGCTCTGTGCTGCATGCACGAGCTTTGTATCACAGTGGCGTGGTATTGTGCGTCTACACGAAGGATACATCTCGGGAATGCAATATCTGTGCCGATACTTATTACAAAGTCGCCTTCCACGTACTGCACTCCTGAATCCTCAACTTAATTCGCTTCTGCCGCTTCCTTCACAACCATATGAGACCCATACTGCGTTCGCAGGATCGCCCCATGGCGAATTCGAATCGTCGTCATCACTGCCCGCCTGCTCACTTGACATATGAGTTGTTGCCTCCTCTTTCGTCTGCGGCAAGGTGTGTGTAGTACTCTCATCTTTTCAAGCCTCCATGTCGTCCTCTTCCTCCACATCCTCATCGTCGTAGCTTTCCTCAAGCACAGACTGCATTACATCAATCCCAAGCGCTGGAATGTCCATGAGCAGCTCTTTGAACTGCTTCGTCTTGAACAGCTTGTGTATATCCCGAAGGCAGATGTCTGTCACGACAGTTCGAAGCTCCCGCTGGTGCACCGGAAGCTCCTCGTAGATCTGGTAGACGACCTCGGGGAACCAGCTTGCACTCGTGGCCGGCGCAAGTCTCTCCTCGACAGCTTCCACGGCCTCCTCGAGCAGTGTAGGCACGTTGTACTTGCTTGCGACCGTGAACAGGCGGAGGTAGAAGTAGACTCCTGGATTTGTCACAGCACCGCTGGCGTCGAGGCCATAGACATGTCTTAGCATGCCCTCGACAGCATCGCGATCATCCTCGTAGAGCCACATCTCCTTGTACTTCAACTCTTATACAGTCGTCAGCCAGGCCGCGAGCAATCCCGGACTAGCCGTACCACAAAAGGGCTGGTAAACAGCTACAAAGAACGGCGATATAGCAGCGAGGATGGATTCATAGCTATACATACGCTAGTTTTAGTAGCAGATGTTAATGTCCGAGCGCTCTAGGGAATTGTAGTACCTTAAAGTAGGTTAGATATATCTTTCGCTACTCTGGTCTACCTAGTTCTCGAGGTCTTTCTAATCCTAGGTCTAAAGGGCGATACTAAAGCTTATGTTTGGGTCGTACGCGGATGTGGTGTCCTCATCATAGTTCTCGTTATAGTGTTGGCATTCCGTGCTAAAGGTCATTTGAAGAGACATATGAAGTGAGAAAATTACCTACTCGTTGAGCAGTCAGTCGATGTTGGAAGCTGCTCATCAGGCATAGGTAAGAACGGATTGTCTTCAGGGCATCATTAGTCGCGATACTAGGAATGCACGGCTCACATTGTTGAAAGCAGGACCAGGAGAAACGAGAGCACAGTTTGATAGGACACCCATTCATTCATTCTGTAGATAGGAGCTAGAGGCAAGAAGCAAGCCAATTCAACTCACCAGCCTTCTCAGGGGCAGAAGAGGCCAAAGATGCGGAAACCATGCTTCTTGCCCTATTCCCACTTGGCTGCCTCCATTGCAGCTTCGTCGTCTCCCTGTCTCCCTTTCTCGTAAAGCCTCATAGGATATCGCAGTGGCATGGACGCAGCCGTTGGCTGGGAGAAGAGTCTGCAAGCACGCTCAAGGGCGTTCACGCTCCTTGCTCAGGCGAGGCTGGTATGCTTGGTCGATCACCGCAGATATGCCGTGTTGGTGGTTTGTGAGGTTGTTCTCGTTGATGATGGGGTGTAGTCAAGGGTGGTGAGTAGTCGATGGAAGCGGTAATTCGATGCTGTTGTGTAGTTGATGATAGTAAGGAGTCGATGATTAGAGGTGTCATTTCAACGCAGGGCCACACCGCTATCATTGCTGTTAGTCCTGGAACACCAACCTATCAAGCCGATACCGCGCACTCACCGAACCCCTTTCTTAGCGCTGTGCTTGCTCAATCGCTGCTGCGCAACGAGGTGAGCATTTCGACCAGCAGCTTCTTCAGCTTCACCGCCTTGGCGTGGTCATGCTCTTCGTACGCCTCGCAGAAGAGCTTGCTGTAGTCCTTGTGGACTTTCTCGAGAAGAGGTTTCACCTCGCTGCGCAGCTCCTGGCGTGCCGCGCTCTCCTTCGGAAGGTGCTCGTTGCCCTCTGGGTTGGGCTGCTCTGCCTCGAGCTTCTTGACGTATTCGACGACGTCGTTGACGTTCTTCTCGGTCTGCTTCAAGTCCATGGTTTCGGAGAGAGCGAGTCGGTGGAGGGGTGGAGAGGTTGTAGAGGGGCTTGGTCGTAGTATGAGTCGTGGGGATAGGTGGAAGTGTAAGAAGGCTGCGTCGTCTTGGTGATGGCGAAGAGGATGAGAGATGGTGTTGGGTCGAGGTTGATTGTATAAAGAAGAAAGAAAAAGAACTCCGTATAGAAAGAGAGGCATTAGTTATAGATCAGCCATAGCACAATAGGAACATATGAATCAAAAGCACCTCGAATTCCCATGCTCTAGTATTCACGAATTCCGTCTTCTGAAAGCAGCAGGCAAGCATAATCAATCAGGAGGCGGAGACACCATATTTGCTATATTTCTGAAAAAGTCTTAAAGCGCACGAGTATTCAGGATATTTCTTTTGTAGGTGAATAAACAAAATTCTTTTCAGAAGCCGTGGGTATGTACAAGCAGAAGCGATCAGGGGACAGCTTAAAAGCTGGTAGGTGAATAAATGTAGCTCTCGTGTCAAAGAACCAAACCAAGCATTTATCCTCGACCAGACGTATTGGAAGGAGATAATGGAATCAACAACTTACACTTGAGCTCTGGACCAAAGCAGTCTTGACCTACATCTAGCCAAGTCGCGAAGTGGTATTACCATGGTTCCCAGAATCCAGGCGCTGCACAATCGAGGTTCGAGTGACGGTCTGTGATCTCAATGCACCATCAACATTCGAGCAGATCAATCAGTCCCAGCGAGGCACAGTCGTTCTTGGAGCATTGGAGATACTGGAAGCGAGTCGTGCTGCCGAATGTCATTTCGGCCTCGTCCTGGCCCGGCCGTTGGTGAGATATGAGCCTTGTTGTCCCTCCAGATGGCGCGTTGAGATGATATACTGTCTCCTTGCTGTACCATCACCCAGGCGATAAATGTACTTGGTGGTGGTTGTTGGTGTGCGTTCTGTCCAGCCACGTCGTTCCTCGGCTCGCGAGGTGATAATAGTGAGGATACCTGCTATTCAACGTGTTCGACACTTCGACGTTCTCCCTCAACGTTGGGATGGAACCTCGCTTGATGCGTTTGGTCGTAGCAGCAGAGTTGGGGACTGAACCGAGCAATCTTAGGAGGCTCCTGCTTCAAGCGGCTAGATCGTTCCTGCGTCTCGTCGGTCAGTGTTGACTGTCTTAGTGACCTTCCTGCTTCAGATCGACTCTGAATCTCGTTGCAACACAAAGGGAAGCAAGAAGCCCCAGCGACAGCACGTGCAACCTCGCCATTGCCACGTGAAGCTCCTTGAGTCTTTCCTGGATCGAGTCCGGATCGATCCATCTCAGATCCTAAACACAATCATCAGATGCCAATTACCAAAAAGTCCACTTTCACAATGTCAACACCCACCAACCATCCAATGGACGGTCCCAATGCCGCCGACATCACGACAACCCTCCACCACCAACCCTGCTCCCCACCATCTTGCCAACTCCGCCACCCCAACATCAAAGCCTACACCGCCAAAATCCACCTCACGAACCTCAACCCCAACCCCCACCCCATCGGCCACATAGACCTCTACCTCTTCCACAAATCCAAAATGCCCACCCTCAGCCCGAACAGAATGTGGGAAGAGTGCCACTCCTTCTCCCCCCACCACCCCGGAACCAAACTCGACAAAATCGAAAACTACCTCGCCAACGAATCTTTCTCCACGGAGGGGCACGAGAAGATCGAGCGCGCGGAGGTGGTGCTGTTCATCGATCAGGTGTGGTTGGAGGCGAGGTGGAGGGGGAAGGGGAGGGGACTGGTGGCCGTAAGCGAGGCGGTGAAGGCGTTGCAGGTGCCGAGGAAGGGGGTTGTCATGTTGCAGGCGGGGGATGCGGGTGGGGGGAGGATTGGCGATGTGCAGGATGCTGGGGAGAGGTTGACGAGGCATTGGAGGCGGCTTGGGTTTGAGGCTTGGAGCGAGAGTGATCCGTCGTGGTTGTTGGTGTCGTTGGAGGATGTGTATTGGGCGTGATGGGGGTCGGTGGTATGGATTCAGCGGTTGAGTATTTCCTGGTGTCTTGTTGGAGATGCTGTAGTATCCTGCGTTGAGTTAACACGATAGTATAGCCATATGGAAACCTCATTCATCAGCCTCCTTCATTGTCGTGGTTGCACGATATGCTTGATATGTGACGCACTTCTCAAGCTCTCCAGGCTGGCATGTCAAAAAGTGTCGAGGAACATCGTCGAGAGTAAAAAGGCCGAGTTCGAATCAGGATGCCCAAAAGCCCTGAGCCCAAAGTCCTAGCCTGAGCGCCATACAGCGAAATCCGCCACATAGAGTAGGAAGCGCGACGCAAACCCAACTCGATCCAGTTCGACAGCTTCGCAACTTTCCCGAACTGACCAGCAAAACATGCTGCAATTAACGGTACGTTCCATACAGAAGAACCGCATGAAAGCAATTCAAGCGACATTGGCTTGTTATCGAACATCTCCGCGCTCGCGAATGTACTGTAGAAAAAGTACGCCCTGCTGTACGTGCAGGGCAAGGCGCTATCGCAATCCTTCGCGATGCGTACTGGTATAGGGTGTGTGCGGAGGGCTGAGCTGGTAAAAATGCCAGGGTCGATTATAAAGGCTCTTGAACGAAGAACGCCTCTCAAATAGAGTATGCCAAGGTCAATCCAAGGTCTAATCTTGTTTCCGGGTCTTCTGGCTATCGACTGAGATCTCTCCTGCCTGGCATGGACGACAAAAGCGAGCCGAACGAGGTTGCGCCGTCGTTGAAAGAGGATACTGGGACATTGGCATCGTATACTGACGGAAAACGCAAGAGCGTCGACCATAGTCATGGAGAGGCGACAAAAGCAGAGCCTCCCAAACCCGCAGGCCCACCAATGCCACCCGGCCCAGTCGATGGGGGACTTATCTGCTGGCTGCAAGTGGCCGGCTCGTTTGGGTTGTGGGCAAACACCTGGGGCATCGTGAACAGCTATGGTGTCTTCCAAACGTACTACGAGGTGACCGATCTCTCTGGCAAATCACCTAGTCAAATCTCCTGGATCGGCAGTCTGCAGGGTTTCTTGCTGGTCTTTGTGGGTGTGCTGAGCGGACCGCTCTTCGACGCCGGATACTCTCGCGTGTTGAACTTGGTCGGTAACTTCATGGTGGTGTTTGGATTTATGATGACGAGGTGAGGTCGTCGTGTCGTACGCAAAATTTGCCATTAACGATCGGCCAGTCTTTGCCATGAGTATTGGCAAGCAATCCTGGCTCAAGGTGTCCTCATCGGCATTGGTTGTGGTCTTCTCTTCATTCCAACGACAGGTAAGCTGTTGATGGGTCAAGGCTCTTGTTCGCATCCGCCGTTTGCTAAGTCCCCGCACAGGCATTCTACCGCAATACTGGGTGAAGAAACGAGCATTCGCATCTTGCGTAGCTGGAGCCGGCGCCGGCGTTGGTGAGTGCAGAACGTGGTATAGCTTCTGACGCAAGCTCACAACGAATAGGCGGCCTCATCTTTCCAATCGTCTTTCGAGAACTTCAGCCCAAAGTCGGCTTTGGATGGGCGGTCCGTGTTATCGGCTTCATTGCCCTTTTCTTCGGTATAGCATCCAACGTGCTGTTGAAGAACAAGCTTCCGGCTGGCCAATCGAGGAAGCTCATAGACCTTGATTTTTTCAACAACGTTCCCCTTGCAGTGTTCTGGTTTGGCCTGTTCTGGGGTTTCATGGGCCTGTAAGCAGTTCTCGTCGCATCTGAATCCAGTTGGAGAGATGACTGATAATCGAACAGTTGGATCCCGAGAAACTACATTGGAACATACGCTCTGGAAAGTCGAATCGCCGGAGAAACCATAGCATTCTAGTGAGTACTGCCACAAACTAAGACTTCCCACACGGAAGAGGCTGACATTTCGATTCCAGCCTGGTCGCCATTCTGCAAGCTGGCGCCATTGTAGGCCGTATCGGTCCAGGTCTATTCGCAGACAAGATCGGTCCCCTGAACATGCTGATACCTAGCACACTGGTCTCCAGCGTGCTCGTTTTCTGCTGGATCGCAATCAAAAACGAAGCTGGCCTGATCGTTTTTGCTGTGCTCTACGGCGCCATGTACGGTGTGATTCTAGGAATGGCACCTCCAGCAGCGATAACACTCATGAAGGGCGATCTGAAGCGATATGGATCATTCGTCGGGATGGGTTCCTTCACAGCTTCTCCAGGAGTTTTGATTGGAAACCCGATAGCAGGAGCTATTCTGAGAGGCAGTGGCGGTTTCGTCGGCCTCCAAGCGTTCACGGGATCTATTTTGCTCTTGGCGGGACTCCTTTTCATCGCCGCTCGGATAATGGCCGTGGGCTTCGGACGCAAGGCGATGTGATAACACGGAGGCGATAAGACGCTCTTCGGTGGACCCAGACCACCGTCCTACTTGTTAGCAGGGACGATGACGTCTAGACTTCCGCTATCAGGTATACCAATATCAACATACGTATTTGCAGGTCACGCTGGCCTTGGTTGACGCTGATCCACCGCTGATACTGAGCCGCATCATAAGCCGGAGCTCGCGTGAACGTCGGAACAAGCAGGAAAAGTTTGCGGAGAGGACCGGACTGGGGTGCCCCTCTGCCCCTCCTCCAGGCGCGTCACTGGTAAGTTTTGATCATTAGCCGTACAGAAAGGCATTGGCAGGCGGCGGTTGTAGGGACCGCGGCAAAGAGAGGATGAAGGATACCTTAATAGCTCTTTTCCGTAGACCAGGGGGCACTTCTTCTCCTTCTCCCCTTCCTTTTCCCTCGACCTCCCAGGATTGTAGAAGTTGTCAGCAGATCCAGTTGGTACCGCTGTCTGCGTAGTTGTTGATACTCCACCTCTGATATCATACTGAGCTTGCAGCCGATCGCAGCTCCATACTTTCGTCAATATTTCTGCCTGCCTGTTCCTGTCGAGAAACTGCTCTGCGCGAGTCTCACATTTCGAAACCCATCCTCGAGAAGATTAGCAAGCACAACACGCAAAAATGGCATACAACGGCGAAGGCGGTGCGGTGGGCAAGGAGACCATCAACACCGAGATCGTCACGCTCTCGCGATACCTCAGTGAAGAGCAAGCAAAGCATCCGGAAGCGACTGGTGATTTCACGTAGGTGCTGAGTTTTTCGAAAATGGTAGTTGCGTGCTGACATTCTCACAGCCTCTTGTGCCACGCACTGCAGTTCTCCTTCAAGTCGATAGCGTACTACATCCGGCGAGCCTCGCTTATCAACCTGTCCGGCCTGGCAGGATCCTCGAACACGACCGGAGATGACCAGAAAAAGCTCGACGTGATTGGCAATGATATCTTCATCGCGGCCATGCGGTCCTGCGGCCGTGTCAAGGTGTTGGTGTCCGAGGAGAACGAGGAAGCAATCGTCTTTGACCATCCAGATGCTCGATACGCTGTGGCCTGCGATCCAATCGATGGGAGCAGCAATTTGGATGCCGGTGTGTCTGTTGGTACCATCTTCGGTATCTACAGACTGAAGGAGGGTGTTAAAGGCACCAAGGAGGATCTGCTTCATCCAGCCACCGATCTCGTGGCAGCTGGTTTCACCATGTACGGTGCTTCGGCACAGCTGGTGCTGACCATGAAGGGAGGCGCGGTCAACGGCTTCACCATGGACAATGCATTGGGCGAGTTCATCCTCACTCACCCCGACATGCAGATGCCCAAGAAGCGCGCGATTTATAGTTGCAACGAGGGTAACAGCAAGTACTGGGAAGAGCCAGTGAAGGAGTGGGTTGAGAGCCTGAAGCAGGCCGAGAAGCCATACTCTGCGCGTTACATCGGCTCGATGGTGGCCGATGCGTACCGAACGCTGCTGTACGGCGGCATCTTCGCATATCCAGCCGACAAGAAGTCGCCCAAGGGCAAGCTGCGGATCTTGTACGAGTGCGGACCGATGGCCATGGTTTTCGAGAATGGTAAGCTAAGGACCCTGTTTGATATCCTTCACAGATATTTGTTATCCCACCAATGGGCACAGTGCTAATACGAGGTGCAGCTGGCGGTCAAGCGGTCGACAGCAAGATGCGACGAATGGTGACGGTGGTACCCGAGCACATCCACGACCGAAGCGGTATCTTCCTGGGCAGCTACGAAGAGGTGCAGAAGGTCATTGATATCCACAAGAAGCATGGAATAACGGCGTAGGAGCATCAGGGTGTGGCATTCGTATATTTCGGGTCAGATGAAGCTGGTTGAAACTGTATAGTCTCTATGCAGCCGTTTGATAGGCGGTCGTGCTGCGTATGCACTTTTCCATGAACCTTCGTCGTCATCACCGTCCATAGTTTTCCTGGTGCTGCAGGTACCGTGTGATCCGCGTGGGACTATGGTCAGCAGAAGTTGATGCACCTTCATGCAAGGAGCTCTGCCATGGGAGGTCCATGTTGTGTGGCAGGACGAAGGTTTGCAGGAAATCGGCGGCTGAGGGAAGCGGCCAGGCCACGTCAGAAGTGCGCGAATTGCAGCTGTTTGGCTCCCATACGAACAACCGCCCCTTTCGAGCTCGCCGACAGCGTCGATATCCACAGGAAAAGAACATGTCGCGCGTGGTGGAATGAAGTATATGCCAAGAATAGTCGAATGCTTGGTCGTGCTTTTAGTCGTGGGTCAGGAATGCCTTGCGTCGAGGCTCGCTTCTGGTCAGCCATCACGCAATTCCACGACGGTATGAGGACGTGGCCACGAACTCAATTGCCCAGCGCCTGGGCGTTCCGTCTGACACCTAACCTCCCGGCAGCAGACCAGCGCCACCATGGCTACTGTACTCTCCCTCCTGTACTCCTCCTCTCACGTTGTTCGCGTGGTCGTTCATGGCGAGCGGACGCCTGCTCATGACCATGTGTGATGCCGCCGAAAAGTCGCGCCTCGTATCCAGCGACACTGCCGCTTTGGCTAATGCTGCTACTACTCCGGCCAAAACTGGAGCCAGCGTGAAAAAAGATCCTGATTCTCCGTCCTCTTCGTATCTTTATAACCTGGCCATGGTCGACTTGGGTGAGTAGTTGTGCGCCCTAGCGTGTGTTTGTCTTGTGATGGGATCGGCGCTCACCATCTTCTCCTCAGGCATTTGGGGCGACTTGGCCCTCCGAACATGGGTCAATATCAATCCTTCCACACAGTGGGCTAATCGCCAGATTGAGCCATATCGAGGACTTCCCTTCGGGACGTATCTGCACTCTGCACGACCCCGGCGGCAGCGAACACTCACTGGTCCGTTGGATCCCGCGCAGGAATCGTTATGGCACCGAGTACAGGTCCTCTCATCGCTGGAATCAGAACAGCGAACTGATGAGCAGCTGGATTGTGCCTTCCTCGCCAAGCTGCCATATGATGTCCGCCTGATCATCTACGACATGGTCCTTGGCGGCAACACTCTCCATCTGGAAGCCGCCAACCCCAAGAGTCGCATCTTGCATTCCGTTTGTCGACATCCTGAGAGGATCGACAATCCGGGTGTCCACATCGACTGCTCATACCATTCTGCAGTGCAAGCAACGTCAATACCTCGCGAGGATTGTCGAGATGCCACCGGTTTTCTACCTCTCCTTGTGACTTGCCGCAAGATCTATTCCGAGGCCATCGGCTCGCTGTACAACGGCAATACCTTCGAATTCACCCAGAACTTTGCCGCCTTTACTTTCTTGAAGTACATGCTGCCGCCGCAGCGTTTGCAGAGTATTCGACACCTGCGCCTCCATCTTCGGATCCCGCGGCACCCGAATTTGAACACTCGTGCGCTGCGCGACTGGCAGGACCTGTGGACTTTCTTCGGCGACGAAATGACAGGCCTGCAGAGTCTCTACCTTCAACTGCAGATGCTGCAACCGATGGAGGCACATATAGAATCGACCAGCGATGACGAGGCCGAGGACTGGATCAGGCCAATGGTTCTGATGGCGGTGGACGCTCGCCAGAAACGGGGTTGCAAGGTGGAATTGGAGACGCGCAAGGTCAGGCATGAGCCTTCCAAGATCTTCCAGCAGACGACGATGCAGTATCCAAATGCCAGCACCGATGAGGTGCTCAGCCTGACTTGTACAGCGCTGCACCAGCGGATCCGGCTGTCATTGGGGTGAAAAGGGGCCGGGTGTGAATCTTGGCGGTAGAGTACGTGGAAGTGAATGAGGTGAATCGTGACTTCTGGAGCGCGAAAGTGAATGAGGAAGAGGACGACAAACACTGCGCCTGGTGCCAAGTCGCTCGCGTGGTGCTCATTCACAGCAAACACCACCGCGCTCTGATTTTCCTTCCCATCTCATCTCCCCAATTCGAGACAACACCAGCCAGCCAACTCCGACAAAATGGCAGACATGGACATTGACAACTGGGGATTGTCCACGCCATCGCGTAAGCGGTTCAACCTAACACCTCGACTTCAGCGCGCTGACTTTGGAACCAGAGGCCATAGGACCAGGCCACTATGGCACTCTCGGCGTGCACCAAAGCGCGAGCAACCGCGCTATCATGAAAGCGTACGATGCGCTCGAGGCGAGGGCCATCCAAGAGCTCACCTACGACGAGCCCACGGCTCAGCAGGAGGCCGCCAAAGAAGCGCCCCTCGAGCAGGTGAGTTTTGGGAACGCTGAAGTAGATCACGCAAGATCTAACAACTTCACAGCTCCGCTCCGCCGCCAGAATCCTCAACGACTCGAGGACCCGCCGGCTGTACGACAGGGAGCTCCGCGGTGAGAAGGTCGACTGGGACCACTGGGCCGCCAAAGCCCGCGACGCCTACAGGGGCTATCGAGATCTCGACAGTCAGCGCCCTTAGGTCCGATACCCAGACACATGGATCGCAGCCATCGACAGACGTGACTGGCCCACACCATCGCCACGCGCCGGCAGCCCGTTCATACGTCGACGCTATCTACCAAACCCATCCAACTTCTCCAACACGAACGGACCTACTCACCGTCCTATCCCAGCCTGCCAGTCTCCGAGCAACCTATCCAACCCGCCCCCGCGCCACGGACCTGCTCATCATCCAACTCGTAGCAGCCCAGTGTACATGCGATACAGCCCCTCCCAGAAAGGACTTGACTGACAATGAGAACTACAGACGATCTGGACAGATGGAACGCTTTGATGGAGGACTTGTACTTGCAGATGAAGTTGCAAGATGTCAAGGGACTTTGAAGGAGGAAAGAATGCGACTTCGCTTGGAGAAGAGCGTAACATGCAGGAGATGATATGCTTGGCGTGGCAACCCCTTGAATCAAGGCTTTTGATTACATAGTATGCAGAGGCTGGAAACGAATGATGAAAGCACACTGGAAAGGAAACATGGATGCTAAGACGGCTCTTAGAATGAGCTTTGTGATAGCACGAACATGCCATTTGACAACCCTCTTCAAAACAAGGTCTCCATTCGATGAACGCTCGCTTTTACTTCATCTTCATACATTTCATCATCGCTCACACGCCACGATTACATGTATTGTACAGATTTGTGACCGACGACGACGACGACGACGAACCAGGCTTTTGACTATATCTTCCCACCCAAACCCTCCATATGAGCCACCAAATCCTCAATCGTCACCACCTTCAACCCATACCTCCTCGCAAAAGCCAAGCACCCATCCCGCCTCATCATTCCGAAATTCCCACTCCGCTCCGCCCGTCCGGGCACCTCCTCCCCGTCCTCCACCATCTCCGCAATCACGGCCACCGGCTCCTTGCCCGCCAGCTTGCAGAAATCCACCGCCGCCTCCGTGTGTCCCTGCCTCTGCCTCACGCCGCCCTCCCGCGCCTGCAGCGGAATCACATGTCCGGGCCGTCGAAACGCCTCCTTCGTGACGTTCGGATCCGCCAATCTCCGGCACGTCAGACTCCGGTCGTGCGCGCCGATGCCCGTCGTGACGGCCGGGTCGGCGGCGTCGATGGTGATGGTGTAGGCGGTGCGGTGCGGGTCGGAGTTCTGCGTGACCATTTGGGGGAGTTCGAGCTTCGCGGCGAGGGAGGGCGTTATGGGGGCGCAGAGGTAGCCGGACGAGACGTGGATCATGAAGGCGGCTTTGGAGGGGGTGAAGTCTTGGGCGGCGATGATGAGGTCGCCTTCGTTTTCGCGCGAGGTCGAGTCCATGACGAGGATGAAGTTGCCTTTGGCTGTGTGTTATCTTGGTCAGTGGGTGGTTCTTCTTTTCGACCGTTTCTTGGTGGGGTGGTTTTTTTGGAAGTGGGGGGTATATCGATGACTCTGCGTACCGAATGCCTCAATGGCGTCTGGGATGGTGTTGAAGCTGACATCGCCGTTGACTTGCGCCATGGTGGGAGTGTATGGCTGCAAGATGTCCTGACGACGATGACGGCCTGGAGAGAAGGAGTCACGGCAGCAGAGGTCAGGGAGAGGTAGATGTAGTAGTGGAGTAGTCCAGGTTCTTTGAAAGCTTAAGATTGCGTGAGACCCGGTTCAGACCTGGTTCAAGTAATTGGTGCTATTTGATGAGGATTGATGGGCGGTTTGAGTAAGTGCTTGGGTAAGCTGCCGGGGCGACGGTGGGTTGTATTTGTAGACATGGCGGCAGCGAGCAGTGTCGGCTCTTCTTCGACATCATGTTCAATCGCATCAGCAATTCGGCGCAGTCGGATCTTTTCGCCGAGGGTGGTCGGGATCTGCTGGTGCGCGTGCCGGGACTGAGATTGACACCTGAGGCCAACATCTCACTCATCAAGCGAATCTGATCCGGGCTAGCGGCCGGCTTGGCGCAGACACTTCCAAATTCTGGCAGTCGCAGCGACATCTGCTGCCAGGCGAGCGCTCACTTCGACCGGACGACGACGACAACACCGACACCCCCATCACCGCCGCAATCATGTCCGAATCCCAGGTTACCTTGCGCACGCGCAAGTTCATTCGCAACCCCCTCCTCGGCCGCAAGCAGATGGTCGTGTGCGTGACAAACATCCATCCACCACCCCCATCCGCCAAACCGACACTGAAACTAACATCTCCATCTCTACAGTGACGTCCTCCACCCATCGCGCCCCAACGTCTCCAAGGACGAGCTCCGCGAGAAGCTCTCCCAGCTCTACAAGACCTCCAAGGACCAAGTGTCCGTCTTCGGCTTCCGGACACAGTACGGTGGCGGCAAGAGCACGGGTTTCGCCCTCCTCTACGACTCGGCCGAGGCCATGAAGAAGTTCGAGCCACACTACCGCCTCGTGCGCTACGGCCAGGCCAACAAGATCGAGAAGGCCTCGAGACAGCAGCGTGAGTTTTGCACCCTGCATGTGTGGTGGATCGAGACAGCTATTGTCTCTGGTTGTTACACTGGATACCATACTGATGTGGATGTGTTATTCTACAGGCAAGCAGAGAAAGAACCGCTCCAAGGAGTTCCGCGGTACGGCCAAGACCAAGGGTGCCGCCAAGAAGGACAAGAAATAAACGGTTCGCGCTGGGGTTACTGCTGCTCTTGCTGGAGTTGTGGGTTTGGTGGTCATGATGAGGTTTCATGCTGCATGGTGCGCTGTGCTTTCTGCCTGCATGAGATGGGATTGAAAGAGTGCCGATTCGGCGTCGATACACGAGATGTAGCTACGTCGAGGGCAATGAAAACAGACGTGGCCAACCACGATCCAATGTCTTCGCCAATCCTGTCTTCGTTTCGTTGCAAAGGCCCGCAAGGTTTCCATAAACCTCGCCCTGTCCCGCTTCTAACACATTCAACCAGCAGCCACCAAGCTTCCCTCCGTCACGCCATTCTACAACGACTTGTGTTCCTCAACGTACACTTTCGACGCCCCGCGGCCCAGAACACACCGCTCGCAGCAGCAGTACTCTGAACTGTTTGAAACATCGATATGGCACTCCTTGAACACCCACGTAGCCCGCCGACATCTGCCCTCGGAGAGGGAGAGCACCGTCTTCCGGACCCGCTCCGTCCTCTCAGGAGTCATGCGATGTGCCACCAGCACCAGGACCTCTCCAATCATCGCCGCATTCTCTTCGCCAATCGCATCCAACCACTTCGGGAGATCACCCAGACCCTCCTGACGCCTGATCGCTGTGAACGCGAAGACGTTGGTCGCCAGCGTAGAACATGGGAAGTGTATCGGCGCGGACTTGCTTGCTCACTCGAGTGAGCGCCGGCTGCGAGATACCGACGATGGACTCGCTGTCCAGGACGTGCGGGCCTCCCATGGGCACTCGAACCCCACCCAGCTGTCTGTCGCCGGAGCGGCGGTTGATCTGTCAAAAAGCTCGTCAGTCAATACAGACTCTGATGTGCAAGTTGTTGCAGGTGATTGACAAACCCAAATGTACGCCTTTGGGAGATACACGCACGGCTCGCACGGCTCGCGACGTGGTGAGCATTTGCAGTAGCTTGTGTCGTCGTCGTCGTCGTCGTCGTCGCCGCGGACGGATCCGAGGCATTTGCTGCACTGCAGAACCCTGAGGCAGCCGGAGAGTTTGTAGATCTCGTTGCGAAGTTCCGCAGGGAGCGAGAGGAACGATGTCGGCGTCTGAGCTCCTGCTTCGTCTCTGCCTTCTGTGTCTGCCATGGCGAAGTGAAGGTTTGTTGTGTTGTAGTGTTGTAGTGAGGAGATGGAGTTGAAGTCGTTGTTCGCCCCCCGCCGGGGGGGGGGGGGGGGGGGGGGGGAGGTGGACTGCGCTGCTTTCTTAGCGTGCACATGCAAACGCTGCCCAGTCGCATGAGGAAGGTGCGGCTGTCTTTCGATTTTTCGACGTCGTGTCACAAACATCATCTCATAGTTTACCAAAGCTTTTAATGGGAACCACATACTCCAATCTGAGGACTCCGGATCACAGACTTTTGAGAGGTGCACCGATCGATTGACCACGAGTTCGAGGGAAATGCTCAACACCGGCGGAATTCAGGAGGTTGATTCCGTGGTACATCGAGCTCTGCCGGTAAAGTCATCGCTGAAACCAGCCTGCGTAGAGATTATTGGTGAAGTCGATGGGGAGGGTTCGCAGTTCAGTGATGCGCAGGTTTGAGAGGGATAGTGTGAGAAAGCATTTGGAGAAGATGTAGAGATTGAGAGGCAAATCGAGGCCTTGTATAAAAATGTAATTGAAAGGATTTGAGTGACATATGCTCAACATGGCCTTGCTCTCATCTGGTGCTGAGATGTTGCAACGAGAGATAGCAATTACTCGTCCGTAACTACTGAGGGCACCTAATAATGCTGCAATTCTACCGAACGCCCTCGCGAGGGTCAGGTCGCCGTCGATGTTGGCTGTTACTGTCCCAGCCCTCTTCTATTGGCAACTCGAATCTCGACTTGGCCTCCCTCGCTCTTCTCGTCCTCCTTGGTGACCCTGTGAGCCGCAAGAATGAATGCTGCTTGTCTCCGAGTACTGAATCTAGAATCTGGCTTGCTCGAGGAATCACGAGTCATCGTGTTGCACACGTTCAACATCTAAGGGAAAGACAGATCGCTTCGACGTGCGAGGTGCGAGGGAAGAAGACGATGTGACCTCGTCCAAGGTTTCTCCTTCAGGCAGGTCGCGGGCGAGGCGTGAATGAACGAATTACCGTCGACCGGAGCCGGGTCCTGTAGCCGAAGTTTAACTGGACAGAATGACGAGCATTGACGTTTGTACGTCCTCGCGCGCTGTCCATGTCATCACAGCCTCTCGAGCTTTTGCTGGTGGCGACGGCGACGATCGAGTACAATCCCTTCTTTTCGTCACTCCATCGCTGCTCATTGGTGGCACCTACCGCTCTGCAACGATGAGATCGCAGCTCCTCTGAGATCTCTCTTGTCACAGCCAATTGAAGGCGGCATGTATTTGCTTAGCTCCTCCAGAAACATCGATTCGTAGCCATGTCGGCGATTCTATGCCTGCTTGGACCAATGGACCACAATGCAGGGCCGCTTAGAATACTCGCTCGCCTCACACGGCAGCTGGAGAAGGTGGTATAAGAACACTCTTCCTTCCACGGCTCCCCTGACCTTTCCCTCTTCCCCATTTACCACCCCACACCATTGACCTACAACATGGCACCAGCACCAACAGCACACTTCGCCGATGGCAACCAGAGTGGCGACTTCCACCGCAACTACCACGACGATAGGAACACCTCGTCCGAAGAGACCATCTACGCGACCAGCAATGGCGTCCCCATGGCTCACCCGTATGAGGCCCAAAGAGTTGGAGACAACGGACCTCTGCTGCTGCAGGACTTCCACTTGATCGACTTGCTCTCGCATTTCGATCGTGAGAGGATACCCGAGCGTGTCGTCCACGCGAAGGGCGGTGGCGCCCATGGCTATTACCAGACTACCGACCCGTTGGACGATCTGTGTCTGGCGGATATGTTCCAAGCTGGAAAGAAGTGCCCAGTTACAGTGCGATTCTCCACCGTCGGTGGTGAATCGGGCTCCCACGACTGCGCTCGTGACCCTCGAGGCTTCTCAGTCAAGTTCAGGACCGAAGAAGGCAACTGGGATATGGTGGCCAACAACACTCCAGTCTTCTTCCTCCGCGATCCCGCCAAGTTTCCACACTTCATTCACACGCAAAAGAGAGACCCTGCAACGCATCTCACCCACGCCGACGATTCGACCATGTTCTGGGACTACCTCAGCCAAAATCCAGAATCAGTGCACCAGGTCATGATCCTGATGGGTGACCGAGGCATTCCTGATGGTTGGCGCAAGATGCATGGTTACAGCGGCCACACTGTCAAGCTCATCAACAAGAAGGGTGAGTGGGTGTATGCCCAGATGCACATGAAGAGCAAGCAGGGCACCGGCTTCATCACTCAAGAAGATTCCGCCAACTACTCGCCCGACTACGCACAAAAGGACCTGTACTACGCCATCGAAAAGGGCGAGTACCCTGGTTGGGATGTCATGTTCCAGACCATGACACCAAAGGAGGCCGAAGAGGTCTGGCAAAAGCAAGGCATCAACATTTTTGACCTCACGCATGTGTGGCCTCAGAAGCAATTTCCGCTCCGCAAGGTCGGCGAGTTCTTCTTGAACGAGAATGTGCAAAACTACTTTGCTGAGATCGAGCAAGTGGCGTTCAGTCCTTCCCATTTGGTTCCAGGCATCGAGCCCTCCGCAGACCCTGTTCTCCAGTCAAGACTGTTCTCATACCCAGACACGCACCGTCACCGTGTGGGCACCAACTACCAACAGCTGCCTGTCAACGCTCCGCGCACGGCACACCGCATTGGCAACTTCCAGCGAGATGGACCAATGGCGTTCAACAACCAAGGCTCTCGACCAGCATACTTGAGCTCAATCCAGCCTATCCAATTTAACAAGCGATCTGTGGATCTTGACAAGACACACGGGCAGTTTGTCGGCGATGCTGTGACGTTCTTGTCAGAAATCCGACCGGAAGACTTCAATGCACCTCGAGCCCTGTGGGAGAACGTTTGGGATGAGGATGCAAAGTCACGATTCATCAACAATGTCTCCGGCCACATGCAGAACTGCCACAAGGAGGAAATCATCAAGAGGCAGATCGCCATCTTCCGCGAAGTGTCCAACGACATTGCCACACGGCTTGAGAAGGCTACGGGTGTCAAGGGATACGATGGTATTGCCAACCTTCGGTTCAATGGTTCGCACAATGGCATGGCTAAGGATGCAAGCCTTCGTGCTGCGAACAACTTGGAGGACAAGACGAATAGGTCTGCCAACAATGGTGCTCCAGTTGCTGGTCAGCACCAGAAGGTGTATTAATCTTGACGAGGTTCTGAAATTTGTATATCAGTCGTGGCATAATGACGAAACGTCTTCATCTCTAAGCGGCTTTACCAGCTCTGTACTGCGTTTTATTCGCGACACGCACATGTGAGAACTTGTCTTGCTGGTCAACAGTCAGTCTTCGCCGTCGGCTTTTCCGGTTTAATGTGCATCACCGCGACACTAGAAGGGATGAAATAGATTGAGTCTCATCAGCGCAGCCTCTCCTCCGGCCCCAGGTACATCGAACTGTACGGACATGCTCGCTGGAAAGAGATGTTGCACGAGCGAATCAACAGGCGCCAAGTCAAACGCCTCAAGCGCCTCACCGCGTCCAGGTCCATGATTGTCGAACCGACTGCCAAGACGTTGCAGCAGCAGCCATGCAGACGGATGACCTCGACCTTCCATCATGCCGTTGCAACACGTGGTGCAGCGTACCACCTCGTCCGCGGAGCCTAAAAGCATATAGCGATGGATCCTTCTCAGGATGCAGAACCTCGCGGAGACGTACCAAAGCCGGCGCCGCTGCTTTTTGTGGACGTCGGAACCAGTGGGAAGCAGCGCAGTAAACAGTCGAGGGCGCATGTTGCTCGTGTGAATCGACAAAGGCAGAGGGATGAGAGGTTGAAGTCTGAAGGGGCTATCAGGGGTTATTCTTCGAAGTTATCCTCCGAAACCTCTTTCAACAAGTCCAAGACAAGGCTACCAAACCCAGATTCAAGGCTTTCCATCAGGCAAAAGAGTGACAAAGCCCGACCGACAACCGCCAGTCGACGATGGAACTCCGCTCCAACAATCCCTCAGCTCTCGCGGACTCCATCCCCTGTCTTTGGCGCGCTCAAAGTCGGATCCTTCGATCTCGAACAGTCACATCACGCCGCAGATATCGCTGACTACTGCTTCAACAAAGTGATGAACAGCTGGCTGGATCCCGGGCTCAAGCCCACATGGTTCGCGGCCTTCTTCGAGCACCCGCTCGTCTTCCACTGCCTGAGCTACTCCTGCGGCATCTTGCAGGATGTGTCGAGCGGACGGCCAGTGCAGCAAGCCCGACTGGTCCATCGCCTCAAGACGATCCAGCTTGTGAATCAGCAGCTGGGGAACATTGACAACGTCGATCCGGAACCCATCCTCTTGGCCATCACCACGCTGTGGAGGATCAATACCGACCAGATGGGTGGCGTGCGTGCAGCCCCCTTGATCTTCACGCCTCACAGGCGAAGTGCCAGTTGGGTGGCTCTGTTTGGGAAGTTGGGCGGTGACGATACTCACTCCCGAGCGATGGTCGAGCTCGTGAATCGCGTGGGTGGAATGAGCAACTTCACCACCCTGCCTTCGTTGCAGGAGACTCTGGCGTTGGGAGATGTGCTACACTCCAGCGCCAATGCTTCAAAGCCGCTTTTCCCAAGCATATGGGATGCCCAGGTCTTCGTCAAAGTGCTGAAGCCATCTCTGCAAACCCTCGCCGGAGACGTGGAAGGCCGCGGTTTCGTCAATCAGGTCCCTGGTGGTCTCCCAGCTGATGCGCTTGCAACGTTCGAAAGGCTGAGTCTGGTTGACAAACTTCTCGACGATTTCTCGGCCAAAAGCGTGAGCCTCTCAAACGACATCATCCTGGCTACCCTGGGAGACGCTGTGCAGCACGAGCTTCTCTCGCTACCATCATGGCCCTCTCTGAATGAGGACGATCGCCACGGGTGCTACCTGGCGACGTACGAAGTCTGCCGCATCACAGCCATCCTCTACTCAAACTCAGTCATCTTCCCAATGGCACCTGACGCATCCTGGCTAGAGAAACTCCTCAAGCAGCTCCGCCTCGTGCTCGAGACGTCGAACATGTCGATGTGGGATGACGATACGCTGCCCATGCTGGTGTGGTCGTTGTTCATAGCCGGAATGGCGGCGTTCTGGACGCGACATCGGTCTTTCTTTGTTACCCATCTGAGATCGACACTCGTGTTGGCGGGAGTCTCGTCGTTGGAGGCTGTCAAGGCGATGATTCGGGTGTTTCTCTGGAGAGATGATGCTTGTGGGCATGGGGCGGATATGCTTTGGGATCTGGTACGGTGGAAGGAGATCACGAGTTGATTGATGGGTTTGGATTTGCGATCTAATTTATGGTCACGACGTCCAGGCTGAGATGCTCCCTGCAAGGCTCAACCGGCCATCCTCGCCTCTTCCCCAAGTGACCGAAACATTTCGAAGCCCCACCGCTGCCGTCCAACGAGGTTGTCTGATTGAGCCAACCGTCAAATCAATCCACCTTATCCAACCATTCCTCAACCTTCTACCTGAGCTGCTCGCGCTGCGCCGCCGATTTCAACCCGCTAGTACTGCCACCCGCAAAAAGCAGTCGCAAGAACCGCGCTCGATTCCTCTGAATCAGTCCGAGCTCCCACGAATCCATAGCCTTCATCTGCCGCAGGGCCTCTCCGAGCATCTCGGGCGCCTGCTCGATGATGCGCCGAGCTTGCTGGAAGTGCAGATTGTGGCGAAGGAAAGGGAGATCGCCATCGAATCCTCTACCCACGCCACCGGGTTGCGTACGCTCGGTATGGGGTTGTCCTACTCGTTCCAGCGTTGCGGTGCCGTCAGGATGCATCTCTGTTCCTGCCCTCCTGCGACGTCCTGGTCTTGGTCTGTTCTGGGCATTTGGCTTGGCTTCGGATTTAGATCGTGTTGGGGGACGAGATGTATCGGGGTTCGCTGGTGCTCTGCTTGATGTAGGGGCTGCGTTACGTTGTGGTTCAGGGAGAGTGGGCTGTATGCCGTGCTCGATCTGCCTAACGAACCGTCCTTGGGTATCTCTTGCAGAGGTCTGGCCACGCCTAGACGTGCCCACTCCTTTAGATTCTGGCTTTGCGATTTTTACTGAGCGGTGTTTGCCCATGATTGTGGTAGTGCAGCTTGTTTTCGCGGTACTCAGATGATGTGAAAGGAATGAAGTTGTATTTCTTCAAGGTACCGAGGAACCACGTGGTTCAGACTTAGACAGTAGATCTATTTATTCTAGCAACATATTGAAGTGTTATGTGTAGTGACACACTAGGCGTCACTCGCCGACATTCACTCGCTGCTCACGCACGTGTGACTTGCTAGCGTCTACCAGAATTTCGGTGCTTCAGGCAGTCATTCGAAGGCGACAGATGTTTTTTTTCTAGGATTGATACAAGCTTTCCATGTATTCGTTACTGAAAAAAGAGCAGCAAAGGGAAGAAATAAATCATAAGGTCAGAGGAGAAGTTGACTCAAGTCATGCTTATTTAACCCATTGCTCATACTCAATGGCCGTCCATAATCCATGAGCTAGACTGATGAGCAGCTTGTCATTTCCCATTCATCACCTCCCTTCGCCCCTCCAGGCTCTTTAGAATTCCCAGTTGATCTTGATCAATCGATCCGCTTCGAGACCTCTCCGCGCGGTTCAGTCAACAACCGCCTGGTCTCTTCTGGAAATTCCCAACCTAGCTGGAGTAGCTGCGGGTTCTCAAGCGCAGCCTCGAGAGTCTGTCGTTGGTTTCTTACGTTCTCACGAAGCTGCTGGAAGGCGACGTTATTGCGCAAAGAGTCAAGGTCGAGAGAGTCTGCTGTAGCCTGGACAGGGTCTGAGCGTCCAGCAGTGCTATGGCCACCGGTGTCGTTTGTTTGTGCTGGCCGGACTTGCGTGGAAGGGTGGTGGTCCCTGTCGAGAAGATCAACATACCCCTTCTTCTTCGGCGGCAGGTCTACCAGCTCCCGAGCTTCGTCTTCAGTCACGTCGACGTAGACAAGAGGACCATCCGTCGACAGATCAGCATATTCTCGGGATTCTTGACCACGAGGCTTGGTGCGGTCCCTCGAGACTGACGGAGGTGCTTGTGCTGTATGCTGACTTTCAGATGCGACTGTGGCCCTTGGGATCATCGAGGAAAGATTCTGCTGAATCTGCGTGTTGACCACGACGCGAGTACCATTTCCACCCCGTGCGTTGCTCTTCTTTGCACTCGTCCGTCCGGTGCGCGATTGTCGGTGCCGACCTGCGATGCCTTGTGCCGGACCGCCAGTCCTCTCGCCACGGCGTCGACCCGTGATAAAGGATGGACCAGGAGCTGGGTTGAGATTGCTGACCGGCCGAATGCCTGACCTGGATTGCGAAGCAGAACCGTGGGATCCATGGACTTCGTCTCCTTGGTCTGTGGCAGCATCCAGCGTATCAGGGCCAGTCAAGTCGATGACGATGGGTTGGTCGACCCGCCTCGTTCGTTTCTCGCTGGAGTTGTTTTCTCGCACATCTTTCGTAGGCTTTTGGATGCGCTTGAAAGGGCCATAGACGGCTCTTTGCTTAGGCTCGCGGCGTGCACCTTCGTCCAAATCACTTTCGGCTTTTCTCTTGGCCATGCTGATGGATGCTCTGCTCGGTTGTGTTGATCGACTTGCTTGAGTTTCTTCAGGAAGTCTTTCTTTTCTGAATCGAATGTAGAAATCAAGAAAGAGGTGTGATGGAGCCGGGAAGATGGAGCTTTAAAAAGGAGGGCGCCATGTGTCGTGTCACTTATTTCCGAAGAGAGTGAATGGTATCGTTCGTGAATGAATGTGAATGAGAAGCGACATACCTTGTATCTCTTCACGCGAGTCACTAGATGCGTATTGGAGACTTAGTGGAGTCGAATCGGAGATGTCTTCTCGTAGGATCCTTCATCTTGGGATACATCCATTCGTCGTGCTGCGTGTCGAATTGCTAGTTGAGCTTCTTGTCGGCCGGCAGACCATTCTGCTCTTCCTCCGTTAACTCTACCTTGAGGACATCCTTGAGTACCTTGACCCTTTCCTCCTCCGTCTTTAGCTCCTGTGGCTCATCGCGTTTCCCACCGACAGTCTTCCGCACTACGTTGTTGAAAAGCGTGACGTCTCCAACAACAGCCTCTTTCTCATCGTCCACCAACAGCTTCGTGCAGATGAGAGAGTAGGTGAAGAAGACCGACGGGTTGTTGGACGTAAAAAAAGACATCATCTCGTAGTCCTGCGGGAGAAATTCGGTCTCCGTGAAGCAGTAGGTAGGAATCCATTTGTCTTTGCCCGGTACGTCCGGCACGAGACACTGATCGAAGCACCAAAGCTTTGGCGCATCATCGCCTCGTCCATAAGTCTCTGGGATCGGCCTCGACTGAAGTCGAATCTTCCTCGGTGCAACAGCAACGCCTTCCCAACCATCCTCTAAGGGATAAACGATAGCAGGCCCCATCGATCCCATGCCCACGTCGACAATGTAACGTTGGTTTTCGAGCTTCACCAAATTCAGCATATGATTCCAGCCGTCATATGTGTCTCCGAACTGCTCCCTCGTCTCCGCATTTGGATTCCACATTCTGCTCACGCGGCCTGCACAGTTCCTTACATCATATCCTAAGCTTCGAAGCACAGTTCCAAAGAAGCCATTGTTCTCCATGCAGCGACCGCCTCTTCCATGTTTTATCCCTCGCACGACAAACTTATCAAACAGAACGTTCATGTTCAGTGATATGGTCTTGTGAGCGGAGTAGTGAAGTTCGAGGTTCTCAAAGGGTATGTTGGCTACGTGATATCTGTGCAGGGCCTTGAGTAGAGGCAGTCCATGCTCTTTCGTCTCGGCAAGGGACGCATCGTTGATGATTGGCGATTTACGGAACTGCTCTGGAAGATTGATGCGTGCAAAGTATTGTTGCAATTGCTCGTGGCTGTATCGTGGGCGGTTCTTGAGATCGAGAGGGACGGAGGTTTGGGCTGGGACAGCTGGTGAGGTCTTGTGAGCCATTGTGAGTTAATGTCTTTCCAGGTGTTTGGCGAATATGGTCTTCGTATTATGTATGAGGAGATCGGCAGCTTGATATGTCCGAACTTGCCAATCTCGTTAACTGTAGCGTAGCGGAGTAGATAGCCGAATGACCTGGGAGGGCCACCCACAATAAGTACTCAGGTGGAGAGCTAGTACACGCGAGCTCCGTTGTCCATTATCCATCATATCTGGCAGGCATGGACGGCAGCATTTGCCAATCATGGTCATCAGTCTGGTCTGACATGCCACGTCTGCGGCTGAATTCAGCTGGAAGACGAATCGCGAACCCTATGCTGTGAGAATGCTGATGGATGGTTGCAGGACTGTAGGCTACTGCGAGTGACTTTACAGGAAACGCGAGGTCATGTGCATACCAGCGCCTAGGTTACTGCATCCTGCTGAAGACCTACGTGAGATCACCCAACGCACCACAAAGTCCATGTAATCGCCAATGCAGGTACAAGGTTGATTCGCGATGACTGTGCCATTCGCTTCCAGTCATCGGTCGCTTCGATAGCTCACTCAGCGAGGCATGACAAAGCTTCCTCCCGTCGATAAAAAGTTGCCAAAGCGAGGGTAAGAGTGTAAGTAGGGGATTTGGTAACGAGGGACTGTCTAGGCTGGCTCGAAAGATGAAGTTCAAACCTAGCCGCACGCACGGGCCTGGCCATGTTGTCTGCCTCAGGCATCAATCCATTGCCTCGAAGTGTGAGTTCGTCCAGTAATGAAGTGACAGGATGAGCATTCCTCACGTCAACTTCACAATCAGGGCTGTTGTGGGTGCTGTGCCGTCACGGCTATGTAAACTTATATGTCGTCGCTCGACCAGTTGAGCCAGTAGCGCCTGATAGTCGCAACATATGCCTGCGTTGGCGAGTCCTTCCAGATGCCTCGAATTGAAGGGCTGTACAGCTTGGTCTGGCGAGAATCGGCATCTCTAGTCATGATGAGATGTACTGTCTTGGTCAACTATGCTTTCAACGACGCCCAGAATTGATGCGAGCGCTATCCAGAAGGTCCGCAAGCGTCTCCAGGTCGTCTTTATCTACTCAAGATCTTTCTGCAATCTCTGGACGTAGGTCAACTTATCTAAAGCAAAGTACTCATTCACCTGCTCGTCGAGGCGTCCATCTAAAGCCGCTAACTTTGTTCTCGCTTGGAGAGATCGTTCGCAATCCTTTCTAGCCGGCTTCTCAATACTTTAGCTGTTGATCTTAGTCGAAGACACCCTGGGAAGACTTAAGAAAGTCTTCGTACTCTTCTACGAGGTTGTTGGTTGACAGGGAGAGGCGCTTTGTATCTACCACGAAGGCTTAAGTAGGAAGCCTCTGAACGAGAATGAGCGCGCAAGAGCCTAGCAGTAAGGAGAAGCATGAAGTACTCAATTAGACTTAATAAAATTGTGTGCACCAACTTTTTCAAAAACTTATTTGGAAGAGGTTGTGCAGGCCGATTTTCTGCTGCGGTCGTCGTATGACGTCAAATTTCGACAGGGGCAGAAAGACAGGGGCTGGAAAGCAGATTCAAGCAGTTCTACATCTTCTCTTTTTCGCAAACCTGAGTAATCGTCAATTTGACGCTGAACTCAAGCGCAGAATGGCTGCCAACTATCATCTGAAGCCTCTGTACCTCTTTCAAGAAGACCGACTACAGCTCGAAAGAACATGACAAGATGTGGCGACCAGCTATCGAAGTCTTGGACGGCGGTTCTTCGCGAAAACGAAGTGAGGTGTAAATGACCTCAGAACTCCATAACGTGCCCCAGTGCAAGTGTGGCACTTGGTGGGTGGCGAGCAGAAGATCAACGCGATGTTGTCATGTCTTGATGCTCGCGACCAGGCTCGGGTTCATCAAAACCACGCTTTTGGCTAAAAGCTCCCCAAGTCTCTCGAGATAACCACCCAAAGCCTTCATCTGACATTTGACGAGGACAAAATGGCGGACCATGTTGAAGAAACAATGCAAACGCAATATATTGGAACGTACCCATATCCCATTGCAATATGGCCGCTGGCTGGTAGCGAAGACGCGCCGAAGGACATCGACATTCTCGACATTCGAAGCAATAAGGAAGAACAAGACTTGGCCTCTGATCTCAAAGACAAACTCCAATTACAAGGGGACGATTACGAACGACGTGGCTTTCCTGCGACTCTACTCGACGCTCAGCAAGAGTTGACGTGTTTAGAAGAAAGGACAGCTGCTGAGACTCGGCTTCTGGAAAATCATGCAGATGATATTGCGATGTCTCTTTTGCCAGGGACAATCATCATTGACATTGGCTTTGGCTCTCTACAACAAACCAAAACGCTCCTCGAGGCATTCGAGTCACATCACAAAATCGTGGACTACTACGCTGTTGGTGAGAACTGGGATGGTCTGCAGAGAACACTCAAAAAGCTGGACGCCGGCAGGTTCAATTACGTTCGTTGCCATGGCTTGCTGGGCACTCCTCAGGACGGCCGAACCTGGATTGCCAAATATGAGAACAAGCAGAGACCCGTATGCGTTCTGTCGTTAGGGAGCACAATCAGCAACATAACCCGGGAAGAGACCGATGCGTTCTGGCGTCAGTGGTCGGAACTGTTGACGGTCAACAACAAATTCAACTCCAACAACGCTCGCATTATTGTCGGCCTCGAGAGCGGGAAGGAATCGAGCAGCAATACGAGCGACGGACATGCCAGTGACCGTTCACAAGCCTACGACGAGCAGAATCTTCATCGACTTTTGGTCAACGCGAACGATCAACTCGGTATCAAAGCCTTCGAACCCTCGGAATGGATCATGACCGCAGAGTGGGATCCAGTCAGCAGGCCCTACGCAAACTTCCTTGTGCCTAAGAAGGACGTAACCTTGAAAGACGTCAAGTTGAAGGCGGGCGAAAAGATACTTGTCGCACGCAGTTACAAGTACAGTGACGAGGACACGAAAGAGATGCTGCGAAACAGCAAGTTGAAGGAGCTGCAACGGTATACTGATGAAGATGGACATTATGGTACGTGAATCCAAGAACCCGTACGGACAAGACTGACGATTTCGGATTTATAGGTGTTTATGTTTTGGCGCCGTGTTAACAGCATGGTCTTGATCTCCGAGGATCTCGACCCAGGTCAATTCCCGAGCAGAAGTCTGCTTTCGTCATGGCCACGCAGCTGTACAGAATCCAGCCGCCGATCCCTCTCCACTTGGCGACACTCGAGTACCTTCCTATACACCATGTTCGGGCCGGTTTTGAACACTTTCAGCTCGCTCGTGCTTGGCTTTCCGACTACCCATTTGTATCCTGCGCTGTATGCTTGGCGAAGGATCCCGATGTCCTGAAGGAAGACCTAAATACGCTGGATCCCGCTGTGGCGAACGTACCACAAGTCCTACGGTGTCTGCTCCGCGGATGCTTGCAGCATGGCCTCAAACCTCAGGCAGGCACATAGCTGCAAGCCTCGCAAGTTGCAAGGTTTTGACCAGTACATCCGTACACGAATCCTCTATGGAGTCACGAGGGTGCCGAGCTGAAGATGTAGCAATACTTCAAAAGGATGGTTGACGCAGCCGCTCGAGAGGGATGGGTGTCCTCGTCGCCTCTCAGAACGTTCAGCCTGTAGGACAATATGACTTCTTTAATCACCGCTTTCACTCCAGCGCCTTCCTGCTTTGCGCCGACTTATACGGTTGCTCCAAGTGGCAATGATACCGTCGCCAACTTAACGGCTATCCGTGGCTATGCCACTGAATGCATGCCTTCTCCACCACAGGCGACGGGATATCCGACGATACATGCGGTGAATTGTTTCCCTGGGTACCATCAGGTCGCTGGAAGCCTCGGCCGTGATGAGAGTTCTACGTATGGAACCTGCTGTCCATCGTAAGTGTCGTTTGTTCACATGTCTTTGGGACAATACTGACCTAGCATAAGGGGAATGACGATCCATAGCACAGCGTCCCAAATGTGCTCCAGCATCACCGGGTACAACTCTGTTACCGTCGTCAACGCAACGCAAACATCCGCTGTGCATGCAAACTTCTTAGTCGCACCCGCCATGGTAATGGCATGGAACTCGCAGGACTTGGTTGGATTGACAGCTTCGAGATCGGTGGAGGTCATCCCGTCTCCAACAGGCCAGTCTGTCGAGACTGGGGCCGATCACCTCCCAAAAGCAGACACTGTCCGATACAAAGTCGTCCTAGCCATTTGCGTTGCTATTGGATGTCTCGTCGGTATTGGACTCGTTGCAGCCCTGATTGCGTTTGTCTTGGCCAGGAGAAGACAGCGAATGGCTGCTGCAGCTGCAGCCAAAGATATGCCGCCAGCGTATGAAGCGAGGAGCAGCGAGAGTAGCGAAGAACTTCCAGGGTACTTGGCTGGTGCGAGGGAGGAGAAGTTTGATGTCAAATGACGGCTTTCTTACTGCTGTTGATGATTGAATGGAGTTGACGATGTAGCCAGACGCATAGTATGATGATTGATGCCCCTGTATGTAACCTATTAGCTTTTGTTTATGTCGGCAGAAACGAACGTCGACGACTGTCTCCTTCCGTATCTTCAGACAAGCTGTTGGGAGAACATACAGAAAAGTGCAATGATCAAGATTCCGACCATGCTTGGAATTGTCTCTCGCTTCTCCCCAGAGTGTGGAAGCGGCAAGTGCTCCTCTTCCGGTCGATTTGTCGTATGTTCGTAAGTAGCATTCTTGGAGAGGACATGGTCGATGACGGTGCCACTCCCTTCATGAAAAGTACTCCTTGGCTGGCCTATCGATTTGTACTCTGCCACTGATCGCTGCGTGCCCGTGGAGATGTCAAGTCCTTGAATAGTCCGCTCGAACATCGTCTGCGCGAGTAAGGGCTGATACCACGTCGCTGAATGTCCTGCCTCGTAGATACGCACGAAAGCGAAGTTACCACTTTGCTCGACTTGGCCGTGGACTACGCCGTCTGAGGTGGTGATGTCTTGGTATCCTGCTGAAGAGAATCCAGGAATCTCAAGAGCTGTAGCGACGGCTTCTCCTCCCATCTGAATCAGTCAGCCAACGAACCACTGCAATGGAAAGGAAAGACGAACCCAGTTGACCATGTAATCAGCATCTCCATAATAGAGAGCGACGTTGACTCCACGCCTGTTCAGATCCCGAAGTGCATCCTTGATACCTAACTCTCGAGAATCATCTCCTGTTTCGTCAAATTGACCTTCCACGAAAAAGGAGTAGTCCGTGTACTCGACCTCTGCCCCAAGTGCCCGACGGACCCAATCCTGAGCCAAGAAGTCAACATAAAAGGTTGGCGGGAAGGGATCAGGGTTGAGGTATCGGATGTCCATGTCGTGCCGTCCGGACATACTAGGGGGTATGTCTTGGACTTCACCGCAGAATATTGTTGCCGAGCTGCAGATGTAGTCCGTCTGGAGTGTGTTGCACTCTTTCAGTTGGTCAAGGCATTGTCCAGGCCCGAAGATCCCTTCGCGAAGCTTCTCAGCAGGGGAAGGGTTGATGAGTGAGAGGTCATATGTGTTCCCGGGAGACACGGTGTAGTTGTACCAGGATATAGCGTGGAGAGTTGGATCGATCCATCCATTGCCGACCAATAGACTCGTGAGATTGATAGCATGGGCGCCTTGTAGCTCTCCGGCGGCAATCCTGTCATTCTGCCTCTCAATATATCTGCACTCCATCAGCGATGTCATCATATCACGGGCATTGTGGGACCGTACTGCGCGAAGATAGGACCATAGTGTCCCCCATAGCTCACCGTAGCAATGTTAAGGCCAGATCTTGAATACTGAGGGAAGGCCCCCATCCAGCCTTGCAATGTCTTCCAAAAGGCTGGAGCTGCCGAAGACGTGGAATTTGGAGTGATCGCTTCGTCTTCCAGAGGTTCGGTGTAGGAGAAGCCAACCCCGACGGGCTGGTCTATCAGGAGAAGGTTGGATGCATTACTATGACTATTAGTAGTTCGAATGCACTTTTCACGGCAAGAGATCGCTCACCTCCAAGAATAGGAACGACTGTACAGATTCCCCTCGAAATCAACTCCACAAGGCCCAATCTCCTCCCTACCATCCATGCTAGATCCACCTGGCCCGCCGCTGAGCCAGACAGTGAGAGGCGCTTCTCCAGGATCACGTTCTCGTGCTTCAAACAGCGTGCAGAAGATATGTTGATTGTCCTCGACGTCGACGTAGCCACTGAATGATTTGAGTCCTGATGTGAGCTCGCAGATGCCTTCTGGAACTTCTTTGTAGCGAACGGGGATGTCGAGGTAGCCTTTAGTGTGTTGTAGATCTTCGGCCTTTCGCACGGGTTGGGAATTGGCCGTCGAGGTAGATATCGTCAGGAGAAAGGCATAAGACGCCCATCTTGCGGTGCATTTGTCTGGTGCGAATGCCATGACAGCTGAGGTTGTCTAGATGAGATTCTCAACCGTCCTCCAGACGATGCTGGTCATAGTAGATGAACGACGAGGTCAGACATAGCCCGTGGCTCATAGGTAAGTGATTAGCCTTGTCTAAGTTTCGTTTGGAACGAGAGGATCTGATGTAATGTTTCTGGCAGGACGCGTCTCTTCTTGCCGATTCGGGCAGAATGAAGCCAAAAGAGGACACCGCAGCCGGGGCTGCAACTAATTGAAGGCATTATCTGCCCGAACAAGGACGGCGCAGGATATCCGTGTGATAAGTGCGATTTTCTGAACGTGTGCCATATGAGAGTATGCAATCCCTTGACAAGTGAATGCTAATTATTCTTGACACATACAGGTCTTGGATTCTGTGTCAACTTGTAACTCTCGACCATACTATCGAACTGATCTGGTCGAGCACGTCGTCGATACCCAGGCCAGGGACATAGCGTAGTCTTACTGTGGGTGAACCGGTACAGTATAATTGTACGAAGCAGCTTGCCTAGGCAGCTGTTCCAAGACAGTCTGAGGGCCCGTGAGCCGGAAGCGATACCTCAACTTAGGATCGATGTCCAGCGTCATCTCATAATCGCCAGGGTAGATTACGAGGTCACCGTTCTCATTCGCCCTCGCAATAGATCCGAGGGTGAGCGGCAGTTCGAGAGTCTGCGAAGCACCGGGAGCAATGTCTTGGGCACGAGTGTATGAAGCAAGCCACTTGTTGGGATATGGTTTGGGACCAGCGTTCGACGTCGATAGGAATACGAGGCCGACATAGTCGGACGTTCTTCGACCAGTGTTCTTGACACGCGCTCTGACTGTTGTGAATGGCGAAGCATCTGTCGCTTGCGAGCCGCCTTGGTGCCCACCACCCCAGCCACCATGGTTCCAGTTGGAGCCGGGAAGGCCACGAATATCGTATGAGTTCTTCGGTGGCGCTGCCCATTCGAGGTTGAAGTTGGTATAGTGAAGGCCATATCCGAAAGGCAGGACTGGCTTGCCAGTGTACCACTTGTACGTTCGGCCCGGGTTACTGGAGCTGGGTCTCAAATTCGGATCGAAAATGCTAACTTGATTGACTGGGCAAGGGAGAGTCAGTGAATTTCGCGGAAAAATTGTCTCAAGAACGTACTGTAATCAGCAGGATATTGCGTGGTCGTCAAGCGGCCAGCGGGCGCTTTCTTGCCAGTGAGAACATCCACAACGGCGTAGCCACCATCTTGTCCTGGATATCCAGCCCACAGGATTGAGTTGACGTTCTTGTTTTGCAAGAGCTGGGTATCGTCTACCTGTCCTCCACCGAATTGCACAACAACAAGCGGCTTGCCGAGCTCAGAAAGCTGTTGGATCAAGTCGAGCTCATTGCTGGGCCAGGTGATAGTCTCTCGATCATAGCCCTCAGCTTCAACTGTAGTGTCGATGCCGCCCATGTAGATGATCAAGTCCGAGCCTTGAGCAGCAGAGATAGCTTCAGCGACCCGGGTGGTGTTTGTCGATGTAATGTCCGTACCAATGGCATAGTTGACATTCCTGAATTGGGACTGAGCAGCTTCCAGAGGGCTTTTGAGGTACGGTGCCGTTCCTTGGTAGTTACCTTGCATTTGCGTTGTAGCATTCGCCCATGGTCCTATCAGAGCGACTTTGCGATAGGAAGTCTTCAATGGCAGCAGGCCATCATTTTTGAGCAGTGCCATGCCTTCCCAAGCAGCCTGGTATGCAAGTGATTGCGCACCTTCGGTTCCGACGTCACTCCAAGCAAGCCCATCGTATTGCGGCTGGCCGTCAAAGTAACCCACCGTGAAGAGGGCTTGGTAGAGGCGTCCTAAAGACTTATCGAGTGTCTCCTCAGTCGTCCATTTGTTCGCGATGGACTCGTTAAGATTCAAGTAGGTCGTACCACAGTCAACATCAGTGCCTGCGTTCAGCGCGACTGCCGAGGCCGCCGAAGCGCTGTCGACGAAATGATGATTGGCGAAAATGTCGCTGACTGCATCGCAATCCGAGGTGACATAGTGGTACGGCTGGTCAAAGTTGAAGCCCTCGCGCAACACGGTCTGCAGTAGGTACTCGCTGGCACAGGATGGGACGCCATCGACAGCATTGTAGGAACACCTGGTCGATGTCAGCGATACGAAGTCGGAGTTACATGTTTGGGGACAAACATGATGCTGCCTGCCCCAGCATCTCGAACACATGTCTTAAATGGCTGGAAATAGTACTCGCCAAGATCCTGCTGGGTTGGATTGTAGTTCTGTCCATTCCTGTTAGTTTCCACGTCGTAGACAGCATAGTGCTTGCAAGTAGCGATGATCTGCTTTGAAGACCCGGTCATGCCGCCCTGAAGGCCAGGAATGAGGTTGTTGACGTAGTTCTGCATGTGAAATGAGTCTTCGCTGGCCACTTCTAACCCACGACCCCAACGAGGATCCAAGAAAGTATTGATGTTGGGAGTCCAAAAGTCGAGTCCCGACTGCTCATAGTTGGCAAACGCGCGAGCCTCTTTGCCAATGATGGATGCCACTTGTTTGATCAAAGGATCGTCGAATGCTGCGCCCATTAGAATAGGGTTAGGGAAGCTCGTCGCGTAGCTGAAGTCCGACCCATTTGGTTGATTGAACGTGACACCAGGGCTACCAGCCACTCCGTGAAGTGCTTCACTCCACCACTCATATGGTGGTAGGCCAATCCTCGAGGCACCAGCCGCAGCATCGACCACGTTCGCTATCTTCTCTTCCAGAGTGAGCGATTTGAGCAAAGCAGCCACACGGGCGGAAATGGAGAGCGACTTGTCGCAGGCTCTTTGAGAGCAAAATGGATTAGTCAGGCACACAGGCTGTCGGTGCTGGTTCTGAGGGCCGGCATTTGGGTTCGGGTTCTGGATCTGATACAGGTTCATGCTGCATGCTGTCTCAGTCTCTGGGCATGCAAATTATCCCATTCAGCTCACAAATATGACTCTCCGCATTTCTGTGACGGGTCTCCGGGGCAGGTTGAAGAGCATGCGCTCTCATCGGTCTTGTTGGCAGCCGGGTTGATGTTGTACCCACAAAAGCATTGTCTAGCATGATAAGCTTGGAGATTGAATGATCTATAGTGATGATATAACTTACACGGTGTACTCGACTGCACTGTAGTTGTACCCAAGGTTGCCACAGTAGTTTGCACACCACTGCGGACTGTTGGTGGAAGAACTGGTCATTCTGCCATTCAGGGTTCGAGTTGTAGCATCAGTGTAGCAGCCTAGATATGTGGTGCTCGCGTTGTACTGAGTGCCATTTTGTCCAGTGCACTTGAAGCCATCGGCGTTGACGCGAGGGGCCAACAGGAGCCCGAGGCCAAAAGCAACTGTCCAAATTTTTTGCATGATGTTCAGGACAGCAGGCTGTCGCACAAGAAATGTTGAACTTCTCTGAGCCTGTATTTTCCCACCATCATATACTTGCGACTGGAATTCCAAACAGGCTGAATTCGAGAACGAGCTTCTTACAAAATATGGATTCAAGGTACGGTGTCTTCGACCATGCACCGGCCACCGTAGAGAGGCCTGCAGCGTGGAAAATGTTTGGTGATCAAGTTGGCGATCAACAGCAAAGTCTCAGCACGGTATTTAGGCAAAAGTGCCAGAGCTGCATACCGTTCAGCGGAAACGACACGAGGTCGTATTTGCTTTGCGGGGATGTTCAATAATGGTGTCGTACTCTGGCGATCCGTCCAGAATCAGACAATGCGTGGGGAACCTCATCTTTAATGGTGTGAGGGTCGCTCTTCCTCGGCATGGCATGTGGAGATATGCCGAGTATGCAGATGTATCTTTTTCTGCTGCTCAGTCCGGGCACTCTCAAAGGCCACGATACGGCCGGATGATGAACAATCGTCGACTGGTGGCTCATCTGCAGTTCGATGACATGAACTCGTAAGGCTTGAGTTGGCATCGATCAAAATGGTCGATCCGTGACCATAGCAAGTGGCGGTAGTGGAAGAGATGGAGACGAGGTCGAAGTGATGTTGACGTGGCTGCCCTTCCCAAGCTACTGGAGCGGGTAGTCCCGCTTGACTTTGATTAGGATTCAACGGCAATTTAATGAGGCCCTGGCAAAACCCTGCACTTCCGCCGCCATTCGCGTCTCCTCATCTTGATCACCAACCACCATCATGTGTGCGAGCAATGGCCGATCCGAATCAGCTTCATGCATGCAGGCGGTGCCGTACGAGGAAGCAAAAATGCGATAAGCTTGTTCCTCGATGCTCCGGCTGCCAGAAGTCCAACATCGAATGTGTCTTCCTGGATCCCACGACAGGAGAAGAGCACTCACGCCAGTACGCGTTTCCCTTCCCTGATTCTGAGTCCGCTAGATTCGAACATCCTGTACAGGTCCATTGCCGACTTAGAAAGGCTCGAGATCGAGCTTCGAACAGCTGTAGAAGATGGCTCACGGCCGTCGGAGACAGCAGAACCGCATACACCGATTAAAGAGCCACCTCAGCCTTCCAATGAATCTTACATCGGCGAAGGAAGCGGTATTAATGTCATTGAGTCTATATTCTCAAACCCTCGTTTCCAGCCTCAACTTCTGAAGCATCTGCTCGCTCGCCCGAGGATTCAGCAACCGCAGGTCGCACCCGCAGCACTTCCATCTGTTGAGACTGCTCGGTTCTTGTTCACGACATAGTAAGGAAATGCAAAGCAAGGGGTGCCTTGGGCTGACTTGTTATAGCTTGCACGAATCCCATGTCCAAAAGCCTTTCTTCATGGAAAGCGAGGTGGTCTCCCTTCTCGAGAGGATCTACTCGAATGCGGACCCACGCGAGAACACGGCAGAAGATCTGTTCAACTTCTATCTAATATGTGCAACATCTGCTGTTCCCCTACGTCGTCGTGGTCACATACAGGAACATCCGTATAGCTTCTTCCTTGCTGCCAGATCCTACGCAGACGCGGTCAATCTACTGTTGGGTATACCAGCAGTACAAAGCTTACTACTGCTTGCTCGATTTGGCGTCTACTTTCACACAGGTACGCGATTTTCATCGCTAATCTATGATTTTTCCTGCTTCTGACAATATGCAGGTGCCTCGACGTGGGAAATTGGCCGTGTCTGCATGTCGATTTGCGTCAGCTTGGAGTTACATCTCAATCCTATTCAACCGACGTCAGCTATAGAAGAGCAAAGGCGACGAAGAGTGTTCTGGGAATCGTATGTTCTTGACCGTCACACCTCCATGATACTTGGAAGACCTTTCGCCATTGCCGACGAAGATGTCGAAGTGCATCTACCTGCGGAGCTTTCGGATGGTGAAGTAAATGTCAGGCTTCCAGGCACCCTGGACATGCACCATCAACCGTCTGAACATCTGCCCTCACCCATGGATGTCTTCATCTGCTTCGTGAAGCTGCGACAAATCACATCTCGAATCCATACCACATTCTTCTCCAAAGCCAAGAAACCTATATCTGTCCCTTCGACCGCAAAGCAGCTCTGGGAGCTCGGCAATCTTTATGGGAAGTTTCAAGAGCTTCTTGACGAGCTGACTGAATGGCGCAAGACAATACCTTCGTTCTTTCAGCCAGACTCGCTGTATCAGCGACCTCAGTGGTACGAGTTTCTCTGCGAGAAAGAGAGACTTTTCCTCGTCCGAGCTATGATCAACGCCGCTTCCACGAACAACAAAAGTCCACCGAAAGACCTGTGTCGGATCTGCTGCGCATCTGCTACTGGCGTTATATCTCTATACGCTGAGATGTACTGGGCAAGGCAAATCAATTGCACGCGGCACTATTTCCAGATACTTCTCACTGCTGGTCTATTGCTCGCATACTTTACTTCTGGAAGCGCCCCAAATGCCAGGAAACAGGCCACGCCCGACAAGCAAAGTACATTGCAAACACTCGCGACTTGCAGTAGGATCCTGCACGGTCTGGCTGCGGAGATGCTCTATGCTCGACCTTATGCTACGGTTTTCGACCTGATATGCGAGACCGCATTTCCGGGCTGGAAATCTCAGACTGATTCCGCAACGGTCTCCACTATTGCACGAACGCAGATCAATGGCCAAGAGAACTCAATTCAACCATCTGCTTCAGGCCTTGAGAGTACGTTTACGCTCGAGGCCTCAGACTACAACCCATGGATCAACTATGGCGATGGATTGGAGCTGAACGACTTCTCATATCCCGATTCACTACCTTCTGACTGGACCTACTCTCCTGGACAGATGTTTGCAGATGTGGAAGCTTACGTCAATCAATTTGCGACTGGTGATTTCTCTACGGATGCCTTGCTCGATCCGACGTCGTGGAATGTCCAACCCGACATGCCCAACGGCTTTGGCTGAGTCGACAAAGCAGTAACACACTTCCAGATTCCAGTAGAATTGCGCCATCTCGCCATTTCACTGCCTTTTTCGACCTCTAATGTACTGATATACGCTATCCACTGCCGCGATGGCTGTCTCCACCTGCGTTTGCGATGTTGCAGCACCTATATGCGGTGTAGAGATCATCCGTGGGTTTGACCACAGCCGTTCGTATCTAGCCTTGGTGGGTGGTTCCTCCTCATGGCAATCGACACCCGCTCCCCAAATCGTTCCAGTCTCAAGGGCTGTTGCCAGGTCGTCTTCATTGACGATGCCGCCCCGTGCAGCGTTGATCAGAATGGCCGTGGACTTCATCATCTTCATTTCGTTCAGCGCGATGAGATCTCTCGTGTCCTTGGTCAGCGGCACATGAACAGATACGACATCTGCTGGCTCCAAAACCTGTGTCACGCTCTTTGCTCGGATGTGTTCGAAGTCTTTCCAGGCATCCGCAGGCGCGAATGGATCGTAGGCGACGATCGATGCATTGAATGCGCCTCTGAAGATGTCTGCAACGCATCTGCTGATGTTGCCCATGCCGATGAGTCCGAGCGTCTTCCCACTGAGCAGCAGGCCGGAACATGTCTCTTTGGGAACCACCTCGCCTTGGTTCTGGCGCACTCTGATCGACCCGATCTCGCGAGCCACCGACATGGTTAGAGCAAGGACCAGCTCTGCTACTGCTTTGGAATTCACCCCTGGGGTATTGAAGACTTCGATACCGGCTTCCCTACACGCATCGACATCGACCTTGTCAAGACCCACTCCTTGCTTGCCGATAGCACGCAGTTGTTTGCAGGCCTGAATGTCTGCGGCCGTGATGTAGGAACTTCTGACGGCCAAATATCTCGCATTCTCCCGCCAATGTTGGATCTCTGGATCTGTGGGAAGCACGACTTTGAAAAGCTGCTGCGCATGCTTCACTGCTTCCGGATGGAGTGTGTCCAGCATGTAAAGCGTCGGCATATCGGACGAAGGTTGCTCATTGCCAGATGAGCTTTGCGGATCAACTAGACCTGGAGCCATTGCGAATGTCCGAGTTTTAGAGTTGATAAAGCGTGGACACAAGGTGTCTTGAAACGATGATGTTGTTACCCGCGAAGTATTCGTTTGATTTTGAAGCCTCCACGCCACGCGACCCGGCCGCGAGAGCCGTAAGAAAAGCATATGCATGCGGTACGAAGTAGTCACTGCCCAGAATATCCAAAGCGGACATCGTCCGACAGCCGCAAGCACAGGATCCGATGGGCGTGCATGATAGAGACAGCTAAAGGCGGGGTCGGTCACCTGCTGCTGCTGGAATTTTGGGCATGCCGAAACGCCATCAAGGGACTCCACGGTGCTTCCTACTTTGGCAAATGTTAAGCGCTAGTGCTGACTGCCGATGATCCGCTAGAACCGAGGGCTCCGAGTGCGGATGGCTGTCAGGCTGCTCGGATTCTTGGCTCCCGGCCTCTCTCTATACCAACTCTCATTTCCACAAGTCAATCCATTCTAACGACAGCTCACGACATGGCGATAGGTACAAAGCTAATACCTGGACATTCAATTGACGACCCCCAAGGCAAGGATGAAGAACTCTATTTCAAATCTATGTGTGCTATGGTGATGACGAAGTAAAGCTACATCCACGCCGACGACTATGCCACCACCTCTACCGTTGACGACGTAACACCATTTGGCTTGTGACCGTTCAACCCTTTCGATCCATTCACTTGGGTATGCTCGTCGACCTTGGCTTTCTGAGAAAGCTTCTCATTGAGCGCCGTCATCTCCGTAGCCCTCTTAGTGGCAGCACCAAGGAGAAGAGGACCGTCTGTCGCCGCCATTACCCAGTTGGCCCCCATACCACAGAACTTCTCCACGAGGTCGAGTCGCGCATGAAGGCCGCCAACGCCGACCCATTTACCAGCTTTGCGACATGCGGCGATGGTCTTTCGATAAGCTTCAGTGAGCTCTTCGCTCTCATATTGTCCAGGAATGCCCATCTCCGCTGTTAAATCGTTGGTGCCGATGAGCAGCGAATCCACACCATCGACGGCTGCGATCTCATCGACCAATTCCAGGGCCTCCAGCGTTTCAATCATAGGAATAACCAGAGTGTTGGCATTGACCACCGGGTTGGCCACCTTGGCCGGTATTGAGCGGTACTGGAATTGGGGCAAGCCATTTGTCGATGATCGATGGCCTTGGGGCTGGAACTTCGCGGCGTCAACCACATCTTTCGCGTCCTGGACAGATCTGATGTGCGGAACAATAACGCCCAGCGCACCACCATCTAGGATTCGCGAGACGTAAAATGGCTCCTTGCTTGGTGCACGCACGATTGGAGCGATCCCAGCGTACAAAGCTGCCGTGCAGAGTTGGCTCGTTGTATCGAGGTCGAATGAGGAATGTTCCATGTCGATGAGGATTCCATCGTAGCCAGCAGTCTTCGCGATGCCAACAATCTCCACCGTGCGTGCCAATTTGATGCTCAGCGTCGATGCAACTTCATTTCGGAGCAGCTTCTCGCGGATCGAGTTCTTGAGTACAACTGGTTGAGCCATTGTTGGAAGAGTGGAAGCGATGGGAAGCGATGCAAGCACAGTATCGAGTGCAGAATGTTGCAGAAATGAATATGTTTCAAAACGCCACGGCATTTACAACAGTGTCGACGCTGACTATATCGATTGCGATGCTGTGTATACACTGCACCCCTGTCATTGGATGAGGCCCGATGGTTTTCGGACAGTGTCCGATCAAGCCGAGGGCCCCGCTCCGCCCTCTTCGACTTCACATCATCTGCCAGCCATCCATGCTGCAGCCCACGGCGCGTCAACACTTGTCGCTCATTGCATACTCACGGCTCGATTTCAAGGCTTCGCTTCGGCTCGCTGACCCTGGGCATCTTTCGGGGGAGCTTCCTCCCCGACCAGCAAGGCCTTTTGCCGCCTCGAGCTTCGACAGTGAGCTAGGATTTCTCCTCGGTATTGGAATGAACAAATCTGACGCTCGCTGTGAAGGAAGTGAAAATGATGGCTTGAAGCCGACGTAGGCAATGGACGCTGCTTCACCCGGCAACGCAGCACGTAGACAGGCGTGCGAGCGCTGCTGGAGGCGAAAGCAAAAGGTGGGCACCATTATCGGCTTGCACATGGCTTGCACTGATGTTCTCACAGTGTGACAAAGAAGTCCCAGTTTGCTCAAATTGTCGCGAGGCTGGGACAGCATGTGGTCCTCGTACCGCTGCTGTTGTGATGTCAGGCGGCGATTCTAGTGGTCTGATCGCCGTTGGAGATGGGTATCAACATATTCCCGTGCTGCTAGTAGTCTTACGTGCCAAAGGCTGACCGGCTGTAGCTATATTCAGACACTGAAGCGGCGCATTAGGCATCTCGAAGACTTGAATCAGAGGAAGAGAGCCCGCGTTGCTGAACCAAATGCTTCACATACACCAGAAACCAGCAGCACAACACCAGCGGCACTGACCGGCCAGACTGCCGGCGAGCAGCAGACTCCGATGAGCAGTGTTTCCGTACGCGATGCACTGAAGGACTTTGGCCACTTCGCCTTGAACGTCCAAGATTCTAACAGAGTGACCTATTCGAATGCATTCACAATGTTCTACTTTGTGGAGCTCGCCATGCTCACAGCGAATTCGCAAACACCTGGCACAGGACTGTCTCTCGGCTCGACCCAGTATCATGATCAGCTCGTACAATCACTCGACCTTCGACGAGACGAGACATCGGCTCTCATCTCTCAGTACGCCAAATCTGTCCTAGTGCTCTACCCATACATATCGGAGCAAGAGCTTCTTCAATACCACGACATTGTTTTGCAGTTCCAATCCCGTGGTACTAACGCAATGACCTGCGACACAAGTCACTGCTTCTTCATCGTCTATATGGCTCTGGCGACTGTGTGCTCCAACTCCAGCAAGAGACCCGTGTTCGACTTTCTCGCCTCGAAACTATGGGTTCATGCATCAGCTCTGGGCAAAGACATCTCCAGCAATCACTCCGTGCAGTGCATGATCTCACTTGCACTTTGCGTGGTCCACGGCCAAGGTCATCATTACGCCACCGAGATTGTGGGCATGGCGATGACCAGGGCGATAGCGTCGGGCTTTCATCGACTGCGAAGTTGCTCTCCAGAAGAAACCGGCCAGGAGGAGATCCAAGAGAAGAGGCGTGCCTTCTGGATCATCTACGTCCTGGATCGGTGAGCTTACCCCCAAAATACTCTGACTATGGACAAGGACTAATGTCTAGGTAGATTGCTTGCCTACACGATGGGTCGTCCATGTGGCATCGAGGACCAGGACATATCTACTCAGGTATGCATGAGCCAAGTCTCTTGTCTTGAAAGTTTACTAACTCAAGCAGATTCCGACGCTGCCTTCACACTCGGAAGATGTGTGTAGCAGTCGAGACTACTATCTCGTCCAATTGGTCGAGCATGCGCGAGTGCTATCTGTTCTCAAACGCAATGCTCGTCGCCCCAGAATGTACTTCACAAGTCTCTACCAATCTTGGGTAGAGTCAACGCTTCTCCAGTTGCGATCGACGGGAGACGAACGTGCAAGAGAAGTTTTTCTAAGGCTCAAATGTCGTCTACTCGTTGCGATACATAATACGACGAAGGACAGTACAACTCTTATCGCCGAGACTACTTTGCTGGACGAAGAGGACATCGATGATACTCTTACCTCTTGTGTCGAGTGGCTTCGTTGTCTTGAAACAAGATATGATTCCGATGGCATCGTTCGATGCCTCACAGACCAGTACGAGATTGCCAGCATTGGCATCATGTGTTCAGACATTCAACACGGCCTCCCTGCGGAACTAGCTCCCTCTTTCGCAAGCACATGCTCCAACGTCAAGATGCTAAGCGTCTCGCTCTTGAGCTACCTCTCCGCAACATACCCTGCAGCGGCACAAATGCGCAAAGCCCTTTCAGCTCTCGATGCCGACGACCATAGCCGCCTGCTGGAGCTCTTGCAGCAGGATCAATGGACCGCTCTCGTCCCACGCATGATTCGAGAGGCAATAGCTAGGCGCATATCAATCACCTGATATGTAGACTTGGCGTCAGGACAGTGTTCCCGTGGCGATATGGCTCCCCATTCAATGGAGGCCAGGCTGCGTAGCCAAGACAATGGCCAAGAGAATGCCCAGAATACGGCCGGCCTCCGTCCGACAATGAGCATGGATTTCGAAAAAAATGTACCGCGTTGGGCTCGCGTGATAGCCATGCTGCTTGCGGGGCCCCAGATTGACCCCACAACCTTGTTGAGCGCGTGGCTGTAGTTTGAGAGGGCTGCTACCTCGAATACTCAACGTGCGCCTCCAGGTACATTGCTTTATTTGCCACGACCAAGGCTTTCGGACGCACTCCGTGAATCAAATGGCCTGATGGACTTGGCAATCCTTTCCAGAAGATAGCTCAGAGCTATGTATCTCGGCAACTCACTATAAGACACAGGTCGTCTTCAGCGTTGAGACTAGTCGGATCAGATTTGTTGCAAGAAAGTCAGAAATCCAAACATCATGGCGCAAGACGGCAGCACGCGATCATCCTTGGACAAGACGGGCCCCATCGAGCATGTCGAGGCAGCGACCTTAGCAGACTCCATCCTGGAGCGCTACGCCTTGCTTCGTGAGGAGTCCACGGAAGAGCTTGCGCAGCTGAACAACTCGGTGCTCAAGAAGCTCGACTGGAAGTTCCTACCATGCATCACCGCCATGCTCTTGATGAAGTACGACACACCACAACGCAAGCCCCTTCAAAAGCCATCACTAATCCTCTCGCACCAGCTACCTCGATCGCATCAACGTCTCCAACGCCCGCCTCGCTGGCATGCAAGAAGACTGCGGCAACATGAGCGACGTCGAATGGTCCGCTGGCATCTCGCTCTTCTACGTCGGCTATATCATCTCCTAGATCCCGGCCAACGTCATCATCGCCAAGGGCAAACCACGTATCCTCCTCCCGATATGCATGCTCGCGTGGTCGGCGGTGACGATCTGCATGGTGGCGATGAAGAGCGCGTGGGCGTTTATGCTGTGTAGGTTTCTGGTGGAGTTTACGGAGGGGCCGTTTTTGCCCGCGGTCAGTTTGATGACGAGTAGTTGGTATACGAAGCAGGAGAGTCCGTTGAGGTATGTTGGCACAAGGTGTTATTGCTTTTGTGTGGGCTTTTGCTGATCAGTTGTTGTAGGATGGCGATCTGGCATGCCGGCAATATCATCTCAAACGTCTTCTCTGGGTTGCTCGCCGCGGGCATTCTGACCAACATGGACAACGTTGCCGGTTTGCATTCGTGGCAGTGGTTTATCTTGATCGAAGGTACGAAATGACTTCTTACTAGTCACAACCATGCTAATGGCCTACAGGCATCGTTAGCATTATGGTCGCTGGCATCGGCTTTTGGCTCATTCCAAACTGGCCCAGCAATACAGCAACCTACTACTTCACCCCTGAGGAGAGTGAGATGGCAGCGTATCGTGCCGCTGTTTCTGCTGGCGGCCGGTCTGAAGATGACGAGGGAGGGTACTGGGATGGGGTCGCTCAGGCTTGCAAAGACCCCTTCACGTGGATGTTCGCCGCGATGCATTTTTCCCTTATCATTGCGCAGTCTTTCAAGGACTTTTTGCCTTCGGTGAGTCTTACCTGGCCCTATTATTTGTATTCCATACCAATACTGATTGTCCAGATCGTGGACACCTTCGGCTTCTCTGAAGTAGGCACCTACCTCATCCAAGCCCCGCCCTACGTCGTCGCCTACATCGTCACCCTCTTGATCTCCTGGTCGAGCGGGCGCATGCTCGAACACAGCTTCCACATCATCGGCAGCATCCTCCTGTGTCTCGTCGGCGCAATCCTCATGATCTCGACGCTCAATGTCGGCGCCCGCTACTTCGCTGTGTTCTTGCTCTGCTCCGGTCCCTTCGTTGGCTTGAACATCCAGATATCTTGGGAGACTACCGTGGTCCCTCGACCGCGTACCAAACGAGCGGCGCTGATCGCGATTGCGAATTGCGTCAGTTCGGTCAGTCATTGGTTCACGCCGTACTTCTTCCTGAGGAGCCAGGAGCCAAGGTACCAGACTGGGGGTGGTGTTATTATTGCGGGTTGTGGGCTGGTGATTGTTTCTTGCTTGGTGACGAGGTGGTGGGCTATGAGGAAGAATAAGGCGCTGGAGAGGCAGCAGGAGGCTTCGGGGGTCGTGAATGAGTGGAGGTTTGCGACTTGAGTACGAAACAGGGATATGCTGGTGCTTGTTGAGGCTGGGAGTCAGCCTTGGGTGGTACCTGCCAGGCTGAATCGATATTCTACTATGAAGACAGTCTTGAGAAACAGAAGTGCATCTTTCCCGTCACGCTCCAAGTGGACATCTATAACCGATACTCTCGAGCTGTCTAAAGCATTGTGAACTACAATTAAGAGCTTGGTTGTTGTGGCAATTCGAGGGTCAGGAATGCCATACCTTCCACTTTGAGCGGGACGCTGGGTGTATGAGGGCAGACTTGAAGAATGGGAGCTTATAACATGACGAGAAGGTTGATCACTCATATGCTCGTATAGAGTGCCTCACTACTGGCACCACGGCCCGGCAAGCCGCGCAGACACGGCTGAAGGTGCCGACAAAGCCGCCGACGTCTCCAGCGCAACGGCGCCACGCCTCCGCAAATCTGCAGGTCCCCGCAAGCACGGCTCCATCAATGTGGAGAAATCTAACCAGGTTACATCGACAAGTCACCTCCCTGGGACGCCTCACGCCCGCAGTGGATATTTCTGCCAGATCCGTGTCGACCAACAAGGAAGTCCGTCGGGGGCACGAAGGATGAACCATTCCCCGCCACGTGAATAACTAACGAAACCTTGTCTGACCTCATATGCGGGTTTTCAGGTGAAAAAGTTGATATAGCACGGACTGCTTCCTGCTTTCTTTCTTTGACCTGCATCTCGAGTCACCGCAAGATATCACCTCGAGTCCGTGCAAGATGCGCTCGATCACCAGCTTCGGAGCCATCTTGTGCTCAGCAGCACACGCTGTCGCACAGTACACCAACAGCAGCTCCACAGGCGGTGCCACCACCGTCCCAGGCAACGACACTGCTCCGTTCCCCAATGTCACCTACCCAGATGGTGTCTCGCCAGACCCAGACACGATAGCTGGATCTCAGAGCAATCAGACTTCGCCACCCAAGTACCCTTCGCCATGGAGCACTGGTGCAGGCGATTGGAAGGCGGCGTACGAGAAGGCGACGGGGATCGTTGGGCAGATGACGTTGGAGGAGAAGGTCAATGTTACCACTGGTAAGTTGAAGTTTTGTATCATCATGTGAAGAGTTGAAGCTGACATGCACAGGTGTCGGCTGGTCGCTGGGGCCTTGTGTGGGAAACACTGGCTCGGTGCCTCGATTGAACATCCCAGGACTCTGCTTCCAGGATTCACCTACGGCCATGCGGTTTGGAGAGTAAGTCAGGGAGAGATCTTCAGTACTCGTATAATGCTGACACTTTCACTCCAGCTTCAACTCCTTCTCCCTCCAGGCGTCAACGTCGCAGCGGCATGGGACAAGACTCTTGCTTGGCTGAGAGGCGAGGCTATGGGCGAGGAGTACCGTGACAAGGGCGTCAATGGCCTGCTCGGCCCTGTTGCTGGTCCACTTGGCAGATCTCCCGAGGGCGGTGAGTATCTCTGCCTATTCATACAAATTTTGTCAGCTAACAGGTATTGCAGGACGAAACTGGGAAGGCTTCAGTCCAGACCCATACCTCACTGGTGTTCTCTTTGCCGAGACTATCAAGGGTATCCAGAGCACTGGCCAGATGGCTATTGCCAAGCACTTTCTCCTCAACGAGTACGTCCAAGATACTTCTGAATCTTGTTTCCCGCCATATTGACTCACTTTCTGCCTCCAGACAGGAACACTTCCGCCAGGTGCCAGAATCGATCCAGTTCGACCTTGGCAACATCACCTACCCAGGCTCTTCGAACGTCGATGAAGCAACTCTCCACGAGCTGTATGCCTGGCCTTTCGCTGATGCTGTGCGAGCTGGAGTCGTTGGTGTCATGTGCAGTTACGAGCGAAGCAACAACTCGGATTCTTGCCAGAACAGCTACTTGATGAACCACATTCTCAAGGGCGAGTTGGGCTTCCAAGGTACTTATTGAACACTCGCCTTGAGGCAAAAATTTTCAGAAGCTGACATTCATCAAGGTTTCGTGCAGTCAGACTGGCAAGCCCAGCACGCAGGTGTCTCTGCCGTTCTCGCTGGTCTTGATATGTCTATGCCTGGTGACACCGTCTTCGACTCTGGTGCCAGCTACATCGGTCCCAACCTTACCATTGCTGTCCTGAACGGCAGTGTTCCACAGTGGCGCCTCGATGACATGGCAACTCGTATTCTGGCGGGCTGGTACTACGTAGATGGCGACACACCAGAGCACTTCAAGCCCATCAACTTCAACTCCTGGACCCTTGATACATATGGATCTATCTACAGCTACGTTGGACCCGAGTGGGGATACGGTCTCGTCAACGAGCATGTCGATGTTCGTCAAGAGCACGGCAGGCTGATCCGAGAAATTGGAGCTGCTTCTACTGTTCTTCTCAAGAACGTCAACAACACGCTTCCATTGACTGGCCATGAGAAGTTGACGACTGTCTTCGGCGAAGACGCTGGATTGAATCCTTGGGGTCCCAACGGTTGCAGTGATCGCGGCTGTGACCAGGGCACTCTCGCAATTGGCTGGGTAAGCTGGAAAAGGCTCGTGAAGACGATCCGCCATGCTGACGATAATTTGCTTTACAGGGCAGCGGAACTGGTAACTTCCCATACCTGATCACCCCCGACGCTGCGATCCAGCGTGAGATTACCGACCACTACGGAGCTTACGAATCGATTACCCACAATGGCGCCCTCGACCAGATCCAAGCACTTGCCAGACGCGGTGGTCAAGTTGGAGGTGTTTGCATTGCTTTCGCTTCTGCAGACAGTGGCGAAGGTTTCTTGCACCCTGGTGACAACTGGGGTGACCGAAACAAGTCAGTCAATATTCCCTTCTCATGACCCAGACATGTGCTGACATTTACTTTTAGCCTCACCGTCTGGCAAGGTGCAGAAGCCATGCTTGTCAATGTGACCTCCAACTGCAACAACACAATCCTGGTCTTCCACACAGTCGGCCAGATTGATATCTCCCACTGGAAGGAGCATGAGAATGTTACTGCCATCGTCTGGGCAGGCCTTCCCGGCGAGCAATCTGGCAACTCCCTTACCGATGTCTTGTATGGACGAGTCAACCCATCCGCCAAGCTGCCATACACTATTGGACGCAACCGAACTGACTACGGAACCGATGTGTTGTACCGACCCAATGGCGATGTGCCACAGTTCGATTTCAGAGAAGGCGTCTTCATCGACTATCGAGGATTCGATCACCGAGGACTCGAGCCCACGTATGAGTTTGGTTTCGGCTTGTCCTACACGACATTCTCCTACAGCAATCTGCAAGTCACCAAGCTCGATGCCGGCGAGTACACGCCATCGACGGGCTCGACTCCCGCTGCACCAACCTACGGAACCATCAGCAACGACTCCTCATCGCACTTGTTCCCATCGAACTTTACGCGCATCCCGCTACTCATCTACCCCTGGCTCAACAGCACCGACTTGCGAACCGCATACGGCTACGAAGACTACGGCGACGAGTCCTTCATCCCCGAAGGTGCTCGCGACGGAATCCCGCAACCCATCCTCCCAGCAGCAGGTGCACCAGGCGGCAACCCCCAGCTCTGGGACGCCCTCTACCACGTCACCGTCAACATCGCCAACACCGGCAAGGTTGCTGGAGCTGAAGTCGCCCAGCTATACGTCTCCCTTGGCGGACCCTACGACCCACCCGTCGTCCTCCGCGGTTTCGAGAAGGTCTCGATCCAGCCCGGCCAGACGACGGAGGTAGGGTTTGATATTCTGAGGAGGGATGTGTCGAACTGGGATACGGCGAGCCAGAATTGGGTGATTTCGGAGTATCCGAAGATTGTGCATGTTGGTGCTAGTTCGAGGGATTTGCCGCTTTCTGCGCCGCTGAGTTGAGCGAGAGAAGGGATAGATGAATTGACGACAGGGAAGAAAGAGTAATGCAGACTCGGGAAGACCGGCATGAATGCAATGAAAGAAAGCTAGACATAAGCATGGAAAGTAATGTGTTCACGATCCATCCGTGGTCCTCCTCCTTCTCAACCGTACGTCCACACCGCTAACATTCACAAAACTCCCATCCTCAAACCTCCACTCCCTGCCCGGATCCTCCAGTGACATCTCAAACGCCCGCAACACGGCCGGCACGACTTTGTACATTTCCAACAAGCTCACATTCTTGCTGATGCACCCGAACCGGCCCGCGCCGAAGTGGAACAACGTTCTCGACATGGCGTCGATCCGAGCGCGTTCTTGCTCGTAAGGTTCCGTTGGGCGAGGGAGCCAGCGCTCGGGGATGTACGAGTCGACGTCGGAGCCGAAGACGTCTGCGCGGTGATGCAGAGCCCAGGCGTTTATGCCGACGAGCGTGCCGCCGGGGATTTTTTGGCTGGAGATGTGCGCGCCTTGAGGGGGGAGCAGGCGTTCGGCTGTGAAGCGGGCGGCGGGGTGGAGACGGAAGGTTTCCTCGAGGCAGGCGTCGAGGTAGGGGAGGGCGAAGGCGTGTTTGAACTCGATGGGTGTTGTTGAAGCTGCGGTTGGAAAGGCGGTGTCGAGCTCTGCTTGGAGGGTCGCGAGGACGGAGGGGTTCTTGAGGATATAATAGAAGATTGCGGTGAGGGTTACGCCTGTGGACTCGGAGCCCGCGAGGATCGCGGACAGTCCCATGGAGAGGACTTCTTTGTCCGTGATGATGGAGGGGTGGGTTTCTTTCGCGCCGAGGAACTTTTCGAGGAGCGGTTGTGGTTTGTCTTCTTGATTGTTGTTGTTGTTCGGTCGTGAGGCTTGTTGGTACTTCAAGGCCCAGGTTACCACGGGGTTGGGAGCGCTGGTGACATACCCTCTTCGGTGCAACCATAGAAGAACGGGGTTCTTGAAGGTCAACTTGTCGATCAAGGGCATATATCCCGCCCACATGCCGTACGCCAGGAAACGGTGCGTTTTCGCCAGGATTCCGTCGATGTCGGATGCGTTTTTGAGAGCACCGAAGGGAGAACCGTATGTGATCTCCCCGATCACGTCGAACGCGTACCAGTGCATCCATTCGTGAAGACGGACGACGCCTTCGGTACCGGGTTTATCGGCGTAGCGATGTGAGAGTTGTGAGAGAAATTCACGAGTCGTGTTGTCCACGAAGGGTTCGTATTGGACTAGAGCGCTCAGGTTGAACGCTGGGTTCACCGCTCGCCGGAGGTTATCATGCCAGGTGATGTCCAAGGAAGAGAAGAGCGAGGGAGTGACGTGTCCACCTGCGGAAGGGGCGAAGACGTGGTACATTTCACTCTTCGGGTATCGGTTGTCCGTGCCGTAGATGTCTTTGATTGCTTGCGGATTGGAGAAGGTTAGGGCGTTGGGGCCTACCCGGACGATGTCGCCGTATTTGCGGTGGAGGATGATGGAGGACGGGGGTTTGTGGGATCCGAAGTAAGTGTCGAGGACTCGCCAGAGGTCTGTCCATGCTGCTAGTCTGGGGCCTGGGAAGCGTTTGAGGCGGTCGGTTGTAAGTTTTTGGGCTATGAGGAACAAGATACAGGATAGTAGGAAGAATGGGATGGCTGCCAAGATCATGTTGAAATCCAGTGTAGAAGAAATCAGATGGACGTCGGTCATACCCATGGCGATATTCTACTTAGACTGCCTGTCGAGCAGGAGTTGAAGTCTGCTCACAAATATTTAGCGAATCATCAGCTTACCTGGTAAGTATGTAGGTATGAGAGTGGGGCATTGGAGTTTATGTGCCGCTGTCGATCGTTGAGCTGAGTTCCGAACGAGCAAGTATGCTATGCTCCAGACGTGTGTTTCGTCGCCTGGACTGCGCTGTGTTCTGACCTCTGCCGAAAGAAGTTCAACAACTCTGGTCGTATCAGACAAGGCTGTCCACGACAGGCTTCAAGGAGGCAATGGAACTGTACACGAAGGAGATGGCAGATGCAGGAGCCTTGCTGCGAGCGAATGTCTGGTGCTCTGGTCCATTCGATGGAAATCACATGTTGATGATAGCCAGAGAAGCTGCGATTCAATGATGGAGAAGACTCCGTCTCCCGTGGCGGTGCAGTGTGGCGTTCAGCCACAGCATGACGTAGAGGAGTGAATCTCGCGTGTCTGCCACAGATCACGAAACAATCTGCAAGGAATTGAGCATCACTTGGGGGTGCCAAGTGAAGCCAAGTGTGGTGAAACTTGTTTCGCTGTCCTTCTTTCCCTTGGCCATGATGTGGCAGGCGCTCTTCGATGGTGGCTGAGGCCGAGCACTTGACTTGGTGAACAAAGAAGCAACCGCCATTGAACAAACATCCAAGTATAAGAGCTCGACAACGACAGCGACACCACTCGGATCCAACACCACCAATTGACACAAGAGCTTCAATCACAACCTCTCTCAAACCAGACACATCACCTGCAAGCAAAACATCACCATGCCTCTCATGTGGACCAAGGTACGCTCTCACGCGACAATCCCTTCAACTCAATCATCTGTGCTAATTCTTTCTTCAGAACTGGGGTGGCCGACACTTCGGCGGCGGCGTACGCGCAGACAAGAGCGGTGTCCACCGCAACCCTTTCCGATGCTCCTTCTGCGGCCTCTCCTGCTTCAAGTAAAGCAACACCCAACCCACCATCCAGCCCCACGATCCGTATCAGAGCCGCGAGCGACCAGCGTGTGAGAGTACGAGGGGTGTGAGAAGCATGGGAACAAAGGCAAGGCGTATTGAGCATGACCCTCAGCATGGAGAGCTATGGAGTTGTTGAGACACCACGAGGAGTACTTTGCTCCAGAGAAGGGCTTGAGGTATTCGATGAATTGAAACGAATCCCAAGATCATGAGCAATGGCTTGAGCATCAACATATTCCACGCAGTCGTCCGTGGGTCGGCAGGCACTGCATCGTCGTCTTTGACCTTGGGCCGAGTGTATATGCGCAGCTGGTGACTTTTCTGACACCGTCACGGTCAGCTGAGTGACAACGATCTCATACACTTGGGATCAACGAGAAGCCTTTCAACCAGGCAAGGTCGTCACTGATTCTGTGAAAGCATTGAACGACGTGTGCTTGCTGAATGGGTCTACCCACGAACTCTACGACAAAGCCACAGTGGTTGCCCGGGACCCTGTCGCCAGCGTGATGATTCCAAGCGCACCTAGCGCTGAATTTCCTCATCGTCAACGCCGCAAGGTTTTCTCTCGTGGGTTGCGAGAACTTACCTATATCAGCAGAATGACTTGATGATTCACCCTCTCACCTGCAGGAAGTTGACACCTGAACGAATCCTTCAAACCCTGCACTCACGCACTAGCAACATTTGTGGACGGGCAGATTCGCATTCGGCCACCGCAACAACGTCGGTCATCCCAATATGCCGGACAAAGGGTCCAGCGCAAGAAATGAACTGACGGTGGCAGCTGGGAAAGACACATAGGCTTTGCCTTCGTGCTCTTGTAAGTCCTCCTTCTAATGCAGCCACGATAAGGTTAGGACCGACGGGTGATTCAGCGTGAACCATTGGTTCAGTACTGAACGAGCCTGGGCATCGCACCTCATCTTCGACGTCTAGAAAACTTCGTCTCCTCTTCACCTTCAAACCACTCGACAGAAGGACAGAAGGCACACTTAGCTCGGTCATGGCCATTTGCCACAAGGCAGATAGACCACACCCTCTCACCACCACCTCACGAGATTCTCAACGATGAGCAACACCAGCTGCGATGCCCTACTCGACAATGGAGCCATCACGAAACCAGACCCGGACATCTCAGGCATCGGCGTCATCATCGCCTTCATCTTCTCCGCCTGCATCACGCTCGTAGCAACACTCGGCGCCTACGCCTTCGGCATGGTCGACGAAGGCCTCCTACGACCCGTCGACCGTCTCGTCTTACGCGCACCCTCACGCGCGGCGAAACATGTGGCAATTCATGTGGCGTTACGAAAGGCCATCCTCGCTCTGAGCGATCAGCAAATTGTGACCGGAATTGCGATTCTCGCAGCTGGGTTCAATGGACTGCGATTGGGGAATATTACGGTCTATCATTTTCAGATTATCATCTACCTCGCGTGGATGTCGAGCAGTGTGCATCTGTCTGCCCTGACTATCCTCCGGCCTTTCATGCATTTCCACCGCGGTGTCATGGTCTGGCGGGTCATTGGCATGATGGTTCTCTTCGTCATGCTCATTATCGCGTTGATACCTACCGTGAGCAACGAGTGGGCGGTCGTGACGACGCAGTTCGACAATGGACAACCGGTCGTCAATGCCCCATACTCGGCGTTCGGGGTCCCAGCATCATGCTTCTGGGGCAAGATCCGTGGCGCCGGTGTGAATCCAGATTCCATTCTGTCGTTCGTCGTGCTCTTCATCAGCTACCTCTGGAAAATGGGCGGGATGTTTCAACCATTTCGAAGGAAGTTCGCTCGGTATTTGAGGAATCCTATCGATCGTTTGCTGGAGAAAATGTTATCCAAACCGGCGAGGGAGTACGAGCATAGAGGAGGACAGTTCTGGCTTTGGACGTTCCGGGGTGCCCTTGCGATCTACCTTCCGCTTGAGGCGAGTCTGGAGGTCATGGGCTCTTTCTCGGCAGCTCTGTGGCTGTCTGTGTTGGGCCTTATCTACGGGATTATGCAAATCCTCATTCCGCGGATGTATATGATGCAAATTGACCCAAGCGTGGCGGACGCAGAGAGCAATCTTGGGTTTGGACAGTTGATGCCGTTGATTCTGCTTGCTCAGCCACTGGGTGCTGTTACGGAGCATATCTGGCTTAAGAAAGAGGATGATGAGGCTTTGTATACAGATTATGGTGGCGCGGATCCGTACAGTGCGACTCTGGGCCACTATCAAGAGGGACGCCAACTGATCGGCCTTCCCAAGGACCCTCTCCTCCACCATATGGCGAGCTACGAGCTACCGCCTTGGAAGGAGCAAGCACCGCAAAGGATCCAGCTCAAAGCGCTCCTGTACACCTCGAAGCTCTTCCACCTCATGGTCTGGCTAACGCAAGCAGCCGTTGCTGCCACTGCTGCTGTGGTCTTCTGGGCCGACTACTGGACGATTGGCGTCGTGCCTGCCAGCAATTGGTACTTCATCGCTTTGGCCGCTGGTGGTTGGGCTGCTGCGTGTCCAGTCATCACGTTCAGTCTCGGACCCATGTCTCGGTTGGGCATGTTCTACAAACGTGAGAGGAAGGCGCCAATCTTGGGTCCGGTTCAAGCACAGCCTGAGAAGTTGGAGCTGCAAACGACATTTGCGGGTTCTTCGCACAGCACGGAAGAACAGCATAAGGCTACGCTGTCGCCGAATCGAGTCGAGTTGGGTCCGACGGTGACGGGCGAGGTGACAGAGGTGTGGAGTTCGGAGTGGCGGAGGGCGAGTGTGCAGCATCCGCCTAAGTCGCCTGTCTCCCCTGTTGCGCCCCCATAGATCCAAAATAGCATTAAAGCGCTTGTTTCCAGCAACACTGCATTCCTTTCAAACCTCCGGCCCCCTCGCCGCCCTCACCTCCACACACTCCCACTCTCCATCTCCACCATCCCTCCTCCACTCCACAATCACAACAATAACCCTCACCACCCCCACCGGATTCCCCGTATTCTCCAAATTCAACGTCACCGCCCCCTTCCCCCTCGCCTTCAACTCCGTCGAAATCCCCTTCACCTCCAAATGATACTCCGGCCGGATCGTCGTGAGCCAGCGATACTCGGCGAGGTATGAGTTGCGGTCTAGGCGCCGCGGGGATTTCATGCAGACGGCGCGGACGTCGCCCATGAAGTTCGGGGAGAGGGTTGTCCAGGCTGGATGGGTGGCGTGCAGGGAGCGGGTGTTGATTGCGGAGATGTGGGCGAGGGAGAGGGATTGCAGGTGAGTGATTGTTTTTTGGTTTTCGGGGGACGGGGGTGTGGTGTTGGGGAGGGGGGGTTCTTGGGGGTTTGTGGAGGGGAGGGAGAGGAGGTAGAGGTCTCGGAGGCGGGATTCGGTTTGCATGATGGAGGCGTTGATCCTGAGGGGATGGGCTGGAGATGATTTTCGCTTTTGCTGGAAATCGTTTTTGCTCTTGAAGGGGAGGGTTGTGGATTTTGGACTGTATTCTATTGTACTTGATTTCGTTTAACGGGATCTGCTCCCGGGAGGAGCTGAAGGTACGGCATTAGTAATAGAGGATGGAGGAGTTGAAGTGTAAGTCGAGAACGAGAGCGAGAAGAAAGTCATTTGCACGTGACTTCGGGATGTGACGTCGGGCGGGCGATTTCCGTGTCGGTTGTCTTGTGCGCGCGCGGAGCAGAGGTGCTGGAGAAAGAGGTTGGACGAGCTGCAATCCATTTTCACCACAACCTGACCAACGACATTCTCACCAAGACGCACATCTTTTTTCTGATCCACTCTCACGAACTCCACCACCATGCGACTGCTGGAGTGACAATTCCCCAGCAGGCCGTCAACACCCTCGACCAGCGCGTCGCCAGAGCCAGCTTCTCCTCGACACGACACGACTGACTGCCACCATGCCGCCAACCTCCAACATGCGCAAGTCATCCACCCAGACGATGACGGCTGGCGATCCAAGTGCGAGCGCTCCTGCCGTCAGAAACGGCGTCCAACCTCGACGCACCGCGAGAGCCAACACCACCCGCCCTGCGAACTACTACGCCCGTCCTTTCGGCTCCTTTAGCACCGGCGTCGATCACGACAATGACGCCGCAATCATGGCCGACTCACAGGCGGCAGGCTTCTTTTCAGCGCTACAGTACTTCACCGACGCCATCACCGCACTCCCGAAAGAGGTCCAGAAGCAGATCACGCTGGTGAAAGAGGTGGAGGCCAAAGTACACGGCCCGAACGAGACTATGGGCGAGATCTTGGATACACTCTTGGAATATCCTGTACCTACGCGCAAGCCGACTGCTGGTGCTGGCGGAGCGAATGCGCCTACTGCTGGCGTGCTGGCTCTGACCGCGAACAATAGCACGAGCGGCAGTGCCAACGTGAGCTTGGTCAATGGTGCGACTGGTCGGCATAGTGTGCAGCCATCGCTCGTGGGATCATTGAATGGCGAAGAGACGTATGATTTTGAGACTGAAAGAGCTCGACGGCAGCAATACCATAATCTTAGGATGATCACAGCTGGTCTCTTGCCCAATCTTGACGAGAAGAATGTGGTGCTATCGGAGGCGACGAGAGTGTTGGCTCTCCAGCAGACTCGTGTTGACTCGGTGTGGCCGCACGTGGAAAGCGAGCTCAGCGAAGAAGCCAGGATGGGCAGCATGACACACTGGGCGTACAGCGACAATCGCCAGAAGACGAAGACAACTGCTTCCGGTGCGCAGAATCGCCGAGACGTCGCAGCGACTAACAATCTGGCCGCTGCGGCGAGTATGTTGCATGAGACGGAGATTGCACAGGCGAGAAGAGACGCTGGAAGGGAAGCTACGCGCGAAAAGACCAAGGGCAAGCGGACAGAACAGCCTGGAGATTCTGACTTTGACGACAAGCCTAGGAAGGCGCCGAAAATCAGCAAGAAAGCGGCGAATGCAGCGGCGGCAGGATTGGGAATATCTACAAACGGCGAGCCAGCGACGAAGAGGAAGAAGGTCGACAAGAGCTTGGGTGCGCCTGGAATGGAGAGGACGATTTCTGCTACAGGCAAAGCCGCAAAAGCTAGCAAAGAGACCCCAAGAAGCACAGCAGCTGCGGCCACAGAACCTGTGGTGAAGAAGACGAAGGGCAAGCCTGGACCACCACCCAAGAAGAAGGTTCCGGCCTCTGCACAGAACAGCCCCATGCTCGCCAGCAGTCCGCTCGTTGCCTCTTCGAACCCTGTTTTCGAACCACCGAACGGAAGACCGCAGAGCTCCCGGGCGAGGCAAAACAGCACCGCCACGAATTTGCGGCACGAGCAGTTGCAAGATGAGGAAGCAGTCACAAGCAGACCGACGTCGGCGTCTGGCAAGAGCAATGGCAACGGCAACGGCGAGAGAGGGAATGGAAGAAGAAAAGTACACGAAACGACAGAACAACATGACGAGATTGTGGGAGACGAACATGGGGACAAACATCTCAAAGATGCTGCAGACAAGATGAAGCAAGAGGACACCGATATGCCAGATGCCGGGGCAGAGCGTCCAGCGGCCTCGAGGTCTGGCTCGAACAGTCGCAAGAACAGTGGCCGCAATTCGAAAGTGGGCACGCCGAGGACGGACTCCTTCCCGGCTGATGCTCCGGGCATGTCTAGAACGCGTAGCACGCGAAGCAAGCCAAATGCGAGGGGCGAGGGAGACGATTCGGACTCGGTCGAACCACCACTTGCTGGCACTGGCACTGGAAAGCATCGGCGGCACGCATCGAACAGTCACCTTGTCAAACAGCTGGCACCATTCAACAAGAGTCCTGATTTGGACAGACACAGGGGTGGCGAAGATATGGACGAGGAGTTGGACTCTTTGGACGAGAAGCATCTTGGTGAGGACGAGGCTGAGCCGGAGGAAGTTGCGCCGGTTTTGGAGCAAGAGGCTCGTCGCTCGAGCACTAGGAGGCCTGTCTCTCGACGAAACACTGTCAATAACATCCGCTCCTCGCCAGCACCAATGTCGAGAGAGTCCAGCCCGCCTGTTTCGCCGCCCCCAACGACCACGCGCGGCTCAGGCAGGTCCAGCTCTAGGCGAGAGGCTGAAGCTGAAGCTGCGCGCCGTGAAGCAGAGGCGGAGGCTGAGGCTGAGGCAGAGGAAGCAGAAGCAGAGGTGGAAGAGGAACCAGTCGCACAACCAGAGGCGGACGACGAGGACGAGGAATCCGAGCATGATCCCGATGATCCGGACGAGCCAAAGTACTGCTACTGTAACCGTGGCTCGTACGGTGAGATGGTGGCTTGCGACAATGACAGCTGTCCTCGCGAATGGTTCCATCTGGGGTGTACGGAGCTCCGAGAGGCACCCAGCGAGGAAGAGAAGTGGTATTGTAGAGAGTGCCGGCCGTTGTTTGGACAGAAGGTCGGCAGGAAGGGAAAGGCAGGCAGAGGGAGGGGAGGTTGATAAGGTGTGATGAATAGGTAGATATCTCAGAAATCGATCGCCCTGTGCTCTCAGATCACTTGAATGGTTCATTCATTTCACTTTGATGGATGCCACGCACATGTCGAAGAAGAGGAGGAAAGAGCGACCGCCCTCCGGCTCTTGCCGCGGTCTCGTGCCAAGACGCCCGAGCGTCGTCAAAGCTTCCTGAAAATTACACCTCCAACTTCGCGACTTCAATCCTCTTCTGCAACCAACACCTCCATCAACAACATTCTTGTCCTGCCATCGGACTGGACATTACCAGACCTGAACATGAGCTGAACACGCCACCAGTCGCCGCAATGGTAAGCCACCCTCTTATCCCCACCGCGCTTTTCATGATGAAATGGCAAAACCGCAAACTAGAGTCTTTGACCTCTCCACAAGGGAGGACTGAAACTGCATTGCTACGTCAGTCTGATCTGGCACTCTTCACCTTCCGTCTGCACATGCCTCGCAAGAAGGGATGCTGACTGAACAACAGGCGCGGCTTCACTTCCTCTCTCTGCCTTTTGGCTTAGGTCACCGACCTCCGAACTCCATCTGGGCTTGAGAGATCTGTTCTTTTCAGTTTGATCTCTGAAACGAGTCTAGTCATGGTGAGTCCAACTCTTCTTCTTTTCTTATTGCATGTCTTTTATGATGATCAACACAAAAAACAAATGGAATTACCGGCCGAGACCTTTACTCGGGTCGCTGGCGAGAAACTTGGCTCAATACGCCTGAACATACGACTACTCGCACTGCATTTTGATGGATCAGTTGAGAAGGCATGTGCTGATGATCATATGGCAGGTGACTTGAGGCGTGACTTCGTGATCGGCATCAGATGGCAGCCTTCGCTGAGCACCTCGTCTCAGATGGATATGACCAAGGGCGATGGCTGCGCACTGGGCATTCCTTTCCAGCTCGCACATACCGCCTTCGCACATCCCTTTGTTATTGTCCTTTCACCGCACCCAAACAATCGGAGCCACTACCGCCAAAATGGCTACCGACACACCGACAGACGAGTTCCGAACCTTCCTCGATGGTTGCTCATGAGCAATGGCAGCCATCGTATCGGGCGTGGAGGCACACCGAACCCAGTGCAGCATCCGGCATGACAGGCTCGGCTGTAGCGAAGACCAAGGTCTCCTCACGATTCGCCTCGAAGGTGGCACCCCGGAGATGGCTAGTCAAATCATCAGCACGCTGCAGCAAGCAGGGAGACACATAGAGTCCACTCTGGCTGTGGCGAAGACCAGTAAGAGGCAGCGCAAGAAGCAGAAAGCTGTACTCGCCTTGGTCCTCCATTTGCCAGTCGGGCCACTGACACCGCTCAACTCCTGGAAGACTCCAGGTAAGTTCCAACCATCTCCTGCACGATCTTCATGTGATGAATCGGCACTGGGCTCCGAGTATACATGAGCCGATACGCCACTTTGTGACAGGCCTAGAAAACCTCGTCCACTGATCGACTTCAACATCGCCAAGCTCCATGTTTACGAGATTGAAGATCATTGCTGATCGCTGTGACAGGTATCGACGCTGGTAGACGAGCGTCTGCTTTGGTTCGTACGGCATGAGGTGAGTCTTGTCGAGCTTCTTTTCTTTCCCGCCCTTTTTATGATGATTATTGATGACGAGTCTGATTCGGCCTTGCCGATGCAGACAACAACATTTTCTACCATTCATGCCTTAACTGATCCCAAACGCTTCGCTTCATGCCAAACTCAGCTCTCCAGCATGATCTGAAACTGACTTCTGGCACAGAACCTGATACTTAAGGAGCACCACCGCCACGTCCAGAACTGCTGCAGTGGTAAGCACTACACTCTTTCATCACACCCTTTCATCTGATGACTCAAAACAACAAACGATAAGCATATGTCCAAGCCGCTGTGACAGGCGGCGCAGACGAGAAAGTTGCAAGCCTGATTGCATGCCTCCGGCTTCGCATTGATCACGACCAGCCTACGATCGCAACTTCAGATCGGCCGACTGACATTTGTGAACAGTGTTGTTCGGTCTTCGCGCATTCGCCGGGGCGTCGCTGCAGTACTCTATACTTGCCCTTCATTCGACAATCGGAGCAGTACAACTTTAACGGTAAGCATGTCTTCTTCCCTCCTGCACATCTCGCACTTCCATGATGAATCTTTTCATATCTCACGACGGTCGACATAGCAGTCAAAGACTGCATTGATGAGATGGCCTCTGACCAGGCCTTTGAATCTGACACTTGCTTCTTGCACTTTGCATATCTTTTCTATCCGTCTCTTCGAGTGAGACTTGAGGCTGACATTCACCAGGTATCTGCGCTCAGATCAGAGTATGCCTGATGTACGGGAGCCACCACTGTCCGGGAGGCGGTGCGTGATGCTGAGCTCCTCGCTCATCTTGAGCGTGCACTTGCACTGCGCCCAACGATGGGATGAACATAGACTGGGATGCATTCGTCAACCAGTTGCCGGCAAGCTCCTTCACGAACCACCCTGGTGATCTTCCGCCTCGACCAGCACGAGCTGATCAAGATCGAGTTCCCTGGGATACATAACAATGGCAATGCAACACTCTGTGGCAATGCAACACTGCGCGGTCACCTCGAGAAGAAAGAAGCTCCGCTTGACGTATTCTTCATGACCTGCGCACCACTCATCGGCATCATGGCGGCATTCGAGAGAATCTCAGCTCTCGATCCCACCACCAACGAGCAGTCTTTCACGGTAGATGACCTCGCTGAGCAGTTTCGCCAAGAGCAGTTTAGGCGTTGGCCAGCGGCGGCGCAATGCCAGTCCAGAAGTCAAAGCCGAGTACACGAAGAGAGCTGAGGTGTGATACTTCAACCATGCGATCGACCATCCGGGCTACCAGTAGCAGCCACGCAAGCCATCCGAGGAGAAGAAGCGCATTCGAGGTTGTGGCACGAGGCAGTGTTTGTCAAGACTGCGGCAATGACCACCGCAGGACCGCCTCGAGAGCGCGAATCATATCAGTGTCAACATCAAGGGCAATGTGATCATGCCGCCACAATGTCACGAAGGTCCTCGCAAGCCCAAAGACTACACGGAACGTCCGCCTGATGACCAGAACCTCCTTGTTTTGGACAGCGCCTGGGCAGTCGTGGCTCATTTGTACGGGACCTGCCCTCATGCCACCGCCGACGAGGCCAGGCAGGGCAGCGAAGTGGGAGAGGATCCCTCATCCCAGCAACTCGTCGTTTACGGCATGGATCCGGCAAGGAGCATGAGTCTCGTGAATGATCGAGGCAGAAATGAGGGGGCAGTCGAGGCTTGCTTGTACTATGGCTTCAGCTCGCCGTAGAGGCCAGCAGTCAATCGAATGAAAGAAGTCAAGCTTCAGCATTGTCATATCACTTTTCAATTCTTTCCAATCGTCTGTCTGCCCTTTGAACGCCATCGCTATCGTGAGGTATCGTCGTCCCAACGCATGTGATCCAACAACACCTTGCCCTATCCCAACAATCAAACGCCACATTCATGCTGGCTCAATTCCCCAGACAAATCCCAATAAACTCCTCCCGACTGATCCCCCCTTCTCCCCTCACATCAAACTCGTCAATCATCGCCTGCAACTCCTCCTCCTGCAACCCCTCCCCCAACTCCCTCGCCACCCTCCTCAAATCCTGCAAATCAATCCTGCCCTTCCCCTCCTGATCGAACAGATCAAACGCCCTCAAAATCTCCTCCCTCGGATCCCGCGCCAGAATCCTCTGCGCGGCGATCGTGACGAACGTCGAATGCGGGAGGAGGAGTCGCGAGGGACCTGAGAATGTCGGGTTTTGTTGAGATGCTTGCGCGGAGGGGTTGTTGGATAAGGAGGAAGCGGGGATCCCGTGGGTCTGGAGGATGGAGACGAGGTCTTGCTTCGGGAGGTCGAAGCCTAGCGCTTTGAGGGCGACTTTTAGTTCGTGGTAGTCGATGTGTGAGTCTTTGTCGAGGTCGAAGAGGGAGAACTGTCACAGAAAATATTGTCAGCATGCGGGGTGGGTTTGGGGGTGGTATAGGGTGTGTTCGTACAGCTTCATTGATCTCCTCCCTCTGCTCCTCGCTCAATGCCTCGAGGGCATTCCGTTCCTCTGCTTCTCGTCGCTCGCGTTCCTGTCGCTCTAATCTTTCCCGCTCGAGGCGTTGCGCTTCTCTCTGCTGGGCTGTGGGGTTTGAGGGCCCTCCTCCTCCTGCGCCGCCGGGGTTTTGCGACGCTGCTGCCGCGTAGGGTGTTTGCCCGCCGCCGGTGAAGGGCGTGTTCGAGGCGCGTCCGAGCCCGGAGGTGTAGGGCCGCGAGGGGAATGGTTGATGGGATGTCGCCATTGTCGTGAGGCGGTCAAGCGATGTCGCGGATGCTGCTGAGGGAGGTGGCGTGTCTGTCGGGGTTATCTGTGGTTGTGGGAAGGAGGAATGCGTTTGGGCGCATTTGGTGGAGTTCTTGGAGGTGGACGCGTCTGGGAAAGCGCGTGTTGCGTCGGGATTTCTTCGGCCGAGGTTAGGACGGACGTCACATCCTTTCACTTGTCTTTGTCTTTCAGATGACAAAACATCTACGCAAACGTAAGGCAAAGCGATGCAGCAAACGAAATAGAAGAATAGACCCGAGAAGAATGATATGATTTGGAAAGATGCAGGAAGTTCGGCAATGCTTATCGTCTCTGTTTTAATTTCTTTCCATCTCCTATACGTATTCTACAGTCTACTCTTCTCATATATCAAAACAATGTCTATTGACTAACTTCAAAGATGTCTGCACACAGTCTTAGTTCAAGAGCAGTAGAACTGAATATCGGTCCGACAGATGCAGCACCCATATCTTTTCCAAGCCTCGTCCCAGAGCTGCGGCCAGAACTCCTCACCGGACCAGAAATTGACCTCCCGTCTCTGGCTGAACACTTCTAGAGCAATGACGATGCGCGGTCGTGGTATTGACCGACGCACATCATCGGCGATACCGAGGCTTCTCACCAGACCCAGACGACAAGCCAGAGTGGACGTGGCCCATACGAGGACAATATATAGGTGAGGAATCTCATTCCGGAGAAAGACAGCAGACACGGCCTTGACGAAGACTCCCAAAGCTGTTGCATCGTCGTGCGCCAGTACCTTGGCCAATGTCCTGGCAAGGAGAGACTCTCGACGAATTGGGACGACGACACATAGAGATCTTCCCCAGAAACATCTGGGACCTTTACTACAAGTTCCACGGCCTGCTGGGACTCGACCGGACTAACGGAGAGTCTCTTGACGCCGTTCTCTAGAGCCAGCTGAAGCTCAACTACATCCGTGGCTCTTGCCGATGGGTCGCACGCGCCTTGCAGTCCTGGTGGCTGTTGCAACAGGTGAATATTCACGAGTCGTCAAATCACGAGCCCGAGTCTTCACCATTTGGCTGCGCTTGGACCAACCAAAACACGCTGCAAGTGGTGAACGCACGGGACACCCCTCGAGGTTTAAAAAGCGCTGGCGCCCTCGAGTGTCTCTTCCTTTTTCTTCCAACTCTTCGCTACATTCGAGGTCGACAAGCTGCGGCACATACTCTCTCGACGACACCGACACCATGGCTCGGCGAGACAACACCCTCGCGCAGTACGTCAAGCCTTCGAGGGGTAAGAAGAAGCCCGACCAAAACCTCCCTCCCAATACCGATGCCAGCCACCAGGCAGCCTCTTCTTCGCGACGCCTGCCTTCACCGAAATCCGCCATCAACAACACCCGTGACCAGTCTCTCCGCCTCATGACTCGGTACGGCAACACAAGTGCCATCATCCAAGACGCCTTCCGTGCAGCCGACGGAAGTATCGCATTCTACAGAGACCTGGCTGTCCCGGCAGATAGTTTGCCAGGCAAGGGTCCGCAGAAGTGGCTTGAGGAGAAGCAGAGGTAAGTACGAATCATCACGGACGATGGATCCCACTCATGCGATATAGACGAATTCAGATGCACACCAAAATGCTTGAAGTCGATGACTACACCTGGAAGGCTCGAGCTACTTGCCAACCCGCCCACATTGCTCTCCGCAAATACCAACCATACAAGAAGCTCTTCGGCGAGCGAAAGTTCCCTCACAAGTACAGCACATATCCACCTCAGCTCACTTCGAGTACCTGCAAGGAGCCCGTCACCTTCTTCGACCTTCCTGGAGAGATCCGTAACAGGATCTATCGTCTCGCATTGGTCTTCGACGAGCCATTCGAGTTCCTGCCCAAGGCAGCTGGCGGACGCAAAGCGCCAGCTCGCGCTTGCGTCCGTGCTAAGAAGCTCTTCGCCAAGTCCCTCGGTCTTCGCAAGCTTCTTCGTGTCAACAAGCAGGTTAACAAAGAAGCGAGCGACATTTTCTACGGCGAGAATCTGTTGTGCTTCAGTTCTGTGCTGGGCTGGCAGTTTCTGAGAGGCTTCATCGAGACGATCGGCAAAGACAACGCCGCTCGTCTGCGCAAGATCACGGTACACATTCACTGGCCTGGACGCACTGGCGATCACAGTGATAGGTACGGTCAAGGCCGTTTCCCGCCGGACGAGGACGACGCCTATGATGGCCTCTCGCCTGAGGGCTTCTTCTACTATTACAAGCCACTCGACAAGATCCGCACGTCCGACGAAGCTTACGCCGAGTGCATGAAGATGCTCAACGAGGCTGGCATTCTGGAATCACTGAACCTCGTTCTTCCCTACACTTTCGACGTCCTCGACTTTCCAGATCTGGCTCTGGACATCACCAAGTTCGAGATCAAGCCCAAGATCAAACTCATCCATCTCAATATCAACGGTGACTGGACCGCGAACGACTCACAGCACCCTCTCCGCACGCTTGGCCCACTCCCAAAGCCAGTCTGGACTCGCAAGCGCCGCAATCGCCGCAACCTCGCTCCTGCAGAGCCACCGGTGATCGAGGAGTTTGAGACTGCCAAAGCGTATGCAGTCGCGAAGGGTTGGGAGTACAAGCCGAGAGAATGCGATGAGAAGGGACATTACAGGGCCGCGAAAGATATGTACTGGGGAGTCGACGGTATCCCAAAGGACGTCGAGGAAGGCTATCGTTACTGAGTGAGGCGGCAGTGCGTACTTTGGGGCCCGAAGCTGGGCTGGTTCCTTCACACAGATTGACAGAGACGCTTGATATCGAGAGAGGATCTCGCATTGTGCTGCTTTGTTGCTTTAGAATTGCAACTCATAATCCATGCGTTCATAGATACCCTCTCACCACCCCCTCCACCCAAGCCCATCAATAAAACTCATCAACAACACTTCCCCCACTCTCGTACCCAAACTCAATAATCTTCCACACATCCCAAAACCCTAGCCCAAAACTCGCCGCATCATTCATGAAAGCCTTCCGATCTTCCGTCTTCCAGAGCTTGATTGTTCTCGGCTCGCCCCGAACTTTGGAATATAGCTGGACCAGCTCGTCGCCGTAGTTAGTACTAATCATTCGTTCTGTCACCACAAAGGCAGACTCCCGACGGGACGTTGTCGATTCATCTCACAGCATTACACCTCAGCGTGTCGTCGAGCCAAGATGTCGCATCTCCCTTCCATGACTGTTCGATGCTTTGAGGAACTTCGCTGCATTGTTTGCCGCTTGACGAAATCTGTTCTGTGACGGCGCGGCGGACTCGGAGGGTTTTCGCAATTTGCCAACCATTTGGAAATATGTTGAGCGGCCAGGGAGGCTTATGTCTGCTTGAGCATCGTGCAGGTTCAACGGTAGGTGTTGTTCCTCTGCTCCTGACTGACCATCCGACGCCATGTCAAGCACCATCGATTCCGGTCTGGGTCGGGAGGGGACGATCATGCTGGCTCTGTTCTTGCCACTGACGTTTAACAGCCCAAGCCGTCTGGCCAACTCTTCCACTTCACCATCGTCGCTCATCTTCACCCAAGCTGGGACTGAACTGAAGCTGTTAATACTGATCTTGCTGAAGCGGTCCATGGTCTTCAAACAGCCCAATTCCGAGAAGCAGTCATTCAACGAGAATCGAGCGGCTCTGCGATATTCCAAACGTTCCAGCAAGAGTTGCAAGATGACGAGTCGATGAGCTCGTATCTGACATGTCTCCCAAGCTTCCAAACGCCTTGTCATTCCCCAAAAATCACCTGGATGGTGACCCCAGCATTCACCGTCGTGGTCGAAGTGGAACCCACAGTGGCCTGTAGCCGCCAGTTTGCGATGGCGAGTGAGATCTTTCGCGAAGGCGAAGTCGATGTTGCAATCCTCACAGCAGAATGGTCTGGTCGCGAGCTCGATGCTGTGTTGCTGGATGTGTCTGATCAGGTCGTCCTCATCTGGATCGAATTCCTCGCCGCAAATATTGCACGGCTCTCTGGAACTACGATAGACGGACGCTGGTGGCACTTTGGGAGGATGGTCTCGGAGGAACCTCTCGGCAAAGGTGTCAACGTCGATACCCTGCACGACATGCTCTGATGGCCCTGAGGGTGATTGGGGTTCTACATATGGATATTCAGCACATGGAAGAGCCGTCCAGTATTGATAGTAGACTGGTCCGGTAAGAGGTTTCGATTCTGGTGTGCCTTGCACTCGAAGAGCCGCTGCCAGGGCCTCGCGGCAGCCATTACCTTTCGACCTCAGATGTTGGTGTATGTAGTCTGCACGAAATGTGCGGAAACAGATGGGACAGGGCCATTTTTCTCCAAGATGAGCCGTCCGTTCGTGTCGCAGCCGACTGTCGTCACGTTTGAACGTTGCAGGACATAGAGAGCATACGTATCTTGCGGCTCCATTGCTTAGCTGGAGGTGGTCATTCAATCGGAATCTCCGTGTGTATGACTTCCCGCAAGAGCAGTGATATCGTCCGTCGATGGTTCCATTGTCGAGGTGGGCAGGGGCTAGTACGAGGCCATCGTAGTACTCGTCGGAGGTGAGATTGGCCAACTCGGGATCAGCTGAAGGTGCCACACGGGCTGTTTTGAGTGGTCTCTCCGGCTGCTCGCCAACGCCATCTTCTGGGACGTTACGTTTCACGCCACTAGGCTCTGGTGGCGAAAGCGAGGGCGTAGAGCCAAAGTCATCGGCCTCAGCTAGGTTTCCGAGGCCATTTAAAAGTGTTGACAAAGCTGTGTATTGGCCCCATGGCAGTTCCAACTCAGCCGGAGGCACACCAACAAGTCCAGAAGCATCTCTCTGTGTCGAGTCCTGGATATCAGAGTCACTTGCAGTTAACTGGTAACCCTGAATCGGCGTATCAATCTGCGGGACCGAAGGTAGTGCACGAGTGGGAGGCGCATACGGAGGGTCTGAACTGAGGTCATGGAACCGCTGGCCGTTGCGTAGTCGCCGAGACAAAGGTATATCGACGGGCTTCATTAGGCGCTGATAGATCCTGGTAACGTCGACTCGTGTAGCTGTTGTACGCCACTTTCAATATGTGCAACAACGGCAGACTGGCGCCACGAATGAATTGAACAACTTGAAGCAGGTAGTCTTTGGATGATTGGGGTGGCAGATGTGGGAGTCCAGTCGTACGTAGAAGTACAAGTCGAAAGTGAAAGCCAACTCATCCAGATCCGTCATGAGCGCCCCTTCACCACCCAGGGCGCGTGCTCAAAGTGTCCTGACGCCTCACCGGTTCGGAATGGTTGTGTGGCGGTGTCACCGCCAGGTTGAAGGCAACCTGGTTCGCATATTGCCGTCATCACTGCCACAGCAGAGGGCGCAACGGCCACGCTACTGCAGATGATGCCGACGTGTTGTGTTGGCCAGCAGATGGCAAAGAAGTATCAAGGCTGAAACGCAGGGGATGAACGGGGGTGGACTGCGTTCGCGCTAGCACCACCAGGCCAAGACGCTAAAACGTACCCTTCATCTACCGAGAAGGACGGAAGAAAGATGTTCCGAAGTGAGGAATGCATGCATGAACGGGGAGTGAAACATCAAACACCATGGCGAGCTCTACACTCTCAACTCTAGGCCGTGCGTCCGACTCTGTAGATCTGAAATGCTGGTCTCGAATCGTTTGTGAATTGGCGGGCAGTCAATCAGCAACAGCTGACGGGTCGAATGGGGAAGAATTTGAGTTGGGTCGTGTCCACAGTCTTCTTCTTGGACACACCGCTTGAAGCAAGTGAGCGAGTGATACAAGAGGCAGTCAATTCATGTCGACGGCTGAGACTCTTCGAAACCAGTGGGAACAGTTCCAAACCAGTCGAAGGTTCCATCGATCAAAGCATCGTTCGTCCACCAGGTCAACAGATCGTCCAGATTAGGCTCCCAGTCCATATCATATCCATCGAGCTCGCTGTCCACACTTGCGAAACCTTGGGTGCCCATATCGTGGTCAGTTCCAGATCGTTGACTACCAGCCAACGTTGTTGACCTTTGCGAATCACGATGCGCATCGTCTCTCGCACATTCCAGCTCCTCGGAGTAGAAGACTGCTTTGGCGTGGGCGTAGAACCTACAGGCCAAAACCTCAAGTCGTCGCACAAGTGGATTGCGAGTATGTTTCCCGAGGTCTTCCAGAAACGTAGGCAGTAGTTCCATGACTTGAAGAGATTGTTCATTCTGGTCATAGCACGCTCCCATCTTGCTGGTCATGAGAACATGGCCGACCAGACTCTGAAACGCCGCAAACGGACAGAAGAGCAGCTGCCAGATATGTAGGTCTGATGGAGAACGCTGGTCTAGACGAATGCTCTTAAGGCGCCTGAGGAGGTTCTCCGCCGGTTCTCGGCCGTCCAGTGTACGACTCTTGCAACCTCTCGTTAACAGAATTTGCATGTGGTAGTAGAGGAACCTGATATTTATAAGGCCCTGTTCGATGGAATCCTGGCCGTCTGCAGTGAGTAGCGGTTTCTCCGTGGAGGCTGCTGCTCCCAATACTTCCGTTGCTTTGCGGTACCACTTGTCAAGCTGATCCATATTAGAGGATACCAGCTCATGATCGAAGCCTTGTCTTGCCTGCGTACTTAAGCCACGAGATGCCTCGCCCATGATCTCAGACAGCAGATACATCTGATGGGTGTAGTGTGCATCGAAGACTCTCGACTCATTTGGCTCGTGGTGGGCGGCTGCAAGCTGGTCTAATGTTGGCATTGGCACAGCTTTGGTTGCTTCTGTGTGGATCGTTGGCGGCTTCATGAGGCTCAATGCCAATGTTTTGTCAAGGTAATTGAGCTGCCAAAATAGAATTCTATATGACTTTTGTTGATCAGAAGACTCGTGACTTCGGCGAATTTGGCCGAGTGTCTGTATCATCGTGCAGGCTTTGGAGACCAGCATCCAGCAAACGGACGGGGTCATGTATTCATCCACTTGAGTCGCAAGAACGATGAGTGCTTGGACATTGAGTAGACTCGGTTCAATAAACAGCCGAACGTCGTTGAATGCAAGCCACAGATTGCTCTTCAGCTTGGCTTTTGTGTCTTTCGGGTGGGTCGCATCTTCACTTCGTGAGCTCAGAGCAACGCTATAGAACATGACAAGCCAAGATTGATCCTTGACGCGGTGTATGTTCCCGGCGGCTAAGTGTTCGCGGACCTCGTCAAATGCAGAAGCGATAGGGAGTCTACGCTTTCTCAAGACCGTGAATAACACTGTTTCAATCAAGATCAGTGGATCTTCCAGAAGCACTTTTTGGGACCTATGACCTACTAGCCGTCCACGTACGGGACGCATGCTCGTTGAGCAAGTAGTATGTCTTCGCCGCTGCCTCCCGAAGCTGGTTGAATGCGCTCGCGTCTTGCCATGCTGCAAAGTACTCGTCGAAAAGTGGAGCTAGGACTCTGAGGGCAGCGTGATCCCTTCCAGTAAGCCTCCGTAATCTCTCATGGGTACTTTGGTCATCCTCTACAGCACGCTCTTGCGGTAGTCGATGAATGGCGGTATCGGATTTTCTCGATGCCTTGGCCGTCTCTTTCTTCTTTCTATTTCGACGAATAACGCCTGAGCGAGAGTAGTAACAGGCATGGCCTTCAGACACACATCGCTGGCAGTCGGGATAGTTACGAGAGCAGCTTACCTGTGAAATGTTAAGCGTTTTCACGTTGGATGGAGCAAAGACGCGTTGTTTACAGTACCTTCCGAGTCCGGCATTCATCGCACTTCGCCCAATGCATTAGCTCTAGTCGTCACCCGCAGCAGGGCGACCAAGCAACTTACAGCGTACTGTGCCAATTCTCCATCCATCTTGTCGATGATAAAAGTTCGATGTTGGTGGACGGGAGATGAGGTTGCGGAAGAAAGGAGAACTGCTCGGAAGTTAGCCGGGGCTTACGGAGTCAAAAGATCTCAGATGTCAGGGTCTGAAATCGCGAGACTGCCTCAGCCTGAGAAGCGGAAAGTAGGAGTTCCCGAGCGGGAGATAGAGAACTCCGAAGGCGGCAAGTGCAAAGCCAGCACTATTGCCAAACGTGCGGTCTTCAGAAAACCCCAGGGAAAGCCATATATATGGCCCCTGTCGTCTCCAAGACATGGATATCTTCATTCGCGACTACACAATCGACAATGTCCCCAATGCCTGCTCCACCAATCGCAATCCTCGGCGCAGGACCTTCCGGCCTCATGCTAGGTCGTCTACTCGAGAGACAACAAATTGACTACATCATCTTCGAAAGAGACGTAGACGGCTCTGTCGTCAATCAAGGCGGCTCCCTCGACATCCACAAAGACTCTGGGCAGCTTGCCCTCGAACAGGCCGGTCTGATCGAGGAGTTCAGGAAACATGCACGTGTCGATTGTGTTACGAAGCTCGCCGACAAGCATGGCAATGTTGCGATGAGCCTTGAGCAACAAAGCGATCGACCGGAGATTGACCGCAAGGTCTTGAGGCAGCTTCTTCTGGAATCAATCCCTGAGCATCGAGTGCAGTGGAACTCCAAGGTGGCCAAAGTGGCCAAGGAAGATGATGGACTCATGTCTGTTCAGCTTTCGAATGGAACAGTGCAGTCCGGTTTCAAGCTTGTCGTAGGCGCAGATGGGGCCTGGTCGAAAGCTCGAAGTCTGGTAAGCTGTCTTCGTCAAAACTCAAGCAACAGAGGACTGACTTCTTGTAGGTGACAGCAGCAACACCCGAATATTCGGGAAAGTGTTACTTGACGACCCATATTCATCCCGGCAACCCTCAATACTCTGCACTCGAGCCCCTCGCAGGTCACGGAAGTTACATGGCCCTAGCAGAGGAGAAGTTCCTGTTCGCTCAGTACATCGGCGATGGCTCCTATGCAATTGGATTTGGTTTGTACCTCCCAGAGCACTGGAACGAAGAGAAACGACTGCTCGATGATCATGAGGCCCTGAAGCAGTGGATCCTCGACACTCAAATGGCGGGATGGCCGGAGATGCACACCAACTTCATCAAACATACCGAACCTGGATGGCGTCGATGGCCGTTGTATGCGCTTCCAACTGAAGCTCTTTCGTGGAAGACACTTCCAGGAGTAGCTTTGGTCGGCGACGCCGCCCATGTCACGTAAGATCAGCTTCTTACTGCTCACCACTCTTTTGCTGACTATCAGAACAGCACTCCTTTCCAAGGCGAAGGCGTGAATTGCGCGATGCACGACAGCGTTGAACTGGCACAGCAGATCGCCAAGTACGGTCTCGAGAATCTGGAGCAAGCGGTTTCAGAATATGAAAAGTCGATGCTGCCTCGCGGTATCGATTTGATCACCAGAAGCGCCGAGAGTGGAAAGTTTCTGTTCGCGCCAGATGCTCCTTACGGGTGGATGAAGAACATTGCCGGACAGCACGATTCATAGAGTACCAACCACCGCTTGATAGAAAGGATTGTATAGATAGACCATAGCAGCAGATACCCCTCTTACTTCGTTCAGATTTTCTGTGGAGATAGCAGCCCCCTCGACGTCAGCCAAATCTGATCATGTCTTCTTGGTGAGCCAGCAGGGATCGGGAACCTTCCCTCCTGCGCTCTCTTCTTATCCTCGTCAAGTTCGCGCATTTTCCAGGATCTCAAGCCCCAAATGCTTGCCGCTCCAGCAAAGTACATGCAGCCGACAAAGACCTGGGCCGTCAGGTAGCCTGATGTCGAGACTAGCTCGAGTGCTATTCCTTCGGCGAACGTTGTTGGTAGGACCAAAGGCACGCAGATCATGCCGAATGCCAGTGGCAATCGTTGCATGCCAACGATCTCTGCCGTCACAGGCACGACCGTGGCCCAGAAAGTTCCAGTCACAGTGCCAGCAAAAAGAGCGAATACCAGCAGGACTGCGTATGACTTTGCCGGCACCCAGATAGCCAAGCAGAATATGCCACATAGCGCAGTCATGAATATAGCCACATTGATGCGACCAAATCTGTCCGACCAGTAGCCGATGGGTGGTCGACCGAGTGCAAGGCCCAAGTTCAGCACAGCTCCCACAATGGATCCTTGCTTTGCAGTGAGGCCAATAGACTGTGCGTAGTTGGGAAGTGAGTAGAGTAGGGTGATATATCCAAGCTCGGTGAGCCATCCCCAGCAGACAATGAGCAGAGTCGAGACGTGGCCGAGTTCCCGAATGTCGAAGCTTCGCTTGTACGGTTGGACCAGCTTGTTGCGATCTTTGAGGAGGATGGCGCTGGTGAGATTGACAACTAGCGTACTGATCGCAAGTACAATGTATGTCCAACGCCAACCCAAGTCAGTAAGGCCTGCACCGGCTCCAAGGTTGTATGCGAGGCCTCCAATTCCAGCTCCAGATGATGCAAGCCCAACAGCTAGGCTCCGTCGTTGGGAGAACCACTGTGGGAGGACAGCGGAAGCAGTGATGTATAGGAAGCCCATGCCGTACCCGAAGCAAGCACCCTGGCTCAGGAACAGATGCCAGATCTCGGTGGCAAACGATGAAGCCAGCATTGAAACGGAGACCAAGACGGTGCCGAACAGCAAGCTAACTCTCGTACCCAGCTTCTCGTTGGTCATGGCCACGAGAGGAGAAACGAGGAGTGCTTGAGAGATTGAAAGGCCGCCGATGAGAGCATACTGGAGGTGCGTTGCATGTCGAAATGTCGATTCGGAGAGGAAGTGGGCGAGGAACACTCCCCACGCAGCATTCACTCCCCAGGTATGGGCGTTGATCAGGAAGACACATGCTGTAACAATCCATCCGTAGCCGCCGTCTGGAGGGACATCTTCTCTTTCCGCGACGTTGATTTGTGGTCCGGTGAGTTGTCCTTCTTCAATGCCATCCTCGTTGATGGCGGAAGTTGGTTGCGATGCGACTCGAGGAGTCTCTGGTTGTCGTGGTTCGCTTGGCCCGCCCATTGTTGCACTTGATTGTTGGTGTTCGTCGTCAAGAAGCTCTTTCACTGATATGTTAACAAGCACGGAGTCATAAGGCGTCATGGAGCAAGCTCGGCCAAAATTTTGCGCCAACCTTCACCTGGCTGGCTCGGCAGACCACAATAGGAAGTTAGCTAAGTATCTATTAGGTAACGCGGCCCATATGCCCGTACATTCTTTCCTGTTCCAGTGATATTGAGAAGACAGGGAAGTACGAGAGTTAGTTGATGGAGGATGGCCTTCCGCTAGTCCATTTGTACCAAGACCTATGTGTTGATAGACTTGAATCCACTCTTTCTCGACAACAGCTGAGTCTTACTGCCAAGCATTGTGGACTGGAGCATCCCAACATACGGTCCTCATTTCAAGCGTGCTGGAGAACATGTAACGCAGTATTGATCTTCTGCCCCCGCCATCCCGAACATGAAGCAAGCAAGTATCCCGCTAGAAGGAAACGCCGTCGACAGGCCCCTCCAATGGTCGTAGCAAGGTGCTGCCCAAGACCGGGTACTCGAGTTGTTGAATGTTCGTATCCGACTCCTCGACATGACCCGTCTTGGAAGCAGGCGTGCACTTCGCTGGGCTCGGCACTGTCTTCTCTTGTTTCAGCAATCCCTTCTTACTCATCCAATCCTCGAGCATGGCATGTGCATCGATGGCTTCCTCCAGCTGCAGCAAGAACGTCTCCGCGTGTTGTACTTCGTCGTCAGCGAGTCGAAGGGCATACTCCGCGTCGTAGAGATTGCCATCGATGAGGCTGCTCTTGGTGAAGCCGGCGTTTTCTTTGAGCTTTTCGATGGTGGTGGGGACTGTAGAGTAATGTTAGCCACAATCCTCAAATGTCTTGAAAAGGGGCGATCCTTCACACTTACTGTATGCCGAGTCTCCCTTGGCGAAGGCGAAATTGCAGGTCATGCGGTATCGAAAAGTGACGGCGGGATTGGCGACAACGCTTCGGTGAAGTGCGACGTAGCGGGACATGAGGAGGGCGTAGGATTGCTTGATGTTATCGATGGCGCGCTCAAGCTGGAGCCCCTGAGAGCAGAGGCGCACCGAGTCCACCCACGGCAGGCGAAGAACAGGTGGAGACATGGCTGTCGAGTATGGAAAGACGGCTGTGAGGGTTAATATTGCACTCTGAGCAAACATCGCGAGACTTACGGTGTTCTGGGAGCTTTCGAGGGAGTTCTGTCTTGACAGTCGTGGTTTGGGGGTGTCTCGGACAATGACGAGTCCATCAATGAACGTGCTTTTGTTCAGGTGGTGGAGCTGAGGCGAGCCCCTTGTTCTGGCGTGGCGCGACAAAAATGTCTTTGTTTGTACCGTCGTGATGAAGACTTTTGCCTTGAGAAGCTGAAGGACTTGAAGCATCGCCGCTTCTAGGTTGCCATGTCAACGAGGCAGCACTCTCGGTACGTCGTCACGGATGATGTTTCTTGTCCTTTCGCCTGGCTTCCAAGTCGTCCATGACATTTTTCGCAAGTAGCGAGTCCAAAAACTGCGAGACCCGCTTGACCTTCAAGCCGTCTTCCGTCATCCACAGCGTATTAATTTGGGGGATAATAATCTCACGTCCGTCTTTATACACCGCATGGCGGTTGGTGAGAACAACGACTTTCCGCTCTCGTTCGTCGACCGTCATGTCTTTGATGCGATTTTTTCATAGACGTGGTGGTGGGCGATGTTCGCGCCTTCGATCTTTTCGAATTCTTCCACGGTAAGCCCGTTTGCTAGGGAAGGCACGAGCTTGACGAAACTTGGCGGTCCGAACTCACGTTTGCAATCTGCTGTCAGGAGTTTTGAGAGGTGTTTTGCGTCTTGCGTGGCGTGTGCCTGATTGTACGAGTCTAAGAAGGCTCGGGCGGTGGATTGCAGGCGGGTGTATAGGGAAGATGTTGAGTCCATCGTGACTAAATGAGCTGAAGCGACAACAAGGAGGCATAGATCAAGTCAACAAGTTCGCAATAGGACAAAGGAGCTTTTTATACAAAGAGGCGTACATTTAAGGGTTTTGAGCTGACAAGTTTTTTCTATTCGGGTCAATAGTGCGGGCGAACCACTCAGGCTGCCATCAGCTCGGGGATCAGCCGATGTTGCAAATGGCCATAGGATTTGGAAGGGGAAAAGACCACTCACAGTTGGAGATCAGCCCCTGAACGACAGGACAGACACTCGCACTTTGTACAGACAACAATCGTTAATGTAAATAGGGACTAGGCAATTTGACAGCAGATGATTGTCCATTGCCACCATCTCTGGTCACACAGGATCACAATGCGTAGGAAAGTACCTCAGGGGTATCATCGGACGTGCCTGAACGTATCTCTAACCTCCCTCACGAATAGACCTGGAACTTCCCATGCGGCAAAGTGACCGCCCTTCTCAACGTCTCTCCAGTGCACGATATTAGAGTAGTATCGTTCGCCCCAGCTTCGGGGTGCGTAGTTAAGGTCACCCGGGAAGATGCTCACTCCGACTGGGATGGAGATGGGCAGGGCGGTGTTATCGTCATCTTCCCAGTAGAGTCTCGCCGATGAGCCGCCTGAGTTGCTCAACCAGTAAACCATAATGTCGTCCAGGATCTCATCCATAGTCAGAACTTCCTGTAGGTCGCCGGAATGCTGTGTCCAGTGGTAAATTTTCTCGTATATCCAAGCCGCTTGCCCGACGGGAGAGTCTGCTGATGAGTAGGCGATGGTCTGAGGGCGAGTAGCTTGAAGCTTGAAATACCCATTCTCGTCTTCTTCAAGTCGTAGCTGTCTCTTCAGAGCAAGCTCTTCGCCGACGTTTGATGGCTCGTTCGCGATCTCTTTGTGGGCTTCGAAGAAGACACTGTTCATGTGTACGCCAATAAGAGATTGAGGAGGCTTGTTACTCGCCATGATCGCAACAATGTCTGCGCCCCAGTCGCCACCTTGAGCGACCCAACGGTCATAGCCCAAAGATTCCATGAGAGTAACAAATGCATCCGAGATGCGTTGGTGATTCCATCCCGCGGCTTTGGGTTTCGACGACCATCCATAGCCTGGCAAAGATGGAACGACGAGGTGGAAAGCATCTTCTTCAGAACCGCCATGAGCTTCTGGGTTGATCAAAGGATCAACGACTTTCCGAAACTCCAGCACGGAGCCTGGCCAGCCGTAGATCAGCAGCAGAGGCAACGCATTCTTGTTCGAAGACTTAATACGAAGAAAGTGTATTTCTTCCCCGTCCACACCTGCAACAAACTGAGGATAGCTGTTGAACCAGGCCTGGCATTGATTCCAATCGTAGCGATTCCTCCAGTAGCATGAAGTTCTCTCATTGCAGTGACTGGGGCTCCTTGCGTCCAGCCGGGCACAGTCTCATTGTCAGGCCATCGAACAAAATCGAGACGCTTTTGCAAATCAACCAGCTGTGTGTTGTCGATGGAAAGGTGGAATGGCCGGATGTCAACTGCGGTACTCATGGTCTCGACAGAACGGTAGAGGAGATAACAGGCCCACAGCAGTAAGTCGCCTATGTACATACGTGAACCTGCGTCTATGTACTCGATTTGACCTTCGTCTAACAAAGAGTCAGCTTTCTAATAGTCTGAACTGGGGCAAAGTAGCCTATTCATGAGAAAGAAGATCGCCATGAGGCAGGATTGCGGTCGTCATCTTTGATCGTCAAGCGCCTTGTAGGATCAAACTTCACAGGCTTTTAATGTTACGAGCCGGAATCGGAACAGTACGCTCTTGTCGAAACGATTGTTGTTGATGTTGAGCGAAAGCAAGAGCAACGGGCAGGGAAGATCTATTTAAAGACCGTGGCGGGGGCGCGGGCTGAGCGTGGGGGCGCCAACCGACTTCACGTCTTCCAACTCCCCACCAAGTCGACCAGAAGGGCCTGCAATCGATCTGGGAATAGTCGTCCGACAGGCAAGGGGCCGAATTTCTCCGTTGGAATCAGCATAGTGGCCTGCTACATTGGTTCAAGGGCTTCCTTTGACGCGCTGCGACCCCCAATCATCCCACAACGATGAGCTGCCAAGATGGAGCGCGAGTCCACGGCGGAGAGACCAGCAAAACGCCAGCGGGCAAGCAGAGCGGGCCAGGCAAAGTGCTTTGAATGTCATCATCCAGGCTGTGGCAAACGATACTCGTACGTCTCCTCTCTGCCGAAAGCTTCTGGAGCTAATGACTTCTTAGCCGTGCGGAGCATCTGCATCGACATGAGCTCAATCACAAGCCGAGGGAGATCTTTCGATGCGAGGAGCCGAACTGTGGGCATACATTCGTTCGGCCAGACCTATATGCAAGGCACAAGACACGGCATGAAGCACTTTTGTCAACGAGGCCATCTGATCATGGCCTTCCGGACGACAGGTCGGAAGCGACAAATGACCAAACCTCTCCAACCCACAGCTTAGGGCCCGCTCCTGCCAGCTCGAATGGGGCCATACCGGTGTCTGCGAAGGGAACAGAAACAACACAAGCTCTGTCGGAGAGTGCACCGCCTACACAGGACACTGGGCCTTTGTCCATGACTCTGGGTGGCACTGATGCATCTGATGCTGTATCTTCCCAATTGGTGCCCTCTGCACCAAGTCTTCTTGGAGAAGAGAATGGACAAGCGAACGACAACTTTGCGGCTTGGCTCTTCGAGAGCCCTGGCTCACATTACAACGATTTCAACATCACGAACCTTTCCTTTCTTGATTTCGGCCTCGAATACTCCCCACAGGATACTTGGAACTTTGATGAACTCGGCCACATTGCAGATCAGACCGGGAACTCGGGACACGCGGCACGATCCTTGAGCGGTGCCACTCCCGGGTCAGACGCTTCCTTCGATCGTGGAGCCATCTCGGAGCGGAGGCACATGGAAGTGGCATCGATGATCTCACTGTTTGCGTGGAAACAACGAGGCCAGAAAGGCCCGCTCACTTACCCCAATGATCATGTGCTCTTCAGTTCGGACGGGCAGAATTTCCCCAACCTGACTGCTGGAGTCTTGGACAACCTCATGGCAAACTACTGGCTAGGTTGTAGACAAGTACCTATTGTACACCAAGCAACCTTCTCTAACAACTCCTGCAATGTCCTGCTTTTGCTGGCAATGATCGCCCTGGGCACTTCTGGCTTGGCACGATCGAAACCAAAGGGAACGTTGATCGAGTACAAAGAACTCGGAGACCTAATCATCACACACCTGCGTTGGGAAATTTTTGTAAGCTTTCACCAGCCCATCGAATTGAGAATTTGGACAATAATTGACGACTCGCTCACAGACGGACAACGATGCACAGCCTCCCGTTCAGCTCTGGGCGGCGCAGGCTCTGTTACTTGTTGAATTCTATGAGAAGCAGTGTTCGACTCGGAAGTTACACGAACGTGCCCATATCCATCATGCCTCTACTCTCACTCTTCTACGTCGAGGAAGCCCCTTGGTTGGAAGGTCTGGCAGTGAAAGTCCTTCAAGCGAAATGCCCACCAGGTACGGCAGCCCAGTCAACAACGGAGCTACGAGTCAGCATGCCACATCACATGTAGACTCTTGGTGGATACACTGGGTCCGGAACGAATCCTTCAATCGAGTTGTTTTCTCCGCCTTCCAGATGGACACCGTACATGCCGTTATGTTTGGGCATGCTGCAGGTGAGTAAATCCTTTGACTAAAGAACAGGCCTGGATTGACAATCCCAGACATGGCTGCAAATGAAATCCGATTGTGCATGCCCTGTGACGAATCTTTGTGGAAAGCGACAAGTGCAATTGAAGTGCAGCGCCTTGAAGCCAACATGAAAATGTACGGCATCCGGCCGGTGAACTTCCTCGACGGGTTGAAGCGTAGTCTTCATGCTCACGAAGTCCACACCCATGCGCCTGCTCGTATCCTGCTCATGGCTGGACTGCTAAGTGTGGGCTGGCATATCAGCCGCCGCGAGAAACACTTGCAATTTCTGGAAACTGTTCCGTCCCTACGTGAACAAGGGCGCTGGAGATCATTGTTGCTGCATGCTTTCGGGCACTGGCGACGCACTTTCGAACAAGCTTCAGGTGCAAAGACAGGAGATGGAGATGGAGCCCAAAGTCCAGATATGAATGCAGCTGCACCGGCTGTGCTATTTCATTTGGCCCACATGACGATGCATGCCGATATCATCGACATCCAGATCTACTCCGGCTCGAAAAGGTTACTTGGTCGTAAGGTATCAAGAAAGGTAAGTCAGGCACTTTGAAATCGTGCTGGGGAGAGCTCACTTTCACCAGGATTACCTGAACGTCGTACAACGTGTCAAGTCCTGGGCGGCCACACCTGTCGCCCGTCATGCGGTCTTGCACGCGATGAAGCTCCTGCACGAATCGCTTCTCCGACCAAACTTACGGACTGCCCGCGCAGTTGAAATTGCCGCGAAAAGCATCAAATACAATGCCCGGACGGATCCTCTCTTCTACCGACCGTGGGGTCTCTACCTCTCCTCGATGATCATGTGGGCATATCAGCACGCCAGGAGGTTGTACATCTCCCACTCAGCGTCTGCATTGGCGCAACAGCAGTGGGCCAACGATGGTCTCGACGACCAAGCGAGATGCTGTCAATACTTGACTCACTGCGCTGCAGTCGAGGACGCTACGCAGCTATCCCAGATGCTCACAGTTCAGGGATGTGCTTCCATTCTTGCGGTGCTATCGCAGAATTTCTCAAATGCGGATCCGGAGTTGCTAATTGAGGCGTCCAAGCGTCTGCAAGAATGCCGAAGCATGATTTTGATGAATGACGGTGGTACGGTTGTCTGAAACCAATGCCATTGAATGTGCGGCTACTCGACCTAAGATTTCCGCTGCTCACTTTTGCCAACTATTCCAGCCGGAATGGATGCTTCACCAGGAACTCATCGAAAGTCGTCAACTTCCCTCGCGCATGACCTGCTGCCCAAGCCACCAAGTTCTCGCTGTCTTCACCGAAATAGCCGAACTCATCCCAGTAATGGAAGTACTCGGCGAAAAGATCAGGCATCACAGGCGTTTCCTTGATGAACTCGACGTCCGGAACCTGCTTGTGTTTGATAGTCCTGCCTGAACTCTTCGACAGACTAGCGACGATCTCCTCGATGTCGTAAAATGCCGTGGCAGCACACAATCTCTTTCCTTCAAACTTCTCGGGCTCGGCGAGGATAGCTCCCACAAACTTGCCTCCATCTTCTTTCATGGCGATGAGCGGGTATCGAGTTCGCGAGGAATGCGTGCGAGAGAGGATCCAAGTGCCATCCGAGCTTTGCTTTGGAGCCAAGAACGTCTGGGACTGGAAGTTCTCCATGAAGATCCGGGACAGAAGAAGACGCTCTTGATTGGAAGGCCTCGAATGTATTCTTCGGCTGCTGCTTTGGCGTCGAACGGCACTATGTTGGTGTACTTGCCATTCGAGATCTTGCTGACCGAAGGCAGAGTGCTGAAAATGAAATATTGGACGCCTTGCTCGACCGCAACATCTGCAATTCTCTTGGCGGTGCTGTATTCCTCCTCGAAGGCATTCGGACCGAGTGATGGCGTCGTCATAGCGAAGACGGTGTGTGCGCCATGGAGGGCGTTTTCGAGGGAGGATTTATCCGCTGTATCGCCCTGCACAACTGAGACCTTTTCAGCCAAGTGCTTCGCCTTCTCACTCTTGACGTCTCGAGTTACAGCTCTGATGCTGTACTGCTGAGAGAGCTCGTTATCTTTGAGCACGAAATCCAGCACCGCGCCGCCCTGCTGGCCAGTGGCGCCGAAGATGACGAGTGTCTTGGACATGGTTCGACGATCTCTGGTTATTCGAAGCTTTCCCTGTTGAAACTGTGCCGAGGGTCTTGAGTTCGCTGAGATTCCCTCATGTCGAGAGCACAACGCCGTCTTTTATACATCGCCACCTCCGGATGCCCAACGCTGGCAAACCTGGACTTTTCTGGATGTGTTTGCGATAAATCGGCCGGAGCAGAATTGTCGAGTGTCAGGTCGACAGCTAAGCAGCGAGTCTCTACAAATTTGTGTTCGATGCGAAGGTGGGCGGTCAGAAAGCTCTATGTCAGAAACTAGGCCGGTCAGAAAGCAGGGAGCGTATACCTGCGTCCGATGCAGCAGCTTCTTGCCTTTACGGGTGGAAGTACGTGCAGCAATGTTTGTTGGACAACATGTTCGCAAAATGCGATGAGGGAACTGCTCAATTGCTGGATCCAAAGCCCAGGCCAAACCTCAGAGCAAGTCGTGAAACACACTGGGGATGAATGCGCAGAAAAATCGGTCGCCGATATCAGTCTTCAGAAGGGGATATGAACGACACTGTCTACTTCCAGGTGTGCTTTGATGAGACAGCAGGAAGCCAAATTGAGGTTCCGAACGATGGTTCTGCTGCGACCCGGAATGCTTTGCCCTTGTGCACGGACCGTCGCGATCATTCACTCACGAGGATTCGCCAAGATTCCAGCGACGTCCATGCGATTGTCAATTATCAATATCCGTGTGAACAACTATTGACTATGTTGCATGTGATCGAGAACAGAGTGACAGACGTGGTCTCTCGTCTGTCAGATACGGCCCACGACAAGCGTGACAATGCTTCACATGTAGGCATGTGACGACCCCTTTGTGGTGCACGTGCTCTGCCGCTTACATGGTGGCCCTGATGCGAGTATGGCTCCTTGATGCAGTGCCCTCCCGCTCTCCATCAAACAGTCGCGGGGCCTGGACAACAAACGGGAAAATGCGGCCAAGGCAAGACCTCAACTATCACAGACTAAGGGCAAGTTGTGACGCGGTTACAGACAGGCGACGCCAGCACAGCTGACGCCAAATTCTTCACGCAACTGGATATTCATGTGCAAAAAACACAGAACGCTTCACCATTTTCAACGCAAGAGCACGTGCAGCGGAAAGCGCACTCCTTTTTAAAGTTTCTTTTTCCAATGCTCTTCTCTTCTTCCGACACACCAACAGTCCATGACATTTGGACTGCATCCACTTAAGTCGACCCATCCGATACCAACGCATCCGATCTGGAAGCTTTGGACCTCTGAGGCGACGAGCGAACCGAAGACCAGTATCGCTATGGCGGAGACGGACGACTCCTTATTCGTCAACGACGAAGACTTCGATGACTTCGATGGAGACGAGGGAATGGAAGGCGTGGAGATGGATGATGACGCATATGCTGACTCGCAGATCTACAAAGAAGAGATTGAGAGTCTACCCACGGCTCCAGCCTACGACAAGGAGTTTCCGGTAGTCCAAAAGATGATCAACTCTGTTATCGAAGGACTGCAAGCTACTATTCCAGAAGAGCAGCGCGAAGCCCCCCGCTTCAAACACCTCTATGAATCCTGCGAACAACTGAAGAAGGCCAAATCCACGCCAAATAGGCGTCGCATCAACATTGTGGGCAAGTCAGGCGCAGGCAAAAGCTCGCTACTCAACAGCCTGCTTGGTCGGCCAAAGCTAGCAAAGTCACTAGCTGCCTCAAAGGGCTGCACTCACGTGCCAACATCGTACGAAAGTGCCTTCCTAGGACAGACGAAGGCGCTGGCGGCCAAGGTTGAGTTTTTCACACTCGATGAGATCCGGACAAAGCTCGACCTCATGCTCAAGGACTACTATGCCTGGGTGTACGAGGAGGACCAGGATGTGGCCCCCGAGGAGACTGCAGAACTACAGACAGCTGCTATGACTGCGTTCGATGCATTCCGTTCTCTTTTCAACGAGCAGGACGAGTTTTCGTCGAAGAGGGCGGGAGAAGAGTTTTTGGCAGACTCATACAAGCAGGATCGCAACACCTTGCTGGATACTCTACTGGATTGGTGCCAAGATCTCATCGAAGAAGTAGAGGAGATCGATGGAGATGTCATGATAAAGACCGAAGACGAAGATGGAACCAGCTTTGGAGACACCCGCAACATTTGTGCCTTCAAAGAGTTTGATGATCAGAAGGAGCTGACCAAGTACATCGAGCCTTTTGCTTTCTCGGATTCCAAGTATTCCAGCCCAGCACTGTGGCCCATCGTCAAGATAGTCAGGCAGGGCCTCAGGAACATTCGGATCCTCCAGGAGAACACGATTACCGACTGGCCAGGGTCAGACGATACCAATCGACTCCGAGCAAAGGCGTCTGCGGAGCGCGTCTACCATTGTGATGAGATCTGGATCGTATCGTCCGCCGATAGAATAGGGACTGATCCTTCGGCTATGACCAACCTTGTTCGGTACGGCAACGACATACCTTGCATCGTCGTTTGTACATGCATCGACGACAAGCTCGACGAAGGACTTGCGAACGAAATGGAGAAAGAGGGCGAGGATATCGGAAATCATGACGAACTTCTCAACACGGAACATGATCTTGAGAAGAGGATCCGGGCCCTCGATGCGAAGATCAACATGCGACAACAGGCCATAGAGAAGGGCTTCTGGAAAAGCGCGAGCAATTCGAAACGCATCAAGCTGGATGATACCAAGCGCAATCAATGGGTTGAAGAGATGCCAGATGTGCGAACAAAACTTCTGGAGTACCAAGACAAGTTACAAGACGTCAGCCAGGAGCGCTTCGACCTGTTAGTCGCCGTTCGCAAGAGCTACATCAAGAGCCTCCTGCAAGATACAGTCTCACGGCATCTGGAGCGCGGTCAGGTATCGCTGTATTGTGTTTCAAACCATCATTACAACATGCACAAGACCGGGAAGACAGTGACCGGGCCTCGTCTCTCGGTCGAAGCTACCGGTATACCAGATCTGCGACGCTACATTCTCCAGACTGCTGCACCTCGCATTCTCGAAAATGAGAAGCAGTTTATCAACTCACAAGTCAGCGTCTTACTTCAAGGAGCCAACGTTGTGGCAAACCAACTAAGCTTCGAAGGTGGCGACAAGGTCTTCGCCATGATACAGAACAAGCGCGCTCAGCTCACTCCGCTTTTTGGTCAATACCTGGACTCTGTCAAGTCTTCGGCGATGACCGAATTGAAAGAACCACTGGTTGCGGAGCAGGATGGTTTCGCTGCAGTTGCATTGAAGCGGCTTCAGGAGAAGAAGAAGTGGCACTGGTGCACTTCACGAGCTTTCATTCGCCACGAGGGTTGTCATAAGACACAGAAGCAACCCTACCATTCATGGAACGAACAATTCATGGAGCCAGCCAACTCTATCTTGATCGGAGCTAAGAACAACGGACGCTGGCGGACATTCGAGATCGAGGAGAAAGCATACTCCACGAACTTGCAGGGCGCCCTCGTTAGGGAATGCGAAGATCTTGCGCTCAAGTTGGAAGCAGATACGGCTGAGGTGCAACTACCCAAGCAAGAGCTGCGCGATTTCATGAAGGGCCATGCTCTTCGTCTGGAGGCGATCCACAACAGATTCCAGCAGAAACTCGAAAAATCCCTGAAGTGAGCCTCACTGATCTATTTTCACGCCGACAAGTGCTGACATCTGTAGGGGGATCAAGTTTGAGTCCACCCTAGCCAACAATGGCATTCCCAGTGCGTACTTCAATGTCGCCATGAGAGGCGTCTACGAGACATGTCAAGGAATCCGAGGTATGGATGTAGAATGTATTAGTCTTGGCGACAACCTACTGACAACCACTAGGCACGGGCTCTACAGCTCGAATCATGTCTGTTCTTGAGAACCACCTCCAGCGGAAGGACGAGCATTCCCCGTTCGCCGTTCACTGCAACTCTATGATTGACGCAATCGGCCGCGAACTAGAAGCAAACCTCGACAAATTGCAAGTCCAAGTCGGCAAGAGCATCGACGATACGTGGCTGTGGCTTGAGCCAATGTTCAAGAAGGAAAGCGACGACAGCAAGGACGAGGAGACTGTGGCCGAGAACGTGCAAAAGTATGTGATCAAGGCCAGACGTGAGATGGAGTCTGCCAGTTCTCTCATTGCGAGACTTGAGCAAGCCTATGGGGCGGAGAACTTGCAGTGATGGAGTCAGGATCAGATCATCAGAAGAAGCAGTATGGGGAAGTCGGGGTTGGTTTTCAGATCGGACAGCAGTGTCTGCATGAGGTGGTTATCTTGAGGTTGAAGTAAGCAACAGACTTGAAGCACTCTCATCTCCTCTTGTGCTACTTTACGACAGTATGAACGGTGTCAAAATGACAACTGCACCATCAAACATCTCAGTGGGTCCTCGGCTCCGAAAGCGAGACACCGTCACGTGTTTGTTTCCGAAAATAGTCTAGTCCGATCGTGGCCTTGTTTCTCGCCTTTCCGCCGACGTCACATCTCCTTTCCCAAACCTGCCACCATCTCACAATGTTCCAAAAGCGAGAGCTCCAAGCTTGCGCGTTCCGCTCCCCAAAAGACTGTTAAACGAGCAAGGTCTCGAGCTCCCAAAGCGATCGTCGGCGGATCCGACAGCCATTCGGAGCGACTCTGACGTCTTCAGACCAACCACATGTAGCTCGAAGCTCCACGAATCTTGCATGAGCCGGGCGGGTTCCAGAAGCTCGACTACCGCTCTGGCCCTGCTGTCGTTGCCAGGTTTAGATGAGCAACGACAAGGAATATTATGACGAGCTTTGGGCGCCGATATGCGCGAGATCACGCCGTGCTCTTACTCGTGCGCACGTGGCTGGTCTTTGAGAGACGAGGCCCTTTGACCAGGTGCAAGGGAGTGACGCCATTTGGGTAGCTCGATCATGGACAGCTCTTGGAAAGTGGGAATGGAGAGAAATCTAAATAGATGGCAGGAAGGAGGTGCGGTATAAGAAGGGTGAGTTGTTCCTGACATATCCTGCTTTTGAGTTTCAATCTCTCTACTCTCAAATCGTGATCTTATACCTTTCGCCAAGCAAGCCAAGACTACTTTACCAGAAGCAAACATGTCGTACAACGATAGGGACAACTCTGACAGCTACGGTACCTCTTTCTTCCCTTCCTCGTCATAGGCCTCACTGTGCATCTTATCTGACCATGTCCCAGGCAGCGGGGGAAACTCCTATGGAGATGACAGCTCGCGTGGAGGATATGGAGGAGGAGTATGTTCACACCACATCCTCATTGGCTCAGGAAACAATCTCTTATCAGCACACAGGATTCGAACCGCCTTGGCGGTGACAGTGGCTTGAGCGGAGGCCGCGATCGCGATGACAACTTTGGTGGCAGTGGTCGACGAGGAGGAGACTCTTCATTCGGTGGAAGCGGCAACGACAGCTACGGTTCCGGGGGACGCCTCGGTGGCTCTGGAGGAGGTCTCGGTGGCTCTGGCGGCCTTGGCGGCTCTGGCAACGATTCGTATGGCAGCTCTGGTCGGGGCAACGACTCTTACGGTAGCTCTGGCAATACCGATTCCTTCGGCGGCTCTGGACGCAACACAGATTCATACGGAGGCTCTGGCAACACCGACTCGTTCGGCAGCTCTGGCCGGAATACCGATTCGTACGGCGGCTCTGGCAACACCGATTCCTTTGGAGGCAGCGGCAGAGGTAACGACAGTTACGGATCTGGCAATGATAGCTATGGCAGCTCTGGACGACAGGGGAGGGACGATAACACTGACAGCTATGGCGTATGTCTGCATCACCCCATGTGTCTTTGCTTTTGAGATTGCATTTATCTATGCTCTCTGCTCACTCAATTCTTGAGAATATTCACTAACTTTGGTTCCAGAGCGGTTCAGGCAACGATAGTATGTCTTATCCACTCTCGGGCACCGCAAGTGGCCCTGGTGACTCCCCATATTCCCATATATCACGACCTATCGAGCATTAGACTGACTTCTCCGAAGGCTACGGCAACAAGACCAGCAGCGGCTACGGCGGCGATGACAACAACAACAACAGCAAGAATGACTCCACCACTGGCAAACTCCTCGAGAAGGCTGGAGGCTTCTTGAAGAACGAAGGCCTCGCCAACAAGGGCCGTGAGAAGCGTGAGGGCGCCGGCTACGGCGGCGGCGACTCCTCGTCCTATGGCGACTCGTCCAACTACGGCGGAAACTCGGGCGATTCGTATGGAGGAAGCGACTCTCGCCGTGATAACTACTAGGAGGATTGGCAACACCACGACTCAAGGGTTGACGAGAATCCTGGACGTCTACATGCATGTAGTGGCGATATGAAATGATGACGAATGGAACATTATTCTAGCGGTTCTCACGCAACATGCTATTTCTTCGTTTCGTTTTGCACTGAGCTGGTGCTGCTGCTCGTTGTGGTACTATCTGCTCTGATGTCTGCGTTCAATGCATTTTTCCCACGACTCGAATCACGACATGAGCACAAGTTGCGCGAGATCATCCACTCGAGATCATGCCCTGGCCACCCGTCTTCTGGCTCTGTCTTTGGTACGAAATTTCATATGGACAGGAAGCCCCCATATGCCTCCTCGGGCACAAGAGACCGAAACTCTTCCGGAAACTTCGTTGAACCAGGTAATAAATGACAGCAGCCTGAGATGTGGGACACCCTGTTAAACAGACCGACCTCAGCAACCTGTCGCGGGAGCGACGTCTTGCTATGGACCGTGCGGTAGAAGGGCATCCTTTTGTCCAGAGGAAGTGCAAGCGGAGTGAAGTGAAGCACATCTTGAGTTGAGGTGACGATTTTGACGGGCTCTAGGTGGCTGCAGACCACTTCAAAGACGATCTCATGGACCTCATGGGGAAGCCGCACGAAATGATGTTGTCATCTAAAGGTGGAATGGCTGTCGTTTGCTTCGGCGGTCGACATAGCATTGGCATCGCGGTGGTGGGGCTGGTGTGGAAATCCAAGCAGTGCGAAGGGAGGCATTGCATTTATACAAGGCAAGCCGAACTACTCCATTGAAAGGACAGTGACGTAGGAATATCCGAAGTACCAGCCCTGATAGCATTTGCATGTGTGTTCTGTAGGATTGGCCAAGACTCCTGAGGGCGATGGTGCTTCGAAATGCCCTTGGTATCATTTGTGTCTGTGAGGTCTTCGTGATTCCACTTCCATGCCGAGAGAAATGCACCCCACGTGTACAGCCGCACGCATTCTGTCTACCTCACATACTTGTCCATGAACCGCCTGTGAAAGTCACTCCGTAGCAAGTCGTTCACGAACCGCTTCTCCTTCCCCCTCTCCTCTGTACCTCTCGCCTGGTTCTTAAAGACCACATCGTCATCCCACCTCCGCTTCACCCCATACTCTTCCTTCTTGGGATTCAGTAAAGGATTGCCCAGAGCTATGTCCTTCTCCCGCTGCTCCTCGTCCTTCTTAGCTTGCTCTGCTGCAGCTTTTGCCGCTGCCTCTGCACGTTCTGCTTTGATTTTGGCGAGCTCCCGCATCAGCACTGCCGACTCATCCTCTTCATCCTCGTCTTCTGATTCCGAATCTGACTCCTCTGAGGATTCTGAGTCTGCATCGATGTCCTTCGTCTCTTCCAATACCCGTCGCTTCTTCGCCTCGTAGTCCTCTTCGGGTTCCTCATCCGCCGTCTGGTCTCCTACATCTTCCAATTTCCGCTTCACGCCACCAGCTGAGTCCTCGCCATCCTCGATTCGCAGAGGCTCCCGGTCGTCCACCGTCTCCTCATCCTCCTCCGCAATCTCTCGACCCTCCTTCTTCGCGTAGTACTTTGACTCTTTCTTTAGCAGCTCCGCCTTCAGGTCGCGCTTCGCTTGCTCTGATGGGGCGCCTTGTGTCGCTTGTCGGAACTTGAGCGTCTTGTGCGCGGGTAGCAGGCGCTGGTGGTAGGCTTCGCCGCGCGCGGCTTCCTTGCCTCGAGCTGGATCAAACGTCGGCCTGTGGGCAGTGGTCATGTTGGTAGGAGGGAGAGGAGTAGGAGAAGGTGGTGGCCGTTGAGTGGGAGTGTCGCAGTTTGGTGATGTTTATAGATGGCAAGGTGAAGTGATCAAAATTTAGTTGGAGGCGGGTACTCCCGCGCGAACTTCAGATCTTCACATGCAAGCCAACGACACGTCTTCCAGCAACAACACAACACGAACGATGCGGTGACGAACAAGATGCCACGCGAAGCAGATCCCTCCAACAACGAGCGCGAATTCGTGCTATCGGCGCTCCGTGAGAATGTTCGTCTGGATGGCCGCGCTTTCGACCAGTTCCGGGAGGTGGAGCTGGCATTTGGAGAAGAGTATGGTGTCGCCGACGTGCGCATAGGCAAGACGAGGGTCATGGTCAAGGTCGCCGCCGAGGTCGTCACCCCGTATTCCGACAGGAAGTTCGACGGAATCTTCACCATCTCCACCGAGCTCAGCCCAATCGCGAGTCCCGCATTCGAAGTGGGGAGGTACGACAGGCATGATGCGTGAAGAGGTGGAATGGACTGACTGATATCGTAGACAAGACCAAACCGAAATTCTCCTCTCGCGCCTCCTTGAGAAGACCATTCGCCGTTCAGGTGCTTTGGATACCGAGAGCTTGTGCATCATTGCTGGGCAGAAGTGCTTTCACATCAGGGCAGATGTCCATGTATTAGACTACGATGGGAACATCGCAGACTCCAGCTGCACTGCACTTGTGGCTGCCCTCATGCATTTCAGACGACCAGACGTAGAGGTCCATGGTGAAGACGTGACAGTGTTCGGTCTGAGAGAACGCGAGCCGATCAAGCTTCAAATGCAGCACCAACCGTTCTGCATCACTACCAGCTACTTCGATGGAGGAGAGATCATGCTGCATGATGCCTCACTTCTGGAGGAACAATGCCGGGAAGGACAAGTCATCATATCGATCAACCGCTTCGGCGAGGTCTGCCAGATCTCCAAGTACGGCGGTCCCCCAATCGATGGACTCAGTGTCCTGACCTGTACGAACATGGCGCTGGAGAAGGCGAAGATGTTGGACAACGTGGTCAAGATGAAGCTGGAGGAGGATGAGAACAAGAGAGACAAGGGAGGGTTGATGGCTGAGTTGAGGGCGGACAATGAGCGAGAGCAGGGCTGAAGATATTGTGGCCAACCCGTGACAAACGATGCCGACGTGAAAATGCGAAGCCGATGTTGAGTCTGCGACGAGATGATCAACAAGCGTTCATCGCCATGCCCGCACACTGAATGTAGTCTGCTCCATACGATGAGCTCAGAAGACTGCAGAGAGCCTCACCGGCGGCTGAAGACGTCGCCACGGAGGTCATAGACCCTTGCTTCCGCCGTCATATGCCAACGGGCGCTGCCGGACTGTCTCCTGGCGCTTTTTAAGCAGATCTTCTTCCTTATCGTTTCTTCTTTGCAACAACACTCCACAACTCAAGTACTTCGCTACTTTCGACCTCTCCATCCATCACGAAGGACAGTCACCGACAGTCGTCACTTCGTCTCCACCTCACCACCATCAGTGTCGGACCAAGACCAGGTACAAACCTTCCTCGCTGTGATCTTTTCCGACTGCCATTCTGCATACCAACACTCATACCTTTTCAACTATTGTGGCCCACCTGATTCCCACGAAGCCAAAAGCAGGTGTCAAGGACATACCCAGCACCACCACCGTCGATTTCAGGCACTACTCGAAGCCGACGGCTCTCACCACTCCTCTGGGCTCCAGTTCGACTCCGAGCACCGAGAAGAAGAACTCTGTTGCAATGGACAACTTGCTGAAGACTATCTCCTCGATTCCGTCACTTCACCTGTGAATCACATGTGAATCCGCTCCTGCCGTTGAGTAGCCGGCGTCTCCACCTTCAACGAGCCTTTTCAACAACACACCACCATTGCTACATTCTCACACAACGACAAGGATGAATTTGACTGCCAACTCGATTTCACTCACGGTGCCTGAGAGCCAGAAGCTGTCTTGGGACTGGTCCGCCCTGAGTCAAGAGACTCCCATCGAACGTGCCACCGGCGGCTTTGGTCGAAAGCGTCACATCGAGGGATTTGCTAATGAAAGCTCTGATACCAGCGCAAAGCGAGTGAAACTCGAATCTACTCCAACCGATGGACCCTCGAACAGGTCTCGACTCTCGGCACGATCCACCATGAGGTCACCAAAGGTATCGTCGGCGAGTTCCAGCGATCGGCCATCATTGAATCGCAACCAGTCAAACGCTGGCATCGTCCGCCCCAACCCACCCGCAGCGCCTAAGGTCAAATCCCAAGGGCCGTTCTACATTGATTCCGATTCCGAGGAAGAAGACACCAGTCATGAACCATCGTCTACCATACCCGCGAGACAGGAAGAGGCGCCCCGGCAGAATCGGCCACTGAGTCGATTCGAGACAGGAACATCAAGCGACTGGAAGGAAGCACAGCGACTTGAAAGCCATCGCAAGCGCGAAGAAGCCAAACGCCGCAACGACGTCTCTTTCACAAGCCCATCGACGTTCGGTAGAAACGAGGACTTCAAACCATCGAGATTTGTCTACGATCACGATGAGCTAGCAGGATATTCCAAGCATAGCTCTATGATCGGACACCCTAGGATCAAGAACTCTCCATCAAATGGCAGTCCTGGAGAATCCCCGACTTCCTTGCCATTCAAGACCTCGATCAAACAGGAAGTCAAACAGGAGGGGCGCGACTCGGCAGCGATTACGAGACGAACCCCAGCTACTCAACCGTTCACAGCCTCTGCCGTGATCGACTTGACCGACGATGACCCAAACGAGGTACACAAACCGCCAGGCAAGCCTCTATCCAAAACGCCTCAAGCAAAACATGGTCTTGACTTTCAGTCCCGAGAGAATGAGCGTGTGGAACAACTGGCTGCTCCAGCGAAAGAGCAAGCTGAGAAGAAGCGGCTGGAATATGAGAGGCGAATGGCGGAGGAAGAAAGACAGAAGAGGTCAGCAGAAGACAGACGAAAGGACCATGAGCGAAACCTTCTCCAAGCCGCAGAGTTTGCTCGCTTGCAGCACGAGAAGAAGATCGCAGAGGAGCGAAGGATGGCGGATGAGCGAAAACGCCGCGAAGCCGCAGAGTCAGCTCGCCTGCAGCACGAGAAGAATGAAAAGCTGAGGGAGCAGCAACGGCCCCAAGCAGAGCTTCAGAGGCAGTCAGAGCATGCAGAGCGTCTGCGAGACCACAACAAGCATCTGCCAAACCCACAAACTGAGCGCAAGCTGCCTCTCTCGTGGCAAGAAGAAGACCATGCTGCCGAGAGGCGGCGCCAGGAGCGTGAGCTCGCGGAAAGACGGGAGATGGAGGAGCGGGACTTAGCATTCAACAAAGCTCGGGATGAGGCCCAGCGGAAGCAGGCTGAGGAGCGCCGACAGGTTGAAGAGAGCAGACGGGCTGAGCAACGCAGACAAGCTGAACAACGCAAACAAGCTGAGCAGCGCGCGATGGAACTGCGAATGCAGGCACATAATAAAGCCAGGGCCAAGTTTGATCGAGAGCAAGCCGAAAAGGAGAAGATCGCGGAGGCGCAGAGACTTTACGAAGAGAATCAGAGGAGACTCGAGCGAGAAGCACACAAGGCCTGGGCTGCCAAGCCCCTCACTGACCGGCAACGCGAGGAGCAGCGCGCACGGGAGGAGCGGATCCAAAAACAGCGAGAGCGGAATGCTCAGAACCGACAGCACGCCGACGACGATATCCGTCTGAACGAGCCGAATGTATCAAACGCCTTCCAACCTCAATCGACGTCAGGCCTTGCTCAACGAGATGGGCCTGTGACACATAGTCATCGATCTGGAACCGTGGGCACATCTCACACGAATGAGACGCAAGTGCCAGCAGAGAATACGCTCCGAAGAATCGGCTTCAGCGGGATTAGGGAGATTACTCGAGATGACACCCAGCTCCTCAAGTGGAGGGCAATGTTCGATTTTACTTGGGATGTTGTTGTGAAGAACTATCACACGTTCTGCCACCAGAGGAAAACGAAAGATGCTTTGCGGAAACGACATGCTGGTTTGGTCGAGTTGCTTGATGCGGCTGGCATCGATTCTAGGACAATCAAAGAGCTCTACGAAGGAGATCCCAAGATCTTGGACAGAGTCAATAGGTTGGTTGATGATTTCCGGGCGTCTCCATTGTACGACGAGACGAAATCGCGGCGCAAGAACGAAAAGAAGCAGCAGCAGCAGCAGCAGCCGAATGAACGTCAACAAACCGCGCTTCCCCCGCCGGCCGCCGCCCAGAAAAAGGGTCCCCTTGCTTCGATACTGGCCAAGACAAAGCCGCGACCTTCGAATGTCTTCAGTAACATCACTGATGTTCGAAAGACTGCGACGCAAGGCCCGGCAGACCTTTCGGTCATCAAACCTTCGGCCAAAGTCGCTCCGGAACCACTGCATCACCGACCGACGACAGGAGGAAAGGCCCTCGATTACACGTTCTTCTTCAAAACGCTCGAGCACCAGGCCAAGGTATGGCAGGAGATGTACGAACCCGAGAAGAGGGAAGAAGAGGCCATCGATCAAGACGACTACCTCTACTACATATACGTGGTTTTGCGGCGCGAATGGGACCTCGATGATCTCGAACGGTGCAAGCATAATAGTGAGCAAGAGCCCGAATGGATGGAATGTCCTGGTGCGTATGAAGAGCTCAACCAGGCAAATACCGCTGCTAGCAAAGAAGTCATGCGCGTAATTCCTGGGCGAACGGTCTTTGCGGATGGCGATTCAGAATTTTCACTCAAGAAACGCAATGTCCCAGGAGGGGACGGCGAGCAACTACTCGAGCTCAAGAATCCTCTTGTCGGAACGGTGGAGACGATGGTAGTGAGGAGAATGAGGACCTTCGAGGATCGCATTCTCCCTAAGAGCAAGCTGACGTGGCGGCCGAAGATCGTGTACCAGATCAAGCAACGCATCACAAAGGAAATCAACGACGAAGTCTTGGACACAACACAGGAGGATGTCGAAGAGCGACCCGTGAACGACACGATCTACTATGATCTCGAGCAGGCCAATGAGGCAGCCGCTACCCACTTCGTTAAACTGACATACCATTCGGAAATTTCCCACCAGAATGTGCGCTCATACGAGATGAAGCAGACCGTCGACTCAATCCTCGAGCACGTGGGCGTCGGACAGACGGTTATACTGACGACTCAAGACGATTTCAAGATGAAAGAAACCACGGCGGTGAATGTGTGGGTCGCGGAGCTCTCGGCGGTGGGGCCAAGGAACTGACGACCACCATGATGTTTCGAGACAGGGGGCCGGCGTCCACACCTGGACATGATTTAACGAGCGATGTACGACTAGAGTCTCCTTTCCAGCATTCGCCTCTCGGCTTCGATTATCATTTTTGAGCCATCGCTGGTTCAGAGGTTTCGGGGCTGGGGCTCATTTTGCAGTTTTAGATAACACGAATACGGAACAGTTCCTCAAATTGAGATATACTGCCAGTCCAAAAGCAATGGAAACCGCCACGTGGAGAAGGCCATGAATTGCGCGAGATCACAAGCGGATTCTGATGTAGTGAAACTATCAATGTCGAGAACGACTCTTCTGAGCTCCTTAAGCTACCTGTTGACGATCTTAGAGCAACAAATCTATTCCATTCGAGAACTGACCGCCCCAGGAGTGATTCAGCTCAACCCGCATAGCCTGGCAACTACCATCCAGTGCAGAGCTGCCAGAGACCATAGCCTCTTGCCACAGCGACAGGTGACGGGCCAACCGTCCTTGCACGCACTGTGGCTCAGCTCAAACGCACTGCGGCCGGCGTAATTCCTTCCTGATCCTCATAATCCCCATTCTCATCCCATATTCATCCCCCCGGCACATACTCAATCCCCGGTAACGTCCTCTGCCTCACGCACATCCACTCCCGCTTCTCCCTCCGAAACTCAAACGAGCTGACACTCGACCTCGTGACCCCCGGCGGAATCCCATGGCTCTCAGCACTTACCATCACACTCCCATATCCCGCCTCCAGATCTAGCTCGCTCGTTGAGATTTCAGTAACGATCGTCTGATATCCGGGGCATGTCTCAGCAAGGGTCCGGAAAAAGCTGACCACGCCGTGGAGGTCGGTGGAGTCACTGTTGGAAAGAATGGGATAGTCGCTGTAGGTGGAGAGGTTGGGCGCGGGCCCGCTGGGGTCGTTGCGGTAGTGTTTCGAGAAGCAGGTCCAGGGCGGCGTGGTCAAGTCGAAGTTGTGATTGTTGAGGGCTGCGAAGGAGGCGACGACAACCGACTCGATTTGCCGGGAGACGATGGTTTGCGCTTTGGCGGTCTTCTTGACTTCTCCTTCATCGTTTTCTTCTTGCTTGTCCTGGTGCATGTCTTTGGAGTGGATTGTGAATTTGGAAGGAATTTGGAAGATCAGTGGAAGCTCAGCGAGGTGTGCGTATGCAGGTGAAGTCGGCGGCTCATGCAAGGGTCGCGATCCTCCTCGGCTTCAGGTCCTAGGGCATCTCAGCCGAGATCGACAATGTTTTTGTGTGAAGACGGTTTTGGACACCAGACAGACATTTGATCGATATTTATATGCCTCTTCAGATCGGCCCAAGCGCCGCAACGTACGAACTTGACCAACAGTCGCGAACAGTTCCCATTCGAGCAGGTCGACGGGTTTAGGGAGCAGAGCGGCTGAAGTGTTGCTCGGACTTAGTATCTACTGCGCGCATTGGAAGTCATGCATACCTTTAGCGGGACGAATCATAGCCAGACGAAATGGAGTGTTCGGGAGGAGCGGGAAAAGTGGAAGGTGGAAGGCTGAGCGTGGCCACTTGAAGCATGTGATTGTGGTGTCCGTGCACCCTGTGTGGCGTCTCCTGGACCCCTTGGCACGACTGCATATACTTGTCCTGCTAGACATTTATCAACAACACCTCTGCATTTGCCAGTGCGAACGAAGATTGTTGGAGGTGAAGCATGAGGAACGAAGCTCCTTTCTGGACACAGGTGCGACGATGAAACAATTGGTTTCGACCCTGTACATTCCATGGCCAACGTGACCTGGCGACTGAAGCACAAAGGAAAGGCCAGTTCCGCCATGTGTTGTACGTGTTGTAGAACACTGTGCGACTGACGAGCAAGATCTGCCGATGGTGGAACCACGTCCGACATCCTATTCTTGCCAACCTGCTGCTTCTCCATGCCGTGATCTATGTATATTTCGCTGAGTGTCAACAAGAGATGTGAGAATTCGATTCCAATCTGGGATTCATGTTTCGCTGATCGATACCTTACGCACCAGGTGGTCCGTCCGAAGCACAACCAAGTCCAAGCGCTCCGAAGAACGACTTCAGCTGCGTCTCGATGAAGCTGCTCTCAACAAGAGGGTAAACGAGGGAATGGAAGCCGCCGACAAGAGAGGATACTTGAAAGGGCCGAGACAATACTTGGACTTTGCAGCCGTCGCCGATGTTTTCGACGGCAGATCGTCAAGAAGCGGGTCGACATCGTCGTCAGACGTGTCGCCGCGCACGCTGCCAGCATCTGTGAGAGAGCAGAAAGGAGAAAAGGCTGGTGGGATGATAATGGTCAGTGGGCTGGTCACAAACGTCAAGGATCCAAAGCGAAGGCAGATATCGAGGGACGTAGAAAGAAGACACCTTGCCGGAGGGCCAATTATCGAGCGGCAGAGCGACGACAAAGGTAGCTACCAGGTTCGCTGTTGTCGTCGAGAAACTCAGAATGGCGATGAGTGGAGGGTTCTTCGGGTGAGGCAGTATATGTACTGGGCACCAAGATAGCCTGTTGCCACTCGTTACAACTTATCGAATAGGAACTCATCATCTCCCAATGCATCACTCTCTTCCACCACGAAAGAGGATGTCCCAGTATACGAGGCGTAGCCTTCCACAAGTACTCGTACAATAGGGAAGTCGTCTTTGGTTTGACCTTGCTCGTCGTGAAGACTTCCAATGAAGCCGCCGCGGCCTCCGAGGGAGTTCGAGACGAGGGAGTGGTATGTTGCTCTTTGTGTGGCCGAGGGTGAGCCTTTCGCATGTGATAGAGCGACTCTCGCCGCTACTCCGCTACCTGTTGGCGATCGATCGATCTGTTGGTCGGAGAAGAAGCAGAGGTCAGTCTCGGCTTGTGTAGACTGTGCAATAGGCTCTCCCGCTTCTTTATCGACAACGATGATCGAATAAAGAAAGCCTAGGTCGTCGTGGTCAGGATGAGAGAACAAGTATCTCAACTTTGGGTTCGAGTTCACAGCGGCTTTCAGAAGTCTCGTTGCGGTGTTCATGGCGGCGATATCGACTTTGCCTTTAAGCCCTCGAGGGAACCCGATCTCTTTAGCAGAAATGAAGCAGTAAAAGGCGCCACCATAGCTGAAGTCTGCGGTAACCGACTGTCGCTCTCCAAGTTCTGGCCATCGAAGATCTTGAGATAGTTCAACTCCAACATCCAGCCCTGTAGTGAAAGATGGTACTGAGATATGCGAGACTGGTCTCGAAGGATCTGAACGAGTCCCATCCTCATTCGTAGGCACTGTCACCTCCACCAATCCACAAGGACAGTGCAGCCCCAAAGAGGCAGCCCTCGTCTTCGCATCGAAGTGTACCTCGTCTCTCTTCGGAAACACCGTCTTGTCATGCGTGTCGAGCAGAAACCGCCCGAGAGCAATCGTAGCGTGTCCACACATGGTCGAGTAGCCATCATTCGTCATGAACAAGACGCCCATGTGAGCTTCGCCGCAAGTCGTAAGTTCCGTGTCTGGCCGCAGGATCGCTCCGTACATGTCATTGTGGCCTCGAGGTTCGAGAAGCAGCTTGCGGCGGATGTGGTCGTGGGACCGTTTCGCTTCAGCTCGTTGTTCGAGTAGTGTGCCGGATAAGGCTGGGTAGCCATTCAAGACGATACGAGTTGGTTCGCCGGTGGTGTGCATGTCGATGCATCGGATGGCTCCTTTTGAAGTTGATAGATCCTTGACAATGTCCATTTTGAGATCTTGATCTTACTCCGGAAAGAAAAGTTGCACCGCTTCTAGATGGCTGCCGCTCCTTCGGGGACTGTAGAGACAGAGAGATGATGGCAAAGGGCGTGGTCGTCGGAATCAGGGTCCGTGATCGGACTGCTTCCCGTGCATTCTCTCGTGGTCTCGTCTTTGAGGTACCGTAGGTTCTTGACATTCGGGTAAAAATAATGCGATTTACTTTAGCCTTCATGCTGTTGATATGATGCTGATAGTGACGTCTGGAGAGGTTGGGGGAAAGAAGTGGCCCGCCAAACACCAGGCTATCCAATGTGCACGTTCAGACTCTGTAGGTAATAGCTCGGATGGATGACATTCCATGTATTCAGTTGAAGATACCAGATTCATGAAGAATCTCTTCTTGAACATTCATCTCGTCTAATCGTAAATCATATAAATGCAGGCGTATCTTTATGCGTCCAAAGGCAAGATGTCCGACAAACCCAACAGCTTCAATGCACCATCCAAGCTGCCATTCGTGATGTTGAGCGCCCTCACAGCCTCGATATGCAGCGCACCCAGTCCTTCCAGCGTCGACGTCAATGACGGCCACGGGCTTGGACCGTAAGGAATAGGCGTGCTGACAGTGTTGACTTGACCAGTTGCAGCGCCAAAAATGGCGGTGCCAATCTCCTTGACCCATTGCCATGGATCAGAGTACCCGTCATTGCTACCTGCATCCCAGTACTCCCAGCCTACGTCGCCACCGAAGTTGGCATAGTTGGATTTCAATGTGTTGATGGTGCTCTTGTACGTGTTGATGCTGTACCATCCACTGCCGCCGTCGTTGGGGCTGTCGAGAACACCGAGTACGACTCTGTCTGCGGCGTAGCCATTCGAGATAATAGCATTGTAACCCACAGGAGACGAGGAATCACCCCAGCCGTTGTAGAATTGCGCTGGAAGGATGTCAACCATCGTGCTATTCCCAGCACGCCCCTACTGCTCAGACTTACCATTGTACCAATTTACCAACTTGCCATTAGGCTTGCCAGAAGCCGTAGCCTGGGAGTCAAGGGCCGAATACTTGAAGCCGCCCAATCCATATTCGCTTGGCTGAAGGTCGGTGGCCACAGGAGCCATCGTGAGGATGAAGTTGGTGCCGAAATCTTGATTCAAACGTCGCAGGAGGTTCAATGGGCAAGAGACGTCAACTTGTTCTTCGATATCGAGGTCCAGACCGTCGATCTTGTGATACTTAAGAGTGTTCGCGAGCGGCACGTAGTAGTCATCGTTCTGTAAAGAATTAGTTGACACTTTTTGAGTGAATATCATTCCCACGTACAACAGCACCGTTGCTTCCACTGCACAGACGAGGGTAGCTTCCGGCGGCAGCACCTCCCAGCATCATCATGACCTTGACGCCTTGAGATTGCAATTGTGCGGACTCTGACCATACGGTGTCCCAGATGGTGTCGTTCGGATTGTTGTCGTTCAGAGTGATGTCTCCTGGGTTGTCGTTTATATGCACAGCAGCCAGGTAGATGTGGGTGACCTTGGTATTTTGCTGGACGAGGGGAAGCAGGGAGAGCTGACCACCAGATGTCGTCCTGAAAGTCTGCACATACACAACAGATCGTGGCTATCCAGACTAGTTAGATTTCCTGTTCTGCCTTCGTTTTGCAGCGGTGCAGACATACTGGATTGTAGCCATCGCCACGCTTCTCGAGGGCGGAGTCAGGGGGGAAAAGACCAGCTGGCAGCGCTGCTGCTACAGACAGCAGGCCCAGCCATGCTGTGAGGGAACGAAACATGATGAAAACAGACTCCCAAGACGAGTCCTAGCCTACCGTTTGGGCCGGATCCAACGTCACCGAGCACTACACGACCTTTATACCTACAGAAATGGCCCTCGGAAGATGGGGTATGATCGGATAGGAACGACGACAATGGCTGGCGGAATCAGTCTTCACATCCATCGACTGTTCCTTCGACCAACGGCGCCATTCGGTAGCCCTGCATCATGGGCGTGAAGATCCGAGTACCAGTCAGGAAGCTGTAAAGGTTCACGCAGACAGCATGTGGTGGTTGTAGACAGTAAACTTCCGAAATAGCGAAGATCGCACCCCTAAAGAAGCAGAAATGGCTTGCTCGAGGGAGCTGGGGTGGGAACTGGCGTCGGTGGCGGGCCATGGTAGAGTAGCATTGGGTGGCCCAGAGATGCAGTAGTATCGAGCCAAGTGGGATGGAACGACTGCCAAGCCCGTGAAGATGCGCAAGTGGCAGGCTGACTACGAGTGGGTGTGGCGGTCGGAGGGAGGGCGGAGGGGAGAGGTGTTGAGAGCGGGAGAGTTGGCTGGGTGGAGCCGAAAGGGAAACTTGTCGTTGGTGCCTGAGGCTGCAGATCTCGCCTTCGCCTTCTCGCCGATGAACGTGCAAAATTCCTATCGATTCCAAACAAATGGAGAATCTAAAATCGAATATGAACCTCTTGGCATGGTTCCCTATGCAAACAGATCAAAAGGGGTAGTGTCGCCCAGTGAGTGCATGTCTCGACCTCGGCTGTCGCTTTTGGCTTGGACTTCGACCGACTTCACGCCCTTCAGTCTAAATATCAAACCCGGGATCCCTTATTCCAAAACAGCCAATCTGCGGTATTATTTCATCTGGTAAGATGACCGCCAACGACTCACATCAGACATGCGGCCAGCACTAGTCAAAGCCTTCTCCAATTCCCCAGCGTTGAACAACCTTCGCCGCAACATGTCCAACTTCCGCATCGTCGAACACATCGTCCGGACCCAGCACTCTCGAGAACGCTGGGCAGCGACAGAATTAGGCGAGGAACATAGACTGCGACTCCACGTGAAGCAATACATTCCCCTCTCCAATTCGCACCCACAACCGGGGGACGTAACCATCATCGGCGCTGTAGCCAACTCATTCCCCAAAGAGACGGCTGAGCCCTATTGGGACGATCTCTACGAGGCATTGAAGGCAAAAGGGCGCCGGATCCGCAGTATTTGGATTGCAGATCCGGCGAATCAAGGGCAGAGTGGTGTTTTGAACGAGAGGATCCTTGGACCTGACCGTAATAGCGCCTTCTTTCGATGTTGAAATGGACATGGCTGACTTCGTTTAAGCGAGCTGGTGGGATCATGGCCGAGATTTGTTGTTCTTGATCAATCAATTTCAAGATGAAATGCCTCATCCCATAGTTGGCATTGGTCACAGTATGGGGACTGGTCATCTGTGAGTGAAGCACCCAAATAATGGGTTATACTTCAAGCTCACACCTTCGTACAGCGCCCACCTCTCCCTCCTACATCCCCGCCTCCTCCACTCAATCATCTTCATGGACACCGTAATCCAACGTGCCCACAATAAACCCGGCCTGATGTGGTCAGCCGCATCCGCAAACCGACGAGATCTTTGGCCCTCCCGTCAGGCCGCCGCTGACAAGATGCGTGCGAACCCAGCCTTCCAAGTATGGGACCCCCGTGTCCTAGACAAGTACATCGAATACGGCCTTCGCGAACTTCCCACAGAGCTGTATCCCGAAACTCCTACAGACGGTGTGCCTGTCACGCTGCAGACGACGAAAGCACAGGAGCAGTACAATTATGTCAAACCTACTTACGATGATGATCGATTGCTCTTGGAGAAAGCTCAAGTTTGGAGTGAGTTCTATCCGGAAGATAGAGAAGACGTTGGTGGTGAAAACTTCTCTCGCTCGGAGAACAAGATGCTCTGGCATCGTCTGCCAGAGCTGAAGCCTAGTGTGTTGTTCATTCCTGGTGAGAAGTCGGGGGTGTCCAGCCCAGAACTGCGCAGGCGTAGGTTGGAGGTCACTGGTACGGGACCTGGTGGTAGTGGAGGCTTGGCTGAAGGAAGAGTGAAAGAAGCAGTAGTCGATGCCGGGCATCTGGTGCCGTATGAGCGGCCGAGGGAAGCTGCTCAGGCAAGTGCGGCATTTCTCCACGATGAGTTGGAGAGATGGACATGCGAAGATGAGGATAGAAAGCAGCGATGGGGAAAGCTGGCGCGGAGAGAAAGGGTTGACATCAACGATGCGTGGCGAGATGGGCTCGGCTTGAAGTCGAAAGGGGAGGCGAAGAAGACCGCTCCGCCCGAGAAGCTGTGAATGAAGTAGCCAAGTGATATGTCATACAATATACAATGTACTACCAGCACCTTGCGATCATGGTGCCGAGAACTTGTAATCATATTGCTCCTTCGCCTTCTTGAGAAGCTCGGCAAGCTCATCTTCCTTTTGCTTGAACTCCGGCTCTTCCTTTATCCTCCTCTTGTACGGCTCGTTGGTGATCGTGGGCTCGTTGGGGATCGCAACGCCTCTCTTTACAGCAGGTCTGGCGTTGATGCGTTCCCACCATTTGTAAAGGTTGGGGAATTGCTCGAGGTCTACACCTGCAAAGTATCCCACGTTCACCCACGAAAAGTTGGCGATGTCAGCGATGGAGTACTTATCTCCAACAAGGTAGTCACGACCCTTGAGGCGAATATCGAGTACACCGTACAGACGTTCGGTCTCTCCGACGTAGCGCTGGGTGGGGTAAGGGATGCGTTCTTTAGCGAGTCGATAGAAGCTGGGAAAGAAGCCATTGTCAGTACTCGTTCAGTATGCCGGTTGAGTAGTTTCTTACTGGTTGGCCTGCCCCTGCATCGGACCAAGACCGCCATGTTGCCATGCAACCCATTGTTCGCAAAGCGAAAGCTCTGGGTCCTGCGTGAAGGACAACTTGTGCTCAGGGTCGAAGTGTCGTGTCAAGTACGAGAGGATTGCGGCACCCTCCATGATACCAAGTCCACCGTTATCATGGTCTACGAGGACGGGGATACGTCCATTGGGTCCCTTCTCAGTGAACCACGGCTCTTTCTACTGCACTGTTAACTTCGGTGTTCCCTGCAAGGTCGTGGGTGTTCGTACTTGGATGTTCTGGCCGATGTGGATCGATTGCCAAACATAGTCTGGCTTTCCGTAAGCCTCTTTCAGCTCTTCGAGGATAATGCTCGCTTTGTGGCCTGTATGAAGATGTCAGTGGAGGACGAACTTGACCATGACAAGCTTACTCACCGTTCGGGGTGCCAAACGTCAACAACTCCAAGCCCTTGTTGGCAATCAATGAATCGGGTCGCTTCTCAGACATGGTATCGTTGTTCTGCAGTACAGTAGATGTATTCGAGAAAGACCTCCTGACGATGGGAGCTGTGGTTCTGGCAAAGTGGGACGCGGATTGCTGTAGCCGCAAGAGAGGGGAACGAAACATGAAAGCTAGCAGCGCAAACAGGACCAACCTATATATTGGCCTCATGCAGCGACAGCAGATGGAGAAGCTCTTGCTCGGGTCGGTGCCACGATCAGCCTGGCTCTAGGCGTTCAAGGGCGTTGTATATTTCTAATGCGCAGCGGGCTGCCCTGGCTTGTGGGTGGACGCAGCTGTCCAAGCTGTCCAGAGTGAGGTCAGAAAAAGTGGAGACTTCATGAATGCACGTGACTGTTAGATCAATTCCAGCAAAGTTCTCGCGAAAGGACTCCTATCCTCTCGTCTTTGACTACACTTGTAGATTGAGGTTCTTCATTGAAACCAATCCTTATCTCAGTAATAACACTTGTCCTGAACTCTCTCCATCGATGTGATATGCGAGCGCCTGTCGCTATACAGCTCAACTTGCACTCAATTTCGGTGGCACCGTCGACTTCAATAACATCGCCGCTTTCAACTCTTCCCATTCCTTCGACGACGACACTTTTCCCTTCTCGGGCGGTTCGGCCTTACACTTGTAGTATAAGTGCTGCTTTTTGAATGAGGCGTCTTCTCCATACCAGATTCCGTACAATTTCTTCGCACATGCTTTCAGCGCCCTGCAACGTATCTTGTCTCCGTCGATGAAAGCGAGCTCAGCCAAGCCCATGAAGGCTAAAACACCAATCGGCCTTGGCTGGCTGTGTTTCATTAGTATTAGTTCACAGTATGGGGATTGCTGATCCAAGACCAGCTTGTAACCCAGACCGACTTCCACGCACGCGGTGAAGTATAAGCGGGCGTTGTTCCTCATATCGGAAGATGTTGCGATCCAGTCATGTCCGTTCTTTGCTCGATCTAGCATGGCATGGGCAAGATGATAGAAAGGTTCGGCAAGCTGAATGCACGGCAGCTCAGCACCATCTGGATCGGTGTATATGGAGCGAGGATACGCAGCCACTGCTGAACGCACCAGCATTGCCGCTTCCCTGACTCTCTCCTCATGAGAACCGCCCTTTACATATTTCGGCAGACGCTGGGCTTTGGTGACTGCTTCCTGAACTTCAGGGGTGCGTGCAGCGGTTTTGTCTGCTTCACACAGTGGACATAAGCACTCGAAGTCGTTTGATGATCTCAAAATGGATTTGCGCTTCTCATAGTCGTATGAAGTCGGGACATAAGCCACCGTCAACTCCTCATCGGCGGCAATATCTCGATTGGCCCGAGCAACGAACAAATCTCCCGTCCAAGCCCAGGTACAGTTCGGAAGACATGAATGGTTGAACATCGATGCCTGCAACCAGATGCCGGGAGTTTGGTCATGCGCAGATGGATGGTTAGGCCGAGCCGCCTTGTTCGAGATGTCGTGATGGTCGGACGTATTGCCAGGAATGATTGTGTGCGCATTGTGCTTGACGATGGCGAGGGCGCGATAGGTGTCGAACGCCGCGGTGGAAAGAGGAGCGGGCAGGGCGGAGTCGTCTGGTGATACTGGCGGTCGCTGTCCAGCATGCAACTCGAACAACTTTTGCTGCAGTTCTCCGTCATTACATACCTTGTCTACAACTTGTTGCAAGAGGGCCAGCTTCCTCCCGTTGCTTCGCTCTCCTTCCAAAATACCATCGATTCCGTTCCCGTACGTGGCGGCGTCGACGCTGTCGCTTAAAGCCAAAGCCTTCTCAAGCACGACAAGACCTCCAGCGCCAATCGGTGCAGTGGCGAAGACACCCCGTCCTCCCAAACTGCTTGGGCGTATGGCAATGTGATGTGTTGAGCAGGATGGTGTGGCGGGTAGTGGAGGCTTTGTCGTCGGAGACGATGAGTCGACAAGAATGCAGTCCGTGGGATGATGCACGCAAATTGCCAGGTCGCCAGTTGGACACTGTCCAAGAAAGGGCTCCTTTATGGCAATCTTCATGCCATGAGCGATAGTCATTCCGAATGGCCGCAAGAAGATCGACCAGACTAAGAACGAGGCTCCATCTTCGTCTCGGACAGAAATGAGAGCGCCGTGTTTGTATTTGACTTCAGTAACAGTGGCATGCAGAGCGACTTTCGAAAGGCGTCGACCCTGCTGTAATCGTTCGAATGAGGTATGCTCGAGCATGTCCAAGGTCTTGTATTCGGACGGTTCATGATGGCCTTGCAGTGTCGGGGCTGAGACGGAGAGCCTGTCAATCATGTGTTTGAGGTTGGTGGCACTAGCTGAGTCTACCCGAACCACATCGGCATCGCCCATGCCTTTGCACAGGTCGCGGATTTGCTTTTCCATGTTGCAGGTTGACCTTTGTGGAAGTCCTCAAAATTGTGAGGCTGACTTGAGCTGGTGTGGATGTTCTTGACAGGCAAAACCACGGACGTGGAACGTGCGTACAACAGCGGCGGTGTTGGCGGCGGTACGTACCCGCAGCAGCAAACGCTGCTTGATTTGGTGCAACGACAATCGCCGTCGTCACATGCACGAGTGAGAGGACCGAGCGCCGCCACGTGCGCGATGGGAGATGCAAGAGCAGCATGTGAAAGACGTTAAGTGAGTGCCATCACGTGGCTGCCTGTCTCTCCTTGTTCTGTTCGGGAGCTTCGTCAATGAACTGAGGTGGACCAGCGCTCTCTTGCAGGAAACCCGGCATCTCTCCCTCTCCCAGAGCCTCTGCCCCGAAGTCCACCTCATCGCCCAGCGCCTCCAGCTCTGCATCCAGCTCTGCCTCGTCCACGTCCTCCGGCACGTCGTAACTCCGACTGATGCTCTCTTGGATGTCGTTCCCCATGTCCATCAAATCTGCCATCTCATCCTGCATTTTCTCGATCTTGTCGATGTTGACCTTGCCGTACTGCTTCTTCAACTCCTTCTGCGTCGTCTTCATGGCATCGACCGTGGCCATGGTGTTTTTGAGATTGTCCTGCATCATGCCTGCCTGCTCCATGTTCCAACTCTGTTGTTGTAGCTGGTCCTTTTGCGACTCGTACATCTTGCGCTGCTGCAGGATCTTGATGGCCTTCTGCTTGATAGCGTTCTTGCCCGGGCCATCTCGCATGCGACTTAGCCGCTGCTGGTACTGCGAGAGTTCGGCGTTGAGCTTTGCGAGTTTGACGTCGATGCTTTCTATTCGTGTGTCTACCTACGAGGACAATAAGAACGCATTTGCTCAATCAACGCACGGTCGACTTACATTTGAGATGGCGCTGTTGAGAGTGGGTTTGGGGGTGTTGCTCTTGGCGCCGAACAGCCGGTTCATGTTGGGCGTCGCTTCGCAGGAGACTATGTGGGATGCTTGGGCGGCTCTCGAACTTGAAACTCTGGTAATTCTTCGACGTCGTCGAGGTTGTCTGCCTGCACATCATCAGTGAGCTCAGAGGCGACGGCGATCTACAGCTCGGTTCGGGAACAAGATCCGATCCGACGCTAAGTAAGCGAACGCGAGTCATGCGCCATGAATTTCAAGACTGACTCCATCTGCACAACTTCGTCGTCCACACATTGAGCATCCTCGACTTGCGGCATGGACGGCCAATCTGCGAAGCGCAAATTTCAAGGCGCTGGCAATGGCCCTCACAAAGCACCAAAACTCGGCGGCGCTGCAGGTGGAGGTGGAGGGAAGATGTCGACCTTCGCGCAAAAGATGATGGCCAAGATGGGTTACAAGGAGGGGCAGGGTCTTGGAAAGGGTGGCGAGGGTATCGTGAACCCGATCGAGGTCAAGCTACGACCTCAGGGAGCCGGTGTTGGCGCTGTCAAGGAGAGAACCGAGCAGTACAAGGAAGAGCAACGACGAGCCGCTGAACGACGAGGCGAGGAGTATGAGGATAGCAGTGAGGAGGAGCGCAAGGCGCGCAAGGAGAGGAGGAAGAAAACAAAAGGAGGAGTGAGTGGTGCAGGTAGTGGGACAAGCACTCCGGGTGGTGGATCGAGGAAGCAGAAGACGAGATACAAGACTGTGGCAGACGTTCAAGCTGCCGCTCCCGGACTGGATGTACCGCCACAGATGCTGAGCTCGATCATCGACGCGACTGGCAACCAGACGAAGATGCTCACAAGCACCGCTGGTCTCATGTTGGGCACGGGGCAGCCTGCAGATACGGAAGCCGACAAGATTGCCAAGCGAGAGAAGATGGAGCTTGAAGCATTCATTGAAGCTTGGCATGGCGTGCAAGAGCAGAAGATATATGTTGAAGAGCAAGCTGGTCAGCACCAACTGGAAGCCGATCAGCAGAAAGATGAACTTCGGCGACTTCAGGCTGTTGTTGAAGCTGTTGAGAGTCTCAGATTGACAGCCTCTTCTAATACTGACGAACATGGAGAGTGGACCACTGTGATCGACAAGGTTAAGAAGATTCAAGAAGATCACCAACATGATGTCGAGCGATATGGGCTGTCAGAGGCTGCCATTGGGGCATTGACTCCGGTTTTCAAGAAGCAAATGGCCAGCTGGGAACCACTCGAGCATCCGGATTCCATGGTGCCTGATCTTCAAACGATAAGAGTCATGCTTGGGTTGCATCCATTGGAACAGGTCGCCACTAAACATGCTGATCTTGATGACGATTATGGGAGATCAAGACGACAGAAAGCGACATCACACTACGAAACGATGATGTACACCATCTGGCTCCCTAAGCTTCGCACAGCCATCACCAACTGGGATGTGCTCAATCACAATCCACTGACGAGTCTCGTTCATGCATGGCGGCCACTCTTGCCTGCGTTCATCTACAGCAATCTCCTGGACCAGCTCATCGTACCGAAGCTCACCGCAGCTCTCCAGACATGGGATCCCAGGAAGCGTACCCATCATCACAAGACGGTCACTCTTAAACACGCCCAACCCCACACTTGGCTCTTCCCGTGGCTCCCATACCTTCCACCTTACCAACTCGACCCCAAAGCCACCAGCGGTTTACTTACCAGTCTCAAGCGTCGACTACGGCAAGTTCTTGATGGATGGGATGTGGCTTCAGGGGTGTTGCCTGGTCTGCTGGAATGGCGGAACCTACTGCATTCTGAACTCGATCACATATTTGTCAACCATTTGCTGCCAAGACTGGCACGGCATCTGTCGCAGCACTTTGAGGTTGACCCTTCAGATCAAGACCTGACACCACTGGAGAATGTTCTCGGCTGGGAAAAGCATTTCAAATCTGAGACTCTGGCACGGTTGCTGGTGGCTGAGTTCTTCCCCAAGTGGCTCTCTACTCTCCATCTCTGGCTCACCTCTGACGAAGCAAGCTTTCAAGAGATTGGGCAGTGGCTTGTTTGGTGGAAGCAGCAAATTCCAGAGCCGCTCATGGCGAATGCTGATGTTCAGAGGGAGTGGCAAAAGGGCGATCAAATGATCAATCGGGCACTCGATCTGCAAGAGGAAGGCCGTCCTTTGACTGAGTTGGCTGCCCCTGCTGCTGGACCAGCACGACCCATCGCAAAGGAGATTGGGAAGAAGATGGAAGCACAGGCTGCTGCTGCAAAACCGCCGCCTGTCGCGCAAGATTTGGTGCAAGACTTCAAGGACATTGTCGAGAATTGGTGTGCCGAAGAAGACCTCACGATGGTGCCTTTACGCGAGGCGCATCCCCAGACTGGATCTCCACTGTTCAGAATCACGGCCAGTGCGACTGGCAAAGGAGGTGTGATTGTTTACATCAAAGGAGATATCATCTGGGCTCAGAAGAAGGGCGATCGGAGCGTTTACGAGCCGGTCGGACTGGACGAGAAGCTCGTGGAGCGTGCTGAGGGGAGGTGAGATTTGGTCATCCGTCTGGAGACTTCTAAGATGATCGGAGGCATCTGGGCTTGTGTGTTGAAGGTGAGACTTCCCGCCAGCTTGTTCAGGATGGATCTTTCACGCTGGCGTTTGCTAATTGAGTGAGGGATCGAAAAGCAGGAATGGAAGACGGGAGTGGGACATATCGAAGCTGGGTCTTTCTGCAACGACTTCTTACAAAGTAAGCCGGAACTGTATCGATTGTCAGCAACACACTTTGGTCTCGTCGAGGGTGGCCTACATTTGGATGTCTCGATCCCAACCGATCTTCGCTCTCCTCTTGCAGCCTGTTGTCTCTCTTCCCGCTGGCCCTCTTCCGGTTTTCAACTCGCTGGTGAAGTGTTAGTGGAGAGCTTCGAGCTGGAGATACATCACATACGTTGTAGAACAGCAATACGACAATGCAGACAATGGCCGCGCCGACTGTTCCGATATTGATCGCATGGCCAGTGATGTATCTCGGGGCGCTACACATGGTCAGAATGGACCTCAACGCGATTCAGGGTGCATACTCTTTGTCGATATATGTGAAGGTGGCTATGAAGGCTGCGAAATTGGCAATCATGATTTGGTAGCCGGTTCCAGTGGCCCTGACGAAGTGTGGTGCCTTGGAAGAAAGTCAGTCTGGATCGTTCAAAACTACTCGTACGGCTCACAAGATTGTTCGATAGCCAGGCCATGACGAGAGGACTGCAAGGGAAGATCCCAGCGGCGACCTGGACGTTGTTAGCAAGCGTACGTTCAACAGTTGTCGGCCTTACCAGGAACGTTCCGCCATATTGGATCAACTTGCGGTCGGTCGAGATAAGCATGATATATCCCACGATCGTCACCACACACCCGACGATCATGTATACGCCACGCTGTTTGGTGCGATCGGATATCCAGCACGCGAAGAGAACTGTGAAGAAGCCGCAGATATTTGGCGGGACCTCGAGCATATCGTCGTCAGTGCAGCACAAAGATTTCGATCGGCCGAACTTACAGTAAAGAGTTGCGACACCACCCTGCTGTAGCCCAGGCTCTTGATGATGGTAGGCAAGAAGAGGCTGAAGCTGTAAATGGGAGTGATGATGAGAAAGAAGATGAGAGACAGCAGCTGCACGTTGACATCCAGCAGGGCGACTTTGACCCAGTGCCAGTCGAACTTCTCGGAATCAACATCGCGTGTCGATGCGCTCTGGCTGTCATCTGCCATCCTTTTGACTGCCGCATCTCGTTGCTCTGGAGTCAGGAACTTGGCGTCGGAAGGGGTGTTTGGGAGGAAGAAAAAGGCGACGATGCCGAAGACTGTGGTGATGGCACCCTCGACGAAGAAGATGAACGGCCACCCGTTGTATCCTGGAGTCTTGATCTGAGCCAACCCCGTCGCCAACAGGCCACCGAAAGCTCCCGACAATGGCGCCGCACAGTAGAAGAGTCCCACTCTCCACAGCATGGCATGTCGCTGGTAGAACATGGACAAGTAGAGGATCATCCCTCCCAGCAGGCCGCCCTCGCATAATCCAAGGAAGAAGCGAGCCTACAATGTCAGCGATCACCTTTTATATATGGATCTGGACCCACCGCCAACAGCCCTCCATAGCTCTTCACGAACCCCATGAACGTCCCCACCAATCCCCAGCATGTCAACAGGGCCGGCAAATAGTATCCCGCCTTGCAATACTTGAGTACGAGATTACTCGGGACGTCGACGCAGATGTATGGGACGTAGAAGATGGCGAGCGCAATGTTGAACTTTTGGCCTTGAAGGTTGAGATCCTGCACCAGGCCGTCAATTTTCGCGTTGCCAATGTTAGTTCTGGAAAAGGTTAAAACATTGCACAGTGGAGCGGTCGGATGCTAACTTGCCTGTCAATGAATGAGAGCAACCACATGCCAAAGAGCCAGGGAAGGATGCGAGTGTCGAACTTGCGATTAATGAGGCGGTGCGTGGATGGATCGATGTCGGCGCTCTCGACGGCTGGGAGCTTCTCGCTAGGTCGTCTCTCGTTCCATTGGATGTCCGGTGCGATCGAGCTGTCACTACGCTTCTCGTCCATGTCGTTCATGGTGGATGGGTGGTGGAATGAGGTGGTACGATGACAGAGAGCGAATGCGCTCCATGTAAAGAGGATACCTCCGCCGGTACATCATCCCGCCTGCGAGCCACCATCATCATACTTCAAGTCAAATCGCCAGAGCCTCATCGAATATCTCATACCAAGCTTCCTCCCGCATGTGGCCTGCTCGTCTCGTGAGTCTCGGGCCAATCAAGACTGGACGTCATCCCCCCGCTAAGCATTCCAAGCACCTGTCGCTTCCCCGCCTCGAGGTGAATGTTTTCTTCTTCTCCCGCTGTGAAGCTGATCGGCATTGCGGGGTGAGATGTGTTTGAGTACGCTGATGGACGTGCGATCGCGTTCGTCGTTCATCGAATTGTGGGCGAAAGGCGAGTATGCTTGCTGTTCAATCCCGGGCGCCCGCTTTTCCATGTCATAAGAGCGGTCCTCGACTACCCGGTGCTGGCTCCCAAATCAATATCAACCAGCAGTTGTCTTTCAAATCCATAGCGTGTTAGTGCCAAAAACGTCAACCATTACATGGTGAGCGCTATGTTGCGGGAATGTGGAAATGATGAAGATCGCGAAGAAGAGCAGGTGTCCTGGTTAACAAACGTATTAGATGCGTCAAGTATGCGCTTGAATGAAATGCCATCGCCGAGACCAGACTCGATGTCGTGGAAGGACGACTAGAAGTGGAGCATAAAACTCAAGGAAGGCCTAATACTTCGGGCCCGTTCGATTGCAGTTGCTAGCCTACTGCACCCCCCAAACCGACTTTGCCCAAGTACTGCCCCTCGCGCAGTATTTCGTTCAAACTGCGCAGTTCGCCAGGCCGCGCAGTTTGAAAACTCCTGCGCGAAATCGCAAGACTGCGGCAGTAATAACATATCCTACTGCGCCTACCTGCTAGCCGCAGCCGCATTTCAATTCAACAGCTCCTTTTCCTATTGGTTAGGTCTATAGTAATGGTATAAAATTGAGAATACTATAAACGCGTTACTGCTTCCTTGGAGACAACTCGAACTTGTACAGAAAGCCTCCGAATGGCTCCATTCGTAAATTCAGCTGGGATGAATGTAGTTGCGCGTGCTGGACTCTGCACACGCGACTGCCCTTTGTGTCGACAACTGCAAAAGCGGAGCTGGACAACACACCAAAAGGTCTAAGATCGATGGTGACGTTGCGGGCGACACCTGTAGCGGTATCGTTGGTAGTGGACAGGGGAATGCTCACTGTCTCGCCGTTGATGCCTGCCAATATAGAGGTCTCGCCCAGAGCGCTTTGCGATGACGAAATACTTTCCTGGATTTCCCTGGACAAAGGTTGTCTCGTCCCACACGCAGGGTAGCGTCCCCAGTAGGCGGGTGATATCGGGTGGAATGAGGTGTTCGTATGTCTGCGAAGCATCCGGGAGAGTACGTAGCCCGGAGTCGATAATGACATTCAGGGCCACCTCGTGAGCGTAGGTCGTCAGGGTTGCGTCGCCGGGATGGTGGGCAGTCGAGAAGACGCCTGGTGCGTAGTCTGCCGGGCCGATAGGGAGGCGCACAAAAGCCTCGTTGACGTTGTTCTCTGGCAACTGCGGCGCATACGACGTCTTCGCGTTCGCAAGGTACTCGGACGCAATCAGTGCCTCTGAGGAAAGCAAGTTCGGCCAGGTGCGCTCCCAGCCGTGCGGTAAGGGGCAGTTGTGAAAGACGACCATCAGACGGAACTCGGCTGCGTCCTGCAGGATGTCGAGTAGATACGCCATCATCTCCTGCTTGTCACTCTGTATTCCATCGACCTTGAGGCCGACAACACCCATACCCGCCAGTCTCGCCATCGTCTGTCGTCTGGTGCGAGGCTGAACGAGGAGATCTCTTTGTAACCGCATTGTTGTTCGGTCCCGCCGAATTGATCCATAGCCACACTCCGACCCCCTTGGACCCAGCATACGCCATGACGGTTGACAGGGACACGTTGTGTCCTGTGCTATCGGTTTGTTGATCCCACGACGTGTCAAGCACGGTGTATGGCCAGTGTTGTTGCGATGCTAAATCGATGTACTCCTTGTTGGCCGTGTAGTTCAAAGGATTGGACGAATCAGCCCACCAATTCCAAGACGCCGCGCCAGGCCTGATCCAACTCGTGTCGCGAATCTGAGAGGCTTCCGACAAATCAGTCACGCTAGTGTCGCTGACGATGGCAGCCGGATCTGTTCCAATAGAGATAATTCGCCAGGGCGTTGTCCATGGCAGGATCCCTTGAGGACGACCGGACCCGAAGGCGCCGTTGCCGTCATCGTCTGGAGGGAACGCCAGGGAGACGACGCCGCTGCTGCTCACGTTCGCAATGTGGCTGGCTGGGTACGTTCCATCAAATCCAGCCTCTTTGAGAACTATCCACGCATCTGAGTGGGCCGTTTGCGTTTTGAAAAGAGCCAGAAATGCGAATCCCGTAGACGAGACGCCAGCTCCGGATGTGGATCCTATCTCTGCGCGCCGGCGATCAGTTCGGGGTTGATAGAACGTTTGGTACTTGGGAGTTGGCGTATCATAAGGCTGCATGAGCTGGAAGTCTCCGGGAGATTTGATAATGGCGAAGGTCGTATTCTCATGCAAGATTGTCCGACTGTCGACTGACTCGTCCTCAGGAAAGCGATATCGCAAAGCGACCGTCGACTCTGAGAGGGCAAACTGCACCTCAAAGGACCCCTGCGTGGCAGTGACGACGCTGCAGGTATATGAGCTATATACGGCATGGACCTTGCGCCGCTTGCCTTGGAGGAGAGTGTAGTCTTCGACACGTGCTGGTACCTTTTCAGAGGAATAATCAACCAAGTTGTTGGAGAAATCTCCGTCGCTCCGGACTACGCCCAAAGAGGATGGATTGATTATCATAGAACCATGAAGGAAGACGGTATAGCTCAGATGTCCGCCTTGTAAGGTCACCTCTACCTCCAGGTTCCCTGTCGGAGATGTGAAGCGGTCTGTCCCGGAGGGCTTCGTATAGCACCAGGCTGTGCCCAAGAAGACGAGGTATAGAATTGTCCAGCACAACATTTTCCGATGAAACTTGTGCTGTCGGCAGGCTCGATGGCGGGATTGCTGTATGAAGAGTCTTGGGTCGATGGTGTCGAATGCATGTCGTCATCCACGTTGTTGTTTGGGCTCAGTTGATTTGTTGAAACGCCACATTAACCAAGTGGATTTCTTCAGGCAGTTTCCTAACACGGTGTATATACTGCTTTGCGTGAAATGTCTTTGTCTACCACATCCCTAATCACCTATTTAGGGAACAGTACGGAAGAGGAAGGTGATTGTCGACGAACGTCACTGCCAGAGCTTTGCATTGCTACCCAAAAGGTTCAGCGCAATTGTTCCCAGGCATTATTAAAAGCCACTGTTTGAGAACAAGCTCGCTGAGGTCTCCCTAAGAGATCGCTGGGAAAGTGACCTCGGCTCCTTCAATATGCCGTTTACGAGCCTTGTGTGCCTCACTTTTGTCGCGTACCTGTACGTCTGCTCTGCAGCCATATTCCAGAATGGCCAGGCTCGGGAGGCCGACTATCCCAACACCGCGACCAAACTTGATGGCGACTGGCAACACTACCCTCCTAGTTCTCCCGAGATCTCGTACAAAGGTCGCTGGGATAGTCAGTACATCTCGTGGTGGTCTGCTCCAGGCCTGAAATTTGGCTTCGAGGCCGACAACGTAGCTTGCACCTTCGGGGGTCACACGTCTGCAGGAGTTCTTGTTGCGTATCGATTGGACGGCCAGGACTGGATGTTGACTAATGTCACTGCCAACTCAACGCACCTCTTGATAATGCCACGAACACCTGGGTGGAACTTGACCACGTCCAGCACACGAACCTTGGAATTGCACGTGACCAATTGGGCCCTCGGCGTCCAGCTTGCTCAAGTCCATCTTTCAGGAGGCCCAGCACGGCTCGTCCGCATTCCTGACTACAGTCGTCGGATGCAATTCATCGGCGATTCACTCACCGCTGGCTATGCGGCTACGTTCGAGGGCATCAGCACGTACGCCTGGGGCCTTGGATATGGCTTTGGCGACACCGAGTTCAGTATCACGGCCTTTCCTGGCATTTGCGTCACGGATCGGCCATGCCATGGTAACAGCCGTGGGCAGTCGTTCCAGTGGAGTAAGACGGTTGATACCAGTCAACGTGCTATAGACATGTACGGCGATAGTAAGGCTCGACCCTCCTCGTCAACGTCAGAGTGACGACTGACAACGACGTGCTGCAGGCCCACCGGACTGGGATTTCGGCCTTCGCCCACCTCCAGATATTACCGTCATCAACATTGGCACCAACGATAACGCAACCGACATCAATGTCTCGTCTGATCAGTTCTACAACGCTTACGTCAGCCTCATTCAACAGGTCCATACGACATGGCCCAAATCCCATATCATAGTACAGTCACTGTGGAAGGGCTGGGCCCGCACTAACAGCACGTGGACGGAGCAGAGCGGCTTCTACTACGAGATCCAAGATGTTGTGAAGCATTTCAACGGCGGCAGGCTTAACAAGAAAGGGGGTGAAGGGTTCGTCTACTACTTTAACACCACGGGCATTATGCAACACAACGACTACAGTCCCGCGAACCATCCAACAGACGTTGGACACGTCAAGGTCGCGAGCCACCTGATGGAGTATATTGCTTGTTTTTGATTGGGATTTTAGGGAGGTAGGACCCGAAGTTCAGCACCAGACTTTATATTGGTACGTTTCTTATACGAGGCATAGACGTACAAAGTGCTAACTTGGCTAACAAGGAACAACGAGCGCTTATACTAACAGCACAGACTCACCGTTGTCCAAAGAGTCTGCTGCGAGCTGGGACAATGCTAGAACAGACGCAGTGTTAATTTCCCAATCTGGATTTTCGCAATGTGGAAAGGTTTTCAGTCTTAACTTCCTAACCTGGACATCTGCGCTTTGAAGTGTCCAACGTTGCGTTTCGAAGTATTCACATAAAACGCACGCAAAGATGATTGTCGTAAACGCGCCCTACGAGTCTTTGTTTTTCTCCTAAGAAGATGAATTGGCGCGTAACAATCTACTTTACTGTACAAAATGTTAGCTTGTTCAGGACTTGGACAGCAAACGCTTAGGCATAGGTAAAGAACAGAGCCTAGCTATAGCCCACGCGCCCTAGTACAAGAACGCCTCCTCGACTTAAAACTTATACCGGAACTCACAAGACGCGCGTTACTTCACTTGTTCAACACGCCTAGGAGGTTGTTAGTGCAATACAATTGAAAGCCGGCTACAAGAGCGCGTCGGTTTCTTGATTATATTCTCAGGTGCGTGGGTTTTAGCTTTGCGCAGCCTCATCGACGCATCACCCGCGCTTCCCGCCTAGACGAGGCGCTAGAAACTCTGAATACGCGTTTCACTATCGAGATGCGCGCTACATAGTCAAACAGTACATTCTTGCACTTGTTACGCGTCTACAGGTGACACAAAGCGTTAAGCGAATTGCAAAGCACGCATCTCAGAAATGCACGGGCGCTATACCTCGTCCAGAGGCCGGTTGTAGGATGTTACCGAAGTGTTAATTTCCTAATCTGGATGAGATACCCTCGGCGCATCTAGTACAGGTCTTGCAGTGTCGAAGTACGATTAAAAACAAGCTCAGTGATGAACACTTGGTCATCTAAAGGGGAAGGTACGCGTGATGATCTTTGTGCTGCATACTTAGAAGAAAACATTGGAGACGCGTCTTGTTGCTTAAAAGACGCCCTCCATACTCGACTCTAGTGCCCTCCCTTAATTGTTAAGTACTCAGATGTAGAACGAGGCGTCTAGATGTACGCATCGACCTAACATTATTAAATGTACGCGAACTATGCATGTCTCCTAATAACTTTCTGATTTGGACATAGCGCATGGATGGCTATGTCTTTCAACCACGCGCGTGTCACGGGCGCAAACGCGCTCTAAAACGAATCGTACTAGCAAGTCTCGCGTCCTCTTGTCCCAGGACGCGTCAGTTAGTGGACCAACGCGTGAGTAGACGGAGCAATGCATCTATGCACCCAAAAGCGCTTCTCCAAGTCGAAAGACGCGCTCTGCTTACGCGTCTTTGAGGGGTTTCAATGCTGCAATTTTTATGCGTCAAAGTCCTTGCTAAAGGATTAAAAGGTTTTATTTTGACGCGTCGACGTGCGAGATCAGGCATGTTGGCTGTACGCCCTAAGTCTATTCTATGGTTTTGTAACTATGAAGGCGCGTTGCATCTAGCATACTAACAAGCAGCGCACTAGTTAGACGCGATCTTAGGGCCTTGAACAGAGCGCTTGACACTTCGAAACTTTCTAGAAAGGCTTAAGCGAGTCATCCCGATCTGGCAATTAATGCGAATTAGAACATGTCTAGTTTTAGCTCGGAGTTGATCCCCAAATCTGTACTCGCGACCAAACGCGTAGAAACGCGTGCGAAGCCCATCTTGCAATTTACACGAGACAACCCGCCGCTGCAGTGAGTTGAACAGCTTTTACCTGGGGCTTTAGAGAACCGCGTGGAAGTACGCGTTTGTGGTATTTTTTAGACAGAAAAACCTTGATTCCCAGTTTAGGAAGTTGTGGGTCTTCAACGCACGCGTTTAGGCTCTTTGCTGCACGCATGCATCTCCGATCATCAACCCGGTCATCTGAACCCTCTAGAACAGATCTTCAATGCTGCGACACATTTGACTCTCGCACATTTGCCTCGTCAACTTTCTCTAGGCGAGATGAGGTACGTGAAAGTCGACGGGTGCCTCAAAGCGTACTTACCAAACGGCCCTCAGCTAGCAAATGCCAAGTGCGTGAGCAGATGAGTGCTTCGAGGCGTACTTCAAATAAGGAAACCTGTTTTTCAACGCAAGATATGGTTTCAAAAGGTACTTCAAACGAGCCAGTTTGTCTTCCAAACTTCTCTAGACAAGATGGGCTGCGTAAAAGAAGACGGGTGCTTCGAAGCCTACGAAATGGCATCCACGAGCCAATTTGTCTTTCAAAATTTCTTGAGACGAGATGAGGTACGTGAAAGAAGACGTGTGCTCGAAGGCGTACTTCAAACGGGCAAACATGCCTCCCAAGCTTCCACGGACGAGATACGGTAGGCGCAACGACCAAATTGTCTCTCAAACTTCCACAAGCGAGTATGGGTGCGTGAAAGCAGATGGGTGCCTCGACGAGTGCTTGCGAGTGCTTGAAAACTTGCCTTCGGATCTTACGCCTGGGCATGGGGCAGGGCGGCGGCGAGGTGGGTATTGAGTGGTAGACTTAGTATCATGAAAGAAGCTGCCCCAGACGAGACGTGGTACGTGAAAGAGAAGGGAAGATAGGTGCTTCGAGACGTGCAGATGTGCCTCCCAACTTTCCCTATCGTGGAAGGCGAGGGGTGCTTTGAAGGGTAGCCTTAGCGAACAGATTTGCCTTCTAAGAAGATGGGTGCGAATTTGTCCCCAAGCTTCCGTAGTACGAGACGTAGAAGATGGTGCTTCGAAGCGCACTTATCGGGTAGATTTGCCTCCTAACTTTCCCAGCGTGAAAGACGATCGGTGCTTCGTTCAAACTGACACATGCAAGCCGTGGTGCGTGAAAGCAGATGGGTGCTTCTTTCAAGCGAGTCGAAGCAAACTTGCCTCCGTGAAAGAAGATGCTTCAGATTTGCCTCCTGAACTCCAGAAGGTTAGCCTATTTGCCTTCCAAGAAGATCTTGTATCTATGAAAGAGACGATGTGTGCTCCGCAAGTATCCAACCCTCGTTAGCGAATGTCTTAGGTGTGTGAATTTGCAGGTGTGAAAGTGCTCTTTTCTCCAAACGTGAATTCAGCTGGCAGCCTCGCAGCGTTGCCGACGGCCTTACTCCCCAAACCACCATCCAAACACATCCGTTAAACACCTCCCCTATGCTTCACGCAGGTCTCCCATTGCACACGAACAGGTCTCCTACACAGCCCCTGCAGTCCTGCTATGTATGTGTGAACCCTGCTCCAAGCTGGGCAGAAGGCCTCACCCCTGCAACCACTACACCTACGCATCGTATGGCCTCGGATGAGATAATCACTAAGTCGCATAGTTCAGACGAACATATCTATCTCCCAAAGTTCCCTGTCCGAGAGATTTTCGCTGCATGTATAAATCCTGCTCCAACCTGGGTGGCAGGCTTCACCCCTGCAACTACCACACCTACGCATCGTATGGCCTCGGATGAGATATTACTAAATTGCATGCCTCAGACGAACACATTCGTCTCCTAAAGTTCCCTATCCGAGAGATTTTCGCTACGAGTGTGTGAATCCTGCTCCAAGCTAGGTAGCAGGCTTCACGGCTTCACCCCTGCAACTACAACACCCACGCATCGTATGCTTTCGGATGACATTATAACTGAGTCGTACGCCATAGATGAACATATTTGTCTCCCAAAGTGCCCCATCCGAGCGATTTCCTCTGCATGTATATGAATCCTAAAGGTCAGCCATTACCCCTGCGACTACAACACCCACGCATCGCATGCCCTCGGGCGAGATATTACCATTTTTATGTGCTTCAGACGAACACATTTGCCTCCCAAAGTCCCTCATCCGAGTAATGTTGCATGTGCGTGAATCCTACCTGGAAAGCTTGGGGTAGACTTCACCCCTGCAACCACCACACCCAGAGTCGGTCGCTCTCGGATGAAGTATTACTTGAAATGCATGCTTCAAATGAACGTATTTGTCTCGCAAAGTTCCCCATCCGAGCGAGGTGCGTGAATCCCTCTGCAAAGCCAGGGGTGATGGAGATGGCTTCAGTCCCCCATACACCACACTATGCATCTAAGATGTCGGATGATGCATTACAAGAGTCCCCCATTCCCAGAAATCGTATCTCCCTCCCAAACTTACCCGTCCGACTAGACCTACAGCGTATGCGTGAATCCTGCCTCCAAGCTGACGACCAGGCGTCAACCCGTCCAACGTCACACACTCTATTTGATCTTTCGTACAATACATCGCTTGCATCTATCAATCCTACGGAACGTATTTGCCTCCCAAAACATCCCAGGCGAAAGGTGCTGCCAGCCTTGCGTGAATCCTGCCGGCAGGTTAAGGGACTTCACATATTCCCACTCCACACCCAGCCTTTCAACTTTCGATTGACGAAGCCCCTGATTCTAACCTGCTGAACATGAAGATTTGTCGTTCAAACCTTTCCATTCGAAAGGAAACCACGTGGCGAGCGTGAATCCACGTGGAAGCCAGCTTTGCTTCACCCCTGCTCCAACACCACACCTAGATTTTGGGCTTTCGAACGATCCATACCCAGGACCAGCAGGTATAAATCAACGGTTTTTGCCTTCCAAAGTTCTCTGTACGAAAGATATGTACATGGCCAGCGTGAATCCATGCGGGAGGCGGCCCAGCTTCACCCCCTTCTCCAACAGCTTACCCCCGAAGCAGAGCATTTGAGCTTTCGAATGCCTTATCCCCTGGATGAGCAGTGTGACCATGATCTTCCTACGTCTCAAAGTCTTCCAATCGAAGAGCGGTCGTGGTGTGGCGTGAATCCAGCTGCCAGCCAGCCCCTGAGCTTCACCATTTCCTCCCATCTCCCACAGCCACCGCCTTCCACCACTACCATCTGGATGATATACGAGAAATGTGACGATGAGATATCTTCTGTGCCCCTCTAAGTCATTGACCGAGTAAAGGGTGTGAATCCAGATGCTAGCCAGCCAGTAAGCGTCACCCACCTCCTCCATCCTCCACTCATTCCCGCAGATGATCTTTCGAACGATACGGTTATCGAATATTGTACAACTAAAAATAGTTTTTGCCTCCAAAGATATCCCAGTCGAAAACTGGGTCGTGCTGTAGCAGTGAATCCAGTCGCAAGTTAGACCCTGTACTTCATCACCTCCCACTACCACCGCACCCAGGTCGACGATATCCATGATGTCATTCTGGAATATGCAGTAACTAGGGATCATCTTTGCCTCTCAAAACTCTTCACTCAAAAGGATGCGGTGGTGAGAGCGTGAATGCAGCGGGAGGCCTCACTCCTCGATTTCACCGCCTCTTCCACTACCAACCTCACAAATGAACCACCGAACGATACAGATCTCGAATCAGCACATCCTACTCTACAACTTTCTCTCCCAAAAGTCTCCCATCGAAACATATTTCCGGTCCGGTTGTTCCTGCCTCATAGCCAGCACCAGCGGTCGGACTGCATTTGAAAATTCGATCGTGGTAGATGTTCATTCAGACGGCCTCAATGAGCAAATCTGTCTTTTCAGATTGTCCATACGAAAGTGTGGAAGGATTGAAGTGTAGTTGCCTCGCCGCAGCCCGTGAAAGCCTCACCAAGAGGACTCTACCCAATTCGGCAATTCCTGTCAAATACCGTTTCAACCATCGATTGGTATAGAGTCTCAATCAACTCTGTTCACTGAGCAAATCTGTCTATTCAGGTTGTCCAGGCGAAAAGCGTGCGCGGGTGGGAACCGGTCTGGAGTTGCGATGCCTGTGAAAGCCTGACCCAGCCGGTGATCACCCCTGCCGCAACACCACCACACATTCGAACGCCTTCGATTGATGCATGTGTCTATTCGCACGGAATTTCTCTGCAAGCTTGCCTCTCAAAATTCTTCGATCGAACGTGGGAAGACGATGGCGCGGTTGACTGTGCAAGCCTGGCCCAGCCGGTGACCACCCCTGCTACAACACCACCACGCATTCGATGGCCTTCGATCATTATAGTTCTCCGTTCGTACAGACTTGCTGAACAAACTTGCCATTAAAAGTCTTCGATCGAAGGCTTGAACAAACGATGGCGCAGTTGCCTGTGAAAGCATACCCTTGGCGATGACCGCCACCCCTCCTCACCCGTTCGAATGCGTTCGATTGGTGCATTTCTCTATTCTCACGGTCTCCGAGCAAATTTGCCTCTCAAACCTCCCCGATCGAAGGCATGGACAAACGACGGCGCAGGTGCTTGTGAAAGCCTACCCAGTTGGTGACCACCTCTACAGCATCACCCGTTCGAACGCCTTCGAACGATGTATTTCCCCATTCGAACGATCTCTCTGAGCAAATTCGCTTCTTCAAAAACCTCCCGCCGAAGGCGTGGGCATGAGATGGCGCAACTGCTTCCCAAAGCCAGTGAAACCTCTCCCCTGCATCACATCTTCGGATGGGATTTTACTTTTCGATCGACGCATTCCCAGGATCCAGTCGTCTCATGCGACTATTCCATTTCTCAAGAATGTCCACTGGTGGTGTGAAAGTGGGTGTGTGAATACCACAGACAGCCCTCAATGCATCCCCTTTCCGACCAGCCGCCATACAGGCTCTGCGGTGTCAGACATCACCTGTGTTGAAATCTTCTAGTCCCGTTCATCATTTTAGTCTCCCAAAGTTCTCCGCGATAGGGATTAAATGTAATGTGTGAAGGGCAGACGAAGCTCGCCTAGCTCCCACCCACCAACGAGCAGGTCGTTGACCTGACCACTTCACAGACGTAGCATTTCTGCCACCCAAAGTGCGTCCTATGATGTGTGAAAGTCAAGGCATGGAAGGCCAATAGACCATCCGGCTCTCCACTTCCAATCATCCTATTGAAGCGGCATTGACAGCAGACAGGAAGTCAGGGGTGAACCCTGCAGCAAAACTTGCACCCTTGATATCACCACATCGGATGTTATTTCATTCAGGTTCAAAACCTCTCGAGATTCGTTTCAGAAAGTTGCCCATCGAGGTTCTGTGGTGTGAAATCAGCCGTCGATCTTCCCAAGAGATGATCTGTGTAGAAGCTGGCGGCGGTGTTGAAGACTAACGAGGGAGAAAACGAAGAGCGAAGGGAAACGATGTGCATGGAAAAGGAGAAGAGAAGCATCGATGCTAAATGAAGGAGGGTAGGGACCAAGGAAAGAGATACTAATGCAATGCCGTGACATTTCAACCAAGTATCAAAAAACGCCTGCCATCGAGAGCCCCAATGATTCAATCTTACTAATGTACAACTGCCCTCAACGACGATTCTCGAACCTCTTTACTTGCTTGGCAGACGACCAAGTCCCTTGCATTTCGGGCACTTTGTGTACGTGTCGATGAAGCGAGAATAGCTTGGAGGCTTGGAGTCGACGACGGTTATGAGAAGACAGCATTCCGGGGGTTGGTTGTTCTTGAACTTTCTGTAGCACGATTCGAGCTGACCGGTAGAGATCTTGTTGACCATCTTTTTAGCCTTCTCGTCGAGTGCAGAGTTGGCGATGCGAGCTGGGCTGTGAACCGCCACACGGAGTGGCTCGTTGCGGGTAGGAAGCGGTCCAGAAGCTGGAGGCGGAGCCATACCTGTAGCTGCTGATGAAGAAGGAGCTGGGTCAGTCTGGCTGGTAGCTGTGCCACTCTGCGCAGAAGTCGGAGGAAGCTGGCTAGGGTCAGGGCCTACTGAGTCTCTGGAGCTTCTTGGCCTCCGCTCACTTCCTCGCTCACTTGCTGTGTAGCAGTTGGAGACGGAAGCTGTTCACCTTGTGCTGGCAGTTGAGGGAAAGAAGCAGGAGGATCTTGGCCTCCAACGTTGGCCTGAGTATCACCGGTGGGGCGGAACGTGAAGGGGTGACTCTCTGGTGCGAATCCGAACGGCGTAGAACCAGTGTTGAGTCCACCAGCGCCAGTCATGGCAGGCTGAGTAGGTCGTGGGATGAGTGGACGACCAGGTGTGGCCGCGGAGGTGGAGTCTCCGGACGGACCATGAGGTGTAGATTCCTCAGGGTCAAGCCAAGAAGATGCCATGCCAAGAAGGTCGTTTGAGCCAAGCGAGCGATTCAGCAGTGACGGCTTCCGTACATGAGGGAACTGTTGGCCTAGGGGCGGCGACTGCGGCTTGAAGAGTGGGTCCCGGAGAAGCCAGTCGTCGGGTGTCCATGGCCGGGTTGCTGTGTCTGTCGCTACTGTCGCTGCTGTGATGCAGTATGACCTGTTTGCTGTCGCTGCCGAGCAGCATCGTCTACTTGCTGCTGTTGGATATCGGGGGCGGATTGCCCTCCTTGGGCGTCGACAGTCAGATTCTGTGGCTCAGGAGGTGGAGCAAAAACGCCATAGAACGGCATTTGGCCATGTGATGGGTCCAGTGAACCAGGCGGTGTCTGATCTTGTGGCGGATGCATATCAGTGCGAGGGTGAAGACTGTGACGTTCGCTCTGCCGGTTGAGACCTGTTGACGCTGGAAGATCTGTTGAAGGTCGAAGGTCTTGACCCAAGCAGGTCCGTGAGAGATCTGCGCACGTCTGTCAGTGTCATTCAGTTCATAGTGCACCAACGTACCCTTGACGCTTTGTCTGACGCGAAAGGTGTTACAGAGCGTCGACGCAGAGGCTCGCGCCTTGCATACGTGGTTGAGTTCCCGGAGCGAGACGTGACCACACGCCCTCCAGAACCTCCTCTCGCAAAAGCAGGCATATGGCATTTAAGAGGTGCGCCAATTCGATCTAATACGATGCACTTATTGAAAGGCGGTATGGCATCGCTAAAGCGGAACTCATTCTCCAAGACTCACTGCTCTGAGTCAACTTTTGGAATAAACAGATACGCAACATGTCGTGCCAATGTCGCCTGCATCTAGATGGTAAGGCTCCAAGGAGCAACGGCCGGGTCCAATGTTTTCCACACGAATGGCATGCCCTGACTCAATCCATTCTCGTCAAAACCGCGTGACTTGACCTTATCGCTCTGAAGCTGCATAACGGCTTTAAACTCCGCGTTTGCAGCTCTTGTCAAATTGTTCGTTCTATTAAGAAATTCGCCGTCATCAAACATGTGCAGCAAAGAGCGGTTGGAATTAGCCAGCAACGGACGTGAGAATGCTGATTCAATGTTGAGAAATCCGAGGCATTGTTGCAGTGGAGGTAGGTACGAGACAATGTTGGTAATGCCCTTTACTGATGGTGGTGGACGATAAAGAGCTTGCAAGTGAAGTGGGTACACTCCTGCGGTACTGAGGAGCGAGTTCGTATTTATAGCGTGGTGGTTTGCCGAGACGAGATAGGCGAAATGAACCAGGAGGTCGACAAGGGAGCATCGGCCTACGATGTCCCTAGCTGTAGGAAAGTTGACGCCGCCAGCAGGACCGTTTGTCTCTACAAGCCATGACTGAAGCTCGCTATCCTCTGAAACTTCGCCGTCATCGGGGTAATACGCGTTAACGAACGAAGTTGTGAAGGTTCTGATAGCTTCTACGATTGCATGTGCGTCGTCGTAAAAGGGGAATGAGCTAAGGGCTGGTCCATAATTGCAGTCAATAAGCCCACGTCGTCTAAGATTCGTGTGTAGGTAGTTATCCAGGTAGGAACCAGCTGAACCGTCCGCGTAGAGCCTTCTCGCGAACGTGATTGATGTCGCGCCCCCAAATCCGAAAAAACTGTCGAACGTACCTCCAGGGTCGTAGAGAATTTCCCGTGCTTGAGGCCGGATACCGAACGCTCCGTACATAACTGATGAAATCTTGTCAGTCACGTGTACTTCGACAATCAATGTGTTGCCGAACAGTCTCAACTTACGTCTGTTGAGAAGTCCAAGTATAGGGTGGGAGTCGCTCAAGGTCCGAATGGCGGCTTGGTACACGACCTCTGAGACCCAGTGCGATCTTGCCAGATGATCGTTTTGTGCAAAGAAGAAGTCATTGACTTCAAACATCATCTTTGCGAGTAGCCAGTCGTCCGGTGAATCCATTGGAGTATAAACGAGGCTAATGTTGCCATTACTTCGAATTGCGAGCGGCAAAAATTCAGAGCTGGCATTCGCAATGTAGAAATAAGCATCGCATGCCGGCGCATAGAGCTTTGTACGATTGAGCTGTCTCTGTGCACGGTGGTCGGCGTAAAATAATTTACCACTTTGATGTACTTCTTCCAATGATTGTCCAGTAACGGACATTACCGCGGAAGGATCCACATTGAACGGCAGAGTTTCGTACGGGGCTAATCTTCTTACTGCAAAAGGACTGAAAGACAGTCTACTCATGCTGAAAAGAAGGTCGGAAGTATAGTTGTGGAGCATACCAGGATCGATGCCAGTCGGTCTTGCGCTCGCCATCCATTCGTCTTTGTAGAGAAGTGTATAATCTCGGACATTAGCGAGACCATTGTACTTTCCAACTCATTAGTACGGTTTCGACATTTACCGAGTTAATAACACGCAATTTCGACAGGTCCATCTCAGCCGTACTATTATCAGAAGTAGTAATAATGCCTTCTGCGTCCGACTCGGTATTAGTAATGTTGGAAGCTGTGGCGACATACTTCTGTCCCAAGGGACCCGCGGGTGACGACACTCCTCCATCTATGCCGGGTCCATACTGAAAAGCTGCTCGCTTGTTCGCAATCGCCACTGCACGGCTAGCATTTGTGTGTTTGTTAGGAAGGGAGTATGGCTCCAACTCGTTCGCTGTTCTTCCCTGTACACGACGGGGAGTGGCATCTAACCCATGAGCATTTGATGGGGGTTTCAAGAGCACAAAAATCGCAAATAGTGCTCGTGCACCTGAAGAATACCGCATTATCACACTTTCGATGTGGATATCGAGTTCACGAAGAGCAGAGGTAGCGGAATCGTCGTGGCTAATTAATATTACAAGCACATTCAGGGGTCGCAGAAGGCATTCCTTAGAGCGTAGCTGCGGCTCCGCGATTGTCCGAGAAAGTCCGAAATTTTCATCAGCTTTGAGCCCTAAGTGCTAATGGCTTTTTGTTCATGGGTCCACTGGTAGTAATGACTTTGCAACATAGAATTGAAGTTACTCGTTACTATCTCTCACCAACACATCGAACATTTGGGGACCGTCAAGGGAGAGTGTAGAATACAAGCTAATTAAGAATGAAAGGAAATTGTAGATCGGTTGCTATTAATCGTTTCCTTACCAATCTACTTAGACTCGGGTTTCTAACTTGAATTCCTAGAACTAAGTTTTGTGCATATAAACCACGATGATGGTTGAAGTCATTTGCTCGTCAAAGTCAGCGATGAGCCGAAGTCAAAAGCCCTAAGTGGTGTCCACCGATGGAGCGCGATTACCCTCTAGACTTTCTCGCAACGATTACCTCCGTCTTCGCCATCGCATATAAGGACCCGAAGTTGACATCAAGCCCATGGAGCGTCTTCTGTCGCAGGATAGGACACTTTTGGAACACCAGTGGAGACCGCAGAGCTAGATAGATAAGCCCGGACCACCCGGCCGCTGACTTAGACAACAATGAACTCGCTGCCTTTCATTATGACCACGTTTAGCCTCCTCTTGCATCATATCTGTACGTTACGTGAGAATGTGCATCAACCCGGAATGACTGTTTCGATCCTACTGATCGGAATAGTAATGATCAACGTTGTGACTAGTGCTCTGTGACATTTCTTGCTAGGAACGGAGAATTTGCGATCATGGAGGAAGGTAAAGCTCTATCGTACCTTGAAGATCCTCTCGTCCTGATACTTCAAAGCTCTTACTTTGTTTCGAGTCTGCCCATGGACCGGTTTCCCGTATGGTGTGCGGTTCCTCGCCCTGTATTCCGTACCTTTCGCAGACCTTGCTGGAACTGCTGAACATGCACTGACCCGGCTTGCGGGTGGCGACGCAACGCACGGCGGAATCAACTGGACGGACGCTGGCAAGAGCATTTCTGGTCGAAGAAACAGCACAGAGGACAGGTGGAGAATAGTGAAGAGGGAAGCGAAGGAGGAGTACGCGGAGCGCTACGAAGCACTCACAAAGCCGTGGAAGATTACAAAGACTTTCTTGAGTTCTCTTAGGGTGTTTTCGAGAAAGACGAAGAGGCTAAGGCATTAAAGAGCCAGCTGGTAAGGGTTACGAACGATCTCCCCAAGCGAGAAAGAGTGTTGATGCGCGCCTCGACGAGCAGGTGGATGCGTACTTGGCTCAAGATAAGTTGACACATGTCAAGGAACTGCAGAAAGACCTCGAGTGGATGAAGGCGTGTGGTGATGATTTGGAGGCGCTTGCAGGTGCATTATGACCAGCACCGCTTGCAGACCTTCTGAATAGCGCTCGCATCGATTCTCGACGTCGTTGAAAGTATACAACGTTAATCAAGACAGTACTTCATTCACAAAATATGTCTCGTTCCAATCCCTCGTTCGTACACCTATTGACGAACTCCCGCCCATCTCATTTCCGATTCTCGCGAGAACGAGCTTTGTGGCCCCTTAAGTTAAGGCACTTAAGGACTCGTTAACCGAGAAGTATGGCCAAAGACAGCATCCCAAGGACCAGCAAACCGCTCAGCCGGCCTTCCTGTCCAGGAGTCAGCAAGAACAACAAGGCTCTAAAAACGACGATGAGGCTCACAAATCGGAATGTGGAAGCACCACTGCTATTACTCGAGCTTGAAGAGGACTGACTGCCCGAAGCGGCAGAAGTTGAGGACGCAGAGCTCGGAGAATCGCCAGTGGATTCTGCTGTCCCAGTAGCCGTCGCCGTAGCAGTCGTTGGTGTGCTGGCAGGGCCATTTCCACCGGTTGTAGTGGCCGCATTGTTGTTGCCTCTCACATCTCCTGCACTCTGACACAGGCCTAGCGCGCTTGTGACAGCCGGATAGTCACTGGTGTCCGCCGTGGAAGCATATGCCGCACAAGAACTCCAAGCCCCGTCGAAGACACTCGGCGCGTAACTGGTGGCGGCGTCATAGCACAAACAGCTAGCCTGAGCGGTGGCAGCGAGACTATCGAATCCAGACGTTGCGCCTTCGCACGATGAGACGGCAGCGAGAGCTGTTGCGCAGACGGCCGCGTTGGCGTCGGTGATGCTTGCACTCGCGGCGGGCGATGCGCTCAAAGACTGCTGCGAATCATCTTGGGTGCCGGATCCGCCTGCGAAGATGTTCTGGAAGCATGAAGCTGGCGGATTCTGTTGGCAGCAGCCCTTCACAGACTTTGGAAGGAACTCGAGGCAGTTGTTGCAGACCCCGACAAATGTGCATGCTGTTGATAAAAGAAGGCGATGTGAGCTTGAGTTCCAGGATCTTCGAGCTTGTAAGTTGACTCACCAGTCGGATTGTTGACGCAATAAGGCCATACTTTGCTGCAATATGGCCATTCCTCGCTGGCTTGCTGTCCTTGGAAATCAATGACATTGAGCCCTTCAGCTCCAACCCAACCGAGGCTCATTTTGATGGAGAAGGGGAAAAGTCTTGCGTCACAGAATAGCAAAAGGGATGTACAAAGATTGCTGGATGATCAGGCCAGGACATTCTCTCCCCTTTATCACACTTCGTCCCATCACTCGCTTCACCAAACTGACTCGGCCAGCCCGACCGGTGAAGCACCAGAGCAAGACACCAGACTCAGCCTCGCACGCCTATTCCAGGCAATGCATCGCTCGCTCATAACGCGATTGGTCCAGTGCTTGGCCTCTTTGGCCAAGGCATATGGGCGAGAACAAGCTTTGGGCGTGGTGGCGTCCGCGAAGCTTGACACTGCGGTTAAAGAAGCGAGTGGCTTGATCAGGCCACGACCAGCTGAAACATGGCAACGCCTTTGCAGATTTCAGCCGCGAACTCTGCTTGAAGGGTCGATTGGTGTGTGTCCAAGGGAAATTGCAAGTCTCCATGCTGGTGAGGGGCATAGTAGGTGAACTGTACTGGCAAGCAGTCGTTGTTAGCATGACTTGGAAGACCACCTCCTATGTTGACGATTTCCTGTCGAAGTCTGGCTCTTACCTCTACCCATTAGTGGTGAGAGAAAAGGCAGCGACACCTCCAACGCTTTCGAGCAAATCTCATCGATTTGGGTGCTCGACAGCAACGGGAACATCATAGCTTCCGCAACTCACTCAAGAAATACATTCATCCTTTCCCCGACAAGATCCTTTCCTCGACAAGGTATTCCCACCCCCCATCCATCTAAGCCAAAAAATCCTTTAAAGCCTCATCCATTACATCATTGAACTTCTTACTCTCCTCCCTCCTAGGCGGTTCTACCGCTTCCCAAATCGGCTTTGCACTCCCCACCACAACATCCTCCTTCCCCTGCTTCAGCCCCTCCCAACGTTCGTCATTAAACTCCTTCAGCGGCATCCCAATTTGATCTCCATTCTTAAGATCGGGCTGGTTCTTCGAATCGTGAAGCTCAGTCTGCACAGCTGGTGGGAAGACTTCGATGATCTTCAGGGAAGGGGAGGATTTGGAGATTTGAGCACGCAAAGCCAGGATGAAGTGGTGCAGAGCGGCTTTGGAAGCGCCGTAATTGGGGCGGGAGTTCAAGGTGATGATGGCGAGTTGGGTGGTTGTGTAGGCCAAGGCTGTTGGGCTGGATTGGCGGGTGAGGTAGGGAAGGAGGGCGTTGGTGAGGTGCACTGGGGCGGTGTAGTTTGTCTTGAGCTCCAATTCAAGGGTAGACAGGTCGACCTTTGATGGGTTGGTGAAGTCAAGGCCGCGTTGGATGCCGGAGTTGAGGAAGACGAAGGAGATGTCTGGGTGAGCCGAGAAGATCTCGTCGACGAAGGCTTGAGCCTGTGGTGTGTAAGTCTCTGCATCTTCAATTCGGTACTTCATTGAGGCTTACCGTGTCCGTATCATTGACATCGAAGACTCTGTAGTCCGTCTTCGTCGAGCCATGCTTCTGGGCGAAGCTTTCCAATCGTTCCCTTCTGCGGCCAACTCCAATCACAAACACGCCATTCTCCACAAGCGTCTCAGCCAAAGCAGCGCCAATGCCAGACGTTGCTCCAATGAGAAGCACTTTCTTGTAGTCGAAACCCATCGTGAATGCCAAGAATATAAGGTGGCAAACGGCGCGTTGGTCGAGGCTTGAAAGGCTGAAAGCTGAAGGATCAAGTAGCTCTGTAGCACCGGTTATATGGTCGTACAGTTCAAGTCTGAGTCTCCTCCAGGCTGACAAATTCTCTCCTGGTAAAGCGAAGAGCCTTCAAGGACAAAGAAGCATTGAGAATTGCGACTTACGTCATGGACATGTGTGCAGTGGAGGCTCATTGGTCATGCATGTTGCTCCTTTCGGCCGAAGATACGGACTTCATATATCGTGTTCCATATGCTAACTGTCGTTCGACTATCGCTGTGTAGGCATATCATCTCCTGTAAGCAAGAGAGTGATCGAGAATGAATCTAATGCCCTTCTCTCTGTACGTATCCGGCTCTCCACAAGCAACCCCAGTAACATTGGCGTCAAAGACGATGTTCTGCCGATTCTTTAGGTCGTACCTCGGCCATGCAGGAGATGAGGCGTTCTTCCCAGCATAGTTAGGGTCCAGATCATGGATGAAAGAAGTCCAAGACTTGCTCATGAGATCGGCAAGATCGTAGTAGCTCTTCGGCTTGTCGAGGAAAGGGTTGACCGTGCCGTGCTCCTCGTCATATCCCAGCCCTTGGGTGTTGTCAAAGACGAAGGCGACTTCAACAAAATGCATGACACCTTGGTTCCATTCGTAGCCAGCAGGCCTGGTGTTGAATCGGTATGAGTATGCGTGCAGATCGTGCGCTGCCCAAGTTTCGACAGCACCACGGCGGTTGGCGTGGAAGTAGACATCTCCAAAGTAGGCAGAAGCCCGCCTGTACTGGGCGCCATAAGACTCTGGGTAGGTGTAGTTGCCAAGCTCTGCCACTGAAGGGACCCAGTATGCTGGTTCGTTGGGGTATGCCTTGAGCGTTTCTGCTACCCACCATTCCGGCAGAGGGTTGCTCAGACTGGTGTTGGCGATAAACGAGGCAAAGTCTTCCTCGCTACTAACAGGTTGAGGCGCGAAGGAGTTGCCTTCATCGGAATTGGCACCGTCAATGATTGGAACTTTGACGAAGGCACCCTCCTGAAGCTGGATGCTGCCCCATCTCTGGATGAAATCTCCATCAACGATCGGACTCCAACCGCTCTGCAAAGATGTCGAGTTGAAGATGTTCTGGATTGTTTGGACTGGCACCTTACGAAGGCAGTCGAGTCGGTCAAGTGAGGTAGTGCAGTTCGTCCTGTTGAGCAAATCGTTGAACCGTGGCTGGTAGTCGATGTTCGTCTTGTAACTGTTGTAGTTCACAGGATTTCCCGATTCCATGATACCAGCGCGGAAGATACCATCGTCTCGTCCATTATACGCTGTGAGATGCCATCCCACCGAGCCCGCTCCGGCAGATTCTCCCCAGATAGTCACCTTCTTTGGGTCTCCACCGAATGCAGCAATGTTCTCGTTGATCCAGTGCAGAGCAAGCCGCTGGTCACGCAGACCTATGTTGGTGTTGCCGCTTGCGCTGACTTCCTGTGACTGCAAGAATCCCCAAGGTCCGAGGCGGTAGGCAATTGATGCGCCAATGATGGGCTTGCCAATTTTGACGCTGTTCTCGACGATGAACGAGAGATTGTAGCGCTCATCTCTTGTTGAACCTTGGTAAAGTCCTCCACCGTGGATCCACACTCCAATTGGCAACGATGCATTCTCATACCCGGACGGGCGGACGATGTTCAGATACAGGCAATCGTCAGACTGGGGGTAGCCGATTTGGTCGCCCTAGAAGATCAAATCAGCGCTGGTACTCAACTCAAGCCTTTGAGATGCTCACTCCGTATCCGTAACACGCTGGCGCATACTCAATCGCCTGAAGCACACCGTCAAAGCTCGTGTTGATGGATCGCGGGTTGCGGAATCTCAGATCCTCTACCGGCGGCTGTGCGAATGGTATACCAAGGAAGTAATCCTCATTGTAGGTAGCTGAGTGCAATCCTTCGATGGTACCATTCTTGACTGTGACCTTGGGCGAACCACCGTAACCGGGAGCTGGGTTTGGAGCTGTAGCAACCAGGCCCAGAAGACCAGCGCCAGCAATGAAAGACTTCATGTTGCAGAGGAGCTGTTGAAAGACAAGAAGTGGCTGTCGAAGGATCCAGGAACATAAACAAAACACGAAATAGACAAGCTTTATACAAACGTCACACCCCATCGCGCGGTGCAACACTCCGCCGAAGTCAAGGTGCTAGATAGGGACGTTGCGCGCTAAGGTGGCACGAGCATGCGAGTCGTTGTCGATGGCGTCTTGCCGAGACCTCGATTGCAAGGTGAGTGCTCATTCGGTTACAAATAATTCACGTGCCGCATCGTCACTGGAGCGGCAGTTGGTGTTCGTTCAGCCTCCGTTGCACAAAACTCGCACGCGGAGTCGTCCATGCAGGAACTGAGGGGGTGGATGTGTGGAGAGGACAAGGTTTCGGATTGGCTGCCGACGATCGGGTTCTTTTCGGTGTCGGTTTGGCAAAAGGCTATCTCCGAGTTGATGGCCCGCGGCCAAGTCGTGATGTTGTCCTCATCGTCTTGGCTAGTCAATTTAGCCGTTAGATCAAGCCCCGTGACGAGGACATCCTTTCGTTTGGGGGCTGCGCCGACGTCGACATTACCCACAAAAACTTCCACGAGAGGAGAAGTAGCGCGGGAACCAGAAAGCATCCCAGTACAAACGTAGTAAGGAACAAGAACTCCAAGGGACGGAACAAGAAGCCAGATCCAGACCTCGTACCGCTAGGTCGTCCTTTGCTGGTGCGTTTGCCAAGTCTTGGTATATGCTTCATGTCGAATTTGGAAGCGCCTCCGAGACAGAACTTGGAAGAATGTCCCTCAACAGTGTAGGCGTATAGCACTTCTCGTTGCAACTGTAAAGAGGTCAATCAATGCCACGTCCCGTTTATTTCCTGCGCTTACATTGATCATTAGGTCGTCGAAAGTTGGTGACAGTCTTTGTGCAAACACCAGCGCTCTTGCAAGCCAGCAAAATCGTCGAAATGTTGCTACGTCCAACATGGCTGGAATACCTGCTCCAAGAGCATCGCTCAGCCTGGGTCCATTGATTGTTCGACTTGCAGCTGCAATAAATCCGGCCGAGAGGTTCACTGGAGGGACGTCCTTCAATGCCACAATGAAGTTGTGGCACAAGATCTTGGAAGTCTCGTTAGGTATGCATTCGTACACGCACATGGCTTCCATGACATGTCGAGCTTCCGCAGCAGTGGCAAAGTAGTCGATCGGTACCCCGAGCACATACGCTATGTATCTGAAGAGAGCAACATAGTCCACAATCTCGTCTGGTTTGGGAATCAGGCCCATCGCTGGTAACTCGATCCACATGGGATTGCAAGCAAAAAGCGCAATAGTATGGATGTCGTCGCAGGTATTGATTGGAAGGCCATACTGGTCGCTGTAAAAATAGCACGAATCTGATTCACGCAGTTTTTGGATGCGCTGCCGCACGCTGGCATGAAGAAGTCGAATGCGAATCAAGGATGTGTGGCCATCACCATCAGGCTTCAAGTCCTGCAAAGACCGAGTGACCTGAAGAAGTCCTTGGAAGGTTTCGAGAGCTCTGCGAAGCACAACATTGGCCGAGAAGCCTCCAGTGCGAACTAGTACTTCTGCGATCCCAGGTGTGGCAGCATTACCGCCCATAAAGCCTTGGAGAGCAAATCCAATCAGGTTCGCGAAGCCATAACGCCAGAATACCTTCTGTCCGCGCTCAAGTTGTGCCCAATCGACCCAGTCTGGGACATGGTACACCTCATCCCACAGTCTGCGTAAGGTTGGATGGATCTCATGATGCTCTTGAAGGAGGGCGTAGAGGTCGAGCCTGGTACCATTGATCGTATCCTTGGAAAGACCTTGTAGCTTAACCAGTGCGGCATCAGCAACTGCATCGCATCTCTGCTTCAGACTGTCGATATCGGCCTGGGAGAGATGTGCTTCACCCAGTCGAAAGCCGGAGTAAGGCGAGGTTGGTGGCGGGCTGCCGTTCCTTGGGCGGTCTTCCATCTGCTATCACCAAATTCTTCCCACTGACATCACCCATACCACTCGGTTTGAAGACGTCCTGCTCCAGCGGATTTCGCAGTCGTATTTGCAGCTGACACGAGATCCCACAGACACGAAGTTCCATCGGACTTGCCCCGCGTGGGCTGGCCGAAGTTTGTTTGCACTTCATCGACTCAGAAGGCAGTCGAGACGCAACCCAAGCGCTGCAAAATGCGACGGCGTTCATTGACAGGGCTTTTTTGTTGCAAGGCTTGATGGATCATGAGACGCGGGAGAAGAAAAGAGATGATGGGGCCAAAAGGCGTCCTGGCAACTCACGTGGCGTAATCGCTGGCTCTCCACCAGGATATTCCGGACACCCGCATATCGCCATGCATCACGGAAGTAACCACTGAACCCCCGAATGCAGTGTGTTGCTCATGACATTGAATGAGCCAAGTGAAGGGAAAAGAAAGAGGTTGAGAGTGAAGAAATGTGGCGACCATCATCAGCGCATTCTGAAATGTACGCAGTGACTTACTCACGAATACCGCAAAACAAGCTATTCCCCGCTAGCGGCTGATCTGCGAAAGCTTGCTATTCTTGTTCAGCATCCACGAGGGAGGCTGGGCACAAGGACGTCACTCGGGCTGAGAAATGCTGTGCTTCACTCTTGCTGCACATGTTTTGGTGAAGGCGACGCGGCCATCAAAGGGAGCGCGACAGCCTTAAAATTTCTCTTCCTTCTTTCTATCTTTGATTCTTCTTACATACACCGATTTGCTACCTACAAGAAGAAAAGCCAAGCTATCTGTAGTACTCGCATCACGATCAGCGAGAAGTACACGACTTGCACGACTTTAAAGCAACTCCTCGAATCACAAGATGTCTTTCAGAAAAGCCCTTTTGGGCCTCGCTACGGCGACGACAGCTCTCGCCCAATCCGCCACCATCACAATCGAAGCGTCCCACGGCGGTGCAGGAAACGGCCTAACCAATACAACAATCACCATCCCACTCAACGCCCGTGTCACCAACACTGCCCTCCAGTCCGTGAGTACGCTCTACCTGACCGGCTCCGAAGGCGTCGACCTCGCCAGCATAACTTGCACTCCATACACCTACAACAACAGCACAGGACCGGCGTCATTCACCAGCACACGACCAAGTCTATTATCGACAAATACCGTCCAAGTGGGCTCGCTGCTGTGCACGACGAGTGACAGCTCTAGTACGACCAGCACGGGAAGTTCAATCACTTCGACGGGTTCTGTCACCAGCAGTGCGACCAGCTCAACGTCTGCGAGTTTGACGCCTCCGACGATGGCGAATGGCACATTGGTCACTGTCAGCAGCCCGGTGACACCGTCGACTGCGACATCTGTGTTTGTGACGACAATGACGGGGCCTTCCGGTACGTCGCAATCGACTATCACGAGCACTGCGGTGCTGGCAGCTACGACCACGAGTGGTCAGAGTACTTCTGCGGCGGGTGCAGAAGGTTCAGCGACTTCTTCGGCGGCGCCGGCTTTGAACACTGATTCTGCTGGGTCAAGAGTCCTCGCAGGCAAAGGCCTGTTCGTTGCAGGTCTGGGACTTATGGCGATGCTTTGATCGTCGGCGGGATTTTCTGAGACGAGACGACGACTGTAATGATTCATCACGATTATGACTAGGGGGGACTTGAATGGCGGGACAACAGCACCTGTGAGGTGAAAGCTAGCCGTACCAAACGCGGTAACATCGCCACAACTTCCCTGTGCGATGGACATCGAATCGAATAAAAAGAGGCTCTCTCATTCTCCAAACTTAACGTCATAACGCAGCGAGGCTTGAAGATGTTCCAGCTTTCAAGATTTCGAGTGATGTCGAAGACGTCGGGACTGAAACACATTCCAGATTCTAAACCTATGGAGGCCCTAGCAGGAGACTTGTTGAATAGCACTCCGTGCAGAGTCTGAACAATTCATCAAGAACAGCCCGGACCGATCTCTACCTATATCCTGTACACTCCCCCGACCTGCTCTCAACTACACCATCCTTCGTGGGTAATGTTCAATCCCTTAATCGAGGCACTGCACTTCGTAGCTGGTCTGAGCACCACTGTTCGCGATGTACCAGTCTGCCCCAGTGTTGGACGGCAGATAAACGCCTCCGTATTGAGTGAATAGCGGCACCCAATAAACTAGAGTCAAGATCGATTAGCAACGCCCAAAATATCGTTTGACACGCATGTTGAAGATTGACCCACCGACTCCTCTCTCGCTGTCTGGACAATTGATTGGGACCGAGTAGCCGACTTCCTCGGAGAAGGTCTGCGAGTAGGTCGTCGAGATTCCCACCGAAGCCGTAAATATATCAAAGAGGTTGGCCGAAAGGCCGGCGCTCGCCTCGACGCTCTTGGTGGTAGAGCGAGCGTCCATGACGGTATATGTGCTCCCGTTTGGACTTGGGCCGAAGACGTTGATCTTGACCCCCGGCGCGTTGACATTGTCGGCCGTGAGAATGTTCTCCCATTCGTTGTCCTATCGCCTGTCAGCGCACCTATCTAGAAGAGCGGCAGCACTAGAGGCACTTACAGTACTTGGAGGTGTCCCGTCATCCTTTGTTAGGTGTCTTGAATGCCTTCTCGCTCGTGGTAAAGTCGTCGCTACACTACTAGACGTGCTAGTAGCTGCTTTAGTACGAACGGCGTCGTTCTGTTTGCAGTTGGGGTTTGCGATAACGTCCACAGATAGTATGTCGGTATAGGACACTGGCACATCGGGTCCTGGTCCACAGATTCCACCAGGCGATCCAGCGTCGCTCTCGCAGTTGGAGGCCACTGAAGTATACCACAACAAGACTTCCTGTGCGGTGATATTTGTCCCCACTGGTACGCCTTCCCGTGGGCAGAACGATATAAGACAGTTCAGTTCATTGCTTGAGTCGAACTAATTGATTGTATTGTCAGCGTCACTGCAAATTTCGTGAAATGTGCGCATAACCGCTCTCGTCCAATTGGAAAGTTCTCGAAGACATGGACAGATCCACAAGGCTATGCAGACTTACTGGAAAGCAGGCGGGAGCCTCTCCCTCCAGTACGTACGATCTAGTTTCTGCGTCACCAGCGAAGTAGGTGTTTGCGATTTCGGTGCCTGCACAGTAATGTTAGGCTGGACGACATCGTATATCTCTTGGGCTATGCGTACAGGCACTCCAAGACGGTGCATCTAGGCCATTGCACGTGCAGGTATAGTCCGGCTCAGGTGCAGCCAGAGTTGCAGTCGGCGGTTCTGCAAGCGTGTTGGAGGTGAAGGCTAGAAGAGCAGCCGCGGTGATGAGTGTGAGGGACATGCTGTGCTGTTTCACCCGTAATGTGGAGATATAGCAGATGAAGAGGGAAGCCGGTCCGCGATTGTGATGCTGAACGTGCTTGATAGCGAAAGTTGGCTCAGACGGGTCTGCCCTCTGCTTTATGTGCACTCTGCTGTCTCTTCCGCAAATGCTCGACTTCGGGAATTCTACCATGATCATTCGTTCTCTGTGATGTTGGGGAGACACGCAAGAAAGCTCTACGCTTTCTTCGCATCGGTCATATGCGTATGTGCAAAGCGGAATAGTGTTAAGATCCTGCTCGTAAACCCTTAGTGCAAGGTTCGAGGTGGTCATTCGCTGGACTCATCTGAGTGGTAAGCACATCGTCATTGAGAAAGTCGTTCACTCATCGCTGTTGCCGATGGGTGGGCTGGGTCCTTCCATTGGCTTGCTTGGAAAAGTTCCAACAGGAAAGACCACACGCCTTGTCCTGGTGTCGCCAAATGGAAGTCGGATTGACAGCATCGTGGGACCAACGTCATCCATGAACCGTTTGTTGAGATGCGCTACCGCGGACTCCAGCAAGACATGAACCCAAAATGAGAGGGTCTCGTTGTTGTTGTTGCTGAGCGTCTACAAGCGCATCTTCAAATCTGTCAAACCAGGCTGAGGGCTTCAAAATGATATTCAACGAACGGCAAGAAACATCTGCATCGTCACTCGCCAGCGAACTCGTTGTCCGGTCTTGCAGCGTCGTTACCAATGGAATCAGCAGTGTCTTCCTATCGACCGACTCATCGTCATTGGCAAGCGACCGACTGGGCTCCGCGGCCTTGCCTCGTGTCATCTATGCAGTGAAGACTTCGGCTATGGGGCGTTGAGTAGAATCTTAAGAGACTAGTCCTGCTATTAGCATAAGCCCTTACATATATCTCGTAGATCGTACAATCCTGAGGAAAAGGTAGAGAGAGGACGTCAGTGTTGGAGGTCATCAGGCTATGATCTTAGCTTTGCGCGCTACGGCCTTCCCCCGAGCTGTAGACTCTTGTGGAATACCACTTTTGTGTTGCCGTTTGACGTGGCATGTGGAGCCTTTGCATTCCACGGACAGCACCGTAGTGTACCCTTGAAGCTACGTTTAGCCTTCACCTCTTGTCAAAGACCAGCCTATCAAGGTCAAGTGCTGGATGTGGTACGAGTTCCGCAAAGCTGCCGTAGCCTTGTGAGACGAAGAAGATGTGGTTCTACATCACATCTTTCTTTGCCGGACTTCTGAGACTTCATGTCAGATATTTGAGGTTGCAAGAGCAGCCTCTTTTTCGTAAGCGGCTTCAAATGTCCGACCAGTTTCCATCTAAGATGCTGTCAAACCATCATGCGACTATCCGGGCTGCTTTCTGTAGTATCGGAAACCCAACTGCAATCCCTGACGATGAACCTGTTCATCTTCACGCCCACTGTTTCGGGACAAGATTTGTAAGACGTCCTCGCATACCTAGTCATTATTAGAGCGAGCTGACAAGTCTTATCTAGCGCAAGTTATGGCGCGTAAGTAGTTCTAGAGTTTGAACTTGTTGGACACTGGAGGAGCCGTAACTAATGCATCGCGGCCATACCATGCTCGTATCCATGTCCAGCATTTACAAATCAAAGGCATGGAAGCGTAGCATTCTTCATTGACAAACGGGTTTGGGGACGGTACCAGGATCTATACCAAGAGAACACGCCAATGATGATCGTAAGCTCGAGGGACCCGCCCAAAGTCTGTAAGTCGGGATTAGACAGAAGCAATTCGCACGAGGGCATGCTGGCCGAATGTTCCAAGGATATGGACTGGAAAACTTCCGCATTTAATGAAGTGAAGAAAGATGCCCATACTGATCCCAGAAGGGCAGAACACAGCGATACGAATTTCCTTGACCCTATTCTCTTCCCCGTTGTCCAGAGTTAGTCGACACAGGATGAGATTCTCCTGCCTGAATCCTCCTTCTTCGCAATCGACGTCTCCTACTTAAGCTTCACCTCCTGCTTTTGCAAATTCACCATTTCCTCCTGCGCCCCACAGTAAGGACACCAGCAATGCTTCTTCTGGCGCACCGAGACACTCCACATCACAAACGTCTCGTCATAGCGCGGACACAAGTAAGAGATTTCGGCCGTCTGCAAGGACAGAATGCTCCATGTATATCCACCGGTCGTCGGCGGCGTAGCACGCAAGAGATCTCTCCTGAACTCCGGCACGGTATTCAGCACACCATGCAGCTTGTGATACCATATGCGAGAGTCGCTGTCGACACTGGCGCCTACACCAAACAGCTCGGTGGCATGGTTTTGGCATACCTCCACGACCTTGTTCTTGAGCGCGAGCCGGGTTTCTGGGCACTCGGTGTAGATCTCTCGGACGGCGTCCGCAAAGCCAGGGCTCCCACGCTCCACCTCTGCCCTTTTGGAGAATTTTGTGACTGCAAGTTCCTCCAGCTCCGCTAGCTCCAGCTTGACGGCCACAGCGTGGACGTAGACATTGAACAGGATCGGATATGCGTCTTCAGCTTTTTCAAACTCTGCCAGATCGTAGTCTTCGTCATCGTAATCGCCTTTGTACATGAAGCAAAGCGCGGCGTGTACAGCGCTCACGACTTGGCCGTCGATCGGTGGGGATTTAGGAGACTGCTCATGAGGGTCAGCAAAAGTGACTTGTGCGGCTTTGTGGAATTTACCTTGCGACTGGCTTTGAAGTGGCGCCGGAAGAATAGCGAGGGTATGAGAACTCTGCGGTGTACCGGCCAAATACGGTCGCCGCATATCACGAACATATCAGTCGGCAGGCATTGATTCTGAGCGTTGGAGCACGCGGTTGTGCCGGTGCCGCTCCCGCCGTTGCCATCGTCGTCGCCCCGCTTCCCTCTGGTCATGGCGATGGCGAAGATCAGTGGAAGATTGATGGTCCGTGGCGGCTCGAAAAGTGTTGCAGTGCGGCTTTGTACAAACTTCGGGACGACGAAAGGCGACATTGTTTGTAGGTTCTCGCGCTAACGAAGCTAGCGCGAAAGCATGTATTCAAACGGAAGGAACGCAAACTTTCACATGCGATACCGAAACCCAGGCATCTTCCAATCCGTCAACTCGTCCTCTCCCTCCTCGTTCGTAGCTGCCGAAGTATCAGCTATACTATCGGCGTCCACTGCACCCTCGACTCTATCTCTCCTTCTATTCTCAAACATCAGATATGCCCTCAAGCCCATAGCTGTCACCACAACCAATGCATAGCAGATCATGATGGCTCTGAAAGCAGTGGGATAATGTGGCTCCTCACTTGTCTTGAAGAACTGTGGGCCAGAGATGTTACCAGCACAATATGCGAGGAAGAGGATCGCGGTCATGGTCATCTTCTTGGTCGAACCCCTGTAGTTCACACCGACGAGCGACATCGATAACGGCAAGGCAGCATAACTTGTCGACAAAAGGTAGTATCCGAACAGCTTGACTCCTTGAGATGGCCCCTCTGCATAGATGATGGCTGAGCCGGCCAAGGGACAAAGCACTGAAGCGCAGATCAGGAACAAGGTAATGTTTGGCCATTTGCCAGCTGCTTTCCCAGTTCCGAGAATTGAGATGATTGAGACAAACGAGGCCGGCAAAGTGACTAGTGTCGTCTGCAGGCTGGTAAAGCCAAATCCTTTGAGGATCAAGTTGCCAAAATTCTGCGTGCCACCATTGGGAATTTGCGTGAGGAGCGAGATGGCGAAGAAAAAGATCGTCTTCGGATCCATCAGACATTCCAGTGTTTGCGCCGGCTTCCAATCGTGCTTGGCCTTTCCTGTTCCTGCAAGGATCACACGCTGCTCTGCACATGCCTTCTCCTCTGCAGTCAGGAAGGAAGCAGTTGCTATCGAGTCCGGGAGCATGAACAGGAGAACGAAACCCAGCAGAAAAGTCGCACATCCGAGGACGATGAACAGCCACTGCCATGGTTCCAATGGATGTTTCACATGGCCGAGTCCATATGCCAGAAAGGAAGTGAAGACACCACCCAGAGAGTTGCCAGCGAACCAGATCCCGACTCTCGTCGGTACCTCGCTTCGTGTGTACCACATGGAAGTAATGTAGAGGAACGCAGGCGAGATTGTCGCTTCAGCTACGCCAAGCAAGAAACGTACGGTGATCAGACCGCCATAGTTTGTGCATGCTGCGGTAAGAGCGACCACAGCACCCCAGAAGAAAGTATTCGCTGCGACGTACTTGCCAACTGGAAGTCTTTGAATTAAGATCGATGTTGGGTACTCCCAGAAGAGATAGCCGACTATAACAATCAGTCGCCTGACAGAACATCGGCCTCAAGTACACTTACAGTAGAAGATTGAGGAGACCCAGCTATATTGCGAGCCTTTGAGGTTCTGTTCCAAGTCAGCTTTCGTGGACGTAAATTGATTCATTTCTGCTTTCGCTCACCGTAGAATCCTTCAACCCAAACACAGAAGCACTCGAAAGAATCGTCTTGTCCATGAAATTGAAATTGTACGTCACAAAAAGCAGTGGCAGAATCCAGAAATCGATCTTCCGTACGACTCGTTTCGCAAAGGCTGAGTTGAGGGCATCTTGCGAATTTTCGAGGTTGTCGTCGCCGTCGTTTACGGACCCACTAGTGGCAACTCGCGCGTACATCTTGTCGTCAAGGCCATTCGTATCGTTGGCGTCCAACGATGATGTTGTTTCGTCCTTCATGTTAAGGTGAGGTCTGTCGAATTTGGAAGGGTCGCACGGAGGCAGGGACAGGGCATGCTCGGCATTTAACGGAGCAAGTGCTTCGCTCGAGGTTGGTAAGCTTGAGATCTGCCAAGCCGCATCCTTGAGATAGGCCAGATTGCCCGGGCCGACGTGCATGGAGGGACAGAAAACATTGATCAAAGATACGCATTCGAAAATAAAAGTGAGATATCAAACTTGCCTTTGCGAGGAGGTTGGAAATTCAAGATCGTAGTTTGACATCTTCAGACTGTCAACTTTATTCAATATCTCTATGTGCAGAGATCTATCTCTCCAACTCAGGCTTTCGACTGTCCCAGGACAGAGACCTGTCACTTGCTCGCTCAAGCATCCTCTATGGCTTGGCAGTTGGGGTAACCAGGGCCAGGGAGCCGTTGGTGCTGACGCACTTGACGCCCTATGACTGGAGTTAGGCTCGCTTCAACAGTATCTGCGGCTCGGGGAGAAACAAACCTCTGGGTACTCGTGAGCTGGATTGCAAGCGTATCCAAAGGTGGTTGGCGCAGCATATCCTCCTGCGCTGCTGTTAGAGTAGGCCGCAGAGGTCGGCGTAGCCGTAGTGCAAGGAGTCGAAGTCGACAGAGTGGTCGGCTTGTATTCTGGCTTTGGCGCCGACGAGGTTGGCTTGTACTCCGGCTGTGGGACAGACGAGCTGGGCTTATATTCTGGCTTGTGCTCGTACACTGGGGTGCTGACTGGAGGCGCTGGCTGTTGGTCGTTAGCAAGAGACCTCCGTTCAGAATGCAGAAAACGACGTACTGGAGGTGGAGGAGCATGGTAAGCCGGTGGCCTATGTCAGATAGCGAACGTCAGCAAGTTGCCAAGCACGCAAAAAACATTAGGTTCAGATCTCACGCTGGTGGTGGCGGCGGTCTGTGAATGTCATTAGCATCTTATTTTCAGCCAGCAAACGGACTGTAACACATACGGAGGAGGAGCGTGGTAGACCGGAGGACTGTTTCCATGCACTTGTGGTCAGCAATCTGCCATTTGTATAGGTTCGCGATGCTGAGCCTTACGCGGGTGGTGGGGGAGGTCTAGAAGGCACAATGTTAGCCTTACGTACTCCATGCAAAGTGGGAAGCCTGCTTACGGAGGTGGAGGGGCATGATAGACAGGCGGGGCTGGAGGTCTTTTAAATGAGATGGTATCAGCGTGTGGCTCTTCGATCGTTCTTTCAAGGGGTGAGAAGCTTACGAAGGTGGTGGCGGCGGCTATGCAACAGGTTAGCGCGTTTATTAAACCGAGATGTGGTTCTGTACTAACTGGGGCTTGGTAGACAGGAGGTGCCGCTGGAGCTGGGGCCTGCGGACGTTAGTCTGAGAGCAAATTCTGTAGCATTATTGCGACAAACCGGGGGTTGGTAAACGGGAGGCGCTGGGGGCTTCTGAAGTCAGCTTTCCCTTTCTTGATGACGCCTTTTAATCGTTATTCATACCGCTGGTGGTGGTGGAGGAGGTGGAGGGGGTGGCGGTCTTGATTTTCATCAGCCAAAACGTGGTCCTTCCTTTTCAAGCTGCCATATAGAATCACTCACGGAGCACCGCACTGGCTGCTGGTGTGCAGCGAGACCTGGACACACTTCTTCTGGTCCTTGACAGGGACAGTGTAGATGTTCCACTCGCCGTTGTCGTTCACAGGGCAAGCCCAAAACTCAGGGCTACCGTTGTACTGGGCGCTGCCATTGGGGCCGATGGAGAAGCCGTAGGTTGGAGCGGCACCCTCATCACACTGCCACTGAGTGGTTGGTGGGGTCAGGATGCAGCCACGGCCGTTCTTGTCGTAGAGACCGCCATCCTTGAGACAGTAGGTAGCTGGCGGGTAGCCGCCGCCCACACGGTTTTGTCCGTCCTGTATCTTTCAGCTTTGTTCGTTCAAGAGTGACAGCGACGTTGTTACATACGAAGATCTGGCCGAGGGTGCCAGTAACGCCGCCAGATGCAGAAATCTGGAAGCAGCACTCCTCGCCGTGTCTTGGGATGATGGAGCCAGAGACGGCTGCTGCGAGAGCAGCGATAAGAGCTGCACGGGAAGACATGGTGAAAACGAGTGTGCGGTGGAATGAAGGAGAGAAGAAGGAAGGGGAGAGCAGAGGAGCAGCTGTGGCCCTAAGTATCTTGCTGTATCCTCTCCAGGTGGAGCTTTGGAGAATCGATGAGCATGAGGTCTCCAATTTAGGACATTCTCCTCATCTGGGTCTCCAGGAACTGCGGTTTCTTGAATGTGGTTCTGGGTACCTTACCTGTTTTTGAATCCCCAACAGTATTGGCAGAGCAAATGTTCCCGTCAACGAATGTGGATATCAATCTATCAGTAGCCATGGGCGGCCATTGTGGGTAGCCCTGTCCCAAGTCTCCATAGTTGAAGTCTATGTTCAGCGTGAAATGAGCGAAGAGCAGTAGTCCCAAAGCCAGAGGATCGCTAAAAGTGCTGCCCTTGAATTGTTGTCTCAATAATCTGGAAATGCCCTGGTATCGCGGCGAGGGGCTTTCGCTGGAGGTGTTCTCGCTCGCACTATCAATGCGCTTTGACTTAGCGCTGGTGACTACCATCTATGCGGCCGGATAGTTCTACACCGTTCAGTGGTCCTGGTGAGACTGAGATGCTACATGGCATGGATTCCATGGCCAATGCATCTTCATGGTGCGCCAGAAACAAACGAGTGATGTCCTTTTGGCAGAGTGACCGCGCCGTGGTTACATTGCTCGGCTGCCAAAGGCCCCTCAGCGCCAAGGCACAACGGGTGTCGTCTCGGTATGTTGAACAGTGTCACGGCTGTGCTGAACCGGTCGAAGTGGGCTCGGCCTTGAGGTCATGGAGTGAGGTTGTGTAAAGTTTTGACTCCGTTTATTCCGGATGTCCCTCCTGCTTGCGTGTAGTAAGCGATTACCACTCGCGCTGAGAGGTCGGGCTCCCCTCAATCGAAGCATAAACACGTAACTGATGCATTCCCAGACTTTGGCGGATACATCTATCTCCATAAGACCAAAGTCACAGCGCGATGGTGACGGAAAGATGGATGTTGTTGACGAAGCGATGTCGTCGTTCGACCTGGCGCCGCTTGGCCCGTGCACCAGGCCGCTTAATCAGCGAGCGTTTCTCATTTCGTGGGTGCCGACCGCCCTCTTCTTCTGGTCTTTTCTCTCGACAACACCGAGTGAGAAGAACGATCCATCGCATCAGATATGTCCGTGTACTCCTTTAATTCGTCACTCCAGATCTGTAACGAGAGCAGTTACTGCGAGTCACGATGTGAAAACGGGTCAAATCGCACAGTTCCGCAGAGAGTCCAATTGTTATACCACCATTCCACAGCCTGTGCGCTCGACGTTGTTTCAGTGGCTTTCGACAAGACGTTGCTGCATTGGGCCTTGTTGCGACAGAAATTCCTCCGTCTCACCGGGGCAGCAATAGACCGAAGATGGAGACATCTGCTTCAAAGGTTTGATTTCCTGCCGATCAGACCCTCAATCCTCCTCTTTTGCAACCTTACCATGTCATTCTTAGCCCAACTCCTCACCCCCTTGTACGCTCGTTATGCACGTTCCTTGCAGTAGCTGCTCACGGCTGAATAGGCTAAATGGGATCTTTGACAGTGTTTCGTCACTGAAAATGATGGACAGTCGTATTTGTAGCCAAGTCTGACGCCGTGGGCTACTCAAGACTGCTCACTTCTACTTCCTCGACATTGGCACCATGAAACTTTGGCAAGCGGTTCTGGCCGCCTTGAGTACGCCTATTACTTGTCTTGCGCAGTACAGCAACGGTAGTACCAGCTACTTCGCCCCAAATTCGACGGGCTTTCGAATACAACATGGCTTCGAGACAGTCCTTGTGCAGCCCTTTGGCTATGACGGGTTCAGAGTTCGCGCATGGCCTTTTCGGCCACCAAATGGAAACGAGATCAGCTTCTTATACGACCCGCCTTTAGAAGGCCCCACAAACATTACATCTGGCATGCAGTACGATACAAAGGTCAATGGGACTCAATTCGCGGCCATTCGCAATGGGAACACGATTGCCAAGACGTTCAGCCCAAATGGCAACAACCATACGCTTGTCAGGCTCGCTTTCTATCGGCTTGAAGATGACGGGAGTGAGACGCTCCTCACCAATGAGTATGCGCCTCTGAAGGCTTTGAACCCAAGATACTACGAATGGAATGGTCCTGGCTACGAATTTCATGCGGCATTTTCATTCAGTACCACTCCCGACGAGCAGATATATGGCACAGGTGAGGTCTACAACTCGGCCTATGCTAACGCACCAACACTGACACCAGTCGATCAGGCACCCAGCAAGACCACATGATCAACAAGAAAGGCAATGTTATTGATCTCATCAATTTCAACGTAAGCTGATTCACAACCTACAGAAGAAGCGTAACTAACGACAGACTTGACGGTGTAGACTCATATTCCCACTCCAGTCTTCATGAGCAGTAAAGGCTATGGCTTCGTCTGGAACTCCCCTGCTGAGGGCGAGATGGAGTTTGGCCAATTGCGAAATCGCTTCACATCTAAGTCGACGAAACTTGTTGACTACGCCATTGTTTCAGCACCTTCTGGAGACTACGACACCTTACAGCGTCGACTGTCAGCAATGACTGGAAGGGCGCCTACACCTCCAGATTTTTCACTAGGCTACCTGCACAGCAAGCTTCGATACGAGAATCAATCCGAGTTCATTCAACTTGCACAGAACTTCCACGACTACAATATTCCTGTCTCAATGCTAGTAATCGACTATCTCTCTTGGGCCTATCAAGGTGACTGGGCACTGCAGCACGATCTCTGGCCAAACGTCACATACATGTCGCAGAAGATCAAGGAGCTGACAGGTGCTGAGATCATGGCTTCTCTGTGGCCTAGCGTGGAAGATGCCAGCTCGAACTACGAAACGATGCAGATCGCCGGCTTTCTCTCGGCAACCCGGTCTGGGTCAGGGATCACAGACAGCTTCAATGGCAGCTACATCCGTAACGTGGATAGCACCAATCCACAGGCTCGAGACTTCTTATGGAATACTCTCAAGCGCAACTACTACGATCAAGGTATCAAGAACTTCTGGATCGACCAAGCCGACGGTGGCAATTTGGGCGAAGCTTACAACAATAATGGGCAATCTGATTTCATCACGTCGCTACCATACCCATTTGCGGATGTTCTTTACTATGCAGGAACTCAAATGAGCGTTGGCAAGTACTATCCTTGGGCACATCAACTTGCAATCGAAGACGGCTTGCGCAATGCCACAGGCACAAACATGGGCGAGCCCTGTGACTACCTCTCCCTCAGCCGCTCTGGATACATCGGCAGTCAGAGATATTGCTCTATGATCTGGTCGGGCGACACCACCTCTGTTTGGGAGACACTTTCCGCCCAGGTAGCAAGTGGATTGTCAGCAGCTGCAACAAGCTGGAGCTGGTGGACGGTCGACATCGGAGGCTTTCAAACAGATCCAACCGTGCCATGGAGTGGCAACATCGACGAGGAACCCTACCGAGAGCTCTACGTTCGCTGGCTGCAGTGGGGTACTTTCCTGCCTTTCATGAGGAATCACGGCTCTCGAGCTTGCAACTTTCAGAATGCATACACATGCAACAACGAGCCTTGGACATACGGCGAAAAGAATCTTCCCATCATCAAGTCTTACATCAATCTTCGATACCAGCTTCACGACTATCTTCAGGCCATCTTCAACCAATTCCACCTGACCGGCAGAATGATCATGAGACCACTGTATATGGACTTCAGCTTGACGGATGCGAATGTCTCGAACATGACTCGTTTCAACACAAATGTCACAACACAACAATACATGTTTGGCCCTAGGCTACTGGTCACGCCAGTGACTCTGCCGAATGTGACTGAGTGGACTGTATATCTACCACAGACTGGAGCTGCGAACGGGACGAAACCTTGGACGTATTGGTGGGATAATGTCACGTATGCAGGCGGCCAGAGCGTGACCGTGCCTGCGCCTTTGGAGCATATTCCTCTATTCCATCTAGGAACTAGGGGCGATGTCATGTCGGGTAACGTGTTCTGAGGAGGATGTTGTTAGGCAAGAATATAGTATCAATGTGTAGGAGATCACCAGGAACCGACTGAAAGTGGAAAGAGCAACCAAATTCGCATGTGACTGCCAAGCCCCACCCGGCTTTCCATCCAACTTCAGCCGTTTGCTTGTTCCTCCAACTCACCACCACAATACCACAGCACCACAATACCACAACACCACCACCGTCGCCATCACAACCACAATACCAATATGGCGTACCTCGACCCCTGGAACGAAAAAGCGCAGTATGTGCTCCTCTCCATGAACAAAAGGCGTGTGCTCACCAGTAATAGCTACTTCAACAACCCCAAATTCTCCGACATCACCATTCATTTCAGTGGCCATGAAGTCAAAGCGCATAAGGTCAATCTAGCGTCGCACTCGGGCTACTTCCGCAAGATGTTCGAGAGCGAATCTCTAGATGGATCGGCGAAGGACATCTATCTGTACGAAGACGACATGGAAGCAGTGTTCGGGATGCTAGCGTACTTCTACGGTTGTTTGTATCACGGACAGGGAAGTCGCGGAGAGCCCAGTATCTCTGCATACACGACTGGAGTCGGCAGGATCTCCGGGAAGACACACAGAGAGCACCTCAAGTACCTGCTGAAGCTCCACGGGGTCGCAGACAAGTATGGAGTGTCGGCACTGATGCGCGTCATTAAGGACGAGTTTGAAAAAGGTGCACAGCAACTGCAAGCGCGATACACTCCCTTCGGAAACGAGCGTTGTGCGGATGAGCTCGTGTCCATCTTCGCTCAGCTCGCCACGCTCCTTTATCATTCGCTAGGAGGTGCGACAGACGAGCTACGACGGGTTCTTGCCGAAGCGGTTCATGAGCGCACACTCGAGCTCGTGGACAACGAGAAATACAGACGTATGGTGAGGGATGTACCAGAGTTCTCTGTTGATTTGCTGGAACTGGCCACCTCTGCTATGAAGAACCTGGGTCTGCAAGTGACCAAGACGGCTGTTGCGCAGAACGCTTCTTCTCGCCCGCAACCGGTACTTCGAAAAGTGTACTACAACAACTAATCGGCGGTGACCAGAAATTGAGGTGAAAGGGGCCATACAACGGGCAAGACGGTGGAGCTTGTCGACTCTTGTGCTTCAGTTCTTCGCAATACCTCATAGCCAACTCGTTATGAAAACCCCTTCCAAACAATGTTCCTGGCGCCGCTAGAATCACAGGTGAAATCGTAATCTTGACATGGATGGGCTTCTTGGCAAAACTGTGAATGACTGTCTAGCGCCGATTTGGAATGGCAGAGCTGGAAGTGAAGCTACAGCGGGATTTTCATGTGACTGCCAAGCCCACCTATGCTTTCCCTTTTGAAACTTCGCCGCAGCTCGCACTTCCTGCTACCACCAACAACACGACAACACACCAACAACATGAAGCCCGTCGAGGACGCAGGCCTCCTGGCGCAGTATGCAGACTCTACCGTTACGCACTTCACTTTGATCGTCTAACACTAACGTGCGACCAGCTACTTCATCACGGCCACATTCTCAGACGTCACCATCCACCTCGACAACGGTGATCAGGTCAAGGCGCATAAGGTCATACTCGCCGCGCACTCAGAGCACTTCCGCAAGATGTTCGAGAGTGTTTTCGTCAAGTCCTCCGCCCGCGACGTCTGTTTGCACGACGATGACGCAGAGGAACTGTACGGGCTACTGGCATGGTGCTACGGGCTGCTCTACGACGGCACCCACACCTTCCCCAAGCAGTCCTCTGCTGATTATCTCTTCAGCTACGGCGCTCGCGTCACCTACGATCCTTCTCGCCTCCAATACCTCGTCAACCTGCACACCACTGCCGACAAGTACATGGTGCTACAGTTGAAAGTGCATGCTATGGAGAACTTCGCCTTGGCGATGGAACAGTTGGTGAGGCGCTACGTGAGCCTGATGGCGGATGAAGAGGAAGAAGACCGCTTCATGTCGGTCCTCGAGGAGATTGCGACTCTTACGTACAACGGCCCAGAGCACCGCGTGAAAGAGCTTCGACCCGCTCTGGCCAATGGAGTCCACAGCCACGAGGTCAGACTTGTGGACAAAGAGCGCTTCAAGAAACTCATGGTGGAGCTGCCTGAGCTCTGCTTCGATATGCTGGCGTTGGGCACTGTGCCGTCTGCTCAGAGCGCCCAGGAGATGGGGCGTTGGATGTTTCCGGGGACAGCCACCCAGACTTTTCAAGGGAAACAAGGCGAGAGCTATCTGTTCGGTGGCCACAAAAGCTCTTCTTGAGCTTTAAGAATTGAGCCGACAGTAAAGCGAGGAGAAGAAAGCAAAGGCAAGCGATTGGACGACGAGAATCTTCGGTGTCTGTTATTACCATCACCTCTCTGCATACTCTTTGTTAAAAGCCCTCCCAATCACCAACTTCCTAACCTCACTCGTTCCCGCTCCGATCTCATAAAGCTTCGCATCCCTCATGATCCTGCCAGCAGCCATCTCATTCATGTACCCCATCCCACCCAGACACTGAATCGCATCCATGCCACACTCCGTTGCCCGTTCAGCAGCATACAGAATCGCGCCTGCGCAGTCCTGCGTTTTGATCTCGGGGCTCTCGAAGCTTTCGTCGATGGCGCGGGCGACGGAGTAGGTGAACGCGGAGCTGGCGCAGTATTTGGTGTACATGTCGGCGAGCTTGCCTTGGATGAACTGGTTGTGGGCGAGGGGGACACCGAACTGTTTGCGTTCGTGCACGTATGGGAGGGTAACGTCCAGGGCGGCCTTCATCAGTCCGAGAGGACCAGCGGACAAGACCAATCGTTCCAGGTCGAGACCTTCCATCAGTACTTTGACTCCGCGGTTCAATGGTCCAAGCATAGCTGATTCAGGCACGAAAACACTGTCGAAAAGGAGTTCTCCAGTATTCGACCCTCTCATGCCCAGCTTATCCAGCTTCCTCGCTACACTGAACCCAGGGGACGTGGTATCAACCAAAAAGGCAGTTATGCCCTTGCTTCCAGCATCTGGCTCGGTCTTCGCATACACAATGACGACATGAGCATCAGGACCGTTCGTGATCCACATCTTGTGCCCGTTCAATTGGTATCCTCCATCCACCTTCTTTGCCGTAGTCTTCATGCTGACAACATCACTGCCGGCAGTATGTTCTGACATTGCCAATGCCCCAATCTTCTCTCCAGACAGCAGTCCTGGCAACCACTGCGACTTCTGCTCATCCGTGCCGTGCAATTGGAACTGATTGACGCAAAGCTGGGAATGCGCAGCGTATGATAGTCCAATGCTACCAGATGCTCTGCTAAGCTCTTCTAGCACTATACAATGCGCCTGGTATCCCATCGCCAACCCGCCATAGTCCTCATCGGCTGTGATGCCCAGGAAGCCTGCCTCGCCCAGCTTTTGCCATAGCTCGTTTGGAAACTCATTTTTGTGGTCTGTTGCCTGAGCAAGATCGTGTGTGATCTCTCTTCGGCAGAACTCGATCGTCCGTTCTCGTAGCTCTTCTAGCTCGGCTGTTGATGGCGGCTCGAAGCCCTTGGGATGTTTCCTGGTGGAAGCATATCTTTGTGAGGTTATGAAAGGCCGGGGTATCGTTTGAACAGCTCGTCTTGAGGCCTGCAGCAACGCTGCTCTACAAGGTGATAACGGAGGCATTGTGTGGGAGAAGAAGAAGAAAAGAGTGAAGCGACTGCGGGTGAAGGTGGAGTTGAATGGGGTCGAAGCTGGGGAAAACGAACGCCTTGCTTGAGCCGCGTCTAGCCGAGCAACACATCAAGCTTCGCAGCAGCACATGAGCATCTCATTTCTGCTCGTATTAATCAGGAGTTCCCCGCCGCCCAGCGAGATGTGAGCATGGCCTCTCTCACTCCCTCCCGTGCCTTTGCGCGTGCGCTTCACCACGTCCCGAGACGAAGGATCCCTCCACCGCAATGCCTCTACCAACGAAGGACAGCAGCGACGTATACCAGCCCGAAACAAGCCTCCCAGCTGTCTGTGCTGCAGACGGCAGTAGATCAGAATAGCAATGGCTTTAAAGAGAACGCAATGGCGATGAAGGAGTACATGGACAAGCTCGATGCTCTACACAAGACGGCGGCCAAGGGAGGGCCTGAGAAGGCCAGGCAAAAACACGTCGAGAGAGGGAAGCTGCTGGTCCGGGATCGCATTACGGCTCTCATAGACCCAGGCACCAGTTTCTTGGAGCTGAGTGCTTTGGCTGGACACGAGGTGTATCCTGGGGAGGACGTGAACGCCGGTGGGATTGTGACAGGCATTGGGACAGTGGAGGGAGTAATGTGTATGATCCTGGCCAACGATAGCACGTATGTCACACCTTCCACTCATGTTTTCCTCGTACTGACTGTGTCAAGTGTCAAAGGTGGATCATATTACCCAATAACAATCAAGAAGCATATCCGTGCCCAGGAAATCGCCCAACAAAACCGCCTTCCATGCATATATCTCGTCGACTCTGGTGGAGCCAACCTTCCGAATCAAGCGAATGTCTTCCCTGATCGAGATCACTTCGGTCGACTGTTCTTCAATCAGGCCAACATGAGTGCTGAAGGGATCCCACAGATCAGTGTTGTGATGGGTTCGTGTACTGCAGGCGGTGCTTACGTCCCCAGCATGAGCGACGAGAACATTATTGTACAGGAGCAAGGCACCATCTTCCTTGCTGGCCCACCTCTTGTAAAGGCTGCTACAGGAGAGGAAGTCAGCGCTGAAGACCTGGGCGGAGGCAAACTGCACTCTGAAGTCTCAGGCGTAACAGATTACCTCGCCGTTGACGACGCTCACGCACTGGTTCTGGCACGAAGATGCATATCAAACTTGAACTTCCCCACAGCTGCCAACCCCTCCAGGAAACAGGACTGGCAGGAGCCTCTTTACAACGCAGAGGAACTCGGTGGCATCGTTGGGACGAATCTTAAGCAAAGCATCAACATGCACGAGGTCATTGCCCGAATTGTTGATGGCAGCGAGTTTTCTGAATTCAAACCCAGCTACGGCACGACTCTTTTGACTGGCTTTGCAACGATTTACGGGCATCCAGTGGGCATCATCGCCAATAACGGCATCCTCTTCAGCGAAAGCAGTCTGAAAGGCGCACACTTCATTCAACTCTGCTGTCAACGGAACATTCCCCTAATCTTCCTCCAGAACATCTCTGGCTTTATGGTCGGCCAAGACGCCGAAAAGGGCGGCATCGCGAAGAACGGAGCCAAGCTTGTCACAGCCGTCGCATGTGCCAGCGTACCCAAATTCACCGTTCTCGTAGGCTCCTCTGCAGGCGCAGGCAACTACGGCATGTGCGGAAGAGCGTACAGCCCCAGATTCCTCTGGAGTTGGCCGTCTGCCAAGACAAGTGTCATGGGCGCCGAGCAGCTGTCTAGTGTCATGGAAGCAGTCGGCAGAAAGGTCGATCCTGAATTGAAGGCACGCATTGAGAGGGAGAGCGAGGTCACGTTTGGCACAGCAAGGCTATGGGATGATGGAGTCATTCCCCCGTCGCATACGAGACGGGTGCTCGGCATGGGGTTGCAAGCTGCTTTGACTGGTAGTGTCGAGCCTAAGGAGACCAAGTTTGGTGTCTTCAGGATGTAGAATCAAAAGTACGTTTGCCAGCTATCCGTTTTGACAACGCCTACTTTCGCACCCGCTCACACTCATCTTCTCTCGCTTCACTGCTTTGGTTCTCGAATGTCTCAGCAGCCTGAAACATACATCAAGGACAGCACACTCAGCAGCTGCTAGAATCATGCAGACGCATGTTCGACCGTCCAGGCCGGCGTCCCAAAGAAATGTTAATCCGTATATAAGAGCACACCCAAACATGTCCATCGACATCTTCCTTTCAACCCCACAAACAGCAATCAAGCCTCACCGCAAACGCGATGCACACCCCAACCTGGCTCATCATCGCCAAGCAACAACTCAGCTGTAAGAACATCACCAAACTGCGCAAACCTCGTCCAATCGAGGAGGAGACTGAGCAACACGACGAGCCTGGGCAAAATGACGAGTCAGCCTACCACAACAAGACCGACTGGACACATGTAGCTCACGACCTCAGCACCATCTTCGAAGCCGCTGAGCCCCTTGCGGACGATAATACGACGTCTTCGTCGAGATCAACTTCGACGCTCTTCTCAGATTCTGAAAATACGCCCTGGAGTCTGCTGTATGATCCGGCGATCTTCACGCTGTGTTCCTCGTCGACTGCTTTTACCGATGCAGATGCAGGTACTGTCCATGAGGTCCGCGACCCAAGAGCATCCAGCAAGATCCCCATCAGCGACGACGACTTTCCCTCCTATATGGTAGAACCCTCGGGATCTCCAATTCACATACCACTCACGCCAACTCTCCAATCCACCCTCACGGCCACCCGCCACGACCTCGCCTACACCTCCGCGGCCCTGGACCACGCCCACGACGAGCTGGAGTACTTTCGTTTCGAGAACACCGCGTGCTTCAACCAGATCCAGGAACTGACAGCTCAAGTCTACGCTCTCGAGCGGGCGAGGGGTTGGGGGAGGAGGAAGTTGAGGCGGGAGATTACCAGTTTGACGGGATGTTTGTTTGAGATGGATTTGAGGTTGGGGTTGCAGACGAAGAGGATTCGGGAGTTGGAGGAGGAGGTGGAGGAGTGGATGGAGTATGCTATGAGCTTGGAGGAGGGGTTGGGAAGGGGTTGATAGGGAACGGTGCTGTGCGGCGGGATGGGAGAGAAATCGTGCGCGAGAGAATCAGTTTAGCAGTCATGGTAGAGCGAACAATCATATTTCGTTCAACGTCATGTCGGAAGATGTCCTGTGGGACTAGCGCTCGATCACACTATGCAATGTTCTCTTCAAAGACGCAGTATGAAAACTTCACCCGTTCAAACCAACCCATGCTCTCTCCGCAGGGAAGGGGACGATAAGAGACACCAGGCGGAGAAAATGAGCCTGTATTCACTTTTTCAGAGTTCCTCTACATCCGCACGTTCAGTCCTCTTGGCTCCCAAAAATGGGAAACGATCCAGGTATATGCATCGATAGGCAGTCCGTACCGCTCATATAGAATTAGAATGTTTTCTCTCATTTAGGCTCTGCCGTATTGGAATTAACCTTGTCAACTCATTCGAGACCATTTTCTTTGTTGCATGTCTGATATCTCATAGCTTTGTCGAAGTTCGTTCATGTGGAGGTCAACTGAGACATATATCCTGCCTCCCACATACCGATGGGCGACACAGACACACAGTATGCAGGTCTCATTGCTCGCTGGGTAATGCCTTGGAGGGAAGAAGGGTTGTATAAATTAAGGTGATCAGGTTATGTTACTCGCCAGTCCAGATTCCTCGTCCTTCGTTTGGTTCCAAGATTTCCCTTCTACCGTCACCATGCCATTCTCTCTTTCCAACACCAAGGCTCGCTTCAGCAGAGCATTTGATCACTTCAAAAGAAAGATCTCCGTCGCAGAGATAACAGAGGCCCCTCATCCATCTATTGACGACTTCCTGGCTCACCGCAATCAAGATCAGGAGACGGATGATGGCAATGACTTGCCAATGTGTCAGTGCTCGACTTGCCAGCAAGAGCTTCAGCCTCACGGCGGCAATGCAAGCAACACCGCCGCTGAGCGGGTCGATTCGATCATGATGAATACGCCTGGTCCCGGAATCTCGCAGGTGTCACTCGTCTTCGTGTCGAGGGATGCTCTTTCGGGCCTGCCTTCGATGCCGGCCAAGCACAGCTCAGCTCGACGCCGGTCCAGCGCAAACACCTCCGTCACCACATTCCAATTCATCGAAGAGAGACATACGTCCAAGGACACAGTGATGGCCAGTCCTTCAGCCCTCGTCCAAGCCTTCCGAGACTGCATTCCAACACACCAAGCCCTTGTCGATCTGCCGGACCCTTTCAGCCGACACTCCGATCCAACCTACCGAGAAGGCCCAGCCAAGCGAGCTGAGATTCGGCGGCAGGCATCACAGCGGGCTCTACAGCGTCGGTGTTCCGACTTAGACGACGAGGCTGACAAGCTCGCTGCAAGGCTGGAAGAGACCGAGAAGCAGCTCAACGACGCCAGGCAAGAGCTTGAAAGCGTCCTGGACGAGCTGGCAGCCAGAGAAGATGTCAACCACGACCTTCGTCACCAATGCTCACAGAAGGAGAAGTCCATCACATACTGGAAGCACCAGCACGACACGCTTGCTCGCGACTTGTCAACCCTCCAGGACCAACTTGACCACTGCACCGAGCAGAAGCTGCTCGACCGTGACATGATCCAATCACTTCTCAGGTGCAGACGCCATCGACATTGCAAACTCCGCTACGACGTTCTGCATCTCAGTGAGCAACTCAACGCCGCGGTCTCCAAGCTTCAAGATCTCAAAGACATTCGGTACGAGTCCGACCTGCTCCAGTACGAGATGCGCGGCGTCGAAGACAAACAAGCCGAAAACGAAAAGCTCGAAGTCCCGCTGCAAGAATCGCAGGCACAAAATGAAGTCCTGAAAGGTGAAGTGCAGGATCTCTGGAACCAGCGTTCCAGCGACGACGACATTGAGGCAACACAGCTGGCGGAGAGGGAAGTCTTCGTGATGCACGAGCGGTTGCGGATGGCGGAGCGGGAGTTGAAGCTGCGACGAACGAGTCTGGAGGTCGTGAGACAGAACAATCGGGATTTGGGGGCGGAGATTGCGTGTCTGAGACTGCGGTTGGTGGATCAGGAGAAGAAGGATGTGAGGTGGACGGCTTAAGAGTGTCCAGTTAGAGGCTTTGTTGAAGTTCTGGTGTTGTGCGAGGCGGAGTGTTCGGGATCTGGCGGCGATCATTTGTCAGCGCGGTAGAATACAGTCGGGGCCAAAGAACGGAATAAAATACCAGTAACATGTGTTCGCGCACACACCTGTCCAACAGTCGTGGGATGGCGTCCTCGTCGAGCAAATCTCACGCCCAATTCACACCACTCCTTCCCCATCCAGCCTAGCGTGTCAGAATTTCGGCAACCCAGCCAACCAGCAAGCGGCACTACGAGGTAGCCTATATATTTCCTTTTGCGCGCCTAATCTTCAACCATATGATAGCTCAAGCAGTAAGGCGCATGACTTGCAACAGTAGGCTTAAGGAAAACAGTCTAAACCACCCATTGTTGTTCAAGTTGTGTGAGTGCGCGTAACACTCCGCAATCCTGTACTTTGAGAGCTTGATGGTTAAAGCAGTAAACAGCGGAAACGGTGTTTCTCTTCCCCCGAACGGCGGGGTTCTCTTTTGCTGAATTGGAGGGGCTCGGGTTCAATCCCCGGATGTTGACGTTATCGTTCGCGAACTTTTTCTTTTTGGTCTTTTTGCGCACATAGCAGGCGCGTGCCCTCTCGCGATCAACCGGCTTCGTCTTGACCATCTTCTCGCACATATCGATCATGCTTCTCCGACGACCGTCAGCGTTGTGTCTTCACGGTCGCCTCTTTATCTGCGCGCAAGGGTGGCCAAGGTCTCACAATGGCCTGCGCGCGTGCCTTCCATGATGTCGCACTCGGTGGCCAAGGCAGCAACCCGCCAGCATCGTATTTACTGACAACAATCGCGATTCTTTTCTACAGGTGTCTGCCAGCATCATCCGCCGCATGACAGCAGCCATGATTCGAAAGCTGAGGAGAGTGTTCAGGCGAAAGACCATTTGGGCGAACCAAAACCGCGACCTTCGACGAGGAACGCCCGGCAATGATCAACTTCCAGATGACGAATCCGACGCCTTCAAATCAGAGCACGTTACGACCAGCATGAGAGAAGCGGTCTTCAACATCGATCAGCCTCCACCTGCGACTCGTTGGTCCGCGCCCCCGTACGACCATACTGCACCAGGACGTAGCCAGACACCACTCTATCGCGATGAATGCATCAAGCTCCACCGAGAGGTCGCCAAGTTAGAGACGCACATCGACCATTTGATCAAAATGAACCAGCACTTGTCGGCAGATTACGAGAAAGCCGTCCACGATCGCGACCATGCCATTCAACTGCATAATGTCCACTGGGAGGACCTCCAACGGACGGAGTACGAGCTCGGTCAGATCAGGGCGGAGAACGATCGACTTCGAGCGAGGATGGATGCGCTGGAGCGACACAGATGGAGGCGGGCGATGTGTGCGCGAGTCGAGGATGCCGAGAATCGTGCAAGAGCTGCCGAGGAGGAGTTGAAGCAGTGGCAACAACTGAGCGAGAGGATGTCGGAGGACAACCATGACGAGGAGACGAGTCGGCGGAGATAGATCGACTCGACACAACACCCAGACATGTGGGACCAAGGGGAACTATCCGGAAGATCGCTGGTCAATGCCAGGGAGGTGGATCGCATGTCACATTTTCATCGCACGCGATAGAACCATCATCTCGCCCCCGTAGAGGTTCTAGCTTTTCATCTTCATCATTGTCATCATTTCATAGCATCTCCTCTTCCCTCTTCTTCGCTGCCTCTTTCCTCCGTACCAATATCTCACAGTCTTTCAACTTCTCTTCCCACCCAGCCCATCTCTCACCCATATCCAGCACGCCATTCTCATACCACCGCTCCACAATCTTCGCACTCCTGGTCCTCAGTTCTGCAAATTCATTCGCCTGTTGCGCTTGTCGGGCTTCGATTTTGTCGATTCTGGGCTGGAGTGAAATGAGCTTCGTCAGAGCTGAAGCGTCTGGGACTTCTTTGTTGTTGTTGAGCGTGGACAGTTGGGTGGAGGTCGTGCGGTAGAGATGGTCGTGTGCCAGGATCAGTTGCGCTAATGACGCTGGTGGGAGCGTCGTTGGCACGTCTTTTGGATCCGCTGGGTGGAATAGCTCGGGATGTGAGTTGTGCAACTGCAGTACGTCCGAGACGCCGAGCGAACTCGCTGCAAGGGTGTTCAATGTACGCTCCAGAGAAGCAAGACGCGCCTTTGCCGAGGCATTTGGTTTGTGGTCTTCTTGGGCGATGTCGTCTCCATTGACGGCGAAGTCGATCCTGGCCAGACGCTCATGCAGCATCTGCAGCGTGTCGACTGCCGTATCTCGTGTGACGGCCATCTCGTCTTTCAGCTACGACTGTCACATGCTCAGCAGCTTGGCCAGGTGAAGTGAGTGAAGTGAGGTTCAAGTTGGCAGGTGGACCCGGCACGCGCCAGGGCGGCGGACCCTTGCTGGCCTTGGCTTGGCCTGAGGTGTGATCGCCGCTCGTCATCTGGCGCAACCCTCAACCTCACCGAAACTACAACACCGAGACCAACTTTCACCTCCGCCTACACCAAACACCGACGCCAGCAGCCATTGTGGGTTGCATAGTCACCACCAGCGAAAGTCCAGCCCTGAACCGCCGCAATCCTCGATTTTCAAATGCTCCCGCAATAACGGCCGACCCGATCGCAAAAGGAAACTTGTCGCCTGCCCTCCAACCCTCTGCCTACCATGGCCTCCTACGCCGCCATAAATTCAGTCCCTAGCGAGCATGGCGGTGATTCGAGACCCGCGTCGACATCCTCACAATCACGCCGAAGACACACCAAACAAACGGGACCAGCAGGGAATGCATCATGGGCGTCCTCCGTGATCAATCTGGTCAACACAATCGTGGGCGCTGGCGTCCTCGCCATGCCTCACGCCATGTCAAACATGGGCATAACACTTGGTGTGATAGTAATATTATGGGCCGGCTTGACGAGTGGTTTTGGGTTATATCTCCAGACAAGATGCGCGAGATATCTGGACCGAGGAGGCTCCTCATTCTTTGCGCTGAGCCAGATCACATATCCGAATGCTGCTGTGATCTTTGATGCGGCCATTACTGTCAAGTGCTTTGGAGTCGGCGTGTCCTACCTCATCATCATTGGAGACCTGATGCCTGGAGTTGTGAGGGGATTCTCTTCGAGCATTGATGACAGCGGTGCTCAATACTTGGTTGATCGGCATTTCTGGGTCACTGCTTTCATGTGAGTCATATCGTACACCGTGGAGACGGTACAGAACCAGATTGAAGAAGTTCGCGTTGCTGACCATATGCCAGGCTCATTGTGATACCACTTTCGTTCCTCCGAAAACTGGACAGCTTGAAATACACTTCGGTCGTTGCCCTTGTGTCCATCGCTTACCTGGTCGTACTTGTTGTATACCACTTTGCTTCAGGCGACACGATTCCAGACCGAGGCCCAGTGCATTGGGTGAAATGGCAGGGGGCCGTGGCAACGCTTTCAAGCTTTCCTGTGATTGTGTTTGCGTATACATGCCATCAGAATGTAAGTGTAGCTGGATCTTGCAGTATATCATCTAAGCTAACGCCTGTAGATGTTCTCTATCCTGAACGAAATCAAGGACGCCAGCCCAGCTCGTACCACCGCGGTCGTCACGGCCTCTATTGGCTCCGCAGCTAGCATCTACATTCTCGTGGCCATCACCGGGTATCTTTCCTTCGGAGACAAGGTCGTTGGAAACATCGTCGCCCAGTACCTGCCCAGCGTTGCGTCAACCATTGGACGCGCCGCCATTGTCGTACTTGTCATGTTCAGCTACCCTCTTCAGGTCCACCCTTGCCGTGCATCGCTGGACGCCGTAACAAAGTGGAGACCAGCGACCAAGAAGAATACGGAATTCACACCGGCGGCCTCTTCTCGAGGATCTCCATCCAGAAACTCTTTGTTGAGTGGCGGTGCTGCGGCGAAAGTTCCAATGCAGAGATCGAGGCCCGATGAGATGAGTGAACTACGCTTCGCCATTCTCACCACGTTGATTATCATTCTTTCCTACATCGTTGCCATGACGGTGAGCAGTCTGGATAAGGTTCTTGCGTACGTTGGCTCGACTGGAAGCACGGCGATCTCGTTCATTCTACCCGGACTGTTTTATTACAAGATCAGTGCACCCGACTCGCCTCATCATCAACGCCTGCTCAAGGACGAGGACGATGAGGACTATGGCGGCTCACCCGACGCCGCAGAGCAAGGAGGATCACGAGTCTCCAAACAATGGAAGAGCGACCTGCTAAGAAAGCTGAGCCTGGCCATTGCGATTTACGGGTTCGTCGTCATGGTGGTGTGTTTGGTTACGAATTCAGTGTTTCTTGCATCAGGGTCGCATTAGAGGGTTCACAGAGCGTTGATCGGTTGTACATAGCGTGATGATGATACAGAGCTGGAATGCTCCTATTGACGACCTCGTTCACTCTCATCTGCTGCCGTAAGTATCATGAGCCCTTCCCCATCTGACTTCTTAAAGAAGCATGGTGTCCGATTCCTTACCGAGGAAGAACGCCACAATCCGGGGAAAGATTGACGTGACTCGCTTGAGATGAGCGCATCGATAAAGTCCACTCGCAGCACAGGTGAGCTCCCTTGCTACACATACCATGTCCGCGCTGCCCAAAGAAGCAGCAAGCTTCAGACGTGAACTTCTCCTCACCAGTACGTACACCTCTTCCCCTCACAATCACCGGGTTCACTGACACAACGCGACAGGGAACACGACGAGCGAGCGAATAGCATTGAGATGAGCAGGAATAAATAGGAATCAGGTCAGTCGTGCGGAGCAATGGAATCGCGACCAGACAGGGTCCGCGCAAGATGAGGAAGAGGAGTAGGCGCTGGGCAGGACAGGGTGCACGCGGCGATGGAGATGTGTGGGCTGACTCTTCGAGAGGAGGTTCATCACCAGCGAACACACATCGTTTTCTTGAACATCAACACACGGCTGTCCGTGTCGTGGCTGTTCAGTCAAGATGACGGGCGAGGGCTTCTTTGCCTATAACAGCCAGCTTGTGAGCTTCGTTGCTACTCTCAATCCTTTGTTCAATGCTGAGTACACCCCCGAGGACGCCTTCACCCTCTACCACCTGATCCAGGAAGGGACGGTCACCAAGAAGGACTATGGCGGGCCGGCTTTACCTGCGCTCGGCCATGCGTTGGCGGGCGCCATTGCGTCTGCGTTGTCGAAGAGCGTGGTCTACCCAATCGATGTGATTGTTACGAGGCTGCAGGTTCAGAAGGGGTTGAAGGGTGATAAAGAGGCGGAGCATGCTGCGAGTGATGCGGATGCAGAGTATAAAGATCCGATCGATGCTGGCAGGAAGATTTACAAGAATGAAGGAGGGCTGCGTGCTTTCTACACAGGCCTGTCGTCTGATGTGGTCAAGCACATCGCTGACTCGTTCCTGTTCTTCCTGGCGTACACGGCTCTGCGAGAGCAGATGCTCAAGAGGCAGGGAGGCAAGCAGCTGCCCGTGTTGAAGGAACTGAGCGTTGGCGTGCTTGCTGGTGCCTTCTCCAAGGCCATTACCATGCCAATCTCCAACATCGTCACCCGGCAGCAGACAGCAGCTCTCATCGCAGCACGGGACCCAACTTCCTCGACCACGCCCGGCGAGAGTGACAACCTCAGTGTCAAGGACATCGCCCTTCAGATCCGTTCCGAGAAGGGCATCCAAGGCTTTTGGGCCGGCTATAGCGCCCAGCTGATCTTGACATTGAACCCAGCCATCACGTTCGCGGTCGACAACTTACTCAGGAATGTCACGCCAAAGAAATATAGAGAGAATCCCTCTTTCGTGCAGACGTTCCTTGTGGCAGCCTTGTCCAAGGTCATCGCCACATCCATCACCTACCCCGTCTCCCTCGCCAAATCCCGCGCCCAAGCATCCCAAGCCTCCCCTTCGAACTCCGAGTACGAAGAAGTCGACCCCTCTGATCACAAGATCGATACCACCGCAACCGCCACCCAGCGTCGCGTCAAACAGACCATTCGACAGGCTACGAAACTCCTCGAAGGCCAAGCCGCACTGCTGTACTCCCTCCGACGTATCTACCGCCAGGAGGGCGCTCGAGGCCTCTACTCCGGTCTGGACGGCGAAGTCGTCAAAGGCTTCCTGCAACATGGCTTGACCATGGTCGTCAAGGAGAACGTGCATGGAGGCGTCATTCAACTCTACTACATCCTGCTGAAGCTGACCAAGCGATGGCCCGAGGAGTTGAATGACGCGGCAAGGAAGGCCGAGGCAGTAGCTGTTAATGCGGCAGAGGAGGCGAAGAATTTGGGAAAGAAAGTCGTTGGGCAGTAGTGAGTGGACCGAGATTGATTTTGCTGCTTGAGAGATACCTTTTGCCCTGTATGTGTAGTATAGCGAGATGACGAGTTGACGAGACGTTTCTAGGGAGGGTTTTCGATTTTAATAATGTGATATGGAAAAGCTATTGTTCCATTCCACAAGAGCGCCCCCATGCCATCAAGTCTCCAATCAGACAGACTACGCAACACCTTCCGCCCTAGCCGCCTTCCTCTTCTCCTTAATCTCCTTCACCTTCTCCCTCGTCACAAGCTCCGCCTCCAAAGCCTTCTTCGCGTTCACATCCTCCTTCCTCGCCTTCTCCTTCTCCTTTTTGGCCTGCTTTGTCGCCTCCCTCTTCTCGACTTTTGGGCGCTTGGGGAGCACGTCGCCACGAGCTGGGGTTTTAGTCGTAATGGGTTTCTTTGAGGCTGGGGAGCGCTTCGTCTCGCCAGCAATGGTCGTAGATTGGGTTGTCTTGGGCTTGGTTGCGCGTTTGATGGCGGCGCGAGTCCGGGTGAAGATGAGGGTGGCATAGTGGATGGAGTCTGAGGGAGATTTGTGAGGGTGGGTCTCCGTCTGTCGTTGGGGAAGGTGTAGAGGTGGGAAAGTGGGCTGTTATAAAGGACTGTGTTGTGATGGGACAAAGAAACAACAGGAAGTCACTCGCCGAATTGGGAACAGAGGTGAATGGCCGTCGAGACTTGCGTCACTCGTCCGTTCATTGAAGTGTTCAGCTGCCAATGCTTTGTTCGACTTAGGCGATTCGAGGATCAACAACACCTTCTGTAATTTAAAGTGCTCTGAGTACCTCGTCCCCCGCATCACTTCCAGTCCACACAAACCCCAGCGCCACGGACCTGACCATGCCGACGACCACAAGTAGCGGCGGTACTCGCGTGCGCGAAACCAGCACAAAGAAAGAAAAAGACAAGAAGACCCTCAAGCTCGAAAAGGAGGAGCCCAAGACTCCCAAAGCTAAAGTTGTCAAGCGAGAGGCCAAGAAGAAGGAGAAGAAGGAGAAGAAGAGAGACGTACGCAGAGAGGAGAAGGCCAAGAAGAAAGCAGAGGAGGATGAGCCTAAGTTTACTGTTGGGGAGCAGAAGGCGTTGAAGAGCGCAAGGAAGGATGGAAAGCATGCTTTTTGGGAGGGCTTGGATGAGTTTTTGCGGTGAGGAGGTCTGTTTGTAGGTGGCAACGGTAGGTGCGACCGTGCAGTGTTCATAGGGATCCATCAGTCGCATCGTCGTTTGAAGTACCTTCAAAGCTGTTGACAGGATGTTGTTGCAAGTTGACTGACCGTGTCAAATACCCACAGGGATAGAAACATCAGCTTGTGATAGCAGGGAGTCTACTGATAAGTTACGACAGGCCACGACATCCCTTCAATAGACTCATCAATCAGTCCATTTTTCTCTTCAATCTCACAGCCAACATCATGCCAAAGGCCGTGGCAAATACATTGCTCCCACGATGACTTCTTCAAATGATTCAAACAGTCTCCTCCGCCGGAGGACAGTCCACATCACGCTCTTTCGTTCGCCATGGGGTACAAGCAGCTCTTGCTTTAAGGAGGTTATCCTCCTCTGCACCGATGCAGTCGACGTCGCGCTCCTTGGTTCGCCACGGAGTACAAGCTGCTCTCGGCTTCACTTCGACCTATTGTCGTCAGCAAGATGTTTTGAAGTATCTCATGTGCATTTTAGACATACTGGAGCAGCCAAGCCGATGACCGAGAGAGTCAGGAGAAGAAGGATGGCAGTCTTCATGGTGGTTTGTCTTGGACAGTGATTTGAGTTTCTTGGAATGATGAGCCAAGTCGATGGATGTGTTCAAACGGATTGACTCTTGAAGAAGATCCTGCGACTTTTATGTCATGCTACAAACGACAGGTACGCCGTCAGTCGGACAATGTGCAATGCCCAGAAGGGCAGGTCTTATCCAGCACTCGAGGATTCATGTGGTCTTGACAAGGCGGCAGGACGCAGCCTGCTGTCACCTTCCAAATATGGCAGAGCACGGAAGATGCGTCCTGCTCGCTCTTATCTGCAAAGAATAGAGACGAACCAGATGAACAAGCTGAGCAAAAGAGGAGAGATGCCGAAGAGTGTTGGGAACGGGACGTCAATGAAGGGAAGCGCACGAAAGACCGAATAGTCAGCCTCAAAGCTGCCATGGAGCATTCTAGCAGAAAGAAGACGCCGACATAGAGCCAAGTTACGCCCTTCATCACATTTTCGACGTTGTCCAACGAGACTAGGCTCCTAATTGCAGCAGGACGTACCACAGCACGGTGAATATGGCCGAGCTGACCAACCAATGACCTAGCAAATGCCACTCGTCGATCTTTGGTCTCCCAGCCCCACCCTCAAGGGCCGCAGTTGCCATCAAACGGATTGAATGCCGACTCACGGGCCGCATTAGATGTAGTCCGCCGTTGAACGACGACGCTAGTAGGCTTGCCACTATCGAAGGCCATTGGGAATCGATAGCGTGCCACTGCATGGACTGCTCCCATGAATCGGGTTGAGCAGACACCCTTCAAGCTGCAGTGTGAATCGTCTCGTTGAACTCTTGTGCGTTTTTACTTCGCCGATATCCATCGACAGAATGGAATACAAGTCGCTGCTCTCCACTCCTGACGACTTGGCTACCATTGCTGAAGTACCTGATGAAGAATGTGCCGTTCGTCCAAAGACAGCATGGAGAAGATGGCCTGCCTCTACTACAACGTTGTCTGTTACCATCTTGATTGAAGCTGTGGCAATACTAGGCCTCCTTCTTTACATCCAGTCGACCTCACGAACATGTCCCGAAGACATCGGCTACTGTACGTAGATATTACTTAGACATACGGCGTACAATTCAGTTGAGCTGTCGTCTTCAGATCCTGCTCGAGAAGCGGTGCATTACTACGAAACAACCTTTGCACCTGGAGAGGTCTTTATGAGTAAAGACGGGTTTCCCACGAAAGAAACAGATAAGCCTGGCGCAATCTTCAACTTCGTAAGGCCCCATATAACGTCCCAGCATCGATCGAATGATAACGTCTTCTCCCATCAGCCACCGACGGTGTGATCCAAACCAGCGCCGCGACAGGCTTCGACGTCGACGCTCTTCCGGACACCATTCAGTCAGCACGAAACCCTTCGTTGGGGATGTATGGACTCGAAGTCTTCCACCAGCTACATTGTCTTGTATCGCAGTCCCTCGTGGAAGTGTGGTCGACAGCTTGACTAATGCGTTCAGGATCGACTTCGCAAATCCTATCATCGTGGCCATTATTTTGCAAACGAGACGGAACATGGATTTGTTCACCATCGAGGTGGGTCCATATAAGCTTTTCCAAGGCTGTTTGTACTGACTAGTGTTCGCAGAACACTGCATCGAACATCTACGTCAGGTATGCATGATAATTCACCTCTCTGCTGGAGAACTTTTCAATCAGAATGACGATATATCTGACATCTCGCAGTCGATCATGTGCTCCGGTGACATCGCGATGGATCGGTGAGTGGCGCTCATTTAAATGACTTGAGAGTTTTCCGTACGGCTAACAACACCCAGCTGGCAACGGGACCCAGAAGACCAAGAGTCCTGGCTCTTAACTACAGGCGTCCCGCACGTATGCCGCAGCTTCGATAGTCTCTCAGACTGGGTCAAAAAGCATCAACTGCACAAGCGCGATTGGACTAGGGTGCCCAAAGAGGGCCAGGGCGAAGTGGACAGTCAGTGATGTCTAGACAGTGAGACGTGCTTTATAAACTGCTACGCCATCCGCGTATATTAGCCTGCCAACGATAACGAAGGAGCGCTACGATGGCGCCACAAGAAGATGAATGCATCTATGGGCGCTAATGATCGTTCTAACCGGAATGGGAAGGCCTCGCGAGGCTGACCAACTCTTCTTCCTGAAATGGTATTGCATAGCACTCGATCATAGGCCACCTTCCTGCTTGAGCATGAGCCTCAAGACCATCTCGAGTTGCAGACCCTGTGGCAAGGAAAGCTTGTTTAGATCTGGTCCATCCAATCGCCATCCATCCATCCAGATCTTTCCGCGTACAGCGGAAAAGGATAAATTGGCGTACGCGGAAGAAGCTTGACGCATGCTTCGCAAGAGCTTGCCTGAACGCATCATGCCAAATAGAGATATTAAATGTGATAAGCAGATGCCAAGGAAGGAAGGTGGTAAACGTGGAAGTCACGAGGCGCTTGAGAAGGAGGTCGAGTCTGGGCTTAGAGGCAAGGTTGAAGCACCTTCCAAGCTCGGCACCAGGAACCAACCTGAGGAGCTTCGCAGCGATCATCGGGGAACCAACAGTGCTATGGGAAAAGCCAATGACAGTGTCCAAAGACGTTCGTAGGAACGTCGATGCTCGCGTGGTGTCGACGCAAGCAAGATCTTATTTCCGGACAGGTCACGATGCCGGCACAGTACAGGAGCGAGCAGGCGACCACCGATTCGGGAAGTTCTAGTAAATTAAGCGGTCAGTCAACTCGTCTTCGTTGCTGTTCATCCTCCTGGAAAATTGACAATCCTCGCTCCATGTCCTCACTTGCGGGGAAGTTCGCTGCTCTTGTCTTCTCCTGCGAGATGTCAGACTGCTTTTCGAATCCTGACATGCTGTTTCTCTGGATAGCTTCATGGCGTTCGCTTGATACACTTCACGAGATCTATGAGATGATATCATCGATGTCGGTTCTTACAGTATACGAAACCTTCCACTTGCTCCCATGTTTGATAATGGTATCGCTGTCCATTTTTCGTGAGAGTCAGCGCCGAGATTTGTTATCCAAGATGCAGTGTAAAAGACAGCCTTTCATGACTTCTGACGACTCTTCGTATATAGAGCACCGAGGGGGTGAGGTGAAGTGAACGAAATAGACTTTCGCCAAAAACGCCACCAAAAAGGTACCGCGGTCTGCGATCCTTCCACCGCACCTCCTTCAATCTTTCCAACCTCACGTGTTGCTCTCTCATCCAATACTCATCCGGGCACAATGTACAGAATATCACAATAATACTAATCGAAAACAAGACCGGTCATTACAGGGGCCAAAACAAACCATGGCGGCGGCTTCCTCGTCGTCCACGCTGGAACTGGAGGAACGCGAAGGTCATACGCTCCCGCTCCACAACCTCGACACGCTCTCGCGACAGGAAGATCCGCTCGACGCGAGCAACAACGCCGCCACTACATCGACAGCGAGAAACACAGCCTCAAGTAATAACTCCAACAACGTACGAAACTCCACCGCCTACCTCGACGGCCTGCGTGGCTTCGCGGCCTTCCTCGTCTACTTCTACCACCACATTTCCTGGTTCTACGGGCCGACAGATGATCTTCTATATGGCTGGGGCCACGAGGGAAATCACTACATCTTCCAACTGCCTTTCTTGCGGGTCTTCTTCACGGGCGGGAATGCGGCTGTGGCGATCTTCTTCATCCTCTCCGGCTACGTCCTCTCGCTCTCGCCGCTGCGCTCCCTCCGCGATGGCAATGCGAAGAAATGCTACAATTCCCTGATTTCTGCGACGATCAGGAGGCCTTTTAGGTTGTATATCCCGCCGATTGGAGTGGGGTTATGTTTCGCAATCGCTATGCAACTGCCATTCGGACTCGCGCCCAGAATGGCGTGGCCGCAGCCCGAGGCGACGTTCAGCAAGGAAATGGCCAGGTTCGTGCCGGAGACGTGGCATATGGTCAACCCTTTCGAGCGGCACGGCACCAAGGAGCATTGGTACATCTATAACCCGCCGTCGTACACCATGGCGATTGAGTTTGTCGGGAGCATGGCGGTGTTTGGGCTGTGTGCGATGTTCAGCACCGTGTCGGTGTCTGTACGGGCGGGGCTGTTTCTTCTGGCCGCTGTGACGTTTCTGAGCACGGGGGAGTGGGCGCTGGCGATGTTCATGGGAGGGGTGTTACTCGCGATGAATGATTTGAGCGGATGGGATCACGCGCTGCTCGCCAAGCAACCTCTCAAAGTCTCCCGCACCGTCATGCACCACATCTTCTTCTTCACGGGGTGGTACCTCCTCTGCCAACCGTCAGGAATCCGGGACCCGAAACAATCCAGCGAAGCGCCCGGCTGGTACATCCTCACGGAGCTGCTCACGCCGCGCGTCTACTACCAGGACGAATACTGGCGCTGGTGGAACTTCTGGGGCGCGCTGATGCTCGTCTACGGCGTGCTGCGCATCGAATGGCTCCAGAGCCTCTTCACCACCCAACCCATGCGCTACCTCGGACGGATCTGCTTCGCGCTGTACCTTGTGCACACCCCTCTGCTGTGGACGATCAACGACCGCGTGTACCGCGTGCTGGGCACGCAGATGCACCAGGACCTGGTGCTGTGGATCGACGATTGGCTGAAGATTCCGGATTTTGGGATCCATGGACTGAGCTCGAGGTTTTTGGTCGCGCAGGTGATTAATACGCCGATTAATTTTGCGGCGGCTGAAGTGGGGACTTGGGTGTTGGATGAGCCGAGTGTGAGGGTGGGAAAGTGGATTGTGAGGAAGTTGGGGATTGATAAACGGTAGATTTCCTAGACAGATGGGGCTTGTAGGATAGACAGGGCTTTGGTATCAGTACAGGTCGGATTTTGAGAAATCTAGATTTTCTTTCGAAATCTTTTGAGAGGTGCACTATCTCACTCAATGACGGAGACATGGTGAGCACCAGGAACGGAATTTGAGGAATATTGGTCCCGAGTTGACAATGTCGAAGAGAATGGCAGCAAGTCTTACCAAAGTCGAGATCTGATCGTCCGGCCTGACACTCAAGTCTCATAGCCAACACCTGCATCACAGAATCAAAGACCTGGAAACCAACCTCCACGGCCTCGGACAGAGCTCCGCCGAAGGTACTGACCTCAGGACGAAAAGGGCACAGAAACATGTCACCCAGTGAGTTCGAGAGTCGCCGACGACTATGCGATGCAGACATCGTCGGCCACCTCCGATGAAGTGAGGTTAAGGAGAAGTTTTCCGTGGTCGTCTGGTGCGACATATTGCCTTGGTTTTCGGTACTCTACTGTGGGACAGAAGTGTGAAGTCATGGGAGTGCTGCAGGTACGAAGAGTTAGAGTAGAACTTGCGATCTCCTAGCGGTTTTGTAGGTTCCAGTACGTCTGGTGTAGTGGTGAAGCCGGGGAGTTAGGACGTTTCCCGGGCTGTCGGTGATCGAGTGAGATGTCGGGTGAGATCTTTGGTGACAGGTTGATGTCAGACGGATTTTGGGTGTTCGGATTAACTCGGGTTGTGCTCGAGGACGAAGACACTGCTGGTCTTTAAGCCATCAGTGAGAGATTATGAATGCGTGTACTTGGCCAAGTTCTGGGATGGAGAAACGCGTCTGTTCTGAAACGTTCCCGACGTGCCACGCGAGATCAGGCTGCAACGAGCGCATTGATGATCTGATAATATCGAATGCCGGACAGCCAAAGTCTTGGGATACTGAAGAAGTAAGGATTAGGTCGTGCATAGAGCACATCCTGTCACGTGCGCGCTCACAGACCCACCGGAATCCAGCTCCCGGAGACGTGGTAACATCGCAGCAAGAGTGCCGGGATAGATTAGATGAACTGTTGTTCGTAGATCTGATAAGCGCGGAAACATGTGTACAGAAATCGGTCAGACAAGAGAGGGAGGAAGAGTCTATCGCACTTCGCAGCGTAGATCGGAGGAGAAGGCCGCCGAAGAAGGAAGGTGACGGTGAGAAGTGCCGGCAGAGCGAAAAGAAGCAAGACGGCGGGAGGCGGGCGAACGATTAACCTGTCTTTTTGCTGTCGGCGAGCTGGATCGGTAGCTTGCGAGTTGGCGAGAAGGCCGATGTGAACGGTGGCGTTCGGCTTGTCGGAGTATGGAAGAGAGCGTAGATTGCCAGAGGGGGTAGATATCTCGCATCGTAGAATGAAAGTAGAAGGGCTTCCGGAGTGTTCTCCCATCATCATATGAACCTGGAAAGTCCAAAATCCATTCATCAAGATCTCTGACGTTGCCGAGACCGGCCTGTCTGGAAGGGCGGTTTTTGGTGGTGGGAGCTTGCCCAAAAGAAGCATCGAAACCCTCGGCATCGCATCTCCGTCGTCGTCGTCTTCGCCTGGACCGTGAAATGGCATGATTGAATATTGCAGACTCGACACTGACCACTTCTCCTGAGACTCGGCCTTCTTCTTTCGCACAACCACACCACCAACAAACGACCATCACCCACCGCCACCCAACTCCGACTGCTGGCTCTTTGTTCCAACACCAAATATTGTGCGCCGCGGCTCTCATCATCGTCGCGTATCAGATCCGCGACTCGGATCTGATAGCCACCGCCCACCACTCAATCTCATCATCGAATCCGCATCTGGCCGTCGCTCGTGGGTGAGTAGCCGTCGACCCCACCGCCCACGATTGCCGACCTTCCGTGGGTGTGTTGAGAGAGAGACAGAGGGACGGCGGAGGGGTGAGGCGAGGCACTTTCCGACGGCATCACCAACTGTCTCTACAGCATCTTTACCACGCCAGACAGAACACGCCCGCGCTGTTCTTGTCTTGCCTTTATCCGGTCTGCCGTTCCTCGAGCCTCGCTCTGCCGATCTTTCGCCCTCTTCCGCACACTTTTCCCTGTACACGGCGCTCTTGCATTACCAATGCTCGGACAATTACTGACTATGCGACACAGTCCTACCTACCCACCCTGTTCCATTAACCGCCAATAATCCTGACCACCGCCAATGTCAGGCTTACAAAAGACGGGCGCGAGGCGCCATACCTTCTCTTCATACGGCGCCCAGCCATACCACCGACATAAGAGCATCCCATATACCGCCACGAGCCACCCCGACAACCCTATTCCGGTCGAACCACTCCGTAACAAGGACATGACCTTGCCGCTCGACGCTCAAGTCCGACTCAGCAATATGAGCACCATGGCTCCCAGCCCGAGATCAAGCGGCGATAGTCTCGCTGGCTTCACCGACGACACCAACACGAGCGATAGCGACGCGCCTTCGACCCCAGCGACCGAACCGAACGACGAGCCGATTGAAAGAATAAAGAATCTGTCGTTGGATAGGACTGCATCACCGCCCAAGAAGAGACGTGCAAGCACCACATACGCTTCCAACGCCGATGATATTAGGAGACTTATCGGTTCTGGAGGTGGCACCAAGTTCTTTCAGAAGTACTGTTGCGGCGAAGGATGTTGCATGATCGAGTCGCTGCCACTACATACTGATGAGGTCGCATTCGCACCCATCCTTACACCGAGCACTGCCGCATATCGATTTCTCAATCTCGATCTGCGATCATTATCCCTTGACACGCCGCTCAACAAGATAGTCGACTTGCCTGAATCGAAGGTATCGTTTGGACCGATACGAAGAGAATCCATCACCGACAAGTTCCCCGAAGAGGCGATGCACAAGCATGACGCAAACGAAGTGAAGCGAATCCCACCCGAATACATGAAGCCGCATCCTCCCTACAACATCTTCAACGCTCCGCTGTATAGTGCTCGCGAGCTCACGAAGCCTGGTGCGGAGAAGCGGACGTTCCACTTCGATATCGACGTCACAGACTACCCTGAGGAAGGTGGCGTCGACTTCAAAGTTGGTGGCGCTGTTGGCGTCTGCCCGCCTAATGATCCTGATGTCGTCGAAGATATCATGAATCAATTGGGCATCCCCAGATTCCAGCGTGATAGGGCTGTCAGACTGCATACCAATGGAGGACGGTGGCCGACCATTTGGGGTGAAGAGGAATCGAGAGAGCTTGTGACTACTCGACGAGAAGTCTTGACCTGGACCGTCGACATTTCATCGGTTGCGCCTACGAAGCCACTTTTGAGGGTACTGGCAGAGTACGCTTCGGATCCCAACGAGAAGAAGATTCTTGAATACCTTTGCAGCGCGCAAGGACAGGCGACCTTCTGCGACCTTCGGACTGGACCGCATATCACACTGCAGCAACTCCTACACGCATTCCCTTCATCGAAGCCGCCGCTCGAGTCACTATGCGGCGTACTGAACCAGCTCATGCCACGTTTCTATTCGCTCTCGAACGACCCACATGTTTCTTCAGCACGAGAAGGCCTCGCTGGTCGACGCTTGATCGAAATCGCAGTCACGGTTCATGAGACCGAGAATTTCATCAACGACAAGCGGTCTGGCGTAGGATCTGGGTTCCTCGAGCGACTGGCCAAGAAGTTTGTCGAGCATGACGAGAAGTCACAGAAGGATGCAGAGGCGAAGGGGTTCTGCTTGAGACCGGGTGTCGCTGGGCGCCAGCTCAACCTTTCAGTACCCATGTTCCGAGGCTTGATGTCGAACCCACTTTCAAGAGAGTTCGCAAGCGACGGCCCCATGGTGCTTATTGGTGCTGGTGTGGGAATGGCACCTTTCAGAGGCTTCATCTTGAACCGACTGAAGAACGCCAACTGCGCCAACAAGATCTGGCTGATCCAGGGCATTCGAGACAGCATGCTCGATGAGATCTACCGCGGCGAGCTCGGCGCTCACGAGTCAGAGATCAAGAAAGTCGTACAGTCTCGGGCAAGTCAACTACCTCCCGTGGCCGAGGACGAAGCTGGTGTGGTTGAGCACACTGATGACGAGAACGCACCACCGACTGTCGCCGATCCCAAGAAGCAGAACAAGGTGGCCAAGTACGTCCAAGATGAAGTTCGCATGCAAGCAGACATTGTCTGGTATGTCATCAACGCCGTCGACGGCCGAATCTTCGTCTGCGGCTCTACCAAAGGCATGGGCGAGGGTGTCGAGGCGGCACTGATCGACGTCGCCATGTCCAAGGGCAACCTGGACTACGAGACAGCCAAGCAGTTCTGGACCGGCAAGAAGGACGCTGGCCAGTATATCGCTGAGACTTGGTAGAAAGACCAAGTCCGAGAATTTGATATTCCTACATCGCATGGTTTTTCGCAAGGCGTTCAAAAGGTGTTTTCCGGCTACAAAAGCCTATGGCTATGATTGGGGTTGGCAAATTTCATCGTTTCGACAGCAGCGCGATTGCGACTCTGAGGGAAGGGAATTTTGATTTTCTGGATTGATTGATAGCGTTCTCGCAGGACACACAAATACATCAGCCACGCATCGCAGAAATGTGTTCTTCTGGCGCTGTACATAGTTTTTTGAGTGGAGTGGATACTCTTGTTTATAGTTTTTGCACGATAGGTACTCGGGATAAGAGGATATCCTTTATCGGCAAACACAATTATTCATCACTACGATACTTTCACTGCTTCAACAAACATAGTCTATCGTTCTGTAGAGTCCGCTTTCCAAGGCTATCGACATCATGACGATAGAAGCATGTGGGGCAGGAGCGGACTAGATTGCCCTTGCTCCTTCCCGATTCGGCCGCTGGACATGTGATTGTACGGGTGCAAGTGAATTATGAGCATGAAGGTCGAGTGCTTTAACGACATGTGACCAAGCCTCTCTACTCTCTCAGACTACGGTATAGAAGGGAAGGAGCTCGATTCGACTTTGCTTGTCAAGATGGTTGCCTGCTCTCCGATCGTGTGAAGATGCAATGCATCCACTCGCACTTTCGAGTCTCGACTTTTCGGGCTGTTCGTCCGTCTGTGCGTGTATCGGAGTCGATCTCGAGTGGTAGAAGTAATTTCGCTTTGGAGTGTGCAGCGCTATTAGTCAACTTGAATCGAGTCACGGTGTAGTTTATCAAGTCTTGCGATGAGACGGCCCTGGTTGTAGAGACGAGGCTCAAGCGGCAAATATAAGCCTTATCAAGACTCAATTCGCATTCTTGTCTACAGAACCCCACTTCTCGTCTAGACGCGAGATATACGTCTTCGTTCCCCGTCCGGCTGGCCGTGCATTAATCTACGCGAAAAGCAATGCACATCGCCTCGCGTTCGCAAGGGTGCTGCTTTTGTTTCTCTACTGCAAGCGAGAAGCACCTAAATGGTCCCTCCCAGCCCACTCTATCATCCTCCTACCTCCACGCCACCAACACCACCTCCTACACGACCCATAGGAGAAGGAAGAGGAGGAGATCTCACGCGTTCCGTGGCTTTCTCGACTCATCCCAAAACGGCCTCTTGTAAGATGTATCTACATGTATCGTACATACACACCTTCACTTTGACAATCCTCCCCTCTCCTCCCCTCCCCTCCCCTCCCCTCCCCTCACCATTTCCCACACACCCCAATACGGCCGTGCCGACATTTCCGTACATGATTCCTCCCTCGTATCTCGATCAGGTAATCAGACCACCAAGGTCTGCAGATTTCAAGCACCGCAGCTCGGCAGGACGCCACGGGCTGCTGTACATGTGGCGGGTCCCTGGACGCGTGGAAGGGGTGGGTCTGGCGTTCGCAGGTTGGACCTCCCTTGGTTAGAAGACAGGTTCGGTCGCCGTCGTGCTATCGTTGAGGATAGAGGTTTTTCTTGCGCTATTGGCGAAAGTGGGGCGGGATATAGACGCGGTGTTATGTAGGGAGATTTGGCCGAGTCTTGTTGGGGGAGGTTGGATATGTGTTTTGATGGAAAGGGGAGAGAGGGACGAAGACGAAGAGGAAAAGTCGAGAATGGGTTCCTCTTGTCTCTCGAACTCAGCGAGTGAGTGGGTATTAAGCAATGCTATCGAACATGGCTGTACAAGCACATACATAGCCTCTCTAAGATAATTCAGATTCCAAGTCCTCCCGCAAGAAAGAAACGAAGACCCTTTTCCCAATGCCCAGTACCCAGTACCCAATTCCCAATTCCCATGATTCTGCCGTAATCACATACGTCGAAAGCCACAAGGCTCCCGTTTCCATCATTTCTTTGTGCAGATATAAATCATACAATCAGACCCTCTAGGCCCACTTGCCCAGCAGAGCCATGATACCCGCGCCCAAAAGCACGCAAGCAATCATGAAAAGGAGCTGCCTGTCGTTGTTGGTGCGCTCTGGGTTGAAAAGGAAATCACGCGCAAGAAGCTCGACGAAACCGGTGTAGAGCAGGATACCGGCGGAGATGGAGTCGAGGATGCCGGAAACGATGTTCGCGGTGTTGCTCGATGAGTTGTAGGTCGTGCGCACGCCAAGGCCGATGGCGATGGAGATGGGGGTGGTCAGGCCGTAGGCGAGGCAGAGGATCCATGGCATCCAGTGAAGCTTCTTGGGGAAGGGGATAGAGGACAATCGGGCGCCGATACCGAGACCTTCGAAGGACTGGTGGAAGACGATGACGGGGTAGAGAGTTGCGAACTCGTCACCGGCGGTACCCAAGGTCAGACCGATGATGACACTGTGGAAGATGACACCGAATTCGAGAATGAGGAAGGCGGCGATTTGCTGCTGGAAGGCCCTGTTGTTGAGCTCTTCCATTTCCTCGCTGAGGCTGTCACCCGAAGTGTAGCCGTCCTCCATGGTCTTTGACTCGTTGTTGGTGTTGCCGAGGCCTTGTTGCAGGTCGTTCCTAAGGTGTGGGTCTTGGTCGGCGGAGTGGAGAGCCTGGTGGGTGGAACGGCGGCGGCTGCTGTTGTCGAGTTGATAATGCATCATACCAAGATCGACCGATTCGGCGCGCACTCGTGGATCACCTGGGTGACCACCTTGGGCGGCACCAGCGTGGGCAAGTCCGTACTTCTTCTCGACGTAACGTTCGGCGTAGAAGTCCATGAGGAATACCACCATGCCAGACGTCAATGCGATGGCTGGTACCCAAGAGTATTGATCCCATCCTGCGGTCATGCCCACGCATGTTTGCGGGCCGATTTCTGAGTATGCTGGGTCGAGAAGACTGTTGAACGCCGTGTTGTCAGCGGTGTCTCGGGTGGTCGTTGTTGGCTGGACTTACTGGATGAAAGCAGTCGCAATAATGACACCAGCACCAAAGTAACGAGCGAACAGGTAAGGGTAGAGGGGGATCTTGAACTTCTTTATCCGGGTAGCCATAACGGGGAAGAAGGTGACGGCGGTCGATACGACCAAGACGACGAAGATGGCGGAGATGTGCACGCCCAGACTTCCGCCGTATTCGGGCCCGCCGGCGTTCATATAGCAGACGACCTGTTTCATGAGGCCCAACTCGACGACCTCGTCCAAGTTGACGTTGGCGGGGTTGGAAATGTAATCGGTGTAGTCGTCGGTAGACTGGGGCCAGACGCCCGTTGCAGTGGTGGAGGCGTCCATACTGGGCAGCGATCGGGGGAAGTGAAGTCTCACGAGATGGATGAAGTCAATGCCAGAGCCGGGCGACGACGAGGCCTTATAAAGAACGGGCTGGAAGACTGTATGTAGAGCAGGACAGGGTAGCGAAGCTTGAAAAACTCTTGACGGGCTGCCACGAGGTTTGGCATGCGACTCCCCACGCCTTGGGAGGCTTCGATGCATGGACCAGGGTTTGCTAAACCACCTTGATGGACAGCGCGATGGAACGCTCAAATCGCGGCAGCAGCGTCTGGTTGGCTCTTTCCTGTCGCTGTGCCGTCAGATTCTGCATCTATCGTGCCCATTACGGTCGTCCCAGCCGATTCCCCTTCGGCGCAAGCGACATACTGGAACTCGTCGTCGTCGCGGATTTAACTGTAGCATTGTAAGTGTGTGTGTGTGTGTGTGTGTTGCTATTGGTTGGCACGTGACCTGCTGTTATGTTTGGGCGGCGTTGCGCTAGGTCAACTCTACTGCGAAAACCTCCTCACCACGACCACTCTTTTTCCCATCAATCGCCTGCCTCCCCTGGCGTCGGCGTCTCGTCAGCGCCCTCATCTCAGCGCCTCAACGAAGACATTGATGGACATTGGTGGCCGCGAGGTGGAGGCCAGTCTCATCTGCGTACGGCGCAGAAACTCAATGCGGCTGGAATGCCGTGGGGTGATAGGCCGAAAGGACGAAGGGACGCCACCGGGCGGGATTCACTTGCCGTGCGCTCGCTTCCTGTGCTCCTTGGCAATTCGCATAGACTGCTTCTGGTGGCTGCCCCGTCCTGTCCTCATGCCATGTCGTCCTCTCCCATACCATCAGCAACGACATACACGAAAACCAATGTCTACCAGCAAAGATGTGAGGTTGGACGACCTTCACCCACGTGGCCGACCTGCACACCCTGATCAGCAGCAAAGCCTCTCGCAGCGCGACTTGTGGTAAATGCCTCATACAAAGAGGACACTTTCACCCTTTCCAGTAGCATTTACGGGCGCAGATGCACAGCAATGGGTAGGGACAGGCAGGTGAGATGCGTGGTTTTCGAAAATGCATTTAAACGCCCTCCTCTCGCGTCTCTCTTTCGTCAGGTTATCGATCTTGATCTGTTTCCGTTGACCTCACAGCCAAAATGAGCCTCTGTTTCGACGAAGCCTACCAAGCCTTGAAAAGCAACCGAATCTCAGAAGAGCAGTACCTCCATGAAGTCCTGGCACATTTCTGTGGAATCAGACATCCGGCAGACGAGAAGGCCACACGGCCGTGGGAGTTACGAATCAACGATCCAGTCGGCAATGCTATCAGAGAAGCTGCATTGAGCTCGCCGCATAGCAGGCCTGAGAGTGCGTAAACAACACTCTTAAAACACATTGTCATACTGACGGATCTATCCAGGCATCGATCAATTGGAAAAGCTCTTCGCCAGCGCCCTCAAAGACGACGCGGATGCCGTTCGCACAATCGTCTCCCAGCTCGGCCACGGTCAACCCTTACCTCTCCAGGCCATCGCCACCTTCGCTGCCCTCCATAGCGATGCCGAAGTCCTCCGTCTGTGTGTCCAGTTGGGCGCCACACTGGAAGACAGGAATACCTCGATAGCGCTAGAATTTGCCGCTCGTGGTCCAGCGCTCCTAGACGTCCTCTACCAATATGACTGGCGAGACATGAAGACATCATCGTTAGCGTTCCATCGCATGCTCGAATGGTCATTACATACTGGGCCGCAAGAGTTGCAGTGGTTTCTCGATCACGACGCCGAAGTCGACAGAGAGCTTATACGACACGCTGTTCATGGTGCTCCACTCAAGACCGCATGTGTCGAGCTACTTCTTCATCGCTACGGTGTGAAGCTTTTCAAGGGCACAAGATTATTACAGAATGCCGCAAAGCGTGGCAACACCGACACCATTCGACTGCTGCTGGAAGCCGGGTTGGACGCTGACGAGCTTGTGCCGCCTCCCACCCACGACGACGGCGAGTGCGAGTTCACTGCGCTGTACGAAGCTGTCTACAAGCAGCATGAAGAGGCAGTCAAATTACTCCTACAACACGGCGCGGACCCTGAAAAGCAGATCTGTATCGACGGGTTGAATACGCCGCTCAAGCTGGCAGAGGGCCATGGCTTCGCGAGTATAGCCGCACTGCTACATCGAAGCGTGGAGAAAGGTAAACCCGGGAGTCGGTCATGGACGTCGAGACTGTGAGAGATCGATATACATTCACTGTCGTCGTGGTGTGTAGACGATGAGGTGAGGTTCACGAAATTCACGCCCTTCCCTTCACGCTTCGGCCCAGCTTTGTTCATTCACTTCGGCTTTGTCCCACACAATCCCATTCTTGCGCTCACGTACATAGGTGAGGATTTTGGTGAATGGGAGTGTCGTGCGTTATCACCTCGCCTGAAAAGATGTCGACCTTTTTCGAAACTCTCCCTCTCCCTCAAAACCTTTCCAACCTTCCAGTCCATCCGCTTCGCACCATCAGCATCCTTGCTTTTGGTTCAACTATCCCGCTCTCAAAACCCAGCACTCCCCCCAAGACATCTTGACATTCCAACCACCAATCCCTTCCCGGCACACCCAACAATGTGCCAATACACAACCTTCCACTTCCTCTGCGGCGCCCGCAAGCTCAAAATCACCACCCCCTGCCCCTCCGCCTTCACAAACTACCAAGGCCTCACCTACTGCCGCCTCGACCCCCAAGCCCACGACAACGACGGCGACAAACCTCCGGCCCAGGAATCTGCAGCAACGCCAACTGCCGCGACTTCCACGGCATGGCACCCTACGACCTCCCCGCCTCCTCCCTCCTCGAAGACGACTCCCCCTTCGACATGTCCCCCTCCGCGTCCGTGGAGCGCGAAACGCGCTAGTTCCGCAACCTCCTCTCGACCGACCAGCAACTCGAGTGCTTCTCCACGACGTTCCCCGTCCCCGTCGAGGCGATGAGCGTCTACGCCAAGGCTTTCCTCTACTTCCTGCACCTCAACGCCGCGGAGTGGGCGAAGCACTTCGAGTTCGCGTGCGATGCGAGTCCTGACGAGGTTTCCTGGCAGGAGCTCAATCCGAGGTATATGGGTCCCTGTGCGTTGCAGGCTGCGGTGGTGTTTAGGCTGCTGCCGGCTTGGGTTGTCGATACGGGGCAGGCTGTCCCTACCCGCAAGAAATCCAAGGGCCAACAGACCTCTTCCCTCGCGCGCACGACGACGCCCCTCATGCCCGCCTACGGGCCTTTCAAAGTCGGCAACCACGTCTGCAAGCCTGCCGTGGGGTTCTGCGGGACTTGTGGGCAGTACCATGGCGAGGAGTATCGCGGGAAGGCTGCTCGGTATCATCGGAAGGAGTTTGCTGATTTTGGGAAGTTGGATGCTGAGACGCAGAGGGTGAGGTGGGAGGGGGCTTGGAGGGAGATGACGCATGCGAGGGGGGCGATGCCGCCGTTTCATGGGAATGATTTTGAGAGGAGGTTTGCGGGTGGTGGTGGTGCTAATGAAGGCCTCGTGTCTCCTGATGGTGAAGGTGAGGAGCAGCAGACTCTCATGCCTCAAGACGACTCCACCATGCTCCGTGACGGTTTCGACTTCAACGACGCCGACATGACCGACCTCAATCCCAACGCCCCTTCGACTCAAGAACCTCGACCAAACTCCAACACCAACCTCTCCTCAACCACCCCTTCCAGCATCCAACAGCCAACCTTCCTCCCCAACGAGCACCTGCACTGCGAGCAAGACTTCCCGGCCATGCCCTCTATCGAGCAATTCAACCGCACCTCCAACCCAAAGACCAGTCCAGACAGCTCTTTCCAGGCTGAGAAGTACCATTCAGCGAATGAGCCGTCTCACTCTGGCCAGCACGAGCCAAACACAGCAGGTGAGTGGATGGATACGATGGAAGAGTCGTAAGTGGTTCTACTACCTTCGCAAGAATTCTGATTTGGGTTGATTTGCGACTTTCTTTTCTCTCACGAAACCGCCTGGATCGGTGGATTTCGTTGCTTGCTTGCTTCCTTTTTTGTTGTTTCGATATGGCTTGTGGGTTCGACGGTAGAAGAGGAGGTATGCATTGTACATCGTCTTGAAGAGGTTGGAAGGAGAAGCGAAGATGTGAGCAGTCTTCTTCATTCAATTCGATTCCATGCGGTTTTCGTATGTACACATCAATAATGGGTATTAGCATGCACGAAACACAAACACAACACAACCGTTTCATTCATTCCTCAGAAGCCTTCCAAAATCGTCCAAACATCAACATCAACGCCATCGCTCAATGCAAACAACACTCACACCTCCCATCTACCAAGGGCACTGGCACTGGTACCTTTCCTACCCCTGAAACCAAGCAACCTGAACATTACACCTCCCCAACCCGACCAAATACTTCCTCTGATTCTCATACCGAATCGTATCCGCACCCCACTTCGTCGGACACCCGCCATCATACAGCGCCATGACACACCCAGGCACCGCATCGGTGTTATTCACGCTCCCGTCGAAACTCCACGCGACGCAGCCGTCGGCGTTGTTGAAGCACTGCGCGCAGCACGCCGAGACGTTGAGGGATGGATACGATTGGAAGGTGGGTGTTTTGCCGTAGCCGTAGTAGAGGTTGCGGTTCAGGGTGCCGTTGAAGAGGCCGTAGTTTGTGCTGGCGTCGCAGGCGGGCGCGGTGACGGTGGCGCGGGCGTAGCGGGAGAGGGTGTGTGTTGATGTTACGGTGGTGGTTGTGGCGCCGAGGGTGGTGGTTACGGTTGTGGAGGGGGTTGCGCAGACGGCGCGGGCGGAGAGGTCGCGTTTTACGGCGGCGGCGGCGTTGTTATTGCTGTAGGCGCCGGGGATTGCGGCGTGTCGTTTTTTGCGTTCTTCGGACGCTTGCGTTGGTAGGTGGGCTTGTGCTGGGATGTTGCGTTTTGCGTTGCTTGGGGTCGGCGATGCGGTCGTTGATAAAGGTGATGCTCCCATCGACATGACGGTTACAGTCGTTGTGGCCCACATCACGTAGGTATCCTCTTGCACTGTTTCGGTCTCTGTTCCTGAGGATACTGTCGCTACTGAGGTCGCATTGCATGATGAAGAAGCCTGACGGTCCACGAGAGCTGCGTGGGTGGCCACAGCACAGAGGCCAGCAAGTAGGAAGGTCCGCATGTTGACTGGTGTGGTTGACGATGGCCCTTTGACTTGTATGCTAGATGTGTTGCTTCAGACAAACAAGTGAAGTAGACAGGAAGAGCCAGAAGGAAGCATGAAGAAGGACGTGCGAAGGAAATAAGGAGCAACGCTCACGATTCACACGATCTGAAGATGTTGACAGCGAGCCAACAAGAGTCGAGCTGACATGGCGACTTTCTTAGACGTTGGAGTGCCGCTGCCATGCGCAGTCTATAATAGGTGCAGTGCATCTATACCGGCGTTGATCATATCGGAAAGAGGTGAAGTCGTTCCTGACTCCGGCCGGGGGAAATTGAGATACCAAACGGCTTTGCAGATCCGTCTGGAGATGCCGTTGGCAGTTCGACGAACGCGTTTCTTCCTTGCAGACGTCACGCCATCAATATCAGGAGCGTGTAAAGATCAGATGTTCTTTGTTGAATAAGATGCCATAAAATCTTTGCGAAATGGTCAAGATATCTCGAGTGCGTGGTAGATATGTGACGAGAAGAGACCGGCGCCTGACTTCGCGCAGTCCGGGTAGCAAGAGATGAGCTTTCCAACGGTCCCGAGGCTGTCGTCTGCCGTGTCGAAAATTGGCAGTCGATGTGGCTTTAATCAATATTTGATGGGAGTCTGCTGCTGCCCCGAGGTGCTGTTGACAACAATATCAGGCAAGATCAGGCAAGATCAATCTTTCCTCGAATCATCTCTCTTGATCTCGAATAAAGTGCTGGCCATCTTCTGGATTTCGTCGTCTTGTATACTGCTCAGCGCAGACTTGATTTGCCCCAACGTATCATCTTGGACTCCCTTCCCATCCCTCGAGTAGACATCGATTCCAGCAGGCGTGAACAGCGTCTTCGCGAACATTGTCACCACCCACTTATTGCCCGTCTCCTGCTCTTCTCCCCAACCCAGCACCTCCCAGTGCGATCCAGCTATCTTGAGCCAGCCCTTGCCTCTCCAATCCCATTCTCCCCTGCTATTGCTAGCGGCTTTGTCCAGTCCTTTGACCGTAGACACCTTGTCGCCGTCGAGGCTTTGGTACGAGACCAGATCATCTATGCGATCGGTCTGATCTTTCGGGACTGACGGCGAAGATGGCTCGAGAGGGGTGTATTGAATCCGAACGTTGCGCTTGCTCTTCCACATTGGTAGTGTCGAATGGGTTACGTGCCATGTTTCTGTCAGCCACGAGATAGACGGGAGCTGGAAGTCGGCTGGTGCTTTTGCCGGTGAGAAAGTAGGCGGGCGCAGTGATATCGATGCCATGCTAGTATGAAGAATAATGCTGCGAGTGAAAGCAGCAATGGATGGAGGACTACATCTTGGTGTCGATTGTGAAGGCACAAAGACAGAGTCTCAAGATTAGACCCGGGCTTGGCGTCATCGCTTGGGGAGGCGGGGCTTTGGACTTCATCGCCACACTAACTCACCAACATCAACCTGACTCACACCTGGAAGGCCTTTAAATACCTGGATCTGGCTGCTGGAAACTGGAATCTCTAGGCCCTTCTCCCCTCGTTGAGCGCTTATGCCCAAGAAGCGCACCTACAACTTCAAATCACTCCAAGGCTCATCATCATCAAGCGGCAAGCAAGCCAGCAGCAGCAAAGATGGCGGCAGCGACAAGGCTGGCAGTGTCAACGAGCGGCTGGGCGAGCTGAGGAGACTGGAAGGGAAAGATGCTATTCAAAAGAAAAAAGAGCTGGCTGAAATCGTCAATCAACGGTCCGTACCTCCAAATGTCCGCGCAGTCCTTGGAGTCCCCGATAGTGAGCCACCAAAGCCAAAGCGAGGAGTGCGAACCAGGATGCCCAACCGCACGCCAGGTCCTGCGCCGCCTCAGAGCTGGTTGAAGAGGCCGGCGTGGTCGCTTGCGCTGACGCTGCGTGATGGACGGCGGCGTCTACGTGGTTCGAGCTCTACTAACGACGATCGTATTAGGCCGAGTGAGTTGTTGCGATTTGCACGCATGACCGGCGATGAGCCAACTGAAGACAAGGCTGGACCTTCGAATTTGTTGCATCTTACACTCAAGACTACCGCCCTGAATTGGGACTTGTTCGACCACGAGGATCTACCAGCGCTCGTCGACATCCCGTTACGGCTTCGTCTGAGACTTCTCGGCTACCTCGCTCACTACGGTCCTCCAATAGACTTGGCCACTCTGGATGCTCTGACTCAAGGCAACGAAGCTGTTCGGCGTCTCGATCTTGCTGGACTATCTGGTTATGGATCGCTCACGTTGCACCGGATTGTGAAGTTTGTCAAACAACAATCGTCCAAAGCCACCACCAGTGCGTCGGCTGATGCTGTCGTGGACTCATGGGATCAAGAGGATAGTTTCGAAGCTGCTCTCACTCCGACGCTGTCTACTTCACGCTTCGCCCATTTGTCCCACCTATCACTATCTCATCCACCCGCGGGCGCTTCATGGCGGGATCTACTGTCCCTGTCGAAACACATTCCGAGCGTGACTCACTTGTCCCTCGCCTACTGGCCGCGACCTACACTGACTCCGAACTTGGCCACCACCACCGTCTCCAGCCAACACAGTCCGGATGTTCAAGCTGGCGGATCCCATTACTATTCCAACCTCGATTTCGATCTTAGCGAACCAGCATCTCTCCTGCGACAGCTGAGCGGCAATCTGCTTTGCTTGCAATGGCTTGATCTCGAGGGCTGTACGGAATGGTTGCCGGCATTGGGATATCATGGCGAGCATGTAGACACTCCAGGCGGCATTAGAGACGGCACGGACGACATGGATGATATGGCTCAGACGCTGTCACAAGTCGACGCCGTCACGAGCATCTTCGTCTACAACTGGAAGAACATTCAGTACCTGAACGTCTCGCAAGGCTGGCTTCCACGCGTGTCTGGTATGACGGCGTTGCGGAAAGATCCCTCGGCGGCCATGCACAGACACATTGCCGAAAAGTATCTCGACAGCTTCGACCCCTTTGAGCTTTTGAGGCTTGAGACGGGTAGCGTTGACCTCTACGATGTCGAAAAACGAAAGGCTCTCATGTGGGCAAAGACCGAGGCCCCAGCACGATCAGCTGCTGCCGCTATCAATCTGGTTCGTCTTACTCATGGCTGTAAGAAGGTGGAGATAGATCATGGTTGGGTGGCAAGGAGGTAGGAATGACAAATAACGAACGCAATAAAACTATCATAACATGATACCCTATCATCCATGCTACAAACTAATCGTCGCCAACTCCGCCATATGCGTCTTCGCACTCGCATAAGGCACCAACCTCAACGTCCTCGCCTCCCCCGTGCACTTCCTCCCCTCCTTCGCAGGCGGATAATCCGGCGTACTCCCCTTATACAGACCCCAATCAATCGTACACCCTTTGACCTCAATCCACCCGGGCGTGGCCCCCTCCGCGAAAATCGGATTCTGCAACTCATACGTAGCCGAATCGCCCCCATCCGGCCCGTGATAAGAGAGTGTCGAGGGATCCACCGCGAAATTCCACGCCGACTCGTTGTGGTACTCGTAGTCTTTGCTCTGCGCCGGGGCGTAGCCTGCAGGATGCTGGGAATTTCCGTCGGGGAATTTGGGCGGCGAGGTGGAGGTGTTGGAGGAAGGGATTTCGAGGGCGTAGAGGAGGGCGCCTTTGTAGATTGCTATTGTGTCGTTTTCGCGCGGGGTGGTGGTGATTTCGGAGGTGAGGGTGTAGGTGAGGGTGGTCGTTCCTTGGGGAATGGAGAGCTTGTGCATGCCTGTTGAGGGGTCGGGGGTGAGGGGGGAGGGTTGGGAGGTTCCGAGGGTGATGGTCGAGTTGGATGTTGCCCATTGCGGGACGCGGACGTAGAAGTCGAAGGGGGAAGCGGCGGTGATGGTGTATTGGAGGGTGTCGAGGAACGGGTATGCCGTTGTGCAGTCGACGGTGACTTGCCCGCTCTTCAGGTTCGCGGTGGCTTTGCCTGGACTGAGCAATGCGTGGGCGAGGCCGTTATCGCCGGCTTGGACGTAGCTGGCGGAAGCGAACTTGGGCCAGCCTTGTGGGTGGTTGACTGTGCAGCAGGGGTAATTGGGCTCGAGGCCGAACGTCTGGCCCCAGCTGTTGGTGTTGTAGAAGGGCGTTGCTGTGAGATTCTCGGCGTAGGGTTGGTTTGGTTGTGCCATGTATTGGTGTGCCCACCAGTCAGGTGTCAGCATCACGGGGAGGGCGTTGAAGGCTGTGAGTTCTGCTCGGTCAGCGTAGTAATTTGTGCCGAGCGCTTGGTAGAGGTAGGATAGGGAGAACATCGCTTCGACTGCTGTGCAGAGTTCGCTGCCGCTGTAGGGGGCTAGACCGACGAGACGCTCGTCGGCGAGGACTGTGCCGGATGCTGCGCCGTGGTATTCCATTGTCCAGTTCACGCCGTTCATTGCGATCTGAATGAAGGAGTCGTCGTGGTTCCAGCGTCGGTATACTGCTGGAGCCTTGAGACCTGTTCAAAGTCAGCAGATTGTCGAGAGTCCAGGGAGACTTGTACCATACCTTGCCCAACATTCACGCCATGCTCATACGCATAGTTAGGACTCGTCAACGAATCCGGCAGAGTATTGAGATCTTTGTCAAATCCCCGATCGAGGTACGACTCTTGCGTATACCAATCCTCCCAGTTCTTCCCTCCATCGTGGAAGTACTTCATGTTGTCAAGAAGGAGCTGGCTCTGGTTGCCTGGATGGTTCTCATACATCCACTGCAGCGTAAGTACCATATCAGCACTTCGGACCTGTCCCCAATCAAAATCACCAGAGCCCAGCGTATCACCGTCGTGATATTGGTAGCCCGTGTAGTTGTCCCGCATCATGCTGTCCATCAACGTGTTGAATGTCTGCAAATGCGAGACGACTTTGTCCGTCCAAGAGCTGTCCGCTTCAGCAAGCTGCGTAAGACCAAGGAAGAACGGATATCGAGCCCAGAAGTTACGGGAGGTGACATTCTCTGGGCCGAGCCATCCATCGTCCGCTTGTCGATCGAAGACAGTCTGCGCAGCACTGGTTACCTGGCCGATCAACCGACTGTCGTTGAGCCCGTAAGCCAAAGGCACAAGTCCGTTGAACCAATATGGGAAGCCTTCGTTGAGGCCTGAGTATTCCTGGTCTCCACCCAGCCAAGACGAATGTGCGACGAATTGGTAAAAGTCATGTTCATGTCCTGCGAGCCCGTCGGCCATGAGTTGCATCTGATCCCGAAGCCATCCTGAAGGCGATATCGATCCAAGTGGCAAAGGCTTGAAAACCAGCGGAACCAGTGAGTTGTTGGAAGCTGACTGGGCTGCGGCAAGAGTAGAGCCTGCTATTAGCGCAGACAGCGTTGAAAGGGACTTCATGGAGAAAGTTAGCAGGGAGCAGATCAGTTTTCTGGAGTCATCTGTAACGTTTAAGGCATTCAGCAAAGACATGTCCACGTCTATATAAGCGATGCTTATAGAACACTAGCGAGTGACCGATCGTCATGAGGGGGAAAGATGCTGCATGGCAGTGCAACCTTCCTTCTAAAACCGAGCCGGTGGTTCGAAGTCTGCTGCGTGAGCATTGCACGTTTTTGGATTTGATGTTCTACTCTTTTGAAAGCGACGTCCCACTGGTATTGTAGGTGATCTGGAGGTCTTGATATCAGAATACCATGCCCATATCCATCAAGGTCTCGTCTTGGCGTGATGTGAAGTGAATGAAAGGACAGAGGGATAATGGATTGACGTCGAGTTGCTCGGTCCCTCCTGCCGTGAGAGAACATGGACTGGTGTCCACTTCCCGACTGTGTCCGTTTATCGCAGCTTTTGGTGCTGCCCGGAAGGAGTCATCTTTCGTGGATCGGCTACTACGTGATGCTCAAGGTTTACAAATAGTTATAGCCTCAAGAGATACTGCATTTGAAGTAGAATCGTTTCATCATCTTGTCGGTAGGCTGCTTGGTACTATTGCGGCCAACCTAGCTTGTCCACAGCCCCATTTCGGCCCCTTGTGCATTGCTTCGACAGCCGTGACGCTTACTTCTCATCATGAAGATGCTCAAGTCTGTCATGCTTCTCCGGCTCTCGATGAGCCGAAACAATCGAACTCCTCCTTCTCTCCACTTCTCTCGCCTCCTCGGTATTGTCGTAGGCAATAAGCAGCTCGCCTCTCTTGCCATACCTGCGTGGCATAGTGTTGGCGACCTTGACGACTGTGAAAGCGCCCTGCCAACCGTGAACTTGGTGGAAGATCTCGTCCATTTCTTCCAGGGATCGATAGGCGGTTTCGGGGTCTGTCATATCGATTAGCTCGTATCGACATGCCGATGTAGTTGGACAGCTTACAGAAGAAGAATACGCATGGGACCATGAATGCGTTGATAACGGCGAAGACTAGCAATGGGTGTTAGCAACATGACCATTAAGACAATAGCACGAATACTCACCAAGGTATGTCTTCCAGCGAATCGAATCAAAAGCAACCGGCGTGACCATGACCACCATGAAATTGAAGATCCAGTTTGCCGTCGTAGCAATCGCATTTGCCGGAGCTCGAATATTGAGAGGCGTAATCTCCGCAGGGTACAACCAAGTCATGCCCAGCCAACCTATCTGCCCTAAAAATTAGACCGCTGATGCCGTTTCGACGATAGTAGCTTACCGCAAAGAAAGAATTGAACACAAATAGAAAGACTGCAGCTCCTATTCCAAGGCTGTGGCTCCGTGGATCGGATGTTGGCACGGAAGTCAAGCCTGCTAGAATGGCCATTGATGCAGCCTGACCTGCAGCGCCGAAGAGCATCAGCGCCCGTCGTCCGAATCGTTCGATTGTGAATATGGCGAGCCAGGAGGCCATGAACTGCGAGCGTCAGTTCCGCATCGCTGATTCTACTTTAGTAGAGGGTGCCTACGTATTCTGTGCCGTTCAGGGCAGCGAGCAGACGGCTCAGGAACGGCGATAGACCGATGTTGTTCTCAAAGACTGTAGTGAAGGTTGGTCTATTAGCGAGTGCTTCGAAGATGATTTGTGGCCATCGATGAACTTACTAGTAGCTGCGTAGTAAGTGATAATATTGATTCCTATACATTCACGTCAATACCCTCCATCAACCGCAGTGGCAAGCAACGTACCCGAGATTTGCTGGAACATCTGATTAACATATGCCAAAGCCGTCCGGTGGAAATTCCTGTTGCGGTTGAACTTGAACATGTCTGAAAAGCCTCCGGAGGCCATCTCGAAGACCGTATCCTTGACGGCTCTGAACTCGTCTTGGACTCTCGGGTCGTCCTCTGTGGTGTCGCTCAATGCACACAGGACCTCCAGAGCAGCTTCTTCCTTGCCCTTGAGCACGAGCCATCGTGGCGACTCTGGTAGACCTGGAATGCCCGCGAGGACCAACAATGCCAACACAATCTGGAAGGCAATCGGGAAACGCCAGCTTATAGTTGAAGGTTCCAAGAAGGAGAATCCTAGGTCGATCCAGTAGGAGATCATCACGCCGAAAACGATCAGGCTTCCCTCTATCATGACCTTTGCAATAGGGTCAGCAGACGGCTCAGACATGAAAGGGGGGTGGGACAAACCATTTGCCCGCGGCGATGGGATTTGGAAGTCTCTGACTGCCAAGTTGGCACGGTGCTCGTGTTCATGCCTGAGAACTTTCGTTAGCAATCATACTACGGGGGTTGAAGCTCCTTCTTCGACTCACCATTCCCGAATCCAGTGATCAGCCTAGCCGCAATGAGCTGGCCCAGACTAAACGAAGAGCACTGAATCGCAGCCCCAATGACCATGATCGTACTCCCGACCATGATCGTCCGTTTCCGCCCAAGGATATTCCCCAGCCATATCGTCGCCACCGCACCGAAGAAGCATCCAAGCGTATATCCACCAACGGTGATACCCTGGACGTTCGAGGCCGTCCCAGAGCTGGTTCCTTCGGGGGGTTGCTGGACGTTGATTTGGGGAAACGTCGCGAGGAAAGAGGGCAGGGTCAAGAGACCGCCCATGACACCCTATCTCAATCATTAGCCTTTCGCCCTTGACTCGCCACTGAAGTCCGATTCACCTGGTCATATCCGAACAGTGCGAAATCAATACCCGCCACAACAGCAATGGCGATGTTGAGCTTCGTGCCCCTGAGACCGTAAAACTTATTCATCTTGATGGACGTCCAGAAAAGACCTTGCCTACACAAACCCAGAAAAAGCTTATAAGAAAGTGAATACAGAAACGAGCCCGAGAACAAGCTCTCTTAAACTCTCAAAGTAATCACTAGTACTAGCCAAGTGACACAAGAGCCTTCAGCAATCGGTATACTTCTACCAGGAAACCGAGCAGGTAGTACAAAAGACCAGGGGACAACAGTACTTAGAGGCCCCTACCACGAGCCGTCGCCTCATCATCGACTCTTCCGTGTTTTGTTAGCGGCAACTGCAGGCTATCAAAAAGCGTGGTCTGGGGTTAGGCTTGCCTCGAGTGCGGAGAAGTTGGGGGCAAGCTGGAGAAACGCGTCAGTGGCGGGCCCGAGATTGCCACGAGACGAGTTCGTGCGGATTTTATGGGGGTTGGTCCGGTGCGATGATGGCCAATGGTTGGTGATGGAGTGCGTGGAGTTGATAATTGATGGTTGGAAAGGGGAAGGTCGTCCGAAGTGTACCTGGGTTTTGCAGTAGGTATGGCGTTTCTCTTTAAGTGATGCGAGGTACTGTGCGAATATTCATCTGAGCGCTGTGTCTGGAAGGGAGATGTCAGTTTGGTCATTCACCTGAGAAAAGGTTGAGTGGATCTCATCTGCCACGCACGTGGTTTTCACGAGAAGACTCACTGAGCCGAAGGTAGACTTCGCCATCAACATCTCGTCGGCCGCCGATCGTAAAGCAACTGCATGTCATCTTTCCTCGATACTCCGTATAGTTCCAAGCTCCTGAAGGACCATATGAAAGCTGGCCTACCTGCGTGTCACGGAGATAGTTCCTTCATGTGAAGGAGGTCAAAGCTGCTGAACAAGAGTCTCCATGCATTGGCTATGGACGCTTGGTCTCGGGGCTGATGCCTAGCGAAATGCTTACTCTCACTCCAATGCTTAATCAATCCCTGTCTCTGTGTCCGTCCGTTGTGTCTCAAAGCCTGATCTCTCAATCAATCCTCTCATAATGCTTTTTTACTTGGTATCAGCCCAACTCCATTAATGCGTGTCCTCTTTCATCCTGTCATAATGCTTTTTTACTTGGTATCATCCCAATATCATCAATGTGTCTCGCCTTCCATCCAAACGCCATAGTCAAAGTCGTCGCTCGTGCTGGGTATCATCATGAAAGAACTCGTAGTCATGTTCGCGGTATTCGCTTTGCCTTATGGCGATATGCTGTGATGAGGTCCTTACTGACGGGCAGCTTTGCGAGCAGCTTCGCGAGCCTGCATATTGCGCTGCTTACGCTTCTCGGCAATGCGCTTGCGGTCGGCCTCAAGGTCATGCTTCATCTTCTGCTCGGCGAGGTAGTCGTTGTAGACCTTTGGATCCATCTGCTCCGTGTCGCCACTGTGGTTGCTCTCAGGCGTACTTGGGCGGGAAGAGCTGAGTCTCATCAGGGCTCTGGCAGCTTTCTGGTCGTCTTCATCATCGCGGGCCTCAGCCTCCGCAGCATCTTGCTCCTCGGCGTATTCGGACATTGGACTGCCGTCGAGCTCAGCTTGAGAATATTTTCCAACGTTCTCAAGCTGGTCCATTGGGAAGTTCTCATACTCGTCCATCACGGATTCGTCAAGGCCGATGGAAGATCTGCCCACAGTGTCCTTGGTATAAGCCGGGTCTGCTTCCTCTTCGATGCTCTCGTATATGTCGCCATCGTCTTCCGCGTCGTCGTCTGTGACGTCTTCTGGGACAATCCATGGGAAGTCGTCTTCGGTGACGACGGTGCTGGTGAAGTAGTTGACTTTGTTGTTCGCCATTTCAAGCTGGGAGTTCTCGTCTAGCAGGTCCTGTATCTCGATTAGTTTTGGCACTCACATCACCGCAAAATGGTAAACACTTACGGTCGTCCACTGCTTGAGTGTCTGCTTGATCTCAGTCAGACGCTGCTTCAGGCAAAGAGATGCCTTGCTGCTCATCGGAAAGCGGTTGTGGAATCCACGATCGATTTCGATCGAGCTGAGATACGCCTCGCCACCGGTATTGATAGTCTTGATGAAGCTCCAACCCAGATCGTCTGCGTGGTGGGTTCGGTCTTGGGACATCTGATCGCCGAGGAAGTGGCGGAACAGGGACAGGGCAATCCAGATGATGATGTCGTTGGAATAGCTGGCACGGCTGATCTTGTCACGGTCATCCGTCGGGTCTGGCCTCGCACGCATGAGTCTCTGAGGGTAGTAGGTCGAAAGACAAGACTGTGCTTTCTTGACGGCGATCTTGATGGTGTTGACTTTGTCCTCAAGGACAGTGAGCACATCGTCCGGCAGTTCGTCCTGCGGCATCTGATCTTGCACGACTGGCATGTAGAATTGTCCTGCGGCGTGGATGAGGGCTTCTTTGAAAATGGCCTTGGACTGAATTCGGTTCGCAAAATCGAGCCATTGGATTGGATTCATGCTGATGGCGCGGTAGAAGTTTTGGCCTGTGGCCAGGAGGGTGGACTCGATTGCCTGGGTGACGATGTGTGCCTAGAAGGCTGTCAGTTTGTGGATTGTGAGGAACTGGTGGTAAAATGAAGTGACTTACGCAGTCGAGGTACTCTGCGACGAGAGTGATGTCAAATGCCCTGGACAGCAGCGACGTCAAAGTGTCGGTCTGCGGGTTGCCCATCTCGAGCGGCATGTTGTACAGGGCGCGCAAGACAGCATCGAAGGCCTGGAAGGTCAGCGTTTGCCGGAGATAGTATCGAGTTAGTGGCCAGACTTACCGTGAAGAGTGGGAGAGCCGCATCGTCCTCACTGAGGTGCCCGGCAACAGCACGGCCGCTGGCATCGAGGTGGACTCGCTCGAACACGCACGGGATGCGGACGCCATTGCTGGCGAACCCCTGTGGGTCAGTGTTGTCCACGAGGACGAGCTGGTGATGGGCGGTCTCATCGCGCAACAGCTCTCTCATGGTGCGGCTGTTGTGCCGCAGGGTGTTGCTGTGCAGCCGGTAGCTGCGCTCGCCCGTGATGGCGATGTCCACATCGCCATCACGGAACGAGGGCAATCTTGAGCTGGCTGCCATCTTCCACAGCACCGAGATGTTGTATGGTGTGTTTGTAAGAGAGAGGCGGCGGGGATGGATGTTTGTTTTGGCGCTAGTGCCAAGAAATCAGGGGGCGAGCGCGCTCAGCCCTTCACATGCTCAGGCAGCAAGGATCAGGAAGCGTGAAGGTCACATTCACTTAGCAGGAGATTATTCACCTGGTGCCCTAAATAGTGCGGGATAGTAGGGTCTTTCACCGCGCAGTCATAGCCGTATTAAAGTATAGGTGAAGCCAGTCCATCCCATCATTTCAACATTTCATCCCCGTCACATTGCGTCCTACCACGACAGTAGAGGGAGCATCGATATGATAGATACCCTGGGGATGATGGGGAACAATCGTTGTTGTGGGCAATAGTACCATCAACCTGTGGGCTTGGAGGGAGGCTACCCAGCGCGAGCCTAACCAGGAGCAACAGCGCCTTTCTCGAGGCAGCCAGTAAGGTATTACATCTTGACAAAAAAGCGCCATCATCTCCGAGAATCCCCAGGCATCCATTGTGCCGTTCATGCATGCAATAACGTGGTCAATGGTGCTGTGTCGGGGATAAAGTTGAGGATGTTGGGTGAGATCGCTTCTTCAGTGTGGGAATCACGGCGCGCTGCTCGCCCCAAGTACTCGTTCGTGGCAAGGCGATAAAAGAGCCTACATCACTTGTCTCCGCAACTGGTACCATTGATCTCCCTCAGGGGCTGCAGACAATGCTCCCACGACCGGGAGACAACCGAAAACGATACACCTGAAGGACCACGAGTGAGAAGGCTCCGCGGCATGCTGCAAGCATCCAGCACGGCAACAGTAGCCCGGGGAACGGAGCGTCTGCGTGATAAGGAGCGGGAGTTGCCGGATCGCAGGCTCTTTAAGCCAGCCAAATCTCCCTCCAACTCCAACTTCTTTCTCCCCCCAGGTAAGCCATCGGGTATGTAAGGCAGGCGGTACCTCTTCTTGATTGAGAGTGTCGTCAGGCAGCCATTTGGGAAATGAACAATCCACCGCTGTCAGAAGCACGTCCGACTGGGCGTGTGTATGATGGCATTTTCATCAGTCACTTGCAGTTGCAATGGCCTGGAGAAGAGTCTCATCGTCGTCCAGGTATCCTCATCATGTAGCCAGTGTGTTGATGCCCGTAGTCTTTGCTGCTCTGATGTGATGTTGCTGTCGCCGCCCTGCTGCTGCTGCTGCGAGGAGCGTGTTGTGAGGGCAGAACGCGCCCGGCGGAGAGCGGTGTAGTCCACCCAGCACATTTCCATCGTACAGAGCAGCATCCCCAGCACTCATAGATCGTCCACGCCCATCAGAGCATAGCCAGCAGACTTGTCCGAGATGCAGACGGTAAGTGTCGGCGCTGTGACGGCCTTCACGTCCTCCGAGGAGATGGACATCGCTGACGGCAGCAAGGAACCACGCGCGATCACGGCAGAGATCCTGCCTCTCTACGAGCCATCCACGCTCTCGCGCACCTCACCCACCAGCCTGCCGGAGTTGGAGCGTGTCTCAGCAGCCGCCCACCCTTGTCAGACCTCCAAAGCAACGTCTCGTCACCACAGTCTGTTCGAGCCAGTTCGAGAGACATCAAAGAGGAGGAAGATAGCGCAGGGGGCGAGCGATGCTTGGAGGGCTGTCAAGAGGGCGGCGCTGAGGGTGAGGGAGGCCACGAGACGACGTTGAGAGGGCGGCAGCAACAGCAGGTAAGATCATCATCCCGCCCGCGTACAGCGTATGGACATCAGGCTTGCGGTGCGGTCAAGAGATGATGGCCTTCATGGCCTCAAAGAAGTCGGTGAGGTCGAATCAACCTCGTACAATGAGGCCCGCATTCCACATCCTCATCACCCCTTGCTTCCACCTAAGAAGCCGGTCATCATCTCCCGACACGATGGCAGAGAGATCTATCGGTCCATCGCACAGTAGCATGGACATCGGACACCGCTGTGGGATAACAAGCTGACCAGGCCTTCCAGCAACCACATCATTTGCGCCGTGTGCAAGGAATCGCTGTGCTTCATCTGCGGTGCGCCAGCAGCAGCCAACTCGAACCACTGGAGTCGGTCGGGTGGCTCTCGCTGCCCTCGCTACAACCAGCCTGGTGCCGCCAATGCCATGTTCGAAGAAGATGCCTTCGCCCTCGAGGACTCGGTCGGAACCTCAATCGAAATCCCTCGTCCAGCCAAGCTCATCCTTTCAACAAACCACACCCATCCCCACCACGAACCCCCATCGATACATGCACCAGAAGCACACGAACGGCACGGAAAAAGAGGAGGATTATGGGAGAGCTCCCCGAAACCAACGACAAGGAAGACATTGAGGTTTGGCCGGAATCGCAAGAAGCATCATTCTTTGCTCATGCTGGATACCCGTCTGCATGAGCCGCAGACCTCAATGCTCTCTGGCAAGGTATCCAGCCGCATCCACGATGATTTCAGATCGGACATCCCGTACATCTACCTGCGACGTAAACTGGATGCTTGGAATCGAGGCTACCATGCATCCAGGAGCCAGCTCCGGAACAGTCCTGAAGCGTTGGCGATTTATTCGCGGAGTCTGAATCCCAGGTTGGAAGCATATCTTAACGAATCGGGCCACATAATTGGAAGAGTCGTCGTCGACAGGTGAAACCGACTAGCCTGGATCCTAAGGCCGAGCCAGATTCATTTTGGATCCGAAAGGCCACACATTGGTATCAACACTCCCATTGACAGTGTTCGATGCTTTCAGGGCAGATGCACAAGAGCTTTTTCCATGCAATACTGGTCACATTGAAGGATGCCTTGGGTCCATGAGAGCTCGATCCTGGATTCCGACAGTTGTTGCCGTGGCGGCCAACGTTCTTGCGCAATCCAAACCAAGCCCTCTCTGCGCATTGGTCTTTATCCAAGGATCTCGTATGCACATTGCTTTGATGCTTGATTTCGTTCTCCTCTACAGGATTTTCTGGCCAAAGAAGGATGCCATATCTCCAGTCTCCAACGTGGGCTTCATGATGGACAAACTATCTCCTGGAGGCTATGCAACCGCCAAAAGCTTTTTCCCAATCACTCTGTCCCTGGGCAGGCCATTTTGAACTGGTTCTTGATGAACACGAACGCCTTGAGTATCGGATCAAAGTCGAAGGAGCAACAGCTGAGGTCGATACCCCTGGTATACAAGCTTCAGCACCAAGCCTTTTCGAGCGACGTGGGATGCGTGGGATGGCAAGGTCCACTCTCACCGACCTCCTTCTTTCTTCGCCTTGCCTTTACTTCCAACTTCTGCGTGCTCAGAAGCCTGGGATCAGGTTACCGTGGCTGGCAATGCGGTGTTGGAATTGGGAAACCCAGCGGGCATGGATGAATCTCTCGGCGATGGGTGTCTGCGCCTGTCCCACAAGACGCGCTGAAATGACCACGAGCTCTGAGAGAGCCTGGCACGCCGGCCATGGCCGTACAGGATGCAGCTTTCTCTGTATAGCGACTCTGGCTTCTGCAGACGCATACCCTAGATGGGTCTTGTGCGGCTGACGACCTGTTCCCTCCTTCATCTCTTTCTTGTTTAGACTGGGCTTGGGACCATCTTGCACCTCCGACACTGTTGAGCTTTCTCTCGCTCTCCAAATGGCCTGGTGGCTCGGATTACAATCGATCGTTGGCGAAGGTCGTGACGATTTGGCGGCGATGGGCGGAGGTCTCGAAGCATTGGCTGTTCTGTCGACACTCGTAGGCGATGGGCATCGCTAATGTTGCTGTGCGAGTCGGCTGGATGTCAACAGGCATTGGGGAAGATGAGCTGAACATTCGGCGGAGTAGGTGTTCGACGATCGATGTGCGTCTTGGATGATTCAACATTCTCTTCAAGGGCCCCATTGTTGAGAAGGTCTGCAACACTAGCGATGCAACAGATGCCTTCACAGAAGCTCGAGATCGAAACGGCGAAGGCTCCGCTGCAGCGAGGGACCAAGTCAGCCGCCAAAATGGTCATCGATCACTCTTTGCCTCAACAGATCGGCTCTTGCCCACGCACAGTCGATTGAGCCAACGTGAGTATTGAGTTTGCTGCACCAAAGCAGAACGGGCAGTTTCCATGAGAGCATTACAAAGACTGTATGTACGACAGGTCTGTCCAATTTGAAGGCTATGCACCACCTTCTATGCCTCCATCGCCTGAGACACCATCTCCGCGGAACTCCAGCTAAGTCGCGAGCCATACACACATCACAGTCTTTACAGGATTCATTACCATTATCATCTCCAGCGTCCCAACCCATCGTCCGACAGCACCCTACACCGTCTCTTTCTTCTGCGGCGTCAGTTCCGCCGCCTCCTGATCCGCCTCTTCTTGGCTACTCGACTCCTGGCCTGGATTCGCCATCTCGTACTCCAGCATCTTGATGAACTTGTAGAAAGCCCAGGCAAGGACTGCACCGCCAACGGGACCGACCCCTGGATAAGATCAGCAAAGCAAAAGAGGCAGGAGGTGGAAACACTCACAATAGATCCAATGTTCGGGATCCCACACCCCGGAGATCACACAGGGACCAAAGGATCTGGCAGGATTGAGGCTACCACCAGTGTAGTACACTCCAACCATTTCGGCAATGAAGAGCGCCATGCCAATACCGACGGGTGCCATGAAGGTTGCTTTGTGCTTCTCGTTGGCGAGCATGTAGATGGTGAAGACCAACTCGGCTGTGAGGAGCGCTTCGATCTGGTCACAGGTCAGAAGAGCTCGAGTGGGACAGGCTTGGATAAGCTTACGAATACGCCACGAGCCACGGAAGTATCAGGGGATAAAGTCGTTCGCACGTTGAACGTGGTTGGGAACAGCACAGATACGATGAAGGAGCTGAAGATGGCGCCTACGAGTTGAGCGCCGATGAGAAGGACTCCTCTGACGACGCTGACGCCCTTGACCATGACCATCGCGACTGTCACGGCGGGATTGAAACTTGGGAGTGTCAGAATATGCACCACACATGAAGAGCAGAAAGGCAGGCTTACAGTCCTCCAGAGATGCGGAAGAATATCCACACGTTGACCATCAAGCTGAAGCCAAAGGACAAGGCAACATACAGCAGGACGATGGGACTGAAGCCGGTGGATGCGTTGGTCGTGGACTGATTACTGCTGTCACCGGCTCCGATATTGGCGACTTGAGTGCCAGCGAAAGCAAAGCTGAGAAGGAACGTTAGCAAAGTCGCCAGGCTGTGCGATAATATACATACAACAGAAACATCGTGGTCCCCATAAACTCTCCCATCGTCGCAACAAAATCTACAACTCAGTCAGCAAGCCATCTCTCAGAACCACACCAAGCCATCAAACTCACGAGCCTTAGCAGACCGATTCATCCACTCCGTAAACGGCAAGCGCATAATCACCTCAGGCGGCGGACTCCGACTACTAGGATTACTCCTCATAGTCCTCTTCCTCTTGACCCTCCTCAGAGGCTGCTCATCGCTCTCGCCATCCTCAGAAGGATCCTCCCAATGAGGATGATACCTGGGCCTCCTCGGCGGACGCGGTGGCCCTCCTGGTCCTCCCCTTCGGTATGACCCGCCCCACTCCGCAGACTCTCTTATCGTGGAGGGACGACGGTACGGACGGTTGTAGTACGGGTCGTCGCCGTACCAGTCGTCGCGGTAGGGACCGGGTGGTGCCACGGGCTTTCCGTAGTCGTAGGGTGGACGGGGCCAGTATCTTCGCTCGTCGTCCCATCCGCCGCCGTAGTCGCTGCTTGGGGTTGGTGGTGGACCCCATCGCATCACTTGGCCTTGTCGGGACGGGTTGCGCTGGGGAGGGCCGGCGGATGGCGGTGGTGGTTCGTCGCGCTCCCAGTCGAAGTCTAGACGGGGAGGACCGACTTCGCCCATGGCGGCTGAGCCTGCGTTACTGGGCTTCCTATCGCGGCGAGCTCGAGTTGAGCCGAGTTGAGGGTTGCCGAGAGGGCCAGCTGCTGCTCGATTGTGGATCGTCGAGCTGTCGTCCGAAGGTCGTTCATCTGGAGGAGTCGGGCGGTCTTCTGGGATAGCGGGTGGAGGGCGATCAGGCTGAAAGCTTCCGTGCGTGGCCATGCCCGGACCAGAGCGTGAGTATGGGTAAGTTCCTCCTTCGACGTCTTGGGTTACAAAACCAAAGTCAGGTAGTGCGTCCGAGGATCGAGTGGAAGCGCCTGAGACAATAGGGTCGTTGGGATGCATGTACAGGAGTGGCAGCTCTAGAAGTATGTTCTGTCACACTACTTTCGTCCAGACATTCGAGATCTTCGGCAGAATCAGATGTGGCAGACTAGACAATGACGATGGCGGGAGGAGCAAGCAACGGTGGAGGAAGGGAAGGATGGAGGTTTTTTCTTGCTACAACCCCTACCGATCAAAAACGATCCTGCCACCTGCTACATGCTGCAATTTACCTTGTACCCTCTTCGTCTACTATGACACTGGCGGAGCCGCAGCAGCATGAGAACGAGTACCTCACCTCTCCACCCAGCCGCGTGTCCGCGATCTGGAGGGTTGCGTTAGCGATCGAGAGGGTTGGTGCTGGGACCCGTCCGCCCTGCGGTTCTGCAAGTCATGCACGATACAGGGGAGAAGCATGTTGATATGAAATTTAGCGAGGTCGACACCAAGCCAGGACGGGGTCTGCGCTCGCAGTGACATCCAACCTTTTTCCCGGATTTCGACAACGAATGACGACTTGCAGAGCCTCCACTTCTGTGCGTTCGGCGGCTGTGGACAGCTCGTGAGCTTCCGGAGGGATGGTTGGAGAAGGCGTGTTTATGCCGGCAATTCTCATATGACAGCTTATTGCTGCCGTGGTGGCTGGCTTTGGGCGAGGAGTTCGCCGCGTTGACGGAGAGCTGGACACCAGATGCCTGTCACGATGCGACATTCGCCATAACGGGAACGAGTCAGTCTTGACATTTTCTTCGTGTTTGTTTTTAGACGGCGCCGTAATGATCCGTGTGCCGGCGGTCATTAACAGGACGAGGTTCCGTAGATTGGCAGTGGCATTTGCAGAAACTGGCAGTGCTGACGGCTGAGCCTGGCGTTGAAACAGGGCGTCTCAACACGAGACCCTCATATGACGGCATGAGCGAAACGTGGCGGTTATGCAGGATGGCTTCGTATCAAAACGAAGCGCCGAAACCGATATGCCTCAGGGTGTTGAGTGGTGAGATGGATGGAGGTGAAGTTGGAGATGCAAGGTTGAGGAGACGGTCGATCCTTCTCTGCACGAACGGCGTATTTTTCAGAACGTGGCCTTGTCGATATTGATGTCATGTTCGAGGGAGACGACTTCCTTGCAACAACTATGCCAACGATAGCCATACATGTGCCTGTGATCATCGGACAAAAGAGATCTGCAATTTGAGATACACCCTTATCGAGACATGGCTGCCACCAAAGCTGTCAAGATTCCGTCACTCATCTACGGTACGGCATGGAAGAAGGAGAAGACTCAGGAGCTTGTCAAGCAAGCACTCCTCAATGGGTTCACTGCCGTAGATACCGCAGCACAAGTATCGGAAATGTTTTGCAGTTCGTCTGGCGATCGTGTGTTGACATGCTTCACAGCCTAAACACTACCAAGAAGACCTGGTTGGAGCCGGAATTCGAGATGCTCTCAAGGGTGGCCAGCTCAAACGTGAAGATCTCTACATCCAGACAAAGTTCACTTCAGTCCATGGTCAGGATCCAAAGAATATGCCACACGATTTAAAAGCCACGATCACAGAGCAAGTAAACGCATCCGTGGCATCGTCGCTCAAGAACCTTCGACATACCGGCAATTTTGCAGATTCGTACATCGATTGCTTAGTGCTCCACTCACCCTTTCCATCGATATCCCAAACCCAAGAAGCATGGCGAGCGATGGAGTCTCACGTTCCACATGTCGTTCGGACTCTCGGTATCTCGAATACATACCAGCTTTCGGCACTGAAAGAACTGTACAGCTTTGCGAAAGTCAAGCCCTCGGTGCTTCAGAATCGCTTCTACCAGGATGAAGGATACGACAGGAATATCAGAGCCTTCTGCAAGGAGAAAGGCATCAAGTATCAGAGCTTCTGGACGCTGACTGCCAATCCGCACCTCCTGCGATCTGAGCCCGTCAACATCATCGCGAAAGAAACCGGCGTGACGAAGCCTGTTGCACTGTATGCGCTGGTCATTGGACTTGGAGATGCCAGTGTCCTGAACGGGACGACGAACAGGCAGAGGATGGCGGAAGATATCGCGGGTATGCAGGCTGTCGAGAAATGGAAAGCTGCGAACGGCTCCGCGTGGGCTCATAGCTTCAAGGCGTTTGATGCTTTGTTGGATTGATGTCGACGGTTTGTCAAGGTCGACATCGCACGAGTACTTTGTGCTGTGTCAAGTGATGGTTACACTGCATGACTAGGCAAAGCTGTCTACCTCAAGTAAGGGTCAGTGGAGGCCGCCCTGGACACCTACGTTGACTGCGAAGCATCTCTGTGGCAAAGACGACGAATAGAGATAAGATGTCTTCTGACGAAAAGGGTGCAGTTTCTGTGAGCGATTCGCTGGGAGGCCGTGACATTTTAGTCCAAAGCATTCAAAGGTATGTTGATACCCCTTCTGCCTTCTTCCACCGTATCTGATTCGACCCAGCCTTTTCCTTAACGATGAATATTCCGACATCATGGTATCTTGTGGAGGCAATCGCTGGCCTTGCCACAGGGCTATCGTCTGTCCCAGATCCAAATTCTTTGCGTCTGCATGCAAGAAGGAATAGCAGGTAAGTAGTGCCCTGGTCTTCTCAAAGGTGTAACAATGCTGACGGGCAACAAGAAGGGCGAGGTCGCAGAGATTCCACTCGAGGACGACGAGCCACACGTCATAAAAGAGATGCTTCGATATCTTTACACTGGTCAATATAACGATGAAGTTCAAGAGCCTGGAGTGGCGGCCTTCCCTCCCTTGCTTCTCCACGTCCATCTGCACACCGTGGGCGACAAGTACGACATCCCCGACTTATGCCATCTCGCACAAGAAAAGTTCGTCGCGAATGCAGGCGACAAGTGGGACACCACAGAATTCGCAGAGGCGATTGCTGAGATGTACGAGACATCCCCAGACACAAAGACTGTGCTACACAAGACCGTCGTGGAAGTCGCCTCGAAACACGCCAAGGAGCTCTACACCAGCGATGCGGGCCAAAGATTCAGGGAGGTTGCCAGCGAGACGCCAAAGTTCATGTCCGAGTTATTTAGTACTCTGGTTATCAAGCAGGATCTCGCTGGAAATGACGAGGCTCGTTATGCGTGCTTGGACTGTCAGAGGACGATTGTGATGGAGAAGATGGAGGGAAATCGCCGGTACCGCTGTTCTATCCGGGGTGTTCTTCGAATAGTTATGCGGGGAGGATGGGGCAGGAGTGGAAGATGCTACAAGATTGCACGACTGGAAGGAAGGGATAGAGATGCTTGTTGTGGGGGCAATCCCAAAGAAAGAATCTTGAATACGCACGTTCTTTTGAGTGAGAAAACACGAATACCTAGCTTCGATCGTCTTCACAGATGGCAGAATCAATTGATGTTATTGGTGTTGGCCGGAAGACGATGTTGATGGACTGTGGAAAAGGAGGTTGACGCCAAGATCCAAAGCTTGGACCAGTCGAGAGCTTTTCGCTGCATCTCGCGACTCGTCTCCAATCCGTCTTCCATCTCTACACATCACCTCCGCAATGCCTCCTCGAATACAACCCCATCGTGTGCAAATACCCTCATCAGTACAATGCTTTCGCACGAGGCCTACCGAACTTGTCTGCGAGCAGACTCGCCAATACCGCCATCTCACCAAACCCCCATATGTCAACCCCAAAATGAAGCGCCTGCGGCGTGACATGCAAGCATGGCTCAATGGACCGGGCAAAGTATTCCGCGAGCCACTACCGGGCAGCACCAACTACATGGCTGCGTATGATAAGCAGGGCAAGCTCATACGAACAAAGCGACAAAATCAGGGAGAGGAAGATGTCGAAGAAGACGCGGTGCCTTTGGAAAAGGAGCCCGAGATCCGGAAACAAGAAGAGGAAGATGGACTGGACGAGCAGGAGATGCAGGCACGATACGAACAGCGCGAGTTCGTGCGGCAACGGAAAGCCGAGCGAGACGCACGTGGTGGGCTGCCGCGAGAGAGGCCCTTCGATCTGAGGCCGTATCCTCTCAATCAAAACTTTCGGTCACAGCCTGTGCTGAGCGAAGACTTGAGAGAGGTCATCTATCAGCAGGTGGCTGTCAATGGTGTCGATGTGTCTACTGTCAGCGCGGCTTTCAGCGTTGATACCAGACGGGTTGCTGCTGTGGTTCGACTGAAGACCATTGAGAAGAAATGGATTGAAGAGGTGAGTCGAACAAGACCTTCCCGTAACCCCTTCTTCAATGATGATTCCATTCAAAATCGATTAGTCTTTAAGACAACTACATGGTTACACAATTTAGCTTTGCGAGCCTCTCTGATATGCAGAACACATTCACAATACCGTCAGCAAAGATTGTTTTCATACAGATGCTGACCTTCTAAACAGAACAAGCCACTCGCAAAACCGTATCAGGACGCGGTAATGGCGATGCTCCCACAAACGCCTTATCGGCCTAATATCCCAGGCAAGATGGTTCCCCATGAGACCATCAACGACCTGCCTGTCCACCCAAAGACACGGCAGCAAATCTTTTACCCGGTCTCAGAATCGAGGCAGTTCACACGAGAGGATGCGGCAAAAGCATTTGATGAGACTCTTCTTCCCGCTGATGAGAGAATCGCTCACCCTGAGCTCATTGCCATTGAGAAAGATACCATTGCTGGCCTCAGCCGGGAAGAGCGTTTCAAAAGACAACAAGAGCGTGACAGAGTAGCTGCCGAGGCCAAGGCAGAACAGGAAGAGAAGCGACGAAGGTGGGAAGAGAAGACTCAGCGAGTTGTGCCTGGTCGACGATGGGACTTCAAGTTCCAAGACTTCAGTGCTGAGAAGGTCGGCAAAACTGGAAGGGCCCGTAATGCGATCGGTGTGCGGTATGGCATGCCGCATGAGGACCGCAAGAGAGGCATGGTCAAGATTCCAACGAGCGTGGAGTGAAGGAAATGCAGATACCATTCTGCTGAAGACATGCCAAATAGGCTGTCGTGTATAGCATTGTACATTATATCAATCATTAGTTGAAAGCCGGCATCGATCATATGTTCCTGCTTTTTGCCTCACATTGTGCATTTTCTCTTGCAGCTCGGTCCGCCAATCCCCAGCACCCCACTTCACCCTCTCCCACCGACAGTACAGGTTCAACTTCTTTCCTACTCTACTCGACCACACACTCGCTTCTATGCTAACCACACAATAACACGCACCATGGCGTCAATCCTCTTCTGGCTCCTCACAGCCACCACCGTCATCACCCTCACCGTGCACCTCCTCCTCTTCCTCGCCCGCGCCCTTCACGCACCCGCCCTCGAATTCTACGGCCGCTCAATCGCCTCCTTCGCCGCCCTCTTCATATGCGCAACCTACGGCACCATCGCCTCGGCATGTCTCAACGTAGTCGGGTACGGCGGGCTCGGGCAATGGACGACCGCGCGGAGCTTCAAGTGGATCATGCTGCTCTTCACAGGCGTGTGGTTTGAGATTGAGGACGAGAAGGACTGGTTGAATACTACAAGGCCGGCGGTTTTCGTGGGCAATCACCAGACGGAGTTGGATGTGTTGTTTTTGGGACATATGTTTCCTAAGTATTGCAGTGTGACGGCGAAGAAGAGTTTGAAGTTTGTGCCGTTTTTGGGGTGGTTTAGTATGTATGAAACGTTTCTTTTGAAGGTTCCTGTTGTGTACGGGGAGAGAAAATGAGGGGCTGACGACTGGGACAGTGGCACTTAGCAAAACCGTCTTCATCGAACGCTCTTCCCGCGAGCAGGCCGTCGCAGCCTTCGCCAAAGCCGCCGAGCAGATGCACTCGGCCAAGCAATCCGTCTACATCTTCCCTGAAGGTACTCGCAGCTACTACGATCACCCGGACATGCTGCAATTCAAGAAGGGCGCCTTCCATCTGGCCATTCAAGCTCAAGTGCCCATCGTACCGATTGTCGTTGCGAACTACTCGAATGTGCTCAACATCAAAAAGAAGCTATTCAGGCCTGGTGTCATTCCCGTCAAGGTGCTCGAGCCGATTTCGACGAAGGGCAATACCAAAGAGGATGTTGATGCTTTACTGGAAGAGACCAGGACGAAGATGGTTCGGACGTTGAAGGAGATTACTGTGAAAGCGCGAGCAGATGGCATTGCTCTGAAAGAGGAAGAAACCAGCGGCAAGATGGCGAACGGGGTCAGCAGTGGTGTTGACACTGCAAAGGCGTGAACGACGATTGCAGATTGTGTTCATGGGCACAGACGAGGAGGAGCTGGCTGAAACTTGGACAGCTGAAGCTGGCAATTCCAAGAAGTCAATGAAGAAGAACGACCGGAAAAGATGAGATGACGCATACATTTGCGATTGATCTTGCAGCAAGATACCCTTTGAGCATATGAAGGCGTTTGGGACAACGCGTGGAACACCTGGGACGGGTCCCACGACAAGGCTGTGCGGTTTCATCAGCCAAGCTTTGACATGTGAAAAATGCCTTGCTTCAGATCTCAACGACACCTGAAAAGAACGAGTTCAACACTCAGGAAAAAATATACTATTTCTGACCGCTCTCAGGATCGCGTGACGTCAGCGGCTCTGGGAGCTGTGCCTCTCCAATTGCTCCCTTGCAATAATGGCCTCCTTCTGAACCAAGAGAAACTTGTCCGACTCGTGTATCTTGGTAAGTGCGCAACAGACGTTCATGCAAGTCAGCCGCTTCTACTTCAATTCCATCCTCCATTCCTCTAGCGTCACCTTCCCTCATAGGCTCCGATGGCCTCCTCTAACAGGGACTCCACCGCCTCTTTCTCCCATCTCTCGAATCGGGCCTCGACGACTTCTACCCTGAGCAAGAAAGGTGAGAGGAAAGTGATCCTCATCACTGGCGCTACAGGAGGTGAGCAAGTCTTCCAAATCCCTCCAACAGCCACCTAACTAACAACTCCCCCAAGGCATCGGCCGCGCCACCGCAGTCACCTTCGCCCGCACAGGCAAATACGACCTCGCCCTGCACTACAACACAGCGAGCGAAGAAGCCCGCCACAAACTCCTGCACGCCATCAACGACGTCGTCTCGGCCGTCATCGACGTCGCCCTCTTCCAAGCGGACCTCTCCTCCTACGACGGCGTGCGCCGCCTGCACCGCGAAGTCTCGGAGCAGTTCAACGGCGTCGACGTTCTCTTCTCGAACGCCGGTTCCAGTGGCGGCGTCACCGGTATTGCGAGTTTGGGCGAGGTGGATATTGAGGTTTTCGAGCGGACCTGGAGGGTCAACACCGGCGGGAGCATTCTGCTCGCGCAGTTGTGTTTGCCGTTTATGGAGCAGCAGGGTTGGGGGAGGATTGTTTTTAATTCGAGCGTGGCGGCGCTCACGGGCGGTGTGGTCGGACCGCATTATGCTAGTAGTAAGAGTGCTTTGCATGGGTTTGTGCATTGGTGAGTTTTTCGTTTCTCGTTTTTCTTGATCGGAGTTCGAAAGCTGATTCTGATGGTGTAGGTTGGGGATGAATGTCGCGAAGAAGGGCGTTACAGTCAATGCTGTAGCTCCTGCGTTGATTACGGATACGAATATGTTGCCTAGGGATGAAGGGAGTGAGAAGAACAAGACTTTGACTGATCGTAAGTTCATCTCCGCTTGATTTCACTCGACGGGCTCTCGCAAGGCTGCATTCGAATGAGCGAGCTCAAGAATGACCGAATTCTAATCTGAATTGTTTTCACAGGAATACCCGTCGGTAGACTTGGACAGCCGGAGGAAATCGCAGAGACTGTCTTATGGCTGGCGAATGTTGGCTATGTGACGAGGAAAATTATAGGCATGGATGGGGGGTCTTATCCTTTCTAAGAACACTAGACCTTTACAAGTCCTTGAAGCGGTGTCCGGGTTGTTTGTTTTTGATCTTTATTTTTATTCAACTATGCAAAAACCTCTCGAAGCCAAAATTATAGCCAAAAAGAAATGTGAAAACGCCCTTTGATCTTTTTTTTTCACGGGGCATGAAACGACAGTATTCTATCAGAGACCAACAAAATGATTGAATCGATTCAATAAAGAGAATCGATGAAGGCAAGAAAAAAAAGCCAAAAGGAAGGTAGGAAGTAGGTCTCATGAAGAGCAACTTGATGAACCTGACCTGTCGGGATTGTTAGACACTGATCGAACTCTTGATGGATCTTTGTTCAACATACCCGATTTGAACGGATGACCTTCTGGAAACTCCATGAATTAACTGGAATCAGACGCGCTACCGCTGCGCCACAGCTGTTGAGACCTCGTTAGCAAGGAGGTTCTTGGTGCTCCGACTTAAGTGGAGCTGTGACTTACGTCCAAGATTGGATGCGGTGTGATTGGTCATGTGATTTTTGGTTTGGTTTATGTAGCTCAAACTTTTATTGGCCGAGAGAAGCGCCGAAGGTCGAGTCGGAATTGCAAGGACATTGAGTGTTGTGGCAGGGAACTTTTGAATGATGGTTTCGTGGGTATATGTGAGATTTGAGAGTAGTTTTGAGAGATATAACGACAAGAGCAGGTATAGAAAATGATTCGCAGTCGCTCAAGGGCGCAGATGTGCGTTTGATGGCATGGTATATATTCGAGTAAGGGAAAAGTCTGTTGCAAGATCAATTCAGGTAGAGAGCATGGGTGGGCAACTCGGTATTTGAGATGCTAATGCTCGATCTTGACACCAGTTTGAGGCAGCGTGACATTCATCGACCGCTCGGCAACTTCTGCAGGTCGTCAACAATGATCGATATTACGACGGCGCTGCGATGGATCCTGAGGTCCTGGTGACGATAGCTGTGTCGAGTTGCTACCATAGAAGGTGGCGGCGGCTCCAGGAAGTCATTGTATGTCGCCAGCGCTGGGTCCAACACTGGCTATTGGGGCATTCAGAAGGCGTTTCCTGGTCATCATTGACAGGAATTCCCATAGCTGCAACTCTTTGGACGGTGCAGAAGTCCTTCGCCTCATTCGTTGCTGCGCTATCCTCCGAATTCGTCGAGGTTGCCTTCGAGTTGTGATCTCTTCCGCCAGTTGGCAGATGTGTCATCAGAGACTTTGGAGTATGGATATTGAGATATGAGACTGCTGCTCAATAAACATCAACCTGCTTCTCCATCTTCGTCCGCCGCCGCCATTCGTTCCGTATCCGCCTCGCTTCCTTCTCACTGACCCACCCATCCGGACGCTCTCCGTTCTGCCAGCCAGGCTCCAGTCTCCTTCTCCGTCTTCGACTGGGCGCAGAACTTGATCGACGATCTTTTCCATCAGAACTCTCCGGCCTTATCAAACCAGCGTCGACAAGCAAAAGCTCGAATTCAGGCCCAAGTGGAAATTCTGAAACTCTCGACGAATGATCGCAACATGGTGACATCTTCAAGGGGATCAGCCACTCGTGCACTTTGTACCCGAAGACCGCCGTAAAGTTTCGATAGCCGCTGCCCAGATTCCATGGGTTCAGGCCAGGTGGTGTATGAAGAATAGCAAAAGTCCGTCGCTCTGGAGCTGGAAGTGGAGGGCGATCAATGGGGAGGTGCAGTGGATAAGTGATTGTGGCCTTCCAGATTTTAGACCTCGCCGGAGAATGAGAGCTTGGTGGCTGTGGTCGTTTTGGTGGACGCGGTTGACGAGTAAAGTAGTTGACGTGCGATGGGTCATCGAGCTCGGAAGTGAGTGGCCGCTCGCTGTCATTGTCGTCTCCTGGAGAGAGCTTGGCTGGTGGTGGAGGCGCTAGAGGATCCTTTTGTAGTTCTGGGGGCAATATGACCGCCAGATACAACCTCCTGCTGACCCCTTCGATGGTGGTTGTGTTCTGGAACACCATATGCAGACTGTTGATAACCATTCCCGTCGTGAAAAGAAGGAAGAACCCAGCAAGGGCCAGTACCACGAAGAAGTGCACGGAATGCGAGTACTTGGAAATGAAGTACCCGAACACAACCGTCAGGTAGCACGTCAAGATCATCGTATAGAACAGGAACTGGACGAAGAACTTGAAGCCTCGTTCCCCAACCACACCCCCAACCCACGGACAGAAGTGGTCCATCTTCCTGGTACATCGTGCCACATCCTGGCTGTGGTGGGTCCGGTCCGGCTTCCAGTTCTTGCAGTACTCACAGTATATCGGCATGCCATTCGGATCGCAAACGAAGACATCTCGGGTCCAGAATTGCTCAATGCCAGGCGCAGGCTCACTGAGCCGGCGTTCTTCCTCCGGGCCTCGTGGGATATAGCCTGGGTCTCTCAAGACCACCAGGAGTAACCGTAGCCATGTGGCTGCCACTGGAATAAGAAGTACAAAATAAACAATGGGTATCGCAATGCCAGCTGATATCCGTCTAGGGATGTCGTCTCGCGGAGGATTGATAAGATAGTTGATGCTGAGAGGATCGACGACTGCCCAACTGGAGTAGACCACGATGGCGACCAAGAATGCCGGGATGAAGCGAGCCGTCCAGATGCTGGCCTTGACGGAGGCGTTGCTGCGAGGGCTCATGGCCGCGACCGCGATGGCCGGCGGCCTGGTGGAAGATGTTGATGCGGAGGTCAGCACATTGTTGCTGGCTGGCAGATGCTGCTTTCAAGTCTTCCCGGCCTTCCTGCACCGTTCGTTTGGTGGCGGGTACGCCAACGGCCAGTCGCAGCTCATCCTTGCAAGCGCCGCGATGTGCCGAAAGCTTATTCAACGACTTCACTCACTGTAACTCTGTTGGCTTCAATACCACAACTGCAATGATTTAAAATTTCAGACATGGGCAAGACAAGAAAGAAGGAACTCGACAGAAATTCATAAGTCCGCGCTGCTCAATTCAGTGAAGGATCTTTACCATGTCCTTACAACCATTTACGATCGACTACAGCGGTCAAACATGCCATCTCGCAAGTCCTTCACATTAAATTTCACAAAGACTCTAGATGGTTTCCACATACTCGCCATCGCATACGGTACGCACTGATATGAATTTCAGAAACGCATACCAGATGTCTCCGCCAGAACAGCTTCTGCCGAGATGCACAATATCTTCAGTGAGACACTGCGACACAGTCTCAATGCTCATCATGAAACCGCGTAGTATCTCAGGTGCCTCGAGACAACCTACACTCACCGACTCAAGATGTAGCAGATCATATATAAACAGAAGTCTGGGCAGGTAAGAGCAGCCATTCAGCGCTAAGCTTTCCACATACCACGAACTTCGACAGCACATCACACGCAGCCGCGAACAGACCATCGTCCTTCAGCTTCCTCTTGTTCACTACAAAGCGCCTCTGTAGTTCTTTGCCATCCTTTCACATACAATTCACGCCAATGGAGAGCCCTCAGAGCCCGGATCACCAGCCATTCTTTAGGGATGGCATAGAGTCTCCGCCCACATCTTCCAGCTTCTACTCCGGCTCACCAGCGACATCTTCCATCACAGAAGAGTCAAGCTCAAACACGGACTTCTCAATCCAACGTGTGCACGACAACCACGAACTCAAAAGCTCCTCCAACCTCGAAACCATCATCAACGACACCACAACCCTAAGCAACGAGCATCACGCCCACGCAGAAGAACTCAAGAAGGAAAACACCGCCCTTCGATCCCAGATCCCAGATCTCCTCGACGCCAAGCAAAAGCACGAGGAGCGAGAATCTTCGCTGGAAGACCAACTCTACGAACTCAGATTAGACCAGGTCTTCTGGATCGATCGGCACGAGCGCAGAATCCTGGAGTTACTCCAGTGCCGTGAGCGTCTGCAAGAGCGGTCGCAGGAATATGTAGATTTGATGGCTGAGCACGGGGAGTCTGCTGCAGAAACAGCGACTACTGAGAGGCGGCTCCGCAGGTCGTGCGTTGAGAAGCAAGCTGAGATTACGCGCTTGCGGTTGGAAGGGGAGGGGTTTCGTCAAAAAACGCCCGCCTGAGGAGTGTACTCAGAGAAGCCGATGTGATTGATTGTGTACTGCTTCTGATGCTTTTCCTCTCGATCTGTTGGAATTGCAGCTAGAGCCGGAATGGTTGGGCAACATGTAACCCAACTGTGCGAATACTCTCATTAATCTGCTCGGGGCGTGGCAGCGGTGACAGTCAGGTGTACGTTTCAGTTGAGAAGAACAAGAGCACGGATTGTCGACTGAACGCCATTGGGTGGGGGTGTGGAGGCATTGTCGATATGTCAAGTATGTTTAGCCTTGATGTTCTTTTATCAAACAGTCTCAAACACCAACGACACCCCATCATCTCCCGCCGTTACAACCCTCTTCCCCCCACCACCCTGCACAAACCCAAGAATTCCGCCTCCCTCGCCACCACCCCTATGCCCTCTCCACTCACCAAGCAGACCCTGTGCAGCTGCAGCAGTACCGCCTCTGACATCCCACCTCCTTACAACACCATCATTCCCACACGACGTGAGCGTGTGTGCTCGCTCATTCGCAGTCCCAAGTGGAGTCTTGACGAACTCGACCTTGATCACCGCTTCCTCCTCGTGAGCTTCTCGGATATGCCGCCGTACGGCAAAGTTATGTGCTGCATCGAAGAGGGCTATTGAGCCATCCACAGATCCTGCGGCGAGGAGTGTGAGGGGCGGTTGGGAGAAGTCTAGAGTCTCGACACCGTCGCTTTGGGCTTGGAGACTGGCGAGGATCTGGCTTGCTTGGCCGGCTGATGCTGGTGCTGAAGAGTTTGTCGGTTTGGGACCGCCGGCCTGCTTTGCACCACCGGCTTTTGACTTCGCTCCTGCGCCTTTGGCGCCTGCTGTGCTGTTTGCGGGTACTGAGAGACGTGGGAGTCCGACGACGCGGATGTGGCCTTCTGCACCTCCCACGGCAACGATGCCGCCGCCGGGTGAGACTGCAGCGCTGTATAGACCTCCGTCGACTCTGAACCTCTCGTCCTCGCCTGTCAATCCAATGACTGCTTGCCCACCATTCGGATCCGTCACGCCCGCTGCGGCTGCGTCGCCAAAGACATCCCACACGTATAAGCTGCTGTCCTCCGCCACTGTCGCAAGAAGCTTGCCATCCGGAGTCCAAGCACCAGCTGTACAAGCCGCCTGATGAAGGAAGAATGTCTGAACAATGGTGAGCGGCGTCGAGGGATCCGAGGCGTTGATAGTGTACACCCAAACAGATCCATCATTGGCACCAAAAGCAATCGTGTTCGGGTACGCAGCGTTCGGGCAAGGCAGCATCCAATTGATCTCCTCGACCTCCTTCGCCGAACCCACCAATCGTGAAGGCGCGGAATCTGTAGGTGTGGTGTAGACATTCAACTTCCCAGCAAGCGTCGCAGTAGCAACATATTCCCCCTTCGGCAGCGTAAAGCAAATCGCATTGACACTCTCATCCTGCTCTTCCAACCTCGCAATCACCTCTTGTCCCTTCCTCTCCCGTGGTTGTGGGTCCGCCTCATAGCTCGCCGGTAGCACAGGTCCCTCCGGTGGTGTTGTATCCCAAATATACGCGATATCGTCTCCGCCTCCTGTTACGACGATCTCGGGTCGCGTGGGGTGTTGCGCTATGCAGAATATGCTGTCTTTGTGGACGTCGAAGTGTGCGGCGCTGTCGTTTTGTAGTTGGATCTCTTCGACTGTGGTGTCGCCTTCGTCGCCGGAGTCCATGGCAGCATCTTCGCCTTCTTCGACGATTTCTTCCGCCTCGTCTGGATCGAGCATGGCTTCATCTTCGCGGTGCTCTTCTTGCTGCGGGGGGCCTTGGTCCGCCATGTTGAGTCGGAGGGTTGCGGCGGGCTTTTTCAAGTTGGCGATGCTGTTTCAGAGGGTTCGGTTGACGAGCGGGCGAAATAAGTAGTTGGCCACGGCTTATAAATTCAGAATCGCGAAGCCCAGAGAATTCGAAGGTTTGACGTTTCGCGGTATCGATATCGGTAAAGCCGGCCGAGCCCTAATCAGATTTTGATCAAACATTCAAGAGCGAAGAACGACGCAGATGATGGGGATGTTGGAAAGGTCGAATACATTGGCGCAGCCGGCCTACGCAATACTAGCTACAGTCCCCAACCGCTCCGAACGTATCGTACAAGCCATGTCGTCGCTAATCCGTGGCAAAATCAAGTCATCTGCGACCCGATGTGAATTCGTGACCCCTGAGTCAAAGAGCGATGCACAGCCTCCGGCATGCTCTCTTTCAGACAGTGCTACTGCCCTCCAAGCATAGCACTGATACCCTCCTCATCGACACCTCCAACACCTGCACCAAAGATCTCATCATCGACGTTGTGGCTCAGCTTTCTCCTTTTCAGGCGCGGGTCTCCTGGGTTGCCTCGTGATGAAGATGAAGGAATCTCACCTGAAGCCTGCCGTATCTGACCTTGGCCGGACATCAGAGTCTTGAGAAAGTCTTCGGCACTAGCCTGAGCGCTCGCATCGGGCATGGCAGGCGGTGGGACGAATGCTGGTGGAGGTTCGTTCTGGCTTGGCGGTTGTTCTTGCATGTAGTCGGCGCCTGTAGTGCTCGAGTACGCCCCATCTGCAAACGTGCCGTCTCCGATAAGACCGTCATCTCCAGTGATAGGAGGCTCTCCTTGAGGTGGTGGGGTGAATTCTTCGACGTCCGGTGGTGGCGGCGTGAAGCCTTCAGTCTCGGGGCGTGGTGGCTCCGACATGCCATTCGGAGTTCCATTTGATGGAGGAGCATCTGCGCCTCGCATGATACTGTCCTCTACCTCTCTGATCGTCGTCTCCATGCTGTCAATCTTCGACCGAAGCTCCAATGCCGTTGTTCGCTCCTCAGCCGCCTTCGCGCGGTGGCTCTCCACAAGCTTCTCCAATCCTGCAATCAATTCATTTCGTGCTCTGATGCTTGCTTCTACAGCACCCTCCGCCGCCATCAGGTCCTTCACCAGACCTCTTAGCTTCGCCGCTCTCACAGGTGCTGAGGGGACTGGTGTATTCGGGTCGGTCATCTTCGCGTACTCGCCGTTCGCCGTGTTCACTGGGGTCTTGCTCGCCAGCTCAGCTTTACTCAAAGCCAGCTGACTCTTGTTCAGAGCTTCAAGTTCTGGAGCGACGCCTGCGCCACTGCCACCAAAGAGGCTGCCTCCTAGTCTTCCACCTCCTCCACCCAGACTCTTTCCTCCCTTTTGCTTGTCGATCTCGTCGAGTTGCTTCTCGATGTTCGATTGGATCTGCGGGTCGAAGATGCGTCTCTCGCGCCATACTTCAATGACCCTCCGGAGCTTTCCTTGAACATCCGGGCTGGCACCCTTGTAGGCGAGGGAGGTAGCTTCTGCGATAATCGGTTCGAACGCGACCAAGAAGTCGGTTTTCGAGCGGGCACGCGACTGTTGCACAACTTCGTTGGCGAGGTAGACGAGGTTGAGTCGCTTGGAAGTGCTTGGGCTCTCCTGGAGACGATTGAGCCAGAGTGAAGCGGTACGGTCGGCGTGACGGCGGTGGAACATGATCCATTGAGCGACAGTCACGATGCTGTCCTGAGTCTCATTCAGGGCAGCCAGCTTGGCCTTGACAGCATCATCGGAGTAAGCCATGATGTGTGGAGGCGTCGAATGTGATCAAGGCTTATACACTCGCTCAGCGACTTTCTACTTCACTCCGACTCTCATTCAGCGTGAAGTGTAGTGAAGTGGTTCAAGTTGCGTGGAGGAAGAGCAAAGTTGGAGATGTCGTGTCGCGCACGAGCTTGACTTGCGCCGGAAGTTGCCGACGGAGCTGGGGAGGCATCTCGCATTGAGACACACATGCCGGCCCAACCATCAATCAACCCTCACATTCACCACCAACCACTCCACCCTCAAACGCCACGCATTCCCTCGACGAACTCATCACGTCACACTCTATATCGAGGATTTCACCACAGCGGAAGCAGGCCAGGTGCATCAACAGTGGGAAAGGAGCAAGCTGTCAATAGGCATCAGCAGCAATGGCAGACCGATTCCCATCGTTGGACGAGTTTGATGCTGGTACAATGATACTCAATGCAGTCTTATAGGTATACATCACTAACTCTCTTCAGGCCAAACCGAAGCAAAGGGCGATGCGACTCTAGACAACCTCGATTCAGCAGACACCTCCGATTTCCTGGCTCGTGAGCGCGCGGCTCTGGGAGAGGATGCCGATCAATTCACGACCGCTGAGGACAAGACCGCAACCGTTGCTGATGCAGGTGACGATGACCTGCTGGGAGGAAGTGGTCCTACAAATGGCGATGCTGTTGGAGGTGACATGATGGGCGACTTTGAGTCGTCATTCCCTGCCGTTGATACGTCCAACGAAGCCGTCGCGCCTGGAGGAAGCATCACTGGCTCGACTATGCCTTACCGCGCACCTCAGACCTCCGAATACCAAGAATACGAGGACGAGCCGGAAGTGTTGCGGGAATGGCGCGAACGTCGAGACCTGCAGATCCAGCACCGTGACGAGGTTTCGGCGTCGAAGAAGGCAGAGACGGTCAAGGCGGCACAGCAGGCAATTGACGAGTTCTACGAGAACTACAACAACAAGAAGGACAAGCAGATCGCACAAACACGAAAGGAAGCTGAGGAGTTCTTGAAGAACCGGGAAGACACTACTGCGGGTGGTACCAGCTGGGAACGCATTGCCAAGCTCGTAGATCTCAGCGGCAAGGGCACGACTGGTGGTGCTGCTGGTAGTGGAAAGGCCAAGATGAGGGAGCTGCTGATCAGCTTGCGGAAAGACGAGAAGGCCCCAGGCGCCACCGGCTATTAAACGCACGGGATCTACGAAATGCAAAAGTGTGGATGGTATGTCAAGCACGAGCGGGTTCGGCAGTCTGGTAGTTGAGCCGGGTGGCTCAGGCTCAGGGGAGTTCGGGCGTATCAAGCGCTGGACGTTCGCTGTGGCAGCTTCACGGCAGGTTAGGATAGAGAACCTTGTAACATACACTTTTAACCCCCAGACGAGCGCACAGCCATTTCTCGCCCATTGTCTTCCTCTATAATCATGCCAGCATGTGATATTTGTGATATGGTTGTCAATCAAGCTTTCGGTATCGGCGCGCTAGCTCGGTCGACCTCGCAGCTCAGAGATCGGACTACAACCGCGGAGGTCCTTTGGCCTTTGACCGCGAGAAAGCAGTACCACACTCCAACCGCTACGACATCGACCAGACCTTACCCCAATACGTTCGCCAAACCGACATCCCACCATTGACGTCTCGCTCGAACATACGGATTCAATCCCGCATTCGCCTCGGCCGTTCACTGCTTGTTGTTCACCGCGTCATCGACTACACCATGTCGAAGGCTGGTTGCCAGCGATAGTAGAGGGGCAGTAATATAAAAGTGCTGTTGGAGGCAGCAGGAGCTTGACAACAATGGCCATGCGCGGGCCGAATGTGTTTGCGCGCCGGGCGTGGGATAGCCTGGGTAATGGAGCGCTTTTCACGCATAGAATACCGAGCGCTCCTGTGCGAGGGTTCATACAACCGCTGTCAATTCCGAAACAGAGAAGTAGCCCATCTCAATGGACCGGCATAGGACAACAGCTCCGATGTTTGTCTACAACTCGAACCCCGATCCGCCCCACCACTGCTCTCGTGAGGCGGTCTATATCAGCCAATGCCCCTCAGCACCGCGTTCTGCAAACGACTACGTCCAACAGTGAGGCACAGAAGGCGCAGCTTGCAAAGGAACAAGGTGTTAAGGAGACATCATATCGAGATGAGGTCAAGAAGGCCAATGACCCAGCGGACGAAGAGGAAGACGAGTCCATGGCGTTTAGGAAGACAGAACGAGCGGCCCAAGCCTCGCAGGTCAACCTCAGTGCGAAGTTGTCGAGTCATGGCAAAGACGGTGAAGGCAAGACTGGAGGAACCGGCAAGGAGATTATGCGACTGTTGAGGATTGCGAGACCCGAGGCTCGTACTCTGGGCCTGGCCTTTGTATTCCTGCTCATCAGCAGCAGTATTACGATGACCGTGCCTTTCAGCATTGGAAAGATCTTAGATGCAGCTTCGCAAGAAGAGGGAACCCTGTTTGGTCTAAAGACTGAATACTTCTACATTGGACTGGCCACCCTTCTGGCGACTGGCGCGTGCGCGAACTACGGCCGCATTGTCCTGTTGAGGATCGTTGGCGAACGCATTGTGACGAAGCTTCGAAGCTCGCTTTTCAAGCGGACATTTGTCCAGAACGCCGAATTCTTCGACGCAAACCGTGTAGGAGATCTGATCAGCAGACTTGGAAGCGATACTATCATCGTCGGCAAAAGCATTACTCAAAACTTGTCGGACGGATTGAGATCACTGGTCTCCGCCACTGCAGGTCTGTCGCTGATGGCATATGTCAGTCTCAAACTGACTGGGATCTTGGCCATCGCCTTCCCGCCAGTCGCGATTGGTGCTTTCCTCTACGGTAGAGCAATCAGGGATCTCTCACGCCGTATTCAGAAGAACCTGGGTACTCTCACCAAGATCGCAGAAGAGCGCCTTGGAAACGTGCGAACAAGCCAGGCCTTCGCCGGAGAGCTGCAGGAAGTCCACCGCTACAACACTCAAGTTCGCAAGATCTTCTGGCTTGGGCGAAAGGAGGCTTTCATCTCGGCCACGTTCTTCTCGGCATCTGGATTCATGGGCAACATGACATTCCTTGGCCTGCTCTACGTGGGTGGCAGTATGGTCAAGTCTGGTGTCATCACCGTTGGCGATCTCACCACGTTCCTGATGTACACTGGATATGCTGGAAGCAGCTTGTTCGGTCTTTCAAGCTTCTACTCCGAGTTAATGAAGGGTGTTGGAGCCGCCAGCAGATTGTTCGAACTCCAAGATCGCGAGCCCACTATCTCTCCAACCAAGGGCGATATGGTCAAGAGCGCCCGTGGTATCATCGAATTCAAGGATGTGCAATTCGCATATCCCACAAGACCAGCGGTCAACATCTTCACAGACTTGACATTCAAGATTCCTCAGGGCAGCAATGTCGCTATCGTGGCGCCTTCAGGAGCTGGCAAGTCTACAGTGGCGAGTTTGCTAATGCGCTTCTACACCCCGACGAAAGGGACGATCACGATCGCCGGCAAAAATATCAATGACATGAATGCCAAGCAGCTGCGCCGCAAGATCGGATATGTTGGACAGGAGCCAGTGCTGTTTTCTGGAACGATTGCCGAGAACATTGCTTACGGTAAACCTTTGGCTTCGAGGAGCGAGATCGTTGCCGCAGCACGACAAGCGAATTGTCAGTTTATTAGTGATTTTGTGAGTCTTTCATATACACCATATTTGACAGGTGCTAACGATCATTTCAGCCTGACGGCCTTGAGACGTTTGCCGGCGCTCGTGGCACTCAACTCTCTGGGGGCCAGAAGCAGCGGATTGCCATTGCCCGTGCCTTGCTCAAGAACCCCGATATCTTGATCCTGGACGAAGCGACATCTGCGCTTGACGCTGAATCCGAGACACTTGTCAACCAAGCTCTACAGACTTTGCTCAGAGGCGACAACACTACGATCTCCATCGCGCATCGTCTCAGCACCATCCAACGCAGCGACAGCATCATCTGCATCGGCGCCGATGGCCGCGTCGCACAGACAGGAGCCTATAGTGACCTCATCAAGGACAAAGAAGGCGCATTCGCCAAGCTCATGGAATGGCAGCTGTCGGGAGGACAGCCCGAGACGGCAGCCTCACGACGCAAAGGACCAGACGAGGAGCATGAAGAATTGACGGAAGAAGAACGCATGCGCAAGAGGCTGGAGGAGCACGACCATAAGCATGGCCGCGAAAGTCAGCAGGACGACGATGGACGGAGCCCCGATTCCAGCCTGGAGGAAGAAACCCAATGGGAGGCCGTCAAAGTGAAGGACTCGAGGCAGGTCGCCGCCGAGACGGTTGTGGAGAAGACTGGTATGAGAGATGGGGGACCTGCCAGTCGGAAGGGGTATGGTGATTGATTCGATCGACTCCACACTTAGATGAAAGACTATGGCGCATGAAGTAGTATTAGACGCGGGACTAGACGTCGGCTTCGGCATGAGAAAAGGGGAGACGCGCGAGATTTCAACCATGCATTAACTCAGCTCAATGAGAAAAGGAACTTTTTGACGCGGATAGACTTCATCACAAGATCTCTCGTTCGTTTGCGAAGCCGCTTCCCTAGATGTCAGCCTGCTGCTCCAGTCTTCAGCGTGTGAAAAGTCGCTTAAACGACTTGCAGTGATCAGAGGAGAATGGGCGTGCAGACCAAGGATCATCTGTAGAATGCGAAGAACATCTTCCAAACGTTGAGAATTATTCTTCCTACCCAACACTATTCATCATTACAACAACGGAGATGAGTGCTCTGGTCGCTGACAACCACTTGCACACATACCCTCACTCCGATCTCTCTTCCATTCCCCTCGTAAGTCTTCCCTTTCTACTGTGCCAACCTAAATCGTCCCGACGCTCCTCACTCCACTCCACGGCAGCACTGCACTCGCCTTCCTCTCCTGCGTATACCTGCAATGCTTTAGCCTGAGAACGTTGACGTAACTTTAGAATCGCTTACCTAGACGCAAGACTCGCCCTCCTCTCCACGCTTTCCTCCTCCTCATACGTCGCATCCAACATAAAAGGACTATGCGCGCGGATCGTCTCCCCCTTGACCAAAAGAATCACGGGCACAATACTCAACACCAGTCCAATCAATCCGAGAAGCGTGGACGCCCAATGGAAACCTAGCGTGCGATACATAGCGGGCGTGGCGAAGGGCAGGAAGGCGCCTGTCACGTTGCGGCCCATAGACGCGGCGCTGAGGGCGGATGCGGCGTATTTCTCGTAGGCGTCCGCGAGGTAGTTCACGACGGCGAGGTAGATGCTATAGACTCCTATGCCGACGCAGGCGAGGCCGAGGGTGGGGACGATCCAGTGGAGGGAGGAGTAGGACGCCCAGCCGTACCAGATCATGCCGACGCCGAAGATGACGGAGCCGGGGACGGCGAAGTAGAGGCGGGCTTCGGGGATGGGTTTGCCCGGGCGTTCGAGGTTGCGTTTGGCGGAGTTTAGGTAGAGGTGGTCTTGGAGGGGGTTGATGAGGGTGGCGAGGACGGCGCCGACGCAGATGGCGAGCTGGATGAGGGAGATTTGGAAGGTGTTGAAGGCGTAGAGTTTGGCGAAGACGATGGCGACGCTGGACTGGAAGAGGAAGAGGATCCCCCAGGCGAAGCTGACCCAGATGGTGAAGGAGATGACGACGAATTCGGTCGCGAGCATCTTGGTCGGGCGCATGAAGGAGATTTTGAGGGCTTGCAGGATGCCCGGTTTGTTGATCTCGAAGCGCGCGTAAGCGTTGGGGTAGCCGTTCTTGCGCAGTTTGGCGGCACGTTTGGCGAGGATCACGTCGCCGCGGGTTTCTTTGAGGATGATCCAGAAGAAGGGGAGGAGGCCGGCGTCGACGATGAGTTGGATCCAGTATATCCAGCGCCAGTTTAGGCCGCTTTGGATGGCGCCGCCGATGAAGGGGCCGAGGGCGATGCCGACGACGCTGGTCATGCCGAAGATGGACATGGGGAGGCTGCGTTGTTTGTCGCCTTTCCAGATGTCTGTGATTGTGCCGCCGACGATGTTGATGGCGACTGAGCTGGCCCCTCCGCCGAAAAAACGTGTGACGAGGATCGTGGCGAAGTTGGGGGATAGGGCTGGGGGGATAGGGCTGAGGGGATGAGCCAGATGAGGAAGAATATGTATGAGACCTGGGAGGTGTGAGTTCGAGACTGAGATGTCGTGTGGCAGACTTACGAAGTATCCTGGCATACGTCCAGTGGTCTCGGTCAAAGGGACGAAGACTAGAGGGAAGATCGCAGCTCCCATATTCCAGGTCACCAAGGCGAATGAGAGGAATGGGAACGATTGATTGTCGACGTTCCATTCATCCATCATCTGGGCACTAGCCGCGCCGTAGGCACCTGCTGGGAGGCCGGTCAAGATAGATCTAAAAGACGCCAGTGAGCTACACCCTTGAGACTCTTGTGTATTCGCAAACCCACATAAAGCATGTTGTAAGGGTTGCAACCCATTTATACGTCGTAGACCAGTTGAATCTGGTCAACATCAGCATGCTGTCTTCACTCATCGACCTTCGACTGACGGGTTCTCGGGATCATCAGGTCCATCCCAGTCAACAAAGTCGATGTTGTCGTCCTCGCCTAGTCCAACTGAGGCATTCCTAGCAGCCTGTGAAGGATGTGGCTGGCCACCAGCAGCGTATGCAATGTGTCTTTCTTGATTGGGGGCGTGCTCTTGGTGATCAGCTGAGCTGGCCGTCTTGCTGATGTCGATTTCTGCTACTGAGGCGTTCCGAGCCATATTGATGGTTTCCTAATCGATGTCATGCAAAACGAAGTAATGATACAACGTTGCTTGGCGTTTCCACGAGCTTTAGAGAGAGAGGAAGACAGGAAAAGTCGAATCTGAGGAAAGCATCGCCGTTCATACTTGCCCCTTAAGACTACTTGCCGTTCGCATCTGCTGAGGTCGAGAAGGTGCTCGGGAGCTCGCGATTGCTTTGATATTTTGCTGAGTAGGTTGTCTCCTCACGCCGTGTCATCATGGAACTAGCCTTTGAGGAGAACCCTCAAGACTCGCATAAAAGCATGCTCGTGTGCACTATCCTTCTGTACTTTCGCTGTGGACAATGATGCTGTGTGGTCGAACTTCACGTTATTGACAAAGGGAGGGCTCGCCGTGCATGGGAACATAGTCATTCACCGTTGTTGGGGTCTGCGAGTCTTGTGCAGATGCTGTACGTGGCTAACTACATCCAGCTGGATTGCTGTAATTTAGTAGACATGCTGAAGCCGTTTTCGTTGATGCCGTGGTAGATCCAACGTTGTTGTCACGTTGTTGGTGAGCGCGTGACGTTGGGCAACACATGTCCTGATCATCGGGAGCGTTGGCTTGATTGAGCACGGGTCGCGGGCTTAATCAAAGCCAATCAAAAGCTTAATTAGCCCCGCGTTCTTGAGCCGCCGCCGCCAACTTTCGCCGCCGCCATGTGATTGTAAAGCAGCAGCTCTTAACTTTCTGCAACTCGACGATCCAACCACACACCCCATCAACATGGCCGACTCAAATGGCACCGGCCATACCAACGGGACATCGTCCGCGCCGACCAGCAAGTCAGGATGGGACGGCAAACTGCGTGTAAACAAGACAGCCACCCTCGCGAACCCAGAAGCCCTCAGCGATCCAGAATACTCAGATGAGGACGCGCCGCCTCCAGAACAGATCGAAGCAGACGAAGACTTGTTGGAAGGCGAGGACCCACAGACAGAGGTATAGAGCCCACCTAGTCAAAGGAAACATCTTGGCTGACACGTCACAGGAAATCGAACTCCTTCACTCCAGAATCACTTCCATTCCTGCCTTACACCTCGAACGATTCAAACGCCTGAAACGCATATGCCTTCGTCAGAACCAGATTCAAAAGATCGAACTGCCGGACACCTGCACATCCACACTCGAAGAACTGGAACTCTATGACAATCTCCTCAAACACATCGACGGGCTGGGAAAGTTTACAGAATTACGAATCCTCGACCTCAGCTACAACAAGCTCAAGCACATCAAGAGGCTATCAACGTTGAAGAAGCTGGATCACATCTTTTTCGTGCAAAACAGAATATCCAAGATCGAGGGGTTGGAGGAGTTGACTGAGCTGACATATCTCGAGCTTGGTGCAAACAAGATTCGAGAAATCGAGGGCATCGAGTCTTTGGTCAAGCTCGAACACCTATGGCTTGGTCAGAACAAAATCACAGAGCTGAAAGGACTTCACACCCTGAGCAATCTGCGGACACTGAGTATCCAGGCCAACCGACTGACATCGTTGGATGGGATCGAATCGATACCTCAGATCACAGAGCTTTACGTCAGCGATAATAAGATCACTTCTCTCGAACCTCTCAAGAACAACACAAAGTTGGAGATCCTTGATTTCCAGACGAATCCAATCAGCACGCTCGCCGGTCTGGAGGATTTGAAAGACTTAGAGAACTTGTGGGCATCGAACTGCGAAATCGACAGTTTCCAGGAGATCGAGCGTGCTCTCAAGGACAAGGAGAAGTTGGAGGAGGTGTATTTCGAAGGCAACCCAGTGCAGCGGCAAGGCCCTGTGCTGTATCGCAACAAGGTCCGACTGGCGCTGCCACAGATTACGAAGATTGATGCTGGTAAGTATTGCTTGGCCGATTGTCGAATTGTGTATTGACTGTGCACAGCATACGTGAAAGCGACTTGATAAGTTCATTTGATACCCGCAGGCCTTGGAAAAGGCACGGCGTTTGAGGTTTGTGGTAATCCTTGCACAGGGTGCAGGATCAAGGATCAACAAGGTATCCCGGCGTTGCAACGACATGTAAACAATACAGAAGAGACAAGAGGCATAAATCGAAGCTCAATTGATGAATCCGCCCCCGGGAACGTTGAGCCACCTTGAAGGATAGTTGACTCTTGTCACTTCGCCCTATCTGCCTCGGTTTCGCATCACCATCCATGCAGCACCGGTGGCATGCACAACAGACGAAACGATAGATACATCCGCGAGGTTTCGATATGTCATTCTACCGTGTCCGTAAGGCCTTCATATCTGCAGCTGGCTCCGCAAACGAATAGCCTGGAAAGCCGATTAGCAGAATCTTTTCCTCGTCCAGCCTCAAACGGTATTGAAAGGCGAATGCACAAGCTGTTGCCTACTAAATATCTCGCAGTCGTGTGGAAGCGGTGATGGTCGGACAGATAGGCGAAAGCAGGCCGTACGCTTGTCACTGATAAGAGTGCGTCGTTCGCGCTTCATATCGTCTTGGCAGCTGCACCGAACCCACTACCTTCCAAGTTAGGACAACATCATGCACTTCGCGCTTGTCTGCGGTGCCGGCCCGCGAACTTCGAGTGCGAGGACGGTGAAGGGACTGTTCGGACTGTACGCCTAGGGCGTAGCATTGTTGGCCGCAGTCTACGACGATCGGGACCACCGTCCTTCGCAGCAGTATATGAAGGTAAGTGGTACGGCTCGGCGCTCAATCGCAGCCAGACGAGTTCTTCGTTCCAGTCAAGATGATATACCCTTCTCTCGTTTCAACAGCCGCACTAGCTGCATCTCTTTCCAGTGGCGTCACAGCTAATGCTATACCGAGAGCCTCCACTATCGCGTTTCAAGATGGTCTCGTGGCAGAAGCTGGGGGCATGCATAACGTGCGCATCACCTATAATGCGCCTCTGGATGGCGAGCTCAGTCTCCACTATGGCGACTGTGAGGTAGCCTCTCCAGACGACTGCCACCATACGCTCGGCAAGACACATGTTGGCTCGCATCCCCTGGCTAAGAGGCATGAGGCTCATGAGTACCGACGTCCGGCGAAGTTCGTGTGGCTTCCGCCGGTGGATATTGCTTCTGGCGGGTGCCTGCATGCGTTCTCTGGGGATGTGCTTGTTGGGAGATCGGCTCCTGTGGCTGTTGCTGAGCGGAAGAGGAAACGATGGACTGCTGTGAGTACCTATTCTCCCTATACGTCAAGATTACAAGCTAACCAGTATGTTTCCAGGCCGCAGATATCATGGATGCCGAAGGCCCCTGGTTCGACGGCGTCGAGTATCTCCAAGAGAAAGAGCCTGACGAGGCCTTTGTAGCAGCCGCTAAATCGAAGACCATCGGCATTGTTGGAGGAGGCATGTCTGGACTCATGACTGCTCACCTGCTTGATAGTGTTGGCTTCCATGATTGGAAGATTATTGAGGCTTCGAGTCGCATTGGTGGGAGAGTGCATACTGCTTACCTCAATGGCACGCGGCCGGATGAGTATCAGTATCAAGATATGTTTCTCTCTTTCGATACAAATGCTGCCATACTGACTTCTTGAGAACAGATGGGCCCAATGCGATTTCCTACAGAAATCACATACGATGATCCTGCCGAGACGATCCCCATCTTGGATCATAGGATGGTGTTCCAGCTCGGCGACGTTCTGAACAAGCAGAATGGCAACGACTCCGAGTATCTAGTCAACTTCATCAAATGGATTCAAGCCGCCGCCAACGACCCAGCAAGTACTTCCGCAAGAAGACCAGATGGAACAGTCCCCGGCACTGCTGAGGTGGCGAGCAACCCAGCTTACTCGACCAACGCCAACCTGACGTACTCGAACGCCACTGCCGTTGCTCTGGCCGAGTCTGCCTATGAAGACTGGGTTGGTATGGACCGTGAAAGGTATCGATCGATCGCTTCGAACGTCTACAAGGCCCACAAATGGGCTGTTGACAACGGCTACTTTCACTTCAGCGAAGCCGGGTACCTCAAGTACGCCCTACAAATGTCCAACAACATCACCGACGAAGTGGACTCGACCCTCGACAACTCCCCATCGTGGGAGTACGAAAGTGTCTACTTCTCCGCGACCTCGTGGAAGACCATCGACAAAGGCCTAACAAGCCTGCCAAAAGCCTTCGGCCCCCAAGTCCTCAACCGAACGATCTTTCAAACCGCCGTGCAAGGCATGTCCTGGGACAACTCAACCCAAAAGATGACACTCCAATACCGCAACAAGAACCCCTTCGACATCGAGCCCGAAACCATGTCCTTCGACTACGTCGTCGTCGCGGTGCCCTTCAGCAAAGTCCGCCTCTGGCGCCTCCCTGAATACACCGACCTCCTTAGCCGCGCGATCCAACGCCTCAACTACGATCAATCCTGCAAAGTCGCCCTGCACTACAAGACCCGCTTCTGGGAACACCTCGAGCACCCCATCATCGGCGGCTGCGGCTCGACCGACATCCCGCAAATCGGCTCCGTCTGCTACCCGAGCTACAAAATCAACTCGACCGGCCCCGGTGTGATTCTAGGCTCCTACGTCTCCACCACCGGCGCGCGCTCCGTTGGCTCCATGACGGACGAAGAGCACGTCGCGTACGTCCAGCGCGCGATGATCGAGATCCACGGCACGATCGCGCAGGAGCAGTTCACAGGCTCCTACGACCGGCACTGTTGGGAGTTTGACCAGTACCAGGCGGGGGCGTGGTGCGGGCCGCTGGTGGGGCAGCAGGAGTTGTATCTGCCGGCGTATTTTCACACCGAGAAGAATACGGTGTTTGTGGGCGAGCATACGAGTTTTACGCATGCTTGGATTTGGAGCGCGCTGGAGAGTGCGGTGAGGGGGACGAGTCAGTTGTTGTTGGATATGGGGCTGGTGGATGAGGCGAAGGAGATTACGGAGTTTTGGATGGCGAGGTGGATTAGTATGTGAGGTCTGTACCAGAAAGTGGCTCCTACAGCAAGTGTTAGGCTTGATACGCAGAGACTCGAAGCATCGAGCTCTCCATTCCTACCATCTGCACTCATGTTCTTTCTAGCACTGCTAGCAGACGATGTCGGGAGTCATTTTCTCGAAAAGACTTGCTCTTCTGACTAATCTACCTAAAACGCCAGCGACGTGAACGAGCGACCTCGAAATCATTCCAAAAGCAAACCAATAAAGGAAACTCAAGCGAATGACATGTGAAAGCAACGCTAAACCCAAGCTCGGACCCCCGCACCACTCGAAAGTGTCATCTGTCGTAGCATTGCTGCTTGGTCTGCCCCAACCCGTCAGTATATGTCACGACAGAGAATCTATCGGTGACACATACCTCTAATCCAAAACGCCTGCTCAATATCGGCAATGCCGACTGTTTAAAATCTGCTTAGTAGTTGTGGCAGTTTGAGCATCTCGTGTGACCACAGGTAGGGCAGCGTTGAGGCGTGGTGGCTGGGTTGTTGGTCTGGCGACAGACATGGCACATCCTGTACGTTGGTCAGATTGAGTGGTGAATGAGGGTTGAGCAGTACCTACCACCAGCCACGCATGCTTGGACGAGCGAAGGTGAGGCCATTGTTGAGGTTGTGGCCCGTGTTGGAAGTCTTGACCTCGGATGGGGACTGGACTTTCTTGTCGTTGATCTGAGATGGGGCCATCGTGATGGTTGTTGAGTTGATCTGGTATGAAGAGTGTTTGGAGGTGAGTTTGATGTACTTGAGATTGTACTGACTGCTGTTTGATATCTCAGAACGCAGGCCATGGAGCCAAAGATTCACTCTTTTATCCATCTTTCTCCAGGAATAGCGAGGCGGTCGAGGTCGAAGGCATCCTACAACTCCTCGTGAGCAGTCAACTCAGCCATCCTCACAAGTGACGCAAGGAAGGGGGCAACTATGAGCTGAAGTGTCGTGGAAACTGGAAACGTCAGCGGTGGCGCTCCTGAAATGACGAATAGACTAGGAAACTACACCAACCAGAGCGGACCCATCTCGAGGGAATTCCAGGTATTGACGCCCTGAGGACGAAGTGATGTCCGGGGCAGTGTTCACACGTGGTCCACGACGAGGGCCATGAAGCTGACGAGGGACGAATATGTTGAAGGCGACCACGGTGATGCCGCTGGAGACCCACGACGGGGCAGGCAGTTGCAGAACATGGCAACGGATAGGTCGTTATCATCGTTGCCCCTTGAGGAAGAGTCATATCTTCCGCTTGCCCTTAACTAGGTAATCGGCATGATCCAGGGGCAGATAGGAAGTAGTACAAGTCGTTGAAACGAGACAACAAGCCCCTCCAGCATCAGAGTCGTCAGGACTGCCCACGGCGACGGTCTTGCCACCTGATCGCAGGCTTGGAGCCGTGAGGGTCACTTGATAGCTGCGGCGAGCTGCGCGGTTTTCGCGGTGGAGTCCCTAACAAGCAGCGAACGAGAGAGCGCGACTGCCTACGGAGTCAGATACTTGTGGTCTGCAGAGAAAGTCAATCACTAATACCGCAAGGTACTCCATCAATCATCTCATGCAAAGCCACGATGAGGTTGGATTCACGTGGGTGGCACAGGGATGCTGATGGGTGGGTGATATGCGCGAGGTTTCGACAGCCCTGCGATAGAAGAAGGTAATTCAGCAGGCTGTTGGGGGAAGAGCCGGGAAAAATGGACTGCATGAGGCAAGTAGGACCCGGCAGGCCATGCTGAGGAAGGCATGGTACCTTGCTCCTGCCACGAGTCGTGACAGCGCCTACCAGATCAGGAAGGCAGGCAGGCTGTCCGCATCTATGTGTGAGGAGAGCCTCCCTAGATCGATAGTAGCCGTCGATCCTCTTGAGTGTGGCTGGCGCAAGGGCCCAACAACAACAACCTCACGTCTCACACGCAGGACTCGCCTTGCTCGGTCTCATCCTCGGACCGTCATACGGGGCAGATTCGAGTGAGATGAATGAGAGTGGCCTGTCCCCTCGCTCATCACAACTTCGCACCCACGTCATCGGAGATGCCCGAGGAGGTGATGTCGTGCAAACTTCCCTCACAGCCCCTTTTCTGGCGTGAAAGCCAAGCAGTCAGCTCATACCACGCATTCCTCAGTTCAACAACGAGGAGCGAGACGTCAAACAATAACGAGGCTGGCATCCCGCGGGGTCATGAGACGAGGTTTTGGGTGTGGCTCAGCATTCAGGTGCGAAGTGGGCATCTCAGGCTTTCCAAGGCAACGAGGCAAAAAGAGGGCGCATGTCTTGGACTCGGAGCGGTGAGGTTGACCAGAATCTTGAAACGATTTTCTGCGGCCACTCGTTCAACCGATGTCTTCCATTGTTGAGGGAGCGGTTTTCCGCCTCGGGAGCACCCTTGTGCGGCCTCCCTCATCACCGCATTCTGTGCCGTTTTCCGAGACGTGGACCGGTTCTCCAGCCCGTGACTTGCAAACGTCTTGTATAAATGAGCCATGGATCTAAAATCTATCGATCTATCTCTATTTTGCTAAACGATTGTGCTTTTTGGATCGCAACAGAATGTCTGAGGGAAACAAGTAATTCCAAAACGAAAATCTCAAGCCGCATGTCCAAACTTCCTCGCCAATCTCGCCAGCTCACTCCTAAACGCCAGAATCTTGACAAGATCGTCGACGCCAGAGGCGTCGTTGTTGACGCTAATAGGTATGACATTGTCCACACCTATAGTGACCGCAAATAGTGCATCTGGTCAACCATGCATTGTGGTTGTGTTTGCACACGTGACACTGCCTGATATGACGTTAGAAATAATCTCGCGCTCCCATAATGCACCGTCTACTAACCACATGCGAGCAGGCGCAGCGCACTGCTTCGTGCTATCGGTGAAAGATTGGCCACGGTTGGCACTGATAGAGGCGTTGTAGGTTTGCGAGGTCAAGGCCTGGCCGTGATCGATCGAGAGCTGGATGCGGAGGTCATTCGTCTCGGTTACGTCGATTTCGTTGTGTGGAACTCCCTCTGTGGCACGGTCGTTTTCTTTGCTGGTCGTCATGTGGAATTGAGGTCAAGCTCTGCGTGCAATGTATCGAGTGGCTGATGTAGTCAACAACCTGTTGAGCGACGATCGGATCAAAAGCGTTCTTGCCGTCGAAGCGGATGGTGCGTGTATAAATCTCACCCCAGGTGGCCGGATTGCGCTCCTGAACAGGCGCATGATCTGAGCCGCCAGTATTAGTTGCCTCGCAAGGAGGCGCGAGCACCACTGACGGACGACGTCAAGATCACAATGGACTTCTTCTTTGCCTACCGGTAACTGTCAGCATCGCATGAGCACCATCAAACAGCCAATGTAAGGTCGAGTATCTCAAGGGTCAGGTTCGTCAACAGCTGAAAAGTATGCGTAGGATTGCACGCCCGAACCTTAGGCAGGTCGATCTGTCTTCATGCACGATAGACGACGGCGAATTGTTCGAAGAGGCAATGTTGTGGAAGATGGGCGAAGTATAGCAAGGTCCTGGAGCGAATCAAACACGCGGTGATGACCACTGACGGTTTCCAGAGCACAGCCACTTGTTTAAACAACAGATGCCTCAGCGCCAGCGAGAGGGCACCATCGGCATGGTTATACTCGCAATTTCAGGCGCCATTTGCGCGATTGCCGCTGGGCTAGATGGTGTTTGGGCCAAGGGTATGGAATGGAGCGAAGGCGTGGCCCTGTCACAGCAAGTGCGTCGGCGAGTTGTCCGGCATGTGGAGCAGTGCACACTGTCATGGAGGCATGACAACGTCCCCACCATCAGCAGGCGGCTTGATGATCTCAAGCTGCGATCGGGATTGTGATCAATCTCCGACATGGTTGAGTGACAATGACTGGTTGGGGCAGGCTCCCACGAGGCAAGAATCGCTAGTGCCACCTGCGCGCGAGGAACACGACCAGGTGTTGTCTTTGGGAGATCCATGGGCAGTGCAGCTCTCCGCGTGTGTAATTTTCCTCGCTCATCGTTCCGGCCACTCAATTCATTGTATACTGCGCCCACATCGTGAGTGCAATACGTCTGTGGCCGGCATGAGCCCTACATTGGTGCGGCCTCAAGGAGAAAGTCGCAGCTCAGTGCATGATGTGAGTGACGTCTTAAAGTCGACATCAGGCGTTTGAAACTCGCTTCGCCTATATCAGCGACGACTCAACCACTGTCGGGTGTGAAAGTGTCAATCTCCAATGATCTAAGCCTCAAATGGCGACTTCAAGCTCGCCAAGGACATGGCAAAGAAGGCAGCACGAGGCCGCACGAGCTTCAATGCGGCATCCCGATGACGCTTCCAATGAAGTGAGGCTTCTAGCCCAATATTCAAGAGCTTCTTTCCTGGCCGCCTGCTCACTTGCGTTGGGCTCTGTTGACGCCGCAGACAAAGGCTGTCCTTGCGCCTCGTTCTGAATTTTTCGCGTCGTGACCGGCGCAGTAGGCTGTGCCTTCTAAACGACAGATGGCGTTTCTTTTGCGATCATTTCAGTCCTGTCGGTGTCCAGATGAGATGATGTATGTTGTTGTTGATGTCCCAGAGTGTCACATGAGAGAGAGAGATGGAAGACGTGAAGTCATAGGAGGCCTCGGCATTCGGAAAGTCGCGCACGGCCCGCCCAAGATGATGAAGTAGATTCCGGATCCCAAGCCGTTGGAAGGGTCCCTTCCACGAATTTCCATCCTCCCCTGCCCTCACGAAACACCACCACAACAAACACCTGCGCGCGCATCGGACACGATAATCCTCCGCTGCAGGCCTGTGCGATAATACACGAACTTCGCGACGACGACGAGGAGGCCACGGATGACCTCCGACGCCTTATCAGCAGCTCCATGATCCACGCGACTATTTGTCTTGCCCGGTCAGCAAGACTTTAACATACCAACCTCGGACGTCGCAAAGCGGCCAGCACAACGTCGGCGACGATGGCGTTCAATTTCAACTGGTCACCGCTCATAGCGGACACGGAGCGCGTACGCGATATGCTCACGAGCGCTTTGAACAAGTCCCCGAAGCCGCCGATCATTGTTGACGATATCATTGTCAATGAACTGAATCTTGGCTCGACGCCGCCCGAGCTGGAGATCTTGGAGATTGGCGATCTGGCAGAAGACCGGTTTCGAGGCATATTCAAGATGAGTTATACCGGCGATGCGTATCTCACGCTCAAGACGAGAGTGCAGGCCAATCCGCTCAATACATACCTCTCTACCAAGCCAAGCTTTGCGAGTCCACAGCCGCTGGCCGCAAGTAGTAGCTTGACAATACCTATCCAGATTACGCTTTCTGAGTTTCGACTCTCAGGCTTCGTGATATTGGTGTTCTCAAAACAAAAAGGCATCACCATTGTCTTCCGGAACGATCCCCTCGAGAAGCTAAAAGTCTCCTCGACGTTCGACTCGATACCTTTCGTACGCGATTACCTGCAGAAGACGATCGAGAACCAGCTGCGAGTGCTGTTCATGGAAGATCTGCCTGCCATAATACATCGTCTATCTTTGCGCGTGTTCAGCCCTGAATATCAAACAGCGGAGAATCAAGAGCCGAAGAAGACCGATGAAGAGAAGCCCGTCGATCCATTTGCGAGTCCAGCACAACAACCAATCGACGACGACGACATCAACTCCTCTTTCTCATTGGAAACGCCTATCGAGACCTACGCTTCGTTCTCACAAAAGAACTTGGTGCGACTTGCAGCTCTCACGGAGAGCCAGAGAACACTTAGTCTCTTCACACCAAGCATACGAGATACAGTGTATCGTGCATGGGCAAGTTCTACCCAACGCGACGATGTCAGCAATGGAACCAGCACACCGACACGACCTATCACGCTCTCGAGACTACAATCATCCATGTCGCACGGCGCGTTATCGTCAGCTGCCTCGCAAGTTTCGGGAATTGGGTCAGAAGCTACTAGGCCTAGCTTGGCGAGCATGGCAACAGGGTCCACATCGACTGTGTACACCCTAGGAAGCGGTGCGCAGAGATCGCGCCCTGGAAAGAAGAGGAAACACCGGATCGTGAATCTTCGACGGGATAAGACACAAGAAGGAGCCAGCGAAGTTGCGAGTGTCTCCAGCAGCTATGAAGACAGCGCAAGCCGCAGCATCAGTGGTTCTGCCCGATCGAGTGTCGAGAGGACTGGCACGTTACAGTCTACTGCACCTACTAGCAACGAGAGAGAAGGCGAGATTACTACACCTCCACGAAGTCCGAAGAAAACTGTCGGTTTCAGCAGCGATGGGCCAGGAGACGAGAAGGCGGGACACCATGAGCCACAGCGATCGAGGCCTCACACACCGAAGTCTCGACCGGAGCCCGGACCTTCACAGGATGCCGATCCTACACCACGAGCGTCTATGGTGTTGCCGGAGAAGCCTGCCCGTCGTCCGGCAGTCAATCAGCTCCCGCGGATGCAATCGTTCCCATCACGGTCGCCATCCCCCGAGCTTCGACGATCGTCCTCATCCGACATTGGTCGCTCGGCGTCTGAGTTGCGACTTCAGAACCTTGTTGCTGCCTTTAGTGAGGGTAGCAGTGGAGGCATACTTGAACAAGCTTGGATGCAAAAGATGGCGACAGAGATCGCGAGGAAGGTCGAACAGGAGAGGTCGAAGCAGAGACCCTGGAGGCCTTTGTCAGAAGATGGCATTTCAGAAGCTGCTGAAGCACCGCCTGCGTATGTGTCTTGATTGTAATACTAATGACTTGACTATTTCTGGGAGCGAGGCGTTTGGGTATTGAAAGGGGTGGGCAGGTTCATGACTGTTATGGTGTTACGACTTTCATTGTCTTGTCAGCCTGGGTTTTACCACCTGATGTTGTGATACCGTATTGTGAAGAGATGGAGATGGATAAGGTATAGACAGAATGGCATTACTACTCCCCTTTGATGTTTCTTCTCATGTCTGCGTTTCTGCGCTCTCGCCATTCAGTTCAGTCTTCTTGTCGTCGTCCTTGAGCAGCTTCTCAACAGCAGCGACCTTGTCCGCAAAGCCCTGTTTCTTGTCCGTTCTGCTTCCCACGCGAATATCACTTTGGATCCTGACTACGCCTCTCGCGTGCAGCATACTGTGGCACTGCCCAATGACTCTCATCACCTCCTCCCATGATCCTTCTATAGACGAATCAGGAGCCTAGCTCAAAAGGTAACGAAGAGAGGAAACAGAGGTCTGGCATACCAAGAGTCGTCCCCGCCGAATGCATACTATACTTGACACCCGTCTTCTTGAGCAGCCGCTGCACCTCGGCGACCTCTTGGGAAACGGAAGCCGTCGGCGTGCCGAGAGGGATCAGACAGAAATCTCAAAGACCCGACACCATCATCAGCACTAGAACTCCTCGTGTCGAGTCGTAATCTCTCGCTTGGAGATGGGACACGAGAAAGAGACACACCGGCTGTGCATGCCGCGGGCGTGGGCAGCTTGCTGGGTTCGCTGTCAGACATTCTGCGGATGAGGTCTGAGAGTTGGGGTGATGTCTCCATGGATTTTGTTTGGCGGAGGGAGGGTGGTCACATGGTTTGATGGGGTAGGTGGATGGGAGCTTGCGCGGTAAGGTTTGGAATGGCCTGGCCGCTTGCAGCCTCAGGCGCGCGGCGGGCTTGTGACTTTGTGCAACGGTGCACCGTTCACCTCCCTGCTCGCACGAGCGATGACGCCCACTTTAACCTTCTCGTCTCCTCTGCTTTACCGGGTACTTCTCTGCTGGATCACGCTGGCAGCAGAATAAGGCAGACCACGACTAAGCCGCGCGCTATCATGGAGCTCTTCCGTATGTGGCGTTCTGGGAAGAAGAAGAAGAGAATACGACGAACACCATCCTTTTTAGCACCTTCGAATTCAGGCCATACAAAACTCCTCGCCTCCTTGGACCACCACCAAATCTCACAGCATCCGCAACGGCTTCCAACGCCGCCGTGCGACCCGGCTTGACATGTGAACTCCTTCCCCAACGGACGTGATCTATTTTTTGCATGCGATTCGCAATTGCCTATCGTGTGCGATCTTCCAACGAACAGACCCTTCCTTCCTTTAACCCTACATATACATTGATCCGGGTTCCCGGTTCTCGGTCCTCGCCCTTCGAAACACCTGCATGCAGCAGAATCTGGACGAGACCGACCAGCATGTCCGCCATCCTTGTCTGCTTTGTGCAACGTGACACGCCAAGACTCTACTCGTTCGAACCCACCACCGCTGGAACATTATCGCCCGCCTCAGGGTGCCGGATCGAGTACCTGAACGAAGGAGGCGCCAACTTCGTCTTTCACATCCTGCCTGTCGAGGGACGCGAACTCCCATCGAGTCTGCAAGGCAAATTGCTGCGACTGAGGAAGAATCTGCCCCATGTGCCAAGCGCAGAGGAACAGCTTCAAGCTTTGAATGCGAATTTCCGAGACTTGTTTCCGGCGGATAATCTCATTCAGCATGAGTTGATTAGTTTGGATCAGGGCATTCCCGCTGCTCTGAATGCCAGTCTGCAGCAGATGAATCGCCCCAGGCATCGGGTTGGGGATTTCTTACCGAACGAACAGATGTCTGGACTTTTGGTTACAGACATGACGCCCGGAGACGGGGAGATTCTGCTACAGCTCAAACCGAAATGGCTGACTCAATCTCCTAATGCGCGGCCCAGTGCGAAACGATGTCGAACGTGTGCAATGCGCGCTCAGAGGGCTTCTGAGAGGATACGTACCGCGACAGATGCTCAAGAGAGCTGTCCTCTGGACCTGGTGAACGCCAACGCGGAGGAGCGAAAGCGCGCTGTGCACGCCATCACCACCGACCGCAGGATCCGGGAGTATCTCATCAACCAAGCACAGCCTCTACTGCAAAAGCTGCGTGCATCTCAGATGACCTTCGACCAACACGGCATTCTTCGCACCTCGGGTTCGGATCCGATTCAAAGTCTCTGCAAAGCCATGACCCTTCGAGATTGCACTCTGTTCCTGAAGAGGTCTGGCAATAGCATTGAAGCACGTCTTGGAGACCTGGATCTGAAGCAGCCAGAAAAGCTCGCCAGGTGGAAGAAGGTCGAGTCGGATCTTATCGGTCAAGGCTGGTATACGAATACCGAAGTTCAGGACCACTGGACGAGGGAGAAGATCTGTTTGCTCGCACGGCAATGAGCTGGATTGATTTTATGGTCTTCGACTTGCGAATTGAGGCGCTGACCGCAATTCTGCGTTGAGCTCATCTCAAAGTGTGCCGAAAGAGAAGCAGGAGTGGAAGATTGGGTCCTGTGGGACTACTTCCGCCTCACCTTTCGACAAGCTTCTGCGGATGCGACGTCCTCGGATTCCTGCGTCACAATCGGCAGTTTTGGAACATTAGACTCGCATACCAAGCCTTGTCTAGATGCGTCCACCGACATAGGAACCGTGTGCTAGCAAGGGCTATCCACAGTGCTGGAGAACGACATCATCACCCATGATCGACCACGTGCACCTTCTTGGAGCACATTGATGGGCGAGAAAGTAATACTTGTGCTGCCGGATTCCTCTCCGCGAGTCTACAAGGAGTACAACATTCTGGAAGCCTTTGAACAGCTCGTTCACACGCTTAATCTTGGAATTTTTGGTCGCCGACAGGGGTCATGGACTTCAAACGGGGCCGCAGCGAGCCGAACGATTACCGAGAAAGAGATGGAACAGAAATATTCAACTTTACCCACTCTCTGACCACCGCAAGACCAACTGCCACGTCTTCCACAGCTCAACGCTGATTATCAATCGATGTCCGTGTGCGTTACCCAGCACAACGCACGACTCCGTGATGTCTGCCGATATCGTGTGAGAAAAATTTCCTGTTGAAGCCATTGCAGCGAGGCGCAGACCCACTGCCTTACATCTCATATAAATGACGGCGACCATGGCCTCCCTCTTTGCTGTTGTTGCTACTAGCAGATACTCTTCGCCTTGGACTACAGAACTTGGCGACTCTTACGGAATTCCAGAAAGACAATCCAGTCAGGTTTATACAGCTTCTTGCCAAAATGGCTTCCGACAGCGCTTTCGAGGGATGGTGCGGTCTTGCGCCTGACAGCGCTGATGGCAAGATGGTCTGGCAGGGCTATGATCCTAAGCCATGGGAGGAGAATGATGTTGACATTGAGGTATGTTCATCCTCACTGATCTCAAACTCAATAGTCCACTAAGTTGTCCGACCAGATCTCCCACTGCGGCGTCTGCGGCAGCGACATGCACGTCCTCCGCTCCGGCTGGGGTCCCACCGACTACCCCGTTGTCGTCGGCCACGAAATCGTGGGCAAAGCCATCCGCGTAGGCTCGTCCGTCACCTCCGGCATCAAAGTCGGCGACCGCGTCGGCGTAGGCGCCCAGTCCGGCTCCTGCCTCCGCGGCGACTGCGACCAATGCCAGCACGACGACGAGCAGTACTGCAAAAACGCCTTCACCATGACCTACGGCTCCAAATACCCCTCCGGCGCCAAAGCCCAGGGCGGCTACGCCAAGTTCTGGCGCGGACAAGGCCACTTCGTCTTCAAGATCCCGGACGCCATCCCCTCCGAAGAAGCCGCGCCCATGCTCTGCGGCGGCGTCACCGTCTACGCGCCCCTCAAACAAAACGGCGTCGGCCCGGGCAAACGCGTGGGTGTCATCGGCATCGGCGGCCTGGGCCACATGGGCATCCAGTTCGCCAAAGCCCTAGGCGCCGACCGCGTGGTCGCCATCTCACGCAACCTATCCAAGAAAGACGACGCCCTCGCCCTCGGCGCCGACGAGATGATCGCGACCGAAGACCCAGACTTCTCAGCCGCGCACGCCTCCTCCCTCGACGTCATCCTGTGCACCGTCTCATCCCCCAAAATGCCCATGTCAGGCTACCTCAACCTGCTGGACGTCGGGGGGACGTTTGTGCAGCTGGGCGTGCCGGACGACGAGCTGCCGCCCTTTTTGGCGTTTGCGCTCATCATGAAGAAGGCGAAGATTACGGGCAGTTTGATCGGGAGTCCCAAGGAGATTCGGGAGATGTTTGAGCTCGCGGCGGAGCAGAAGGTGAAGCCGTGGGTGCAGGAGAGGAAGATGAGCGAGGCGAATCAGGTCGTGGTGGATTTTGAGAAGGGGTTGCCGAGGTATCGGTATGTTTTGGTAAACTAGATTGATGGTGTGAGATGGGTAGAGGAGGACTGTTAGCAGACTCAGACGGCTCCATGAAATGCAAAGAAGATTATCGTGTCATCGTTCTTCCAAAGCCGAACTTTCATACGCGTATATTGGGTATATTCTATTGATAAAGCACCTCCCTGCCAGTGTGCCTCCCGTCCTTCCACGACTTCGTCTCCCGAAAAAGAACATCCATCGGGCCACATCACAAAGTGTACATTACAATCCGAAAGAAGAGAGCCAAAGAGACGAGCATATGCATAACCTCATCTCTTACCCGCGCTCTGCGGCCGCGGACTGGCACTATCCGTGCGCTTCTCCCTTTCCCGCGCAAGCTGTTCCTCGCTGAGACAACCAATCCGATTAAGAATCTCCTTGTGCTCGCCGAGATTCAGTCCGCTGGAGATGCCCTTGGATTTCTTCCGGCTGTTGCTGGTGCTGCCTTTGCGGGTCGGCCAGGTGACCTCCTCGGAGGTCGTCTCGACTTCGATGAAGCGGGGCTTTTCTGCTTCGGCGGTGATGGGGACTGTGGGCTTTGAGGGTTGGAAGGGCCCGTTCTCGAGTTCCTCGTCCTCTTCGTCTTCACCGTCACTGCGTGTGTCGTCTGCGCCTTGGCCGCGGATTACACGAATGACCACTCGAACGATCATGACGAACCACACAATGGTGATGGCTTGCAGTGCCATCAGGAGACTCAGGAAGAGGGTCTTGATGTTGGCGTTGAACGATATCGTTTTCGCGTCCGGCCTTGAGAGTGGCTGCATCAGGTTGTCCATCAGGTTCTGGCCACCTGAGGTCGACAAACGCTCGCCTGTGATTGTCGAGTACAGGCCATAAGGCATCGTCTTGACATTGACGTGCGCATAGATGCTCCACACAATGGCCATATAAGCCACATGTCTTGCAGCAATCCATGTAATGACAAAGACGCCGAACATGCAGTCGCAGGCCGTTTGCAGACCAAGGTATCGCAGGATCTTGGCCAGCGGTAATGCGAGATCCACGCTGTCCATGCACACCAGAATGGCGTTGCCAACCCGCCATTGTCGATAGCCGTAGCTGCCGAGCATGAGCATGCAGGTGACGAAGTGATGAGTCAACATCTGGTAGTGATCCTTTCGTGCCTCCTCCAGGTGGATGACAACAATCTGCTGTATCCAGAAGGCGAATTGCGTGAGGTAGTAGAGCTTGATGCCGAGGGGCATGGTCAACCTTGGGAAATCCCTCCACATAGAGATCAACAAGCTCTCGGTGCTGTTGACGTGCGATGGCGTATCTTGAACAAACAGATACAGCCCCCACAGCCAATAGATGGTGTAGTAAATCAGCATGTAGGCCTGCTCAGCAAACCTGACCCTGCCTTTCCGCCTCCCAATGCCGCAATATGAAGCAATTGGCATGAGGACATAATCCAGCATGAACGCTCGGAACGCCATGAAGTAGACGATGCAGCTGCCCACCAGGTACATGTCCCTCGGTCCCTGTCCATATTGGCCTGACTCTTCGGTGGGGTATGATAATGTGAAGCAGGCACTGGTCATGTTCCTCAGCGATGGAAACATGACATGGCTCATAGCCAGCAAGAGCATGAAGTTCAGCGAAAGTCCAAGCTGATGCTCCATGGCAACTTTCCGCAGCGCGCTCCATATGCTCTCCTGGTCTTTCGAGCTCAACGTGTTCTTCCTCTTGGCCTGCACGAACTCGCCTGGGCTGGCACAGACAGCCACATCTTCGATATTGAGCTCCCTCTGCGGTGGTGGGGTGTTGCTGACACTGGGCGAGGGTGGGCACAAACTAGGGGGGCCAGCCTCCAGATGTGTTGCCATTGCAGTGGTCGTGCGAGGAGGGGAGTACAAGCGAATGGTCTTGGCAAAGATGCCGTGCGCAGTGTCAGGATCGCGGCGCCGTTGTCGTCGTTGTCGCGGTGGTGCGCCTTCGTCTGGCGCAGGGCGGGATATGGATAGGCTCGCCTGACAGTCGCTTGGTGTCCTCACCGCTTTCGAAATTCGTGCGGTGTCGATCGATAAGTTGCTTCTTCTGGAGTCGTCGGCTGGCTTCAAAACGAAGGTATGGATTGTGTGGAAGAGGTGTGGTAATGCGAGTCTGCCACCAAAGGTGCACGACAGAGGAGGGGGTCGTTGGCAATGGTCAGCATTGAGAGCACCTCCATTTTCTCCGTCAACCACCACACGCCAGACCCTTGCAGCAATCCTCCTCTCGGTGCATTGAGGCTCGGCCCGTCGGCGGCGGTTGTTCACGAAACACCTCCTGAAACGCCCAGACGTCTGCTCTTACAAGACTCCTTTCACGTCAGACGAGTCTTCTCACCGTCGTCTCAAGCAACAAAAGCACATGATATGCCCCAAAGTGATGCTTGCAATGTGCTGGCCATGATCTACGACCCCTCGACAGCCTAAAATTGGCTCGCCTTGCTTTTCATCACCCCACGGCTGATGGCATTATAGGTCTAGATGAGGGGACTGCATTCGAAGGCTGGATACGATCGATATGAGATGGATGAGGAGCTTTTACCGCATCCACTATACCACTGAGTGGGAAGTCTCACTCCCCGACTCCGTTTCAGTGTTTTCCAACCTCCATAGCAGACGCTTCCAGTACTGATGGCAGCGCTGACCTTTGTTGGCAGCTCTGCTAACGATCTAGCTTTCCGCCTCTTGACTTCTTCTTGCCATGTCCATCTTGCCGAAGAAGTCTGGGTGAGTGGAGCCTGATCTTTTGCCTTATCCAAAGCCAGCTACTACAGCGGCCAGATCCCACGTCCTGCCCACTCGCTCTTGAAGTAGTCAACGCCGCAATGGGGGAAAACCGCCTTGTCGTCGGAGATCCACCTTATCGTCTCCTTGTGGACTTCTCTACCCCAGTTCGAGACTGTGCGCAGACGATCACTCTGTGAACACGCGAGTGCCGCAGTCAATGGTCAAGTCGGAGAACTTGGGGTGGCCCAAAGCCCTGTAACATGTCAGCACTGATGTGTATGAGGTCAACAGTCGATATCACCTGGACAGCCAGCCGTCATATCCTTCGGTCTCTGTCATCGTGGCTGTTTGTTGCAATGAGTGATGTCGAGGATGAAGAGAATGAACATGGTGTGAAGGATAGAAGCTCCGACCATGTCAAGTGCGAAGACAAGTGAAGCAGAATCGGTGCCACATGGGCTTCAAATGAGACAGCACTCCATTCGACGGACTATCTGGAGCAAGTGCTACGTTTGCCTTGTCTAGAGCAAGAGAAAGGTGATCGAACCTCGCCTCGCCGTGACATACCGTCGCCCTGGACGAGCGCTATCAATCGATGATCGCTGCCGATTCAGCATTACACTGCGATGTTCCCAACTCTTTGACCACTCCCGCATCCTTATGACTCGAGTATGGTCATCTAATCGTCGAGTTTCTTCGAAACCCAAACATTCACATAATATTGATTCGAACAGTAGGTGCATGTCCGACTACCGCTGGCCTGGCCTAAACCTTCGAGCATGTTGACCTTGTTGCAGCGCATCGAATTGGGACAGCGATATCTCGCAAAGGTTGGCGGCATCTTCTCCTTCATGTTGACGATCTCGATCGATAATTCGGCTGCGAACTTGGGCACTGCCTCCGCAATCTTTCGAAATGCCTGACCACAATCGTCGTTGAGAAGCGTCTTCGCATTTTCGGCTGCGATGGCGACGGCGGCTTTGTGCATTGGCTCCTTGTTCTCGTTCGCGGAAGTGTACATCTCCTCGATGGCACCGGCGAACGCCTCGGTCTTCCACTCTCTAGCAGCACGGGCGGAGAATTTGCTGATGGCAACGTCACCCAGGGCGGGGATGTCATACTGCGTTGCGCGTATACATTAGCAATGTCAAGAGAGACGAGCAGTCCAGCTCACCTTATCCGCAATGGTGTGGATGTGCACATTCGTGCTCAGTGCGCTGCGCCGAGAACCTTCCTCTCCCTCCTTCGTCTGCTCGAGATAGTCGCCCGTGTAGAGGTATCTCAACATCTCCCGGACGATCGTCGGGTCATCATCTTCAAGTTTGATGAGCTTGGATGATGTCTCCTGGTGATGTGTTAGTAGACTCTCTGTGAAGAGCGCAGAATTAGAAACGCTGACCTTGAAACCATTTGAGCAGGCCTTGTCGAAGAAGGGCGACTGCGCACATATGACGACTCTATGGACGTGCCATGTGCTCTCGCCGCATTCGATGGTTAGGTCTGAGTACTTGGAGTCGCCGAACACCCTAGATTAATAGCAAAAGTAATTGCAAACACATCGTACAGCTCACCTATTCAGCCAGTCGACGGAAGACGCAGACTTCGCCATTGTGATGGTGACGGTCAATGCAAGCGGCCGAAGTTGTTGATGTTGAGAGTCAAACGGTGGTCGGCTAGCGCGTTTGAGTGACCGGTGCACAGACCAGACGCTAGCAACCCGAATTGGAACAAATCACATGCAATTTGCCAATGCTCAAGGCAGGAGCGCATATTGTTACTGAACATCGCTGTTTCCATTGTCTATTCTGTCCACCGACAATTACCTCGACACTGTAAGAGGAAATGTAAAGCTTTCAGCTTTCCGCCCCTGCTCTGCCGCAGCAGCTACATCTGGTAACGGCATTTTGACTGCATTTAGTCCTTCTTCACAGCACGTGGGATCCAGCTTCTGTGATGATTCTTCACGTGGCAATATGGGCACGCTCGAAGCCCGTTGGGCTCCGCCATAACCGTCTCCATGCAGACCACCTTTTCGCAATTCGGACACTTGTAACGTGACTCCTCTGGATAATCCTTCCTGGCCTCGTATATCTGGAACGAGAACTCGGCGGCAAACTTGGGTACAGCTTCAGCGGCCTTGCGAAACCTAGCGCCGAAGTCCTCGTACAGCAGTACGTCCGCGTGCTCCACAGCGATTTGCACAGCATGCTTGTGCATCTCTTTCTTGCTGCTCTCGGCCGTCCTATACATCTCTTCGATGGCGATAGCAAAAGCGCCTGTGTTCCACTCTCGGGCGGCGCGGGCAGCGAACTTCTTGGTTGCCAGCTCGCAGAGGGACGGAATCTGGTACTGCATTGAAAGATGTGAGTGAGTACAGCCTTCTTTTTCAAAAGGGGAAGGAAGCTCGGGATTTCACCTTGTCTGCTGCCGTGTGTACCAAAACGCTCATCACCAGGCCGTTGTGGTGCGCTCCGTCGTCAGTCGAATCCGGCTCATCGAAGTAGTCCTCGGTGTAGAGATATCGGAGCATTTCGTTGATCACGTCTGGGTCGTCGTCTTCGAGGTTGACCTTCTTCGACTCGGCTTCCTAGAGGACTATCAGCACTGGGAAGTGGCATGTCAATAACCGTACTGACCTTGAAGTCGCCGGACAGGGCGCCGTTGAAGAATGGTGCTTGTCCGCAGACGATGACGCTGTGAGCATTCCAAGTGCGGTCGCCGCACTTGATAGTGAGGTCTGAGTATGTGCTATCTCCAAAGGCGCTTCAAATTGTTAGTTCAACCGACGGCCACGAGTGGAAGGTCGGGAGACGTACCTCTCGATGCATGAGATCAATGGCGATGGGCGGCTTGTTGTTGCGACCATATCTGGGGCGTCTTCTGCCTTGTCCCCCATTCTGGGAATACTGTCTGAGGGAACGGAGTTTCCAGGACAGTAACTTGGAGCAGAAGCGGAGGTGCAGTGCAAAATCGACAAACAGCGAAGCACTTGCTTGCCGAACGCTTTGACCAAGCACTAGCGCCGAATTTCGCAGATTCACATGCAACTTTCCGCTCTACACGTCACGTCTCAGCGCGCTACCCAAGAAAGAAAAACTTACAGTCTGTTAAGGCCTAGGGCAAGATCATAGAAAAGAGGGGAGTGATTGGACAAAAAGGCCATGCCCTCCGGAAGACATGTAGTGCATTCTGGCTTGAGTTGTGACCATTCACTCTTCCTATGATGCATATGGACATCCTCACCGGCGAACTCACTTCCTAAACAGCGCGATTGTTTGGACAAAACCGTCTTGGTTATCCTGCCACTTCGCCACATCCGTCCCATCAACCGTAATCGGCCAATGGGTCCCCACCGTATTCAAATTATACACACTAACCCCGGAACTCCCCTCGACACTCAGAATCCGACTCTGGCACCGCACGCCATTGCCCTGGGCCGAGCAGTCCGTCGAGTAGTTGTTGAAGAAAGAGTACAGCCCAACGCCATAGGTCAGGATGCTGGAGGAGTTGAAGATGCGGAGACCCCAGCCGTTGGCGGCGGGGATGGCGGTGTTGTTGTCGGTTACGGTGGGAGGCGTGAAGGTGGGGTCGTAGATGGCGGTGACGACGGGGAAGGGGATTTTGGCGTTGGGGTTGGGTTGGTAGTAGGCGGTTTCGGTTTGTATCTGAGAGGGATTTAATACATGTAAGCGATTTTGTGTGGTGTAGTGAGACTTACTTGTCCTCCGAAGACGTTCTTGGCCAGGGCGAACTGGTATTCATATCGCACGTGATGTTCGACAGACGTTCCGACTAGCCATACGGGTCCATTCGCACTTTCGTCGAGGAGGCCTCGGCCGGCGTAGATTGTGATTTGGCTCAAGGCTGGGTCTTCGACGTCATGGTCAGCTACCCACAGCCAGAGGTTCTCCAAGTAGAGGCCAGCGGCCGACTTGGTGATGTGCATGGTCATATAGCCAGAGATACAGTTCTGGTTCAGGTTGGAAGATGTGATCGTGGTGCTGGGAGTCTTGGGGCAGTTGGCGTTCTGCAAGTTGGAGCCTGCAAATCCGCCAATGCGAGCGTGTACATCCCACAGGCCGCTTGGTGTGCCGGCCGGAGAAACCAGGTTGTACTCAAACAGGATAGCACCTTTCTGTTGGCCTTTGGTGCTGACGATCATGTCGGACCACTCGATGCTGCCAGCCTCACCAGACTTGCCGATTTGAACGACAGGTTTGGGGTTCGACATATCGTTGAAGTAGGAGCCGGATGACAGGATGACCGAGAACGCTTCGCCCACAATCTTGGAGCCAGCAGGGATGTAGATCGTGTTGGTGACCAAGTAGTCTCCGTGGTCGACGAAGAGCACCTTGCCCTGCGACTTGGCCTGGTTGATGGCGCTTTGCAAAGCGCTTGTGTCGTCTGTCTTTCCATCTCCCTTGGCACCAAGAGTACGTGCGCTGAGGAAGGAAGACAGTGGCAGGGTCTCGTACTGTGGCTTCGAGCGCTGGTAGTACTTGCCATCACCCTGCAGCAAGTTTGAGGGTCTTGTGTTTGCAGTGATCGAGCCTGCCCATTCATTGGGTCCATTTGGCGTGTAGCGATGTCCCTGGCCCCAGGCAGAAATTGATGACACGCCAGAGAGGAGGGGCCCGTTTGCCCCTTGGACTGCAGTCGGTACGTTGGACAACTTGATGTTCTCCAAGATCAAGCTTCCAGCAGTGTCAGGTTGGGAGTTGGAATCCCTGACCGTCTTCAATCCGATAGGAGTGTTGGAGATCGACGAGTCGAATAAGGTAATGGATCCCACAGTCTGCGCGGAAGCGCCACCGCCGGTCAAGTCAATGCCCACCGAGCAGTTGTTGATGTTGATGTTCTGATAAGTCCAGCCCCAATCCCAGATCTGGTTGATAGCTGTGCTGACACCATTGAAGGTCAAGTTTCGCATGGTGAACTGCTGGTTGCCAACATTGAGTCCGATATTGCCTCCAGTGAAGACGAGGTCGTTCATGAAGCCACCAGATCCTTCCTCGATGAAGATGCCGACGTGTTGAGTGTTTGCCGCGTTGCTCATCTTGAACACGATGTTTTGCAGACTCGTAGCTTGGCCAGTTGGCCAATGAACACCAGAGATGGAGCTGGATACTGGGACCAACGATGTGTCGATGATCAAGTTTCTGATCTGTCTCCAGAACACGTTCGTGGCACTGTACCAAGTCAGCGTTCGCTCAAAATCGTCCAGACTTATAATTGTACGTACCCGCCCAATTGCAGCTTTCCATTGCTGCCATATGGAACTCCATCAATGACTCCAATAGTTCCAGCAGCGTTGGCGAAGCCAGGAGCAGCGCGAATAGTAGGTATACATTTCGGGTTTCCGATAATCTGAGTATAGTAGTAGGAGACAATGCTGGAGCTGACGAGGTAAGTTCCAGCTGGGAAGTAGACAATCGCTGGCGTTGTCGTCGTGGAAGCACAAGATCCTGGAGCACATCGTCCGCCGCTGGAAATGGCACTGTTGATTGCAGCTGTGTCGTCGGTCACGCCATCACCCTTGGCACCGAAGTCCTTGACGTTTCTGAACACCTGGTAGGAGCCCGGGTTCGAGTTGAAAGCCGCGAGACCTTGATGCTTGATACTCTCGAGCCAATAGCTACAGTCGACAGCAGCGGCTACATTCACCTTCTGAGTAGGCTTGGGCTTCACGCTCGCAGTTGCTGATGGACCATCGTAGCTGACGTATCTGTGGCCACATTAGCTCTGGGTTTGGCTAGTTTTCGACGGCTTTATACTGACTCGCTGTATGTCTCAAGTGCCTGCAGAGCGTACTGCTGCACTTCTGCTGGGACGAAGATCTGTGCATAGCTGGTGCCAATGGCACACGCCAAAGATGATGCGTATAGAAGGAAATGCATGATGAACGAGAGATGAAAGACTGACTGACACCTACTGTTGTCCAGCAGCAGTACCGGGAAAAATTCATACTGCTGAGATGCGCCGAGGCCTTATAGATGAAGGAAATGCTACCATCAGTCATGCGGATGGTGGATGTGTTGATCGTGGCTTTAGCGCCAAAGTCTTTGAAGCCTTCTAGCACCCCGTGGACGCATGTTTTCAATAGCAAAGGAAAGAGTAGGCTCGTTGTCGTCGTAGGATTGGTTCGGAGACGTTTAAGATGAACGCCGGTGGAAATTGGATGTTCGTCCCAGCTGTGCCACGGGACCCTTCTAGCGCATGATTTGCACGGACGCGGGGTGCGGTTTGCTTTCTCCTTCTCCATGCGGTTAGCTGACTACCCTTTGAAGTATTCAATCCGTCTGCTTGTACAGAGTGAAGGTGAAGGTTTCTGCAACCCCTGGGCACGCGGACGGCACCTGGTGTTGGTAACTAAAAGGAAATTTACGTTAGCTTTGGACAGAGCTGTAGAGAGGTTGCCTCGCGATTGGTGCAAATCCTTCGACTTCAGACAACGATCCTGGAGGACGAAAATCGGTATGGCTGAGACGGGCCGTCCGCGTGAACGCCAGGTACAAATGTACAGTGCGTGGTCATGTTTGGTTCAACCAGGTGCGTGACTAGACTGCATGTTCAAGATTGCACACTTCACTCGAAGCTCGGCAGGCGATCCAAGTGGCCTTTGGAGTCTGAACAAAGAATTGCGACTTCGACGTTGGGACGTTCAACGGCTCCAGCCAGCCTCGTCATCATGCGATGCCGCCCTGAGAACTCCGCGGTGTCCACGACATCCTCTCGATTGTTGTTGCTATCGAGACGTTCCAAGCCCAGTCTTTGGTGACCATGGGAAAGATGTGAAACTGCCACGCTTTGAGATCATCTAGGCCTCGTCGCGTTGCTGGGGCGTGGTGAACGCGTGGCGCCCCTTTTTGACGCACTCATCGCCACACTCGGCACCATGAACGAAATGTTGTTTGTCACAATGCTGAAGTGTACAGGCACTTGTCTCGACGTTTCTGAATAAGCATGATGAGCTATGAGGCGCTGCCGTGAAGTCAGAAAAAAGTTTACGAGGGTAGTCCTTTGCCAAGATCTCGTGTGACATTCGTGTGCAGTAACACGCGTCTACCGCGTTGTAAGTGAAATACACTCTCGATCGCAACCTCATCTTCTTGTCTGCTATCCCGGTTGCATGCATATCACAGCGAGGGGTACGAATCCCAAGCCTTTTGGTCAAGCCACTGTGGCAAGACAAAAGGTAGCTTGACGGGCATCTGATCCGGCCACACACGCTCAATCAGCGCCAACAGCTCATCGAAGAGCACTCTGTACCCTTCTGGACTCAAGTGCAACCCATCGCGCACGAAGCTCCGCAGTACCTCATGTAGAGGCACATCGATTGAACCGACGGGCTCGGAATCGCTCTCTTTGCCACCTGCTCTGTGGATCATCGCGGTCCAAAGGTCAAGGACTTGCAAGCCGAGTTCCTTGCCCAGTTCACGTACTGCTTGGGCGTACTTTGCCGTGTCCTTTGCCTTGCGAACAGGGATATCATGCACAAAGTCATTTTCTCCGCATCTTCGCTCATCGATAGGCGGTGGCGTGATCAAGATGCGGCGGACTCCTTGATGAGCCAGGATCTTCGGGTGCGTCACGAGGGCTCTCATGTTCTTCTTGTATTCCTCGAGTGGCACATGTTGCTGCGGTACATCAGGAGGCGTGTTTGGTAAGCGAGCGTCGTTCGAGCCGAAGAGGAAGGTAACAAAGCGTAGCTTCGCCTGCTCCGGTGGTGGTATAACTTGTGGCAGCACCTGAAGGGCCATCCTCGTGTTGTACCCGCTGAGACCTCTGTTGACCACGTCCAGTCTCCGAACGTAAGCATCGCTGAGAGCTGCACCGAGACCGAAGCCGCGATCCTGGCAGAAGGACTGCTGGGTGATGCTGTCGCCTAGTAAGAGGAATTGGTCCATCTTTGCGATCCGAAGAGTGGTGGAATAGACTCAAGTGCGTCAGAGTGAGAGCTCTCTTATCTTGTCGTCCTGAAGCAAACAAGTGTTACACCTCGGCTCGGATGACTGCAGGGAAAGACTGAATGTCAAATGGAGCCCGATTGCCTGGTGAAGCGAGTGAGCAGGGAAATGGCTGATATATAATGCAGACCTGATCGTGGTTGAGAACATTATTCTTATGTTTGCGCCAGACGGCGGTCGGGATATCTTTCCCACTCCGCCTTTCTTTGCAAACAACTTACCGTGGTGTCGTATAGACGGGAGTGGACTCTCAGAACGAGGCCTATTCCGACCAAAGTGAATGTTGTTGGAAGAGGAAGAAACGTACAATGTCGTTGAACTTGAAGTCAATATGGCTTGGCGATCACGTAAGCCTCGACGACTGCATCAGTCCAGTGGAAGTAAATGAAGCTGCGCAACACCATCCAGGTGTTGGAACAAGGTAGGACAGTGTTATTCGACTCCGATATTTCTCGTGGATATTACAACATGTTTGTTGCGCACGTTAAAGAACAGGTAGTATGGGCTGCTGTGAGCGGTCTGGAGTGGACTTTCTCTCCTCAAACAGTTTCTTCCTGCTCGCAATCTCGTTCTCAAGGCCAACTGACAGCCACAAGGACCATGTCAAACCAGACAGCAGATGATGAATGGACGCAGGTCCCCACCAAAGGTCGCCGAAAAGCACCACCGACCGTCCAACCGAATACGGTCAACCCCCCTTCTCGCGACCTGACCGTCCCCAAACTCCAGCAAGACTTCCAGGCCAAGCTGAAGACGTGGAAATCGAGTACATGCAGAAAGAGTCTGCTGCAAATACTGAACAGGATCCGCCCCGAGAGCGGCTGGGCCATTGAAAAAGCGATATGTCTTGCCAGCGGTAGTTTCAGTCGAGAGAACTTGGAGTGCAGGAGGAGGAGCATGTGGCAGATTGTGGTATTTGCAGACATCGTCGAGTACCTACGAACAGAAGGAGGCGATGCTGCGACCGGGTTGGAGGTCGTAGCACAGGAGCCGATGAATACGGAGCTGGACGTGGAGTTCTTGGACACACTGAATATCAAGGCATTGGAGATCGATACGGCAGCGAAAGTGGAAGGTCTTGGACCCGCAACAGAGTACCTGGGTGAAAAGACGTTCGCCTACGAGCCATTCCTGGACATGACTGCCACAATGCTAGACGAGGTTTTGGATGCCGATCTACCACTCTACATTGGAAGTTCGATCAGAGGGTTGAAGGAGAAGACAACACAGGCTGGACAGCTTGCTAAGCGCTTTGCCAAAGAACGAGGCATGTACAAGCTACCTACTTTCGAGGTCGATCCCAACGTTATGGACGGAATGGAGATCTTCTGGAAGGAGGAAGACGACAAGGAGTGAACAACGGGCTACCAGTCGACAAGATGATCCTTTATGGATTTTCATGGCTACCAGGCGCAGGCATTGCCATGGATCTCAATGGATCACACCATCCCTCGCCATCTGTTCAACATACCTCCTATACCTCCCGCTACTCGCCCTCCTCATTGCCTTCCCATACCCCACGAAAACAAAGAACGTCGCGGCCTGCGCCACGCCCACAAAAGCTGCCACCAAGAAAGCATTCTGCAAACCCATATTGGTCACCCACGGCGTGATGCCATAGCTCACCCCAAAACTCATACTATTCCTGATCAAGATCACCGCCACGATCGCCTCCGACGCGAGATCTTTATAGCTGTCGATGCAATACGCTACGCTGACTTGCAAGCCTACTGCGGAGACGAAGGCAATTGTGCCCATAGCGAAGACACAGCCGAACCAGTGAATTCCATGTGCGGCGCCGACGCCCCATAGGATCAGACCGAATGGGAGCAGGATGAGAGTAGGGAGGAATAGCCAGAGACGGTGCTCAGGTTCGTGGATTCCGCCATTTCGACGAGCCATGTGCAGGAGGAACTTGTCGCCGAGGTAGCCCGTGTAGACTGTCGAGAGAAGGACTGCGAGAAGTGGCGACAGGTATGTTAGGCCGACCATGGAGGGTGAGAATGAGTAGGGTGGGGAGGAGAAGATGAGCGAGGCGGTGGCGTTGAGGACGTTGAACCAGATGAGGTTTGCGCCATAGCTGAAGCCAGCGTAGGCGACCACGGGGAAGGTGAGGAAGATCAAGGGGCGAGATGCCATTCCGAGGAGGCGGTTGTCTCGTGTGCGCCAGAGCTTGATCTTATCGAGGTATGTCGTCCCCTTCGACAGATGCTCAGATCGAACATCCTCTTCCACAGCAGAAGCACTAGGTCCATCTTTCCCTCCGCCATCCTTCTCGCCATCCCGCCCTCCACCCACCTCCCTCCCAACCAGCATCCTCCTCGAATAATTCGTCTCCTCCATCCCCAAAAAACAAAGCACAAAACCGCCCCCACAAAAAATCGCACACCAATACAACACCCACACCCACCCCTGCCCCTCCGCAATAAACCCCGCAATCACCGGCGCGAAATAACTACTCCCGGCCAACAACGCCCCATACAGCGCAAGAAAAAACCCCCTCTCATGCTGGAACCACACATCCGCCACGCTAATCTCGCAAAGACTCCACGGGGGCGCCGAAGAACCCCTGGAGGACTTTGCTCGCGATCCACTGGGCGTTGGTGGTCGTGTAGGGGGCCCAGATCTGGGTCGCCATGGTGAGGAGGAGGGAGAGCAGGTAGGTGGGGCGTTTTCCGTATTGGAGCGCGAGCGGCTGCCAGAGGAGACAGCCCCAGCCGAGGGCGAGGAACATGTAGCCGGTGCCTTTGTTCAGGTCGGAGAGGGTGATGGCGTGCGAGAGGGAGATGGGGATTAGGACGGAGTAGATTGCGGCGGAGGCGAGGCCGATGGTGAGGGTGTAGAGGAGGGTGGTGGTTGTTGAGAGGGCTTTGCGGGTGGGGGGCCAGTTGAGCTTGGTGGGTTGTTAGGTTGTGGCGTGTTTGGATATGAAGGGATGGAGAGTTGTGAGCTCACGTACGGGGTCCTCGGGATCTGAGGAGGGTGCTGGGATCAGGACGATGTCGTTCTTCGAGCCGTCGGCATGTTTCGCTTGGACAGTCCCTTCCAAGTCGACGAGATGCACCGTGCCTGGCACAGACATATCCGCGTCGTCGTCGTGTTGGGTTGATCTCGAGAACATCGCCATTAGGAACGGCGAAAGCGATTACCGGACCGGGAGACAATGGGAAGAACCAGGGCAACGATGCTCGATCAAGAGCCGCCACGGCGGTCCCTTAATAAACACATGTTCTTGCGTCTCTCTCTACGAGCGTTCAAGACCTTCTGCAACAGAACCCGAGCAAGATATGTACGTCTTCACCCAGGTTCTTCTTGGCATAGGGCTGTGATGCAGAGTTGACTTTCGCCCAGGCTGACAGTGCGTTGTTCGTGATTAGATAGGGGGAGATGTCTTGACCATGAGCACGACAAGGAAGCGGACGAGATTAGGGAGATTCCTGTTTGAATCAGTATGTCTCTCGACGTTTGGGTCTGGATTCCGAGAGCTCGCCTATGCAGTGCTATATTCATATGTGCAGTGAGACATGAGCGTTAGTCCATCGTAGCAGTCAGTGTCGCAAAATATGAATCATTAGCGATGCACAACGACAGAAGCTGGGTAGAATCGATTCTTTCCATTCCATTCCATTCGAACATTGATTGACTCGCGCTGATATACAAGGCGCTCCACCATTTCCTCTAAAACGGGCATCGTTCATCCATCAGCAATCCCCAGCCAGGACGTCGAACAATACTTCACTTCCCTCGGCATAGTGAATAGTCCTTTCCCTCTGCACTTCCCTTCATAATATGCACAAAGTCCTTCGAGGTAAAATAAAACGGGTATCAAAGAGATTCGTCAAGAAGAATTTTTCGTCGTCATTGGTGGCGTAGTAGTAGCGTGGAAAGAAGAAATCTATAACACGAACGCAAACCCAAACATGACCACCGCAGCGACCATCGCCACCGTAGTGGAGGGACCGGATAGGAGCGAAGCAGCGCCTCCGGTCAGGGCTTCGGTGGTGAAGACGAGGTTGAAGCCAATGTCGGTGCTGTTGTAGCAGTTCTGGGGCGTGACTTGTTCCACGTCCGCGGGCTCGGCGAGCTCGACGTCGACGCACTATAGCCTCGTTAGCCATACTCTCCACCGCAATGGATTCCTGTATGACTTACGCTATAAAGCGCCGCACCATGCTGCGCAGTCTCAATCACCTGAATGGTGATATTATCGCCCACCGCCAGGGACAGATTCGCCGGCATCCGCACCTGCGGCAAGCAAAACTGTCCGTTGTACTCGCTGTTGTTCGGGCCCGTGATCTGGAACGGCGGGACCACCGGATGCGAGTAGTTCGGCGGCGCTCTTTGGCCTTGTTCTTGGATTCCGATGTTGACGTAGAAGAAGGCTTTGGCGTGTCCCGGAAACCATCCGGGTTGTATTGATAGGGCGCCTCCGCCGTAGGGCCATTTTGTTCGGTTCGTGGTCATGGGCATGCCTCCGCCTGTGGATAATTGTCAGTGATGCTGTTCGCATAGCCATGCATAAGGAGTGAACCTACAAGGATACATCCATTGCATGCCGTATGGGAATGCCATTGTTCCATTCTCGAGCAGATCAATCCCAATAGTATCCGGATTGTCCTCTGGTAGTGTCCCATTCGTATGTAAATTGTTCCCCCTCCACCCCGGGTATGTGATAACGGTATGTGCTCTTGCCAGCCCCAGCAGGGCCGCTACTACGACGAGCAATATCGATGTGAAGTCGGCCATCGCGCTTCCTCGAGAGATCTTAGGACGTTCGTGCCAGCGCGACGACGGAAAATGCGAGGGAGCTTCGCGGTGCTCTTTTCAATCGCTCAAGGCGAGCCACTTCGGGGTTACGCGGACGGAGTGTTCAAAATAGAGACCATGAAACGGCAAGACGTCTTGCGCATGACAAGAACTGCGATCTGACAAGAACTAGAGCTTACCGAACAGCAGCATTTCTGGAACAGAGCACAGGTAGGTGAGAAGAGGTCGCCTTAAAGTGAGCTTAGCGCCGCGAGTCTTGTGCTCGGTACCGCTCACGAGAGTTTCCTCCACCGACACGCACTTGGCTGTCTGTGAGTGGCGAGTGGGTGGGCGAGTGCCCAGGGGGTGCTGGGGCATGCAGAGGACGTGATGAGAATAGCTTCTCAGCCTGTGATTTGCAAGACCACAGCAGCAGCCAAGGTAAAGAAAGGATTAAGCGCCGGCTGAAGAGGTGTGGAGTTGTGACTGCAGGGCCTGGTCTCCTCTGCACTGACCAATCAGCTTGCGATTTGGGACTTCAGGGCATGCGGCTGACGGGGAGAGGATTCAATCGGAACTGGAAGAAGGCGATGAGATGTTTCATCGACTGTATAATAAGGAAGGCGATGCCTCAATGAATCATTTCGTGCCTGATGGATCGAAACTTGGACCTCACTCACCGTTCACATGCTGGAAGTCGACACGGACCCCGACAGAAGCACGCTTGAAATCGGTGCAAAATCGCTCTCCACGCTTTCGACCGAACAGAAGACATCCGCATCGTCGGCGTCCAGACCAAGCACAAACGGCCTTGCAGACCATCTGACGGACCATGAATAGCGAGGTGTACTCATGGACGACTCGAGCTGCAGTCAGCGTTGGCCAAGATTCTGGCGTCTGGAGTACAAGCAAGTGTCTGACCACAATGAGTTGGCGTCCAGAAGGCCTGAGAGTACAACGAAGGCCCCGATGCGTACATCATGCTTGATCAGCCACATGCTGGCCATGAGGAATAGGAGAATTGGGGTTCCCGCCAAGTGTGCTCGTGGTTTCCAATCCTTCGGACTTGGTACTTCAGCCCTCGCGTTCTACAGCATACAGAGCTTGGGCTTGGGAGCCTCATGCAGCGGTGTCCACGCCATCGAGGCGACCTTCTGTCGTGCCCTTCGTTGCATCATGTCGTCTATTCTGGTCGACCAGCGACAGCTCACTTCTTGCCTCGACTGCCTTGATTGACCAATTTCTTCTTCAGATGCTTCGGCATCTTTTCCTTGCGTCGCTCGCGCTTCTCTTCCTTGACGGCTTTCTTGTGCTCCTTCTTGGCTTCTTTGTCTTCGAACCGCTTTCCGCGTGGTTTGCGATCGCTATCACTGAATTCGTCATCGTCGGAACCAGATTCATCCTCATCCTCATCCTCATCTTTCTCCTCATCGTTCGCGGCTTCCTTCTTGTCCGCGAGTAGTTCCTGATAGACAAGATCGCCACCAGCGCCCTGCTTGATCTTATCTCCATCTCTCTCAATGTCGTAGACTTGCTGCAGGTTCTGCGGAATGTACTGCTGTCGAAACACTTCGTTGTCCACTTCAGTGTCGTCACCTTGCTCCTCTCCACCTTGAGCCTTGGCTTCGTACAATTTCTGCAGCATCTCTTTCATTCCAGCTTCTTCAACGCCACCAGAGGCTGTTGTGACAAAGCCGAAGACAGCTCGCTCGGATAGGACGTCAACGTCTTTCTTCCTGAAAAAGTCGCTGATGTTCTTGATATCCATTCGCAAGAACTCCAGTGATCTGGGATGGTCGGGCTCCACACTTTGACTGACATCTATAACATATAGTCTCTGCTTGTGGTAGAGAAGATTGTACTCTGAGAGATCGGCGTGAACCAGACGGCATACTTGGTACATCCTGCGCATATAGCGAAGAAGCTCTTGATATATCGATTGCCACTTTTCGGCAGCCTCGTCTTCTGTGACCGATGAATCGAACTCGACATCTCGCAGTCTCGGAGCAGGCCATCCTTTCGAGTTGCCCAAGAATCCCATAACCAGAACGTGCGCCTTGAGATAGACCGGCTCAGGGCAAGGAATACCAGCAGCGTATAGTCGTCTCAAGTTGCGAAACTCCTTCTCCGCCCAGACCTTGACCATCGCCCTGTTCGAACTCTTGTTGTAACCTTGCCGAAACCGATACTCGCCCGTGACATACTTGTCTCTGTCCTTGAATACCAAAATACTCGTCTTGTACACCTTAATGGCCCGATTGAGCGGTTGTGCTGGCTCTTCGCTCTCTGACTCAGGAATGGTGACCGCGTGGTATACGTTCGCCTCTTTACCTGTGGAAAGCACACCGTTGATCTCAGAGACAATGTTCCGATTCAACATCTGCAACATCATCATCCTTGTCCTCGGATCCAGCACCTGCTCGCTCGTCGCCCGATCTGACTTTTCAGCACCTTGGTGCTGTTTTGATATGCCACTCTCCATGTCGTTGAGTCTTAACTTCGCTGTATGCTTCGACAAGCTCTTAATGTGATCGTCGATGTCGGCTTTGGTGTTGAGCTGTGGATTGGTCTTGGGTTTCTGCGATTCCGGGACTGAATTGTCGTTGAGTTTTCGTTGGCGATTGTAGGCTTTGGTGTAGTCCGCTGGGTTTGAAGCGGCCAGTTCTTGGTCTGAGAAGTCATCGTCGGACGGCTCGAAAAGGTCGACATAGTCTTCATCTTGCTCGTGGCCGTTGGTGTCGTGTGCGCTTCCAGGCATGGCACTTCGGTCTCCAACATATCCTTCGTTTTCGACATACTGCTGCGGTGGAACGTGTGGTGCCGCCATCTTGTCTATTATCTTCGAAGTGTATGCTGGAGAAACAAAGTGGGTGACGAGAATGCAGGTGATCGCCAGGCACAAAAAGTTCAAGAGGCAATGACTTCACGTGAAGGTGGGTCCCGGAGGTGCCACTGCCGACGCCGCAGTTGAGCCGCACATGCATCTTCAGACATGACCTCACGTCGGCGTGAACCACATCAAGCAATGGAGTGAATGACGATGGCAGCCAGAAGGAGTCCCTCGGTCTGTCTGTTTTGCCAGGCAAGACAAGCAGCGCTGGGCCGACGACGCACGAGCACGATATCGAAGAGAAAACTCCAGACGGTAGCACTTCGACCAGAGGACGATGGCTTCCTCTTCAGCAAGGCACAAGAGCAGACTGATGTCGAGAAGGAAAGCCCAGCAGCAGCTGTGAAAGAGGCGATGCGTCAGTGGAAGTTGTACAATCCGATCGACGAGCTCCGCGAAGCAGCCCTCGGGTTCGATGCGTTATGGAAACGAAGAGACCTCCGACTCGAAGTGCTCAGGAACCTCTCCAATCCTTGGCCTGAGAAACCACCGCATGTTCACCATCCAAGCAGAGGACCTCCTCAGCCTCCAGAAGCTCAGGCCGCATTGATCCCGCACGAAGTGTTTCGGCAGAGGGTAAAAGAGGCCACCACTGAGAAGCCCGTACGGCAATTGCTTCGAGGACAACTCCTCCGAGCCCAATGGCCTAAAGAGATATATCGTGTCGTGGCAGTGGCTATGATGAACAAGGATACAGCAAGATATTTGTCCACTCTCTACGAGCCCTTGATGCGAGCACTATATCGCTGTAGAGACAACGTCTCCGATCCAGAAGTGCTCAAGGCGCTCAATATCATCATCACGCGATTGAAATACGCAGACCTCAAGGTCGAGCCTCCGATGCTGTTCATGGCCCTCAAATTCGCCGCACGCTCTCGGAGTCTTCCAGCCATGAAAAAGTATTTGAAAGTCATCAGGGATACAGGCTTGGGTATAACAAGCAATGTGTTCAGAAGCGTAATAGCGAAGTTCAGCATAGGTCATCGGGGTCTGGGCGAGATACGGAATGGGCGGTGGCGGAGGCAGGACCTCTTTCAAGTCTTGACCGGATTCGAAGACGCCAAAGACCTGCCCAAAGACCAACAATACCATCTTGGTGCGTTCCTGGTCCGCGAAGACTGGCAGTACCTCCACGGATGGGTAGCAGTATTGGCAAGATGTAAGGCAAGCGATACGGTGTGGCAAGAATGGTTGCTGTGGAAAGAAAGCGACTCACGCAAGTCACCGCGACAACTGGAACTTCGATCCGGCGGCGTTCTCATGACGAGTAAAGCCCGCGGCGACTACTGGTTCGTCGAGCAGATGACCTATTCTGGAGACATCGAGAGAGCGTGGCAGATGTTGAAGGAGACGGACATCAGCTTCCGTACACTCAAGAACCAAGTCAAGGATAAACTGCTAGAGCATATTGAGTATGCGACCATCTGGGATGACAGCGTGCGAGAGGCGATGGTCGATAAATATGCTCGGGACCTAGCCAAGATCGAGGAAGCGCTGGGCGTAAAGTGGATTCCTGGTGAGGTCGCTGGTGAAGGGCAGCATGAGCTCTACATGGACCAGGAGGAGGCTCTTGACAAGCTTGGCGAAGATGGCTGGAGGTTGGATGAAGACTACGGCTATCCGTGGGAGACATCACCCATCGTGCCCGAGACAGAGCGAGCCCTCCACGACGCAGCAGAATGCCCAACTTCAAGGTAAGCCGCCACGACTAGAAATACGAATAACGAGATCTCGGACTTCCCCCTCACCCTACCACATTACATCCTTCAATAATAATGCCTCCTACTCCTCGGATCCGGATTCCACTCTTCACTCTCAACACTAACCCTTAACTCGTCCATTAAAGGCAACATCCCCCGCAAATACGTCTCTTCATCCAACAACGGCTTAGGCTCCCTCGCCTCCAACCAAAACCTCTGCTCAACCTCTACGCCGCAAAAGCATTAGCCTCTCCATCTCAAAAAACAACAACATTTGAACCCTCCCTCAGGGCCCAAAAACCAAAGAAAAAGAAAAAGAAAAACTCACCATCAAACCCCCACCCCCACCAAACCCCCTCGCACCTCGGCATCCCCCCCTCACCCATATACCGTTCCCGATGATCCACCTTCAAAACCAACCCCACCAACCGATTAAACCACGCCCTCAACCCACCCTTCACCAACGCCCCATTCCGCACAACCACCACCCTCCTAACATTTCGCAACTCCCTTAAAAGCCGCACAATCCCCGCCGTGAAATCAAAGAGATAGTGACAGAACGTCGAGCGGTATAGCGCGATCGTTAGGGTTTCGAGGTGCAGGGAGGGCATGGAGAAGGGGTAGGGGCCCCAGGTTGAGAGGGCGCGGAAGTGCCGCGCGTCGGCGACGAAGGTTAGGTGGCGGATCGCTTTTATGGTTTTTGGGCGCAAGAGCCTGGCGCTTCGTTCAGGGACGCTCGAGAATAAGTTCGTCATGAGGAAGTGCGTTTTGGTGAAGGCGAGGTGGTGGCCGTCAAGATAGAGTTGGCGGCAGACGAGGAGGGGGGAGAGGTGGGTTTGGGCGGTGTATTCGTCGTCGAGACATAGGCCTCCTGGGGTGGAGTGGGAGATGAGGCCGTTGTGGGCGAGGTTGGAGGTGAAGACATATTCCAGAATTTGGGTGCGGAGTTCGGCGGGGAGGGAGAGGAGAGTGCTTTTTGAGATGGTTGTGGATGGCATTTCGGGTGGCTGTTTGTCCTCTCTACAGCAATGTTGATGCTTGGCGATGGTTTGAGATGGAGTGAGGTGATCGGATCATTCATCTGCGCGGCCCAAGCTCCTCGAGCTCCTTCCGGCTTCGGGAGCATGTGAGTTACGCAGAGCATGACCAACTCAACGCGCAGCCAGCTCAACAGCTCATTGTTCTCAGCACAGTGGAAATGATGTGAATGCATATCGAACTGCAAGTTCAATTGTCCATGCTACAGTCTGATACCTCTACTAGCAACACTTTTTTGTCTCCTCATCTCCTCATCTCATCGTCTCACATTCATATGAAGCAGCTTATGCGGCGATACCAATGACACCGCAAGCTGGACGGGTACCAGCGTTGCCAGTCTTCTTGCTCTCCTCGTTACCGCCCTTGCCGAGGTCGTCAGTGCCAGAGTGGACGACAACAGTACGGCCAAGGACGCTGTGTGGGCCGATGAGCTTGACGAGGTTGTCGGTGACGCTGCCCTTTCCGTTGCCCTGGCCGTCGGTCTTGAAGTTGCCCAAGTCGCCTACGTGACGCTCGCTGTCCTCTGGGGCACCGTGGGTCTTGCTGTGTGGGTTGACTGTGGAGGAAGAAGTTAGGAAGGTGGGCAAGTATAAAGCTTGATGCTATCTTACAGTGAGGACCAGCGCTGGTGCAGCCATTGGTGTTGTCGCCAAAGGCGTGAACGTGCATGCCACGCTGAGCATTGGCGTCGTTGCCGGTGATGTCGTAGGTGATGGTGGTTGGGCTGTTCTCAGAGTCCTGCTCAAAGGTCACGGTGCCCTTGACGTTGGAGTCACCACGGAGAACTGCGACTGTAGCATGCCGTCAGCCATCTATTCACTCACTCCCACGCGAGCTATCCACGCTGGTGTCATGTCTGTCATGTGCTCCGCCAATGCCCGCCGCCTGCGTCTGGTGATGAGCACAGCCGCAGCACCGCTCGCACCTTGATGGGTGACTGTGATGAAACGTGCTCATTCTTGCGATGACCAGCTCCACTCGCGCGAATCAGATGCGTCGACGCCACTGTACGTACCTGCTTTGACCATTGTGGCGGTGTTTGTGATGGAGTGGTGTATATAAAGTGGTTTTCTCTTGATGGATCTCTGTCGAGCGTTTGTTGATGGAAGCAAGAGTCTGGCGACTGGGAAAACGAGAGAGAGCTGACTTGAGCAGCGACGACCCCACCAACGCGCCCCACCTTCACGATGACGAAAGGCGAAACGCCCGACGGCGGAGATTGCTGTCTGCGAGAGCCTCGAAACACCGAAGCGCCTGTTCTCGACTGTCTTCGCTCCGTGTTTGCCTGTTTGGAAGCTTAGGAAGAGCTTACGGTGCAGGAAGTGTGCAGTTGTTGATTTTTATGAACATTTCTACTACTCCTAGCCGCATTGACCCGAGCCACACATGCATTCTGGTGTCGTTTCCGATCTACCACGCTACAAAGGAAATTGTCGTATCATCAAAGTCATCTAAGCGCCGAGCTTTTGTCGGAGAATGTCCTTGAGCGTTACTGCGTCGGCGGCGAACTTGCTGATGCCCTCAGACAGCTTGTGCACGGCCATGGTGTCCTCGTTGAAGTCGAAGCGGAAGACAGCCTCGTCGTTGAGGTAGCTCTTCTTCTCAATGCTGAGCGACTTGGCGTCGTCGGCCTTGAGCTTCTGTGGGACGGAGTCTTGGGAGTTGTAGAGCTGCTCGAGGAGGTTTGGTGCAATGGTGAGGTAGTCGCAGCCAGCGAGCTCAGTGATCTCGCCAATGTTGCGGAAAGAAGCACCCATGACGATGGTGTTGTAGCCGTACTTCTTGTAGTAGTTGAAGATCTGCTGGACGGACTTGACACCGGGGTCGTTCTCCTTGGTGTACTCCTGCTTAGTGTTGGCCTTGTACCAGTCGAGGATACGGCCGACGAATGGAGAGATGAGGAAGGCGCCGGCCTCAGCAGCGGCGATGGCCTGGACCAGGGAGAACATGAGGGTCAGGTTGCAGTTGATTCCGTGCTTGGTCTGGAGCTCGTGGGCGGCCTGGATACCCTCCCAGGTGGAGGCAAGCTTGATCAAGACACGCGACTTGTCAATGCCGGACTCCTTGTAAAGCTGTGTATATTATCAGTACTGCTAGTCCTCTTCGTGTTCTTTGTAGCTCCAACTCACGTCGATGATGTGCAATGCCTTCTCGACTGACCGCTTCTTGTCGAAGGACAGTGCAGCGTCCACCTCGGTGGAGACACGGCCTGGGACGATGTTCAAGATCTCCTTGCCGAACTGCACCAGCAAGTTGTCCAAAGTCGCATCGATCTTCTCGTCAATGCTGCTGCCATGCTTCTTTCCGTACTCAACGGCCTGGTCGATGAGCTTGGCGTACTCTGGCTTCTTGGAGGCCGCAAGGATCAGGGAGGGGTTGGTGGTGGCATCTTGAGGCTTGTATTTGCCAATGGTTGCGAAGTCACCAGAGTCGCAGACGACGGTCTGTGGTAGGATCGAGTCATCAGCTTGAATTCTTCTTCAAACGCCGACGCTGCCGGCAGACAGGCGGGAAGCATTGGAGAGGTAGATACTCACGGTGCCGGTGGCCTTGAGCTGGTCGAGGGAGGAAGACATGGTTATAATGGTGTGTTGATGTTGGTATGAGAGGTGGTTGTACGAGGAGAAGTAGTGGCGAGAGTTGTGGTCAACTTTTCACTTTTCCTTGAGAACGTTGGGAGGAGGGGCAGAGCAAGAGGTGACCCTGGCCGACCGCCACGTGAACGACGTAATAAGACGCTTAGATCAGCCTCTGCTCAGCATTTCTCCTGCGAACGGCGAAATTGTCTGCTGCCGTTTTCTTGAATGTCATTATTGTCAAGCTGCATGTATCATTCACCAGCTAGCCTTTCCATCGACATCCGCAGCACGTAGTCGTGCTGGATAAACCACAGGTAGTGTTCGACCTCCTCCAGCTCTACCAAGGGCGCCGATTTCTCGGGCATCTCTCTCATCGTTCGTCATTTCGAGTTCCGTACGCTTCCACGGATATCCGCACATCGTGAGACTACGGACTGACGCTGCGGTGGCACTATGGCGGTACAATTTCTCTCCTGCTATCGGCAACTCACGCATTCAGCCTGAAATCGGCCCGCTGGACATTGAGTTTCGGGTTCGGGTTGCTAAGGCGCCCTGTCAGACGTGCCATGCCCCAAACAACACTGCCTCACCTCACTCTGCGCGTCTCGTAGGTATAGCAGAGCTCGCCAGCATGACAATGGCGCCTCCTCAGAGACGTACCCATCTCAATGCGCCGTCTGGATACCTAAAATCGACGCGATAGACACAACGTAAGCTGCATGCAGCTCCGGTGAGAAGATGGTGCGAGCGATCCGCCCCCAAAACACTCTCCGCGCCGCCTCGTTCCTCTCTCACAACACCCCAACTTTACCCCAACGATCCTTCTCTCGTATGGCGACGCCTTACGCATATGCGCGCTCTCAATCCTGGTCTAGTCTCTCACCTACTGCCGATTTCTACTATCGCCTTTCAGGAGAAATCATATCTGGCTCCTTCAGAATTGTGACCTTACTCCCTGGCCGCCCGGATGATCCGATTCAATGTCGCCTGCATGAGGTGTCGCTTAAGGACTGCCCTACGCGTTTCATAGCTCTATCTTATTGTTGGAACACCTCCAAGGCGCCCGAGACCATCTGGTGTGATGGACGCTCTCTACAAATCACCGCAAATCTGTTCGCCGCTTTACGCAATGCCCGCGCCGCATCTGCAGAGGTCAACCTCTGGATTGACCAGATATGTGTGGACCAGACTAATATCATAGATCGCAACGACCAGGTCAGCAAGATGGGCGCCATCTTCAAAGCAGCCAGTGGAGTGATTGTCTGGCTGGGAGAAGAGAGCCATGGATCGTCGGCTGCTATGGAGTTGCCCAAGAGGATCAGAAGGTTCTGGCCAAGTCTCTACGATGACCCCAACGAACTCACCAATCCTGACAAGACGCCTGCAGAGTGTCCGCGCTGGGGTGAAGGTGCTTGGCCTGCGTTCATCATGCTGCTCACCAGACCATGGTTTAGACGTCTTTGGGTCATCCAAGAAGTCGTCTGTGCGAGAGACATTGTGGTGACGTGTGGTACCGCGACCAGTTTCTGGGATGACTTCGTCAAGCTGGTCCACGTTGTCGAGGCCAGACACCATTCAGCCCTGGGGGTCAACCACATGCTGGGCTCCAAGACTGCTGCACAATACATTAACTTCATGCAGGAATTGAGGACCATCACGAGCCAGGGGACGAAGCAGGCTGTCAAAGACTATGCCAGTGAGGAGTCGATGGCGCCCTATGTTCTCACCATGGCCAAGGACTGCGAGGCTACTGATCACAGGGACAAACTGTTTGCATTTCATCACCTTGTCAGACTTTGGACAAAGCCGGACTACAACATGGAAATTGAGATGCTATACGAGCTCTTCGCAGTGCAGTATCTCCAACGCATAGCATACGCCATATCGGAATTCAGTTGCGACGAGGTTACGTTATTCAGAAGGCAGCTGGAGTTCATCTACACTGGCGGCCTCTGCAATCAGCGCCTCGATCTACCTTCTTGGTGCCCAGACTGGTCGGTCCCGTGGCAAGCTCGTCCACTCTGGCTTGGAACGTCATGCTATTCGGCTGGTGCCAGCGATGTTGCAGAGGTCACGCCATTGACTGATACGGAGCCTGGTGGTCGTCCGAGACTGCGGCTGCCTATGAAAGTCAAATTCTTTGACCGAGTCGTTGCAGCTGGCTCAGAAGGACTTCAAATGTTAGGAAAGGGTGCCCAAGCTCTACCAGAGGCACTTAGAACATGGCTCTTCCAGGCAACTTCTCTCTTGCACATGAACCGCAGTCGACCAAACCCATACAAAGATCAAAAGATTGCTATGGCACGCACAATGACAGCAGATCAGGACCAAGGGACGAAACTTGCTATTGAAGACGCTGTACAGCGATACGAAACATTGCTAGAGTTTTTGAGAGAGAACGACGGCGACTCCCAACCAAAGACAGATTTCCACGACTACGACCGCACATACTACTCCATCGCGAGCTTTCTGCGTGGCAGAGTCTTCTTCCTCACCGAGAAAGGCTACTACGGCTTAGCCCAAGCAGGACTTGACTGGGGAGACAGCATCGCCATTGTGCGAGGTGCGCCGGTGCCTGTTCTGCTTCGTCCTACGTTGGAGACTGGCCCTCAATCTCGCGAGTATCGACTGCTCTGCGAAGGCTTTGTACTGGGCATTATGGACGGCGAGGTCTGGAACGATGACACTATACCTCGAGAAGACATCATGCTGGTATGATCTTTGGAGGAGCGCCATTACCTAAGGGCTGTCGCCTTATCTACTAAGTGCAGCTATTTCCAGTGCTGGATCATCTCCTTCGTCGTCGACATTGTTCGTTCTGCTCTGGACCTCTGCCATTGACTCATCGAAGTTCTGGGCAAACCAGCACTACCTTCGGCATACTCGAACACCGGCACGGCGTAAAGATCTCTTCTCCTTGCCCTGTTTGGAGCTCCTGCAGCGCTTGTGCAAGATTCGGAAGCCAATGCCGACGGCCATTCTTGCTTCTGCTGCACCTCAAAATCTATGACATTTTAATCGCCGGTCTAGAACGACATCCACCTCAACTTGCCGATAAAGCACGCGATCATCTCGAAGGCCTCTTTAATTCCACGACCTCGCTCCCAAAGACAAATCACCCTCAGGACAAGCCATGTCGACCAAAATCTCAAAAGTCGCCTTGCTCGGAGCAGATGGCAAGCTGGGTCCTGCCATCATGCATGCACTGGTTGAGAACGGATTCAATGTTACAGTCTTGAAGCGGAAGTCATCGAAATCGCCTTCTTCGTACCCGTCGCAGATCTTAGTATCGGATGATTTCAACGTGCCTGAATTGACGGAAGCTCTGAAAGGAATCGATGCCGTTGTGATTACTGTCAAAGGCAGCCAGACAGATCTCCAAAAGCGAATAGCAGAGGCAGCGGTGCAGGCTGGTGTGAAGCGTACGTAGACTTCCAACTCTCCCAGCACGCTCAATCTGACCTCTCCTCGCAGGCCTCATCCCAGCCGACTTCGGGTCCTGCGACTCGTCCACCCAATTCGCCCAAGACACCGTCCCCCTCTTCAAACACAAAGCCAACCTCAGACAATACCTCACCGACCTCTCCACCAAAAACCCCTCCTTCGGCTGGACCTCCATCGTCTGCGGCCACTTCTTCGACTGGAGCCTTGAATTCCTCCACATCTACCTCCCGCAACGCAAAGCCGAGATCCTCGACGACGGCGCCGCGAAATGGTCCGCCAGCAGCCTAGGCCAGATCGCCGAAGCCACGGCGAGGATCCTGCTCCGGCCGGACGTGACGAAGAACCGGATGCTTTATATCCAGAGTTTCCTCGTTTCGCAGAGTGAAGTCATCGCGGCGTATGAGAAGGCCACGGGGACGAAGTGGGAGGTTGCCAAGTTTGAGAGTGAGAAGTATTTGGAGGAGGAGAAGAGCAAGGCGGCGGAGGGGGATCTGGAGGCGGTGGAGAATCTTGTGTGGTTGGTGGGGACGGTGGATGGGAATTGGGAGGGGAAGAAGGATTTTGCGATGGAGGATCTTGGGTTGGTGGAGGAGGATTTGGAGAGGGTTGTGAGGAAGACGGTGGAGAGGTTGGGGTGATTTTGGAGGGGGGTTTTGGAGATGATGCTTGTGAGTTTTGGATAGAGATATATTTGAATATGCTAACAAGCGCTTGAAATTCCCATTCCGATAGTGTACATCTCATCGAGCTACAGATATCTCAAAACCACAACCACTCCGTCACACATCGCCCCTACAAATCACATCCCCATCAACCACCCCCCTCGCCTCCTCCCTTCTAACCTATCTCAACAACCCCCAAACTCCACGCCACATCCCCCTCCACGCCATCCCCCTCCACCCACAACGCCCCCTCCTCCAAATCCATCGCCACCAACAACACCACCGCGCGAATCGGCAAATGCGCATAATGCTCCTCCGGAAACCGCACCCTCGCGTTGGAACCGGCGCGGTGGAGGGAGAAGTAGCCGAAGGACCAGTGCAGGAAGCGGAGGGGGGTTGTGTGGAGGGTGTGGAGGTGGATTTGGAGGAGGGAGGTTTCGATGGAGGTTGGCGGGTGGTGAGGGGTTGGGGGAGGGGGAGGCGTGTGGTGGGTGAAGGTGTTGCGGAGGCGGGTGGTTGTGGAACGCAGGGCGTGGGTGAGGAGGGGGCGGAGGGCGCAGCAGCAACGGGAGGTGGTGGAGGAAGGGGTGATGGTGGTAGTGCTGGATGCAAGTGTCGAGTGACTCACGTCGGTTGATGATCCGGTTGGGATGCTCGAGAGACTGGAGTCATTGTCGAGATCAGGGCCCACGTATCCGGCGCCGCTGTCGCCTGGGATTTGCCAGGGCAAGCCACTGAGCGTGCGAAGCTGAGACGGAACCTCCCCAGTGCCATTCGAAGAACGGTGGAATCCATTCGAGGATGTTGGGAATAGGGGCGTAGTTGGAGAGGGCAACGACCCACGAAGCTCAGCAGCGACATCCGTCGTGCCCATCCAGGCACGATAGGAGTCCGTGGAGGTTGTCGGTGATGGTGAGAGGAGGAAGGTTCTGTTGCCTGTGCTTGGGCTGTGAGGAATAGTGTTGATGGTCAGAGGTTGGAAAGTACGGACCTGGGTGATTTGGCTGTTCGTCAAGTTGCCGGACATGCTGGGCTTGCTGAAGAGGCTGATGTTGAGGTTGTTGTCGTTGCTGCTGATGCCGATATCTAGATCCGGACCAGCCAAATCGTCCGTCCACTCGATAAGTCGTCCCTTCGTCGTCGAAGAGGGTACTCGTAACTCTGCTTTGGTGTATTCAAAATGTTCCTCGTGTCGCTGCTAACTGTAGAAACTAATGAAGAAGAAGAAACTCCAACTCAACACCGCCAACCAACCTATCTATACCCGCCTCAACACCCAACCAAGAGAACAACACATTATCCAGAGGTGTTATCGTCGACACTGTAGAGGGCAACAAAGGCATTGTTTGGGGACAATGGAGTGACATGCCGAGGAGGAGCCGGGGGATGGGGAGGGGGCGGCGAATAGGAGGGCTTGGTTTGGGGAAGGTGGTTAGAGAGGTGAATGGGCTGCTTCTTTGGAAATGTGAGGTGGATGTGGTTGGGTGCGTGAAGGGGGTGGAGGGGGTGGAGGTGTTGGGGGCGGGTGAGAGGGTGTCTTAGAGTGGAAGGCTTGGGAGGTGAGACAGCGGGATCGGATCTTGAGAATGAATGGTCGTCAGTATCTTTGAGGCCAACGTTCCCGTGCTTTTGGTCGTTATTATGATTATATGATGTGCATCGTGGTCGTGGTCGTGTTCGTGGTCGTGAAGCCGTTAGGAGTCCACTCATCGACGATATGGCCATCAGAAAGAGTCTTGGATGCGACATCTCCCGAACCAACGCAGCAGTACTGCTCGCACCGTCATCAATAGGTAGGTAGCTTAGCTCAATCAGTCTCTCCATATTGTAATGCCATGTACGTATCTGTGAGTGACATACTGTCGAACCTCGAGCTGGTCTTGACAAGACTGCGCAGTTCGTGCAACATCTCCACGCCTAACAAGGAATCGAAGTTTGGAGCAACTCATGTGATCCCCCGGCGACGACTGCCTCATCTGTGATCCAGATCGGGTCTCGGTTTGCGAGTGGCCCAGAATCACAAGACGTGGTTATCCTATTCGAGGTACTGTCGTAGTGAAATCGAGCAGTACCTCCAACTTGTCCCCATCGCGACTAAGACATCATTTTGCTTGCCAAGAGGGAACAGTATTGTTGGTAGTGCATACCTTTAACCTTTTGGGGCAAGTACCTCGTGTAAATTCGGCTTAGTAGGGACCTGCAGGATCGTAACTGTCGACTGATGTGGGTTGGCTTGCGATACTTTGATCTGGGCGATGTTATTATCGAAGGAACGAGAGTATAAAACGCAGAGAGTACCTGCTATCTAGAGCTCATACAGTTCAACCTAGTCCTCTAAATCGACTGAATTTAACTTTCAACGAGATGCCGGAGACTTACCTAGTGACCGGCTCTACGGGCAACATTGGCAGATCTGTGGTTTCGACGCTCTTATCACTCGGCCATAAAGTCCACGCGTACACGCGTAACACGTCTTCAAAGAGCGCACAAGAGCTTGCCTCCACCGGAGCCACTCTCTTCCAAGGTGACTTCTCCACGCCTTCCGCCCTCTCGTCTGCTGCGCAAGGCTGCAGCGGTATCTTCCTCCTTACGATCCCCGGCCCAGATGCCCCCAATTTCGCCAGCACCGCCCTGGAAGCATTCAAATCATCCGCCCTTCCAGATCCAGTGGTAGTCCTCATAACTTCCATCTTCAACGATGAAAAGACGTCGAAGCTGGTGAACAGCCCAAACTCCGGCCTCCCGAATAAACCGCCACACCCCTTCGTGACTGGATACTGGGGTATGAATGACGCCGTCGAAACGGTTGTCAAAGAAAGCGGATTCCCACACTGGACGATCCTTCGACCGGCGTACTTCATGTCCAACTACAAGGACTTCAATATACGGTATATCCACTGGCCGGCCCTGTCCACGGAGAAGAAACTCGTAGCTGGCGTGACGCCGGAGACCAAGTTCGAGATGAACGATCCCCATGATATTGGTGTGTTCGCAGCGCATGCGTTGGTGGGAAAAGGCCAGGAACGCTGGGAGCACAAAGGGATCAGCTTGGCGAGCGAACTATTGACGTTGGAGGAACAGGCCGCAGTAATCAGCCGAGTCAGCGGCATCGAGGTGACTGCAGAGTATATGGACGAGGCTGAAGCGGCCAAGTTAGCGGAGGAGGAGTTCACAGGGTATATGTGGTTTTGGCAGAAGACCTTGGGTGCCAAAGTCGATATGGAGGACATGCGGAGTTATGGTCTGAGTGTGAGCTCGTTCGAGGCGTATTTGACGAAGCATAGGGACGAGATGATCCGGGCTTTGCATGATACTAAGGAGGGGAAAGGGGGCCTTAGCACCGACGATCTCCTCGCTGCAGCCGGACAGCATGGGAAGTGAGTTCTAAACGATGTAGAAGGGTAAACTCATCGGTGCGATCAATGCCTCGCTGCTATCACGGTCGTGGTGTCCAGACTGAAATCTAGGGTCTTTCTTCTCTCCAATGGTCTGTGAGAGCGACTAGGCTCACGACTGCGGTGCGAGTTAGTTAGCTCGTTTGCTAGAAATGGGGATTATATCGCATTATGACCGTGGCACTTTACTGCTGCAGTCGGTCCGCTCATAGCTATGGCTTAGCGTTCTGCACAATGGCTGTCTTCTTAAGTCCACTGTACATATCAAATCGGCATCTCTCGTCTGTTGAAAGCGACCAAGCTCCTGATTGCAAGTCGGGTTGTTTAGACAAGGCATTTGCGAAGGGCAATGTCTCATGCGGTGCTCCCCCAGTGGCCGGCCACGTGAATCTACAAGTCAAGGTAGCAGTTCATCATTCTATTCGGGTCACTCACCAACGATACCCTTCTTTCACGGGCAATATCATCTATCTCCTCTCCCTCTTTACGGCTACTTCTTTCGACGATTTTCCGAGCTTTACTTTCAGGCTTCTTTCCAGGCTTCGCTATCTGAACCATATAAACCCGGGCAGAAAGACGTGAAAGCGCCCTTGCAATCGCATTCAACCTCGCATTAGTAATATATTCCGCGACCTTGAAGTTCGTCTGCGTGTGATTTGTCGATCTAGGAACGATGTTCCTCTCCATCCTCTCCCTCGCATTCCACTGGCGACATCATGTCCGCGACCAACCCTCTCCTTGGCCAAATCCCGGCCTACACCTCCCGTCTCTGCACGTGTTATGTCGTTCGCCTCTGACGATTGAAGCTGAGTCGGAAATCGTACGTTGTTGAATACGCCGTAGGTATTTGTGGAAAACGTTGTATGTGGGTTGAGAGAGGTCGCAGACATGATGTCGCCAGAGGAATGCGAGGGAGAGAATGGAGAGGAATATCGTCCCGGGATTGACGAATCACCCGCAGATTCGAGTGGCCGACAGCAGGGAGCACCGCATAAGATATTGCCCTTCGCACATGCAATCAATTATTAAGCCTCGATGTTGGCGTCTTCCTCATCGTGAATATTTCCGAGCCATTTAGAATACATTTCGAATGGCAACACTTGGCTAAAGGCGATGGCTTTCTCCACATCTCAAACTCTTACCATACTGCTTGAAGAGGGAGACATGGCGTAGTCGGGTCTGATTGCGCGGAGGGAGTCGTCGAAAATGCGAGGGATTTGCGCTTGCACTAAGCTGCAAAGCAGATCAATCGCTTCGCCTTCGACGTTGCCCTTTGTCCTCCCAGGCATCGTGATTGATACGTCAGTGAGGCCCTATCTTGATAACGGGCATCTTGATGGCAATCCCAACTGGAGCGTTGATGACCGTGCCTCGCAGTAGTTGTATCGGCGTCCTGACCGCTCGCGAGATGCTGGGATATAATGACGGATACAACCATTCTGAAAAAGTTTCACTGTTCATACCAGAAGCAGCTGTCCTTTCTGGTGACACCGAGGGACAAAGGGTCCCTCGCCTCTTGAATCGAAGTCCAATAATGCCGTACTGACCGTGCGGGTTATCTGGCCATCGGTCCAGGGTCCCAGGGGCTTAGGGAAGGTCGTGCCGTAAATCTCTCCATCAGAAGTGAATCATCCTGCCCACTCTCCTGTTCATCGACGGCTCAGACCCGAGCAAAGCCATGGGGATCATGGACTGCGTTCTGTTGAGTGCATTCATTCCGCTTGCACTTTCCCTTTCAACTTGGTTAGTAATTCGTCGCAGCCATCTAGATGGACTCCCAGCGTCAGTCGCTGACTCTGTGCAATTAAACGGAAGTCGAGACGATGTTGCATGGTTGGTGTAGAGGTGAGCAAGCGTGATAGAGGTGTTGCCAGGAGAAAAGAAGAAGCACCTCGATGGGAAGGTATGGCGAAGCGGAGACACGGCCCGTGCACGCTAGCATCGGACCTCGAAGTGAATGAAACTTTGTCGACACTGCAGCTCGCTGCAATGGATTTCCAACGCCTCCCACCCGCCCTCCGGTGGTGGTCGATATTACTACAAAACCCACGAGTTCTCCGTCGCCTACTCTCGACAACAGTGACCCACGATGTCGCCTACACACCTTCCGCACCGCCCTCGAAAAAGTCCCAAATACCACCACCACCGGCCCAAGAACAACGACCCCTCCTCCATCTCACCTCCTCAACCCTGAACACTTACACGACCCTCCCAGCCCCAACGCCCCTACAACTCCGGCAATCGAACGCCTTCTTCCAACGCCACGACCCTATACTCCTGTACACCGCCGCGCGCTTCCTCGAACTCCCACCCTCACCCTACCCCGAAATCGCCGTCCTCGGCCGCTCAAACGTAGGAAAGTCCTCTCTGCTCAACGCCCTCTTCGGCCGCCCGCGCCTCGCAATCGCACATACAAGCAAGAAACCCGGCAAAACACGCACAATAAACGGGTATGGCGTCGGAGGAGATGGCGCCGCAGCGCCCCAAAACACGAAAGGGAATAAGAAGAAAAAGGAAAGCGAGGGAGGATCGCCACTATGGAAATCCTTCGGCCGCGGCGGCCTTCTCGTCGTCGATATGCCCGGGTACGGAGGCGGGAGTCGCGAGGACTGGGGCAAGGAGATCATGAGATACATCGAAAACCGGAAACAGCTCCGGCGGACGTACGTGCTCGTCGACTCCGAACATGGGCTCAAGAAAAGCGACATCGCCCTCCTGATGTATTTCCGGCAGAAAGGCATCCCCTATCAGATCGTGTTGAGCAAAGTGGATAAACTCCTCTTTGCGAGGTCGAAAGTGCCCGGTCCGGAGAAGTTGAGTAATTCATTGCTTCAGCTGGGGGATGTGAAGATGAAGGTGCAGGAGATGTTGAATGAGGAGGCGAAAGGGATGGGGATGAGAGGGGATGTTGTGGAGGATATTTTGTGTAGTAGTGGGAATCCTGATAAGGCTATAAAGGGTGCGACTGGGGATAGGAAGAGGATGATTGGGGTTGATGAGTTGAGGTGGAATATTTTGACTGTGTGTGGGATGCAGGGGAGTGAGAAATTGGAGTTGGGGAAGGCGCAGAAGCAGAAGATGATGGCTGGAAGGGGATAAGGGTACGAACGCCTTTTTACTTGCGGCGGATGATGATGGGGGAGGTGATTGGGATTGGGATGACTGAAGAGGATATGACGATTTGACTACTGGAACGTGAGACCATTTCTTATCCAAGGCAAGCATGTTGTCTGCTATCTACCGGCCTGTTGTCTGATTGATATCGACACGCTTTACCTTGGGGCTTTTCTGGATATCCTGCTAAGCCTTCCCGGTACTCCAACAACATCAAAGTCAAACAGCAGTTAACAGAAGCAAGTCTTCCAAATGAGTGTGGGTGGTCCAGCTTCATTCAGACTTGGCTGGCCGCTGCATGTAATTCTCAAATCGCAGATGGGAGTGTTCCGGATGGCATTTCCTGACAGTGGTTGTGGGGTTTGTAGTGGAATGTCGTGTGGATAGTGTCGTGGAGCTTAGACGTACCAAGTCGTCTCTTGCAAGCGCGGGTGCACATCGCGGCTCCACTCGTTGTCTTCATTAAAGACAGACGAATCGCTGCCATGGTTCTCCGCGAGGGTGCTGAAGAGATAGGCTCGGCCACGCTCGCACAACAGGTCGGCATAGTAGGCAGGCGGGCAGATTGATACTGCCTTGGTTGCACGGTTGAAGTGATAGCAAAGATGATGGGTGAATTGCTCAAGCTGGTCGGCGGTGAAGGAGATCTCGTCTTTGATGACAACGTAGTGGGCAGGGCGTGCTGTTCCTTGGAGACCTTGGTGTGCTTGCAGCCAGAATTCCCGGAGCACCTTGTTGGCAATACCGCGGTCGACCACAGTCCCTGGGAGTGGGTTCCATGAGCCCTTGTCTCGCTTTGGGTCATAGTCGGCGTCCTCCTGACGGGTTGGGTAGAAGCGCGTGTGGTGGCGCTTGCCGACAATGATGACAGCAACCTTGGGCCACTTGTCCTTAGCTCCATAGCGCTTCTCGAACGCCTTCTCAAACGAGGGCATCTCCTGGTCGAGGACGAGCTGGTACTGTCCTTCTGAAACTCCATCACGATAGATGATAATCTTGGTGGGGAGTCGTCCGTGGTTCTTCTTCTGCCACAGGGCAAGACGCTCCTCCACCATCTGGTCGAGGTTGCTAACCATCTCCACCCTGCCTTGCTGGCGACGAATACTGCCGGGCCACTGGAACATGGACGAGTCTGTGCTGGCGACAATGCAAGCGATGCTGGGTGCGCCGGCTGTGCTGCCTGGGGACGGGTGGGTAACATCGATTCCCACCAGCATGGTGTTGCTATCGATGGGGTTGACAGCGGTATTCGGAACCGAGTGAGACACGCCGCCTCCCTTGAGGTTGAACTTGAGGGCGAGGTTGCCCATATACATACCCTGACCACCAGGCTTCTGTAGCTTGTTGCCGACTGAGCAAATGCTGCCAATGCCGTGCTCGACATCGCTGAAGTACTTGATACGGGCATACAGCCATTTGTCAGCCTCTGGAAGTATGATGAACAACATATCGACCTTGCTGTCCTCGGCTTTGGCAAAGGCTTGCTTCAAAATCCTGTCATTGCTTGCGCGGTTTTGAGGGGCTGATAGTTCGAGCATGATCCTCTGAGTTGGACCTCGAGAGCCCATACTAATGCCATAGTCTTTCAAAAAGCCATCCAGCTTCTTGATCAAGTCTTCGGCGCCAAGCATGTCGCCTTGGGGATTGTCGATCAGGGCATTGCCACGATGTCCTTGGCGATTGATGACCAGAACTTGCCAGCGGTTGAACTTGCCCGGCTTGACAAACTTCTGTGATGCACAGTTCCACGACCCTTTCGAGGGTGTGACATCTTTGGAGCCGTACTTGACTTTTGGGGTGTCTAGAATGCGGCCTGGTACAGAGATCATGCTGGTACCGACACGGAAGCCAAAAGGTTGGACAGAGTTTGCTTGCGGGTTGGGCTGTCCTGCTGGAGCACTCAAACGGAAGATCCTAAGACCATTTCCGGGAGCGTCGGTAGTGCCTGCAATAGACATGGCGTTCAAGTTGGGCGGTCTGGCGGCAAAGCGCAACATCTCCGTTGTCTGGTCGCCACTCAGAAGTCGACGATAGGGTTGACTAGGCAGGACAAAGCAGAGCTCTGGTGGCAAGTACTGGGGATCCTCGCGAGTGCCTACGTTCAAGACTGGTAGCGTCGGCTGCTTCAGAGTAATGCTATGATGCTGGCGGAAATAGTCGTTTACAGTGACCTGACGCGGCTGGGCATTCGGCATCGCTCTGTCAAGGTAGCTGAACTTGATCTCGTTCGCATTCCCGAATCGCTTCACACTGATCTTGTTGGTGGACTTGGCGAATCCGACGATGGTCTTGGTTTTTGACATGAAGGGCTTCGACTGACCGTCCTTGACATAGTCTGCTCTAACTTTGAGCATGCGGAGGAACGCCTCGCGTTGATCCAAGTTGCCCTTGAACTCGTTCATGAGCTGCACAAGCAGCATCGACTTGAAGAAAGCGCCGCTTGTCACGTTCAAATTGACTAAAAGTCGGTTGACAGCTGGACGGACGGACGCATAGTATCCTCGAAGCGCTTCCAGACCGTTCCCGAGATTGTAGAACTCCTTGCCAGGGTGGTTGCCGTATGGATAAAAATTGTTCTGCCCAACTTTCCGAACGTCGTTGGCAGAGTTGGGTGCCTTGGCCATGATGATGTTCAGAATCTGTACAAGGTCTGTTCGACCCTCATACGTTGCACCAGAGGATGAACTTTGAAGGTACTGGATGATCTCCCGTAAAGCGTACGACTTTTGATACGTGATGCGAATATCGAAAGTGTTGCGATCGCGTGCCTGGCGAACGAACTCTGGCGCCGGGCCACTGTCTGAGCTGGTTTGCTGGCTGTTGCCATCCTCTGGAGGAAGGGTCAGCTTCTTCAACTTTTCGTCTTTCATCAACTTCTCGACGTCGATTTTCTTGGTGGTTACAAGAGTCCTGGAATAGTCGGTCGCCCAATTGCAGCCCTGAAAGGCCGGGTGTGTGAGAAGCACGTCGAAAAGTCGACGCGTCTTCGGCTTGGATAGTTCTTGTCGGACTTCGATGTCGTATTTGTAGAGGGCAACTTCTGGCTGCTTGGCCTCAAAGGCCGTGGTCAGAGTGAAGTAGTTCGTTCTCAGTACAATCTTGCGGCCTTTGGTGCCATACCCGGATCGACCAGGAAAGCCGTCAATCATCTTGCCAGCAGTCTGCTTGACCAGAGCATCTTCGGCCGCCGTGATAGCGGGGTCCGGATCACTTGGTCTCTCGCTCGCGCTGCTATCTGTCAGTATGGGCCACAGGTAGGATAACATATGCCCAAATACTCACAGAAAGATGCCTGGTCGGCCTGGAGGTGGTCCACGGAAGGCCATCTGCGAACCATCTCCTCGTGGAGGACCGCCTCCGCGTCCACGACCACCCCTAAAACCGCCATCTCCTCGTCCGCCTCCTCGCCCACCGTCCCCACGGCCACCTCCGAATCCACCATCGCCGCGGCCTCCTCTGAATGATCCAGAGTCACCACGGCCGCCACGATCAGATTGGCCTCCTCCGCGGCCTCCACGTTGACCGCCGCGCTGTCCGCCTCCTTCACCGCCGCGACCACCGCCGCGGCCTCTTCCTGGGTTGCTCGACATGTTTTCGAAGTGAGTGCTTCGTAAGTCGCCTGGGTCACTATGCATGATAATGTCAGCCGCGTTCGGAGATGTAAAGTCAGGTGAGCTTACGGCTGATGTCGAGCTGAATGGCTCAGTGAGTATTTGAAAGTCGGTCAGACCTTGGAACGCGACAGGTCTGTTGTTGTGATGTTCACTCGAAGACGTGCGATATGAAGACGCTCAAGAGCTGGTTGTGACGCAAAGGTTAGCTGATTCGTTCTGTTGGCTTGCAGGAACCTGAGAGGGTTGTGTTGTTCGTAAAGTGCGAATGGCAAAGGCCTTGGTCGTAGAAGATCTTGGTTGTATGAGTTCTAGTGTTGGAGGGTCCAGCAATTGAAAGTTCAGTTCTAGAACGGTGTTTGGCCAGGGAAAGTCGGAAGAGGAAGTCAGGCGCTCTAAAATAGAGGGCACATGATCCAGTAGATTCCAGCGCACGCTTTCACATGAAGCGTAGAACCAAAGTGAAGAGACATCGGAGCTCACCAATAGCTTGTGATTCACATCTAGGCGTCGAGACGTGAGTCTGGGCAATCAGACACGCCTGGAAGAGATCAGTGTCTTCGCGGAGCTGTTTTCAGAGGACAAAGCCTTACAGAGACAACGAATGGTCTAGCACTTCACAATCTCAAGTCGAAACGCCGCGAATTGTCGTGTCTTGTCTTCTGCTAACGAGCTGATACGCTGTGGCGTGATGTGATCTGTCAGAAATGTTTTGGTAGCGGTATGTTGCAAATGGATTGTCTTATAATGGATGTGATGGCCAATTGAGGCTTTAGATCAGAGAGTTATGTTGTGTTTCTGCTGCTCCCAAGAGCACAGGAAGAGAGGATGTCGAAGAGAGGGGAAGGGAGTGAGGACATGAAAGGTCGACGGCGGTGACGTTGGGCGCAGTCTTGGCGCCGTCTGCTGCTCCTCGCGACGTCTCTTCCACTCGCCCACCTCCACCACCACGGCGCCTACTCGTCCTTACGGCGAATTAGCATCGCCGTCGCCTGCTATCAGCGTTTGCACACGCATCGGATGTCTCGTAGACTTAAGCTCGACCAATCTTTGCAAGCGAGAGGTGGGGTCTTGCGCAGTGAACCGCCGATGCAGTCAGACGCTGTAGGTGCTGCTCATATCGTTGGTCGATGACGGCCATGATCCCTGGACGTCAAGACGCGGTCGCGACTTCCCGAGCGATGCCCACATTGCCCCGCCGCTGGCGCCCCCAGTCCACGGGCTTAATCGAGGACGACCTTCGACGAGGCCGTGGGCGAGCAGGATCTTTGTCTCTGGCCGACGCTTTGCAACAGTCTCGATGGCAGCCTCAGCCTTAAGGACACCCTTGAGCAGCTCCAGCTTTCTGCTCAAACGACGTCTGGTTCGGCTACGGGACACTTGTGCGTCCTGCAAGTCATCTGTCACACGCCTGTGCCACTCACAGTGCGGGAAGCCGCATAGGGGTATGACTGGCCGAACAATCTGTGTCACCACGCCGATTTCGAACTCGACAGCAGACTACGCCACAGCGGCCTTTGAATCTTTGGCAAACAGACCTCTTGTCACGACGCACGCTATCTATCGATGAACACCCCAAGGCTGAGTAGATGCGACACAAGCAGCCATGTGTTCCGTAACATGTAAGCCCATGCTCGAAGTCCAGCGCGAATATCGGCCATAGTCCGTACACACCGAAGGCGTCTGGCATGCCATCTGCGATGATTCCTGGCGATGCCTAATCTTACCATCCGGCTGGCCGTTGTGCGAGGGTCTTTCTGAAGCTGCCTGTTTTCCATGCTCCACGTCCGGACTGTTGCATGAGCTCTTCTCCATGCCGAGCAACAAAAGCTTGCATGATCTGCTTCCATATGACGGGCGTGATGTATACTGCATCAAACACAGCACAGAAACTGGAAGACGGCAGGCAAAATCGCAAGTGCGAATGAACTTGTGTGCTCGACCGAATTGTGGACTTCTACCACTCTGGAACGCATACATTCTCACGGAAAGCGCCATCGCCTTGGACTTGTGATGTGTAGTGCGGGCTGAAACTACCACGCGCGGTCTTGAACCACGCCCTACGCCAACATCTCCATCTGCCTATTCTTCAAGCCTCATGTGCTCAAATGTTAAAGAGTTGACGCTAACCATGGTACAAGCTTTGGTACCTGCAGGTACCGTGCAACGTCTCCAACATTCCATCGAAACATCCTCATTCCTTGTCGGCTTTGACTACCCGGTTACCTGGGAGAACCTGGCCTTACAACGCCTTCAACATGGGTCGCGCATGTCAGACGACGCTGGAGACCACATCGTCCGAAAGGGCTCTATGCCATTGTTACACTTGTCGTCTTCGAGACAAGACATTCCAACCCAACCCACCTTTCTGGCTCCCGTCAAGTGCGCCCATGTTGGACCGCTTGACCTGCGTGTTCCCTCCCTCTTCTGCAGCAAAGCGATGCTGTCCACGAATTGGCGTTTTACGAGCACTTGACGATTACGAATGACCCGTACTACCCTGTCCATCGTCGTTTGAGAGTGATTGCACTGGAGCAAGTGGGCGGTCGCCTGTCTGCAGGCGGCGCAGGCATCAAAGGACGAGATCAGACGTGGATCGTTGTACGAGGATCACAAGGCTGGATTGAAAGAAGAAATCTTGAAGTCAAATTGAACAGATACGCCCCCGTCCCCTGCTATTCATTTCCCTCAGTTGACTTCGTTGGCAGCACTGACTGACAGATCATCCACTTCGCAATGGGCGACCTTCGTTCTCGCCCACGAGCGCCGCTCCTTCTTTCACTGATTGTTGCATTGCAGGTCCCACGAAGCTCCGCTCATCCAGTCGATATCCACGGTAAGTCGGAGACTAGATCTTGCGTTTCGGGAGTCATTGCTCACACCGCGTACAGACTCTCCTCAATACATCAGGACTATCACAGAAGCCGAAAGTTACATCCCTCCAGGAACCGTTACAATTTCTTGCAGCACATCGACAGCATCGAACGTCGTTCAACAGAGTCAAGATGGACAGGTACAGATCGAAGCGACCAAGTCTGACAACGACCCCTACCCGACAAATCGTGTCATTGTCCAGATTCAAGATGGTCAAGTGCAAAACCCAGTCATCACGGGAGAGGCCTCTTCCAGTTCGAGTTCCACATCTGTACTCTCCGCTCGAGACGTGACTACTGCAAACCCATCAGGCGTACCGGCTGGGCTACCATTCACTTCCTTGACGACTTATCTTTTCGCCGAACAAACATCCTCGTTCAGCATCACTATCTCTGATAGTGCTCTGACCTCACTCACCACTTCCGAGGTACAGACCGCCACAGAGTCAGCACCGAGCAGCACCTCTGGAAGTATTGTGTCGTCGTTGGAATCTTCAGGCAATCCAACCTTACAGCCATTCCCTTCATCCCCTGTCAGTGCATCCACAAGCCTGTCGTTGGTGAACACGGAGACTGTTTCGGAAGGGGTTCCTAGTGCAAGCGTTGCTCCATCTGCCATCTCGGCGAGCAACATCTTCCAGCAGATTTCCAGAGATTCGCCACCTGAGCAGATCCCGGTCTACGACTCCCACCCAATGAGCAGGACCGGTATCCAGAACCAAACGCATAGACTGCAGACCAACAAGTTCTATGCTGGGTTGTACCTCGGCAGTCAGAACACGTCTTCCTTCTTGTTCCCGTACTCAGTCACATGGGCACGCGGTCAAGGCGAGCTCCAAAGTTGGGGCATGGGCATATCCCATTCGGAACGAAGTCAAGTTGCATACGCGCCGTTCAAGACTGCAGTCAATGGGTACAGATTCGACGCTGGTGACTGGGCTTACTACGCCAGCCCACTCGGTGTATATTCGATCATCATGTCTGCGGCCGAGCTCAACAGTACCCCGACTGGGGATCGACCTGGACTGACAACTGAAAATCAGGAATGGGGCGCTATCACTGCGAACCTGTTCCCTCACGGCTGGCAGACGCCTGTGATTCAGTTTCCGCTGTTGCAAGGCATCTCATTCATCACAGGCAACTACAGCTGGGGTACACCTCTCATCCAATCTGGCGTTGGGTTCGAAGAGGTGAAGTATACTGGAGCCGACGCCAACAACGATACTTTCAAGTACACTGCCTTGCTGAACGACAGCACAACATGGCTGATCTACATCACTCCCAACAGGGCGTTGAGTCCTGACTATCCATGCGAGTCCTTCACACTCAATGGTAGCGCCACCGACTTGCAAGGCCATTCCGGCTTCAATGGGCTCATCCAAGTCGCAAAGCTTCCTGGCAACTCAACAGCCTCATATTCCGGACCCAGTCCACAGGATCTGTATGATGGCGCTGCCGGTGCCTTCGCCACAAATGTCTCCATCAGTGGCAAAGTCGATGGCAACACAGGAAGCTACACTCTGTCATGGACCAAACAAGGCAACCCCAACCAGTCATTGTTGATGTTCGCTCTACCCCATCAGATCGCTTCTCTCAGCAGTGGCACTTCATCTGGGGTCACTGGACTGCATCTCATGACGACCGTCAAAGGTCTGGCTACAGCAATCAGAGGCGATTCGTGGACGCTCGAGGAGTCTGACTTGCCTGTGGAAGTGGGCTTTGCGCCGTGGAAACCAAGCATAGGCAGCATCGACAGTATCAGCACTCTTTCGTCCGACGACAAGGCTCTGATATCAGAGATCGGCCTGCAGGAGCTCGAAACCGACATTGGAAAAGCTACCAACCTCGACAGCTTCTACTATGCCGGCAAGCAATTCGCGAAGTTCGCCACGATTCTCTGGACGCAATATCAACTCGTGGGCAATCAAAGCCTGGTACTCACACAACTGGACCCGTTGAAGAAAGCCCTCGCATTATGGATCAACGGCGAGAACCAACACCCGCTGGTCCAAGAAACCGCCTGGGGCGGCGTCATCAGCAAAGCAGCCTACACCGACTCCAACGCCCTCGCAGACTTCGGCAACGGCTACTACAACGATCACCACTTCCACTTCGGCTACTTCGTCTACGCCGCCGCGGTAATCGCCTACCTCGACCCGTCCTGGCTCGACGAAGGTTCCAACAAAGCTTGGATCAACACCCTTGTCCGCGACTACGCCAACCCCATCGTCGACGACCCCCTCGCGCCCTTCTCGCGCGCCTTCGACTGGTACCACGGACACTCCTGGGCGGCCGGGCTCTTCGAATCCGCCGACGGCAAAAACCAAGAATCCTCCTCCGAAGACACCATGTCGACGTACGCGATCAAAATGTGGGGCTTCGTCACCAAGGACCACGCCATGGAAGCGCGCGGGAACCTCATGCTCGCGGTGCAGAAGCGCGCGCTGAACATGTACTACCTCTACGACAACACCAGCACCACCCCGACCCAACCCCCCGAATTCGCGGGTAATAAAGCCGCGGGCATCCTCTTCGAGAACAAAATCGACCACACGACGTACTTCGGCGCCTTGCCGGAGTACATCCAGGGCATCCATATGATCCCGACCATGCCCTTCTCCGCGTACGTCCGCTCGCCGGCGTTCATCCAGCAGGAATGGGAGGCGTATTTTGGGAATTTCACGTCGAATACCACGACGCCGAGTACTACACCCTATATCGAGAGTCTGGATTCTGGTTGGAGGGGTATACTTGTGGCCGACTACTGCATCGCCAACCCTGATTATGGGTACAATTTCTTTCGGCAAGATGGGTGGAGGAGTGAGTGGTTGGATGGGGGCGCGAGTCGGACGTGGTATTTGGCTTGGTGTGCGGCTTTGAGGGCTTATTCTTAGGACGGGGTTGGGGAGGGAGGGAGGGATGGAGGTGAGTATAGCAAGAGTAGGGCTTGGGTTTTGGTTGGGAGGAGTCTTTGGATTACGAAAATGACGACAGACTCATCAAACGAAACAGAAAGACAAACGACCAAATTCCCTGGATCGATCGACGCGGCGGATTTAGTGGATTTACAAGGACAAGATTTTCGGAAAGGAATGGAGTGTAAAGGGGCGGGCGTGCTTTGAGGCGTTTGGGCTGCTGCTCTCTCGAGACGAGTAGAGGGTTTGCAATGGGCAAGGGGGAAATCATGATACCATGAGATTGGGTTGAGGGTTTGGAAGTGGAATGGGATATATCACTACAGCGAGCATGATGTAGACAGACAGAGACAGGCAGATACGAAATGGGAAAGGGCTAGATGTCACAGACAAAACAGAACGACCCATCGCTCTCACAGACGGTCTCATATTGAGAGCCAAAGTCCACAGGATCGTCTTCTCATTGTGCTTGGAGCTGGCGAACAAGGGCAGCATTTGACGGAGTACATCTCCACGCTTGTGCAAGAGATGTAGATGATGATTGTGTTGGTATCTATGTATATCTGGCAATTCGAGATGTCGACAATGAGGCGGATCATTTCGGCCTCAGCAGAGGATGAGCCTCAGTATTCCTACACCCACACATATTAGCACCCACTCCAACTCCCTTCACGGAATGCCAATACTCACAGCACATATTCATCCAGACTAATGACATCCGGCTCGCTAAAGATCAGATAGAAGTACTTCAGAGTCTCTGTTCATCACCTCGTCATTAGCCAACCACTTCCCTCACCATCATCCGTGTTTGTCGTTTTTCGAGACTTACCCGCCGTCCAGAAAGACTCCATATTATCGAGCCATCTCCGCTGAGGCTCCAACTGCCTCACATCCTTGAGCGCGGCGTACGCGATGTCCGTCTTGGTGGCGTTCGTGATGGACTGGAACATATCCCACGCTCGGTCCTGGAGCGACTCGTCGCCTGTGATGCGGTAGAGCACGAAAACGGACTCGATGGCTTCCGGGCGAAGGATATACCGCGCGTCAGTGATTTCCGTGAAGCCTGGGGCGAGACTTTTCTTTTTGATGACGTTTTGTGCTTCGACGGCGTATTCTTCGGGGATGTAGCCGTGGTTGGCTTTCTCCACGACGCTCTTCTGCCAGAGCTCCTCGTTCCAGGTGCAGTTCTCGCGTGCGCGGTCCTCGCAAGGCAAGGCGAAGAAGATTTCCGGCATGATGCGCGAGGGCATGCTTTCGTAGGCCCAGAGGCAGCCGTCGACGAGTTCGCGGGCGGTTTCGAGGTCGTGCTCTTCGCGGAAGATTCTGGCAGCGAGGGCGACCATACCGCCGGCGAAGCATCCCAAGTGCTCGCCCATTGGTTGCAGTTTCATGATATTATGCGACTGACGCTGAACCGTTCCGGGGAGGAGCACTTTTTGGTTGTCGGGTGTCAAGGGGCGGAAGAAGATATGTTTTTTGGCTGATGCGAGGGCGATCTGGAACATGTTCTTGTACTGCTCCGTTTGGCCGCCGAGCATCAGATGCTGTTTGGGAAGATACTCGTAGACGGAGTCAGCCATGCCGCCCATGGTGAAGCTGGTGTCTCGTGTGAAGTCTGCGGCTTGGGGATTGACAAAGGTGGGCCAGAGTCCTGGAAGCTTCGTCCTATTCTGCTGCCGTTCGAACTCGTCTGTGATGCGAGCAATTGCGTCGTACCACTTATGGTCTCCTGTCAACTGGGAGAGGCGTGTAAACTCCAAAGTGAGTGACCCGAGCTCAGCGACCAAGCATTGAATTCTGGCCTGCTGATCGTATCCGAGGGCGCTCTTTTGCCATTCCCACCGAGCAATTGGCATGTGGTTGGGTGTGTCGAAGGCGTGGTACAGCATGTCGCCCAGTCCAATCGCCTTCTCGAGAAGTATTCCATACCGATGACCACTGACATCGTACGCACTCAGTAAACCTCCAAGGTATCGGATCGTTGTCTCGAAAACGTTGAGCTCGTTCAGTTGTGTTGTCTGAAAGTCGATCAACTTGAGACCTGCCAGTGCAGACTTGAACTCCTCCTTCATGCCCATGATCCACAAGGTATCTAGAGTATCAACCAGTGTTGCACCCCATCCTCCAAACGGGTTGCTCGAAAGCCCAGAAATTGGGGAGACCTCATCTTGCAACCAGGCGTTCTTCTTGTATCCCTCCCACGAATGCTTGAACGCCTCCTCGACAGCCTGCAACCTCTTTCGACGTTCGATAGCGTGCATTGGGCTTTCCTCTTCAAAGTCATGCTGGACTTTCGGTATCGAGACCGGTGCTCCAGTGGGTAGGGAGGTAAATTCGGCCAAGGGATGTCTAAGGGGAACGTCTCTCCATCTGAATCGAGGCTTGAACCAGCCGGGGCGTAAGACTCGATCGATAGGTTGCGGTTGGCGGTGAGGGCCGTGGTGATGGCCGTGAATGCTAGCGAGCGTGTGAAAAGCAACGATAAAGAAGACAATGGCCAAGATGGTTCCAATGGCCCATCTTCGCAAAAGGGGGGACATGACGCTTCGCAGCGCCGGGAAAGAACGTTCAAGGAGTGGAATAACGAGAGGACATGGCTTTCATGCAACAAGTGTTGCTGGAAGAGTGTCAAGTGAATGTGGACTTTGGGAGAGGGAGGGTGTGTGCCAACCTCGAGGCGTTCATCCTTTCCTCTGCTGCAACGCTTTGGGTCGAATCCCTGGTTGTCGCACGGACGTCAGTTTCGCGTGGTGGTGTTCAACGCCCTTGCCAGGCTGTCTCGTTGCGGGATGCCTGCGGAGTTTCCAGCCTCGTCGACAGGCCATCGCTGGAAGAGCACGATAAGGACGACGAGGCACCCGGGGCTGTGAGGGCAGTGAAATGCGACGAGGTCTTCGAGAGATGACGACGCTTGACTGCTCTTTCGCACTCCCGCGGCACACGGCAGGATCGCTGGCAGCCGCGCTTAGCGCCGGCGCCACACGTGATACCCCTGCCAAAGGACATCTGGAAAATCCGAGACAACACAGGAGCGAAGCAACAACGATGATGGAAACTCGATAGCACACCGTCAATCTTTTCTTCCACATGGCGGACCTCTACCCGACCATACCGCAATGTGCGGTGGTTGCGACGGCTTTGAAAGTCCTTCTCTGGCCTGCATAGTACGTATTCCACACTACCCATTGAGGGGCATTGCTAACTCACTGTCAAAGTAAATCGACCGACTTCGAAGTACATCGCAACTGGCTTGCGATCACAAACTCTCTGCCTTTCAACGAGTGGTACTATGAGAAGACATCAGAATGGACCCTCGACTACCCTCCTTTCTTCGCGTACTTCGAATGGGCCATGTCTCAGGTCGCCAACGTTTTTCACCCCGATATGCTCCAAGTCAAGAGCCTCAATTACGATAGTTGGCAGACTATCTACTTTCAAAGAGCGACTGTGATCGTGACCGAGTTTGTGCTGATGTCTGCGTTGATGCTGTAAGTCGTCAAGTTCATTATGTTGATTGTGATCATGAGCTGACTCCAGCAGCTTCATCAAGGCATCGCCAGCGAACTCCAAGAGACAATCGCACGCAGCTGCACTCTCGATCTTGCTATCTCCTGGTCTGCTCATCATCGACCACATCCACTTCCAGTACAATGGCTTTCTCTACGGAGTCCTCATCCTGTCCATCGTTCTGGCAAGATATCAGAAAGACTGGCTTCTCGCGAGCGGCGTGATCTTCGCGGCTCTACTATGCTTGAAGCATATCTACCTTTACTTGGCTCCTGCTTACTTCGTCTACCTGCTTCGGGCCTACTGCCTTGGGCCGCGATCCATCTTCGACATCAAGCTCTTCAACTGCATCAAGCTCGGCACCGGCATTGTTGCAATCGTTGGATTGGCGTTTGGTCCCTTTGCGTATCTCGAGCAGATCCCACAAGTCTTCAGCAGACTATTCCCGTTTTCGCGAGGACTTTGCCACGCGTACTGGGCACCGAATGTCTGGGCCATGTACTCTTTTACAGACAGAGTGCTGATCTACCGTGAGTTGAGCTGACGAGGATTCAACAGATCAGAGCCAGCTGACTTTCATAGTGGCACCGTACCTGAAGTTGCCAATTGATAGAGAGGCTGTGAACAGCGTGACTCGTGGCTTGGTTGGCGACACCTCTTTCGCTGTGTTGCCCAACATTCCACCTCGGATGACGTTTATCCTGACCTTAGCTGCGCAGATTGTAAGCGAGAATATACGAAGGTTGTAATAGAAACTGACAGCATACAGCCTGCACTCATCAAGCTGTTCCTACAGCCCACTTGGGACAACTTCGTGGCGACAATTACGCTCTGTGGTTATGCGTCATTCCTCTTCGGCTGGCACGTCCATGAGAAAGCTATCATCCTCGTCATCATCCCATTCAGTCTTCTGGCGCTGAAAGACCGGCGATACTTGGGAGCTTTCAGGCCTCTAGCAGTCGCGGGTCACGTGAGCTTGTTCCCACTGCTCTTCACTGCAATGGAGTTCCCCGTCAAGGTTGTCTACACTATCGTATGGTTGATCGCGTTCTTGCTGGCATTCGATCAACTGGCACCTGCGTAAGTTCAGCATCTTCGAACAATTGGAGTATTTCGCTGACATAAGGCTAGGTCTGAGAAACCACGTGTGTTCTTGTTCGACCGCTTCTCCTTGCTGTACATCGCAGTGGCGATACCTCTCATCGCGTATTGCTCGCTGTTCCATCAGCTCATATTTGGGGCGAGGTTTGAATTCTTGCCTTTAATGTTCATCAGCTCGTACTCGGCTGTGGGCGTGGTGGGCAGTTGGCTGGGCTTTTTGGTTGTGTTCTTCACTTCATAGCGATCGACTGCCATTGGCAAAACAATGAGAGGTCGATGAAACAAAGAAGCCAGATTCAACTTTTGTACAACTCCTTCGAGAAACAGCAGGGTGCTGGCTACCGCAATGATTCGAGATGGCGGATCATGTGAAGGCTTTGAGGCACGAGCTAGCGGTGGTAGAAGTGTCAGTCCTGGGCCTCAGGATCCCGGAGAGGTGATTTCTGACCATGTTATCTCGAGGCTCTTGGAGTCGGAAAGGTCTGTTGCCAGCCGGGGAGACATCCTATCGACTTGCAACACTTTCCCGTTTCCTCATTCAAACACACGATGGACATCATCCCAACAGACACATGCCGTAGCTTTTCTGACCCAGAAATTTTGAAAGCCCGGCCAGTCCGACAATATTCATCGTCGACGATCTTGCAGGGCGAGTCCGGCGGCACGACGGGGCTTTCTCGCTCGACCGTGAGCGAATGGGGCCAAAATGTCGACGTCGACGACAAGGTGGTCGAATGAAGGTCGTTTCGATAGCCAGTCGCACTGCCGGGGGCGGATCAAGGTGCTATATCATTGCTGTAACGATCTCATCTCACTCTATCGACAGAAACATCATACGGTTAAGAGCGGGCCACAATCGCGATGCCGATGGGAGGAAAAAGAGGGAGAAGACAAGGCTGGTTTGATATTGACATGTGGTGTTTTATGACAAATTCAAATGCGCGCCATGATTGTTGGGCGTCATTCTGGCGTTTCAGCGGATTCGAACGAGTATAAACACATGCGTGAAGGTGGAGGAGTGGATGGGGGAGCAGCTGGATGAAGAGCGAGGGAGTTGTAAGGGTTTGGACGAGGGACAGCGACGGGCAGGGATGGTGCGGCTAGAGCCGAGCGCTGCTTCCGAAAGTCTCACACACGCACCTTGAGCGTGACGGCAAGCCGTTCTCCACACCATGTCTGTTGCTGCTAGTACTCCCTCCTTGGCTTGTGCCTTTGCCTCTTCTTCCTCTTCACCCCCCAACCCTCCCTCCATCTACAACTCCCTCCGCGCACCACCACTCCCTCCGCGCCGCCACTCCGCATCACCACCGCGCCGCTCCCACCTTCGATCCAACCGTCGATCATTGATCCGCACGCGTCGCAGCCTCCTCTGCTACCCTCTACATCCCGGCTAACCCACCAGCTGGCACAGCGCGCCCACCGCCAACGTCCTCCACGTGCGATCCATCATCCACCAACACAACGCAAGAGCTATAATCAACCACAATCAACACGTCGACGACGGTCTCGCCTGTTACCGCCTCGACCGACCATTGTTGAGCCAGGAACGGGAGACCCAGCCTCGCGCTGGGCTTGTGCAAATATGGTGCGCATGACCCTCGAATGTGGCAGCGGGCATGAGGCCAACAACGAGACGCAGGTCCTCAACAAGAGAAAGCCAGTCAACCTCATACCCAACCCGACCAACATCCCAGACCATGCGGAGGTACGTCAGACCGCAAGACCTTTATGATAACGCTCTGTCTGACTGTGTTATGCCAGGTATACGTCATGAAAGGAACCGATGAGGTCTTTACAGACTACGAGAAGTACTTGAAGCGGTATGTCGTCGCGAATCGTCGTCAATATGAAACAAGCAGCTAAGTGTCCGCAGATTCGACTGGCTCAACCAGGTACGCAGTCAGCATCGTCGCGACGCATGTCCACGACTAACGATCGAACAGAAGAAGTTCACAGACGCCGTCAATGGCAAGTCCGGGTTGACCTACTGGGACGCGTTGGAGTCTGAGGTATGTCGTCACATGACGTTCACGTGAAGGTTCCGTCCACTGACTTTGCCCAGACTAAGAGTTCGGCCTCCATCGAGAATGTCTTTCCCGAAGTGCTCCGTGACCCGATACTTCGCAAAGTCCAGTTCGCGACCATATCGCGAATGGACGAGCTCGGTAAGTGCCGTCTGTCTGTTGATTTCGCGACGTCGCTGATATCGGACAGTCAACGTGGTGTACGACGAATTCAAACACGACTTCTTTCCGGGCGAGGAAGTACTCGTCGTTTTGGACGAGGGCGACCAATACGTGGGCAGCATCCGAGAGAAGGCCAAGTTCCCGATGATCAGAGGCGCAGATGGCACTATCCAGCGGGCACCATTCTCACGATACTTCGTTTATTTTGGCGACTCCACAGACGAGGCTTTGTTGGACGACAAGCACATTCGGCGCGACCGGAAAGTCTTCACCAAGCAGAATCTCCGAGCATTCTTGAAGAACTCACTGCAGCGAGAGGCATGGACTGGTGCGCCTTGGCTAGTGAAGGAGCATCTTGCCATCCAGTACCGACTGCCGATGGAAATCCCAGCTCACCTACTGCAGGAAGCTCGCCTGCTTCATAACAAGCAACAAATGCTGCAGGTGCGCCCTTCAAAGAGCAAGAAGCCACCAAAGGGCATGTCACCGCAAGAATATGCCCGCTTGCAACAAGAAGAGATGCGCATGATGCCGCAGCAACATCCAGGTGCACCTCCACAACAGGTGCAGAACCTCCACCATCCGCCATCATCCCGAGCCATGGACCGACCGCCGCCGCCGCCGCCTATCAAATATCCTATCGAGGATCTTGACCTTCCGCCAAAGCGGAATGGTGTCACTCGTCCAGAACTAAAATTCTTCACAGATGAGATGGCAGAGTACATCACCAAGGACCGCAACTTAGCATTCGAGGACATTGAAATGGGCTCGATGGGATTGCTTCTGGAAGTCTGGAACACACTCAACGTCCAATGCGAGGTCTACAAGCTGGACAGCTTTACCTTTGATGACTTTACGGATGCCATGTGCTACCAATCACTTGACACACCCTGTGAGCTGTTCGAAGAAGTTCACTGCGCAGTACTGAAGCAGTTCGTCGACCCGAAAGGAAAGCTGTTGGTCAAGGACTTGCCCAAAAAGATCCTGGAAGCCCCGGCGGACGAGTCGGAGAATCTGGACGAGAGCGAGGTGTCAACACCACAACCTGAACCCATCGGAGTTTCGACACGCAGCAGACTCAGCCACGTCGAGTCTGCTGCTGATATCGCGGATAGCCCCAGTGTTCCCCCAGAGAAGCCAAATCGAGCGTCAGAAATGCTGGCAGAGCGTGACTGGATCGACAGACTTTCAACCCGGGATTTCGAAAACGGCGGCTGGCAGGTGATCATCGTCGGCATTCTGTACCAGCTATCGGCTGCTCCCTCTTACAAGGGCAGATGTGACAGGATCCTGGCCCATCTCGCTCCAAAGGACATGGAACCCACTCAGGAGACAGCGCGCGTTCAATACGCGTCTATGGATGTCAACATGCGGATATCAGCCCTGCAGATGCTCACGATTCTCACTATCCGGACTGAGGCCATCAAGGACTTCTTGGAGGCATGCAGTGAAGACATGACAGACGTGAGAAAGCGCAAGATCGAGCATCAACGAGAGAAGAAGACGGCAATGGAAGAGCTTGCAGCAAAAGACCGAGAGCGTAAGATACTACTACCCGAGAACATGCCCGAATCACCCAAACAACCCGAAGTCATCGAAGAGCCAGATGTAACTGAAGAGTCAATAGATCTGAATGGCGGTGGCAGCTCAGACGCAGATGAGGATGCACCTAGATTGCGGCGTGCCGGAGACCGCAAGCGAAAGCGTGAAGAAGAAGCAGCCAAGCGAGAGAAGGAGAAGGCTGAGAAGGCCGAAGCTGCCAAGGCCCAAAACAAGCAGTCGCGCGAGTTCAAGAAGATCCTCAACGAAATCGACAACCTCTCCATGCAGATCAAGGATCATGAAGAGAAGATTGCCGATTGCGATTCCGACCTGCGCGAGGCTAACATTCAGCGCACCAAAGTCTTGGGCAAGGATCGTTTCTGCAACCGGTACTACTGGTTTGAACGCAACGGACAGCCATTCGGCGGACTTCCCAACTCGAGCACTGCCAGCTACGGCTACGCCAATGGCCGGATCTGGGTGCAAGGACCGGATGAGATGGAGCGAGATGGCTTCATCGAGCGGACGAAGCAAGAACAGGCTCAGTACCAGCGCCAATTCGGCTTGACCGTCCCCGAGCGGCGCAAGCAAGAAGAAGGTCCGACTGTGCTGGACGACGCCAACGAATGGGGTTTCTACGACGACCCAGACCGACTCGACAACCTCATCGGATGGCTGGACGAGCGCGGCGAGCGAGAAAAGAAGCTGCGCAAGGAGCTTTGCGAGTGGCGCGAGAAGATCGTCGAGTACATGTCGAAGTACAAGAGCTTCAAGGCGGAAGAGGCGGCCAAGAAGATCGACGTTGAGGAAGAGAGCACCACCCGCGTCAACACCCGCCACAAAGCCCAAGAGGAGCAGACTGCGGCCAAGGAGCGGTGTTTGAAGTGGAAGAACACGATGGCTCAGGAGGAGTTTGGACATATTCACTCTCAACAGCCTAAGCCGACGAAGAAGGAGAAGCAAGCGGCTCAGAGGAAGGAGGTCAAGGGTGTGGCGATGCCTTTGAACCGTAATGGCAAGCCTGTTACGCGCCAGGGCGACAAGTACAGCTTCAAGTGAAGGAGGCGTTCAGAGAGCATGATGGCGTGAATGTGAGGGGTGTATGGAGCGAGTGTGGATATCACGACAGCGGCATTGAACGGCGTAGGAGGACATGGCTGTCAGATTGCTCGATCGAGATGGTGTTTGCATAGCGGAGGCGTTCAGCATCCCATTCCTCGCGTCGACGAAGGACGTGAGCGTTGTTGCTTGCTCGAAGGAGATGATGATAAAAAAGCGTGTGTTAGATGATGTGTACTGCTACTCCTGTCTTCTAGATGATGATGATACCCTTCGTCTGAAACTTTCGAACGAACGAGCTTTGTTCATATTCCCTCTTTCTTCGTCCTTTCACTCTATCCTCTATCCTCTAGCATAAGCAAACCCCACCTCCGCCTTGAAAGGCGACGGATACCCCGACGAATCGACCCTGGGCAACACACTCATCTTCCTCGCCTCCTCCTTCTTATCCGCCTCCAACCACCGCTGCACCTCGCCCTCGTCGCTCCAGTCGCTCACCAACGCGTGGCCTTGCCCGATCTGATGCAGCTGCGTCCCCGTCCCCTGCGTATTCTTCGGCAACGGCATATAATTCTCAATCGCACCCCGTACCCTCCCCTCCAACACCTCCTTGCAAAAATACGGCTCCGCGCCGAGGGGTCGTCCGATCCCGATGCCGTCGCAGGATTTGTCGGCGAGCGCGGTCGTCATGCCGGAGGCGGTGCGGAAGCCTCCTGTTACGTAGAGTCTTGTCGTCGTGAGGAGCGGGCGGAGTTGGTCGGCGAATTCGATGAAGTAGGATTCGCGCGCGATGGTGCTGGGTTTTTTGTGTTCGAAGGCGCGGGATTCGAAGGTGCCGCCGCTGGGGAGGGGGTGAGCGCGGGGGGTGGGATTGGAAGGGGATAGGGATGGGATGGGATGGGGATGGGGATGGGATGGGGGAGGTGGAGGGAGTGGAAGGTGGATGTGACTTACCTGAGGTCTAGGAAGTCGACTTGGGCTTTTTCGAGGGCGAGGCAGAGGTTGGTGATGTCGGTGGGGGTTTGGCCGCCCGGTTGGAATTCGACGGAGTTGAGTTTGACGCAGATGCTGTGAGGAGGGGGGAGAGGTTAGTTGCTTGTAGAAGGGAAGGAGTGTGGTGGGGGCTAGGGGGGTTTACATGAAGGAGGGATCGTTGACGCGGCGTTTGATCTCTTCGATGATTTCGAAGATGATGCGGGAGCGGTTTTCGAAGGAGCCGCCGTATTCGTCTGTTCGCTATGTAGGGGAGGTTGGTTAGCAGACAGGCTGGCTTGAAGATGGTGCGTGATCATACCTTGTTCGTGTTACCAGCGAGGAACTGGGCGAGAAGATATCCATGAGCACAGTGGACCTGCACGCCATCCCATCCAGCTTTGTAGCAGAGGTAGGCAGTCTCGCCCCATTGCTTGACCATATCTTTGATCTCGGGGATGGTGAGAGCACGCGGTTTGGCGAATTCATTCCCAGCCCATTTGATCGCGAGCTGGACGTCGCTAGCGGAGACTGGGTTTGGATTCAGAGCCTTGGATCCCTGACGACCCGGATGAGAGAGCTGAGCAATGATCAACGACCCGTGAGCTTTAGCTGCAGCGGTGACTTTCTTGAATGCGTCGACTCGGTCGTCTCGATTGTGCTCCAGAATGGGATTGCCAAAGCCCTCGACAGCATCGTGTCTGACCATCAGGTTTCCAGAAACAATGATACCGATCTCACCCTCACCCCAGGTCTTGTAGAGGTTTTCGTATTCTTTCGAGGGGTAGCCGCGGAGTGTGATGTCTTCCTCGTTCCAGTGGCAAAGACGTTCGGTCATGGGGGCTTTGAGGAAGCGATTCTTGGCTGTCCGACCTGAGAACGGGAATGTTATCGGTTCCGCGAGGAGGCTGGTGTCAACCTGGGGACCTTTGACACGAAGACGTCCATCGGAGTTGCCAGTGCCGGGCGTTGATTCGTGTGCGTAGTTCTTTGCTTCTGGCTCGAGGGCTCCGTTGGCCGTTGCTGTGTCGTATTCCATCTTGGCCAAGATATGATATTGACGGGACTATGACCTGAAAAGACGAATGCTTGAATGGAATAAATGCATCCTAATTCCGAATAGACGGACTTGCTCGCGCATATAAGCTGATGTCTGATGTCGACACCTCGGCCGTACCTATGGAAGCTGGCCTATCTGAGCGCGGCCAAGCTCTGCTGCGTGGGACGAAGTCTGCGATGCGATAACCGGCCTTCACCTTCACCATCACCATCCCCACCACTACCGCCTTGGGTGTTTTCGTACGCATCGGTGTTGCGAGAGCCAATGTCTTCGTTTTTTGTTCAAGTCGTCTTAGAAATCTCCTTGCTGAGCGGTCCGTGAATCCGGCCAATGTCTTTCTTACAGGCAATTTCTTTCTTCATCTTCAATCATATCTCTCCGCACCTCAATTGGGAGCATATATCAATTAGCAGGCCAGCATGATGCTGTCAGACCAGCATTGTATTTTTGGGCCGGCTCGCTGCGAGAAATGCCACGATTGCGAGATGGGTGATCTTTGTCCACGCCAGATCGCTGTCGGTCTTTGATGATGAGCAGCCAGGACAGCTGCTCTTCGCAGAACAATGGTACGCGGATCCTGGGCTTCGCAGCCTGTCGATGACGATTGTCGCGCCAGCAGCAGACGTTTCGAACGAGATTTGACCTGGTCGGCGCTGCTGAAGTCAATTCCCTGCTGCCCGTGAGCCGCGCTCAACGGTGATGGGCGCTTCTGACCCTATCGCCTCCTGCTGGTAATGGGATTGAAGAGGTGTCTGCTATTGTGGTGATACAGCATCTGACAGGACGACGTCGCCCTTTGTACGACGAGGACGAACTCGCCCACTCGGCATGACTCGTCCTCCCTCGCACAGCACGGATCTGGTCCGGCGGCGGCGGCGGCGTCGTCTGTTTGGCTGGTTGACAGATGTCTAGCTAGCGCCAGCCTCCGCAGGCACAGGAGAGCTCAGGCGCTATGATTTGCTGCCCATCCATCAGCCCTGTCAGGAACGACACGAGCCTCCGCGAGCATGCAGAGTCTATCTGCGCGCCTGCACTCGCTGCTGTATGCGGCTACTGATGCCAAACTCTGCCCCAGCATGGCCAGCAACGACGTGGTGGTGCACGAGAACGAGTTGCTCGCGCTCTCTCCACACCAGACAATCGCTATTCTTGTACGGGATCCTGGGAAATGCCCGAACACTAAACCGCGAACAGTAATGTTCCAGAAGGCGAGGAGAGCAGAGCCATCCCTTTTCGGCCAATCTCATCTCCCTAGCTCCTGTTTGCATGCCGGGACCATGCCCATGATATTTCACTAGGCGGCTTGTATCCTCTCCTTCTCTCTCCAAGCGTTGCGTCTTGCTCGCTGCGTTGTCACTCCTTCGTTACGCCCATTGTTCTGTTTCTTCATACATTCCCATTCGAGGTCCTATTGTTCTTTGCCAGGCCCTCGACTATCCTTTCTTTTCGACCTTCGAGCAGGCCATAATTTCTCCCGCCAGCACTGGACGTTCCGTTGAAGCACGCCCTGCGAAAGACCTCGAGCTCGAGATAGAATCTCCTCGACTGCTACAGCCTGGTTCATACAATACAAGAGGAAGTGTACATACATTGGATACTATCAGCGGACGCTTGGTTGCTCTCTGCTGCATTTGGAAGCATAGCTGTACTGCATTCTGTTCTTGTAATTACAAGTGCGCAGTCTGTCAGAGCATGTAAGTGTGCAGCAAAGTCCTCTTTCATCATGAGATGTTTTGCATCAAGCGGGATGGGTGTGTTTTGGACTGCGGCTAACATGCACAACAGTGGTGGAGACACTTGCCCAGGAGACCTTGCAAGCTTGTGTACCACATTCTAATACTCATTCTTTCCACCTCAGATTTGTGTCCGGTTTATCACTAACCGGACCTCAACACCATCACCACGGCGGTCCTCTCAGCAAACCCGCGGGACAGTCTTGTACTGCCGCCGCACATGCTTGGCATGCAGGACAGCGACAGTATGTCCAGCGCACCGGCCTTTGGCCATCGCCAGACGCAGTCCTTCGCCGTCAAGCCATCGATGGGCTCCAACAACGGCTTTTCCCATGGATCATTCCACTCGACGCAGCCTTCCATGGGCGGCTACGGCGACAGGCATCCACAGAGGAACAACGTCCCAAGCATCAACACGAACCGCATGAGCATGCAAATCAACGGGAGCGATATGCAGACTCCTCAGACTGGCTACGACATGAACTTCACACCCCTGCTCCCATCGCAGTTGTTGATGGGGAGCCCCTTTCAGCCGGGTTCGCCGTCGACCTTCCAGTCCCCGCAATTCCAGAACTTCTCCAACTTCCCTCAGCAACAGCATGGTGCTTCGCGCGGTCACCAGAGCCAAATGAGTCAAGCCTTTCAACACCAACAGGCCGCCATCTCCCCAGGTGGCTACCAGACTCTCGCCTCGCCCAATGCCATGGGTGCCCCCTCGTACTTTGGTGGCATGCAGTCCCCCACGACCGGTTTCAACGCTCTTGGAGCCGCGCCGATGGGTGCATATGGACCTCAGATGCAGATGCAGCAGATGGGACAGGGCATGATGTCTGGGACGAGCCGTACAGTCTACCTGGGCAACATCCCACCGGACACTTCGGCTGAGGAGATCCTCTCCCACGTTCGCAGTGGCCAGATCGAGTCTGTCCGTCTTCTGCCTGACAAGAACTGCGCCTTCATCTCGTTCCTCGACGGAAGCTCTGCCACTCATTTCCACTCGGATGCGATTTTGAAGAAGCTGTCCATCAAGGGACAGGATATCAAGATCGGCTGGGGCAAGCCTTCGTCGGTCCCTACATCTGTGGCTTTGGCTGTTCAGCAATCGGGTGCTTCTCGTAATGTGTATCTGGGAAACCTGGCGGATGAGACGACTGAGGATGAGCTGCGCGATGACTTGAGCAAGTTTGGCCCCATCGATACTGTGAAGATCGTTCGGGAGAAGGCGATTGGTTTCGTCCATTTCCTGTCGATTGGCAACGCTATCAAGGCAGTTACACAGCTCCCACAAGAGCCAAAGTGGCAGGCACCACGCAGAGTATACTACGGCAAGGACCGATGTGCCTACGTTTCGAAGACGCAACAGCAAAACGCCGCCCAGTACCTTGGAATCGCCCCTGGGTACGCACACGTCCTGAACGGCGCCGATCGGGACTTGATCACAAATGCCCTTGCACAGCAGTCTGTTGCGGCCGCAGCTGTTGCGACCACTGCAGGTGGAGTGAACAACCTGGGCAACCGGACGGTCTATCTGGGCAACATCCACCCCGAGACTACCATCGAGGAGATCTGCAACGTCGTTCGAGGTGGTCTCTTGCACCACATCCGTTACATCCCAGACAAGCACATTTGCTTCGTCACGTTCATCGACCCGACGTCTGCGGCGTCATTCTACGCCCTCAGCAACTTGCAAGGTCTCATGATCCACAACAGGCGTCTGAAGATTGGCTGGGGCAAGCACTCTGGAGCGCTTCCACCGGCCATTGCTCTGGCTGTGTCGGGAGGGGCTTCGCGAAATGTGTATATTGGCAACCTGGACGAGACTTGGACTGAGGACCGCTTGAGGCAGGACTTCCAGGAGTACGGTGAGATCGAGCTGGTCAACACTCTCCGCGAGAAGAGCTGCGCTTTCGTCAATTTCACGAACATCGCCAATGCGATCAAGGCCATCGAGGCTGTTCGAGGCAAGGAGGAATACAAGCGATTCAAGGTCAACTTCGGCAAGGATCGTTGCGGCAACCCACCGAGGCAGGTCATTAACAATCAGCAGTTGCAGCAACAGCAGCAGCAGCAGCAGCAACAGCACGAGAATGGCATGAGCTCTCCCTCCCCCGTCAACGGCCTCGCACCAAGCAGGACCCAAAACTCGATCTCCCCAGCCAGCTCCGGCCCATCGAACACGTCCTACAACCCCTTGCACGGCCCGACCGCCTCGACCATCTTCAACAGCGGCAACAACAACCCTTTGACCCTCTACCTCGCCGCGAGCCAACAAAACGCCCAAGCAACCGCCGAGCAACAAGCGCAACGACTCTCGCGCGGCGACCTCAGCCCCGACCCTTACGGCGCCCAATACCAGCCCTCCCAACCCCCCTCCGCCTCGCACCTCTCCAGCCAACAAGCCTTCTACAGCTCCCCCAACGAAGTCACCGCAACCCGCTCCGCCGGCCTCGAGCCCCCCTCCTCCCACGCCTTCGGCCACGGCAGCCATCAAAGCGTCAACATCACGACCAACGGCATGCCGATGAACTCGTACTCGAACCAGGCGACCCAGAACGCCCGGGGTGGCGCTTCGCATAGCCGAACCGTGAGCTTGCCAGCGTTCAACCTACATCAGGCACAGCAAGCCCAGGGCCAGCAGAACGGGCTCGCTGGGCTGGGCGGTTTCAGCGCTGGTGGGTATGGACTGGGGGTTTCGGAGGGAGCTCTGCCCGGTTGGGCGGAGGAGGAGGTCGCGTAGAACGACCGACTGACTGGATCACCTTTCTGCGCATGCTGCCGCATTTTCTTGTTTTGCATTACTACCGAACTGTGCTTTTAGACTAATCACCCCCAATCCCCATCATCATCGCCCGTTTTAAAGAAAGACCCTCTCCAGCGAAGACGAGAAAGAAAGTTGCTGGGGGACAGGGCCAGACGGGGAGAAGAAAGAATCGACATTTTTCCTTGCGTTTTTTTGAGAAGAGCAATGCTGTACTGATATCGAAGGGAAATGGAAAGGGAAAGGAAGGAAGGAAAGGGCAGTGCAAGCATGTACAATTGGAGGCCTGGGTGTTTTTGTTGGAAAAAACCCCCTTGGCCAAAGTCATCAAAGCTTGTTTTTGTTGTTGTGCGCGATATGGCGTTGGATGCTGCTCTCGCGCTCTGTCTGTCTGTCTGTCTGTCTGCATTGTTGTACTGAGAGAGAGAGAGGAGAGAGGCAAGGATGGTAGACAGGCGAGCAGAGAAAAGCTAGAGTAATCATCACTTTGCTGCGTTGCAGGGTCGTACTACTACTGGCAGGCTGGTTGGAACAAAGAAGGGACGTAGGTAGTGCCTAGCACGTGTTTGAAGAATCGCGGAAATGTGCACCTCGAGCAAAGCAAAAAATTGGAAAGTGTTTTGTCTACGATTAGCACCACAGTTGCAAGCTTTCCTGGCATGGTGTTCGTTGCTCTCTGGTCTATCATTGGATAAATGTGTTCATTTGCCATTGACATATCATTGATGAGTGGGGAGTGTCTGGATACCCAGCCCATGCTTACTGATGCTTGCCAATGATCTCCCTCGCGAAATGATGTCCACTGGGATTCGCACCATGGGCATCCCTTTCCAAGCAGCAAGCCTCCAAAAAGGACGACATGCCCCATCATCAACACGCCTCGAGATTACAACTCCCCCTAAGCAGAGATTCGATGCCCGTCAGCATTCATTTCCTACCGCTGCGAGCGGAAGTTGCGTTCCTCTTCCTGTCGCTTGGCCACTAAAGTCAATATCTCCCTTCCGTACACATCCTCAGGCTGCCGGCCTTCTTTGAGGATCATCTGTTCGTGCTGGAGCATTTCGTCTTTGGTCATGCAGACCAGGTCGTCGAATTGGAGCTTGTCGGCTTTTTGGCCGGGGGTCCTGGTATCGATCCAGTCGCCTGAGGGTTTTCGCCATCTCGTGAGGGCGAGTCTGCTCGCGAGTCCGGAGACGACGCTTCGGCCGCGGAAGACTTCTTCGACCAGGTAGCCGACGTCGTCTGCGTTGACAGGCATGCGGAGGCCGACTGGGTCGAGGCCGTTGTGTTTCGCCACGCGCTCTTCGAGGCCTTGGAGTTGAGCGAGGATGCCCTCGTACATCTTCTCTCGGGCTTTGCTGGGGAGATAGTCGTGCGGGTAGCCTGAGATCTCGAGCATGACGTGGTTGGCGACGCACAAGCCGAAGACGGCTGGCATCGTTCCTAGGACTGGCAGGATTCGGACGCGGAAATCTGGTAGGACTCCTAACTCGCCGACTGAACCTTTCTTGAACTCGTCTTCGGGTAGTGGAAGTAGCTGTGCTTTGCCAGGGCCTGTCTTCTCGGAAGAGTAGACTACCGGGATGCCGTCTTTGACGCCGAGTAATCGCAGTTTTCGTCTGGTGCTGCGAGATAGGGGATCGTCTGTCGATGCTGATATGTCACCGACGAAGACTCGCGTGGGATCTGACTTGCACCCTGCTCCCATCGAGCATATGACCGGTATTGAGTTCTTGTGACAGAAGTGAAGCAACGCTACCTTCGATTCGATATTGTCAATCGCATCAATCACAAACGTTGGCCTCTGGCCGTCTTTCCAAGGAGCGAGCTGTTCTGCAGCTGCATCCTCGCTGAAGAGCTGGTTCCTGCAGTCGAAGTGCGTCCAAGGTACGATTTGTTCCAGACGTTTTGACAAGCAGTGGACCTTGGGTGTGCCCACATCCGCGAGAGTCGCCACGGCATGTCTGTTCAACGAGCTAAGAGTCACTTGGTCGAAGTCGATCAGTCGAAGTCGACCGCATCCTGATCTTGCCAGAGCTGCTGTTGCATGAGATCCCACACCGCCACAGCCTACGACGATTACGAAGGCGTTGCGAAGTTTCTTCAGGCCTTCGTCGGTAAGAAAGACTCGATTGCGTGCGAGTTGTTCGAGGATGAGGTCTGTCAAACATGAGCGATGCACAAATACTTGAGACATGGCCACGACATACCTTCATCGTAGTCACCAAGTCTCGCTCTCCTCGCCAACGCTGCACTCCTCTCATCGTCTCGATTCCCTACAATCTCTTCAGGCGCCGCGCCACCAAAATCGTTTATCTATACTTTAGGTCAGTCAGCGCCACGCCATTCCGCAAACCACATCCGACGTACCTTCTTGACATCGTGAGGTGATTCCGGATCTGGTATCGACTCCTTCAGATCAAAGACATTGTATCTCTTTTTCGCTTCTTGCAGACCGATTACCGCACTGGCTGCGATACATCCCGATATCACAGCTGTGAGGCCCAGCTGAAATCTATGAGAGCCTGCTATGTCGGAGAACCATGATGACATCTTCGCATTTCGATGAAACGTTGTAGCTTGTAAGTGCGTGAGGTCGTGTGCCTTCACATGCAAAGTCGATGTGGCGCCGTTGGCACGGCCCGTGGCTGAAACGGTCGTGGCTTCCCTCCCCTGCTCTCCGCTGGTGCTCCCGCTTCTTGCAGCTGGCCAGTTGGCATCTGCTTGGACTTTGGAGCGTCCAGAATCACAAGATCGCGTTCTTCTCCTTTACCCTCTACGACTGATCTCGACGTCCTAAAACTCTCCACACCCTCTGCAGCATTTGAGACGTCGAAGACTCTTGCACTGGATTGACACAACAATCGCTCGACCCACCATGGGGTTCAAATTCGAATGGGTCCTCTCGATATTGCTGGCAGTATGGAGTTGTGTAGTTACCGCGCAAGATGACATCAAGTCAATACCGTTGCGAACGCATAGCTTGCAGACAGTGAGAATGAAATATATACTCCCAAACGGCTAACATGCACGTGCTGACTTCTTTTCCAGCCATACCTCGACTCTGACATGCAGTCACGATGGTGGGATTTTGGAGGAAGCACCGTCGTCCGCGCCGATCAATACATCCGTCTCACAGCCCAGCAACCCTCCCAGTCCGGCTGGATCTTCAGCCGCGTGCCCCTAACCGCGACGAACTGGGAGATCGAAGTCGAGTTCAAGATTCATGGAACAGGGAGCTTGTTTGGCGATGGCATGGCGTTGTGGGTCACGAAAGAGCGAGCAGAGCAAGGGCCGGTGTTTGGTATGAAGGATCGGTTTGAGGGGTTGGGCATCTTCTTCGACACGTACAAGAACAACCGGCCCGGCGTGGTGTTCCCGTATGTCATGGCGATGATGGGCGATGGACAGACACCGTACGATCAGGCGAATGATGGGAAGGCGAACGAGCTGGCAGGATGCTCGGCGCGTGGGCTGCGCAATGCGGATTTCCCGACCAGGGCGAAGATCACCTACTTCCAGGACAAGAGCTTGGCGGTGGAATTGATGTACAAGAAGGAGGATGAGTGGACAAAGTGCTTCGAGGTGTCGGACGTCAAGCTGCCTACTGTGACTTACCTGGGCTTCAGTTCCGAGACCGGTGAGCTTTCGGACAACCACGATATTGTCAAGGTCGAGACCAAGAACCTCTACTCCCCAAGTGGCTCTTCAAAGGCAGCTGGGAGCAAGGACTACAGCAGAGGCAAGGGCAAGCCAAAGCGACCTTCAAGCAGCGGCGGCGGTTGGGGCTGGTTCTTCCTCAAGGTCGTCATCTTTGGGCTGGTGGTTGCTGGTGGATACGTCGGGTTCACTGCCTACAGGGCGCGGCGAGGGAATCGGTTCTGAAGTGGTTAAAGTAGACCTGTTTTTAAGCTATGTAACATGTTGCAGTACATGCCGTTCAAGCGCACATTTGTCCTCAGAATAGCTCTCCGCATGTTGCCATCACTGACAACCAGGTCTTCGTGAGAAGCCGGCTGCCGTCATATTTGGCTTAAACGCGTCAAATCATCACCGGACAAGTACAACCCCTTCCGCCCAAGACCACGACCACCGACACCCACGTGCCATCCTCACCGAGAGCAAAGAGCAGTCGGCCGAGACGGAGCAGGTGCACCTCCGATTGAAAACTATCGAATAGTGTGACCTTCATGGCGAGTGCTCGACCGTGCTGAGACGGCGGCGGACGCTGGATCGAATCTTTTCTCGGTCATTCATACACCGTAGTGCTAACACGCCTCAGCGCCGACGTGCTCTCTGCTCCGGCTAAGCAATGTGGGATTGGGGCTGTGTGTCTCAGGTTGGTGAAAGTGGTTGTTGAAGTCAAGCCGACGTGGTGGATTGGCCTTAGATTTCTGTTCTGTGCCAGCCACTGGCGCACGAGCACGTGCCGTCGGACTTGTAGAACAAGACTCGCGGCTACATGCAGGCGGCCGTCCTGTTAGCTAGTGCGGTTATCGTCATCGGCACCACCTGTGTGTGTAATGGTCAGCTTGAGTTGGTGACACACCGCAACGTGTGGTGGTGGTGCAAACATTTACCTCGTCGGCCTGTACTTTGTTGGAGGAGAAGTTCGGGTCCGCGAAGTCGGAAAGAAGACACGAGTAGTCGGAGACGCGTTGCGGGGCCAGCCGAGTCGCGGGCCGAGCGAGATGACAGAAGTCGTAGCGCAGCCAGATCACTTGGTCAACGACACGAATTGCGTGCTCTCGAAGGGGGAGCCACAAAGCAGGCCTATAGCGACGATATGCCCGTCGGGAAAGCAATAGAATACAACCCTGCATTCGATATGCACGAAAGAGGCTGTAGCATCGTACATGTACCGCTGCTTTGGGTAAACCTGCATTCGCTATCGATTTCCTCGGACTCGCAGACATCACACTATTGGCCCAGGACGACAACAATCACCTTTTACCCGCCACGAGTTGAGTCTGATCCTATACTTCACGGCCTGCAAGACGCATCCCACGCATCATGTGAAGTTGGCGGTTGCTCGATCCAGTCAGATATGTGGGCCTTACTGCCACATTCCGAACCTCTCCCTACCGTTGCTTGGGCTTCAGCTCGTCGTTATCATAACACCATCCTCGTCATGCATCCTCTCATCGCGACCCAAGGATCCGGGAGCCCTTCATCAGCCTTCCTCGCGCACCCCTTCTCAGACTTCCTTATGCGCCAGTTGGGGGCTGGCCAGCACGTAAGGGGCTGACCGAGGGTCGAGACGGCACGAGCGCGCCTAGAGCAGCGTCCGCCAAATCCGCTTCCAACGCCGCCCTGGGTGTCGCGTGCGGTGTGGATGGACGGCATGGCGCTGAGATTGCATTGCTCTTATTTATATATTTAGCATGCCTCAATCCATCGCACGTCGTTCCAGGTAGTGCGCCCTCCTACCTAGCAATCGGTAAAGTATAGCTCCTCAATAACCTTCTTCTTCTAGCCCGCGGTCTGCAGTGTTGATACCTTTGGCCTGCCCACTCTCCCACCTACATCGCTCGTCTTTTCTTTGCGTGCGTTTCTACTTCAGCATCGTTACACTGCAGGAATCATGTCTGTCACTATCACGGTCCCGAGCGAGTATGGGTGGGTAACAGCTGAAGAGAACCATGCGGAGCATTTGAGTTGACCAGGTTCCTAGCTACGTTATCACAACAACTGTTGCAACCTTCTTCGTGAGTCCAGTCTATACCCACTTGTCATTCGATCGCTGACTTGCTGGACAGCTAGGACTATGGCACGGAATGAACGCAAGACCGCTCCGATTGAAAGGCGGCGTGAAGCAGCCGAAAGCCTACGCAGACAGCAACGACTTCGCAGCAGCCGATGCCGAGACCAAGAAGACCTTATACCTCTTCAACTGCGCCCAACGAGCCCATGGAAACTACATCGAGAACCAGCCTTCCACCGCGATTGCGCTCCTGATCGCAGGACTACGATACCCCAGATTGAGCGCCTTGCTGGGGGTTGGTTGGATGATTGGGCGGGTGATATTCACTCTTGGATACTGTCGAAGGGATAAAGAGAATGGATCTGGCAGAATATTGGGGTTTGCGATTCAGTTTCCAATGCAAATCACACTATGGGGGTTGGCAGCTTGGACTGGTATCTCAATACTGCCGTGAGCACGGCCAGGATTGCAAAGGACAATGGTGCTTGCTTCGCTTGGGATTTGGAGTACCTGGGCAAGACCGCGATGTCTTGGAAGGTGCTGGTGATGCGCAGCTGCCCTGTGAGCATCGTCGCTTTTCTACGTCTCAAGGCGTTTACTTTCAAGCGTGACGCTTTTCGCTTCGACCATCGCTTTCTGCTCGACTGCTCGGCATTCGCTTTTTCTGCATTGAGATACCATTCATCGTCGAAGAATTAATCAGTCGGTCGCAATTGAATTCCCGTGTCATCCAGCATTGCATTAGCCCACAGTCGGTATGTTACAACTCATTCACTCAAATTCACACGCCTCACATGACACCCCTGGTTGCCTGGCGCGCTAGAAACTTTAAGCTTTCGAGCTAACCCTTCACCAGCTACGCCATTCTTTGAAGCGACAAACACAGCTTGACACAAGGCAACCCGCCAGCATGTCTTCGAGACTGCGCAGGATGATGGGCAAGCGGAGTCTGAAGAACTCAGCAACAGACCCGGCCGACATGGAGTCCCCTTCCCGGTCTTCGCCCGAAGAGAGTCGGTCCAGTCCACTGAAGAAGCGCGAGCCTGTCGCCCAAGACGACCTCAGCGACGTGCCTCCACCATCACCAGAAAAGATCAAAGCAGTCGAGCGATCTACTCGCAAGGTTTCGCCATCAAAGACCTTGCTAGACCGATACAAGAACCGCTCCACCACCTCTGTTACCGCTTCACCACCCGCCATCAAAATCCCAGCATCTACGCTGCGCGACAGTACTCGCAGTCCTTCACCAAAGGGCACCACGTTCAGACCCGATTTCAACCACAGCCCGGACCCACTTGCAAACGCTGCAGACAGCGCAAACGGCGGCGGCAAGTCCAAGGGCAAAGACAAAGCAGGAGCAGAGGTCGAAGCACCAAGCCTACCTGACGTGCCTAAGAAGTCGACCAAAGGTTCAGAGATGGACAAGTTGCGCAACGACGAGAACGTCAGCCCAATGACAATTGTCGACACCTCCGAGCCAAAATCGCGGCGCTCAACTCGATCAATCACCCGTAGGCAGGAGCGAGCAGATTCGAAGCAAGACAGCAATGTTAGCACCAAGGACTTTGCCAGTCTGTCGCTGAGCCCTGCAGACGTACCACCAGGCCTCAACATCTGGAAGAGCGCCGCATCTCGAACGCCATCTCCGTGCTCACCGAAGTCGAAGCCGGCTGAGTCGAAGCAAGAAGATGCTTCGTTATCGACATGGAGCGATGTGACTTCACCAGCACGACCAAAGACTCCTCTCCCAGAAGAATCATTCGAGCGCCCGTCCACCCCGCCATCATCCGACACACCTCCAGAGATACCACCAAAGTCTCCCAAACGCTGCTCGTTCTCCAACTCTCTAAAAGAAGGCATTGACAATAACGTCGCCCAAGACACCAACGACACTCAAGACGCTGAAGACACCGAAGCCGCCAACCCCCAACCCACCACCAAACCCACCCTCAAACCAACCACCCCCCTCCTCCCCACAGCGCCCCTCTCCCCAACCACCCCAAAAGACTCCCCCGTCGCCGTGCGCCCACCCCTCTACGACGCCTCCAAGACCCCCGGCAAGCAATGGGAGTCAGACTACGGATCTAGCAGCCGCCCCCATTCGCCCTGGATGCACAGCAAGCGCTGGACGTGCTGCGTGTGTCAGGGGCAGACGATTGTCGAGCAGGTGGTTTGTAGCCGGTTGAGCTGTGTGCATGATCGGTGTCCGAGTAAGTGTCGGGTTGAGGGGATGGATCGGGCGAGGGGGCCGCATCAGCGGTAGTGGGGCTGAGGATGGAGGGGGATGAATAGGATACCCATAAGGGGTGTTGGATTGGGTGGATGGTTGGTTGGTGGGATGGATGAGGAAGAGAGAAGACAGGATCAGAATCTGGACGTAAGGGAAGACAGCAGGAAAGACAGCACCGTACAGCTGGCAAGACTCTGCAAGACAACTCCATTGTATCGTGCAAAGACTCCATACAATACACTACAATCATCAAGAAACCCCTCTAAAAGTAATCAATCGTCGTCCCCACCCCCCTCTCCCTCGCCTTCTCAATCAACGCATTCCCCACCGTAACATCCATCAACCCCAACCCAACACTCTTATAAATCACATTCCCCCTCGTCAACCACTCCTTCAGTCCAGAATTATCCTGGAAATTACACCCCTCCTCCACCTTCTCGCCCTTCTCCCTCATGCGCGCCTCAGCATCCCGCTTCAGCATGAACAGCTCGCCCAGCTCGACGACTTGATCCGGCATGAGTTTCGCCTGGATGACCTCGCCGGCTTCCTTGAGGCAGCCCGTGACAGTGTCCACGATGATGGCGCCGCCTTCTTTCTGGCGCTTGTGGATGTGTCGGTGTTCGTGGTGGGGGGCGACGGCGTAGCGGAGGACGTCCGGGTGGAGTTCGACCATGTGCGGTTTGTAGGAGCCGATGCAGGCGATGTAGCGGCCCTTCTTGCGGCCTTCGGGGTTGGTCAGGTAGGTCGCTGGGAAGAGGGGTGTTGTCGACGGCGTGCAGCAGAAGATGACGTTGCTGGCGCGGACGTATTCTTTAATGAGGCGCTCGTATTCGCCGGACATGGGTGTGAGGATGTTCGTTTTGGTTTTGCTGTTGTATTTGGCGCCGACGGGGTTGACGTAGTCTGGATCGTCGGGCAGGGGATTGTAAACTCGCATGATGCATTTTCGGGCGCTTTCGAAGTTTCGCGTGACGATGTTGAGGTGGTGGATCTCGGGACCTCGCAGTAGGAGGGCCAGTCGGATGTGCCAGTATGCTTGCTTTCCTGCGCCGAAGACCGTCACGTCGTGGACGGAGTGGCGTTTTTTTAGGAGCATCGTGGAGGCCAAGGCAGTGCGGAAAGCCGTCACTTCTTCAGCGTTGATGAGTCCTGTCGTGTTACCAGCCTGGTCGAGCAGTGTCAACGAGCCTTTGATGCTGGCAACGGCGTTTTCGAACCCGGGATTAGATTGCAGTGACAGCTTCCCAGTCTCATCCGCCGTCTCAGAGACAGTAGTAGGCAGCGAAGACTGCGAGCCCAACGTCCCTGTCGTAGCAGTCGAGCCTGAGCGCGATACAGAGCTTAACGAGCTACGAGAATCGCCATCCGAGCCCAACGTTGATGACTCTCTCAGCGGAGGACCGATACCACCGGCATCTGGCGGGACGATGTTGACGACCTTCACTCCTTGGCCGCTCATGCTACTGGCGGGCATGAAGAGAGTGGTGGAGCCATCTTTCCTCTTCAGATGTGTCCGCTCTGGTTGGTAATCTGAACAGCAGTCGTTGGCATCGCTAGATGTGGAATACCAGTGCAGGGCATCGGCTAGGGATTGCTGGAGCTCGAGCACGTCTTCTTTGTTGAAGGAGTGGAGGATGCGACTGACGTCCTTGTCGCTGAGGATCGTGAGAGGCATGGTGCCCGGGTTCTTGAGTGTATGTCTATGGCGGAGATTTCTAGGTGCAACGATCCAAGAATGTATGCTGTTTCAAGAAGATGGAATCCCTGTCGAAGATCGGCCCGCGGATCGAAGCTGTTGACTGTTGCTCGGGTGTTTGGCAGTGACGACTCGTTAGGCCTGTGATTCTTCCTCCCAAGTTGTAAAAAGTACTGTAGCTGAACAAGATGCTCAGGTACATGGAGCTTGTCGCAGCTCGCGCCGCACGAGTATGTCGTGGTTATCAAGCGTTAGTCAGCGACAATGCAGTGTGACGCAATATTCTGAAGTCTATTCGCCTCACGGACGGCGAAATCACATGCAAGTTTCAATATCAAGGTGAACTGTATGGAACTGTCATCTCTCCGACTTTTCACACGTGACTGCGCTGCTGATTGAACTTCAAGCAGCTTAGATGGCTTAGGAGTAATAGGGGTCAATGTTACACCTTGAGCGGAACACCGAGAATAATCGCCATAGAGACGGCACAACCACATGCAAGTTTCAATAATCAGCTGTCTTCACTGTGATTTCTTCTCTGTCGATGCAGTACTGCTATGCTTCGCGATAGAGCGATCAATTGCATTGCCTTTGCCTCCGTTGAGGAAGGAGCAACAACAGTCTCTACCCCTGAACGCTTGCCCTAATGACTTGACTTCATGTCGCACAACCATCAAGTCCATGCCTTCCTGCAAGAGCATGTCTCCTCTTGGATTCAGACTCCTCCGCCGATTTGCTCCTCGTGCTGAAGGCAGTGTCAGCTATTGGCCCAAAGATTTCCTCTATACATGCGTTGACTTACGACCTCGATGGTGTCGCCATCGCCCAAATCCAGATCCTTGGGGGTGTGATGGTCAAGAACACGCTCTCCGTCGAAGAGGAAGCGAAGACCCTGGCGAGCGCGGCCCCAGCGATCGCAGTAGGTGCTCTTCGACAAGAAGTTAGCAATCTGTTTGGTACATTCTAGCTTGGGAGACAGGCATACCATGGCCTTGGAAAGGCGGGTGGTGGGCTTCATCTTGAAGTGCAGCTCCTCACCAGCCGTGGTGATGAAGCGGATGTTGAGAAGGGCAACCGGTGGTGGTTGATCCTCTGGTGGTGGCTGAGGTGGCGGCTCATTGCCATCAGCGTCGGCGGAGGTGGCCGTGGGGGTATCGTACCGCATCGTCATGATGCTGGCGCTTGAGTTGGTAATGGGATGTTGTCGTCTCTGTTGCTGCGGTTGTTGACTGCAAGGTTGTGGTTGTTGCAAGATGAGTCGAGGAAGAGCGAATGAAGAAGGCGGCTGCTTTACAAGAGAAGGAAGGCACGAGCGCGCCGCCGTTTGCTCACTCCTTCTTCACATGCTCTCCTCACATTCACTTGCAAGCTTTCCACGTCATCCTCAGCCTGTGACTTTGGGCAACTCGGTTTAGTCGAGCTCAGATTCACCCAAGACCCCGACCAGTGACGGCAGCGATGGCAAGCTCATCAATTCTGCGCTTATACAGCTCCATATAATGCATCTCAGGGTCACCAAAGACCACCTCCCGGAGGTCCTCATCAGTCACCTGGACCGCCTCAACGACGTTGCGCTTCGCAGGCTTCTCCCTCAGCAGAACCATTCGTCCAGCATTGGAGAGCGTGGCTGGAGGAACTTCCCAGCGCACTGGAACGATCCTGCTTCCTACGTGATTGCTGGCCTTGAGCGCCTGTCTGGATACTTTCTGCCGCAGGCCTTGAGAAGAGCTGGAAGTCGAGATGGGTGAAGGCGCCGCGATTATCCTGGTCAAGGTGCTCAGGTACTGTCTATCGGCACGGACAATTGGATCGCCCTCGTTTGCAAACGTCATGAAGACGTTTCTCTCATACCGTCGGCCAGCAGGCTTCTGCAGCGGCAAGAATGTCAGGGGAGGAGTGCCAAAAGTAACGCAATGCACTCTCTTGAAGCACCCCGTGAGGATGTTGAGTTCAGACTCGAAGCTGGTGGCCATCATGTGCATGTACAGGAGACTGGCAACAGCACCACCTGCCGAGTGACCGGTCAACAGCAGTGAGCTGGACGCCCGAGATGGATTCTGCTCCAGGAGATATCTTAATCGCGCAGCAATCGGCGAGACCATCGCCCTCGCGACTTGCAAGAAGCCAGCATGACATGCATTCCCTTCGTCGTCCAGAAAACCAACCGGCTCGGAAGGTGCAGGACGAAAGTTGACAGCCCAGTCGACAATGTTCCACTTGCTACCGCGTATCGCCAGGACAATGAGATTCTTGTCATCAACAGGCCTACTCTTGATCACCATCGCCTTGGTCCCATGCCTCCAATCCGCCTCAACATAATCCTCACGCTCTCCTCTCTTCGGCCTCCGGTACACATCCATCGACGCCTGAGCTGCCATGCATACGATCTGCCAAGTAGCCATGTAGAGCTTCATTGGCGGGAGGAATGGTGGAAGTCGCGAATTCCCATACTGCCAGGTCTTTTTGAAATCGATGAAGCCGCTCTTCGCTTGCTCGGTTGCTTGCACCTCTGCGAGGGACAGCTCTCTCGCCGCATTGACGAGCTCATCATCATCGTTCTCGTACTCGCGGTCCAATCGTCCCAGCGCTTCGTTGACTCTGGCAGCAACCTGGTCGCACAGAGCGGCTGTCTGGTTCATCGATCTGACGATGGGACAGTCATCAAATCGGCTGGAAGAGACCAGGTTGGCACTGCTTTGCCAGCCTTGTGGTTGTCTATACGGAGTCTCTTCTCGCATCCTCGACAGATCTACAGTCGAAGCCCACGCCGACTTCTTCCTCAACCTCTTGTCCTGCTTCTTGGGAACCGGCAAATACTGCTCAGATCCTTGATACGGCTGTTGATACATCGCTGTCGCCGGCATCGATTCTAGATACTGATTCTCATACGCGTCGTACGGCGGGGGTGGAGTCGCCGGCATCACAGGTAGATTGACCTGACTTTGACCCAAGCCTGGATACAGATCTCCGGTATACGCATACTCGGGCTCCTCATAAACACGTCCTCTCCGTCTCGGTGGTGGTCTCGGCCTCTCATCGTCCCTCCGCGTCATTCGATTGTGGTGGTGGAAGAGTTGCATCGTGCGCGTACCTGTCGATCATCCAGCGCGACGAGTGGGGGTCATCCTTGAAACGAAACCAACAAACCTCGGCGACAACGTCCTTCTTCTTGTACTCGTCGTCCCTCAGGCTGCAACGAAATCTATGACTCTGATCGACTAGAGCCTCACGTCACGACGAAGTCAAGGACAAGAAGAGGGCTAGAAGAAGGTAGTACGAAGGCCGCAATGCCCACATGCATGTACGCGGACCACCTGCCCTCAGAATGCGAGTATGCGAGCATGCGAGCCTTGCGAACCAGTTCGCGTGGCACTCCGCCACAATCGCCCAGTCAGAGTCTGCCGAGTTTTGCCGGGGCGAGAGGAGAGAGACACCACACACATGCGGCAGGCAAAAATAGAAACTTCTTGATGCTATTGGATGGAGCCGCAGTATCGTGGTGATGGAATGTACAGGAGATATGGTGCTGTGCGACTGGCTCTTTATCAGAGACCTATCGAACGCGACCAAGCCGCTGTCTGCTGTCTGCTGTATGTTGTATGTCGTGTCCCGAAACATGCATATATGTATCAAACACATCCCCGAGCCCCGAGCGGAGGGACATTTGCATGCAGCCTCTCTGCGAACCATGGCAGAGAACAAGGCAAACCCACAAAATGACCCGACCAAATGACCTCCACGATTGTAATCACGCAGCAAGGCAACGCAAGGCAACCTTCATCTATCAAACTCCCGCGTGATAGTCTTGAGTGAGTGTAGGCCGCTCAAGACTCGTGAGAGGAAAGAAAGAGACGAGCGCAGGCCGCCCAAAGAAAGAGTCACAGGGCCAAATACATGCAGGTCGGCAGAAAGAAAGTGAAGCAAGACCTGGTGACGACGAGCCAGCCATCTCTAAATCAATCAATCAATTCAATGCCATTCATTCATCAAACGCCAGAGGTATCTAATGCTATCTCATGCCCCCCTGAGCACCCAGCAATGCATCGAACGCCAGATATCGTCCTGAGAACCACCGGCCCGAACAGAAGCAGAAGAAGAAGAAGCATACTGTACAACGAAGCGGGAAAAAAGCCCCGAGATTCAAAGACGCCTCACCTCAGTCGAATGCCGTACCAGGTGCTGTCGCGAACAATAAACGTGTATGTATCATCCCAGTCTGACCTGCCCGGCCCTTTAGGCAAAGTAGCTCTTCCAGAGCACGCCCTCCAAATCCTCCAGTTGCTCGGTGCTGAAGACCTGTTCAATCGTTAGCGTTTCTGGTCCTGTGTGGATATTGTTGAGATGTAGTGAATTGGAACTTACCTTGACGTCCACATGCCAGGTATCCTGCCTCGTCTTCTTGAAGTCACTCAGCACCGTCTTGACGCTCTTGCCGACCATGCCCGGATCACTGGCTGCACGCCCTGCCAAAGTCGCAAGGACCTCGGGCAGCCACTCTGGTGGCGGAGACGTGTAGGGGAACGCCTGCACCAGGGCGCCGAGACCGAGCACGGCAGCGTGACGTGTGAGGACCAATCTGTTCTGTTCTTGCGTCGGTGTGCTCGTGCCTTCGCGCGGTCCGTTGTTCTTGGGTCGCTTTGGTAGTGGGTTATTGACGAGAAGGTTGGTGAAGTGCTTCTTGAGGTCTGCAATCTTCTTCTTGCGGAAACCGATGGGCGAGCAGCGCACCATGCCTCCCAGTGTCGCCGCTGCTCCAAGGCGGACTTCCAGCTGTACGTCGTGCAGCATCTCACGTACGCAGTGGAAGAGATCTTCAGACTGCTTCACGGGCATCAGGAACAGCTGTCGGAAGTAGATGACCTGGATGTTGATGAGCACTCTCAGCCGCTGGTGCCAGGAAGTCGACTCTCTGCCAATCTTGACAAGCGAAGCGACGAAAGCCACGGTCTCGCCCTGTCGATGTGGTATGTTTGGCAGGTGGCGGAAGACATGATAGGCCAGCGACTGGAGCTCGGGATCCTCTTTGATGTCCATCATGTGAAGGAGCTGTCTCATGAATGCATCTGGGAAGAAAGGCACCAAGGTCGTGCAATCGTAAGAACCCAGAGAGCTGTCAAGCCAGAGGAGTACTGTCTTGCTCGCTTGCGTGTATGGTGTTGGCGTCTGGGTGCCAACAGGTCGCTCATTCCGCCACTTCTCCAGGCGCTCGAAGACGTCCTTGATGATGCTGCTGTACTCTTCGGTAGGCTGGTAGGGCCTCGTACCGATAGAAGATGCGGCTTTCTGAGATTCAAGCAGTGTTGAGATGTCTTTGTAGGACTCGTGGTATCTCGTTCGGAAGATGGTAGAGAGAGTGTTACCCATGACTTCACGTACACTCTTGTAAGGATGATCCAAATGAGCCAAGAAGTCGTCCACAATCGGTCGGTGCAACTGGAAGTGCCAGCCCACAGCACTCACGACGAGCTGCAGCAGTTGAATCTTCGAGCTCTCCTTGAAGGCAGCACTGCTTTCCATGTCCAAGCGGAATCCAGCAAGCCAATCGATCAGTGGCCAGGCACGTCGCGGATCCTTTCCTCCGACAATCAAGGTGACAAAGGTCGACCAGTACGAACTGTTCTCCGGTGTGAGGCCATCGCTGAAGATACGTCGAACGATTGGAAACGCGAACTCCCAAATCTTCGTTCTGAGATCGTGCTCAAAGTCTTCCGAGCTAGAAAGCATAGCACCCATGATCTCAGACATGGCACGGTGCTGGTGCTTGTCGGTTCCATCGCCATAGACGGCCAACGTGAGGTCCTTGAAATCATCGAATGTTGCCTTGGTCAGACCATCAGACATGAGATCCATCGCGTACGCAACAATCATTGAGCTGGACATGCGGAAACGGTCTTGGCCATCTCGTGGCTCCTGCTTCATGTACCCGAAGTAGGTCGAAAGCCAGTGGCGATCGACATGCTGACCCATCTTCCGGCGAACAGCCTGCTCAACTTCATCATACTGCAGTTGACTTGGTCCTGTGCGGAACCCTCGCATGGTCTTTTGCCACACCAGCCAACCGGGGTAGTCACTGTCGATGTAGGCTTGAGCTTCAGGCTGGGCAAACGACTCAAGATAGCGCTGCGTCCAAGTCGGGTCATCGCGCTCTGTGGGAACGGAGACCTCATCCTGGTCCTTCTGCTCGTCGAGTAGGTAGTTCTCGTACTTGTGGCCGACCAGAGCTCGCGACTGAGCCAAGCTGAAGATGGCGTTCATCGATGTTGCGTACAACGTGCGCAGCTGGGGATGCGGGTCGATCACACCCTTGATGACCAGTTCCAGCATGCCTTCGGAAGCGATGGTTTCAAAGCGGTAGTCCAATCCTATTGCCATGACTGCGGTCCTGCTCGCCTTCTTCCAGTGGGTGTTCTTAACACTGTCGATCAGTTCAGCTGCCAGCTCAGACTTTCGCTTCTCGACCACGCCTCGGCGCTTCTTGATCTTCTCTCTCTTTGGTGGTATGAGCGCCTGAGCATCCTCAACGGTACGAGCAATCGTCCTAGTCAGTGTCGTTCCCTCTTCTGGCCAGATGCCGTTCAGCGTGGCTTCATCGAGTATCACCATCCGGTCCATGGCCTTCGTCATGTCCTGTATCGTGAAACTCGATTGGCCTACTAGCTTCTGGATGCTTGGTCGATCGGCTTCAGATACCCGGATGAACAGTCTGATCATTCGAGGTGCGAACTTCCAGTTTCGCCCGATGGGCTTCGCCAAGCTGCCAAACAAGAGGGAGAAGATAGCGCCCTTGATTCTTGGATGATCACCTTGCTTCAACGCATCTTCGAGAGCATCCAGAAGTGGTGGAATGATCAGGGGCTTCGCTCCTACTATGCTCTTAACGGCCTGCTCGCCTGCTGACTGAGCTGTCCGCCGAATGTCCGTGTAGACAGAGGTACTGGAGTGCGCCAGATCGAGCAGAAGAGTCTTGTCTAGATCTGACGCCGCCCGAGGATGCTCATTGAATCGCAGCCGCTGGAAGTGGTACAGATTTGCTCTCCGAACGAGCAGAGGCCGTGGGTATTGCTTCCTCGTACCAGAAAACTTGAACGGGTGGATGTCAGCGCTCAGCAAGCGTGTAAGCCTATCAAGCACGTGTGCCGAGCGTTCTATGCCGATGTCAACGAACCACGACTTGTACGCACTGTACAAGGAGTTGAAGCATGGCACATCATCTTCTTGGTTCTTGACAAGGAACTGATGAACCTTGTGTAGTGTCTCACCAGCCTCCTTACGCATGCGATGTACGGTCTCGTACGCTGGGCTGCCGACTTCTAGAGGATAGCCTGTCGGATACTGAAACGTACGCTTGACCTTCTCGTCATCTGGTTCCATCAGGTCTACGGCACTGTCGCTTGGGCTGTCTGGGTGCACTGGTTCGTTAGGAATGATTGCAATGTTGTCATCGGAGCTCGACGGCGTCAAAGTGGCGAAGGTGTACGGTGTGACGGTGCCGTCGTCTGAGCGGAAAAGGCGAGACATTCCTGATATGACCAGTCGTAGCAGAACAAGATTCCGCGAAACCTCGTCAGACCAGTCCTTGCCGACACCATCACGCTTGATGGTCGCAGTATCGGAAATGAGCTCCTTCAGTGCCTTCAAGGCGCGACCGCCCTGCGCTTCGAACAGTCGAACGGCAAACTCCAGTTCTTCCTGCTCAGGCACATGCCACTGGATCTCCAAGGTAGCTGGGTCGACATTCTTGCCCCAACTGTCTGTCGTGAGGCCTTTCTGCAGATCAGCTTTGTTGAAGAGGCTGTAATCCATGGTATAGGTGACTGTCAGGTTAAGGAGCAGATGATGGACAAAGTTGGAAACGTGCACTAGAGGTATGCCTTTGCAAGTGTCCTGCATATATGCGGCAATATCGAAGAGGTCGTCCTGGAAGTCAAGAACGTCTCGCCCGACATGCACCACGCACATGCTCAGCAAAGACACATGCCATACAAGTGCTCGATCTCTGGGCAAGATCTCGCTACCTGTCGTTCTCGTGGAGCCGGCGCCATTTTCACTGATCTCGGTCCTGATACTGGATACAAGCTCAGGTAGCAAGCGATGTAGTGCTTTCTTAGGCGAGATCTTGACAAGCGCGTTGCAAATGAATGCCATGGCATCTCTTGCCTGATGAACCACATGGTTCGAGATGAAGCGCGACACTTGTTCCAATGCGATGTCGTATAAGTCAGGGCTCAGGCTTGCGAGAAGAGGGCTGAACGTCGCAGGGAGCGTGTTGACAACATTCTCTTCAGGACTACCGCTCTTGACTCTGGCCGCATCGGGCAAGTTCTGAAGCAGCGTGAACACTCTGCCCAGGAAGCTGATGAGGAATTCGGCAAATCCAGCGGTGGAAGATTTGAGTATAGTCTCTTCATCTTCCTCGCTGAGCTCGCTGGCGTAGTCGACCTCAATGCCTGGACCCTCTTGCTCAAATCTCGCGACCTGTGCAGTGATCCACTCCACCGCTATTGCCGTGCCTGAGCCAGCGGGTGGAGGCGAATCGTGATCGACCATCTCGTAATCTCCATTGAGTTCGCTCTTCTCGCGTCGCTGCTCTTTGGTAAGATCGTAGAGCGGAATGTTGTAACACACCGACTGAACGAAAGCCAGACTGTGCATGGTCTTGTCCAGATCGTTGGCGTCAATACCTGGCAGGGCAAGACCAAGCAAAGTCGTCAAGTGGCATCTGAACCCCTTCGTCCTCGCTATGATCCTGCTGAGCATCTGCAGAGCGCGGATAGACGATATTGTCCGGTGAACCTCTACCAATCCCTGCATTGCTGGGTAGATGCGTTGCAGAGCGCCTGGTAGAATGAGAGTCGGCTCAAGGAAGGCAAGGCTCTGCAGCGTGCTAAGACTGTAGTTCATAGCAGTGCCACTCTTGGCATAAATGCCCATGAAGACAACTTCCCGCAAGCAAAGTACGAAGCGGTGTCTGACCTGCTCATTCAGCTTCCTGTCCTCAGGTACATCGTACTCGGCGCTCTGCTCTCGGTTCCAACGCATGACGAAGAAGTCCGCGAGATAGTAAACCAGCTGAGCAAGTGGCTTCGTCCAAGCTCCTGAGTTCGAAGGATGGAAGAATGTCTCGATTCCCTCAATCAAGCCTTCCAGCTGATGCAGAATCGACTTTTGATTGTCGGCTTCTAAGCACTTGGGGGAAAGAGACATGACGATCCAGCGAGCAATGCTGTGCGACACTGGATGCTTCCTTGGATCTCGGTCAAGGAACAGGCCGGTGCCTGCGCCGAGATCGACTGTTGGGCTGTATGGAGTATTTGCCTGGCCCACTGGGATCTCGAGTAGTCTCAGAACAGCCGTGAAGATCAGTGAGGACTGCTCCTCGGTGAAGATTCCGCTTGGGCCGAAGGGTACTTGCTCTGCTCCCAAGCAGTCTCTAGCTTGCCTGGAGAAGATGTCAAGGAATCGCATATCGATCATCATTGATCTGTTTATCGTCGACCATAGGTGGAAGTATGTTGGGAGGTAGTATTGCGGCTGCAGCTTTGGATCGTCTGTCGGCGGTGCCGCAGTGGGCAGCATCAGGTTGAAGAGACCAAGCACCACGAACGCATGCTCAGAGAATGACATGCTGAAGAATGGTAGGAACTCTTCCATCATCGCAGGGATTTCCTGAGGATCGAAGAAGAGCTGCGCAAACGTGCAGAGCTTCGTCAGGGTGCGCGCATTACGCTTGCTGCTGTACGTGTTCTGCGTGCTGCTTTCTGATGGCAAGACGAAGACCTTGAGTTCCTTGTAGAGCGGGCGCCAGTCCAGAGTCAGATCCTTGCCCGGCCGCAGGTAATGCTTCCGCTTAGTGAGGACCATGAACATGCTAGCGAATCTCTCGGAGACGCTGTATTCCAGGCCAGGCGCCAGAGCGAGCTCGTAGTAAAGCTTCACCAGAGCGATGCGTTGTATCTTCGTCAAGTCAAACTTCAAGCTCATGCACCCACGAATCTCCTTCGTCCAATGTACCGCACCAGGAACAAAGTCTCCAGACGCAACTGACACGTACAGATGCTTTATCATCTCATCCAGATCTTGCTCCCGTCCTTCTCTTGTCTCGGTCTCGTAGGGTAGATACTTTGTATAGGGAAACACTCTCGGTCGAGTCCGACCCAGACGCTCGATGTCCATGTCGGCTCCATCAGCTCCAGCACTTCGATATCCCGGAGCGCCAGGCGAGGTAGCTCTCGAGGCATCGTCGCCTGAACCATGCCCGTTGACCAGGTCGGACACGCGGTCATGGATTGGACCTTCCGCCGTCATATCGAAGAATTGTGGAAGCTCGAGGTCGCGCCGGTCATTGGAGACGACGCTGGATCGGTCGTGGTTGATGGTAGGACGGTTGGCGATAGCTTCGGTAGAGGTGGTGCTGGCCGGTAATCACTCACACGACACCTGAATGCTTCGGCTGGCGATGGTTGCGGAATGCAGCGTCGGCGAGTGGTGGCACAAACGGGTCCGACGGCGTAGCAATGGCCAGAGATGGAAGGATGAATGGGCGGTGGAGGTGCGCGGCGTGGTTGAATGGGCGATGTAGGGGTTGTTGGGTAGTTGTGCAACGTCGTGAGCAGCGGCTCTGGCTTGGCGGGTGCTGAGAGGCTTCGATCGGCGTCACTGATGGATGGAGGGAGCTTGGATCCTTCACCAACGCTGACTAACCACAAGCCGTTTACTCGACGCCGACAACCTCCAATAACCGCGGGTGCTTTGCAGTGTTCACCTGGAAGAGTACTCTAAGCCGAACGGTTTATCAGGTCTATCAGCTGCTGGAAGACGAACAAACACGATTGCAGCGGGCAAGGCCAGCAAGGTGAAAGCGGAGCCTTTGTAGTGGCGGGCAACAGGCAATCTCCTCCACGCAAGCGTTCGCCGCCTTCGACACTGCCAGCAAGGCTAGGCACCATACGAACTACGTCTTACCCCCACGATCATTCACTCCGGCCGAGCATCACGTGTCGAACTCTGGAAATTCAAGAGCTTCCACTTGAACTGCTGAGAGTTGTGTGGAAAACATCACATGGCGCCTTGACGCGTCAAGTTCGCGTTGTTTCCTCTTCACCATGGCGACCTCCTACTACTCCGTCGACGCCATCCTCACAGACTCGCAAAAGGCGCCCTGCACATTCGATCTCTCCGTCCCGCACCTCACTGCGCTCAACAACGGATCCGGGATCGAGAATGGGATGAAGCTGGAACTGCCGCTCTGGATGGCCGACATGCTGGCGTTGTCGAAACCGGCGGGACCTTCTTCTTCTTCACTGGTTTCGCTGGATATGCCTGCGGCACTTGGTCCTCGAGTGATCAACGCTTTGAAGGCGGATCCTAAGTCGGTCGATGTCAAGGCCCAGGCGAGGTGGTTTTACGGTCTGGGAGAGAGGATGCTGGATCTTTTTGATGAGGAGGAGATGATGGAGGTTCTGAACGATGTAAGTAATAACTGGCAAGGCTCATGCATTTTGCGAAGGTGGCTGACATACGATGTAGACGTTCAAGCAGCGAGCGTTGGAGATTGCAGACAAGGCGGCCAACACCCGGACGACGCAACAAGGAGGCGATGAGTTTTTAAGAGGCCTGGATGAGAATGAGAGACGACGTAGGCTGTTCCAACATCCGATGCTTTTGAATTGCGGACTGACGAACTGTAGTGTTTCGTGCTGCCCACAATGGCACCAACGATGTGAAGAAGTGGTTCGACAGCTCAAGTCGCGCGTGATCACTACGAGACCCCAAGTCCAATTCATCTCGAAGTAACGTCCTGATCATTCTCAGAATCTTCTCGCTTCAGCTCCATGACTCCACCTCGTGTATCAACGCAGCAGAACCTCTTCCCTCGTGCTAGTCGTTGGCTATCGGCTTGATGTCTCATCATAGCTTCGGCCAGCAGCCAGAGCAGAGAAGAACCCATGTTTGGTTGTAGCACTTGCATCGCTCTCGCTGGCACCTCGAGCAGACAGGACGTACGGTACTGCTACTGTATGCGCAATCCTTGCATGTTGGTTTGATCTCGTCCCATCCACCCCATGCCCGCCACTCCACTGCATCTCTGCGCGGCTCCTCCTCCTTCATCAGCAGCGTCTCAGCAAGTTTAGCTGGCTTGACGTATCTCGGAAAGTCTCGGGCATCAAGCTTCCGGCGGACTACCTCCGACTGATGAAGAGTGGCAACAAGACCAGGACATCCTTCGAGCTCCTCAATGTGGAAGTCGTTCTCGTCATGCTTCTCGAACAGCTTGACACAATAATCGCCAATGAGAGCACGCAATGGAGACTCAGCCGTTGTGACCTCGAAGCATTCGCGGAGCGTAATCGTGGGGATATCGTTGTCGTGGTTGCTGTCGTTGAGGACGTAACACGCCCGATGCGTCGCGGCATTTTGAAGCTCCGAGAGAAGACATCTGTTCGCAAATGACCAAATGTTGTAGCATAGCTTGAGGTCGAAGCTTCGCTGCTCGATGCTCAGGCGTCCAGTCTTGAAGATCAAGCTGTCGTTGTAGACGAAGAAGATGGAGGACTCGACAGCGGCTGGATCGTCTTGCGGAAGTGCGATCTCCTTGGTCTTGCCTGCTTTGAAGGCGTTCTCAAACCACTTCGATTTGCGGCAGAGCAAACTTTGCGGAACACTGAACCGCCTGGCACTATCGCCGTCGCCCGCGGTGATGATCACACACTCGCTGTTGATTTCTCTGATGGATGTCAGCTGCTGCAAGGCGCTACAAGGTCGCATGGACACATACTCGGCGAAGCTGCTCATCAGGGATGTACCGTTTGCCATGGCGCGATTCTCGTAGGATGTTACTTGATGGCGTAGCGATGAGGGTGTGGTACAATCAGTGATGCGCACCCATCCAGAATTCGAGAGCTGTGGGAGACGAGACGAGCTCCGCGCTAGTAACGCACAGACCAGTTGCGCAAGTGAATGTTCCCGATTCCCTTTCTTAGCTCTTCAACTTCATCTGAGGGCACGGAGCCTTCCGCTCCACGAAAACTTTCCACGCAATCGAATGTAACGAAAATCGCATTGTCTCCAGTCTATGCCTCCGAGAATCTCTATCGACTTCTCGCAACTCTAGCGTGAGTCGTATACAGTTGCTTCTTCAGATACCTCTCATATACGCTAGAATACATTACCAAAGACAAGAATCCTTCTTTGACGACATTATATGAAATCTACCCGTACACTTAGTACGATGTAGGTACGGCCTGCGGACGTCGTAAAGGAAGATGTTTGGCCCTTGGTCATTTGCAAAACGTAATGTATTCTCTAGTAGCTAGTGTAATAGCGTATCTCTGCGGAAATATGTCTCTTGAAACAGTAGGTATTTCGGTGGGCTTGGAGTGTCGTTTCGAAGAGTAGCATATACCCAGTAGGTCCACCGGGATCTCGCCAAGGCGGTCTTCATCGTTCCTCCTCAAGAGTTTACAAATCTTCTCCGTGGCACGGTTGCGGACAAGGGGCATTATGTACTTTGTCCGAAGAATTCCACAGTTTAAAGCACATGGGAAGTTGCTCGGATCGCCAGCGGGATAGACCAAACGTCGAACTTCAGCGACCGCGTCGGTTGGTTCTTGGATTGTTGTTGCTACGTACCCTTCTGAGGAATCTGGTGCCCTGTTGTTATCATTGCACGCCATATCATCATATTCTTCGCTCGTGCCCTGGCTGCATTCACATACCGCTATGCTCGCCTCATACTCCTCGAATCGAACGCCTAGAGCCAGCCCACGCTCCGATTTAGCTTGTCAAATTAGATGATCGCTTGCTCATGATAAATGCATCAGTCCAACTCAATAACCTCGCCCTCCTTCTGCGGCTGCGGCTGCGGCTGCGGCGTCGCACCACTCAACACAAGCACCCACTCCGGCGGTGGAGGGACCCGGACCCTCACCTTTGCCACCATGCCCTCATCCTCCAGCATCTCAACCAGCTTCTCCGCCTTGTCCTTCGGCTTAGCCTTGCCATGCGCCATAAGCCAAGTCCTCTGATACGTAAAGAACGTCGCAAAGAAGCCCGCATGCGCCTGAGCGATAGCATCGTACTTGTCGAACTTCTCCCTGCCGAGGTCGATCTTGACCACGAGGATGAGGACGAGCATCTGGCGGAGTGGGTTATCGACGCTGCTGGTCTTGTCGAAGACAAACTGGATGTCCTCCGCCGTGAGCAGCGTGAGATCGTGGCTGAAGAGGGACCGGAGCTGGGACATGGACTGGTTTTGCAGCTTGGGAATGCCGTGCATCTCTGCGAAGATCCACACGTCGATGAGCGAGTGCTTGAGTTCCTGGGCTTGGTCTGGAGAGAGTTTCTGGAGAACCGGGGCGTCGAGGCGGCTTTCGTAGCACCAGCGTGCGAAGATCTTCACGGCGTTCACGCCTACATCGGTGAGTTCGATGGTTCCTGTCGCTATTAGAAACTGCATGACATGCAACGTGTCTAAGGCGCTTTTCTTCACCTTCGAAGCCAGACTTGGAGACCGAGCCAGCGAAGAACTCGGAGTGGTACGCTGCGAAGCCTTTGTGGACTACGACTGATTCTTGATGATCCTGGCCGAAGAGGAACTTCACGAGCTCCGTCTTGAGGAGTTCGTTGTACTGATGGTGCGTGAGTCGCGGCATGATGTGTCGTGGTCGCCTTCGCAGACGGATTTGTGTGGTCGCTATCAAATGGTGTTGTCGATGTTGCTGGTCGAGATTGGTGTTGTGGAAGAAGCTGAGAGGCCGTCAACAAAGTGGTCGTTGAAGATGATGTGGTGTTAGTGGAGTTCTCGCTGAAGATGCTAGCGATGTTCAGACATGGGCGAAGTGCGCAAGAAGTGATGGATGGACGCCGCATGTGCTAATAGGACGTCGCCAACGTGCGCGACACGTGAAAATGGACGCAACGATCTCATGTGATCAATGCGAATAAACGCACTTGCTTGAGCAGGCTATTCAGAAAGCCCCTCTAAACTGCTCCGCCAATCCACCAAGCACACCACGCCGCCGCGCATGCTCCCGATTGTTGTTGTTATCCACACCAGTCGTCCTCCCAGCTTCACCTTCCATTCTTCGCCTGAGATTATCGTATCGCTCCTTTTGCTCACTTCCACCAATAATCCACATTGGCACTCGCCATCTTGCGGCACCCGGCAATATCTCTCTCCTGTACGCGAAGCCGGTGATCCACCCTACTGCGGCGGCCAGAATTGAGCCTGGCATTTGCGCCAAAGCAAGCTGGACTGGCAAGAGGTATGATGTGGCTTTTGAGGTAAGCATGAAGCCATAGTCCTGATTGGCGGAGGTGCCAGTCGGTGCATTGCCTAAGATTCGATATTTGTAGATGTACGGGATCGCAGCGTGGTATTGGGCGAGCAGCGCGAAGAGCAACGGTGTCGGTCCGGCGGGCAGGTAGTTGATGCGGCCAAAGCTGAGCGGCCGAATAACGACAGCCAGCAATATCGGCGGTGCTAGAGAGGTGTAAAGAAAGGTGGACAGTATGAAAGACTACCTACCTGTTAGCCCGTCCGCGGAAGAATAAGGGCCATGGTTGACGCATACGGCGAACTTTCTGCTGCCCCAAAGGCGTTCAATGACTCGTAATTGGTAGAAGGTCATGGCAGCGAAGAGCACTTCAGTACTATTGGTGTAGCACAGCTGCCATGTGAGCAGCCGCCAGAACTGGCCATAGTCGAAGAGGTGCGGCCGGACTTCGATCCAGAAGTAGTACTTGGTGTCGGTCAGGCTAGCCACGAAGGATGAGGCCACGATACCGAAGACCAGCAGCTGAGTGACGGGAGCGTTGGTGAAGCCGGAAGCGAGCATCTTGGGGGTGTAGTGATGTTGAGCATGGAGGTGTTGTGGTTGTTGGAGCTGCCAAGTGTCGTCGGCTCCTCGCGTGGTATTGCATGGGTCGGGAAGGATCCACATGCGAGTCATGCGGCTTTGTAGCGTGAAAGGCTTTCTCAACCTCACGTCTGCCCTCACATCTCTCTCTCACCTTGACATTCCTCATTCCCATCAGCTCTTCATCGAAATGCTGTCGTCGACGCCTCCCACCGCCGTGGAAATTGACTTTCTGTCCGACGATACCTCACAGTACCCCCGTAACGATGCAACACCGCGTCGGTATTGCGATCAAGGAAACACCTCTCTAGGCCTATTAACGGGACGCGTTGTAGAGGCTTAGGGTGAAGAGATGGCTGCTGATTGCTCTGGGAAGACCTCCACGCGAGCTTGCTCTCGTGAACACAATCGATACACCGTGTCAACAACGTGACAATAGGCTTGTGACTGGTCTTCTCAGACCTTCATCTTCCAGCAGATGAATAGATCCTGCTCTGCATCCAAGAAAGCACGCCCCAAGCGACCGATATCGACCGCTATCCGCGACCAGCGATCACGAACGCCTCTTCTCGCGCCTACGGAAAAGAGATATAGAGACAAAGGAGATATAGAGAACTGGTGACTTTCAGCACATGCCACCTCGCTGCCTGCGTGCGTGATGGCTGTGGCTGTGTTGGAGTGTTGCTGTCTGCCGCCAGCGTCAGCGAAGAGATTGCGCCAGCAAGTCCAGCGTCTTGGCGTTGGGGGACGTTGCCGCCGCCCACGATCATACGCCTCGTCACCACGCCGATGCGAACGAATAAACATCTCTGGAAGATGCAAACTATGCACACTACCTCAGCATGCATTCAAGATGTATTTCTGATCGGATGCGCGTGTGTTGTGCGAGTGTTGGGCAAGCAGAATCGCTTACCGGCAGAAGTACGGGTGGACTCGCTTTGACCTACATATTGTGTCAGTTTCCTTCTCCACCAATCAAGCATTCAGTGTGTGTACATAGCATATGGCGTCTACATGACTTCACTAAGACCACGCCTGTGAACAATGAGGTAATACTCTGTTTCTACGGATCAAAGATTCGGGGCCTCGTCGAAGTACGTTGTAATAAACGAACGTCAGCATTGCATACACTGTTCGCTGAAACGCAAAATCGACCAGCTCGGTTTTCAATAGGAGTGGGTTCAATTCCTGACTCGAATCTTTTGCACTTTTTGCGCCAGGTTCGATTTTTTCGATCAACCCACCTCGAGGCACGCCGAGACAGGTATGTGGATGATCGCAGAGACGCGACTAGTCTCATCATATTCTTTTTGGCATTTGTGTTCCGTGTTTGCATTTTTGGCGGACATCATCGTTGGCTGCTGGAATTCGCGATGGTCACCCATCAGCCTGCGTTTTCATGGTCCGCCCTCCGTAAGCACTCCTCCTCCCTTTACTTCATCCTGCGCATCTCGCATGCACAAAGATCGCGATCACGATATTTCCATGGACCACTTCACTCTCACAAAACAGCCCCAGCTCCATCTCGCATTCTCAGGGGAACATTCAGGGGTTGCGAGCACCTTCCTCTTTCACGCACTCGGCTCGCACGCAGAGCACCACTCGCTCGCCGCGAAGACGCATTTCCACTCATGCGACGACAGCATCTTCCCCTTGCACACGTCGCACGAGACTCGAGCAAGTGGCGTACATAAGCAGTATCTACAGTTGGCACGGAGACCAATGCGTTCGATGGCTTGTTCGTGCTGAGAGCTCGGAGACCTATACTTCTCGTCAGGTGCTCGCACCGACCACCATCAAAATCAATCTCCCAAGCGATATCGAACCTGCACCTTCGCTCAGGGGCTGGCGATCACCATGAGAGTCGTATCAGTCTCACGATCTGGTGGAAGTTCTGCCGCGACGATCTACTCTCTACGAGCAAGGCAGAGATGCGTACGGAAAGCAAGTAAGTGGAGAAGAGCAGGGTGGCATGGCTGGATACAGCGTACTTCTTCTAATGGGATGCCATCCCAAACATACACGTTCACGTGGAGCGAGAGATACCTCACCGGGGAATCGAAGACGCCACTCAGAATACCATCGATACAAGACATCTGCTATCACAGCCAAAAAACACCAAGAGCGACCCATCCACCAAGCCCCACGCGAAAGGAACAAACCTCCACGAACCCCCCTAATACCCACGCCACAACACCAAACCACCCCCTCTTACGCCAACCCCTCCCCCTCCCCCAACGCCTCAATCCCCACCACCGGCCCCGCCGGAACAACCACCACCCCCTCGTGCCCCTTCGCCAACATCCTCCCCCGCGCCTTCGCATACCCATACCGATACGCGTAAAAATCCGTCGTATCCCTGAACGCCCCCCTCGTCAGCGCCGTGTCATCCCAGTACAGCCGCCGCAGCCAGAGGTGCAGGCGCGGGTAGTCGTGGCGGAGGGATTTGAGGTTGCATTGGAAGATGGTGTGGTAGGCGGCGTCGAAGCGGATGAGGGTTGTGTAGAGACGGATGTCTGTGGGTATGGATTAGTTAGGGGACGGGGGGTGGGTTGTGGTGGGATGGGAGGGGTGACGTGCCTGCTTCGGTGATGTGTTTTCCGAAGAGGAAAGGTTGGTGGTTTGGGTGCGAGAGGTGGGCTTCTAATCTGTCGAGGGAGGCGAAGAGGGGGTAGATGTTGGCGTCGTAGGCTTCTTGGGTGGTGGCGAAGCCGCATTTGTAGACGCCTATTCATATCTCAGCATCAGCAGTCCCATCCAAAGGTCATCGTTCAGTCGGCTTACCATTGTTCACAGTATCATAAACTAACCCCAAAACAAACATCTCGTCAGCAATCCATTCACACGCCATAATCTCCCTAACATCCAAAAATAAATCGAGACTCACCCCACTCATTCATCCCCTCAATCTCCCCCCTCAACGCCTCCGGGAAAAACCCTCCTCCCTCTTTATTCCTTTCCCTGAACTCCTCCGGGATCAACTCATCAAACTCCTCGTAGAACATGCGGATAATCTCGCTGCTCTCGTTGTTCACGATTGTTTGCGTTTTCTTGTCGAAGAGGCAGGGGACTGTGTATCTATCCGGCAGCATCAAGAAGTATTAGCTTGGGCATCGCGGCCGTATGGTGATGATGGTGAAGGTGATACTGAAGGTGAACATACCGCCCCTCATAATCCGGCTGCACCTTAAGATAAACCTCCCTCAACCCCTTCGCGCCGAAAACAGGATCCTGCTCCGCGCTGCCGTTTTTGCCTGTGAAGAGCCAGCCGTCTTGAGTCCTGCCACACCACACACCACAAGTCAGCATAAACACACCACCAACCCACTCATATCTCCAATCCTCCACCCCTCCCTCATGACTTACAAATCAAAATCCGTCGCCACCATCTCCACCACCCCCTCCAGCCCCTTCAACTGCCTCACCACCGTGGCCCGATGCGCCCACGGACAGCCAAAGTTCATATACAGCAGATAACGCCCCTTCTCGGCGGGATACTTGGCGTCGGGGGAGCGGGAGATGGTGTCGCGGAAGGAGGAGGGTTTGCGGCGGAAGTGGCCGTCGGGGTCGGCGTGGGCGTGTGTGGTGGTGCCGTTCGTGGTGGACATCTTGGGTTTGGTAGGAGGGGGGAGGGTTGCTTGGTGGAGGTGGTTTGATGAGGTTCTATGTTGGGGAAGGTGGATGTGGATGGGAGGGAGGGAGTCGTGACGTTGACGAAACCGCGCAAGTCGAATGCAATATATCCAACGAAGCCGCTCTTCCAGCAGCAGCAACTCTTCAGTTCTTAAGCTCAAGAAAGATCAATTACTAAGTCCCACCTCGGCGCCGAACCTCGCAAGCTGACGATCGAGTGCGAGGTGTGCTCGAGGACAGGTATGCGACGAACAAGTTACATAGTTATCAAGTACCCTAAGTGGCATGTTAAAGCTCAGAGCTCCAGTCTGCATGTACACCTCATGGATGTCGTTGGCTTGCTTACCTTAGCAAAGATGGAGAAGTTCCGCGAAACCAGCCTAATTGGGCAACAGCGTCGACGACGCCTCGTGATGCTGGGTTGTAATCTCTACTACCGCATGCGCTGTATTCTATAGCCGCGTCATCTCAAATCATCAGATCTAGCTGTGTTCAAAAAGGGGGTATTGAGCCAAAGAAGACTGGAAAAGCAAAAATATTCAAGTAGACTCCCCTTCTTTCTGTCGCAACCGACCATATCTATCGGTCATGGCCCGGCCGCTGTCGTATGCTAAATGCTTAAATTCCCTTTACCAGTCGCGCGATGCCACTTCCCTCGTCAAAATCATCATCTAATACCTCGCCTGCGACTCATCTCTCCTCCCCAATCCCCCGCTCATATAACTCGGCTCGGCCTCGCGCTCCCGCTCGTGCCTCCTGTCACGGTTCTCGCGAATGAAATCGGCATTACTCGATGCGCCCGCCGTCGACGGTGCCTCCAGCATCTTGGGTGCCTTCTCCTTGAACTCGTCTTCACTATCGCTATACTCATACTCGTCGCGATCTCGTCGGTCTCGGTTGCGCTGCGGTCGACGTGCGGTTTTCCGTTCCGATCGTTCTTCTTCATAGCGTTGATCTGAAGAGTTGTGTGTCAGTGATTGTACAATGGCATTGCGCAGACCTTGTCCGAGTTGATATGTCCATGCTCGACGGCGACGGCGATGTCCATCTTTGTGTCTCTCGCTCTTCGTGTGCATGCTCTTCTTTGGCACCCGATGTTGCCGCAGTATCAGAGTTGCTACGGTGTAGAGGCGATGAGGGACTGGACGAGGTCTTGCTTGTTGCCTGGTGGGCATCATCAAACCTTGCCGATCCATCCAAGCAGGACATTTCTTCAAAGGGGTCATAAAGAGAGCGGTGTCGTTTACCTCTGATCTCTCGCGTGCGATCAGCGAGTTTCTGAATCTCCTCCTTGGTCAAGACTCGTAGCACAATGACGCAGTCAAGACGTTCTTCGAATCGTTCGTGAGCGGCTTCGAGGGCTTCAGGGTTCACAAGACGACGATCAATCTTGGTCCATCTTGCGCCCGGTGGGATGCCCTTCTTGGTGGCCTGTAATGGGGTGTTAGTCTGTTCAACGCTTGAGGAAGGAGATGTTCGATCACTCACGTCTTTCAGTGGTGCAACACCTTCTCTTACAGCATTTGGATCTTCAGGGAACTTGTCAGTCGGCTTCTTCAGAATGCCGCGCGGTCGTCTGTCGTCTTCCTCTGTAGGCGGATCCACAATGCGGACACGGTTTTCACGCCTGTCACTCTGGCTGTTGTCGATGATCTGTACCGGCTCCGCGCTCATGGGCTGATCAAGGATGCTTGGTTTGCGCTTGAGAGCTCCTCCCATTGAGGAATCCACAGTCGAAGGAGCTGTGGTTGATGACTGATCATCAAGACTGTGTCGTAGAGACGGGTGAGGCGGCATTTCATTGATGCCTGCGTCCAGACCAACACCTGCGGCGACTGCAGCACCATTACGGCCTTCGCGTTCTCGTTGGCGCTGCTCCCGCTCTCGTCGGCGACGCTCACGGTCAGGATCTGATTCTGACTCCCGCTGTTCGTGTGTGGTTCGTCCAAGTTCTTTCTGCACTTGCTCCAACCGGCGGCGATAATCCTCCTCAGGGTCAACGAAAGCGCCCGGCATCTCGGCGGTCTTGTGCTCTGGCTCTCTGTCCCGATCACCGAAATCTCGCTGGCCAACACGCTCCTGATTGCGGTCTTGCGTCTGCTTGTCTTGGTTTCGCTCAACGTTTGTCGGTGCAGGCGCATTCCACTCAGGCTTGCGTTCCTGATATTGCTGGTTCCACTCGGCTTGCAATGGTGGTGCACTCCTTGGCGGTTCAGGTGGAGCTTCGAATGCGAATCCAAGACCACGGTCGTCTTTGTAACGATCACGCTCAGCGTTGCGCTCGCGCCCCTCGTCACTGGCGGCTTGACCAGGCCGCCTCTCACGGCCTTCGTCGCTCGTCGACTGACCTGGTCGTCGTTCACGCGCATGTTCCCGGTCTCGATCTTGGTCGCCATTGCGGCGATCCCGTTCGTTGTTGCGTTCTGGCCGATCACGTTCGTTGTTACGGTCTGGTCGATCACGCTCGCTGTTACGCTCCGGTCGATCACGTTCGCTACGCTCTGGTCGCTCGCGGTCCTGGTAGTCGTCTTTCTCCTTCTCCTTGTCGCGCTTGTCGCTGACTTTGTTGAGGAGTCCGGACAAGCCAAAAGCAGCTGCAGCGCCAGCCAGACCACCAGTAGCAGCTTGAGCGAGCCCTGGCTTAGAGAGCGTCTCGCCGCTCTGGCGTGGGCTGTTCTCCTTACGGCTGTATTCGCGGTCGCGGTCGGTATCTCGTCGATAGTGATGTCGGTCTCTTTCACGCTCGCTAGGAGGCTCCAGCTGCCGGATCCTCTCCCTCTCACGCTCTCTATCGCGATCGTATTCACGGTCACGTGCTGCTCGATCATAGTCGCCACCGTAAGCAGGACCGTCATCGCGCCGTCTCGGCTCTTTGGAATAGTCACGCGCATCAGAGTAGCCCCTTTCCCGCGTCCTTCCATGTTCGTCATTCTGGACACGCTGAGCCAGCTCGCGGTCCCGCCTCTCCTGCTCTAAGCGTGCGACGTCGTGAGCCGTGTATTCAGGGGCGGTGTCGCGACGATGCGGTTGTTGCGGCTCCAGGTAGCCAGAGTCTCTGTACTTTTGATGTTCAATACTCTCATCGCTGGCTCGGCCATCTCGTGCAACATGTCTCGACTGGCTTTCGTTCCTGAAGTCAGATCGAATGCCGAATCCCCGTCGCTCAATGCTTCGGTCACCTCGTCCATCACGGCTGATGCTGTGTCGCCGTTCAGGTCGTCTTGGCTCTCGTCGGTCCTCATACTCGTAAGTGTCGTAGTTGTGGACGGTGGTCCTGCGGTCGGTGGAGTTGGTCCTTGGCGGGACGTAATACTGATCGCGTGGGTCGCCATATGCGCCAGACTCTTGGTAAGTACGTCCTCGTGTTGGCGATTGCGCAACCCTGGCCTCGTCCCTGACACTCCTCGTGCGACCAAGATTCTCGTTGATCTTATCCCACCCACGAGTGCTTGGCGGCGGTCCGATTTCCTTGGCCCCAGGTCTTGTGCCGAATGTCGGATCCAGCACACTGACAGGCCGCTCGCGGCTGGTTGCTCCTCCGCGGTCCATGCTGCCTCGTCGTGGACGAGTAGTCGTGTTAGCCTCCCGAGTGTCTCGCCATCTGGGCTCGGTGTCCCGGTACATGCTGGCAGGATCGGTGTACTCATAAGCGCCTTCGTCGTCGATGCTCTTATCTCTCGGCCGGTTGTGGGTGCCATTCACATGGTACTGTCGTCTTCCACGGTCACGCTCGACGCCAGTGGTTCTGTATCCGCCTCGTTCTATGCTGTCTCTTCGCTTGTGATGTCGTTCACCGCCCGCCTGCACCGGAATATTCACATCAGCCACAAGCTTGGCACTTCCATCGTCCACACTGTACAGCTTCTTGTGCGTGGTGCTGTTGCGCGGCTCTTGCGACGAGGCTGGAGTGACGTAGTAATCCTTATCACGTGTGACCTTTTGCGGGCTCGCGGGTCGAGCAAAGTCTTGCTGAATGACGGCCGGCCTGTTGCGGGCTGGCAGGTTGTTTGTTGAGCCTGTAGTGCCTCGGTTGGTGTCGACGAGGGAGGATCTTCTTGGCCTGCCAGTGTATGAGTCGAATCGCTGCTCTGGACGAGTATTGGCAGGCGGCGGGTTGTTGATAAAAGTCTGCGTCGAAATCGGAATGACACCAGCGGTGCTCGTGCGCGGCGAGGCATATGAGTTGTGCCTCTGGTCGTAGTAGGGGTTGGAGAGGGTCTGGTCAGAGAGTCGTCCTGGGTTGTTGATACGCCTGCCGCCCGGCGAGAGAGGGCGATTGTTGTAAGACATGCCGGCGGTGGAGGTGGTGGTGCTCTTGGGGAGGCTCAACTCGGCGACGGGCTTGACCCGAAGGACCTGTATGGAGAGACTGACGGGCCTGGGGCGAGCGATGGGCCGGGGGAGGTTTGTCTGTTCCATGGCGGCGGTCAGCGGGCAGATTCTCTAGATATTGCAGTCGTCGCGGTGCTTGACAGTCGACGCTGTGCAACTCGTTCGCTGCTCTGGCGGTGCGGTTTGCAGCAGCAGCAGACGACGAAGCGAGACAGCAACCACGGCACTGGCAGACAGACTGGGCCGGGACGAGTCATACGTACAGGATCTTCTCGTTGTCGCCAACCGCCAGCGCAGCAGCCCGTCCGCGCAGTGTTGCGGCTCTGCCGACCGGGCACTCGCACCCTCGACGCAGACGGCGGTGGGGCTCACCTTGCGCTTGATGCCTGAACAGATGCAGCGCGACAGGGAGTCCCTCGCGAGAATATCGACCGTGCGACTTTGGGCGCCGATGGCAGACGGGCTATCGCAGACCCGCTGGAATATAGAATCGAAATGGCTCCCGTGTGGTGGTGTATGGAGAGGAGGTGGTCGGCGGTGCGGTGGAATGTGGGTGGGTGGGTGGTCGCGATGCTGGGGGGAGACGATACAGGGCTGAGAGTCTGGGACACGGTGGGAAGAGGTTTGGTAGATTCAGAACAGGCGGCGCGCAGTTTGGGACGGGACGAGTTCGATCCAAGGTCCTGACTGCGACTTAGGCCTGACTGCACTGCGCTGCACTGCGCTCTGCACTCACTGACGTAGGTACGCTATCTCCTCCTCCCTCCACACTGCCACTTGCTGCCACACACACACCGGAACATCCTCACCTGAACCGCTGCTGGCCTCCCCGCCTGCCCATGTTCACCACCGCAACACCTACTTCTTCGCCCAATGCCGCAACCGCCTTGCCTCTATCGCGCCGCGCTGTCGTCAACGTATGCAGCTAATGCACATGCACGAACGAGCCGGCGATGACTGCTTTCGTGCCTTCTGACTTGAGGTGCGCAATTGCACTCCCTCGGTGACGTCGACTGCCATGCGACTGGTCCTCATCGGCGCGCTGATTGGCGAGATGCGCAAGAGACTTCGCAACCGAGGCGCGAGCGACAGGGGTAGCCACACGTGAATGGCTCCTCGGATTGATGAATCTTGTTCGTACTTCACTTTCACCTCTGCTTCGTCTCTCTACGATACACAACCTTGGCTGGCATTCTTGTTCGCCTCCACACGGCGACAACTCGGACGCCGCAACATGTTCAATCCGGAATGGCGAGGCGAGGCGAGGCGAGGCGAGCGCGACCAAGCAAACGACGGATCGAACAGGCCGACCACACCAATCCCTGAGCATCCCAATTCACGTCCCATCGTCTTGAAACTTGGCATCGCCCTCCCTGTGACCAGGCTGTTCCTTGGACATCGCGCCCAGACTAGCACTTGTTCGCAACAACGTGCATCTGTCAAAAAGGCGTTCTTTTCCGGGTATCGTTGCTACGCCCGACGCCAGCTGTGTTGGGCAGCGGCGCAGAATCGACCAGAATGGCCTTCCTCACAGCATCCACGCCCGAGCTTGTCGCCACGCTACATACATCCTCGTGTCCGGATGCAACCCAACCCTTACCACTTCCCACATAGCACCACCAGTTGGGCTGCCACAGCCACGCCAACTAGCAAACAAGCTCGTTTTCCACTCCCACCCCGAGCATGAACCTCGCCCAACCTGTCAATACTACTCCGGCCTACCGATACACGGCACTTGACCTTTCAGCCCCGAAGATCTCCTGCAATCTCGACATCTCGTAGCAGGGATCTGTGGCGTTGTGGCAGATAATGTGAGCGGCTAGTCTCGGTTGTGGCAGTCATGGCACTAGCATTTTCTACTTCGAGTCCGCCCGAAAATTGTGATGAGGCCGCATGGAGCTGTGGTCATATGACTGCTGTGCTGTCCATTTACCACCAAGTACAGAAGACTTCTCCAGGAGGTACAATGATGACGACCTCTGCACAATCGTCCTGGCAGGCAGCAGAAAACGAGAGCGACATGGTCGAGACCTGCGCCTGTTGTGCTTCTCGTGGAAAGCCTCATCTCTCCTTCACATGGACGTGTTCTCAGCCCTGAAAGTTCCTGCTAGAGCCTCAGGCCTCAGAACAGCCATTCAGATGTCGACCTCTCCTTGGCAGTTCAACACTCGATGTTGCTACTGCTTCACACATGATGCACAAGACATCATCCACAACGGCGACGTCCGATATTCTTCAAGTCGCCTTGAAGCCGACTCTGGCTTGCCTCCAGCTGGACCCAACTACGAGCAATCTTCAAGGAATCAAGCCTTGAATGTACACGGTAGGAGCCCTCAATCTTGTTCACTATTCCCGCTCGTTCCATTGTTTCTACTGCACAACGATTTGGCGCGCCCTGAGCTTCCTTACAATGAAAGCTCTAGCGCACCCAAACTTTTGCAGCCAAACTTTATCCTCACCTCACATCCTCCCTGCTCTTGGCTTCCTGCTACCTTCTCGAAGCTGTTACGCTCTACTCACCTTGCTCTTACTTCTTCAAATGACTAGAGCCAAAATGCTACCATGAAAGCAAAGCAACTTCCGATTTCTTCTCAATCTACGAAGTCTAGGCGGAAAGATGTGATTAAAAACTTTATCACCCGTATCTCCTCCGACAAAATACCTCATACACACCTACTGGCAATGCTTCTTCCGAATACCGAAAATATAGTATCCGAATTGTCCGACATATGCGAAGCGGTAGCAGCTGGTTTTCAAAGGCTTGAAGCGGTGTACACGACCACTTTCCGAACAGTAAACACCTGATAGAGCTTCTCAAAACATCCGATCGACCACTCTCAAGCACGCGCTTCTCCCATCTTCGTGTTTACCATTGAATCGCAATGAAGCCGCACCAAATCCGTCAGATTAGCCGCGTGAGCAATCCAACAACGGCCCTCAACATTTCTACCGGCGCCTCTGCCCCTCCGACCCTCCACGCTGGCGGGAGCCCCGTCGCATCATATTTCTCTAACAATGAGACCACACTAGGGGCCAATGGTGACTCCAGACTCATGGCGGTGACGGTCTTTCGATGGATCCTGTTCCAGGACAGTGACGTTGGTTCCGTTTCGTTTGAGTTGCAGGCCCTGCGGCAAGCCTACCCTGCGCTCTCGAAGCCCTAGGAGCATCTTCTTGGATAGCTTGCTTGCTCTACTTTCACAAAGTCATGATATTCATCTACCAGTATCTCTCACGCTGTCTAGCTCTAACAATCATAGTCATATCTCATGCAAAGAAATCCCTGTACAAACCCCTTTACCAGTCCCGTCCCGTCCCAAGACCAAAGCAACATATCCATCAAGACCGTCCCACATGATTAAACCCACTCGCAAGATACCTAGGCTCCACCGCCGTGCCATGATCGCCCCGCGCAGGCTCAACAGTAGTATGCTCCACATACTTGACACAATCCCCATCAAAGCCCTTCCCGGCAACAACCTCGCCATCCTCCACCTCCCCCCTCTCCCTCAAACCCCGCGCCCTCGTCTTCCCGGGCCACGTATCCCGCACCGCACCCTTAATAATCCCGCCCTCAAACAAAAGATGGACCTTTTCGAGAGGTACGCCCTTCGTCTCTGGCACGCAGAACACGGTGTACACTACCATGAGGATGCAGCAGCTGCCGAAGAGCAGGAAGGTGCCGTAGGTGATGTCGTGCAGCATGATGGGCGTGAGCTTCGCAATCACAAAATTAAACAGCCACTGCGTCATCAGCGCCGCCGCCATGATGAGCGAGCGGATGTGGTTCGGGGCGCACTCGGCGGAGAGCACGAAGGGGATGGGCCCCCAGCCGAAGGAGTAGAAGACGACGAAGAGGTAGACGCAGACGATGGCGAAGGTGCTGTTTCCATCGAGCGAGGAGCCTGGGGCGACCGGGTTGACGGCTTGGTTGATGCCGATGTAGTACATGGCGAAGGCCTGGCCGAGGCCGCCGATTATGAGCGACCATTTGCGCCCGAGTTGTTCGGTGGCGAACATGAGGCCCAAGGCGGTGATGACGACTTTGACGACGCCGTAGATGCCGGTTGCGAAGAGGCCCGCGGAGGTGCCGGTTAGGCCGACGGATTTGAAGATTTGGGGGGAGTAGTAATTTATTGAGTTTGTGCCTGTGAAAGGGGGAGGTCAGTATATATGGAAGGGGGTGTGTGGTAGGGGATGTGAGGTGCGTACCGGTCCATTGCTGCCAGAACATCAACACGACAGCCATGCTGAACGTATAGAAATTTTGAGCATTGCTGCAGGTCGCTTTCATCTGAGCCATGAGAGGCATCTTCTCCTGTCCGTTGAAGTCCTCGATGATCTCATCCAGTTCCCTCGTAACTTCCGGATCACCAATAGCCCTAGCGCGGACTTGTGCGAGAGCCTTGCGGGCTGCTTCAATCTTGTTCTTCTCAACAAGCCATCGTGGCGATTCGTTCTGGAAGAAGATACCAGCCAGGAGGAGAGCGCCAGGGAGCATCTGCAGTGCGAACGGAACCCGCCATTGGGTGGAGGATGTGCTCGAGATGGACTTGTTGACGCCAAAGTTGACGAAGTAGCTCAGCATGATACCCGTGACGCTAAAATCTCCATTAGCATCGTGTCCCCACAACAAAATTCACGACAGGACTCACTTAAACAACTGCATCGTCCCAATACACCTCCCGCGAATCTCCTTATTCGCATTCTCGCCAATATAAGTCGGCACAACCGCCGAGATCAACCCGACCCCAAACCCGCCAATCACCCTGCCGACATACAGCTCCGCCAGACTGGTCGTATGCAGTCCCGCGCACGTCTGGATGATGCTGCCGATGATGAAAATCACATCCGCGATGATGAGCGCGGCTTTGCGCCCGAATTTATCGGAGATGTAGAAACTCGACATGGCGCCGAAGAAGCAGCCCGCTTGCAGCACGGACACGATGTTGCCGGAGAGGTTGGAGTAGGCGGGGGAGTCCGGGTCGAGGTCGAAGCTGTGTTGGAAGCTGGACATGGTGAGGACGCCGCCGATTAGGCCTGGATGGGCACTATCAGTACGCCAGAACAGGTTGTAGAATGTTAAGGGAGGAAGATGTCATACCAGTATCCCATCCAAACAACATCCCCCCAAAAGCCGCCACGCCGGTGAGGAAATACGCCCTCCGGTACTGGACCAAGTCCGCCCATACCGAGTTGACTTTCCCCATCGTGGTAGCGTTCCCGTCGCCCTCCAAGCCTTCAGTGACAATAGAACGATACTCGCCCCGCTCCTCACTCTCCGTATCTGTCCTTCTCGAAGAAAATATTCTCCACAAGAAAGTCGAAGACTTCGGACTAGAATCCCTCCGTCGTTGTCGTCCTTTGCCCTTTCGTGCTGAGCGGAACGAGGGGAAGGAGATGAGAGTGCTCATATAGCCAGGAGAGAAATAAGAAAACTAACTAGCCATGCGCGTCAACGTGTGTGTGGGTATCTCAATAGCCGCGCCGTCCGTCAGCAGAAGCGAGTGTTTTGGTGGGCACGGGTGGTGAGGTCGGCAATGCGGGTGAGGTGTGTGACTGGAGTTCGAAGGTGTGGAGCCCCCGTGCGGAGTTTGATGATTTCTGGGGATGATTCTGGGTGGCGAGTGGATCCAGTGGTTTCCACGGCATTGGGCAAGGAGAAGTGTGGATGTAGTTTGTGGCTGTGGGTTGCATTTAGCCTGATTGTTCGTGCTGGCCATCCATGGATGCCGCCTCCGGGTCAGACGCACTGACTTTCAACCACACGCGTCCTGTTTCCCGCGCTCTCAGATCGCTGTGGTCGCTGTGGTCTTTCCCACCTCACTGCTCATCGATCAATAGCCGACCAAACGCCGACATCAGACTCACTCCTCCATCATCGTCGTAATGCCATCACGAGGACAACGCCTCATTCTGCTTTCAAGACCGTGCTTCAAATGCAAAGGATCCAGAAGCCGTCCATCACATCGGCGACTCTCTTCCCATGGCTTGAATGAAACGCCCACCCACGAAAAACGGCCTTTGAGAAACCCAGCCAGAAATGACGCCAGAATCCCAAACTCTAAATCACTTTCTAGAGCTCTATAGACGTGCACTGGGTCTCACTCCGCTGCAGAAGACACAACAAAGTCTCAGCAAGCTCTCCACAAACACTGACAGGGCAAAAGAGCGGTGGTGGCTCACTTCTTCTTCTGCTCCGGTATCTGCGTAACCAACCCCCTCCCCTCGACCGCCGACCGCAAATTCTCCAACACCAACAACTCCATATCCCTCTGCGTCTCCCACGTCGCCGTGCCGATGTGCGGGAGCAGCACCGCATTCTCATTCGCCAACAGCCCCGGGTGGATTTTCGGCTCCTCCTCAAAGACATCTAGCCCAGCGGAGAAGACTTTCCCGGAATTCAGCGCGTCGACGAGCGCCGCTTCGTCGATGATGGGGCCGCGGGCGGTGTTGACGATGATGACGCCGTCCTTCATGAGGTCGAATTGGGGTTTCGAAATGATGTGGCGCGTCGAGGCGTTGAGTGCGAGGTTCAGACTGAGGACATCCGAGGTCTTCATCAGCTCGTCGAAGGAGACGTATTTCGCTCCTTGCTCTTCGCTTTCCGGGAGGCGGTTGCGGTTGTGGTACTGTATTGACATGCCGAAGGCTTTGGCGCGGTGCGCGACGGCCTGGCCGATGCCTCCCATTCCGAGCACGCCGAGGACTTTCTTCTTGGGGTCGTGGCCGAGGCCGAAGGCCTTGCCTCGCCATTCTTTGTTGCGGACGGCCGTGAAGGGGGTTGTGACTCGCCGGAGGGCGCCGAGCATGAGGAGGATGGCAACTATACAGTCCGTCAATCAGCAAACCATATCCCTCCTTCCGAAGTTGATACAACTTACTATCCGCAGTAGCATCGTTAACCGCAATCGGCGTACTGCTAACCTCAATGCCCCTGTCCGTCACAGCCGGCACCTCAATATTATCATAACCCGCTCCATTATGCGTGATGAACTTCAGGCTCTTGGGTAAATGCTGCACGAGCTCTTTGTTGAACGGGCCGGTAATAGGCGTCGAATCGTTTGATCGGTAAATCGCCACAACGTCGTCGTACTCGCCGGCTTGAAGTTTCTTGATGAAGTCCTCTCTCGAGCCGCTCTCGTACTCCTACAAGACATATCTCTTGTTAGCCGGTGTTCTCTGTAAGTGCGGGGCATGGTCTGTATTCATCCCACCTTCAATGTGAGCAGCGAGCTCAATGCCTGCCATTCCTTGCGGCAGTGGGTGATTTTGCCGATGAGGAGAGCTGCTCGTTGGGCCGTCATCTTGTGTATACTGCAAATGGTAGGAAAAGGTTCAAACAAGGTGCGAGGAGCTTGAGGAAAGGTAGCATCTCGTTCAAGAAAGTGCAACGACAAGTCCCTCCTCGGTATCGCCAAATGGACATTCGCCGATGCCGTCAGTTTCCGACCCCGGCTTCGGAATCACATGTTAAAAGTGTGTCTCGGCAGTGAATTCTCGCCAGAACTTCGTCTCGCTGATAGTGCAAAGACTCGCAGTTGCCGTGATGTCTACGCCGGCTCAGGTGTAGGTGCTTTGGAAAATAATTCGACCGTACCAGCAGAGACAACACTTTGACATAATCTTCCGTCTCTTGCCTGTCATCACTGCAACCCCAAATTCCAATCATCCATTCCCGTCAATCCATCAAACAAAAAGTTATTACTATCCGCAGGTAAGAAGCCCGACCACCACTCCGCATCATTGGCAATGTTACCTCCATTCCCATTGACAGCAAAGTTTCCAATAGCATCTAGATCTGTCCACGAGAAGTCTCCCATGGGTTCCGTTATAGCGGGGGAGTCATGGGTCAGCCCTGAGGTATTGGACTTTGGCGTCGGTCCTCCAACACTGCCTGGCCGGTAAGGATTGGCTAGTGTTGCCGTGGAGTTGCCTTTGCGCTCTTTTCGCTCGACTTTGTCCCAGAGTAGTCGCAGGAGTTGAGAGTACCGGCTGCCTGGATGTTGGCTGCCGATGCCCGATCGCTCGAGCCTGTTGACGGTCTCTTGAACCATAGCTCGTACCGACTGCTCTTCGTCTGATGCTAGAACTCCAACGCATCTTGCCCTGTAGAGGAAGACCCCTGAGTAGACCGAGTAGAGGTAGAAGCGCAATGGCATGTATCGTAGCGACTTCTCAGGATCGACAAACGTGTTGACCATACTCAACAAGCTCTTGGCTGCGTCGAGACCCTCATAGATGAAGCGAGCATCACCGACTGCACCGACGTTGTTGTAGAATACACGACCTGGTTGGGGATGCGCTCCTCGTCTGTTCTCCTGTCCCTGCTGGATTTGAGGTAGAGCACGCTTGACAGTGGCGTGGAATGCAAAAGCATTGGTATAGAGGCGTAAATAGTCGTACGCCATAAGCATTCCCGCTTTCAGATGCGGCGAGCAGGTCAGGGTGCCCCAGACACTCTTCCATCCATAGATGGCACTCCTGAAGTCATCAATGTATTTGATGTAGCCGCCGCTGAGGTGGCTTCGCATGCTGTTTCCTGGATTACTGTAGAGCACATCGTGGACATTGGAGAAGAGGAGCGTGAGTTCCAGGGAGGCTTGAAAGATGCTTGCGTAGTCTTCGTCTCCTGGGTTGACCGGGGCGAGCATCGGGAAGTCTGCTCTGGAAAGAGTAGTCAATGGACCTGGGCCCCTTGACCAGAATGCTCTACCCAAGCGTATGCTTATCTGACGGTCGCTGATATAGCATGCTGTCCAGACCAGCCGCTTCCGTTGCCACTGAGGATCCTTGACATCGTCTCCACGTACAGCAAAGCTGTATCGGTCCAGGCCAAGAAAGTAGCCGATGCGAAGGGCAGTGCCTACGTGCATCCATGCTTCCCTGTCTTCCTCTCCTCTACCAACATGTCCAGCATCTGACCGCGACGTATAAGGTGTCCACTCGGCGAGGAGCAGAAGCGCTTCGACTGCTTCGACGTTTCCTGGGCCTCCAGCCGCTAGCGAAGACACCAACGAACGCATGTGCTCTGAACAGGCCACGAATACATTAGGCTCATCAGTAAGGTCTCTCGACGCAACGACTAGTATCGCCGTCAAGAGGTGAGGTTCGTCTCGGGCTGTCTTCGACAAGTTGACGGCATCCAGAGTTGCGGCTGGTACAATGGGGAAGTAGGGATGATAGTAGTGCTTGTACCGTTGAAGCAACTGAATGATCTTCGATAATGACAGCCTACCATCTCGGACCAGGGTGTATTCGAGTTGTGCTTGACCATAGGGACCAATGCCATTCTGGGGGACGTTGAGCGCGGGAGCGCTTTCGCCATGACTGGCAATCTGGGCGAGTATGCCGAGAGCGTCGCTGGGGTTCTGTAGGTCATTGAAAGCAATGTTATTGGTGGACACTGTAGAAGACTCTCGTGTTGCACGATTGCCTAGTAGAGATTCTCTGTGACATGTCAGCCGACGGTGTGATGGAAGGTAAGGTGACGCAGCAGGAGCCGGCGGAAGAATGGGGAGTAAAGTCTTAAGGCAAGCACAAAAAAGGCATAAGACGCCCTGCAGCATAACAGGTCTAATCATACATACCTGGCGTTCGAATCGGCAGCCTGCAGAGCCGGATCCAGCATGATGCCCGGCGTCTGGTTTATTTCCTGCAATATGTTGCCATTTGTGCGAGCGGTGCCGTACTCCGAAGTCCAACTCGGTCGTGGATTACTCGGCGTTAATCTGTCAGCTTGGAACTGGATATGGTCGTTTTCTCCCTCGTCAATGGCACTGGCTGTCTGTTGTCTTTCCTCAATATGAGGAGGCTTGTCGTCGAAACCGGCTTGGTCCACAGTTCGCTTGCGCACTCTACGCCCACCGCGATTGCTGGACCCGATCACGCAGTCAAGACCGGTCGCTTTGCACCGTTCGCAAGGTGTCGTTGCTTTGCCATATTCGTCGGTCGGTCTGACGTTGGTATGTTAGCAGGGGCTGTGATGAAGCTTGTTCCATCGGGCTCTGCTGTCGGGAACGTGAAGCAAGGGAGGCCCCAATGCGCGGCATATGAGAGCTGACTTGGGCAATCATTTTGTGCGGAATGGCCGTCGTGATCCTGGGTGTATGATATATGATACTCACAAGTGGCATGCGCTCTTGCGCGAACGGCAATTCAAACATGCTCTGGACGTGCGCTTCTCTTTCTTTTCGTCCTTTGCCGACTTGTCACCCGGCGACATGGAGCTGGTTACGACGTCGCCCATCATCGCCATAGACCGCGAGTTGTTGGAGTTGCACAATTTCTCGATGTCTTCTCTTCGCCAATGCCGCTCCTGATTGTTGTAGTAGACCTGATGTCGCCGTCTGGTTGAGCCAAAGTTTTGAGATCCCCGCCACCTGTCCGCGTGCCCGCATGTTCACTCGACATGGGCTTGGCACCGGCACACGGCGAGTGACGGATCTTCGGCGTGGGGTGGGATGCACAATGCCTGTACACTTCGGGGCTAGATGTCGCGTGCGGCAATGTACTCAGGTACTAATACAGAGGCGTGTGTCGCCCCCAATGTCAAGAAAGGCCGTACACGGAGAATTGCTGAAAAGGAAATCCATTCAACTTGCACCTACATTGGACATTCTGCAACAAGTCAACACATTCTTTGAAGACTGAAGCCGACGTATTGGTGGAGAGAGTGCCTTCGAAATGGCACAGGCGAGCAATGAGATTACTGGACGACTGGTCCTTATTACAGGCGCATCGGGAGGGTGAGTGTTCTACCCGCGTCAATCTCTCCCATCAACTTATCGAGGTTGCAGAATTGGTTCCGCGTGCGCAAGGCAGTTCGCCGCCCTAGGTTGCGATCTGGCTCTCACATACGCATCGAATCGAGACTCCTTAGAAGCATTGGTCAAAGAGCTGCAACCGACGACCAATGGTGCATCAATTACCGTCAAACCCCAACGCTTCACAATCCACAAAGCAGATCTAGCTTCTCCTGAAGAGACTTCACAACTATGTGAGGATGCCCAGCGGGAACATGGCCGTGCTGTCGACGTACTCATTTCGAACGCTGGCTATGGCAAGCGGATACGGGATGTATCTGAGATTCCGTTGAGCGAGTTTGAGCACACGATCAATGTCAATCTAAAGGCTCCGTTCCTCCTGGTCAAAGGTGTTGTAGATGGGATGAAGGCTCAGAAATGGGGCCGCATCATCTTTTGTCTCATCAATCGCCGCACATGGTGGTGGAATGAATGGGTGCCACTATGCAGCTTCAAAAGGCGGAATGTACGTATACTCGAAATCTGTTGAAGGCCAAAACTGACGTATTTCCAGGATGGGCATGATGAAGAATCTGTCAACGACTTTAGCACCTTACAACATCGCAGTCAATGATGTTGCGCCTGTGAGTCGAAATCTGCCAAACCTAAATATGAGCTGCAGTAGCTAACACATTTGAAGGCGATGGTCGGCAACACGGGTTTGCTGCCGAGTGGCGATCAATTTCCTGGTCTCGTGGACAGCATACCGATGCACAGGCTGTGCGAGCCTGAAGAGGTTGCAAATGCAGTGGTATTCTACGCCAAGACCGGCTTTGCAACTGGACAGTCCCTGATCATCGCTGGGGGACTGAAATAGTCGGACGGACGAGGTTGCCTGAAAACGTAGAAGCATGCCATGTGGAGTGGAGACCCGGCATCTTTAATCGTTTGAGCCAACTTTTGAAGGCATGCACTTTCTAACGTCAGATCCGTGTTTTCCTAGGTCGTGCCACTCGTGTGCTTCTGAGCTTGCTGTTGGCCAGAGTAGAGCCGTGGCCAGATACGACCTCAGGGTGAGCATGTTCTTGAGCTTTGAGGTCCAGAGCCTTGGAGGATGGGAAAAGCTCGTGTTTCAGTGTTACTCGCGCTGTTGCAGGATTGAGCTGTGCGCCCGAACGGGAGTAGCGTCGCGGCAGGGGCGAAGTTGTTCGGGAGGACGTTTCTTGACTGTTCCTCTTACTAGACCAGCGAAATCAAGAACTTTGACGTATGACGTCGCAAGAAACCGAACAGTTGTGTGAAAGAGAGGAGATGTGACGAGGGTGCTTGGATCTTTTGTTTGGACAAAGGATCGACAGAGGGGTTGGCTGGGGGAAGAAGGCGCGGCGGCTGGCGGGCGGGTTTAGAGTTTGTTTGCCGTCAGCAGCTAGCCACCACCACCCAGCCGTAAATAGAAAATAGGCCGGGTACTTGTCGACTGCACCTCTCAGCATTACGAGCCCTCACCCTCCTCTTCATCAAGCCTTGTGCTGCCATACCACCGTCCTCTCCTCCGCCGAGTCTTTCGCCCTCCCATCGCTCTTTCCCGGACTGTCGCTTCTGGGTTTCGGCCACGTCCATCGCTTGCAACGCCTGTCCAACGGCTACAACGACGGTGGCGCCTGAGGCTGCTCACTTGTGAAACATCCACCTCGCACAACGAGGAGGCCAGCACCACCACCCGCACCTCCTTCTTAAGGCTGCGTGTGTCCAGTCTGCAACTTTCCGCTTCGCACTCCCGAAAATTCTTATCCACTGCGTCGGACCGCATCGCAACACCAACGCCGGCTGCATCTCTAACCATATAGTATGTCCGGCCGTTCGTATGGTATCGCCCCGGGTTCTGTGGACAGATCGGGGAGGGTATCACCACCGAAAGTGCCTCAGCATGCACCTCCGCCATTCGATTATCAATCATCGCCATACACAGACCGAGACGTCTCGCCAGTGAGGAGTCCAGAGCCAGCACGAAGTTACGATGGATTTGCCGCACCAGGCGTCGCAAATGTGGCCCCACAAGACAATGGATCCCAGGCCTTAAGAGACATTGACAATCTTTACAACCCGCGCATGATGTCTCCTTCACCAGATCCTTATGCTGTTCCTTCACCAAACCTCGCCGGACTTGGCGCTCCGAACGCACCACCTGCCTACCAGCAAACACATTCTCAGAGCTCTTTGGCACCGCTCACGGCGAATCAAGGATTGGGACCTAACTCTTCGCCGCCACGATCGCCAGAACGAACTGCGCAAAGGGGAATGCCTGTCATGGCTGCCGGAGCTGGTGCTGGTGCTGGTGCTGGAGCGTATGCATATGGGGCCCCTGACTTTGATAACCGAATGCCGCGTGCCTCGTACTACCACGGCGATGGGTACGACGACTTTGATCCAAGCTCTATCGCAGACGACGGAGACGATGGAATCGAAGAGACTACTCGGTCGCACAACAACCAACTTGGACCTGCTGCCGCAGGAGCTGGGGCCGCAGCTGGAGGTGCCGGTGTGCTGAAAGCGTTTGGAGCCCGCGATGCCGGCGGAAATTATGGCCCAGTTGGATCTGACCCTGAGAAGTCGGCGTGGCTATCGAAGCAAAACACTGGCAAGAAGAGGATGATGTGGATTATCGGTATAATCATTGGGTTGATTGTGATTGGTGCGATCGTTGGAGGTGTTGTTGGAGGGGTCCTATCCAAGCATAATGGCGGTGGAAGTTCTGGCTCTGGGGGCTCATCGTCTTCTGGATCATCATCTTCTGGAAGCCACTCGGGAGGATTGTACGACATCGACTCGAAGGAAGTTCAAGCTGTTCTCAACAATGACAATTTACACAAGGTGTTCCCAGCGATGGACTATACGCCAAACTACGCCCAGTACCCACAGTGCTTGTCTCCAGGAGGTGGACCCATTCAGAACAACGTCACCATCGACGTGGCCATCATGTCGCAACTGACCCCGGCTGTTCGCCTTTACGGAACTGACTGCAACCAGACCGAGCTTGTCCTGGAAGCCATCAAGCTGTTGAAAATGGAAGACACGATGAAGGTCTGGCTTGGTGTGTATCTTAATGGGAACACCACCACGAACGACCGTCAACTTCAACAACTCTACGATCTTCTGGACGACTATCCGCACGACAGCTTCGCAGGCGTCATCGTTGGAAACGAGGTCTTGTTCAGCAAGTACCTGACGGCGACGCAGCTCCAGCAAGAGCTCGAGTATGTTCGCAGTAACTTCTCCTCCAAGGGAATCGACCTTCCTGTGTCTACCGCGGACCTGGGCGACAACTGGGACGCAAACTTAGCCCAAGCATCCGACATCGTCATGGCCAACATTCATCCCTTCTTCGCGGGCACCGTGGCCGATGAGGCAGCCGGCTGGGCGTACGATTTCTGGACAAATAAGGACAAGCCGCTGACGACAAGTGCGACCGGCACCGCAGGAAACATCACCTACCCGAAGCAGATCATCTCCGAGATTGGCTGGCCGAGTCAAGGAGGCAACGACTGCGGTGACGCCACGAGCGACACATATGGCTGCACGAGCGACACCGACGGGGCTGTAGCCAGTATTGATAACATGAACACCTTCATGGCCGACTACGTGTGCCAGGCCCTCAACAATGGCACGACGTTCTTCTGGTGAGTCAGAGCCGTTCCTCCATGTGGACTTTGAACAAAGTAAAGCTGACTATGCCGAACAGGTTCGAATTTGCAGATGAGCCTTGGAAGCACCAATTCGATACTGCCCACAATAAGTGGGAACCGTATTGGGGCCTCTTCGACGTCGAGCGAAACCTCAAGGACGGGCTGAAGATCCCCGACTGTGGGGGCAAGACGGTCGATAAGCCTTACTGAGCGCAGTAAATGGGCCGTCATTTTTCGCTTCGAAGATGTTTTGATACGATATTGAGGTTTCTGGACGTTTCAGCATTGCGTGGTTAGGAAAGGAGCATGGGACTGGACTGCACGGTCTGGATGGGGTCAGTATGGACTGGTACTGGGTACGGAAACTTGATGGACTACTGTTTGACGAGCGAAACGATCAATGTTGGGAATGCACAGCACTGTTGGATATGAGCGAATGATGACTGCAAGGGACTGACTGTTAGTCTTATGAATGAGAATTGCGAAAAAGCACTAATGACAATGATTACTTATCACGAACTGAACGCGATTCAATCTCCAGCACGACAGTATTCCACCCCTGTAAAGATCGAGATGAGGTAGACCTTCACCCAGAAGGGTTCCCGCTGGGCAAGCATAAACACGGCCACTACCAGAGCACCTCGCCACGGCCTGCGCAGCATTTGAACCCCCTTGAGGGATAGATCGACGCATCAGGGGCTTGGAGATCTTGTACTCAAGGCTAAGAACATCCTCCTCGGCAAAAGGGAGCTGGTGTAGTAGAAATCGAGGACGTGAGATCAAGTCCACTCAACTTCGACTTCAACGATGCTCAAGGTCCACTACCTCCGCCTACGATTGACAACACTGCCACGTCCAAGAATGGTCAAGGCGAAGTGATGATTGTCAGGCTAAGTCTCCCTATCGGCTAGCTACCAGAGCTTTCAAGCCCATTCTCAGCTAAAAGACCAGACCAGGCAAGGCTGGTGCTTGCTGGTTTGCTAGTCACTACTGGAAAGGCCTACTGCTGGTTTTCTAGTCACTACTGCAAAGGCCTATTACTGGTATGCCTGCTCGCTATGCCTGCCCTCCCACGCCATATCTTCCACGATTGCCTTCCAACCTAAGTCTTCATGTATACGTGAGCATATGTAGAAAAACAACATTCAGGTTCCTCAAAAACCCACAGTGCGGGCGACGAAGGAGCTTGGAGAAAGAAATACAAACCACGCCGTGGCATTGTCGTCGTCGCTACTCCTTCCCTCCGCTTCTTGACACCATCATCATCACATTACCAAGACGTACATATTCCTATTCGAGACTTAGCACCATCGTGCCACTATAGGCAGGAGCACCGGACCTCCTTCCGCGAGAGTTTGGTCGATCACAATCTTGTTTCGTTTTCCACCACGAACGCCTTTTTCGGTCTCACAAACAGCGACGACACGCATCCTCTCGCCGAACAATGCAATCAGTGAAGTAGTTCGTGACACGGCGTAAAGCTTCTATATCCATTACGCTGTACGGGAAAATCTACGAGTACAAGGCACATGAGGCTTCAAAGGAAGGTCGAAGCGAGCATGTCATGCACATTTCCGACGAATGATGATGCCATCTACAGTTCCATCTACGTGGACTGTACAAATCATCGTCGTTTACGAAGAAAGCCATGGTCGCCTCAGCCACCTACTTCCTCCCCATCCTCTCATCCATACGCCCAAACTCCATCGCTTGCAGGAGCAATTTTTTCTTTTGTAAAAAGCAACACCCCCATTTCCCACCCATCATTTTGTGAAAACAGAGGCCGTGATCGATCGGGGGGCGAATCTTGTTCATCGTACATTCGCCCGTGTTGTACACGCTTTCGAAAAGCAATCGGCTCTGCGAGAGCCGTGGAGAATGCAGAAATGTACGGCCTCCGCCAAAAGGTCGAGTGATGACCTTGAATGCAGTAGAATGACCCATGTGTAGTCGTATTCGCGTCAAGCATCGCCTTAAACCGAATCAGCGCGGCGAGCACGCTTGTTCCTCTCAAGCCACTTTCGCTTGCCAGGACGCGTCTCGAAGTGAGGCGCGATGACTGCCGCATCGCTCCCGCCAGCAATCATGGTGCTTCGCATTTTGTTGCGGTAGGCGTCGAGAGAGCGTTGCAAGAAGAGTGTGCGACCTGTACGATGTTAGTTTGAGTCAAGACGAGGGCTCTGACATTGCATACCGTTGAATGTTCTTGCCTGTCCCCAGCTCATACGGTAGCCGAGCTCATTCAACGCAACCTCCTTGTTTCTCTTCGACTTGGTCATGCGTGGTACTGGCAGCTTGGCCTCGCTGCCATCCATCAACGACACCGGGACCATGGTCTTGCCACCGGATGGGATAACACTACCATCCTCGCCTTCATCGTCCTCGTCGTCCCAGTTGCTACGTGCTCGAGGGGACCCTGGCGGCGATCTCATCTGGCGGGGGAAGTATGATCGGGGGTAGACAGCGTTGATCCTCAGATGGGCGTCAGGCATGTCGTCCATCTTGACCTGATCCAGCATGACGCGCACCCGGACGCGGGTCCCTCGCTGGTTGTCGTCGACGAGAATGAACTTCCGGCGCTTGGACTCTGGGACATCGCCGAAGAGGGCACGCTTGTGGTCCTCTTCTTCCTTCTTGACAGAGGCAGATGCTGGTGTGGCCAGCGTCGAGGCTTGACTGTGCATGGGATCCATGGCGTCGTGGACCGAGGGCATAGACGAGCCTCCAACACCTGGTTGCTGAGGATACGAGGGATAGAAGTTCTGAGCGTAGCGGGCCGAAGTTGGTGATGCCAGATCGTTTTGGCCGCCGTTGGTCGCCTGGTCAGGATGCCCGGCTGCACTATTGTAATCATTTCCGGCTGCGATTAGAGACGAACAGATTAGCGTGGGTACCTAAATGATGTGTTGCATGGGTGTCTGGTGAAGCGGAAAAACAGGGGGGAGGAGATGGACCAGCCAAGCGACGAAAGATGCAGCAAACAAACAACAAAAGACAAGGTGGGTGTGATGCTTTGGCAGTCGCGTGTCATGATATGATGATATGCTGTACAGAACAGTGTACAGAGGTAGATGATGTGATCGATATGTTGCAGGCCATTCTCTCTGGTCCTTCCAACGCCATAAAAATGCAACGTGCAATCGCGATAGTGATAGTGGTACAGGATATCATTTTTCACATCTGGTGGAACATACCGCTGACGTCGTTCCCCCCGCCGGCATCGCTACCGTCGGTGTGGTGGTGGTGCATTTGTGGTCCACCAGGACCCATGTTGGGCGGCCTCGTCGCGCCGGGAGGCATGCCCTGTGGTGGCAGGCTCCCAGGACCTTGGTGACCTGGGAACTGACCGCCAACGCCTGGCTGTGCCTTATTCGCGTTTCTGTTCTGAATTTTCGCCATGCGTCGGACTCTTCGACTCCGTAACCGCACGTCTTGGTTGCTGTTCCTCCAGCTGTCGACTGCGCGCTGGATGAGGCCGCGCTTCTCGCGCAAATTGGGGTTCAACTGCGCAAGCGCCCAGCCGACTGCGTTGCACTCGCTCTCGTAGTGCAATCGATTGCCCTTGTACTGTTCCTTGCCGCAACAGGCGCGTGGGTAGACGCAGTTGGCGGATTTGAAGTCTTGGCTCAACTCGTCCACGTTGACCGACTCGACGTCGCAGCGAATGGTGTACTCCATCTTCACGCGGTCGCGCGAGTACTCGAAGGCGATCCATTGGACGCCATTGTTGTCTTGCCGCACCACCAGTGGAGTTGTCGCGGGAATGGGGCCTGGAGCTGCACTCGAATTAGGGCCGTTTGGAGACGCTGTCGACATTTGGCCGTGCATACCTGGACCTGATGATTGGGGGGTGGATTGGGGAGGAGCAATGACAGAAGGCGGCCGCTGCAGGGAGGATTGAGAGGGTTTAGTATCCATCATGCTCGGCGGAGGATGGCCGGGCTGCGGTTGCTGCATCTGCTGCTGCGGCTGCTGGTGCGACATCAGCATACCGGGCGCCGAGGTCATGGAGGAGTGGTGGGAGGCAGCGGCGGCGGCGGCAGGATGCTGGGCATAGGGCGACTGCTGCTGTTGCTGCTGCATCTGATACTGCGGATAGTACATCTGCTGCGGCATGGAAGGAATGCCGTACAACGGTCGCCCATGCGCGTCTGTCTGCGGCGAGTGGATGGAGGCCGGCGAGTTAGACTGCGGAGTCTGGTAGCTTGAGATTGGTGGATAGGACTGGCGGCTGATCGCCGCCTGCGTGGCCATGCTTTCGTTCGGTTCTGCGAAGCTGGTCAGTCCCAAACCAAAAGTGCGCGCCATGGCACCGCAAACACAACGCCAGCGTGGCGATCAATCCGTTATTGCTCGGGGTGAAGGCATTTCAAGTTAATTGGATTCGATGGCAACGACTCACCTGATGATGCGTAGCTCCCTGCCGCGCTGTTGGTGCTGTAGGGACTGGGGTGGGCGGCGAAGAAGGCTGGCTCACCCGGGGTCTGGGATATGCCTGGCACGGATCCGACGTAGGGAGAGTGGTGCTGCTGTTGCTGTTGCGGGTGGCCGGGGAGGCTCTGGGTGGAGGAGTGCGGCGATATGTATGGGCCTGGCGGGGTCTGCGACTGATGGTGATGGTGAGGCGAATTCGGACGGTGCGCTTGGGCCTGTATCAGCGTGGATCGCGGGTGCTGTAAGGGCTGCGGCGGCGGAGGGAGTCCCTGGTTGCCAGCATTTGGTTGATTCTGTGCTCGCAGCGAAGTCAGTTGAAAAAGCTCCGCAGAGGCCGTGAATGGACACGGGTGATGAGAGTGGTGGTGGTGGTGAGGTCGTGTCGAGGCTGGGATGACGGGACAGGGAAGCGGGGGACCGGGCAGGGCAGGGCAGCAGCAGCAGAGCCAGGTCCAGCGCAGCGGCCGGGATCAAGGGCCGTCGTCGAACGGTGAGATGTGGCAGTTGAGGGGCGGCCGGGGGGTGGATAGAGTTCTGGCATGCAGAGCGTGAAGCAGCTTCATCAAAGGCAAAACAGGCGGGCGGGACGAGTGGTGCTGCTGGTGGTGGTGTTGGAGGGTGCGGGTCAGTGCAGGGCGAGTCAGAGGAGATGATGGTGCTGTGTGGGAGAGACGAAGGGCGGGCGTTTACCAGCGAGTGGTGCCGCGCCTCGTACATGGTGGGCAGCAGCGGGCGTGGTGGCAGTAGCAGTGCTGCGCGTGGAGAGGTTGCATCCGCGGGGCGGGTATGTAGGTCGGTGGGCGTGCAGTGCAGTGTGGTCGTGGTATGGCAGAGGGAGTGGTTTCAGAGGCTTGGTTGGTCGGCGGCAGGCGGTTTGATCTTCAAGTCGGACTGGAGAATTTGCTCGTACGTACCATAACCAGCAGCGGCAGAGGCAGCTAGAGTCGCAGGCCGTCGTCGGTCGGTCAGTCAGATCAGACAGGCAGGCAGTCAGTCCACAGCAGCGCGCGGGCGGGCAGAGGCCGGCAGGGATGATGTTGCGTCGTGTCAGGTTGCCGGCAATGTGCAGTAGGGCAGGGCAGGTATATGGCTGAGTCGGGCATTCACGAAGGGAATAAGGTTAGGTTGTTTACTCGCAGAAACGCTCTCGCAGCTTTGATGGACAGGGAAGACGAAGTTAAAACGCGCGCAGGCTCGGCAAGAGGCAGCCCACCTTTTAGCCCACCCGCCCACGCACGCGCCAGCACCTCACCTCACTCACTGCCCGTCCTCTCTCACTCTCCTGCACGCACCGCACCGCAACGGCCCAGCACCAGCACCAGCAGCCCACCAGCGAGTCGCCGGCCGGTCTGCTGCTCCCTGCGGATCCGCCAGCTTCCCGCCCCGCTCTGCTTAGTCGGCTAGCGTTCGGCGACGTGTCCGGCAGTCTGCAGCGCCCGACCGACAATAATATCCATGTTATTAATATTATCAACAGCAGCAGAAAACCACCTCCCACCACCAGCGTCGTCTGCGTCTGCGTCTGCCGATCCGGGTGCTGAGGCACGCTCGCTTAGCGTCGCGTTTCACCGTAGTAAACTCTATCCGACCACCACCGCTCGTCCAGATTCACACCCACCCTCTCTGCCTCCAACCGTCACAAACGAACGACTTTTGGCCTTGTCGCTAGCCGCACCGCTTTTCTCACATGTCAACGGCCGCTTAGCTAGCACGCACGCTACTTTACTCCTCCTCTGCTCGCTAGCATCCTTCAGTCCACACCACACCGCAAGGCTGACTGCTGCTCCGCCGCTGTGCGTCACAGACGCCGCCCGCCACGGCCAATGGCCTGTCCCAACGCGACCGTCAGAGCATCAAGTAAGTGATACTATGTATGATGGGCGGTGCGGGCTTGGCGCGACGTGCAGCACCACGCATCAATCGCGGTGGCGGCGGGCGGCGGCGTCATCATCATCATCGTCGCCATCATCTTCGCCTCGCCGCACAGATCAATAATGGTGCTGCTGTTTGTGCGACACACAGCGTGCGCGACGACACGCACGCCATCCACGCTCGCTCCAACCCCGCCTTCTTTCCCTCCCACTAGCGGCCGTCAGATGTCTGCAAAGGCTCCACCACCCTTCATTTCGAGCGTGAGTGAAATCACGCCGAGTGGTCCCGCCCATCATGCACCTCTCCTCATCCGTCGCGGCGTCTGCAGAAATCGATACCTGCTATCAGCCCTCCGCCATCAGGTTTTCGCCATGGCGATGCGGTCACGCTGCTGCATGCGAGCCCATACGAAAAGTCGACATCCCGGCGGGCATGCAGGGTTCTGCTCTAGCTGCCGTCCGTACATGTAGGCGACGCTCCCACGGCCTATCAGTCGCGCGCCCAAAGCTTGCCACCGCCCGGCCTCCCAATTGATTGTCACTTATCGATTTGTTTCACGTCGTGTTAAATTTGTCCCAATTCTCTCTGACTCGCAGTGCCGAACAGAGCTCGGCCAACCACGCGCCACCGGAGAATACCTTAGCTTCATTTTTAGCGCAGCTGCAAGTGCGTGAGAATGGAGCACTCCTGGATGTGGTCCGGAGCACGTCGCTGCGAGAAAAGTGAAATGGGTCTTTCCGAAAACCGCACTGCTCGCCGAGGCACGCGAACAGGCCGCCGCTCCAGCACCGCAGAATGTGCCTGATTATGAGAGGAACAGCGGCGGCGGTGATGTCGAATCCTCCTGGCAGTTGCAGTCCGCTGGCGTCGCCGATCCTTTTGAATTGCAGCGCCACGGTCGAACAGGCACGTGGCAGCCAGGTATCTTCTCCAGGCTCAGCCAGGCCTCCTTCAAAGGGTGCCTTGTCACGCCCGCCGGCAAATCGTGTGCCCGCTTGCAGCTTTGGGATGCGAGCACGCTACCCGGATTCACCCATGCCCGCCACTCTACCACCCTAGACTGGAGATGTGCTGGCGAGGGTGCCTGCTGCAGGCCTCGCGACTTCACCAGATGCCGCAACCATCAACATGAACGACAGCGAAAAGCGCCAGAATCCTCCGCTGCCTCGCTTAACGACCGTCGAAAGGAACAATAACGAGGCTGATACTTAGCTCAACGGCCGTGTATGTGAGGATTTTTGCACCAGGCCCAATACGCTCTCGCGCGGAAGTCCCACCCGATTCGAGGCCAGAGGCAACTCGAATCAAGCAAAGAGGCTTCCCGGCAGTGGGACGAGGCGGAAAGCGCATGCAAGACACTGCTCGGAACCACATGTCTCACACGGTCGAAATTGACGACTGCACGCCTCAGGAGTCGCTGATAGACAGCAAGTCACGCTGCCGCAACAATGCATTGTGCAATGTTTCACGTGGCTTTACCCAACACTGCCGTGGTCGCAGATCATATTATTGAGCGCTGGCGGCCACTGTGCGACCTGCCGGTATAGGCAGCTTGCTTCGAGGCCAACGTGTTGCTGACCAACGTGAGGACGCCTGAGATGCATGCGACAATAGCAGTCATCACACAGACGAGCCCGACCAATAGCGGCTTGACCAAGTCTTGAATCCTGCGTGATGTGCTCGGAAGGAAAACACACGGCCTGCACTCCGGTTGTTGTCAGAGTCTAGGACAGGCCTCTGTCGATCTCGACACCCGCGACTTGTTTCGCGGATCTCAACCTGTCACCGGATGCAGACGATTGTCGCGAACGCAACTTTCACGTGTCTATTCCCTGCCAGAGCTTCAACTTCCAGTCTTCAATCACCGGCGCACAACGGTGTTGACTCAGTTCGAAACTCCAAGTATAGCGCGTGTCCATGCACCGAGGCAACGAAATGAAGTTGTTGTTCCCATTCGACGTCTTGGCCCCAGATTTGACTTTGCTTCTCATCTTGTCGACAACACTGCAATCCGACAAGTGAGGCAATGGAGCGAAATGGGTCCGAAATGACTTGCGTCGGTGCGCACACCGTTCACGCAAAGAACGCGGCTGTCCGCAAGAGGCACTGTGAAACACGCTAAGAGCAAACTACAGTTAAACCTAGATAAGAATATAACTTATTCCTAAGTTTATTCTATGTTACTAACTAGGTTATAGGACTATCTAGTCTAACTAAAGAAACACGTAATATTACTCTACTTTCGTATTTTAGCTTTCTTTCTTTTAATTATAGTTTTTTACTTATTAAGAATACTTATAATCTCTAGCTATCTATCTACCTACTATAACTTATATAGCTTTAGATATTTAAGGGCCTAAAGAGCTATATCCTCTAAGATCTTAGGTTAAATATCCTCCTCTTCTAAATCCTCTTAGTCTACTAGATCGAATTAAAAGGTAATCTACTTAAAAAGGTTATTTAAACTATTTTAGATAGTTTTATCTACTAGGTTTAGGAAAGTCTTAATTAATATAGCTAATATAATCCTTTACTACTACTAAAAGCTCTAAATTATAGACTAGATCTAAAAAGTTATAGTAGCTATTTTATCTAAATTTTAAGCCTAATTTTAGACTAGTATTAAGTAAGCCTAGTAGTATTAAATAGTCTAAAGTATAATATTATTCTAAGCTTAGATAGACTATCGAATAGCTTTTAAAATAGTTATAGTTTGTAGTAGTTATTTACTAACTCTAAGCTTATCTAGTATATACTTAAACTACTTTTTTCTATAGTAAGTTTTAAAAGTATAGATAATACTTTAATCTAGTAGCTAGCTCTATAATATTATATTTAGAGGAAGCTATATAACTATAATATTATATAGTAGCTACTAAAGTTATCTATAATAAGTAGAACTTTTCTCTAGCTAACTTTTCTTAAGAACTAGTATAGCTATTTAGCTATAATACTAAGCTAAGACTACTCTATAGGGTTTATATAGATATTAAATATAGTAGAAGTAACTAAATTAATAAATAATAGTAGGAACTAACCTAGTTATAATTATATTAGTTAATTCTAGGAAGTAGGAGACCTAAAGTAAAATAAGCTCCTTTTAGTTACGTAACTCTTAATATAGAGACTTTAAGTATCTATTTTAGCCTACCTATCTAGACTATACTATTTAATACTCTTATTTAGGCTAGTATATATATCTCTAAAGTAGAGCCTAAACGATAGTATATAATTTAAAAGAATTTCCTTTTATCTAATTAGGTATTAGGGTTTATTCTACTTCTATAGTATAGTAGTAATAACTATAGTTTAACTCCTAGGCCTAGTATATTAGTATTAGGATCGGTTCGTTAATCCTAGAATTTTACTTAGTACGGGTACTAAGCTTAAGTCCTTAGTTAGAGCTCGTTAAAGGGAGAGAGTCGGTAGACTACTAAGATAATCTTAAGGTAGAGGTTTAGGTATAATTATAAACTAAATAGTAAGATTAAATAGTAAGTTAAACGCTATTATATAAACTATAATATCGTTCCTTATATAATAAAAGAGAAGCGTACTACCCTACGCTCTATAAGATAAGAGGGAGAGTACTCCGTTACTCCTTTAA